CTATCTCGGTCGAATGCAGCAACTAGAACGGGATGATTCGCTCCTTCAACAAGCCGACTTCGTATCTACCGAGCATGATATTTTGGCAACAAGCGACGTCGGCCCAAATACCCCGAGACTTGCTCTTTTTGAAATCACTGCCGTTGTCCAAGAGGAGAAGATTCAATTCTCCTTCATGTTCGACAAGAGCATGGCTCGCACTAACGATATCCGTCGCTGGGTAGCGGAGTGTAAAAACACCCTTGAAGAAACCGTTATACGCCTCGCCCAGACCTCACCAGAGCCCACTCTCAGTGATTATCCTTTGCTTCCACTTTCATATGAGGGCCTCAAGAAACTTATTAAAATCACCTATCCCAAGGCTGGAATCAAACACTGCAACGAGGTGGAGGACATCTATCCATGTTCACCAATGCAAGAGGGAATCTTGCTCAGCCAACTCAGGAATTCAGATGCCTATTTGGTTAATTGTATATTCGAAGCCAAGTCCAAACAATCTCACCGGCGAGTGGATACTGAAAAACTTGCACATTCCTGGGAGCGAGTCGTGAGTCGGCACGCAGCATTGAGAACAGTCTTTGTTGATAGCCTGTGCAAGGGAAGTACTTTCGACCAGCTTGTTGTGAAAAGTGTTGATAGTGGCATTATATTTGTCAATTGCCATGACTCTGAGGCCATTGATAAACTGAACAACATCAAACTAAAGGACACCAACTTGAAGAAACGTCCCAAATTGCCACATCAGTTCATTCTCTGCACCACAAATAGCGGACGAGTTCTCATCAAGCTTGAGATTAACCACGCCATTATTGACGGAGGGTCAGTGGGTATCATGATGGCCGATTTGATCGCTGCCTATGAGAACCGTCTCCCAGATGGTTCTGGGCCCCTATTTAGCGACTACATCCGGTTCATCAGACAACAATCTCCCGAACAAGAAATTCACTTCTGGAAGAATTATTTGGAAGGAATTCAGCCATGCCATATACCCAAATATAGCAATCAAAGGAAGCCTCAACGATGCTTATCTGCAGTTGAGATGGAATTTAACCGGTTTCCTGAACTGCATCAGATGTGCGAAAAGCTTGGGGTGACTTTGGCAAATGTGATGCATACCGCTTGGGCCTTTGTACTAAGAAGCTACACGCATTCAGATGATGTCTGTTTCGGGTATATCTCTGCCGGCCGAGACGTTCCTGTCGACGGAATTCAAGATGCCGTTGGGGCTTTTATCAACATGCTCTGCTGCCGTGTCTTATTCTCTTCCTCTTCATCGACTGAAGATGTTCTTCGTAAAGTACACGACGACTACCTTGCCAGTCTGCCTCACCAACGATGTTCCCTTGCCCAAGTACAGCATGAACTTGGATTGGCTGGTAAAGCACTGTATAACACTGCTTTGTCAATTCAAAATCACAGCCGATCAAGCGATGCCGCCGAGGAGGATTTGATGTTTGAAACCCTTTCCGCCCATGACCCTAGCGAGGTAAGAAAGCAATACGAACCGTAAACGTATCATTTAGCTGACTTATTGATGTAGTATGTCATTACTGTTAACGTTGAAACCGCGAAAAACGACGAAAAAGTGGTGCTGAGATATTGGAGCGACGCAATTCCAGATTTTGAGGCCAAGAAATATGCAAGTTCAATGGCTGAAATCTTGACAAAATTCCTCGACCAGCCTAGACAAAAGGTTGCAACTCGTGACCCAGTCATAAAACCAAGTCTAGAGATATCGCCATCCGAAGACCAGGAAAGGTCGGATTCGCCCGCCAAGCAAGAGAGCGAACGATTCTATGAACAGAGCGTGGCTGGAAGCTCCGCTGATTTGACGAAGGTCGTGGATTCCTGTGTGCGCGAGGTCATCCAACAAATGTTGGAGAATGGCACCTTGAAAAGCAACCCGAGTGTCAATATGGCTGATTTGGTTGACCGCAAAATATCCGAGATACTGGGCCAGAGTCAAGCATTAATCAAGCCAGTATCTGGAAGCAGCCATGGTACCTTCTCACCATATCGAAAGAAGGCAGGGTTGGATCTTCCTTCTACCTCCTCAGATTCCTACGAAGTTCTGGATTACAACCCGAAAGACGATCCCGACACTCATTCCATGGCCGCACAAATCCGACGAAGAGGTCGTTCAGCTGTTATAGAAAAGAAGCTTCTTTCTCTGTGGAGTTCTATGCTGGAGATGGATGAGGATGCAATTGCTCCTGACGATAACTTTTTCGAATTAGGGGGTGACAGTCTTACAGCTATGAAGCTTGTTGGAGCTGCCCGTGAAGATGGTCTTGCGTTGACCGTTGCTGACGTATTCCGCAACCCTGTCTTTGAAGATATGGTCACAATGATTCGAGTCGCAAGTTTGATGACTGCATACGAGGATGGAGATGGAGATGGAGATGCTAATAGCAACGGGGATTTGTCATCTTATCATCGAACAGTCCCCGTACTACGGTCGGCAGCAAAGAGCGAACTATATCAGCGATTCTCCCTGGTCAAGGCTACTAACATCGATGCCTTCCTTCAAAGCAATATCTGTCCGAAGGTCGGTGTCTTCAAAGGAGGTATTGCTGATGTTCTACCGGTCACAGATTTCCAAGGCTTAGCAATTACGGGATCGCTGCTAGAGTCTAAGTGGATGCTTAACTACTTTTTCTTTGATGGAAACGGTCCTTTAGACCTAAAGCAGTTGAAGCTAAGTGCTTTCAGACTTGTCAACTCGATTGATGTTCTCCGTACCGTTTTCCTTCCACATGGCGACCGCTTCCTGCAAGTGGTACTTCGCAAAATGCGACCAGATTTCTTTGTGTACGAAACTGAGTCAAACATGGATGAGTTCACGGCCATGCTACAGCAGCGCGACCGGGATCAAGGACCCCGCCTTGGAGAACCTTTCTTCAATTTTATAGTGGTGAAACGGAAGGATTCTGACCATCATCGGATTATCATCCGCATCTCCCATGCTCAGTACGACGGCGTCTGTCTTCCAAAGATATTTTTGGCCCTTCAATCAGCATATCAGGACGAACCCCTGCCACCTATGTCGTCATTTGCTAATTACGTCCGCAGCACTGCAAGTACCATCACGTCAGATCACTATCAACACTGGAGGGCGCTTCTCAAAGGGTCCCGCATGACGGAAATTGTACGAAGGCATGGGCCTAATTATCGAAGATCTGCTGGCGCGACGACTCAGCTCAAGCAAACCATCCTATTTCCCCCAATCGCACATGGAAGCATCACTACTGCGACCGTTGTCAAATCTGCATGGGCATTGGTACTTGCCCAACTTACTGGCCGCTCAGATGTTGTGTTCGGTCATACGATTAGTGGTAGGAATGCCACAGTTCCAGGAGTTGAAAGTACGGTTGGACCATGCTTGAATATAGTACCTGTCCGGGTAAGATTTTGCGAAGGATGGACAGCGCTAGACCTGCTCCGTTTTGTGCAAGACCAGCAAGTTTCCAACATGCCTTATGAAGCACTTGGGTTCCGTGAAATTTCGAAACACTGTACAGAATGGCCAGACTGGACAAACTACACTACAGTTGTTCAGCACCAGAATGTTAGTTACGGCAGTGAGATGGAACTGGGAGGAAACACATATAAGATTGGAGGTGTTGGCGCAGATGAGGACTTTTCCGATTTCTCAGTTATATCGACTCCAAAGGGTTCGGATAGATGCGAGATCAGTCTCTCCTTCTCCCAGAACGGCGATATCACTCCAATTTTTGCGCAGAAAGTCCTTAACATGCTCTGTAACATCGCCTCTAACTTTACAGCCGAGCCAAACTCCGCTCTAATGTCACCTACAGAACTTGGCGAGCTACCTCCACAAGTTATCGACGAAACAGGTCGACAAAACGACAACTATTTTGTATCCTCTCAGCTCCAGGGGCTTAGCCGGGCTGATCTCCTTGTGCTATCTGATGTTCTCAGTCGCAGCTGGCGTCAAGTACTTGGAGATGACAACACAAATGGCCTTAACCTTGAATCGTCTTTCTTCGATCTCAACGGAGACATCATGGGCTTGGCTCAGGTGTCTTGGCTCCTAGAGCAAGAAGGCTTCAAGGTGCGAATTGAAGATCTCATTGACCACCCAACAATGCTAGGCCAGATGGCTGCCATGTGCTCCTCGAAGGTGGAGCAATCGAAAATGACGTTCATGGATGAGGAAAGCTCTATTCCTGCCACTCCGACGACCCCAAAGTCCGAGAAAAAGTCATGGTTAAAGGCTATGAACATGGCCCGGAAGATTGTTAAGCGAAATACTCGGTCATCCTAAAAAAAAAAAAAAAAAAAAGAAAAAGAAGAAAAAGAAGAAGGAGAAATACACATATATATATATATATTAATCTAAGTTGACAATGTGGCTCATCTTCGATCTTTTGTTTCTGTTGATATTTTGTTTATCTATGTTAAGATCAATCATTTCTTTTTATCTTTTAACAGACATAATCCCTTGAGCATAGAGAGCTCTGAATCATTTGTACATAGTCTGGAAAGGTTCAGAATTTATATTCTTTATTTTTAATTTTTAATTTTATTTTTATTTTATTTCTTTTAAAGCTGGTACTTTGTAGTAGCTATTAATTTCACTTTTAGGTCAATGAATAGGTTCCACCTCTAGATGGAATGTACAAGAAACATATGTACCATGTGGATATTCTTTGCAGCACAGACGACCGAACCCGATTCGACCATGCAGCTAACTTTCTAGACAAGTCTTCTCAGCTCACTAGAGTACATGTCTATGGCACCACGGCTGGAGAATCTACAAACCAGGCTTTACAGAGACAAAAATGTTTCCCATAAGGGAAGCAAGATTTGCGGGAAAGAGAGTTATCACTGGATATCAAATGCCATTGTAAGTTAATTTCATGCCAAATTCAAAACGATTTCGTGACTTTGATCAATGTATATACATTAAACAGAGTATCATTTAGCCATCATGATCGGCTCCAATCACTGACATACCATTTCCACCAACGTATGTCTTATTTGCCCTCCTTCTGCCGTAGTCTCTCTTCATCTTCTCTTCGGAGTTCGGCGTCAATTTGAGCGCCTCGAGATGGCTTGTTTCCGTGGAATGTTGCCTTGACACGGTCAATATTCATCCGGTCTTCCATTCCGATTCTTGACTGCCGTGAGGGGCTTGGGCTTGGGATGGCAGGCAGGTTGGGGGAGGAAAGAGATTGCAACTTACCGGTGCCAATGGATCCTTTTTAGCCAGATCTTCATCGGTCGGCGATTTATTGCCTTTTCTGGCCTGCTGCTCTTTGCTATGGGCACTGCCGCGGCCGCTGGACGCTGGCGGGTGATCCCGGTTGCGTTGGGCGGCTCGAAGCTCCGACTGAGGAGAATTCCGCTGATCGCCGTCCTCGTAGAGCGAGGGACTGCCAACATGGGACTTCCTCATGTTTTGACGAATCGTTTCAATATATGGCAAAGGCGAAGATAGATGTATACCACGCTGTTCACAGCTTTATTTTCGTAGCAATTGAGGGCATAAATAGCCATATGAGGTCTGAACCTTTCAAAGGTTTGATGAGCCTATATATGTACCGCATTGGATTAGGTTCACGGCCAACATCACGGTGCAAACGCGCACAGAGCATGGCCGTGGCCACGCTTCTTCCAAGGCAGAACAGAGGTTGATGGTACAGGACCAGGAGCTTCCCTGGCCGAGAGCGCCAACGATGACATCATGAAGGCATGGCCGTGCCTAACTCAATTTGGCTAGTTAGTTAGTTAGGGCTTTTGCAGCGGGTTAGGTCTTGTACATTCACGTGATGAGGTTTCCGCCTGGCACCTTTCCTATCGTGGGATAGGGCGATCAGTGTTATCGGAGGCGCAATGTCGATCCCAAGTCCGGCACCACGACCTTTCTGACCTTTCTGACCTTTCTTACGTCGAATACGGAGTGCTTCTGACGCGTTTCACAGCCAATCATGGGGAAACGGAAGCAATTGAAAGATGATGATGTGGATATGGACGAAGCCGGTCGCGCTGGCGACGAAAGCAGCGACGAGGTCAGCGCTGAACCTCCGATTGAGGTTCATGAAATTCCCGAACGCCGCGAGACTGACCGATGAACAGGACACGGAAATTGTCAACGTAGAGTTCGAGTGGTTCGATCCGCAGCCCGCTGTTGATTTTCATGGCCTCAAGGTTCTGCTCCGCCAATTATTCGATAGCGATGCGCAATTATTCGATCTCTCCGCCCTCACCGATCTCATACTCTCGCAGCCGCTGCTGGGGTCAACGGTGAAAGTTGACGGCAACGAAACAGACCCTTACGCTTTCCTCACCGTTCTGAATTTGCATCAGCACAGAGTAAGTTGTACGATCTGGAGCTGTGGACCGGCGTTAGATCACTAATCCGCCCTTGGGATGGTAGGATGTACCCGTGATAAAGTCAATAATTGAATATATCAAAAGCAAATCCTCCTCAGACCTATCTACGCTTAATGAGCTTCTTTCGCAGCCATCGATCCCCCAGATCGGCCTCATCCTTACCGAACGATTAATCAATATTCCAACCGAAGTGATCCCACCCATGTACACCATGTTGCTCGAAGAGATCCAATGGGCTCTAGAAGCAAGCGAACCATATCAGTTCACTCATTATCTAATAATGTCAAAGACGTACGAAGAAGTGGAATCCAAATTGGACATGGAGGATGACAGACCGCAGAAGAAAAAGAAGAAAGCGGTAAATGGCAAGCCGGAGACATTTTACTTCCATCCAGAGGATGAAATCCTTCAGAAACATGCGCTATGTTATAGCACATACCCATACACGCATCAGCAAGCGGAGGGGCACTCGGACTCGAAGCGCACATTCCAAGAGCTAGGAATTCGCCCACACGGATCTATGATTTTGATAGAAGCTTCGAAGTTTGAAACGGCGGTTAACGCCGTCAAAGACTATGCCAGTCCTCCATCTTGAATATATTAAATTCTATCGATATCTATTTCCTGAATGGTGTATCCCCTTACCTTTGTTCCCAATGCGGGTCGTAGATCTCGTAAAAAGGAAAAAGAGGCATGTAATATGCCATTATTAGCTCACTACAATCAATTGGTTTCCCATTTTGTTCCCTGCAATCGTTGCATAAGGTATTCCACCTCTACGATCTTCGTCATAGGGATAACAGCGTGCTACAAACCATCTTATTAGCTTAACAATCTCTCACAAAACCACATTTGGCAAAACATACCTTGTACATGGCAACAACGGCTTCAACATCAATCTTCGAATTACTATCATCAGGATTCGCCGGGTCTCTACCATAAGTAGCAGCCTTCAACCTCAACCTCTCCAGGACCTTTTTCTCCACCTGGATATTCGTGATTGCATCCTCAATCCCCTTTTTATCCGCTGCTTTAATCAACTTCACGAACCGCTCCGGCTCTTTTCGAAACTTGGATTCAGCGACGAATTTTCCAAAATGAATCCTCCTCGACAGCGCCTGCAAACAGCTCACATCACATGTAGCCGCGGACCCGTAATTCTCTTGAGCCTCTCCCCGGTCTTCCCTTCCGCCAAACTTGCCGCACGCATGGGGTAAAATCTCGTTAATATACCTCGATTTTATCATATCATTGACATTCACGTCATTCTTGTGCAGGATGTGCGGGTACTGGAGGGGTTGGAGGATCGGTGTCTCGAGTGCCTCGTGAAAGAATGGATATTCATCAGGCGATTGATAGCGTCGAACGCGCGACTGAATTCGTTCTGTTTCGCGGAGCATCCAGTCCATAAGGCTAAGGTCGCTATTGGGAATGTTCACCCCGCCAGGGATATAGATCCGCTTGTTGAGAGGGAATTGAACGCGCTCGATGAGGTGGAAGGTTATGGTGTCTTCCAGACGGCTGGTGAATTTTTAGCTACTCAGCCCATTGAAAGGTAGTCCAGAGCTTTTATAAAGGCATAGGAATATGCGAGTGAGGTCATCAAGGGAATAGCGTAGACGGATTACTCACATCAGTTGGAAACGGATGTTGTCGAGGTCCAAGGCCTTGGAGGCATCTGAGAGATCAATTGCTGCATCCATCGCGCTTAATTCTTCTCGTCTGCGAGACAAATGTCCGCCTCGAAACAATTGCGTGGTAAATAGTTGCGGGTGTCAAAAGACTAAAGCTCCTTCAGCAGCAAGCAGGGATTTGTGACTTAGCAGAGTCAAGGATGAAGCTGCAAGCATTGGGGGGGAGAAGTGAACTAACTAGTTCAAGTGCCAAAACCCCACCAGCTTAAATAGTTAACTATCCCTCGACTTTGGCTTTTGCAAGTCACTCCAACAATAGGACGCAATCACCAAGGATTTCAGCCGGGGGGGTGACCATGAAAGCTCATTCACTCTAGTCAAGTGAATGAGCTTTCATGGTTCCTCAGCGAATATTGGACCAGCGAATGGCACATGCCCACGACTCCCATGAACTCCGAGGACGCCGAAATTGTCGGATATTTACTCCGTACAAGGCTCAGCTCTGACCGGCACCCAGAGCTGACAGAAGCTTGAGCAAAATATTATCGCCTCCCCTTTCGATCAATACAAGTCTTCGAAATGGAATCTTTCGATTGACAGTTTTGGTTAAACTATTAATATCTCTTAAACCCTAAAGCAAACTTCAACAAAGCCAGGACCACGCCACTTTCCACGCTTCAAACCAAATGAAGATAACACCCTTTTTAATTCCGATCCGCTCACTCAATGCATGAAAGACACCAGTGTACGGAGTACTCCGTAACCATGCATTAGCGCCAAGGCATATTCATCCAAGACATACTCCGTATATCCGAATGCATCATCCACGTAAAAAAGACGCCTGTTTCAATTACCAAACGCCATTCCACACTTCTTCAAAAAGACAGTATTTAGAAAGTTGTCGACCGCAAGCCAGTATTCCGTTTTCGATGCACCGAAGAGGGAGGATGAGACAGGGTATCGACCCTCAGTGAGAAAGTCGCCATAATTGAGACAAAACAATACATCGAAAACGGACACCCCAAAATTGAGTCCAGAGAGGCCGTGAATCTATGTTTCACGACCGTGGTTAGAGATTGGCAAACTTTAAATCAGCGAGGAGTAGAGAAAGTGATGCTTACGTACCAACGAAAAAGGGAGAAACACTGGAACTATTCATAAATAATCCCGCATTCTTATCCAGCGAAATGCGACAGGGTATATCAACATGAGGAAGCGGGATTTCCACCCACCGAAGATGTTTATCTCGGAAGCCAAGAAGGACTCAGCCCCAGGAATCGAACACTAAAGGGGGAAGATCCAACAAGCCTCAAGCTGATACTCCTGCAAATTGCCGACAGGAGGGGATATATTCGCCAGAATGATTCGTAAAGGAACAGTCGTAGCCCTAGGACGCGGGAAACAGCAATGTGGCTGCCGCACTCTACATGATCGCTGTTCCAATCTCTGATTGTCGAACCCACGGTCGCGGACCGGACCTACATGTGACCATGTAGTCTCACGCGATACACGCATGTGTTCACGGAACCCCAGTTTGACTTGACCCGGAGCACGGCTTTCTTCGTGCGGATGTTTGGCAGGTCAATGACGGCATCCAAATGGAACTTCTGGATGTTATGTTTACCATTGATATCGTATTGGAACTTGCCAATACGATAAAAACTTGAGCCAAGCATCGTATCGTGCGAATAAGCCGTCTCTGGCTCGTCCGGGTATGCCATTCGAAGGGTGGAGATTATATCTTCGTGCTGCGATGGGGAGAGCGGACCAGCAAACGCTGCGCGAGCCTCTGCCGAGGATTCGAGCAACTCCGGTCGCCGTGTGGACACCGGTGAGGATGTCGCTGTCTGGTCCGAGCGTCCTGGAGCGCCCGTTGCGCGAAAACCAGGAAGGGTGGTTGAAGGAGCGGCAGCATGCGACCGGGCCACATACTCAACCCAAAGTTCCATCTCCCGAGGCGCCGACTCAGGATCCAAAGTTGCCTCTTTTTGGATATGCTCAATGACGACCTCTTCCGGAACCAAAGGTCGGCCAAGGAGCACGGCGAGTTGAATCTCACTGGTGTGGTCATTAACGCACCAGCAATCACCATGTTCTTCCCAGCGGCTGAGAGCAGCAACCGGAGGGTTTGTCTTTCTCATGCCGGCAGCGCGCTCAGCACCGCGGTGGAGAAGTCCGGAACGGTGCTTGGTGGTGAGGTATGGGTCCACGAACGCCCCCATACCAACAGAGAACCAGTTGATTTTTCGAGGCAACAATGGGTCTTCCATCTCAGGCCATATCGCCTGTTTGAGGTGCGGCAACCGTCTATTCCACTCGTCTTTAAGGGTGGCCACGTCTCGCGCCATATCGGCGAGTCGTCGGTCCACTCCAGCAGACAGCTTATCGAAGGCTTCAATGTATTGACTTGTCGGAGGTTGCGCACCACAGAACGATGATGGCAGGCTGAATTCCTTGCCAATCCCATTTTGGAGTATGTTTTTTCCGATCATCTCAATATCGTCGAACCGGAAAAGCATCCCTGCAACCGCAAGCATAAAAATAGTTATCATCAGCCCCAAGCTTATGACAGAAAAACCTCGCTGACGTTGGCTTGCGGTTGACGACATCGTTTGCTGAGAGACAGAACGGGTCTGCCTCCTGGGATTAGGGGTAGCATAAGCGTTGTCCTCTGCTTGGGGTGGGCTGAGGACGGGAGCTGCGCCGAGTCGGGGAGCTGGCTGGGCGGAAGACGCGGCGGAAGATCCAGACCGAACCGCTTGGGAAGCCTGGAATGTAGTACGAGGCTGCGAGCGGGTGTACGGCCGGAGCGGTGGGCCAGCCATTGGATGGGCTGCTTCCCGTTGCCGTTGACTTTGGCTAAGACTGCCACCAGACGAAGTGGCCGTAGGGACGCTTCTCGGATCACCAAGAATGTGGCGTTCGGTATTCCAACTAACGCTAGAGTCTTCTATGCTGGGAAGGATCGTCTCTTTTGTTTCCTCTGCTTCTTCAGAGGCTTCTCGGAGAGATTCGAGAAGTTGGTCGTCAGGGGTAGGCTCACGATTACGGGCACGTTGACCTGGTGTTCGGCGAACAGGTGAGACTGACTGGCGGGCGGATCCAGTGTTCGCTCCGGACCGAGTCGATCTTCTAGTTCCTGGGTTCGCACGGGCCTCTTCTTCAATACGCTCAAAATCGTTGGCATGTGTCTCTAAATACCGGCCTTCAATGTTGGCCGCCATCTCCGTCGCCCCAGTAGGTGGGCACATCCGCAACTGTCGGGGTAACGCGGGGCTTCCGGTAGCTCCATACGCGAAAGAGTGCTGAGCCTGCAAGGCTTGCAGCGAAGGGCTGCCAAACGATGTAGTTGGAATTGCAGCTGAGTCGCCTGAATCCACAGGACCGGGGGTTTTTCTGGTGCGGTGGCCTTGTCCGGTAGGTTCTTGGGAGATGGATCGTCCACTGCGTGTGCGGCGCGCGCCAGTCATTTTTCTGAGTTTGGAAAGATGCAATAAAGAAGGCGTAGATTTGAACGGCAGATATTAACTTGAAACGCGTCAGTGACTGCAGCAAGGATGTAATAGGGAATTAAAAAGTTCACATACATACAGACTAGCGTCTTTTCAAAGATCCCTAGGCGAAGTACCGAGTGTAGACCAACTGGTTCAGGAAGGCTGAGGTCAAAGGAAAAGGAGTTCTAGAAGCCGCAGCTCGAGAGTAGTGGTCGTTTGCTGTGTAAATCGAGAATCAGAAGGCTCTTTAGCCTAGAACGTGTTGTTATGGGCTAAATAGACGGTGATCCTGGAGAGGAAATAGAGCGTTCAGAACACTGGCAGGCCAAAACACAGTCAACGAGTTGCTCCTAGGGAACATGAGTGATTGTCTCTTACCTTTTTTTTCTTTAAAATAATACGGAGATGTTATCGGCCAGAGCTAAGCATTCCGTTTGAATGCTGAGGACGAGGTGTGTGAAAAGCGGTAGTCGGAGCTACAGAGATGAATATAAGCGTTTGAGGCAGGATATAGGGAAAATGCTAGCTACCTTGAGGGACAGCAGAGGTCGACTTCAAGAATCGATCAGAGATATTAGGAAAGAAACAATTATCAGGAGGAAAATGGAGAGAATGAGCTAATGTTGCTAGGCAACCCTGTCCAAGACAAGCGCCGATAGCGAAAAGGAGTCAAGACGGAGATCTGTCCGCAGAGAGCAAGCAAATCAACGTGCCGAGCAAGACTTTTTAAACCGGGATGATCTTGATACAGATGAGGTCTTGAATGTGTAAGGAAACGGATCGAACGATAGAAGAGTTGAGTGAAGGTAGAGGCTGCAAATCTCTAGATTGGGTGCGAAGAGAAAGAAAGCAAGGGGCCAGCTAATGAGAGGATTTTATAGTGCGGCAGAATGGTGCTATATATTAAACGACCGTAAAAAACACTCACCTGATTCAAAATAGAAGCTTATGGAATCGCAGTCCGCCGTCCAGAAATGCCAGAAAGGTGGGAAGTTCCGCGAAAGACAAAGGGATGTGTTCCTCCCTACCAGCGGCCGGCTCTTTTCTCCCCTCCCTCGATAGCTGTTTCGTGCGCGAATCTAATTCGGTCAAAAAAACTAGCAGGCTCGAAGGAAATCACCATCGATACGCTTAGGATTCGCGGGGCCCACTGCTCATGCTAGCGCAGAGCAAGAGGTCACGAATAGCTCGGAAGGAGAAGAGCATATATGGCTTGTAATCCAGAAGGAGCTGAACCAACAGGCACACTGTGGCACGCCCTTACTAATATCGTATATCTCGGGTATCTGATATTGGCTGAGGTATCTAGTAACGGGTATATATGCCCCTATGTTTGTGGGAATGCAGCCCAGCAGCGATGAGACCAGGGCGAAACAACCGGAGGCCAAAATTAGGGGTATCAATTACAAATCAGAATACAGCAAGGTCGTCTATGGTGAAGACGCCGGGGCGAGGTCCTTTTCCAGGAAAAAAAGAAAAGAAATACTGCGAAGCAATCCGACAATCGCACAGACACAAATCAGAGCCCCAAGGGGAAACGCGAGGAATTGTGGGACAGGACAAGCATCACAGGAACACAGCTGAGGAAGCAAGGTTCTTGTACCAGATTAAATACAATGGCCTACCACACATGATCATAAAAGAACTGCAACTTGTCTTGTCTACCCTTCAAAGCGATTATTCCTCTTCTTTGGGGCACTCACACTCAGTTCTCCCCCTGTGCCCGATCGCGTCGTTTGTTTGTCGTCGAGCGAAACAAAAAAGAATGAGGCTAGTCCCAACTTGGAATAGCGGCTTGGCAGCACGTCCACGCCGATCATCAGCAGGAGAAAGAGAAGAAAGACTCTTTTACACTGATTGACAGAGCAATGGCAGGAATGTGCACAGGGATCCTTTTTGGCTAGATTGTGGGTGCTAAGCTGAAGCACTCCTGGAGAAACCAACATCACAACAATATGCTTACATTTGAACACCACTCCGCCAGGTCGCCGCCTTTTTGTGCTAGATGTCCTCATGTCTATATATGATACAGTGCACCTTTGCCTTGTCCAAATCCATTTGCAAAATCGTACAGATAACTGTCAACATGTCCAGATACCAATGGTCCCATCCTTTCGTCCCTCCGTCAGATAGCCATCTTTGATTCGCACACGCTCTACAATTGCCGGCGTGATGCCTTCTTCCTCCGCGGTCACACCGGCGCCACAGTCCCAGTGACGTCCATCAGTCTTGTCGTAGACCTTAACCACATCCTCTCCCGCAGCCGCCACTATGCGTCGCGTGTCAAACATCATGCTTGTAATGGGGTGATCATACGCGTATGCGTCGTAGATAGATCCTGTGCGGAGGTCCCAGATCTATCCGAAGAGGCATCAGTCAAGGGTTTAAATGAAATGGGAGTCTTGAAAACTTACTCGTATACTACGGTCCAGACTACCAGTTATCAAGTGGACATCGTCAAATTGCAAGCACGTGATTGGTCCCGTATGCCCGACAAGGCTACGATGAACTTGACCGCTGCGTAAATCCCACAACCTAATCATTCCATCTGCCGTTCCGCATGCCAAAGCGGCATCGAAACATTGCAAGGCCCCAACAAAATCCGCAGATGCATCAGGAAGACGGCCCGTTGGTCGCCATTGAGAATCCCCGCCACCCATAGTGGAAGACGCTTGAGCGGCTGCCCATAAAACATCCAGGGTCTGAACACACCTTCCCTTCACCAGATCCCATTGTCGTAGGGTTTTGTCGGCAGAGCCAGATATCAGAGTATCGCCGCGGAAATGCAGGGCAGTCACCTCATCAACGTGGGCTTCGAGTGAAAATAAAGGACAGTCTTCCATGCTTGATGGAGGTGGTGGCGGCGGTTCGGCCGACGGGTCCTCATAACCAAGCGCATCGTCATCATCCTCTTCGTCGTCTCTGGTTATCCTATTATCCCTTGGAGCATAGCTGGCACGGCTCAGATCCCAAAGTCGAATCGACGCGTCCATGGAACCAGTCGCAACAATGTTGTTCTCGACTTGTAAGCAGCGGACCGACGCATGATGTCCTTCCAGAAATCCCATACAACGCCCGAGATTTAGATCCCAAACTCGCACGGTGTCATCCAAAGCAGAGCTGACCATGGTCCCAAAGGGAACATCAAAATCCATCGCGGTAATCATATCATTATGCGCTTGTAGCTCTCGAATCATGGAACCTGGCTCAAAATGCTCGTGTAATATGGGCATTGATCGTTTCCCTAGATTTGTGCATCCAGTGTCAGAGTCCAATATGACAATACGGAAGGGTAGAGCCACTAGAAACTCACTCAATGACTTGTGTTTCCAGGCTTTTGGAGATGGGATCTTTTCGTATATAGACTCAGACATGAACGATGCATCCATCGCTTGATTTTCGGAATCAAGCGTTACCTCATCATCGACTGCTTTCGGTGTCGAGATGAGGGTCGCAGATTCCTCCATGGCTTCTTCCATATCCTCAAGCCTGTTATCCAATTGAACCACTAAATTAAAAATTCGTCAGCCTCCGAGCACCCAAGGCGAGGAGAATGTAGCCTCACATTCATGTTCCAACTCTGCCTCGTCCATTTCCAGCCCAGCCAAGCGGTCCAGCACTATTTTGCGCATATTGTTCAAATTGACAATTTTGTTATCTATCTCATGAATTTCGGCGCTGCACATGTTTTTTCGTATTCCCATCATTTCAAGCCGCCGATTGAGCACGTCCCTCTCCCGTTTCAGAGAACCAACAGTTTGCGGTAGAGGGCGCGAGCTTTTACCGGAGTCTTCCAATAGCTTCTGGCCATGGGATCGCCGCCGTCTATGGCTTTTCCGATGTTCATTATCATCTTCGGGCACGGAAGCCTGGAACCCTTGAAACAAGGAATATGTACTGGTATCTTCGGGAATGTTTGCAAGCAATTCATCGGGAAGGGCGGACAGAGCGCGGTATTGAATTTCTGACGTCGAGAGCTTTGATCGTACAAGGTCGGTAGGAGTAGTCTGCGCAAACGAGAACACTTTTCGTTGTACCGTAGGCCGGCGTAGTTCTCGTTGAATATCGCTCATCGCGCTCTGGTAATGTGTGGTGAGGGTAGGGTCGGATTTCGGGGCCATAAGATGGCTCGCGGTGGTTGTGACCTTCCGGCCAAATGCTTCTATGTGACGAGTCTTATAAGAGCATCAGCAAAGGGTATGCAGGCCGAAAGTAGTTGGGCTTTGTTACCGTCAGTCCCGTTCCCAGCACAGAACCTTCATCCTCATCATGACTGACCGCTGACTGGCCAGAAGGCGAATCGCTGCGAGGTTGAGGATCAGCCATCAGGCAGGCCTTATGGCACCGAGACTACAATGTCTAGCAACCGTCAGTCGCCGGAGCGCAAAGATATTGGTATCGCTGCTGAGGCCTTTCACCAGCTGCCTCCTGTCTCTTTGCTCGGCTCTCAGTCGCGCTCGTGATCATGGAAGCTGTAATTTTGAATACCGTAATTAATCAATGATGCAGCCCAATATCGGTATATTTCTGAGTGGGACGCGTTTTGAAATTACATCCCTGTCGACTCTCGCAAAACCATTTTCTCACCGCATCCACCTCACTTCAGAACTGCAACCTTAAACCCTCCGTCCATCCGTCCATCCGTCAGCCCTTCGTTGGGGTCGGTTTCGAGTCGAAGTTGAGGTTCATGACATGCTTTGATGGTTAAGCACCGTGAGTGAACAAGGCATTGTCATCGTCGTCTCTTCTCTTTCCCCCCACCATTTGAGCCACGTCGAAATGGCATCATGACCATCTCACCACGCTCAAGGACCTTGTGATCCTTCGGCCCTCTTTACTTGTCCCATGGCCTTACTGTGCTCCGTTTATGCCTCTTCAGTAAATACATACGGACAAACCCAGAATCGGGCATCGGAAATGCGGCCTGGTAGCCTCCACATTTATGAGGAGAAATCTGATTTAAAAAAAGAAAAAAGAAAAAAGAGAGAGAGAGAGAGAGACATTCCTCACGACGGTGACGTCGGCTGGATCTGCTCCGTATGGAAATGAAAAGCGATCTTCTTTACTCCGTGCGTGGATGTCCAATCTAGGTTGGTCAATTATCGGTGCAAGCTCCGACCGGGGATACGGACAATGCATTGTGGTTGCCCGAGGGAAACGATTGCAACGCCGGAACTGCTAGGCAGGGGACCGTCTGCAAGCTCGGTACGGAGCACATTCTCTGAAAGGTCGATATGCCAGATTCTTTACGGATTCTCGTTAGGACTTCAAAACTCCGCTCACCAAGCACAGCTGATGCCCACCCTCCATGGCAGCACCAGCCGCCGACCGGAGTGGAATATTCAATCAGCATGCTCAATTCATATTTATATTACCTATCAGTGATTCCTCAAGATCCTATGTTTGCAGTCGATCCCTTGCTCGAGTTCAAAAACCGCCAGTCTGACGGTCGGTCGGCGGTGGGTTATTCAAGCCCAAACACTCGATTGGGGTTGCGCAGTAAGTGATCGATTCCAAGGTGTTCCCGGAGCACAAACAATCCACAGGCAGCTGGAAGCGCATGATTAAACCCATATATGGAGTGATGTCGTGAAGATCCTATCGGCAAGTAATCTCCATCCTTACCACAAGTCGCCCTTCACTCCATAGCCATGGCGAACAGGACTCCTTTTCCCTTCCTCGCGTGCCCAGCGGTTTTATTGAGTCGTATGACTGCATTGAAGGTCCAATTAATCAAACCCAGCTGGCGGTGCTTTTCAACCTGATTCGTCTTTCAGGGCATGGGATCCGTGTCTATTCAAGGCTGATCTCCAGCGCCACTGCCTCGAAGCTGCTGTCCGGTCCGAGCGCGGGAGATTTTCCAGAAGACACGATGAAACTTTAGATATGGTTTCCTTGGCTGTGAGTGGCCCTTTCCAAGTACTGCCAAGATGGCAACAGGGCACCGAGGGATTGTGAATCCTGGTCGTGCGCAGATCTTTCATTAATGATTGGCACCACCCATCAATTGTCGGAAAACGGTGAAGCAAGGATGGAACAGACGACTATGGCCTCTTCTGTTTATCAAAACCTTCTCTACGGAGTACCGCCTCAAGTTAGTTTTTAGTGGTTGTTTCAAGGCCCAAGCAGAAATTCAACCGAAGACATGTCAAACGTGAACAAAATTTAAAATTGCAACGCTGCTCATGCCGGCAACGAGCGGTCTCGTACTTACGCGCACTCTAGATCGGCTCCGACCGGTTTTTGAAGCACTCGGCACGTTTCCACCATTCCAACTGAAATATCGGGTCTTCCAATTCCCCTTTTGCTATCAGTTCCTGCTGATGCTCATTTACAGAATATATTCTTCTTGGTGCAAAAGATTTTGTGGGAAATTTTCACTGCACGAGTTCTTTCAACCGTGGGCGCACCTTGGACCTCCCGTCATCATCCCCGAAACTAGCCTTGAATATCTGGGGCCGAAATGGTGTATTTGCGGGGTTTGAGTTTTTGCCCACTTTGAGTGCCTTGTGTCTTTTGGTCACAAGGACTTGCTAAATCGTCGCTTATCAAGTGAGCATGGTTGAACCTGGCTTCCATTGTATCCACCCAAAGTGCTGGATGTCATGGGTCTTGAGTGCTCGAAGAGGACCTTTCGAGGCAAAAGACGTCCGCCAAGCGAAGCTATTTCTCCATTTTTAAGACTCTCCGCTCCTTTCCGAGTCCATGAGAGAATGTTCTTATCAAACGTCCCTTGCTTCGGACGTTGCCCAGGAATGGTATATATCTCCCAAGATCCCCATTCCTTGTGACATCCGGATTCTCAAAACAAGAGAAGATTAGCAGTCCGCTTATCGTCATGCGCCTCTTTCAAAGCACTTGCGTCCTTGTGGGGACTGTTCTTCCCCTTTTCACAGCCTTCCCGATCTCGTCGCCCCGCGAGATTGAAATAATCCCCGACAAGTACATCATCACTTTCAAGAAGGGCATCGACCAGGCTGCAATTGAAGCTCATACAGCATGGGTATCTTCTGTACAGGCACGGAACACCGCCCGCGGTTTTACAACCGCTGAGACCCCAGGGCTTGAAAGAATGTTTAGCATTCATAACTTCAATGCCTATTCCGGATCTTTTGATCGGGAAACTATTGAGGAGATCAGGTCTCATCCAAATGTGGGTAGTGCATTCCGCCTATAATGCAATGAAGACTAATCCGGGTTAGGTCGAATCTGTCGAGCCAGACAGCATGGCCTACGTCACTGAGCTGATTGAACAGAGAAACGCCACCTACGGACCCAGGCGCATTTCGCACCGCGAAATCCCAACGGGAGACAACAGCTATTGGTATGATAGCAAGGCTGGAGAAGGATCGTTTGTGTATATTATGGACACCGGCATCAACAAAGCCCACGTGGATTTCGAGGGGCGTGCCATTCCCGGTGTCAACCTTCACGACGTCGCGTTTGATGACACCCATGGTCACGGGTCGCACTGCGCCGGTATCGCCGGTTCAAAGACATACGGGGTCGCTAAGAAAGCGACCATTGTCGATGTCAAGGTCTTCACTCGCGGCGGGGTACGGATTTATGCCATCACCAACATTTATTCAACTGCTCCATGCGCTAACTCGACTGAACTAGGGCGCTTGGAGTTTGCTCATGGGCGGCCTTGATTGGTCGGTTAAAAACATCACTGGGGAAGACAGACAGGCAAAATCAGCGGTCAGCATTAGTATCAGTAAGTAAATTCTGACCAGAAGTTACGGCTACCAAATGCTGATTTTCCAGGCGGTCCTACTAATCAAGCGATGAACAACGCTGTCAAAGCCGCAGTCGAGGCCGGGGTTACAGTGGTAGTTGCATCTGGAAACGACGGAGTAAGTATCCCTAAATTTATCAAGCACTCTTTTTTTAACGCATAGATATTAACGCGAGTGTTTCAGAGAGATGCTGGTCGCAACAGTCCCGGAAGCGCCCCTGAATCCATCACTGTCGGGTCCATCAATTCTCGTAGAGGGATGGACACACGCTCCAGTTTCTCTAACTATGGATCTTCTGTCGCCATTCACGCCCCTGGTGAAGGCATCATCTCTACATATAAGGGATCTCGTGATGCCACCGCTAACATGTCCGGAACTTCGATGGCAGCTCCACACGTTGCCGGCCTCATTGCTTATCTGCAGAGTATCCATGACCTCCCAGACCCAGCTGCTGCTCGCAGAAAACTCCTTGAGCTGGCTACTAGTGATAAGATCCAAGATGTACGCGGAAGCGCGAACAAACTCGCCTACAACGGCAGTGGCAAATAACTGGCCCTTTAATTGTGGCCGGTGATGCTCCTCCTGGGTGACTTCCGTGTGGTGCGATGCCACATTCACCCTAGTATTGGAATATCGGGAGAGCTGCGTACTCACGTAAATGTCAATCTTTAGCATTTGCTTTCGCTGTAAATATGACCAGATTAGATTATATATGATATTCCGTGTGGGTTATGCAGATTGAGTGACGCAAATCTATTTTGTGTGAAAATTATTAACTTTTACAAAGCCATATCATCTTGGCTGCGCAAACAACCATTAGCTTCCGGTGCTGGTACATGTGTAATATTAAGCATTGCGGAAAGAAAGAGATAGGGATATGACTCGAAAGTGAGCAATTGCTGTTCTATGGTCTATAGAACCGGATAAGGAAAACAAGTGCCCAAGTCATCGAAACAATGGGTAGCTAATAAATACGTCCCAGGCATTTATTCTCCTTGAAGAACCTGGGCTATTACTGTGCTTGTTTCCCGGCATCAGGCTTTGTGAGTTGGTGGGGATACCAGCGGCTTTGATCCACCAGCCAGTGCAACAATGGACATGTATAAAGGCGCAAATATACGTTCTGGAAGCACAGAACCTCGCCCGACGTACTAACCCTAGCGTCCAGCATAGCAAAGTGGATACACAATGTCGAATGATATGTTCGGCAGCCGGTAATGCAGGCGATATTGCGTTATCCATGGTCACGATACCACTGAAGAGCACCATATATGTGTCGATCGAGAATCGATTTTTGTTCCGCATTGACTACACTTGCTCCCAAAGACGCCATACGCAGGGCTGTTTGAATGGGACCCACGATAATCCGATTTTGAAGTTAACAGAGAATGCAGAGAGAGCGATGATTAGCCCGGAGCAATCGAGGCTCAATCCGCCGAACGGCGACAGTAGCAGTGCATACCCCAGACGAAAGATGGAGGGAATTATTCCGACATAGACATAAGTGGATCGCAGTGTCCGGGAGTGAAAAGGACAGTGCTTCCACAACCGACGGCAGACCCCTTGGATCCGCTGAACTGGAAGAAACGTGAGAAGAATACGATCTTCGGTATCATTATGTTCAAGTACACAGATGATTACGTCCCTTTCTAGGAGACAAACCTGCATAAAGCTATTTTTTGGTTACATATTCTACGAATATATACGCTCCGGCATTCCAGCACATCGAAGAAAAGTTCGACATGAGCTTTAACGCCGTAATTCGCGGCATAAACTTCTGTGCGTTTGGCTGGATAGCAGGCCTTTTATCCTTACTTGGCTCGCCGACATGTACGGCAGAAGGATGATGCATATCATCGGCACATCGATAGGACTGCTGTCTATATCCGCAGATTTCTTGGAACAACACGATTCTTTCAAGGATTCGGGGTTAGCCCAGTCTTGACTGTTGCAATGGGTACAGGTGAGCTCTTAGATAAATTTTTCCACATCAAACTCCATATAAGCTAAGACTGCCATATCAAGCGGGCGATATGTTCTTTGACTATGAAAGGGGGCATAAGTTTGGGCTGTGGATGATGGCTAGAAACGGAGGTTTCCTCGTCACATCGTTGTGTGGGTAAATGTATGGGCTATTTCTACACGTAACATTAGGGCTAATCAATCGGATAGGTGGTAGCATTCTTGTTGACCTTGTTGGGCCCAATTGGGACAGCTGGGTGTCAGCCATTGCTGCTGATCTCCGTTTAATTGTTCCTTATGGCGGGAACGTTATATCCCCGGAACTTGACTCTTGACAAAATGCCATATGGACGCGATGCTCAGGGAAAATCGGGGAGAAGCATGAGCTGCGCAGACGAGATCAACTTGAAGAGAAGCAAGAAGTTCTCGTTTCTCAACCTTCGTCCTATCCTCGGCTTGAAACATCCAAAACCCTGGGCCACAATGGTCCGCTTTATACTCATGTTCAGGCTGTATGCCGTTTCGGTTAGTCTGACGGTGGTTTCCTCCTTGGTATACTCGTAGGCGATTGGTGTGGTCATTTGCTTTCCGCTTGCGTACAAGAGCGAGTCCGCAGTCTCGCAAAGTCTGCTTTCTCTTGATCTGCTAGTCGAAACTGTGATTTCGAATCTTCTTTGGTCAGGGAGGCTGAGCGATTGGCTTGGTTCGTGAGGTTGGCGAAGAAGAACAAGAATGCTCGAGTGGCGGAGATGAGGACCTGGACGATGTATCCAGCTCTACTCGTGGCCGCTGGTAAGCGCTTTCACTTCAGAAGTACAGAGTCTCTCATTTGATATGCTAACCCACTGATTCGACAGTGGGGTTATCGCTTTGGGGTGTCAGAATTGAAAGGGAAACGCATCGGACAGTTGAGCAGGTAGGGTTCCTCTGTAAGGACCATGAATATCTGATCAGTCTTGTGGGAAAGTAGCGAATAATGGGCAGTGGGCAGTGGGTGTCAGCTTTGCATCATAGCAGTGCTTAGTTACCGCATCGACGCTTATCCTATGCAAACTGTGAGTATTCTCATATTCTTTGCCGTGATGCTGAATGTTGAAAATTTCATCGTTCCAGTTTTTTGTTGTGTGGGCCCCCCCTTTCTCACATAGCCATGGAGCACAAGCTCAAAGGTGCCTCTTCAGTTTTTTTATCTCTTCACGGATCAGTATGTCTGGATGGACATGGGCTTTTGTTGTGCAGGGGATCATCATTATCGGCGGTGTTGTGCCTGTGTTTGTTCTCCTACACAGATATGGTGTCAAGCTGCGGAATGTATCTGCACATCCATATTAGGTGAATGCTGAGTATAATATTGCAAACTGAGTGGAACTAGGGATGAACTGCTTGAATATTGTACAGCCCGGTCACCAGCACGAGCATCGTGGGAAAAGAAGACAACCCGAGATTAACAGTGTTATTTGTCTGCATCGTTACGCGAAGAGAGGCTTGGCTCGAGGGCGATACCAACGGGATATATCCACGACACTGATTCCGTGGTAGTTTTGGACGAATAAAATGTCTCGACATTTTGCGCGCAAAGAAAACATCCCCCCACACTTGACAGACGGGCTCAGAGGTTCGGTTTTCTCAGCACAGTCCAGCCAGTCATGCGGAGGAAGCCAGACCATGATCGACATGGGTGATAAAAGCCAGGGATCAAGCTTCGGTTTCAGGTTCTTCTTTTCCAACGTGTCGCAAACCGAGCTAGAAGACGATCTTCGTTCCTGCGAGGTATAAAAAAATTGAGACGGAAAGTCGTGTCAAACCTTGAAAAGCTCAACCGCGTGAAGGAGTTGAATATCCCGTATGGTTGAATCTGCTGGGCTCGAAGGCATCGGAGTGCTGCAACGGTCATGCCCGCTGCTTGACATCACTCTTCCCGGGAGCTACGGCGGCCTGAAAATACCTTACCGGACGACAATACAAGTGAAGATGAAAATCCAAATTTTACTTTCGAAGGGCGGGGCCGGAATCGCCCAAGGCGAGGCTATTATTGGACAATTGCACGTGGCTTGGAGCGGTGCGGGTCCCTTGGTGTGGCTCATGTTTATTGCTTACAAGCGCGAAAAAGTAATCCGCTGACAAAATATACGCGGTTAGTTACATAACTAGTTTGTCACATTATTGCTGACACCACGTTCGGAAGTGCCTAAAGATATGGAGGAAACAAAAGCGCTGGTGACGGCTTTTTTCTTCAAATGCCATCCTTGACTGTGGTGGTTAAATTATCATCTCTTAGCAACCATGAATCAAAATTCATTTTACTTTCCTGCTCTCCTTTGTACTTCGTACCACGTATTGGTTAATGGGTTGCTCTCGGTTGCGAGATCCAATGGCCGAAAGCTTAAATCTTCTGATGGTACAAAACTTTTGGTTCTTGGACCCAAAGAAAAGACATGAAAAGAAACGGCCTGGATTGAAAGTACTTAGCCATGCCTGGGTGAGAAGAGATCTTCTTTTCAAGGATTGCTCGATTGTAGGTCTGGACTTTGAGTCCAAGACCGACGTCAAGACGATCAGGCCTGTCAAAAGGACACCAGCATGTGGAGAGGACATGGAACCGGGGTGTGGCGGGATGGAGAGGACGCTCTTTTTCCTCCGCACGTTGGGCATTCTCACGGCCCCATAGCTTGAGCGGAAGACGACCCATCAGCTGACAGAGAAGGAATATGAACTGCCCACATCGCTCCGAGTTTGACGTCGCTGCATGTCATGTTTCGCTTGGGAATCTTGAAAATTCTGTGTAAAGAAACTCAGCGTCTGGGAAAGGCCCGGATCTTTCGTCCGGTCCCATCCCATGGAGCCGCGGAGATAAAAATAATAATCACCATCAAAAATCTCTCTAACGCGTGTTCAACCATGGAAGAGCATGCCATGCAGAGCATGGTCCACTTGCCAAGATGGGTTTCTGGGAGGCTCGCAACTCAATTCTGACGGAGCTCATCCGGGATGAAACTGCGGAACGGTTCAGGGACAAAACAAATCAATTCTCTCTGCCTGGGCAATCTCATGGAAACGACGGAGAACGGATTTGGGCCTGTCCTTGACCACAAGGTGGGTGCTACGTACCCCAAAATGGAATAATAATAACATCAAAACAAAACGTGGCTGTCATTAAGGCGGCCCAAGGGAAAATGGAGTGTAACGATTCGGTAATTCGGGGGGTTTCGTCGAGCGTTGCCTCGACTGTTAATTTGTCTGCGACGCCTTTGGAACTTGAAACGTCGTATTGCGAAGTTTCTGCAAAACATACACTATAGCATCGCGTCTGAGCTTATCAGCAGATTAAAGGCGGCCCGTTAGACATTAATATGTCAATCTCTTAAGACGCATCACTCCTACTCAAACCACCAGCGAGCGATGGCCTGGCAAGGAGTGGTGCTGTGGATGTTACTCTTTTAGCCTGTAACTTATATGTAGGTCAGGCAAGCCAACGCCTTCAGGAGAGGTCGGGCTGGCCGCGCTAAACCAAATTCCTCGCTTTTGACGACGTATCCACCCATCCCTGCCAACCACATTTTCACCCCTTGAAGCACGTCTCATTCAAACTCCGTCCCCTTCTCTCCTCCTCACAACTAATCCCACCCAGCTATCTCCTGGGACATCGAGGAGGGCTCTCTCTCTTTTTGCTTTGCTGTGTTCGTCACAACACCATCTCCTTCACGCGCAGTTGGACTGCAGAGCACCCTCTCTCACACGCGCATATTCTCTTTCACCCTTAGCCGGACCTCTGTACGTGCACACCCAGCTCTCGCCCCAGAGTACACCCCAGTCAGGCCTTGAAAAGGGGGCACCATTGGTTGCAAGCCAGAACCTAACGCTTGTTCGCCCACAGATCGCGATTAATTGCCCCTGTAATGACTTAATGGCCTTGATGTTTTCGCTGATCCGATAATAATTATCCCGTCGAATGAACCCATATCAACTCTCACCATTTTCTGTTTTGGGGAAGCTGAACCACGCGGTGGAATTAAGCTAGAATTAATACTGCGTTGCCATGACTAATTCGCCTCCTGGATCACCGCCCCGCAGCGGTATCCAGCGTCCATTGAGCGCGATAATGAGGCCTCCCCGGAGCCACAGTCGTTTGAGCGTTGGAAGCAAGCAAGGGGGAGGGAGTCGGGCGTCGGACGAAGACGGAAAGACCGCAGTCAAAGTCGGTACGTAATATGTCTACTTCGCGCCGTTTGGCGCGACTTCTTGAAAGCCAATCGCTCATTTCTTGCCCCCCATTTCAAGCTGTTCGAGTACGACCACCGTTGAAGCCCACAGACCCTGGCTACGAATTGATACCCCCTCGGTTCCAACGGGCAACAGTCCATGTCACATCTGATACGAGCTTAGCCGTGGACTCCCCTCAGGGTCGCAAACTCTTTGTTTTCGACAGAGTATTCAACGAGACCATTGACCAAGACGGTATTTGGCAATATCTCCAAGACAGCGTCAACTCGTTCGTGCAGGGGTACAATGTATCAATATTGGCGTATGGACAGTCCGGTGCCGGAAAATCGTACACTATGGGTACATCCGGTCCCGCTGAACAGAATGATCCCCAAGCCATGGGTGAGTATAGCCCGGATTCCATCAAGGACAAGTTTCATAGGAAGTTTGGACTGACTCACTTTGGTTACCATCAGGTATCGTCCCCCGTGCGGCGCAGATGCTTTTTGAAAAATTAACGGATAGCAATGCGAATCACTCCCGGACAGGATCTACAGGATTGCGGACCCCCGCAAGATACTCAATAGCGTCATCTTTGCCGAATTTTGGAAAGGGGAACTTGGATAAAAACTGGCAACTAAAGGCCACTTATGTCGAGGTTGGCTGTCGCGAACACACTAATGGAACAATTCAAAACGACTAATAATCGCTGATAGATCTACAACGAGCACCTTAGAGACCTTTTGGTTCCAGAATCTACTCCAATGAGCGATCGAAACACTGTCACTATCAGAGAGGATACCAAGGGACGCATCATTCTCACCGGATTAAACCAAGTGAACATCAACTCCTTCGAAGACCTTCTCGGCGCCCTAAATTTTGGTTCTGCGATTCGACAGACAGATGCTACGGCAGTTAACGCCAAATCGTCTCGTTCGCACGCGGTTTTCAGCTTGAATCTTGTTCAGCGCAAGGACCCAACCTCTACCATGTCGGCAAAGGAAAAGCGATTCTCTGTCCCTGTTGAGGCCTTTTCCGGTGCTGATACTTCATTTGTGACGGTCGATAGTAAACTTCACTTCGTGGATCTGGCTGGCAGCGAACGTTTGAAGAATACTGGCGCGTCGGGAGAACGAGCGAAGGAAGGTATATCGATTAATGCTGGACTGGCAAGTTTGGGCAAGGTTATCTCGCAGCTCTCCTCCCGTCACGCTGGAGCGCACGTTTCCTATCGGGACTCCAAGCTCACACGCCTCCTTCAAGATTCTTTGGGTGGCAATGCGATTACTTACATGATTGCTTGCGTGACTCCTGCCGAATTTCATCTCAGTGAAACCTTGAATACTGTACAGTATGCACAGCGAGCCAGGGCTATCCAGAGTAAACCGAGGATTCAGCAAGTTACCGATGAGCGTGACAAGCAAGCTGTTATTGAACGACTCAAGGCTGAAGTTGCTTTTTTGCGCCAACAAATCCGGAACACCGAGGGCGGTGAGAGACGAAGTGGGCCTCTCCAAGACCGGTCAGAACGCCAAAGCGAACGTGAGATAGAACTACAGAATCACTTGTTGGATATCCAAGAGAGCTACACCGCCTTGAGTCAGCGCCACGCAAAGCTGATCTCAGAGCTCACAAAAGCCTCCGATTTCAACGGTGACGATGACGACTTACAGAATATAATCAGTGGCAGTGCCATGGAGAGGTTGAAACGCTCACATTCTTTTGCGGAATCTGTCGAGCAAGTCGTCCTGGAATACGAAAAGACAATCCAAAGCCTAGAGTCCTCCTTGTCCAACACTCGTTCATCGCTGTCGAATACTGAGAGCACGCTTCTTGAAAGGGAGACGAAATGTGCCTATGTTGAGACAGTCAACTCTCAGCTCCAAGCCCGCATTCAAAAGATGATGGACAGAGAGGCGAACACTGAGAGCTATCTTCATGATCTAGAATCCAAGCTTGATGGTCACGCCTCAGGTGAAGAAAAGAACGCCTCAATCATTGCTGAATTGCGCAAGGAGATCGCACGTGCCCGAGAAAATGAGGCGAGCTGCGAGGATTATATCTCAACTTTGGAGGAAAGACTTGCCGAAGCCGACCAGGATATGGAACTAATGCAACGAGAAATGGAGAGATTGGAACATGTCATCGACCGCCAACGGAGTCTTGGGAAGCTGGACACTCTACTTTACGAGTTGGATCACATCCAGCAAAATGGTTCCAGGGGGGAGAAGGAAAAAGATGTTATTGTAGGCCCTCCACCTGCTACCGTACAGAAACGAAAGACTTCACGCGCACGAAGTCTTCAGCTCGATGTCCTTATGGAAGCTGCAGAGACCGCTATTCCAGAATCGGATGACGATCTCGTGGATCAACCACTGTCAGATGAAAACTTGCCAAGCGTTGATGCTCCTAATGACGATTCTGGTTTGGAAGCACTTGAAAGAGCCTCAGCACCCCAGAATGCGGACAACCTGACGGCCCACGATGAATATCCTCCGCAAAGCCCCGCACAGTCACGCTTTGTTGCTGACAAGCTCGAGAGCGTGACCCACGAGTTGTTTGAACTTCGGATTCAGCATGAGAACACGGTCAATGAGTATGATCTCCTTCATGCGAAGTATGACGAAGCTCTACGCACCCTTGCAGAACTTCGCGATGCTGTTGACGAAGCCAGACATCCAGCTGAGCCCACTACCCTCTCTCCAATGGGTAAAACACACCCGGTTTCTTTTTTAGAAGACGTCGGAGCTCAGCAACTGAAAAATGGAAACCAATGTTCATTGTCGCGATCGCTTTCTTCGGAGCCCTCCTTGGAAGGGGAGTCGTCTATTTCACTTGGCGAGCCGGACACTCTGGCCATCCAGAGAGCGGAATCAAGCCAACGAGATGTTTGCGAGAAAGATGAAACTAGCTCTCGTGAACTTGAAAGCCTACGGAGGCTTTTAGTAGAACACCAAGAAGGGATGGGTGTTGTAACACAGAAATATGCTGAGCTCCAAGCCGAACATGAAGAAACCCTTGGCCTAGTCGAGCAGCTCAAAGCGGAGGTTCAGAGAACTAAAGTGGTTTCTCCAACCACTCCAACAACTCCGAAATCCCAGGTAATCCGCCGGATGACTAGCCAAAATCTTATCAATCCAGACCGTGCTCATAGATCATTTGCAACGCTGCGTAACATTGCCGCTGAGGAATTTGAGAGTCGACCGGATACTATGCAAAATTTCGAGCTTAACCTCAATACGGCAATGCATGAGCTTCACTCGCGAATGGAACGGATCCAAGCTCTTGAAGCTGAGAACAAGAACGTCAAGAAGGAAATGGAAATGAAAGCTACTATAATATCCGGCTTGACCCGAGAAAGATCTAGTTTGCAAGGCCAGTCGCCAGTTGATTCCTCTGTTGTTTCTCAAATGCGGGATCAGATTGTGCACTGCGAGACACAAATTAAAGAACTTCAAGAAGCCCATGATATTCGAGAGAAAGAACTCACTTCCGAACTGCAAACCCTTAATGAGATGCTGACTGTCCACAAAACTGCACTTGAACACAAGGAGGTGGAGGTTCAAGGCCATAAGGAGAGGATCGTACAACTCGAAGATGAAAACACACAGTGGCAAGAAAAGCACCAGTCCGTCATGTCCGACCTTGAGTCTGCACAGGAGAAATTACAATCTACGATTGAGGAACTCCAGAGGGCGACGACTGAGCGATCTCAGTGGCAAGACAAGCACCAAGCTGCCGCGGACGAGCTGGTAGCTTCTGAGAAACAACTTCAGACGACCCGTGCCGAACTTGACGCTGCCCTTGCCAGTGTGGACGCTATGAGGAGCGAACGAAACGAGGTAGATGGAGCCAACGCCCAGCAAATCGCCGACGCAGCTACAAGCTTGGAAAACGAGCGACTTAAGCATCAAGAACTCGTTGATAGCCTTAAGAAGGATATTGAAGAGCTCAAGGAATCTATCGCTGCCAATATGTCAACGATCTCTGATCTTGAGAAGGCCCACACCGACAGCAGGACTGAACTTGCCGACCGCATCGCTGAGAAAGAAACCACTAGCAAGGAGCTTGAGTCCTATCGCAGTCGAGTCAACGAACTGTCTCGACAGATTGAAAGCCACAAGAGCGCCTCCGAAGCACAACAAGCGGAACTAGCCTCGCTCCAGATGTCTCATGCGGAGGAATTAAAAGAGCTGGAAATCCGAACAAAAGCAGCGGCAGAAGCGGAGTACGAATCACGTATTGCACAGGAGAATGTTAAGCATCAACAGGCTCTCGATGATTTACAAGCTGAGATTACTTCCTCTAAAAACGAATTGACTCAGCTTCTCAACACAATCAACTCCGTCCTAAGCACCCCTGTGACTGTTGATACCATTCACACCCAGCTGCAAGATATCATTTCCCAGAAACAACATTTTGCCGACAAATACTCGGAGCTTATCGAAGCCAATGAGGCGCTTCTTCGTCAAGTTGACGAAAAGCAAAGCGGTCATGCCGATCTTGAACAGCAGATTTCCGCTCTAAATGACAAGAGCGAGAAGCAGGAGGCCAAGGTCAATGAGCTTGCCCACCTGGTGGCTACCCATGAGGACTCACTCAGTGCTAAGGACGAGCTTATCAAGAAGAAAGAAGCTCTCATTACTGAACTTAAGACTGAGAAGGACAAAAGCTTGCGACTGGTGGAGGAGCTCGAAGAACAAATCACGAACACCTTCGACCAACATCATAATCGTTTGTCGGTCATCCAGGCTGAACGCAATCAAGCTCTGGAGGAAGCAAACGCGAAGGTTGCACTATACGAGAAAGAAGTCGAATCCTACCGTGCGCGTATTGAACAACTCGAGGTAATGCAAACAATACCTAGGATCGGGGCAACAGTTTCACTAACTCTTGAGCAGGCGCACACTAGGAATGGCTCCCCCGAAGGTCACAATGCCGACCGTACGAGTTCCATATCATCGAACCTCAGAAAGAGCGCCTCTGCTGCATCTCTCCCTTCCCCGCCTCCCGCAATTCCTCTCCCACCACTTCCAAATATCGCCGCTGCCGCCAATACCGGCAGCATTTCCCCACCTAGCTCGAGGCATACAAGCAAGGAGCTTGTGAATGCTCAACTCGTCGAGGATCAGGAAGCTCGCATTCGCACAATTGAGAAGCACCTGCATGCGGAGAAGCAGCTTACCGCAACATTAGAAGAAGCTCTCGGCGACCTCGAGGCTCAAAGTAACAAGGTAAAAACGGACATGGAAGGCTGGAAGAAGAAGGCCTGGCAGCTGGAAGAAGAACTGAATACTCTGCGATCTGAACGTAATTCCGCCAGACTTTCTCTCCAAGCTGTGGAAGAAGAGCGAAATGCCCGACGAGAAGCAGAAGCGGCCCGCGCGCATCTGGAAGAGAAGATGAATGCCATCAGCAAGAAAAAGAAAAAGAGCACGTTGAACTGCTTCTAAGAAGCAGAGAACTCGAACCCAAATTTTCTACCCTGCTTCGCTTGCCCCTTTCCTGATATCTACCCACATCCCTCGCAACATTTCCACTGTCTCATAATGTCTGTCGCTTATCCACCCCCTTCTCAGCAGTCGTTTTTTCTAATGCACATGTACATCCCATCGCTTTGCTTTTTACCTTCTTATGATGTCATTTATGAACCCCGCTCCATACATCGGATGCTCATACATGCTTGTCTTTGATGTGGTGTTTCTTCTGAGTCCTGGATATCTTGTGTATTATTTCTTCCTTGGTCGCCTCATCTGCGGCGCGCTTTGTTATTTATCATTTTGCTTCATACCCCCTTTTTCTGTTTATTTTCATTTTTGATTTTGACCACGTTATGAAGATACCATCTGAGATTGACAAGTATTGTCACCATGTAATTCCACATAATGGTAAATCTTAACCAACGAAAAGGGGGAGGGGGTCTGCATTTATTTTGGCTTCATTTCTGTAAAGTCCTGATTGATTTATCCATCTCTTTTCCTCCCCGTCCTCGCTTCTTTTCACCTCAGTTACCCTTGGATTACATGTGTACTAGCTCAACTTCGACCCTTGAAACTTTGCTCTATGCCAAATTGCAATTGTCAATCTTGCTACATTGCCTCTTTACCTTGGTACTGTAAAACCGCTGTGACCCTTGCGTATCGATGAAATGAGAGTGGTAACTGTCTTGTCAACAGTAGTTTGACTCTAGCAACACATAGTAGGGTACTCAGGGGAGATACAAATTTTATAGGCAGAGAGATTGAAGACTCGAACTGATAATTAACACGGCGGTTTGATTTAGGACGAGTGGACAAATTTGCTTTTAACTACTCCGTACGTCACATGACTTCCGCCCCTGACCTACTTACCTACCTCACGGGACTCCGGGCAGGTTCCATTGCTCCTCACAAGAGGACAACGTCGGATGCCAAATGTCCGCTGAATCGTAGACGAAAATGCCGTCCGAACGCGCCTCATCCTCAAGATCCGCGAAGTCCCATCGCAAGAAAAATATCATCTTCATTCATCCAGATCTTGGAATTGGCGGTGCCGAACGGCTCATTCTCGATGCCGCCCTAGCGCTCCAGTCGCGTGGCCACCGCGTAACGATATACACCTCTCACCGGGACCCAATGCATTGCTTTGAAGAGGCCCGAGATGGAACGCTGGATGTTAGGGTTGGAGGGAACACGGTGTTTCCAGCACATGTTGGAGGCAGACTGCATGTACTGATGGCGGTGTTGAGGCAGCTACATTTGGTGATGGGATTAGTACTAGAAAGGAGGAGGAAGAGGGAAGTGGGTGGTGCGGGTAGAACAAATGGCGACCAGATGATTGCTGAAGAAGACGACGCGGAGGATGATGTGTTTGTCGTCGACCAGGTTCCCGCTTGCGTTCCGCTGTTAAGACTTTTCGGGTCGGAAGTGTTACGTGGCTCGAGACGGCGAGGACGAGATCGGATATTGTTTTATTGTCACTTCCCAGATCAGCTGCTCGCGAGGAGAGATGAAGGGGGTCGGGTGATTAGGCTTGTTAAAGGCTTATATCGATGGCCGTTCGACTGGTTCGAGGGTTGGGCGATGAGTGCGGCGGACAAAGTGGTCGCGAATTCGAGGTTTACATCTCAGGTGGTTAGAGAAGTCTTCGGCGAGAGACTGAGGGCTGTGAAGGTGTTGTATCCTTGCGTTGACACGTCACAAAAGGCGCTCAAGATCGGCGGTGGGCAGACATCGTCCGCGGAAGAGCCACTTTGGGGAGGATTGAAGGTTATACTCAGCATCAATCGGTTTGAGAGAAAGAAGAATATTGAATTGGCTATAAGAGCGTATCACGGCCTTGGAAAACAGCACAGGAGAGGAACAAGATTGGTTATTGCTGGCAAGTGTTCATATGGGACCTCTCTGCCCAGGAAGATAATCTAACTCTATATTTTGATCTAGGTGGATACGACAACCGGGTTCAAGAAAATGTCCAATACCACAGGGAACTCGACTCCCTAGCGACCAATCTCGGCCTGGAGACTGCTACGTCGAAAACGGTTGTATCAGCGCTCTCCATTCCGGCATCCATAAATGTCCTTTTCCTTCTCTCCGTTCCGTCAGCGTTCAAGCAAACTCTACTTTCGTCCTCGACGCTGCTACTCTATACACCTTCACATGAACATTTTGGAATCGTTCCAGTCGAAGCTATGCATGCTGGACTCCCGCTACTGGCTGTGAACACGGGTGGGCCACTGGAAACCATTCTGGACGGTAAAACTGGATGGTTGCGGGATGCAAGTTCTGTCGAAGAGTGGTCCAGAGTAATTAAACAGGTCCTGTGGGACATGAATTCGGAACAACTTGAAGAAATGGGAAAAATGGGCCAGGAACGAGTGGAGAAGAACTTTTCTCTCTGTGCAATGGGAGATCGTTTGGAAGAAGAGATTGATGGAATGGTCAGCTCAGCGAGACCCCCGTTTCTGAGAGTACACCAGGTTATACTCTGGGTTGCCATAGCCGGTCTGGCTGTTTCCTTTCTCATTAGGATAGGGCTTGGTTTCTGTGTCGAAAGGTGATGGGCGGTCGGTATCTTACAATAAATCTAGTCACCCCATATTCTCTCACTTGAGTTCAGTGTCCTCACCGACTGGGCACCTCGAGCTCCTGTGGAGCTGGAGACGTGGGCTGTTTGAAGGTGGTGCAGTCGCGGTAATAGCACTGTGTCTAGGGGTACTGCCTGTGACGAACTCCCCAGTGATCTGCTGATTTGAGCGGTTGTGGCAACTTGTTTCCACAAAATTACCGAGCCTGTTCAGAGATCATTGGATCGACTTTGGCTTAACTTGGACTGCTGGGCGAATGCTGGTTCCGAGAATTATGGCCGAGATATGAGTATTCTCTGCTTGCGTTGCATTGCCGACATCTTTCCAACTAAGCTGGCAGAAATGTGCCACCAAGTTCGAGGGCCCAATGAAATCAGGGGCTGGGTTTCCTACATCTGTTCCCACCAAGCTCTGGAATGAGAGCCTTGGAAATGAGTGGAAGCTGTCTTTTCGTATGATCTTCAAGCTTGATAGACTATCGCGATCTGACGAGGTTACTCTAGTTTCCCCGGTTGCTAAACCCCTGGGGTGATTATCCGCTTCATTTGACGGTTATATGCGATAGCTAGCCCGTTGGCCTTCAAAAACGTGCGTCCCACGTCGAGAAATGGGGCTCTTTCTTTTGCGATTAACCGCCGTTCGTTAGTTCACCGCGTTGGGAGCTCACCTGATAAATTATGTTGCTTCGTGAGCTAAACCACCCGTTACGCCATCGACCGTTCGGCGTGTGGAACCCAGCGAAGCACTGATCCACACGGTACTTGCTGGGGGCGAGAGCCCTGCATGGCGAGGGAGCCCGTGCTTCTGGAGATGGCATAAGCTGACAAAATACCCAATTTACGAACAATCCGCACTAGTTATCCATTCCGTGTCGCATCATAGGTTGTGTAGTTACTTTCTCAACAGCAATCGGGACCATTTTCGTCTGCTATGGCTCCATTCTACATTTACAAACACCTACGTAGAATGGAATAACTAGTCAATTTATACTACGATTTACTCCGTACTCTAGCTCTCAAGGCACTTAGGCAAGGTGAGTTGCGCGTCTTGCGCTCTGGAAATGGGTCCCTCTTGAGGCCATAAGGGCATTCGACATCCGATTTGAAGGGGAATTTGTGTTATCCACGATGTGATGCGTCCCTGTTGTCGAATTAGTTAACGGGCTGTGCGGGCCGCCACGAGAGGAACCACCGTCCTCAACGAGCTTCACATGGGAGGAGAATGCGCAGGATGTTGGTTCGGATCATCGCTTGTCCAGCCGGATTGACAAGCTCGGCGTACGCATAGACTGTACGGAGTAACATCAATCAGCGAAGCCACGAGAGGGAGTCGTCGTTTCGCCCCTCCCGCTGCTCCTCGTCAATAACTTGAAAACCAAGCCCGTCAACTGGGCGCCTTGGTGCCTCAACCTTTAGCACTTCATACGCCCTTCTCATCTCTCTGTTAGACGGTGCAATCTTCCGACCAATGGATGCAGCGCCGTTGCTGATGCTATCCTATTGGCCTTCCAAGGCGACTTGAACGATGCACCGCATGCCAATGGAACCCCAACACATGGCGGACAGCGGGGATTGCCTCACCTTTTCCCAGCCCAACATGTGGTCATACTTGGCTACGGCCGTGACAACGCACTTCGGAGCCCAAAGACAGCTAGTGGGTGTGTGATGACTATGCCCGACGTCCTCTGTGTGGTTTTGACTCAGCGCAGTATGGCCAGCTGGCTCCGGTGGAGAGCGAGGCTTCTCTCCGTTGCCAGAGCGGTACTCAGGGCATCTGGGCCGAGTTGAAACTGTCTCTGAAATTGCGAGAGTATATCCCTCGGCCAAAAACTTGCCTGTGCACAATCACTCCGACTATCTTCTCTTTCTTTTACCATCATCGGATACATACGTCCCTTTACATAGACGTTCTTGAACTCAGTACTCGCTAATATACGTCGACACACCTGCTTCTTCGCATGAATTCTGCTCTTTGACGATTGCTGCGAGAATCTCTCGCTCGCAGTACTTCGATTATCCAGCAGAAATGGAGGTTGAGGAGTGCGTTGAGCAGTTCAACGAGGGGAAAGAGTGCCCTCGATCCGCGCAACGGCCTGTCTCCGAAACGCAAAACACAGTACTCTACACTGTGCTGACCACAGAAGAAGTCGACTCCTCCATACGAGAGTTTTCGTATATCTGGTCTCCGGGAGGCTTCGATATCGGAGAACCTGATACCAATCGGCTCGGTGGCGGAGATGGGTCGTGCCATATCGCAATTTTTAAAATCGACACAGAGAACCCAGATACCCAGCAAAAGAAGCCCGAAGAATATGTAAGGTCTAACCTTTTTATTGTATTAGCTGAACCAGTCTAAATTTTTATTCGAAGGAACACTCTGTGGCAGTGGATATACAAAACGACCATCACCTGCCAACCCTCCCTGCGACCTGTTACTCTGGGAATCAGGAAGAGTCATCTTTGGATTGCTCGAAAAGTCATCGACGAGATAGCTCCAGTGTTGTAAGTTACAATCCCTACTCTGCCAATTTCACAGCTCACCAACTATTCTAGTACACCCCTATCCGCCGGTGTCCGACGGCTACTGAACCGAGTGCTGATAATCGCTCGATATCATGTGGAAGTCACAAATTCGATGGATTCACCAAAGGGCCCCCTACACAGGATGATAGAAGCGCAAAGTGAGCCCCTTTTACTCAACAAGCGGGTGCGATTGTGCAAATCTGACCTATCTTACAGCTACTCGGACTGCCTTCAAGGTGGACAGACCTATTGCAACAATCGATACAGGTTTGCTAAAGCAGACTCCGTGTCGCTGCCTGCTCATGACAGAAGGCCACACTGTCAAGAAGATATCTCCTACTGGCAGGATGCATCGAGAGGCATACAATCGTCGGATCTTCCGCGATTTCAAGTGGACCTACCATTACCCCGATCACGCTCTGTAGGGCGTCGGCTTATCTCTAGAATGAAGTTCTGGAACGCTTCTAAAGAGGATAGCGCGAGCTCGAAACCACGAAGCTATATGTCAAATTCCAAACGAAGCATCACTGCGTCCATTGCCAGTTCTTGGTCTAGAAAAGCGAAGGGATATTTGAAAAAAGCCTCGTCAAGGGACACATATCTGGCATCGAGAAGGGCGAAGAGCTCGCAACCCTCGATTCGAACGGTGTCTCCTAAGTCGATATTCTCACGAGTCCAAAAATCATCTGCTTCGAACTACTCGGATTTCATGACCGAGTTGAACTCTAGAACAAGAGTCGCGGTATCCACGCCCCCTCCAGAAACATCCCTATCCACTTGCTCTAAAGAACTTCCAACTTTGGATTTGGAGATCCAGATGCCACTAGGCGAACCCCGTCCGTTCCAATGCACTTTTTGCTTGATGCAATGGGAGAATAAGGAAGAATGGGCGTACCATGAGGCTGCTTTCCACATGAGGCCTTATGGAAACCTCTATTCCCAGGACGAAGGCGTCGTTACGCACGATGATGTGATGTTTTCAATGTCTGACGTCGTCTCCACGTTTAGCGGGTATGACAATCAAGAACCTTCCCACGACGCCGAAGCAGCTGCAGAGAAATGTATTAGCTTTGGGTATCATCTTTATTCAGACAACCCCCAGGCACTTGAAGGAGCCAAAAGGGTAGATTCTTGGAACTGGCTCGAGAAAAGAAGCAACTGGTTGTGGAATTGCGGGTTCTGTGAGCTTATTCTACGAACTTGGGCCGAGCGACAAGAACATGTTGCTGAGCACTTTGAGCAAGGCACGACAATGATCTCCTGGAATCCACTTCGGTCTCCGTATCCGATTTCAAAGTTCACCATGACACCCGTTGAAGGCTTTCCACCTTGGGACCTCTCCCCACTACACTGTCTCCAACAGCCTGGTTTCCAAGATGAAATCTATCGGTATGGCTATTGATGATCTTTCTCCTTACAATTGACTGCCGTAGCTAACCTGAATCGCAGTGCCAGCCAATGTCCGCCCGAACTCAAATGTCAAACCTGCGAAAAACATTTCCCCGACACGAACGCCTCCATCCAACACACCAAGCTCTGGCACAACACCCCAGAAAGCTGGATCTGCCCCGGTCCTGAGCACGCCAGCAACCCAGGGGTATTCTTCGACACCGAAATATATACTGAAGACGCACCAGACCTCGCGTCTCTCAATCTCGATGAGAATCCTAGCATCCAAGCCGACCAGACCTCCGTCAACGCAAAAAAGGTCTATACATACGACTACTGCCTGTGCTGCGGAGAGATATTTTCTGAATCCCCAGCAGACTGGAGCGCACGCAAGCAACATCTCCGAGACGTGCACTGCATATGCGAGACGGACGATATTGGCTACGATCACAAGCACAATAACGGTGAACCATTCTATCGCGAAGAGCTATTCTCGTTGCACTTGGCGAACTGCCACAACGTGAGGTTGGAGTATTTGACGGAGTTTACGGAAATCTGTCGCAAAAAAGCCCAACCACCGGTGTTGATGGTTCAGTCGGGACATTTGAAGGCGTGAAGGCATCATCTCTTGTATAATAGTTCCCCTTTTTTCTTTTTTTCCTTTCCCCCCCCAAATTCTCTTTCTACGAATTTCATGTGATGGTTGGCAGCAATGTTTGCATTTAGGTATCTTTGTATTTAAAAGCAGCGATATGCATACTGGGATAAATCCAGCAAGAACGGCGTACATTGACATTTCTCTACGGAGTGATTAGCGACGAACATAAAATAGAAAAATGAGAATAAGAAAGTAGTTAAATTACAGGCTCTCTTTTCCAGCCCAGTTCTAGTGGTTCTACCTTTTCCGGACTCCTGGCAGTAATATCCCCGTCTCCATAGTCCCTGAAATCTCATTACTCATTTTTTACTGGCACTAACTCTGGTTGGTTATTTATATTCCGGTTGACCAAAAAAAACATGTGACAAAGACAGCGTTGCACGTCTGAGTGCGCATGGACCCAGCATCCTGTATGGGGGATATGTGGCAAATGCGTAGACCTAGCCTCTTGGGCAACATAAAATGGCTCACTGGTCCTCCCGCGCCAGATTCCATCCACCACCAAATGCTATTTAGCACACACATTCCAAGATGTCCTCCCCTTTGCTGCAGGCCCTCATTTTCAATGCTAGGAGGGTTAGGCAAGATGTCTACCACCTTCAAGACTCAGAAATTGACTTACCAAAGTTTCTAGACTCTATATCCAAGCTCCAAACACAGCTCATTATCCAAACTGTTTTGTTTTTAACCAAGAGCTTATTGCAAGAACTCCCAGATAATAAAGCTCTTCTAAAACAGTAAGCTACAAGAATCAAACATTTCATCAAGTTCCTGTTCAAGGCAAATTCTCATGAGTTGACAAGGAAAGTGTGACTGCAAAACTTAGACTGTTCATTGTTGAAGCTTTGTGGACTTTCATATACTGTTAAAGAGATGGTTGACTTGCCCTCCCATATGTTTGATTTTCTTGTTGAAAATGTTGGAGACTTTGTGCAGTGCCAAAACTTGTCACTGCTTCTATGTAGAGATGACATCAACAAGGTTGTTCTCAGTGACTTTGTCCTGGAAGCCAAGGATCTATTTATGAAATTCCTCTCCTGTTTGTCGCCGCTATCTGCTGTGAAGTCCTTGGAGCTAATAAATGAGAGAAGCACATATCAAACTGCGCCTTGCCTGACATCAACAAGATTTGGGTATGCACAATCCTTCAAATATTAGAGCAGTCTTGACATGAGCTGCAACCTCCCACTGTGAAGATCATGAGTCAGGACAGCCACTAAAGCGCATGTGTTCGGAAAAAAGATGTCTCAGGGATGAAAGTAACCACACCAGAAGAAGTAATAAGCATGCTTCCAGCTATATACAGTGAAATTGCTGACAGATGGTTAGATATTCAATACATGTATTTGAAGGCTTCAATCAGTCAAATTACACTTCTGGGTGACGCTTTTGGATGCAGTTTGTACTAGTCACCAATGGTAATTAGAAAGAGATTTAGGTGAGTCCACAACAGACTGTCTCACTATTCTGATTCCTAAAGATCCAGCACAAGACATTTTGATCATCTTGTGGGTTGGTCAGGAGGCAGGGCTTCAGATAAATAACACATTTAGCCTTGTGCCAAAGTGGAAATCTTTATCCAGCCATGAAGGATCTTGACTCTACACCTCTTTGAGACATGACCCGTGCCATACTCCACCTCTTTTGTCCATTCCCAAACTGATTCTGCGTCGTCTGGTGCCTTGGGGTCGAAGACCAGAATCAGGGATCGTCTGCCTGTTAGCCAGAAGTCAAGAAAGGAAAAAATCTAGAGATGCTGTTTTGCTCACCCAGCTCACCCGCCCAGGGGGTTTTCCATCACCCTCCTTCACCTTGGATGCCATGAGCCAACGCTTCAGGCCACGGTTTTTCAACCTGTCTGTGGGCAACGACCATCCCTTCTATAAGTGACAGCGTTCATGCTAACATGTCAAAGCTAATCTCCTTACATTACCAGCATGGCGGAGCTTTCGCCAGATGAAAAATCCATCATCAAGGACTACCTTTTAGCCGGCTCACTTGATAATGTATGCGGCTTGCTGCAAGAGGCAGAGGCAATCTACGAGACACGTCAAATCTCATCTGACAATGCCATTGATAGTCTTGACCAACTCTATCAAAGTGCGCTTTCAAAACTCCTTCATGCTCTTCAGGGAGGGGATGCAGCCTTCAACCTTCGCTCACGAATTGCCGATTAAAACGTGGCTTCTGACCTGGCAGATTTGTTCAAGCACCTTCAACGACCCCGCTTCAACCATGATTACCACTGCTATCGACCGCTGGTCCGGCTCGTCATCCAAAAGGCCGCTGACACCGACATCTGGAAAGCCGTCTACGACCTCATCGCCACTGTTTTTCGAGAAACCCCCCTGGCCAGCGTTCTCCCCTTGTTCGATGCTACTCCGGTGAGATTCATATCAGTGTCACAGAAAGGAACTGAGCAGATGTGTCAGCTGGTGGAAGGGAGGATATTTGAAGAGATATGTGGGTGCACCTTTTGAGATGTGGAGGACTTCTTCACCAAATACTTTGAAGGAAAGGATTGGAGTGTGAGGGCAGATGCCATCTGTCAATGTGTTCTAGAATCTGGCAGCAACAGTGAATGGGCCAGATTCTCTGATCCCCCTGTGCAGAATGCTGTCCTTGACTGGTGGCTTTGGTTCCAGGATAACTTCCTCTTGAATGCGCGCGGTGTCTACTTCTTGGTGGTGAGTAAGAAGGATCTCATTGGCTTGGAGGCAGAGTGACAGGTTGATCTTTTGCTAAATGCCTGAGTTCAGGGTGATTTGGGGGAGATACATGACTGGAAGAATATCTGTGTGATAGGTGAACTGAAGAAGTCATCAGATGAGATCCAGACAAAGAGCATGCTGCTTCAGCTTGCATGCTATGTGCAGGAAGTGTTTATCACTAAGCCAGCTCACCAGTTCATGCATGTGTTTGTGGTCTGTGGGACCAACATGAAGGTCTGGATGTTTGATTGCTCTGGGCCCTATCAGCTCTGGAGTGTTTGATGTTTATAAGAACACAGCATGGCTTTTTCAGATAGTTCTAGGTTATGCAATGATGAGCAATGAGGAGCTGGTCTTGACATCTTCACCACTCCAGATGGGAATGGCAGCTGAACAATAGCTGTTGATGGCACTGGAACTGCAGAGAGAACATTGCTGCAACTCAACTCTGTTCCACTGTGCTCCCAGTATGTTATTGTATGTTGTGGGACAAGCTGTTTTCTTGCAAAGGATGGCAATAAAGTGGAGGGTGTGGTGAAATTCTTATGGACATCTGACAAGTGATGGCCAGAGGTGGACCTCCAGCTCACAAACCAGAGAGATGTTCAGGGGATTGTGAGGGTCATTGGGCATCACACCATCACCAGCATTGCAGATCTATGCCACAGCCTGCTGTTCAGCAACCCTCAACCCTTTCAAACCAGGAACACCAGTGTGGCCTTATTGTTTGCGCAATCACAATCACAATCACAATGTAAGCTATCCCAATCACTCACCAAACTTCACAGACTCAGTGACAGCGGGAAGCCATCCAGAAAACACAGATCACCCAACACCAGACCACATGCAGCCAAGTGATCATGTTCCAGCAGCCAGCAGCTGAAGACAAAACAGCTCAAGAGTGAGCTAACTTTCACTGTTGAGTTGATCCATACACCTAGTCTCTTTGACAAGAATGACAAAGTGTATGACAACCACATCCTCTGCTGTCTGGTGATCTCACCTGCTGGACGGCCTGTGTATGATTATGAATCACCCTTGGAGCTGCTCATGGCACTTTGAGATGCAATAAAGGTGCATCAGTCTTTGTACCTTGACAGGAACATTCTATATAGGGATATCTTGGAGAACAACATCATCATCACCAACCCTACCAAAGTTGGCGGCATGTCGGGCGTGCTTATTGATCTTGATCTTGCCAAAGAGGTTGGTAGTGGATGGAGTGGTGCATGACACCAGACAGGCATGATGGAGTTCATGGCAATTGAGGTGCTTCTTAATGTTGATCATACCTATTGTCATGATCTTGAATCTTTCTTCTATGTGCTGATCTGGCAGTGCGCCCGTCATGGCTGGATGAAGTTAAAAAAATTACAGCTGGAATCACATGAAGGGCAAACACCGCCCAATGATAGTATGCTAAAAGAGTGGTATACTGGAATCTATAAGAAAATCGCGAGGATCAAGAGAAGTGATATGGGTGTTGACGGGTTTGCTATATTTTGTCTGAATTTCCTCTGTGGTTTGAATGCGTCAAACCACTCTGCAATGCTGTTCGGGCTATACGATTTTCTTATGGGAAGAAATGGCTTATTGTTGGCACCCCGCAGGATCCAAAGAGGCTATACGATCCTATTATCAAGGCGTATGAGGACGCGATAGCTCTACTCGAACCTGGAAAAATTTAACGTTGGAGTGTTACTTCCGACGTCGGCTCGGACAACTATAAGCCCATATACAGAGGGGCTTTCTAGTCTCAAATGTAGACCAACATCTTGCTTGCAAGCGAGAATCGCGCCCTTAGGCAACTTGAAGTAATATCTTAGAAAGCTGTTGGTGACCCTGGGAATCAAAACAGCCTGCCGCGCCAGATTTGCACCGGGTTGTCCTTGCAGTGATTCAAGTTGTACAGAGAAGGGCTCCAGATGCTAAAGGCTAGTATTCATCCATATACAATTAATATGACTAGAGATAGATGCCTACCCACTGCGAATCGGTCTGCAAACGGCGCCGTAGTATACTCCAGTTCAAAGACGACTTGGTTTTCGATTCTGCCCCTCAAATTGTCCTTGTCCTTGCTTTATCACTTTGTCCACCTCCACATCTAGAATCACCCCAGCAGGCTGCCAGGTATGCTCCCATGCAACAAGAACCCACTGCTTTCCGTTTTCCAACTTTATGGTCCAGGAGTTTTTTGTATTGCCAAACCAGGGCGGCCTGGTTCCCGTGCTGGGGGTCTGCTGAAGGAGATCGACAACTGTCGCGAGGGGGGTGCCATTTGTTCCCGGTTATGCCGCTCAAGCCCTTGCGCTTGGGAAGCCGCTTTGTTTGTAGAAGGCCTGTTTTCTCATTGTCGGATACGTGTTCCCTCTTGATTTTGAAATCAGGCAGCGACGTAACTTCCGCACGCGGCGACGGTCAAAGAAGAAGAATTTATTTGTTTATTTTTATTTTATTTTATTTTTTTTTTTCGAAAAATGGAGAGCCGTTTTCGAAATTTGCAGCCAGTCATTTAAGTAGTTTTATGAGTAACCACCAACCATTGTGAACGGTTTCGTGGTCTAGGGGTTATGACACCGGATTTTGACTTCCAACACCAAACTTCCGGTTGCCTGGGTTCGAATCCCAGCGAGACCTTACTTTTCTTTTTTGGCCTTTATTTTTTTTCTTTCCTCCATTTCCATTTTTCCTAACCTTGAAATTTTAAATGAAGAGCAAACTTTCACTACCACTTGACAAACTTGAAGCTTGGAGATAAATGATCTGGGAATGTCATGCGTTGAACGCCTTCTTACATGGATCAAAACTTATAGATACGATAGCGACACGAGGCGGGAGAGCTTATCATTCTTGAACGTTCCTCACGGACAATGCGATGTTCGCGTCGCACACCAATAGAACTTTAAAACACCAGTCGGGCTCCCGATCCATCGTATTAGACGTCAATCTTTCCAAGTCCTGGGTATACTGTATTTGTTTAGCCTAGGAAATCCCATAAAGCTATATGCAAGCACTGCTACTAACCACTCAACCGGACGCTGTTTACCCAATGTACGCAAGCCTCAAGATGCTCAAAAATAAATAAATAGGTAAATAAATCCATCTCGGCAGCCAAAATACTAAACCGGCTGTGAATAGGGCAAGGATTGATGGATGTAATTAGATATCGGTCGAAGCGGGATCCAAACTTGTGAATATTTTATGGAGGCGCTTGCTCACTGCGGGGCCAATTCGCGCCTCGGTCAACGCCCCGGATTTATTTGCGCATTTCTGCATGAAACAGGGTTGTTAGCACCATAAGCATGGAAAGCGGGGAACCGGCTATACCTGTGCATCTTGGAGCCTCAACGGTCCGTGCTCTCTCATTCCATTTACTAGGTCTCTCACACTGCTATATTCCACCGCGACGCCATACGCTACCGGTGCTGTTACTCGTTGGATCTCCTCCAACATCCTGATATATGTATCATCCACATCCACTCCGGATTTCACCTGTCCAGAATCCATGCAAAACACAGCATCTTGCACGTTGAGTCGCTCTCGTCGGTACGGAATTGTAGATATGTGTTCCGTGAAATTCTTGATCCACTCGGCAGACTCCGCTGCAGCAGCAGCGTGATAGATTAGGCAGTTATGCTGAACTTGAAGTTGAAGCAACGCGTCTTCAATAGCATCGTCGTCAATGGGGGGTTCCGGTAGCGCGGCCCTTTTTGACCTTCTATTTGAAGGACCCGATTCAGTGGCGGAGTTGCCGAGCTCAACCATCTGTCGCCGAACGGCAGCCTGATATGCTCTGTTTCGAACATTTTGATTTTTCCGCATCCATGCAGCCAGCCCCTCAATGAGGTAGATTGGTTTGCAGCCAGGATAATCTCGCAAAAGTTTCCGCAGGTGGGACTCGACGCTCTGATCTACCTCAGGAGCGACCACTAGGTTCACAAATTCCTGCGCACTCAAGAAGCACAAAACATGCTCTTCTCTCCGGATTTTCAATGGACATGGCTCCCAATGGCCTACTTCATCGTTGTAAAAAGCAGTGATCTTGCGTCGCCAGGATACGATATTCGGTATTTTCGTGGAAACAAATCTTATCTGCACCCCAAGATGGCGCATATATTCACCAACTTGGCTTCCCACACTAGAATCCTCAAAAGATTGAGACATATCAACTAACATCTCCGGAGTGCTCTCCTTCTTATTGATTTTTAATTTGTTCGCTTGTGCAATGTCCGCGGCGAACTTTTTTGCTTTCTCCTTTTCTTCTTTTAAATTACGCTTACGCTCTTTTTCTTCTGCCTTTTCTTTTTCACGCCGGAATTTAGCCGCTTCTCTTACAAGAGCTTTAGCTGTCTTGTCGGAAGCAGAACTGTCCGCGAGTCGTTTTACTCTAGTTCGAGCCACTCTTGGAAGGCCTGAATCCTCATCGGACAAAGATATGCTAGCTTTAGACTTTTTTTTTTTTAAGATGTCAGCTCCTCAAATAAACCAACAGGGCAGAGTGTTATCTCACCTTCATAACCGCTTTCGCACTGTCCTCTCGTCGATCATGTAGCCTGACTAAAAGACTGGAGGTACGATCAGAGTACGCCAGCCGAGAAGCAGAAGGAGGAGCGGGGTCAAAGCTGTTTGGTAATATTCCATTGCCTTCCAGGTCCTCCGAATCATTATCGATGATAATCACATCCGTAGAACCCTTTGGATCTCGTCCACGGTAAGAAACACGAGCTCTACCCCCAGATGAGAGCCGTATGTCAGGATCGGAGATCTCGTCATCCCAGTCCTTGAAACGGCGGGATCGGTTTCCCTCAAATTGATAGCTCTCCCCAACCTGGGGGGAATCATCCGCAAGCAAGGAGGACAGCACAGCTCTCGCATTTGGACGGGGCTGGGGCGATATCGATGAAATATCCAAAGAGGGGCTCAATCTCTGCCGTTTTGGCGGATTTGTAACTTCTTCAATATCAAACAGCGAATCATCCAAAATGTCCGAGAGGATATCTTTGCCGCGTCCAAAAGACCTACGTTCGCTAGTTGATGGTCTTGATGCTGGTTGCTGTAGACATATCTCCGGGGATGAAAGTAAGCTAATAATCTCAACCATAATTTCACGGGTTAACTAAATATTGTTGCAATCCTCAATCATGAATGGGTATCGTCAAGCTCCCGGGTTGAAACGCAAAGTGTCACTCAAGGGTTAACGGATGGGTAATTCCGACAAAAGAACTACCAAAAATTGGATAGGTCCAAAAAAAATGCTACAGCACAGAAAGGAATTAAAAAGAAAATCCCCTTATCGTCAGTATCGAAGCCTGAGCAGAGCAGGTAAGTCGACGGACTGATCCCAAACAGAGATGAGGTTCGTCTCGGTCAGAATGCGAAAAGGAGTTACTTCTGATGCCTGGTGTTGCCTCACGTGATAAATATTTTTATATTTCCAGTTTAGGAATAGTTTGAACTTTAAGTCTCCTGCGAAATTAAAGCCGATGGAGCGTACATTTCGGTGGCAAAGAAGAAGATATGCTATGGACTGTATGGAAATTCGGAGCTCCCGAAATTCTATCAGTCTATTCATAGTGATCTATGCATAATTTAACTAGCTACGCGAGATATCAAATCCAAAAATACCAGCACATATCTCCGCCTATGATAAACCAAACAACGCCATGCTAGTTAGGGAAAATGCTTAGAAATGTGTAGAGTCCGCAAGCGAATGATGATAGCGGATATGGATGAATGCACTGTCATACTATCACGCCTCGCTTCCTCCACCCTCTCCACGCAATCCCCCAGAATATCGCCGCTACCCAGGCGCTCGCTGTACAACCCAACGCCCAGTATCCATAGCAACTCCATCCACGACACTCACTCTCACCAGGACTAATCGCAGCCTCATACCCAGCGGAATATACCACGCCCCAAACCGTGGCTCCCAGAGCCGGAACCATAGCCACAATTCCCCAATTCGTGCCGAAATTCTCCACGCCCCATACAACGGAGATGATAATGGGTACAAGAGAGAAGGCAGCGCCGTAGCCTAAGCCAACAAGGGATGTGGTAACGGGGAAAGTGGATGGGTAGTTAAGTGCGAGTGGGGTAGATAGGTAGAGATAGCCGAAGGAGAGTAAGATGGCAGAAGGAATGAGGAAGATAAGGCGTGATAGAGTGAGACGGACTTCAGGTGTGGCTAAATCTGAAGGCTCATGCGGGACTTGTAGGTGTGAGTGCGGAATGGGCGCGAACATGTCGGAAAGTGAGCCAGTCAAGAGGCGGGCAGCTGTGGAGGTAAGGGCGATGATGGTTACGTGAGTGGATGGGTAGCCGGCCGGTGGAGGTAGGTTTGGGGGGTATGAGGGAGGACTTAGCGTGTTGATAACTGTTCCGACCTATTAGGATCAATGGTATTAGCAGGGTTGCAATGCTTCGATGAAGCATTATTCTGCGGTAAGATAGAACATACGTTATTGATATATGCTTCTCCTGGACCGGACGCGAGGAAGAAGCCTGCAGCAAGACACCACATTGTCTTGTCCCTCAAAAAGATCTTCGTTTCCTGATTAAGAAGCCAAGTTTTTTTCTTTTCTTCTTCCCGTGACGAGGTGACTGAATCACCATCGTCTCTGGCTCTTGAACTTCCACTGTGGTCTGGCCCAAATGTCCCATATGAAGCTTCGACTTCCTCTCTCGAATGGAAAAAGGGGCTCTCATCAAGGTATCCACTTCGCTCAAGCTCCTCCACAGCTTCATCGATCAGCTTGTCCTCATCAACAAGTCGCAGAGCGAACAATCCTATGACCCCAACGCTGAAGAGCATAATGGCTAAAAATAAAAAGTATTTGAACACATCCACGTCTCCCTTTTCACCGTTCGGGCCGTGTTCATAGAGAAGGTGCCTTCCGATTTGGCTCTGCCACATTCCGCTTAGCCCAAACGCCGCAATGGGCATCGCTAGCATAAATCCCTTATGCTTGCTCCGCGCGAAGTTCTTCGCACAGGTGGTCACGGCAGCCAAGTACATCGAGGCAGTCCCCGCACCGACACCCAGGAATCCAAGGATCATAATGAAGTATGGCCATCCTGACCCGCCAGCGTCTGGTGGGGGTCCAGATTTGTACGTCAACGCTGCCAGCAGGTATCCTGGGCCGAAAAAGAACGCTGATAATATTGCAACCGGTCCAGGCGAGTATCTATCACAGAGGTAGCCAAAGATTGGGACTGGGAGGTACATCGCCAGCTCTGCGGCCACAGCGACGGCATTAACGCGGAACTGTGTATAGTGAAGACGAGAAAGGAGGAGCGGTCCATAGACCGAAAACCCGGTGATGCTTCCGGCGCAGGAACTGGATATCATGTACGTCAGTTTTCACTTCATGGATAATGCGACAGCCGCACTGAAAATAACTGCTCACAGGGCTAGACGACATACGCTGTTAAGACGCCCCAGACGAAGCTTCCCATTCTCACTAACTCCCTCCTCATCAACTCACGATCCCTTCTTACAATCTCGGTCACAACGTCACAGAACAAGCCATCCGATTCGTTGGAACATCGGCCCAGTTGGCCAGCGGCCCTTCCGTTTTCCACGTCCTCACCGCCGAGCAAACGGCGGTTAGCGTCGAAATCCCGTTTGTCAATGTGCGCTCCACCATTACGCCCGCCACTCCCGTTTGCGTGGCCCATGATGAGTGAGTGTTCTCCCTTTTGAGGACGTCGTAATAGGGTTCTTGCAGCTCAGGATATGGCAACGGAACACTCTCTTGCCTTTCTGGAGCTTCGACTGGCACTCTCCTACACCCTTACGAAAAGTAAGCGTCGAATGATAATATTGTGTTAGCAAGATAGCCGCTTCATTCCGTCCCGAAGATACGTTGCCTCGGATATTGAGTCACGACTTGATGATGCCATCCGGTAGGCGCGAAGGATGCAATTTCGTAAAAAGTATAAAAAAGGTCTCAAAACACCATGGCAAGCCTCATTTTAAAAAAAAAAAATTTAAAAAATAATAGTAATAGGTAAAAGGGTCATCATTTGAAAGGCCATTTGGAAAGGAAGCCTGGTGTCTCAACAGGCGGTGTTTGGGGAGCGAAACTGGGGTGAGGTGAGGTCATCAGGGACAACTTCCCCCAGCCACGTCTGCTGGCAAATCCCGAGGCACAAGCCACTTAACCAAGCCACATTTAATGCCCAGATCATTGGGCGGTGTTGTAAGAGGTTACCAGGCAGACAACCGTAAGTCAACTACGAAATTCGACCTCCAAGAAAAGGGCGCTGTACTCGGTACTCCGTACCGCTGTACTCCAGGCGGAGGATTTATTGAAGAGACCGACGAGAGTCGATTTCGCTTCCCTTGATCCATATTTGCCCTTTCAAGGACGGGTACGGAGCAGATGCATTCTAGAACACTCATAATTACAAATACTTTTGACGTCGGCGCCAGTGAAGCTCTCCCAATTTCTGAGCTGTACCCCGGCATATGCAAGACGGAATGCGGGGAGCGAAGATGGTATTTGTGGAGTTTTCACCCTCATGAGTTTGGGATTCGCGGTGCACATCTGTAAAGTGGTGTTTTGCATGAGATATTCTCAAACATTAGCAGGCATCGAGCGTAAGATCAAAACGGAATCTGCGAATCCCCCGCCTTTGACCTTTATTCGAAGACCAATAACAGAGATAATTAATGTATCATACGCCCTGTGATGAACTTCAACAAGACAAGACGTAGCATTGTGTTTGTCAGCATCAGCTTGGTTGCCTCGTATTCAAACCACGCTCCTGTACTCCATAGGGTACAGGCATATATATATATGCTTCATCGTAGGCATGCTGGCGTTAGATGAAAGCCCATCAACAACTCACGCAGAGTCATTGGCATGAACACAATCATACTGTAATAGGATCAAAAAGACAACATGGCTGGTTCATCTCGCCCAACCTCAATCACAGGAGGATGTGTGTGCGGCGGAATAAGATACACGATCCACTTCACTCCTGATATGAACTGGCCCGCAACCAAGGTAAGTTATCTAGCTTTGTTCTCACGAGCGCAAGATGTCAAGGAACTGCTTGTTGATTCCAAACAGAACGCAACCTGCCAATGCACGCGATGCCGTAAATTCACTGGGAGTTTAGTACCGCAGCTCCTCACTGTCCCGACTGCAAATATTCACCCACCACTGTCTTCACAGCCCGCCTATAAGGCATTTCAAACCCCAGAAAACCCAGCTGGTCATAGAATGTTTTGCTCCAGTTGCGGAAGTTCCATCGCGTACCAAAATACCAACAGAGCACAGGACACGGAGGTGTACCTGGGCTCATTAGACGAGGAGGTTTTGTGTGGAAGGAAGGGAGAAAGCACAAAGACAGAGTGGGGGGATTGGCCAGAGCGTATTGGTGGACTGGGTGTGGATATTTGCAAGACACAGAGACATATTTGGGTTGAAAATGCTATTCCAGGACTCACAGATGGTATGACAGGCCAGAAGTGGTTAAAGGAACCACCGGAAGGAAAGCCATTTGAAGGCTGTGATTTAGCCGGACTTAGAGAGAAGTGTGAAGCTTAGTTTTCTTTCCTGGGAGAAGACCCAAATCAAAATATCACACGGCTTTGTCCTTTCTTTTTTTTTTATTTATTTTATTTATATTTTTGAGCGAAATCGTTATCCGAGGCGAAGGAATCTTCGAACCTACATAAATCATGCAATGCAGCTACCTACATCATACCCTTTTTCTCGTAGTAGCTGACTGGGAAGCCGTGCTCTTTGCATTGTCGATAAATGCTCACCGTGGCGCCACGTTCTGTGCGAGAATTGTCCTATGGGACCTGGGAGATTCAGTCCTACCCCAGCTTAGCTTCCAAGGAGAGGGGCTGGGGAGGTATCTTGCGTGCCCAAGAGGCCTGTGTCGTTGTATGAACGGGCGCTTCAGCCTGATCTTTCCGCAGCGAGCGCGTATTTTAGGTCTGGGCCAGAGATGAAGGAGCGCGGGTTTGATCGGGAGAACGTGTAAACCTTTCCAATTTCGAGGATCATGATCGTGATTGTGTTAATCTACCAAAGGGGTAGTTATCCGTTCCTCATCTTGGGAGTCGACCGGTGGGACGAAAAAAATTGGGCCCCCCTCTTTAGGGCCACATCAGTCATGGATATTTTTCCAAACCAAACATCATGATGCTCAAATCCGGCTGTTGACTCGGGATCCTGCTTCAGTGTGTTGATGTCAGCCGGAGAGGCAGCGTTTTCCCAGCATCATCTAGAAAATAGACACTTAACAGAATTGAGCCTTTCGACAGCATGTGGGCGGGACGTTGGCTGAAATTGAATCTTTTCAGGGCAAACGGCTGCGATCCACAAGAAAATTGGACTGGCGGTCTGTACGGAGGAGGTCCACAACGCAAGCCCACACCCACCGGCTAGGGCAGCAATCAAGCTCAGAAATATACTCCCTCGAGAGATCCCTGTGGTTCTCCGTGACCTGGGACGATTTACCGGTCAAGTCGTGCCGCTCAGAAGGACCACGATACTGAAACGGGGCAACGGACGGCCGTGTCGGTACCAGTTGTGGCGCAGCGAAGGTCCAGAGTGAGAGACGTTCGATACCAAACTCGTTTGGATGGATTCCGGGGGGGAGTGAATTGCTAAATACATAATAACGTCTGGCCAGGATTTGCTGTGTGACTGTGCGTTTTAGGTGTTGTTGAAGAAGTTTGCAGACGGGCGTCGCATTAGCAGATCGGGCCCGCAAGGTACGGTGTGGCCACACAAACGGTCACGTTCTAGGATGATTGGTGGACTGGAAGCTTCAGCGAAAGGGCACGGACAGGGAACGCGCACGTAAACAATGTAGGTTTTGGCCGGTCAAACAGAGGGCTTGAAACTGCAGCTTCGAATCCTCGGCCGTCGTTTGCCTGGGTTTCATTCCTTTGCCGTCGTCCGTCCACCAAATGCAACATCTATCTCTTTTTTGTTTTTCTTTTTTCTTTTTCCTTTTTTTTTTTTTTTTTTTTTTGGTTTTTAGAATCGGTAGCAAACCGACGAGGCGAGCGGCATGGCAGTTGGGCTGGACCTTCGGAGCAAGGGGCCTCCTGCAAATGGACGTATCCAGAAGTCACCGGGGCAAGAAAGGTTCAAAACTCAAGCACGAGTCGACGGAAAGGCTTTAACTTCAAGCAGCGCAGAAGATATAATCACTGCCATGCTCCGTATGGAGTGGTCAGGACAGGAGGATGCAGAGTAAAACTCCTCTGTTCTCCGGAGCGATCCCTGCGTCCTGTTTGCACCACGCAAACCACCCATGTGCACCCTGGTTGATGACTTACACCTCCGTCTGCCACGGACCGGCCTTCAGCCTGTAGGATCCGGTGAGCGCGCAACGTGACCGGTCTGCGATCGATCATGAAGGCCAATAAAGTTGTACGGCGTTAAGTCGACTTGGCTTCGGGCGAAGCTGAACCTTTGCCAGAGCCGCCACAGAGGTCAAGCTGAACTGTTTGGCCGAACCTCCCAGGTGCCCGCCCCCCAAAAAAATAATGCCGCTGGGGAGCTCCCAAGGTTGCGCTGTTGTTTTCGCTGCATTGCGCTGCCCTGCCGCCGGAACGGAAACCCACCGTTCTGAGCCAGCCCTGTGGCTTGGATTATTACACTGCTGTAATTAATTTTGCACGCCCTGAGCTATCTGCCTTTTCTCAAAGATTCCTGCCCAGGCCTACGAGGTCTGTGCTGGAATTGAGTGTTTGTGGTGTAACTAATTATTAGTTAGGTACCATCTGTACTCTGTACTCTGTACCCGGTACGAAGTACAAAGTACACTTTTTTAGCTAGTTTAGCCAAAACTATTAAGACATTGCCCTCATATTCCATCTGCCAGCTGCTTTTTTAGTCTGATCCCTGGAGCCTGTTATACCCTCTTAACCCTTTTCTTTCATTATTTCTTTTCCCTTTTTTATTTTATTTTTTTTTGCCCCGGTGAATGTATAACAGGAACAGGAGCAAGAGATGTGAATTTACAGGACCGTACGCAGAAGGTTAGTTAGATAACAAGCCAGCGGGCCCAAGCACTAGCCACATCCATCATCATCCATCTTGCTTAGTCGGCGTCACGAATTATCATCACCCATCGCAGTGCCATCATAAACGCACGCTCCTAATCCTCACGCTCCTATTTCTTCCTCTCTCAGCTCCAATTCCTGTTCCCTCTCTTGCACTCCTTCTGCGCCTTGCCCAACCTGACCACCCCATCCTGATCCCAGACTTTAACCGTATTTGAGACTGTTTCATCTGGCCCGACCAATGTCCTCCCCATGTCAGGCTTCCCTCCCGCTCATGCTAATCCCTCACCTGGAGCTCTGGTGACACCTGCGCCGTCTGCCCACTATGATTCGAGTGAAAGTAAGCAATCCAATCAGGGCGACGATGCCGACTCGCTCGCTCCCGGCCCCACCAGCTACGCTTCCTCATCCCCTACCGCATCCATGCCTCCCTCTCCTCCCCGCACGCCGTCAATAAAACCTTCCCTAGCCTCCGTTTCTTCTTCCTCTGCCATGAAACATCGTCCTTCCACGACTCCCATAGAGCAGATCCGTGGTTCCACGCCCTCATATCGAGCCCAGAGCCCGCAATTGTCCGAGAGAGACAGCATCTTCGCCACGCACTACCTGCCCTCCGACTACGATGTGACATCTCCGGCACCGGGCGTTGACGCTGTGGCCGAGGGCAAGAACGACCATCTCCATCGCTCTCCTCTTCAACCTCAGCTCTCGCACGACGGGAGACCGAAACCGCTGCGCAAAGTGAAGACACTCCCCGTCCGGCAGAATGTCAGCGCTCTCTCCGCGTCTCTCAAGCCCGCGAGGAAGGACCTGTCCACCGCCGAAGCCAGAGATATTACCAGTCTTCCTCTGATCCGCCCAGCAGCCCGGAACCACCGTCCTCCTCGTCCTTCGAGACCTTCCTTTGCAGAATACTCTTCCTCGTTGTCACAGCCTCCCGATCGCCGACGGGATACCAGCGGCGGTAAGATGCTCGTCTCAGAAAGCCTGTTTACTCACGACAGCGGCGCTTCGGCGTCCGTTCGTAGGTCATTGCATGAGTTTGGCCTGCCCACCCACGATTCCCTGAAAAGTCACCGACCGGACCGGAGCTCAAGCAAGAGCAGGTCTTCTCGCGTCGAAAAGTCCATCGAAGCTAGTCTCGCCAACGCCGAACCTGCTTCCAATGTTCGAAGTCGGAAGTCAAGCCACTACCTGGGCCTGTTCAAGGAAAATACGACCACGCATGAGCGGAAGAAGCGGGAGGATAAGCCTCTCGATCGTCAGGAACGACGTCGTTGGACTCAATTAGATCGTTCCCCGAACAAGACGATTTCATCGTCTACCCCAAGAGGAGCATCCGCAACCAGACCCGCCAGCCCTGAGCGTCGTCCATTATTCAGCTCTTTTCGATCCGAACCAGAAGTGCCACAGGCAAAGCCTCGCCACAAGGACCACACTCCCGTGAGCATCGTCCACCACGAATCCCCTTCCGAAGAGTGTGTCGTACCACCTCCTGTGCGTGTTCATACCAATGTACAAGCCATATCCCCGGAGGTGCTGCAGGAAACTCGAACATGTCCTATTTTACCTTCCACACCCACCCTATACGAAACTCTGTCGCGCAGCGTCCCGACTTCAACACACAGCAGGGGGATTGAGCTTGCATTTGGAGTCGATGGCGCAGCTGACGAACGGGGATCTGAAAAAGGTCAGAGTCTCGCGCGAGACGCGTCTGATGGATATGAAGACGAAGATGAAGAAATGGAACGCATTTCTTCGGCGCTATACTTTCCTCATCAAAGACCTGTTGACGAACCCTCTAGCTTGGAGATTGAATCTGGAGACGAACACCCACAGGGAGAGATCTTGCAGGACGAAGAAGTTGGCGTCTCTGGCAGGGCCACCATCCGCCAAGAACCATCTGAAATCGAGGCTTCCAACCATGTTGATATATCGTTATTGTCAAGAGATGACAGCAGCATTCTCCATGGAGAATTGCGACAGCCACCCGCACCTTGCCCCAAAGACGACGACCTTTCACTGGCCTCCATTTCAGAGTTAGAAACAGACTCGGTTTCGGAATTTGAATCTCTCTCTGGTGACGAAGGCGCTCTATCGGGGAAAGAGGACGACTCCAGCTCAACAGATGACGCCGCCATAACTCCGACTGCGGCAGTCTCTGGAACTACGTACCTTCGTAAACACTCCCATTCACGACCTCTCCCTGCTCCGCTTGGCGCGGTTGAGCTCAAACCGTATCGACATCAAGTCGGCGGCCACACTACGGTATTCCGATTTTCGCGACGAGCAGTGTGCAAACAACTTAACAACCGAGAAAATCAATTTTATGAGAGGATCGAACGCCGACACCCTGAAATGTTGATGTTCCTTGCCAAGTTCGTATAAACCTTCCCCACGTCTTCTTTTTTGCATATCTTTGAGCTGAAGTATTTTAAATCTGCGATTAATTTTCGTATCTCACCTTTTTTTTTTTTTTTTTTTTTTTTTTAAATGCGTTTTCGCTAACGTTGACATTTCTTTCCACGTGTAGGTATATTGGTGTGTTGAATGTTACTTTTTCTAAAGGGCCGAAACGTACAAAACAAACCGTCGACGAATCCACGGGGAAGAACCTGGAAACGTCTCCAGACAGTTCTACCCCTCATATATCCCAGAATGTCGACAAAAAGAGTGGTGGAAAGCATGTCTCAAGCCCCAAGGGCTCAGGAGATCAACCCAGGATTTTTAGTCAACAGCAGGTAACCGGTATTGTTCCAAAGGTGATCCTGGAGAATAATCGTCACATCATACCGATGGATCTCTTCATGACTTCTAAGATGTCCCCTAATGGCCAGACATTGCAGCAAACTCCCTCGTCTGGACCTATTGAAGCAAGCCTAACTTGTTCTTCTTCTTCCCAGCTCATCCCGCGTTCCACAAGCAACGGAGTAAGTTGGGGCGCGACTACTGTTAATACTAAGTTACAGGAACAAGTGTTGCGAGAAGTGTTTGCTCCACCGACTATTCACCGTCACCGTCGACACACCAAGGCGCATGGATCTCTACCAAAATTACGGTCTAGGCATCCAAAGCGTCGGTCACTCGGCGACTCGGGTGAGAAGCCTTCCGAACTTCAAGGAGATCGTGGTGAATCGCTTCCGGAATCATCAGGACCAAGAAATTCAAGTGGGAAACCCAGCCTGTCCTCCTCTGCGTCAACGGTTGTCGGTGCAGACGGGCACTGCCTTGAAATAACCAGGTCTGAGAGCCCACCTTCGCCCAAGCTGGCACATGGCATTTACCGTCGCCGTCGACATTCTGGAAGTGGCCTCGAAAGGCAGCGAAGCATGAGTACGAGTAAACCTGGAGGTCTCCTTTATTTTGAGGATGACGGCTATGGTGGCGATGAGAAAGATGAAATTTTTAAAATGGAGTCTGACGAAAGCCCTTCGAGTTCGTCGCAGGTTGCTGCTCTAGATTTAAGTCAGAAGGGCACCCCCAGTCAAGGGGAGGAACAGGTGACTGCGGACGGTGAGAAGCAAATGTCTCTGCCTGTTACCCTTGGTACCAACACTGGTGAGCCGGTGCGGCTACCTGTTAATCCGAAGGAGGCGCAAACAACTCGCGATGAGCGGGTTCAGTACTTCTTGCTTCTGGAAGACCTCACTGCTGGCATGAATAAACCTTGCGTTCTTGATTTAAAAATGGGCACACGTCAATATGGAATTGAAGCGGATGAGAAGAAGAAAAAATCTCAAAGACGAAAGTGTCAGACTACAACGTCAGCGCAGCTTGGAGTTAGACTATGTGGAATGCAGGTCTGGAATGTTAAAAAGCAGGAGTACTTATTTGAGGATAAGTATTTTGGTCGCGATCTTAAGGCAGGCCGGGAGTTCCAGGACGCCTTGACACGATTTTTGTACGATGGTGTTAGCTACAGCAGCGTGACAAAGAAGATTCCTGTAATCTTACACCAATTGTCTCGGCTCGAAAACATGATCCGTGGGCTGCCTGGTTATCGTTTCTATGCAAGCAGTTTGCTTGTTCTTTATGATGGCGAGAAGACACCCCCCAAAACCGACGATGCCGAAGCCAAACCTGATGGTCCAAGTAACCACGATAGTAGCAAGGCAACCTTTGGAGATAACCAAGATACTTCAGGACTTCGCCTGAAGATTGTTGATTTCGCAAACTGCGTAACTGGAGAAGACGGGATTCCGGCAAATGCGCCATGTCCACCACACCACCGAGACGGTGTGGATCGTGGTTATTTACGTGGTCTCCGCAGCCTTCGGATGTATTTCCAGAGAATTTTGAAGGAACTTAGTCGTGAAGATTACGTGGAACGGGGTGAAGGCGAAGCAATGGCCCTTGGACCACGAAGTTCCGGCCGCGAGGGCGTTAGTGGCGGTTGGGAGGATGGAATAATGGAGAGCGATCCTGGCGAGGTTAGCGTGTGACTCGAGAGTCCGACGTGTCTGCTGCGATCCTCCTCAGTGCTCCTTTTTCTCCTTTTTTCGATGATCTTTATTACACGCTCCGATTTGAGGGCACGGAGGAAGGTTGCAGCACCGGACTCTGTTGTTCCTCAATATTTTTTTTTTTTTTTTTTTTTTCTTTTCCTATGCATCAATATCATTACCGGTGTTGGCTCCTGGCGTGTGGGGCGTGTTTTCTAAATAAAAGATGGAACGGAGTTAACATACATGGTTGAAACGGCATCAAGAAAAAAGAGCAACACGAAAGGGAAAAAAAAAAAGAAAAAAGGAAAAAAAATTCAATTCCCATACAGCACCGGCTCCTAGAGGCTTCACTTCCGGATTTCAGCTCTTTGGTTTTCTTTTATTCTCTATCCGGCCTAGCCTTTTGTGGCATCACTATTGAGAAGAAAGCATCGTCCCTGCTCGGCGTCTTTCAAAATTATCAAGCGTTGCCTGAAGCATGTTTTCTTCTACTGCATCGGATATCCCTTCGGCCTATTGCCTGCTGTTGAGACCATTCCTACACCTTTTATCTCCTTCTCTCTACCAAGTTTGTCCGGTTTCGGTTTTCCCTTGAATTACCCACCACTGGCGTTTCGCGGTCTGTAGACCCATTTGTAGGAGTTCACTTGCGCGCTTCTCTAGTCTCTTTCTACCGTACTCCTTTCTTTGTTTCTTGACCTGCGTTGTCCTGTGATCGATACCTTTAAGCAAGTTTCTTCTTCCCGGGTTCGTTCGACTATGCTTAGGCGTGGATAATTTACCTCCCATGTTTGTTAGAGTACCTATTTATGTCATACCTGCTTCGATTGTCATCCAGGGTGCCGGCTGCTATTGCAACTAGCTGTGCTCAAGTCTGTCGAGCGGGTTATGAATCAAATGATGTATGAGTTATTCTCAAATTTCCTCTCTTCTTCGATTTCTTAACTAGACAACTCGTAGATCTACACCGTAAGGACCGAGAACATTAAGGAGAGAAAAGTCCTACTACAATAGAAATGCGGAAATCTGCTGACACAGACTACGCAGTGGTAGTAACCTCCACTCTCCTAAATCCACCTTCGCGTGCAACCTGCTTCTGCAACGCACACATTCTCTTCTGGTCGCCGGTGGGATCAGCAGACTCTGCGTCCAGGTCCCACGTCAAGAACTCGTTCGTGTAATTCGGCTTGAACCCGGCGTCCAAGATCTCCAATCTCTTACCGTAGTTGGTAACCTTCTCCCAGTCACGAGCCACATTCTTCAAGTCCCTGCTGAAATACGCGTAGGAGCGTTCGAAAATCTTACGGTTGACAGGAGTGGCCATGATCGGTTTCATATCGATGTATTCCTCGTAAGCAGCGGCAGGGTTTGCCAGAACGTAGTCGGTAGCCTTCTTGACAGCCCGCATGAATTTCCGCACCTTGTCTGGGTTTTGGGAGATGAAGGACTCGTTTCCAATATACAGGATCGAACAGAAGCAGCAACATCCGAGCTCGGCGAGCTCGTCGATGCGAAGCATCTGCACATCATCGCGGGGACGTCCCTGGGACGCGAGCCATTCTTCGAGTTCAACCATTTGCACATTTTCCAGGCCAATGCCGGCGTCGATAGTGCCATTGATGATGGCTTTGGTGACGTTCATGCCACAGCGAACGGCAGTATAATCGCTAGCAGACATGCCGTAGTGCTTAGTGAGTTCATCGATTTGAATCTGTTATGCTAAATTTAGCAAAGGGTGACCGATAGACATAGAAATGGAAACGGGGGGGGACGAACCTTGCCGAATTCTCCGACATATCCGATACGTTTTCCTTTCAGGGAGCGGAAGTCCGTTGTAATTCCGCTGTCCTTGAGATATACGACTCCCGTGAAAGGTTCGTCGAGAAGCGACCCCATTGACAAAACTGGGAAGTTTCGAGCTTTAGCCTGTAAGAACGGTTAACATTTGCCTGTCTCCATTGTTGGAAAACGTGCTCGTCTCCAGGACGGGATGTACGAACAGCCAGGGTATGAATCATGGCCTTGAATCCCAAATCGACTTTGCCGCTCCCGATGATCTCAGTGACATCGGAGGGGTCATTGGGTTCGAGAAGGGCCACTTTGATGCCTTCTTCTTGGAAGTAACCTCTAGCCTGAGCTAGGTAGAGCGGGGCGTGGTAGGGCGTAGCATGCCTTGTATTCAAAAGAGAGTCAATTCCCAGGATGCTTTTAGAGAACTGACTATAACGACGGGAGAATTCATGGAACAATAGGCACCTGTGCCGCCATAACCTACCAGTTGGTGAGAAAGGTGATCTTATCGGTAGACATGGTCGCGATTAAATGCCAAAGCAAAAGCTAATGTTATGAACCACTAGTTAGTACCGCCAGACAAGGCGAATCTATGGACATTGGTTCGACATGGATTGCCGAGCCAAGCCCAAAGAAACGACAAGGGGAAAGGGGGAATCAAAGCCGCGCATGTCCTTTCGCTAGAATTATCTAGATCAAGTTCAGACAGTATAATCTCAGAACAACTCAGATCCCGCATCAAACCCGTCTCAAAAGGTGTCCGTCCGTCTGTCCTGGCGTACCATCGTTGAGGCGTCAGAACCCCACGAACGGCACAGACAGGCCAGGCCAGGGAAACGCGCAATTGAGACGAATTCGATTACTTTCACTGGGCCGAACACCTGTCATGCGTGTGCAGTGACCTGTTTGTTATACTACAATACCTTGACCGTTGGATGAATCCATGACGAAAGACGACGGCCGAGCAAGGTCGACCGTCCCACGCGGCTCTACACTTTCGATTGTGAAGAGGGAGTGTGTGCATGTGGGTAAGTACCGTCCGTACCAAAGCAATTGGGTGGTGTAGTTCGAGTTAGGATTGAAGAAGTGAACAACAAAGCTCGTCAATAGCGTGGGAGAAGAAAAAGATGAAGAAAAGAGATGTGATGGAGGGGCTGACAGGGAGCGAATTTATAGCCGGCGATCACTTTGCCCCGCAGTGACGTTTTGCTGGGCCCTCAACAGAATTGAAGCGCAACTCTAACCAACTAGCTGCTCAACTAACCGTATTCACAGCCTTCTTTGTCGGTCGTTGGCTAAGATAGGGTTTGATAGCGTCGAGAAATTCGAAATAAACCCCCGCAAGACAATAATATCTGGGAGGCAGCTATATAGGATGCAAGTCGTGCACCAACGCCCCGAAAAGACAGTGGTCCGTGATTTCACCTCAAACATGCATAGACAGCATTTGCACGAATAGGACTAACCTGTTTACAAGATAGGATGATCTGAGCAAACTACTACTGCATTGTGTTCTTGCTACCCTATTCACCACGGCCTTTGAGAATAACGGAAAATACGCCGTCTTCTCGTGCCTGGAAGAGGACGAGCTAATCATTCGGTAGATAGCAGTTATGCTCCAAGCCCCCACGCCGGCTCCCGGGCAGATGCTGAAATGATGATATGGGGTTATGGCACACAGAATACGCTATATGATATAGTGTATTTGTGTTTCCATGCCCTTGGATGCTTACGCCGGAGCATACGCAGAAGAGAGCTGAAAGGAAATCATTGCATTAGGTCATTTAAAGACTCATAGATATGGATAAACAAGAAAAGCGTGAAGGACCAAGACATCAAAGAATGCAGCGCATGCAACTCGGAGAAAACCATAGGAACTCGGGGCATAAATGCCAAAACGCGATGCGGCGACCGGTGAAAAATAGAACGAGGACGCCTTCAAAACCCCGTTCATGCGGAATAATAAAATTGACTCAAAGACCAACCCGAGGCCGCAAACAAGTGAACAAAATCAAAGTCCAACCGAGAACCCAGAGAAAATCCCAAAAAAAGGAAAGAGAATGCATCAATCTCTCTTCTTCAAAACTCCCAACTCCACGAGCCGTCTCCAAACCCAATCCTTTTTCATATTTACAATCCCTTTCTCACTCGCACCGCCGCCCAAATCTAACCCATCCAAGACCTTTAACCGACTTGAAGTAGCAGCATGAATCATCAATTCAACAACCCGCCGTCGTAGCCTTGTCGCTTCATCTAAATGCACCAAATACTTCTCATCTGCAGCGGGATTCACCAATGGGACCGTGTACGGATCATCAATTTCGACCTCCACATCTTCAGCTTCTGGCCGAATGAGTGATACGTGCTCCCCTCCTTCTACACGGGCAATATCAGCATGGCCACCGATAGGTGCAAGCACACCATCGTCATTATCGCCGTCACTACTCTCACGAGCTCGCCGCTTAATAAGCTGTTGTGCCTTTCGCCCAGTGTGCTCTCCATCACCTGGAGCCGTGATTGATTTCCCATTCCCAAATACTGGGGACGGATAGAATCCAACAGTGAGCGGGTTTCCCCGCACATCAACTCTTGAAAGGCTTCCTTCCTTGCCTCCAACAAGCCTCAAAACTTGGCAGAATCTTCGAAGGCGAGAGACCCTGTTCCCAACCATGAACAAGCGAGAGAGCTTGGAGATCCCATCTAGGGACCCGACGTCCGATATGGCATTAAAATTAAGGTTCAAGGTGCTCAGGTTCGGGAACCTTTTTCCGAAGGTCATCGGAAGACTCTCTAGCCCACACGAGGCAAGATCTAGGAGCCGAAGCGACGAAACAGAGGAAGCAGGCGCAAGCAAACTCGGAGAGAGCTTGTTACACGACAAATATAGCTTGCGTATCGAGACATTGCCGGATAAATCAAGGTCAACGGTGGGCGGGTATAACCGATCTTCTTCTTCAAAGGCAGTTTGCTCTCTCACTGATAATGTATCGAGATGTTGACATATTTCGAGCCCATCAATGGTGCTCAGGTGATTACAGTCGAGGTACAGAAGTTTCAGGCTTGGAAACTCTGAGATATTTAACCCCCGAATGTGGTTGTGCGAGAGTTTCAACGAATGCAACTGTTGAAGTCTTCCTGAAACGGTGAAATCTTGAATCTCGTTATATCGCAAGTCGAGCGTCTCTAGAGCGTCAAGAGAATCGATACTGACTACGCTTGAGATCTGATTTCCGCTCAAGTCCAAACTGGTCAGGCGAAACCTGGAAATCCTTCTATTAGCACTTTTTTTCGGATGGTGTCCATTGGGGTAACCTACAAATCGGCACTCTTAAAGTCAACAGAGGTGAGTAGATTATTCCTTGCCTTAAAAGATAAGAGTCCATCCAGATTAAAGATTCCGTTTATGCAGGTGAGTTTGTTATTGTTGGCTTTCAAGCTTCTGAGATGAACCAGTCCCGAAACACCGTCAAGATTCTCGAGTTCATTATTCGACACGTCGAGATACTGAAGATTGGACAAATGGCCCCAAGCCGTCAAATTTGTCAAGCAGTTACGCGAAATATTCAAACTGCGGATATTTGTAGGAACACCGCTGAGCTGACCAATGCTGTTGTCCGAAGCGTCCAGCTCCTCAAGCCTGGGGCAATACTTATTGAGTCCCAGAAGAGTAATCAGTTTCTTGCTTCGAAGATTCAATCGCCGCAAATGTTCCCAATATGCTTCGTAAGGCTCCACGTCCGTGATGTGCTTTATCAGCTCCTCGGCTGCCAAAGCAAATGTACCATGAACTTGTCGAAGAGAGCGGGGAAAAGTTCGCTCAGCAACATAACTGAGTTCCAACTTGAAAGATTCATCGATCTGGTTTACCGTGAATTCTGCCAGTGGGCTTAGATGAAAGTTGTAGCTTGTGTCGAGATGGGGATCGCGCGCTGCTACCAGAGATAATTCTTCTCTGGCTGGAAGGACAGAAAGATCTTGATTTAGCTCACTAAGTTCTTCAAACAGGTCTTCGTCCCGCTCATCAATACGTGACACTGGTCTCCCACTTCGATTTCCGGCTGGCAAAGAAGAACGAGGTGACGGCATCTTTAGAGAGGAGCGTTGGCGTTCAATGCTTCCTTTGGTTTCAAAGGCCGTCTCGACGAAATCTCCAGCTGGGCTCCTAGTACGGCTCTCATCATGGGCCGAATCTCCATCTCCATAGGCAATGTGCGAAACCAAAGGCGAAGAGAAAGTTATGGTGACGGCTCTTGCTTGTTTCTTATCGCCAGTAATGGGAGACGGAATTGGCGACGGATATCCATTGTCGTGCTCTGCTTCCTGAGCACCCTGGGAGGTATCCAGCTTTAGCGCAATTTGATGTGCAGGAGAGCTTGTTAAATCCTTCGTGGCCCATGATGTAGCTCTGGTATCTGGCTGAGCCCCGCTCGACGTGGATCGAGTAGATTTAGATTGTACACTGCTTGTGCTTTCTTGCGTTCGCGGTCGCGACCCTTTCTGAGGGGCCTGTTTCTGATGCTCATCTGTCTCTTGGAATGCGTTGTCTTCTCGTCTCAATTGCTCTGGCTTTTTGGCATGACCGGGCACACTCCGAATAGCCATCAGCTCCCGGAGTTCATCGACACTAAGATCAGGAATATCTCGGAAAGGATCGTCCTCGCTGATGAAAGAGGTAATATGCTGTTCAGGGCTAATACCACCTCTAATCCATATGTGGTGTGTTCTGTCGTAAGTCATAGCTCCCACTTTCTCAGGGATCAAGTGCGAAACCATTTGTGAGGATATTATTCCTTTCGCCCTTGCGCTGCCTGTAGAGCTGTCCGCAATACTTCCGGTCGATGCCACAGTCTTCAATTCTTCTTTCGATATGCCCAAGTCATTCGAAGAGAAATTTCCTTCTGTCGCGTGTTGGTGCGTCGGGTGAAGGTGATGCACACTCTCGTGTATCCGGGCATTTGTCGGGCTGCTCTCTTCTGCGTGCGCGTCGAGCTTTCTATCCGCTCTCTGTCGCGATCTAAGACGGAGAGACATTACGGAAGCACCCATGAAGACATCCAACTCGTCGCTGTCTTCATATCGCTTGAGGTGGCTAATGATCCGGGGGTCTGGCTCATTAAAGCTCTTTGGTTGTTGGACACCACCGCCTTCACGGCTGGGGGGTCTTGAAAAACCCTCCTGGGTCGATGGTTCACTGAAGTTGTCGCCGTAGTCTTCTTCGCTTACTATCACAGACTCTTCTAGGTCGGGTAGCCCGTTCCTTGGCCCACCGCGTCTGCGTATGTGATTCATTATTTTGCTAGCTTCATCGAGGAAGTCCTGGGTGGTAATTGATCCCTTTCTGATCGGATTAGTGGCAGGACCATGGTTTATAACTTTAGAACCTGAACTGTTGTCGCGACTCCTCATTGTTTTTGAAGGCGAGGTAAGAGACGATGCTCTTGCCTCTGTTTGCTTGCTGGGGGGCCGGGGTAAGTCGTTCAACCTGGCTGGATGTGAGAGAGCGAATCGGTTGTCTTTTGAATCCGTAACCGCTACGGTTGCCTCGTCATGTTGTTGTGGGCTGGCTACGACTGAACTAAACTCCGCTGATTCGATTATAGGTTCATGCCATGCCGGACTGGGTTGGGTAGCAGAGACAAGTGTACGCCTCCTCTTGGGGGCTGAACCCTTTGTAGGACTGTTGAGAACCCTCTTGTCTACATGCTTTGAAGAACAGAAAGAGGCGGCTTCTTTCTGGTAGTCGGGCTCCTCAGGTTGAGGTCGCGATGCACTGCGCAAAGCGCGTTGGCCTTCGAAATCTGTCGCCTTTTCGTTCTCCTGAATATCAACTTCGTTATGGCTGATATCTGCAGACTCTATTGCGCATGATGTTCCTTCCTCAAGTGTGGCTTCAAAAGTCTCTTCGAACTGGCTCATTCGGCGAAGAAGCTTATTATTTGTGAATGTATCATGGTTTGCGAATAGCTTCAGAGGACTCCCAGAAGGCTTCATGACGTTCCTGCCAGGCGGTCGACTATCCTTGTTCGTTTGTTTCTTGGGTGTAAAAGGGTGAGGGAGCTTTGCGGGTGCCAGCCTGGAACTATCCAGCCGGTCGCCGCTGGATAAATGGTTCTGAAAGCGGGAAGCAGCACCATAGGGAGGGAGTTGCGATGGAGTCAATGATGGACTTAAAAACCGGCTGTGGAGGGAAGTTTCGTCCAAATAGCCTCGTCGTGCACTGACCGAGGCAAATTCCTGTGTACCCATGGATAGTCCCTCGGGCAACGAGTGGCTAGTTATATCAAAGGAATCGTCTATATTAGCGTAGTCTTCAGTGTATTCGGGTTGCAGCTCACAGTAGCTATCGCTCGCACTAGAGTTTGGTCTGCGGACGTGCAAAGAATTCCGATCTTTTAACATATCACTGGTGGGGACAGGTATTGGGCTAATGGCTTCATTCCTGGTTTCCTCAAGGCCACTCGCCGATTGACTTCGCGTTTCTCCCATCAGGTCTTCCGTTGAATCGAGGCTGAGCCGAGAAAAGTCCTGCTTTAGCCATGCCATGTCCATCTCATTGATGCTAAGTTGGCTCTCTCGCAACAATCGGCTGAGATCTGCCGGGGAGACTTCGGACATCCGCTCCATCCATGTAAGACTGGCATTTTCTTTGTCCCAGGACCTGAGGAGCTTCAACTTTTGGGAATCGCCTTTGGAAGACAAAGTTCCAACTTCGTACTTTTGTGCATTTCCAGATAATCGCGATCTCAACGACAATTTGCTTCGTTCGTTCCGTCTCGATAAGTTCGCTCGTGTCACAGATTCGGAGCCAGAAGGCGGTGTGAATAACTTTTGCAGTCCGATTGGGCCAAACAAGTCACCGCTTTCGCCCTCGGGCGCATCACCACGCAGGAGCCTGCGCTTCCATTCTGGTGTGTTGCCGCTTTGTTTTGTGTTTGCCGGTCGAACGTTCATTGTGGAGGCGACCTCAGTTAACGTATTCAACGTTGGCTTCGAGCTTCGTGACGCTGATTTAACGGAAGACGAACGGCTCCGGAGTGAATCTTTTGCTGTGGCACATTGTGAACTAAGAGGGGAAGAGGGCTTGAGCGACGCCGGGCTTCTTCGGCGAGATGGCGCGATGGATATGGAGGGTTTCCGGTGATGTTTATCCGATCGGACGGAATTTGGTTCGTCGACAGCGCTGTGTGGCAGGGCGGATAAATTAGGCCGCCTGGAGTGTTTTGGGGAGCGGTTCATGGTGGAGAGGCGGGAGTGAGGCACCCAGTCATCTGAAAGGCCATCGAGCCATGGTTCTTTGGCAGCCATGGCGGCCTTATGATGAGTGCGATGCAGCTGGGCGCAGCTGTTGTACGTCCTCAAACGGGAGTTTATTCCGCCGACGCGGCGCAACTCGCATCAACAACAACCAACAACCGAGTCAAGTACACAACAAAGGACAGAAACGGAAGAGTAGCAGTAGAAATAGCATGAGAGTTGAGATAATACAGGGGAATCCACCGGGATCCAGGACCCCTCTTTTTAAGAATAACAAGAGGGCGTGTTTCGTCGCAGGTCGGCTGCGCTGCTTGAGGTCATCACAACAAAGTTCCCGAAGTGGTAAGCCCCGTGTTACCTCACGGTCCCCCGGAGAATAGATAATCCGACAGCCTTACAGAGGAGGGGCTTGGCGATCTACACCAGCCACGATCCCACCCGTAGCCACCTTCAGTCGGCTTCGGCTTCTCCGATTCCCGCTTGTTCGCTCAACCGAGCACTCTTGAAGGGCCAGTTAACGAGCAACAATGCCCAAACGAAAGAGCCAGGCCACGGCATAGCAGCATCAGCTTTGACTCCGGAGATGATGCCCCCAGGTGACCTCGATCCGGTGTTACATGTAACTACCAAAGGTATTACTCCGGACGGCGGGCAGGGTAGCGCTCAAATTGTCTTTTTCTTACTTGGCTTGAGCTTGTAAAATACCTCACCTCTCTCTGGCTTTTGAAGCCTGGATTCCTTGCTTCGCGCTCAGCCGCGAGAAATGGCGATGAGCCGTTCGCGCGTGGTTGGCTAGGCAACGGTCACGCGTAAAGTGGAACACGAAGTCCCGTGACTGAGCGTTGGCGCCCAACACGTCTTAAGGCAGCGCATGGACCAACGAAGGCATTCAGGCCGTTGCAGGAGAAGAGCTCCTTTAACTGCCTGCACAAAAGGCTGGAGCCACGGAGCGAAATCTCCTTTTTTCTTTTTTTAAATTTTGATTATCCTACCACAAATGCTTGGCTTAGACGAGCCGTGGCTGCACCTGCTGCGTAACAGCAGTGTCTCCGCAGCCCCAGGTCTTCCTCTAACTACTCCGTAGTGGGCTCCGAAAAATGTCTGTCCAACGCCCAGGCTTCCCACTCTCCTTTGAACCGTTCTCTCCAACTCCCTCGGACACAGTTGTCTGGTCTTCAGACTCTGAAAGCGAGATCGACGATGCTTCTCGCACTGCAAAAAGGAGAAAAATCGAACACCTGGCTAGGGAGTATTTAGAAGGAAAACCGCTGTTCATCTTCAGCGCCAGCCTGAAGGGACCTTTCGACAAAGGATGGGCGAACCCATGGAAACAGGACCGGAGATTATTAGGGGAACAAGCTGCCGAATGTCGGGATGAAGGGGCGTCAATAAACCCTACCGGTATCACACTTGAATCACCCAGGAGTGCCCGATCTCATGGTCCACCTACCCTCGCGAACCGCTGCCATTCAGATACCCAGGTACAAAACTCAGAGACGTATCAAGAATGCAGAGATAGCGCAGATGAAGAACGAAAAGCGAGTGGACGACCTATGGACGCGACGCGGCCTACATCTAATCCGCTATTTGCGCCTGAGCGTATCTCAATAGGCTCCCGTTCCTCAATAGAAAAGAATCAAGGCGCATCGCGCCATCCATCGACCACTAAGTGGCTCAAAAAAGATCGTACGAAACTTGATCGCCACGCAACGGATCGTCCTCGCTCTCCTAGCCCAACACCTGCTCCTCGGTCTGTGAGGGATATTTCACAAACCACAGTACAAAACCGATGCTCATTCGGCCACACAAATACGATGCTCGGTAGCCGAACTCCTAATGCGACCGAGGTCCGTGTGCCTGGCTTCACTCCAATCAATCGTCATGTACGCAACGCCACGTCCTCTCCAATCGCTGCTCCAGTCACAGCAGCGTCACGGAAGAAGCCAAGGAAATCGGGTGCCAAAACCAACATGGAGCCCCGAGGAGCAGCTTCTCCATATTCCAAAAAATCGACATCTCCGCGACCGCGCTCTTCCGGTGGACCTTGCAATAATGGTGACCGTGCGGTAGTACATATGGCCACCGCCACAACCAGTGGAAAAGGATCTACTAACCAAGAGGAGCCTTTCGCTACAAGCGATACCATGCCTGACTCGTTCAAATATCACCGTGTCGCTCGCCAAGCCTCAAAACAGAAGCGCATAACAAGCAAGGTCACCAAGTCGGACTTTAGCCACGGTCATTCCTCCTCAAAGGCGAATGAGGAAAAGCCAAAGAAACCGACTCCCAGTTTGATGTCAAACGCCAGCGCGGGGCCCATGTTGTCAGGGCCGGTTGAGTGTCAAGAACATATCTCAACCAGTGTATCTCTCAATCTGCCGTCGGCACAGGTTATACCCGATCAAGCAGCATACCAGAATCAAATGATTTCCCTTCATTCGACTGAATATGCCGCTACAAATGGCATGCTCATTAGTCCAGCCCGGGACGGCTTGGATCTATGGTCAACACAGGCTGCGCTACCTATCGCGCAGAAATCTCTTCAAGATGACTCCGTTAATCCAGAAATTAAGGGTCAAGGAGACCAAACGAAAGATCGAAAGTCGTTACAAAGATCAGATACTGAAAATGGTGTGAACGGCCAAATCACTCCGTTTCAATCTTTCTACACACCTCGAAAACGAAATGCTTCGGATCATGCCCATCCCGCGACGCAAGGGCCTAGCAGCACACATGCAATAATCAATGAAATCACTCCCTATGATGTTAGTACGGCGAAGAAAGCTCAATTTGAACATAACTCGCCAGGCTCTAACCTCCACTCTCATCCACAAAGAGACGACTTCGACGGGCATAACAAAACTAGTTCAGAGCCTCATGCAAAGCCTGTACACCCGCGCGGCCAACCCAGTATACGCCCAGCATCTAACCACTCGAACGAAGCACCCAAAGCCAGTATTCCATATGAGGACTTTTCACGTGAATCTTCGGGCACAGCTCTGCCTTTTACGTTACCGTCAACGAACGGAACAAGACAACATGATGGTCAGGGATTCATCGCCGGGTTAGGCAACTTTGACCTGGATCAAGCTATTGCGGATGCAGGAAGCTTCCTCCAGAGTTGGGAACTACATGCAGAGGTCAGTTTCCAAACGAATCGAACTGTCGCTTCTTCAACAGGACAGCCGGCTCAGTCGATTTTGCATACAAGTACTACGCGCAATACTTGAGAATCGATTTGCCTTAGGGAGCATGACAGGGTGTTTGTTTTAATAATTGTTAAGAGATAAGTACATAGTGCTGGGAATATCATAGATAGCCATTTCGAAAGTCATTCGCGCAAACCATGCATGTGTATGAGCGATAGTGGGCATTCAATAACTTTCATATCTAGGACCAAACTCCCTTGTGTGCAGAGTAGATGGCCGAAGTTCTGAGCAACCAATTAAGAAAATACAATGTGTAACCCTATACTCCGTACTCAATATTCTATTTGGCAACAGTATTTGTAGAATTATATACGTATTATCGAGTAAAGCCGTTGAGAAATAGGCCAATATGCATTGCGGAGTATGGTGTGAGTGAGTGTCGTCATGTTGGCTGTGAAGCTTCCCCCAACAGCTGTCATCTCCAGAGACAGGTGGCTAGATAAGAAGCCGACAACCACTTCTTTTCAACGACCTCGAGAACCGATGGCGCTAGCTAGGATATGGCTTTGACTTCGGTAAGCCCTCTTTCTCTAGACTCTTTTTCAACGTTAACATATTTTGAATAGTGGAAAACCTTCAACTTCTTCGAAGTTTCGGAGGTCCAGGTTCCCGATGGCGATGGACCGTCCGTCTTGGGCGTCAGTACCATTCACCCTCCTCCCCCCGCGCGTGGAAGACGCACGGATTGACCGGCACAGATGAATGCTAACCGTCAAACAGACCGATATTAGTTGCATATGCACAGGATCCGATAACCTCTTCCTCGGCACTACCGATGGATTCGTCCACATCCTCTCCAACACCTTCAAGGTCTTCCGGTCCTTCAAGGCCTACGATACAGGCTCAATCACCCACATGAAACAAGTTGCCTCGACGTCGTACCTTGTCACACTTAGCGAAGACTTATCGAGCGAGCCAATCCTGAAAGTATGGGCGTTAAACGAGGAAGACAAGAAGACCGGCGGTCCGCGATGTCGATCGACCAAGTTAGTCCAGAATAAGAAGAGACAGTTCCCCGTTTCGGCGTTTGTTGTGTTGGACGACCTGTGGCAAGTCGCGGTGGGGTTTGCGAATGGCTCAGTGACACTTATGAGGGGGGACCTGATTCATGATCGGGGCGCGGAGCAGAGGACGGTCTTTGAATCTGAGGAGCCGATTACCGGCCTGGAGGTCCAGCGGGGAGCTACCACGACGCTGTTTATTGCCACCACAGGGCGCATCCTTACTCTCATTATTAGTGGGAAAGGCGACGGCCAGCCCGCGCGCACGCTGGAAGACCTTGGCTGCGGTGTTGGGTGCATGGTGTTCGATAAGGATACGGGGGACGTTCTAGTCGCAAGAGAAGACGCGATATACACTTATAGGGCGAACGGCCGTGGGCCCAGCTTTGCATTTGATAGTCCAAAGACGTCGATTGACGTGTTCAAGGATTATATCGCTTTGGTTTGCCCACCACGGGTGCCGGCGGCCAGATCCGATACCCTACGAAGGTTTGGAAGCAGCCAGGTGGATGAAATCTTTAATACATCCACTTTCACCCTTCTAGAGCCAGACTTGAAGTTTGTCGCGCATTCCGAATCCATATCCTCAAAGGTCAAAACTGTCTTTCAAGAATGGGGAGATCTATTTCTTGTGACAGTGGATGGAAAGGTATGGACGTCCGCCCTTATCAGACAGTTTGGTCTAACATTGCACGCAGGCGTATAGGTACCGTGAGAAGACATTACAGCAGAAGCTCGAAATCTTATACCAGAGAAACCTCTACATCTTAGCCATAAATCTTGCTCAAAAAGCTGGCGTTGATGCGCTTCAGCAAAATATTATCTTCCGCAGATATGGAGATTACCTCTATCAGAAAGGCGATTATGACACAGCAATGCAACAGTACCTCCGTTCGATAGATAATACTGAGCCATCCCAAGTGATACGCAAGGTAAATTCCAACCCAGCGCTTAGGCCTCACCATCATGCCCTATTAACATGTCTCGTAGTTCCTTGATACGCAACGAATCCATAATCTTATTGAATACCTCGAAGAGCTTCATGACCATGAAAAAGCAACAGCCGATCACACAACGCTATTATTGAACTGTTATGCGAAGCTAAAGGATACGACCAAGCTCGATTCTTTTATCAAAGCCCCCGGCGAACTCAAATTCGACTTGGAGACTGCAATTGCAATGTGCAGGCAGGGTGGCTATTTTGAGCAAGCCACGTATTTAGCAACAATGCATGGAGAAAATGATATGGTGGTTGATATCCTTATTGAAGACTCGAAGAAGTATTCTGAAGCGTTGCAATTCATTTGGAGTCTTGAGCCAACACTGGTATGAAGTCCGCTCGATTACCTTTTGGTGTCATGCTAACATTAAATAGGCGTACCCGAATCTCATGAAATATGCGCGAGTCCTGCTGGAGCACTGCCCGCAGCCTACGACTAAGATATTCATTGATTATTATACGGGAAACTACAGGCCCAGGCGAATGAAAGAGGAAGAAACAGCCAAAGATGAAAAATCTCAGAGTACGGGCGGCCTGCAAAACCTGGCCTCCCTTATTCCCCTGCCATATCTTAACCCATCCAAACCTGCGAATGCAAAGTCTGCCATAAGCGAACCACAAATTGCGACTGAAGTGGAGGAACCGATTGAATATGACGTGCCAAAGCCAAGAACTGCATTTTCGTCATTCGTTGACCATCCTCAGGAGTTTGTTGTTTTCCTGGAGGCTCTAATCGATCAAAACGATTTAAAGGAAGACGATAAAATTGATTTATACACCACCCTGTTCGAAATGTATCTGGACACTGCAAGTCGTAAGAAAGACCCCTCCGAGAAGCAAGAGTGGGAGGCAAAAGCGAAACTACTGATTCAGGGTAGAGACGTAAGCGATCCAATGCTATGCCCTGGCTGAAAGGGATGAATCTGGGACTAATTTCCTCGGCAGATTCCTGTTTCCACATCAAACGTTCTTTTGCTGTCAGATTTATCCGGCTTCCAAGAAGGAACGACTCTTGTAAGAGAGAAACAAGGCTTACGATCGGATATCTTGCGATCGTATGTCACAGCCAAGGATACTGCTGGGGTAATCAAAGCCCTGAAGAAATATGGCCCTGAAGAGCCTCAACTCTATATAGATGCGCTGGCGTACTTTTCCTCAAGCTCCAAGGCTCTAGAAGAAGCTGGAGATGAACTTGAGGTTGTTCTGAAACGAATCGATCAAGACGGTTTGATGTCGCCGCTTCAGGTTATTCAGACTCTCAGCAACAACGCAGTGGTGACAATGGGCATGATCAAGAAGTATCTCAGCGACAATATAGAACGGGATAGGAAAGAGATTTCAAATGTTTGTTTCCCGACCATGTCCTTTTCACTCCTTGCCAAATTTCATCGTATTTAACTTGACCTTTTAGAACCGCCGGCTGATCACCAGCTACACTACCGAAACTGAAACCAAGCGCAAAGAAATCTCCGAATTAGCCTCAAAGCCCACCGTTTTCCAGGCCCGTCGCTGCTCATCTTGCGGTGGCAATCTGGACCTACCAACCGTTCACTTCCTCTGCAAACACTCATTTCATCAACGCTGTTTAAACACAGATGAGGAGGACTTGCAATGCCCTATATGTGCACCGCAAAACGCCACGATCAAAGCTATCAGAGAACGTCAGCTTAAAGCAGCGGATCAGCATGAGCTGTTCCAAGCGGAGCTGCAGCGGAGCAGGGATAGATTTGGGCTTATTAGCGAATTTTTTGGTCGGGGAGTTATGAAGCCAGGCAATCTCGAATAATTTACGTCACGAGGACTTGCTTTTACCTATTGAGATGATATTATGAATTGAAATCCGTACGGATGATACGCCGTTGCATCGTACCGTAAAATACGGTTGGATTTGGATCACAAACAATTCTTGAACGATCGTCGTTCAGCCGCTTAGAACAAATGTATCGATTTCAAAGCTGTGCTTTTTTTTGCCTTCATTTTGGAACATAGCCTGCACATCTTCACGCGCACCATCATAAGACCGCGTCACTCCGATATGCAGTACTCCCAAAGCTCTCTAGAAAAGCACTGTGGGTGGAAGGTCTATGTCTGCATTCTTTTGTCTAAGGGCAAAATTAAATAAATTACCCGAGATAACGTTCCAGAATATTGCGTCCGTGAATTTATATGTATGAACAGGTTAACAGCCACCGTAAAAAGAATGCCCGAGTTAATACGGATTGATGACTTCCAAGCGGAAAACGCCCATTTGGCTAATTCAATCAATTTGCACTTCTCACATGACGGAGGAGGGCAATTTTGCTTGCAATCTGAGCACTGCAATTCTGCTCTACAGCGCGTTGCAAAGCGGCTCGTTTTTTCTGCAATAGTGTTCGCGGGGTATTATAACATCATCAGCGCCAGGAATATGGGAAAGTGCATGCCAGCTTGAGTCTGCTGCCGGAAAATTCGACTGGGATTCCTTACGGCCTTCGCATCATCGTCATAGGCTCCTTTCGCCTCGGAGCAACACCTCGCTGTCACAGTCTCATTGAGACTAGTGGCGGTCATGCATTTGCAGCCGAGGAGAGCGGGAAGACTGAATAATGTTTGCATAGTGCGCAGTACGCAGGCTGAACCCATTGCTAGGTAGCTATGCAAAACAATATGGTTGCGTTTGAGACCATTGTTGTAATGCTGTTGGAGAAGTTGATATCGGTATTATGTACTCCGTAGATATGACTGGAAGCTGGAATAATTGAAAAGAGAAAAAAGCGGAGTCTCATTTCGGCTCAGTGCAGCAAGGAGATTCTATGACGATAATACGTTTTATAGAAGCATACTCCATATCAAGCAGGGGCATCATAGCTCAGATACCAGTGAGCGGTCATCAAACTAGCACCGAAGCAGACTGCGAGGATCTTGAAGCTGGATAAGTTGCTGTCTATCACAACCGGCAACTCAAAGTAGTTGTGCAGTGAATGTCGAACGAACAAAGGGCGACTCCGTCGTCCAGGTACGTTAGATGATATGTGAGCAGCCACACGGAGGGTCACTAGCCAAACCAGAGTCAATTATCTTGAGCAGATAATTCGGCTCGCAGAACTGTGATTGAATTCCACAACCGGCAATGAAACCAGATGCCAATCATGATTCTGAACGAATGCACTCTCAGAGCGTTTCAGCTTGATGCTTCAAGCCTCAAGGTACGTTGTGTTTGTCGCAACCCTGTTCCTCACTGCGACGGGTGCTGGTTAATGACGGATCACAAACATACTCCGTACATGTAGTTATAGCGCCAATCAGGCTGTCATCAACATGCTGCTGAAGTTCGAACTCGATTGCAACTGTTTCTACAGAGTAGACAGTTGAATTGGAAGCCTTGGGCAGTGGCAACATAGCCAGCTAGGTAGTATCCCATAAGTACAACCTGTTAGTGTATTTAACGGGATTATTCGGTACTCCGTACTCCGTACCTTTAACGGACTTGGCAATCCCAGCCCACTTGGTCAACCTTCGCCTCCAGAACTGCTCCAGGACTAGTTAGTTAGTTAGTGAGTGAGTGATTGAAGAGCATTTAAACTATAGAAGGTTCCCAGCACAAAGCTCACAGCACCCTGAAGCTTGATACACATCGCCGTACCCCGCGACCAGCTGGTTAGCCCAGCCTCCTATGACGGCTCCTGTTCTCAGTCCATCACCGTCACGCGCACCATAATGTCTGCGCACCGAGTCATCCAAGACTCAGACGAGTCCGACGATGAGCTCGCGGATCCTACAACCTTTGATTTGTTCCAAGAACCGCGACAATGCGCGGACGCGTCGGTCATGAATCACGACGGGAACACCAGTCCGCGTTTTCCTGGTCAAACGCCCTCATATCCAATCGTGAAAGAGGGCAGTAGCTTAGGGCCCGATTTAATGGTGAATCACAAACAGGCTTCCATTCATCCTGGCCAAGTGGACTTGGATGTGAACTCTCGGAGCAATTGTGAGCTGGACGATCGAGACAGGGAACAAGTAGATGGTGGGTCAGTTTGTTCAAGTCGTTTTTCATTGTGCTGTTCATTGACACCCTCTATTTATGGATAGATTGTGGAGAGAACCTTCAAGTTGCGCGTGAGGACGATGCCCCTGGATGTCCTGATGGGACGACGGACAATCGCATGCCCTCTTCAGGAGGAAGCATAAAGAGAGGCAGGACAATTGGGGTATTGGAAGAAATACAAGACTTAAGCGATCCTGAAAATAGGAAAGCCAAGCGGAGAAAGTCTTCGACGGCCGTTGACAGCCATGATTACCACAATGGGGGTCCTAGACACCATCGCCGCCTTACAGACTGTTCAACCCACGATGATGGTCGTTTTCATACGGAACTCATTCCCACCCATTCTGTCTCCTCTACTCCAAACAACGGGATGTTGCAGCATAATATTATAATGGACCCTGTTCAGGAATCCGTTTGTGACACGACTCCTCTCGACTATGACATAGGTAACCCAATAAAACCGCCTACCATATGTGCCCAGTCTCCTAAAAACATTCCGGGCCGCTCCAAATCCGTCCCTATTCCCACCGATTCTCCCCATGACACTGAGCCGATGTCATCAACGACTTTGTCACGGGCTCGCCGAACTATGACGAACTGCGAAGCGCAACCACCCACGTCACCTGCAAATAGCATTGATGAGCTGTCGTTGCCTATTTCTGTTCAAATCGCTGTGGATAGGTCTTGTCTACGCAGTTTAAGGCCCCAGCCTCGATCGGAAGACGATGTAGCGAGTGAGCGAGAAGAGCTAGGTTCCGATGATTTTGGAGGCATGCCAATGGAAATGTATAAGCCAAGACCCTCCAGATCACGCTCCAAAAAGACCATCGAAGATGAGTTTGGCATGTCTCATATCACTCAGGAAGTAATGATGAGCTCACATGGTGAATGGTCTGGAGAGTGTCCGCATAGTCTATCCAAAATCGTTGAACAAAGCACCGAAGAGGATCGAGAGTGTCTAGAACAAAGAGACCCTCAATGTTTGACTATTGCCATGAACACAAGCACGGCGGGACATCCAGCCAATACAGAGGTTCAATTCTCGATACGGCCGAATGCGCCTATGCCCATGGAAGGTTCAAAACCCGAGCGCAAGACATCTAAGAAAAAGAAGCTGAAAAGAGGAAAGACTACATCTGCTATAGTCAAAAAGGTATCTGACCATGATGTAGAAGATGATGTCATTTGGGTAGATGAGAGGCCTCTTGCCTCCTTGCCGGAGGAAAAGGTGTACCTCGACCCGTCGAAAAAAGGGAAAGATAAACCTGAAGACGCTATTCGGACCAAGGACACTTGCACAGAAATTCCAGCCGAGTCCTCAACGACCCAGCATTCCGAAGCGAATCATAGCCAAACACCCGTCCCCGCCCCTAAAAAGCGAGGTAGAAAGCCGAAGAAAAACCCCGATGGTAACATCGCCATCGAAGTGCCAAATCTTAAAACCTGCTCTCGTGAAGAGGTAAACCAAGATGAAGTGTGTATCGACGGTCTCGTCCCAGAGCAGCCCGCTCTTCACGACACCGACCCTCCCCAAATGCAACCCCAACTCAGCCCACCACCTATGCTCGACGAGCCCATCGATGGCGAAGATATAAATATAGCCTCAAAAGAGCCAGAGCCCCATCCCGATCCCCCAGCTTTCCGGGATAACCCCAACGTCGACAACAAACCCGAACAACAGCCATCAGCTACGCCAAAGAAGCCCGTCGAAAGGGGCCCAGACAAACATAGCCCCATTGCAGTAAACAAAAAGGTGCCCTATCGTGTGGGTCTAAGTCGCAAAGCGAAAATCGCGCCGCTCCTAAAAGTTATTCGCAAATAACCCTCCGCTATGCTTCTAAACTATGCGAAATGATAACCAACCGACGCCAAATTATATGTCGTATTTTATGATGAAATGCCTTGTTATTATGATTATTACGATGTATTATTACCAAGCTATATACCCACAAACGCACAGCTGTCATGTTTCATTTAATTCACCGCCTACCCAATGATCCTCTTATCCCTGACTATGCCATGGAGACATTTTAATGCACATCCCAACCTTTGTATTATATTTAGTCCCACCTACATCAATGATTCTCGGTTCGCGCTTCTCGCAGCTGCTGTTATCATATACTGATGTATGCATCGTAGCGAGTGTCGACGCCATTGCAATAGAATTTACGATGGATCTCTTTTATCATAAGTCTATAGGGGCCATATCATTGCTTGTTTCGAGCGGTATTCAAGACCAAGCTATGGTTAATGCTTTGTTTCACCAGTAAAGCTCGAAAACAGCGAAATACTCCTAAAGCATATTTCATGAAGCCGGGTGGTGGTAAAAATGGGATAACTTTAATACAAAACTAGATGCTGCAATCAACCCCCGTCGCGGCCTACCAGAGACCATTCATAAGTTTGGTGGACCTCATTCAAATCGAGAAAAGCATCTCATGGATCTCAATCCCCATCCTCTTCATCACCATCATCGCCGCCGTCGTAATCGTCATATTCATCTTCCATCCCATCTTCGTCATCTTCATAGCTTTCCTCGTAGTCATGTTCCCAGTCGCGATCATAATCCTCCTCGCAGTCCATATCCTCGTCGTAATTACATGAGTGCTTGTCCTTATCCTTATTCTTGTGCTTGTGCTTGTGCTTATGCTTATGCTTGTGTTTCTTCTTTTTAAGAATGTCGATGCTTCCCAATTGCGCGCGACACTCTCCAGCCGATTCTTGGCATCCCAATTCACAATGATCCGAGGCATTACCACAGAAACCATGCGCACTGCAACATTTACCAAACTTGGAGCCGCTGCAGGTGTATTCATTTCCACAGGTGCCATCATTCGAGATGGGCTTCTCTCCGGGCCGCCTGTAAGTGTCTGGATTTGTTTTGCCGGGATATAAAGCAGCAGACTCATTCATGAAGCGGTACCAGTTGGTTGGAGGGTCCCCTAAACATTCGCCAAGGGTAACAGCCTGGTAATCAGCTTCGTATAGACGACGGAGCATATGAATAGTCAAATTGTAGACCGTTTGTTCATGAACATCATGAGCAATGACGAGCATAGGGCGGCCGGTTACCTCATGCATTGCCATAGCATGGTCAAACAAATCCTTGGAGCGTTGGATTTGGTGTGGCGAAGCATTATTGTAGTCGTCCGTGTCCACGTTAAAGTAAGCAACATGATATCCCAAATCATCCATATCCGCCAAGCAGCCTGACTGGACCGAACATGCGGAGTAAGGTGGGCGCATATAGGTGGGAAATGCACCGAGAACATTGCGAAGCACCATCTCAGTCTTTATCATTTGATGACGACGTAATTCCCTGGACATGGTATCCAGATTCTGATGCGACCATGTATGGCTGGCGATTTGATGGCCGTTGTTATACATTCGACGAAGGATATCGGCCCATGGGTAATTTGGGTCGTCGATACTGCCTTTACCAGAGTTAAAAGCAGAGACGAAGAATGTAGCCTTTGCATCATAAGAGTCAAGAATGTCCAAAAGATCGCTCGTATAGATGTTTGGGCCGTCATCGTAAGTCAGAGCAACTGTGTTTGGATTGACACACTGATAAATCGGAATAAAGCTGTAAGGCACTTCTCCGACGTGTGGGCGAGAAACAGGGGAAGTATCTTCGCCTTCCGGCCATTTCAAAGCATCACAACCACTCCCAAAGTCGAACAGGCAATCCGGAGCCCCGCAATATTCTGGACCATTGCCACAATAACCTGAATCCTAATTAGCCCACAATCCTGGCAGAATACGTCGTGAACGAAAATACCATGCAGTGAGCAGCAAGCCCCTTCTTGGCATGGGCCGAAATCAGGGCCACAACGGTTGATGCCGCGTTTCTGATACTCCAACTGTTTTCGAGCAGCGAAGCCAGGATCGGGTATCTGACCAGGGAAATGCTGTGAAGCGAAGCCCGGAAACTCTCGATACGACGGTAATTTCGTACCGGGTGCAGTTGGCTTTGCATTAACCTCTATCGTAGGTCCTACTACCGTAACGATAATAGACGGAAAAAAATATTTCCAAAACATCATGACAACAGCCACCAGACGAGCTTGTTGAAGCGTGCCACTCTCTCGCCAGGAAGAAGTAAATCGAAGTTGAGCGGGAGACGAAAGCAGCAGAAGGGATTTCTTCGGCCGGTGCAGGAAAAGAGTAAACACAGCACTGGGTAAACCCTGGAGGAAGGAGTGCGCCATGGTACGGAAACTGCGAACCGCCTGTGAAGGCAAGTCAGCAAAGTCGCTCTTTCCCGGGACTGAGAAAGTGACATTGTGGAGAGAAGTCGCGATCGAGACTCAGGCAGTCGCCATTCAGGGCAATTTGAGCCGCCGTCCAGCAAAGGTTGCCGCAGTGTGCCAAAGAAGAGCTGGGCTGCAGGCTCTGTCTACACCGGTAGCTAGTTAGTTCCACAGGGGGAAGAAGATGGTGGATGGGAGGGCACTTATAAAAAAAAAATTGGCCGTTCCTCGAAAGGAACGGCAGAGGCACCTCTGCATTGCCAAAATCCACTGTGACGGCCAATTATCATGCTATTTCGCTCTCCAGAATACCCCGCACCCATCGACGTTCTCGTCAAACGGCGGAACAATGGTTTTTAAGCGCTAACTTCTCTTCGACACTTCAGTTCATTCCAATGGCGTTCGCCTACTTGGGCCTTCTTCTAAGAGCAAAGGGGAAGAGCATAAGAGAAGGGCAAGCACTGGGTCAGACAAGCCGAAACTTTGAGCCTCACTCAAGAGAGGTCCCGACCTAATACATGTCTCTCCGGATTTCCCATATTCCCCAATTTTCACACTCAGAAGAAACGGTGGGCGCCCGATGGGCCATTCGTAGACGTACCAGATAAGAATGAGACAAGGAAGATTGAAGTCAAGAAGGTAACTGGAAACAAAATTCCTTCACAATGACCAAAACTTTGAGAAGTCGACCGGCAACGGGGCAACTGGGAACGTCTAACCATGATCGTTGACAAAATCACAGGAAGGCATGGCAGCCGAGGTGCCCTAGCGAGCCATGTCATCCAAACATCCCGAGAGATGGTGACCGTCGCATTTACCCAGGTATCATGCAGAATTCAACCCTCTTGCTTCACCGATATATACCAAAACCATCCAAGAGATGGAAATGCCATCAAACGAATTCAACTCAACACTCGACAACCTCAAGCCCCACTAACTGGGAATAACCCGGTGTGTGTGATGCAGTATCCTCAGAGACTAGTTTTTGTTTCCTCTCCTAAAAACGGAGGGCAGTGTGAAAACGGACAAACAACATCCTCAAAAAACCGCTTCCTTCTTCCCCGGAGGGAAGGAGATATTTCTGAACGGAAAACCGTTCACAAACATCTATCATGTCGGCGTTCACTTCAATTCGCAGGCTTGACTTGCGATAAGGCGACTAACGTGGCGGATCCGGATACTCTGGGAAGAGTTGTACGTCTATGGTTGTTGACTCGACGTAAAATCCAGTGAGCGAGCTGGCCGTTAAATAGGCTTGTCGAGGAAGCTGGGATGGATGGTGGGGGTCCGTCAGAGAAGATCTCGTCTGGAGGCTCGAATCGGGCATGGGACAGCCAGCCACGGAAAGCAGAAATCGTTGGTTCGTCGATATCCTCAAACCCACTCCAGCACAGTCAAAAAAATCCCCGCACTATCACTGGTCATGGAGAATCACCCATCCGGAACAGAAAACAAGCCATGTATTCCCGAGGGCAATTCCAGATGACTACCACTTCGAGAGACCCAAAGTAACGCCAGTGATGTCCCACACCTTGCTACGATTCTAGTTGTATGCGTCGATACAGCACAGAACCGATTCCGGCAAAAGTGTACAGAATGCACCAGCGGAACATGTTAAATGGGCGATTGTAGGCTACTCTTTTAAAGAGCATTTGTTCACGTTCTTGGGCAGTGTCCACTTGTAGATGAATAGCACGAGTGATTTCTTGGCTGATTTCCAGCGACGACCAGCAAATTTCAAAAACCACCGGGCACAGTTGGCTCCCAAAGGCGACCTTCAGATTAGGGGGCCCATCCCGTTTCACCCACCATCTCCCATTTTCTTCCATAACTGCACGCACCGAGCTGGATATCCTTTTGTTGATCCAAGCATATTACCCAGCTTAGGAAAACCGACGCGTATTCCGTTCGGAATTTAATGGACGCATAGTAAACCGTCTTTTGGTGCCTCGCGTGAGGCTCTGGGAATCATCTCTTTTTTCACCCACCCTACTCGGAGAGACAAATAGAATCGGCTAATCAAAGAGCTGATAGCTGTTACCACGAGACTTGTGCCCGACCACTCAAGAAGAGGGTCGAAGAGGCACCCGACGAAGATCCTTAGGGTTAAGTTCCAATTTCCGTGTACCCCGAAACCGAAATAGCGTGGAATTTCATATCCGAGCTAGAATGGTCCTCGCGCGAGGGGCATTTCACAAATGCAACGGCCATTGGAGAACTGTGGGGAGGTTGAACTGCATATAGGGAGCACCAGGAGGTACTACCGGGAGTGGAGAGGGAAGAATGCTGTCGAATTGAAGACCATGACAGAAAATTTGGCTTTAGACAAAGGCAACACGAAGCAAAAGGTCCTTCTGCGCAGATTCCGTGAATAAGGACAATATATCCGTCTTTTGGGGACTGCGTTGGTGCGACATGTTGATGTCCAAGGCACGACCCAGAGCGTCGAAGTTGGGGATCGTCAGCAAAGAAGCGCGCAGTCCCGATTTGGGCTAGTGCGACCAGCAGTTACGCGTGACGTCACCAGGTGCAAGATTCTGCTAATCCTAAAGAAGAAAGACGTCTAAACTTTCACCAGGCCTTCAACTCTTCAGCACCGCATCTTACTCCACAGGCTAGGGGGAGAACAGCGCGGTTCATTGAGCAGCCAAATGGAGGATACGAGGCAGTTAAGAGATGCGTTTGATGCCGCGAATGAATTCCTCCATCCAGTTCTAAACAAAGGCATGGGACCTTTGGCCCATTTGAGTTGAGCCAGATGGGAGCTAACAGACTTCTAAGAGCGGATACAGAATTCTCGAGGCGATCCTCTCATCGATATTTTGAATCGAACACTGCCCACCGATTATTGTCATGATGATGCGCCAAGATCTCGCGTTGTACAGCGAACACTGGCTTTACTCAGTAGCATCCACGATGCTTTTGTGGCAGAATCAACCGACCCAGTCCCCGCTAAGCGGGTGCTAGGGAAACAGCAAGACCAGGCTCTAGAGGATGCGAAACGACGCCGGGCTCTCCATGCCCTGCTTGACCTCCTTTCGTTTGAGGGTATATATCCTTCTTTGTCCAGTGGAGTTGGCATCCCGCTAGAGAAGCGTGTCATTTCCGTCCTTCCCGCCGGTGTCATAGCAAAGAATGCAACAAAAGCAAGTGATTCAACACCACAGGATACTCGCATTTTAGACTGTATTATAGGATCCTTGAGTCATATTCTCCGAGATGCGCGCCCGTCAATCCAACCTATTATCCTTGGACGGATTTTGCCTGACTTAATTTGTGGGACTGCCGAATTAGCTTTCAACTCGAAAGATCTACCGTCACATAAAATCGATTCATACAAGAGATTGTTGAATGATATCATTGACAAGTATGGTTATCTCCCAATTTTGCAGGCCAGGTGTTTAATGCCATCGTAGATGTTCCACGCCATCGCTGTTGCCGGTGCTATCATCTCTGCTCCAAGAAAGTACAGCACCTTGGTTTAAGGCCTGCATCTCTTCACAGCTTTCCCAAATACCATTGCGAAAAGATGGTGTGTTTCAAATAATTTTATTTCTTGCTTCTCAATTTGCACCAACACTGGGTCAAACCACCAAAGACCCTTCCTCTGGAGGGCCACCGATTACGGTCCAGGCAATCATGCAGTCCTCCCGGTTGCTATCATTAGTACCGCAAGGCAGCAACCCTGAGGAATATTTTAGCAACGTTGCACCCAAACTGCTAGCTCTACTTGATGGAGAAGACCCTGATATGAAGAAAACGTCCTCTTATGTAATCGGGAATGGCATTCTTGGAAAACGAGCATATGGCTCTCCTGGGGCCATTGGCTTTATCATTTTCGTCCAGCCCATCCTTGACACTTTCCATGGCAAAATCTCTCAGCCTGTTACAACTTGGATGAGACCATTCTCCCTGGATGGCTCTGCTGATCCAGAGATAAAGACCGGGGATTTTGACGGCATCATCATTGTTCCTGAGTTCAAGCTACTGTTAGCATTAGAAAGACTGACCGCCTTGGCGACATTACATCCAAGTCCCGGCCTTCTCAAACGATTAGTCAACCCAGCCTTGTTGCCTCTGTGGGGATTACAATGCTACGCCAAAGAGCACCAGAAGCGCTCACTAGAAGAGAAGGTGAGCACTTTACTACAAATGTTTTTTAGCGTATCCGCTAGCATTACGAGGCTGGTCAAGCTTGCGGATAACATTCTTTGGGATGGCCCAGAAGCCTGGGTCTATGGGGCCGGCGAAGAAGGTGGTGTTTCGATTCGGAAACGTGAAAATCGTGAGCCGTGTGGGCCTAATATCCTCTCGATAATCCAAAATCTAGATGGACGTGTCGATAGTTTTCTACAGCTGTTAGCTGCAGATCCACAAAAAGAAGAATTTGTGGGCGATGTCTTCCTTCATGTAAGCCGACAATGGCTGTTTAGTGAATCAATGGGTGAGGATGGAGGTTGTCCTCAGCCACACAGGGAACAAGACAAATTGCAGCCCGAGTTACGAAAACTGGTCAGCGCGAAAATTGCGGAGAAGCTCTTGGATCAGTTCAAGGAATCTCTATCTCGCCATCCTATCAAAGTTCTGGAACTTATAAGACAGCTAATCGAAAGTGAAAAGAATCGCGCTAGCACACTCAGGACAAACGCTCAAGGCAGTGAGAGCATATCTCTCCAGGCACTTGGGAGTATTGTAAAGGCAGAATCAGCTGTGGGTAGCGATCCGGACTCCAATATCACCGGAGTTTCCGAATCTCTATCACCCGCATTCAGTCTCCTCTCGACAATCCTCGCTTCGCCCGACTTTCAAGTATCGGATTCAATATCCCTGATTCTTAGAAACTTGAAGTCCGACATAGATTATCTTCTACCACGCCTCCCATCCGCCCTTGTACAACCCGCAACCACATCTTCTATGCTCCTCGAAATCACCCTTTCCGACCCCGATCAACGCCAGACAAAACCAACACTTACGTTTCCTGGCATCTCTGATCTTGAAAGCCACCGCCAGGCGATAAATAATATCTCTTCCCCGTTGGCCCCTGTTCAAGCCGAAGGTCTCTCAACGCTATCTCACCTAATTGACAAAGCGTCTCCCGTCCTGGATATTCCTGCAACTCTCACGCTTCTTCTTTCCGTATTAACAGCTAGCGATGAGTCTGCTGCTACCGACGAGTTTCTTTATCTCAATGTGATCAAACTCATCGGATCCCTGGCGTCCAAGCACCCACGTACTGTGATAAAAACCCTCGCCGAGCGTTATGCTGATCGCAGCGAGGAGTCGACCCTCGACCAGCGACTCAAAATCGGCGAAGCACTCCTCAGAACAATTCAAAATCTAGGGGGGGCATTAGTAGGAGATGCTGCCAGGGTCCTCGGAGACGTCATGATCGAGGTGGCCAGCAGGAGGGGAATTAAGCTCAAAGCGAAGGATCAACGGGGAAAAGGCATAAAGAAGAGCCCACCGGCGAAAAACAGTGAAGAATTGAATGAAAATATCACGAAGCTTATGAACCAAATTAACGAAGATGTGGATTCTGAAACGGAAGATCCAGTTAAAGAAGCCTATTCTAGCAAAATTATCCACGCATGGGAGGCTGGGGCTACGACAGATACTGCCCCAGATGATCTACGTGCCCGTGCTTCCGCGATATCAATCCTCGCATCTGCGATCCAGACAAACCTAGCCGGTCTAGGTCCAGCATTAGCATCTTCCTCAATAGATCTCGCGGTATCCACTCTCACCCTTGAATCCGATGAAGGAAGCGCAATTCTACGACGTGCGGCGGTAATATTGCTGCTTGACTTGATTAAAGCCCTTGATGAAGCTAGAGAGTCGGGGAAGGATCTCGGCTTCGGCCTATCGGTAACTGCAACATCATCCTCGATATATCCCGCCAGTCACCAATCCGGATCCGAATGTACTACAATCGGCAATGTTCCCGATATCCTCCGCGCGCTGAACTTCGTCGAAAGCAGAGAGACTGATACGACTGTACGTGGTCATTTACGAGCTCTAATCGAGAGTTTGGAGGCCTGGCTCGAAAAGTCGCTACTTTGGGGAATTCGCACTCAGCAGAGCCTGATGGAACAGCCCAGGTTTGAATTGGGGGATCGGCTGGCAGGGTTAGATATCCACCCTTTGTCCAGTACAGAAAAATATGGGAGAACAGGAGAACATCCCAGAATTGAGGAGATTGAGTAGGCTAGAATAAATAAGTGAAAATATCAAAGGGAGTAACTGTGCTTTTGTGCAGCAAAGAATTGGCTACCTTCATAATACCAATGGCTTCGTTAAAATTATGTTCAAAAGGATAATATCTTAAATTTCATATATCTACCACTAACCACTAGTTAATTACCCCTTGGAATACCACATTTTTTGGGGGGAAACATCCATTTGATAACATGTCATCTTCCAGTCCCTTTTTCTAACTCCCGTCCCAGGGTTTTACCTATGAGGAATGGCGCAATTTCATCATCTGGCTTAGAGAAATGCCAATCTAAAGTATCTAAGATGCTCAGCACGGAGCGAAATCAATGACTTTCAGCCCTAATTTTCATGTTCAGCAATCTCGCCTCAACACCGTTCACCCCGAACGGCCAGTAAAATGCAAGCTCTGCTGAGAAGTAAAAAATCCGTAACCTATAAATTGCGCCTTGAAATCAAATTCGATGTCGAAGCGAAGTGATTTTGTGAGAGGAGGGAGGTGGTTAGGTAACGATTTACGGCCCACCGCGTCCTCTTCCGCGACCTCCTTGCCAACCGCCTCGGCCGCCGTACCCACCGTTTCCACGTCCCCAGCCGCCGCCACGACCTCCTCGAAAGCCTGCCCGACGACCGGAATGAGCCGACTCCGATTTTCGGCGATCGTTGGCCTGTCTGATAGCTGCTTCTTGTTCAGCGCGCTCTTCTTCAGATTGCTCAAATGGATTTGCGATGCCTAGCATTTCGCAGAATCGAGTGGTCTGGGGATTCAAGTACTCGAACGGCTGCTCAGGAGTGGTGACAGGAACAGAGGGTTCATAGACAGGTGCTGTGATGGTGAAGTTGTGTGGAACAACCATCTTGCCTTCCTTGACAATATTTTCTTCAACCCAGGCCTCAGCATCAATGATTTTTGGTTTATAAAATGCGCTCCCTTTGTCAATGGGAACCTGTGACTTCTTCCCTACCACGAATCCCTCAGCAAAAACACGTGTGATCGCAAGCCATTCTTTATCATATTCAAGTTGGTATGGACGTTGTTCATCAGTGTGGTCGCTTTCAGACACAGGAAATATCTCGAGCAGCTCCAGGAATTTTCTGTGCGGCTCACATTTGTCCAGGGCCAAAAATTGGGTTGCCTTGTTTGTAATACCTTCTGGAAGCTCTTCCTCAGCTATGACCTTGTCCTGTGTTTTGTCACGTTTTTGAAAACTGGCTGGCAGTTGTTCACGAAGTTCATCTGAGACTCCATCAAATTGTGCAGGTGGCATGGGCATGGAGGCTGTAGTTTCCAATTGGGTGGAAAGGTTTTGCTTTGTGATAGAGGCATCAAGAGCTTCGTTTGGTGTCTCAGCCGTTTCTGATGCAGATTCCATCTCAAGGTCTATTTCGTCTGCATTTTTTACAGGAGAAGGGGCAGTCTCTTTCTGAACTTGGTTAATTTCATCCTCAGCTTTGGTTCTCACAACGTCTGAAACTTCTCGCGAGAGGCCATCATCAGTAACAACTTTCTTCCAGGTCACCTGATAGTCAATATTGGACTTAGGTTTTTCGATTTCCCCAGCATCGACACGACGTCTAAACTCATCGGCAGCTTTCAAATATTCAGCATTTTCTTCAGCTTCCCTTTTTGAGGCCACCTCATAAAATCCTCTCCAGGCATTTATACGGTCCTGTTCACTGCTCTCAAGCTGAGTGTTATAAGTAACAGGTCGCCTGTCAGAGTATGCTGCGGCGCCTGGAGTCATCGTCTCAGGTCTTGTGACGCACGCTTGCATTGGCTTCACCATAACTTCCTCAGGTTCTGGATCTTTGGCGGGATCTTTCATGCGCGACTGCTGTGATTTTGTGTCAATGTTGTGAGCATTGACTGCTCTAGGAGGAGAATAGGCCTTATGCTCCAGGGTGGAAGTGTATTTCACATGCAAGTGTGCAGAAAACCAATGAGCTGGTCGCAAGCGGTCAAGAACATATCGCACTGCGGGACTTCCAAGCTTTCCAGACTCTGCATCTTTGACAAAATGAGGCTTTCTGCGGAATAGATCATCGACATCACCAGTCCATTCAATAGCCTGCGGCCAATCGTGACTAATTCCGATGTCAACTTGTGTGCGAACTTGGAGTAGCTTGCGGACGTCGATCTCCCTAACATGATAGATAGAGCGTAATGCGTCATCGCCATATGGCAACCTTTCAAAATGCTGGCGGCGATAGTCATAGCCTTTCCAGATTCCCGACATCCCGGCAATTCTCAAGGGTCCGCATCGAATGACATTTGCGGCGCCAAGGTAATAAATATTGGGTGCGACCCAACCTCCATAATATAGCTCGAAAAGATGATTGCTTGCTTCGTGATTGCCTCCCACGAAGATAGTCAGATAAGGTGCGACTCGAGCACCGCTATAGTACTCATGAAAATCACCAATTTTCTTATATTTTGCTGGAACAGCCATGCAAGCCATGTCATTGGAGTTTCTGACAGCCTGTAGATAAATGTTAGTCAGGGCAACAGCAGGAGATAGAGCACTTGACATAGACGTGGTCTCACTTGAAAATCACCCCCAATAATAACCAAATCCACACCATCCCAACCCTTGGCCTCAGCCGATTTCTTTACTGAGTCATAGATCTCATGTAGTTTTCCATGTCCCTAAGCAGGTCAGTTTTACTGTAGTTGATGTGCTGCTCCAGTGATATGAACAAGCGTCGCAACAAGAAAAAGCAGGCTGAGGGTAGCAAAAGGAACACTCACGCATCCTTCCACAGCAAGGCGAAAGCACTTTTGTGTTGGCAGATCAGATGCCATAGTGGTTTGTCGACAAAGTGACGACGACTGATGCAAGGATTTTCTGTTGTGGCGCGTCAAGTAGGTTGGTGACGACGAACGACAATATTTTCGGAAGGTTAAAACCAGAGAGGATGGGTAGTTTAAATAGATGCAAGGATGATACTTGAAGAAAAGTTGATCAAAGAGATTTGCACACGAATGAACAACCCTGAGCATGTTGTGAGCGATAAAGTGAGGATTAGAGCGCGGGAAGCTCCGTTGGTGGTTTCGATGTTTCTCACTTGATCGGCCGTCTCCCCCTTCTCAACTGACCATATCAAACTCACACTGTCTTCCCTACGTACATCTCTCTCCTTTCTACGGAGTACACTTCTTCCAGTGCTAATTCCTACCTACCTCTACTTTTAGCGGACAGTCCATCACTACCTACCATGAGCCATATGACTGCACGACTGGAATTTTTAAAGAAGTCAGCTCTGATGCTGGCGTCTGACAGCCCATCAACATCTGCCCATCTTTTGGCAGCTCACAACTGTGTCCTCTATGAGCTGTCAAAGCCAATATCTTTCAGTCAGAAAAGAGAATACTGTCCATCATGTGGGAGTATTCGTCTTCCAGCTATAACTTGCACAGTTTCTACCCGTGCCAGGGCTCCAAAAGGCGCAAGGCGTGGAAGGATGTCACCCACAAACGACAAGGAATCATGTGCTGTCTACAACTGCCTGCGCTGCCATCGCCAAACTGTCCAGCCGTTTAAAAAAGCGAAACCGAACCGGCCAGGGGGCAGAATCGCGGCTGATAGCTCAGCACTTAATTCATTACAACCTACAAGCCAGACCGAGACATCGGCCCGGGAGCCCAATGTTGCTGCTACGCTTAGCTCCGCTAAGATGAAAAGCAGTTCGGATAATGCGAGCAGTAAGAAGAGAGCCAAGGCTCGCAAACAACAAGGCCTCTTAGCAGCTCTCGCAGCGAGCAAACAGACCTCGCAGCCCTCGCCGTCGACATCCCTTGATCTGCTCGACTTTTTACAGCCCTAAGCCCTATTTTCCCAAAATAGCACGGAAAAATGTTTGTCCAGTTTCAGTCCAAAAATGTTTTAGTGCGGGGCCTGACGATAAGGCTAAACTTAATATGTGCTAGTGCGGGGAGCATCCCAGAAAGAATTGGAATGTTTCTCCAAACTGAACTTTTTTTTTTGGCCGAAGAAAAAGCACCGCGACACTTATTGAGAAAAGGAAACAACCTGGACCTGTCAGTTGCCGTGGGCATTTTAAGGGTTATTCTCTAAGAACCGTCATCTCCATTGGTTATTATCTTTCCCTTCCAAGCAATATTCCCCCCAAAGACAACCGCGCATTTGATAGCGCCTTCACTTAGCCTTAGAGATCAGAATCATGGCAGATAGCGAAAGCGCAGCCGTCGCGAAAACATCCGCAGGGCTCCAGGAAGATTCTACGCAGCATCTGTCCGCTGAATTAGAAGAAACGTCCGTGAACAAATCTGGAAACGAAGAAGGAGAGGAGGAAAATGAAGACGATGTCGGGCCCATGCAATTGGAAAGTTTATGTATGAATTGCCATAAGAATGTAAGTCGCGAAAGTTTCCCTGGCCATTTGGTCCTTTGAGGCTGATATTCACCGGGTTCTAGGGTGTGACCAAAATCCTCCTACTTCGCATCCCCTTTTTCCGAGACGTCCTGTTAGAGTCATTTGAGTGCCCTCACTGTTTTTTTAAGAATAATTCAATCAAGGCTGCCGGCCAGATCCAAGAACAAGGTTCGCGGTACACTCTAGAAGTCGAGTCCCCCAGAGATTTCGAGAGGCAAGTTATCAAAAGTGATTCGGCAGTCTTTCGTTTGGAGACTTTGGGAATAGAAATGCCCAAGGGCGATGGCCAACTCACCAATGTTGAAGGAATATTATCGAAGATTCTCGAGCAGCTTGAAAGCGATCAGCCTGCGAGAAAGATCGCTGACCCGGAACTCTACCAGTCCTTGGAAACCGTTATTCAAAAGTTGAAGAAAATGGTTCATCGTGAATCATTTCCTTTCACCATCTCACTTGATGACCCATCAGGCAACTCCTGGATCGCACCTGCACCCCATGATGAAGGGAACAAATACCAACGGAAGGATTACCGCCGGACTCGTGAGCAGAATGAAGAATTGGGTATTGGAGGAGGGGAAGAAACAGGAAACATGAGGGTTTCTGCGGGTGATCCGAATGATCTCGATATCATAGACGGAAAGGTGTACAGTCTTCCCGCCGAGTGTCCTGGCTGCACGAAAGTATGCTCGGTAAATATGCAGAAGGTGGATATTCCCCATTTTAAGGAAGTATTCATTTGGAGTACGGTATGCGATCATTGTGGTTATCGAACAAATGAAGTAAAGACAGGTGGGGCTGTTCCAGAGAAAGGCAGACGCATTACCCTCCAAGTTGAGGGCATTAAAGATCTCTCTCGCGATATCCTTAAGTCAGATACCTGTGCCGTTGCAAGCGAAGAGCTCGACCTTTCCGTGCAGCCGGGCACCCTTGGTGGTCGGTTTACTACCGTTGAGGGCCTTTTAACCCAAGTCCGCGATCAGCTTCATGGTCAGATCTTTGAGATTGGCGATGAAGACCTGGCTCCGGGTGACTCGATGGCTGCTGAGGAGCGATCAACCTGGGAACGATTTTTCAGCAGGCTTGATGCCGCTATTAAGGGAGAACTTAAATTCAAGATTTTACTTGAAGATCCTCTTGCAAACAGTTACGTCCAGAACCTCCATGCACCGGATCCCGACCCTCAGTTGCATATTAAAGACTACACTCGGACAGACGAGGAAGAAGATGAACTTGGATTGAAAGATATGAAAACCGAGGGCTATGAAGAGGACAATGAAAAGGATGAAGCATCATGATCTCGTGTGTAGACACTGTCTTGGGTTCCCTCTCTCCTTTGTGATGTGTATTAATGAACTGGAATGACCCATTTTTTTTTTTTAACGCGATACAAAATCTGAAGCTAGAATCCCGAAAAGGTGGCATTATCCTTTTGCTCATTGCGTTCTGGGATAGAACGAAAGATGATTATTATTTTATTGCACCCTGCTTGGCATAGTTTATACGCTCTAATCAGATAGAATTGGCCAGATGTAAATGTACAAATTCATCCAGCTTGATAAATTAGCTATCCACAGAATGCGTGTTATTCGGACAAATTTTAAAGAAGCCAGGCCTTTGAGAACTGATCTTTGATCAGTCTGGCATGAGAAAGGGTGTTTTGTTTTTGAAAGCCCCAGGCATAATTTTCTTGGTTGACCTGACGGCGGATACGAGAATTGATCCGGTCTTCGCTCCCAACCCGAGACGAAGGAGCGGTCCAGGCGAAACTCAACGGCTCGGCAGAGAGCGTCATGTCCAGATCAAGATCGTGTCTTCCCGAAGGGAGGATGCAAGGAGCAACCTTTTGTACGGATATTCGCTGGCTGTCAACCGGGTTTCCGTCCAAAATGACCAAAGAAACACTGGAATATTTCAATCCAGGGTCACCGGGGGCCCAATTATATTTTTCAAGAACCGCTGGCCGCTCATTCCGCAAACGGATTTGCATGGATTGTCACCCTTTCAATCCCAATTCGCTCCCATTCCGCATCCTGCTCCGCTTCTGCTTTTTCTTTCTTCTGGTTCTTCCCAACGTCACCCGGCTGTACGACCCTCCCTTTCTTATCAATCTTCACCTTCGCGTTTTCCAACTTCGTCAATGTATCGTGCTCCTCCCCTTTTTCCTTGGAACCTAGACCTAGAACCTTCCCAAAGACAGTACTCTTCCCATCAAGATGAGACGCGGGGGCAAATGTGATGAAAAACTGACTGCCGTTGATGTGCTTTGTCTCCGAACCCGTTGTGCTCTTTTTAACGGCTTTGCTCGCCATGCTGAGGATTCCACGGGCATTGTGTCGGAGGGACGGAAGGTGGATTTCTTGCTCGAGGGGCTCTGGGTGGTGAATTGATGCTCCGCCCTTGGGGATTTCGAATGGCAACGAAGGTCGTTCGGGGAGTAATTCGGAATCGGTGGAGGGCAGGGAGAGAGATATGTCGCCGCCTTGGATCATAAAAGAGGGGATTAGGCGGTGGAAGGGGGTGTCGTTGTAGGCGCCTGAGGCACAGAGGGCTAGGAAATTCTGGCTTGTGGGTTAGCTTTTAGAGTCAAGCAAATAGAGTAAAATAACACAAGTAAAACCGCTGGAGAGGGAGTTGTGAACGCGACGGATTAAATGTAAATGGGAACATACCTCGGCGGTCCTGGGGACAGCTTCACAGAATATCTCTACCTTGAGGTCGCCATGGGTGGTATGGAGCTGGTACAGATGCAGTTAGATGTCAACTGATGCCACTTCTTGGGTGAGCTAAACTTGTTAAATGCGATACTCACCGTGACAGACATTGTAGTGCAGGCTTCCAGGCGGTCATCGGGAGTCCGGGCTCCGCAACAATGCTCACCGTCGCGGCGTCGTCGTCGTCGTCGTCTTCCAACCATTCCCCCCCCCGGCACTCCGCGCCCGCCAGCCTGCATCCCTCGCCGATCACGTGATTTAGACGCCGGCCGGGACCGTTTTGTTCCCCCAGCCTTGCAGCCACCACCACGACGCCGCCGGCCGCCTCTCCTCCAGCGTGCTCCAATCGCGAACAGTGGACAATTCCCGCATTTCTCAGATCCTTGGCGCATCGCATATGGGGAGCATAGACGGCAAAGAGCGGCCACCTCCAGCACGCATTCAGGAAATTATTTGTTTCTTGCTACTCCTGCTCTTAAGGAGGTCCTTCACACCCATCCCTGGGAGTTGGGGTCGGATTCTCTGGGCTCTTGGACTCCATAGTTAATTCCTTGGTATGTACAGAGTATATAGAGTACAGAATACAGAGTAATATAAATGCAGTTGTCTTGAAACAACGTGGTTTTCCGGCAAGGTACAGCAACAATATGTGAGTAGAGTGAATCAGAGCCTTAAAAAACCGTGACCCGGGGGATGACGTGGAGCTGCACGCACAGAGTCCACCGCCTAGAATTACGCAAGAGTCGACAACAAAGTTTACAGAGCTGCTACTGTAGCTCTGTTTATCCCGTCCCCTGGATGGAATAGTAACTGCCAAACACATTGTGGCGGCCAGCCAGAGTTGTACGAGAGTTTGGCACATTTAACCATATTAACTAGTTATTAGTTAGTCCTCGGGTTTTGCCGCCCAGAAAGCGACCACCAGAAACACCTTGTCATCGTCATCATCACTCTATCAGATTGTTAAAAATCGCAGGTTGACCAGGCCAACAGGGACTCGTCAACTAAGTTAATCCGTGTGGGCCAAGCGGTCGTTTTCCTACCAACTTACTAGAGAGTACTGCGTACGGGGTACGAATTTCCAATTACAACCCCTGCCGTTCCATTATCCCTGGAAGAAGGCTGCTGCCAAAAGAGGTGCCGGACAGACAAAAATATCTTCGGCGCACTCACATCTGCAGATGCTCCAAAGAGTGTCGTCTCCCTCGCACTGCGTTTGATCCCTACGCAGACTCCCTATGATGCTTGTTTCCTCGTCGACATTTCCTGGTTACCTCTGAATCCGTCGGACCCTGAGCCGTTTCGACCATACCTACCCGCCCCCGTTCGCGTCTCCGCACTAAAGAGCGACCCTTGACTTAGCTCCTCCTCGTGCGCTGGAGCCAACGTTCACCCACACGCAGGGATAGCCTCATGCACCACGGTCGCCAGAACAGTTGATCATATTAATAAAGTTCAACAGCAGTCTCAGTTCGCGACGCGCATCCCTATCTCCGGCTCATGGTGGCTTAAGAGGAACCTCTGGTTCAAAAATGGCCGCATTCGTGCGCGTGTCCGGGCCTCCGAACAGCAACTTTCTCGTCGGCTACCCTGGCATATCAGCAACTCTGGTGAGTGTTCCGTCCCCTTGAATTCATTCCGGTGTTCGCGATACAAGGCTTCGGGTGCATAGTCGCTGGGATGGCCGTTGCTGACCATTGTTCGAAGCCCCGCATCGAGGGAAAGGTTGAGATACGACCCAGCGCTGGCATATCCGCCCCCGTTAACATTTCCATGGTCACAATATGTCTGCAGCGACGAGAGACGATACATCCCTCCGCGCACTCAGTAACGAAGAGACACCTCGCGGCGCCCCGCAAAGAGATTACGGATATCGTTGGCAAAGAAATGCTCCTCTTCCGTTGCCCGATGGGCCGTGATCATGAAGAGATTATGGCGATGGACCTCCCCTTCGTATTATTTATACCGTTCGGCCGAGGCGGACAGGAATCATCTCGGAGACTACCGCCGCCCAGCTTACAGCTCCCCAGCCGGACCGCAGAGACATTGTACGAGCTGGTGGTTATGGTTCAACAAGGCCCGTCGGAACAGAAGAAGTATGCATTTCCTGTGCCGTTGGCGCGATACGATACTTTGTCAACATTTGGGATGTATAACCGACCCGAATCATCGCAAAAGGTATCGGACCATTTGGTTACTCTGGGAATATCGTTACCGCGGTGGTCATATGGACCTCTCGACCCTGTTAGCGTATATGTGCAGCTTTCCCCGAACCCAGATTGGATAAGTAAAGCCCGAAAAGTCACAATTCAAAAGCTTACCCTTACCATCGACGAAGAGATTATTTACAACCATGAGGGCGATGAGCCTCAGCGCAAAGTGAAAACCTTGGCGAAGAGGTCAGAAAGCGTGGGTATGAAACTGCCCGAAGCAGGGTATATCACGAATCTGGGTCTGGTATTCCCTGCGAGGGACCTACGCGATTCAGATGGCATTCTACCGCGTTCAAAACCGGGCTTTCCATTTTATGCTGTCACTTCATTTACCACAACCGCGTCACTATATAAAATCGAATATTATCTTACGGTCAAGGTGCGTGTCAAGGATGCTTCATGGAAAAGGTCCGAGCTGACTAGGATAATCCCTTACAGGCCCATTTAACTTCAGCTAAAGACATAGTACTTCGCCAGCCCATTGTCGTCTGTCCTCAGGATCATGTTGGATGCAAAGAAGAAATGGAAGCCATCGAGCAGGCAGCTAGAGAAGCCAGGCATATTAATCCCGATAATCCAATGTTACCTTTGCCAACAATAGTGCGAGCTCACGATCCCTACGCATTGAATTACATCAACGTAGCGATTGTGGGCAATGTGAAAAAGCCGTTGATAGATTGAAATACTACAAGCCCGCACCTGGTCCTTGTGATTTGACCATCCGACCGAAATTAACACGGCCCGCCCGTTTTCATAACGTACATTGAACGACTTATGACTGATTCACGACCCTCCTAACACCAACACCCTAGTGATGGCCCGGCTCGGTATTATGATGTCTCATCACACCTAGCTGCTTAGCGCTTCTCTGCCGCTACCTCCGGTATGAACGCGCGATAAGTGTCATGGTGAAAACCAAGTGTGCGAAGGGGTTTGGGAGCGCAGTGCAATATAGACACATCGTTTCTAACCACCCTCACCTTGCTTAACCTTTCTATGCCGACCGGCGCCGCCTTTGATATGACCTACCTTCGATTTATTTTTGGAACTCCTCAAACGGTCGGCGATTTTATCCTTTTATCGGCGAACCCTACTCATCGAACCAGAAAGCCTGTTTTCATTCATGCATACGTACGTATCCACTTTTGGGTCAGATTTACCTGCTCTATTGGCAAAGGAATATCCAGACGGGGCATTTTACGGATTTCTCCCTATTGGCATTAATACTTTTCTTCTTGGGCCTGGTGGAAAATCTGTTTTGCATCTGGGAATGTTACGGAGTGAAGGCGCTTTATTTGACCCCCCCATTGGCAATTTTTTTTTTATGGAGCTGGAGGGCGCGGATTGATTCCTAATTCTCTTCTATTGTTCACAAGTGTGGATGCGATATCCTTGCTGTCTTTCTTGTCACATCCCAATAGGGACCTTATCATGAACAGCGACCATGTTTTGTTCAGTGTGGTTGAGATGATGGTATTTTACAAGACACATGCAATTACTACCGTTCTTGAGTGTATGTCGATTTTGCCTACGGGCAATGCTACTATATCTGGATACTCTGTATGCCATTATTATTATGTTCGACACACACACTCCCCTTTTTCCAGCCGCTCAGCCCCAAATTAGTTTAGTCAGCACTTTTTCCCAGCCTTGTTTTGAGCTCACTAATCAAACTAAGTAGTTAGGAGCCGCAAGGGGGCTCACCGCCTTCGAGTTTGTTCCCTTTCGCATGGGGTTTCGATGCCCAGTGATCGAAGCCGACCTCCGAAGTCCTCCGTATTAGAGACATAATTTTCTTCTATCCTACGGAGTCCGGGATGGCAAACTCGATTTTCAAGCACCCGAGCGATATGCAGAACAAGAGCTCTACAAGACCCCTGCTCCTAAAGTTGCCGTATGCGATTCGTCGGCAAGTATATGTACTGCTAGGTCTTATCATACCATCGACTTCCCAAGTTACACTGTCTTATCCACCGGAGTATTTTGTTTTCGTGTGGTCGGCTCAGAGTAAAACATTCAGAGAAATCGATGACGACCCACGTCCTCCTGTTTCGAACCAGCTCTTCTACGTTTCTCGCGAGATCGCAGATGATGCATTACAAGCCTTTTATTCCGAAAACAAAGTGGTGTTGCCTTCAATGCCCTCTTCGCGTTGCGAAACCTAAGCCCCTTGGCTCTAAGGTCATTGACGTTTCTTTCCATTAATATAAAGATTCGCAAGCCGATCACTGAAATGTTTCCAATGCGGTCTAATGAGCTCGCATGTGGGCGACAGGTTGTTGAGGAGTGGAAGAGATGCTGCGATAGACTTGCTGCACACATTCAACCAAACGTCTTGGAGCTTAAACTCAACCTAGACACTGCGGATACTCATATCGGTTCGGCGATGCTGAGGACACTCTCCGCACTCCCGATCTTGAAGGAATGCTCTGTAGCTTTTGAAATGACCAGTAGCCGCGAGCTCCAGCCGTTGACAGAGAGGACTGTTCGCCAAGTTACTGGGCAGATCGTGTCTTGTCCACCGTTCCGCTTCGAGGACCTTCCAATAGAACTCCAGCTCAAAATTCTTGAATATGCAGGTCTCTCCGCGCCCGGGGATCTTAGATGGTTGAAAGGGATCGGCTACATTTTGAATACCTGTGCCGAAATGGCTTGTGGTATTCGTGGCTCGCCGGCCATTAGATATATTGGTTGCCATATATTTCGAGCCCGTTACAATTCTGGGGATCCTTGTTGGACATTCCCGGCTTCATTATTCCTGGTAAATTGCAGCATAAGAGAACTTTCACAACACGTGTTCTTCTCTAAGAATCGGTTCCTTCACCCTCATCATGATGATCCCTTGGGATGGTATCTGCCTCAAAGCTGCCTTCATCTTATACGGTTCATCTCTTTTAGTTTTTCTTATCTGATCGACCTAAAGGACTACGCTCCCGGATCGTCGTCTATAGCACTCTGGATCGACAGGCTTGATTATATTACCCGACACTTGAACGTATCAAACCTTGTTCTCTCGCTCTATCTGGAGTGTACCGAGAGGTCATGTGGACAGGCGCTCGACGTCGATGTGGAAAATCGGCTACAGCACGATGTCGCCATGCCCGAAGTGTATAAGCGAATTATCGAGCCGCTTACTCGTATAAAGGGATTAAAAGATCTTTTTGTGCATATGGGTAGACGGGGACGGCAGGGCGATTTCTTGAACTCGGTCCGGGATAAACAGGAAGCGGAGCTTGAACAGGTGGTAATGGGCCCGTTGTACGATGCTGTAGCACGAGGCAAATACTGGTCGAGGCCGCCTAGTCCGATTTGCCGGATGTAGTTAAGGCCACAGTCTGCAATTTGGGAGTCAAAGACGATGGGAACACGTACTCATTAATAATCGAATCGTTGCATGGCCCTTGTTCTGTTGAAGGTGTGTACATACGATAACTAGATCGCCAGCAGAAAACGAAATATATCAAACTCGTGAACGACTACGAAAATCAGGACTTTCGTCCGTCATGAACTCGTGACTATTATATGTAGGATTCATCATTGCATTAGTGTGTATTCAACTCGGGGTCTCCTGGCTGAAATTCCGCGATTATTGCTCGACGATCTTAAGCTCCCTTTCCAACAAAACACGCAACTGATCCACCTGTATCTCCGCATCTATCGTCCTTGCTACAGACCTCGAGCTCGCTGGTGCTACCATCCCCGTACTCCGCGAACTTTCAGCTTCCGCAATGCATTCCCGTAGCACGTCCAGTACAGCACGATACTGCGGTGAATTGGGCCCGAATGAAGCACGTGTGTTCGCTAAGTTTCTTGAAATCTTTTTGACCGCAGAAAAGCGGGCTTTGGGTTAGATAACAGTAGCATAGAAGTTTTCATCGCTCAATGGGGTCTGTAAAGGAACTTGCTTGTTCAATCAGTACGGTGGATGGGCGAGGAGAAGTCATTTAGATACAGGTATATCGGACTGCTGGTGCAATAACTAGTCGAGGTGTTTTGTGGATAGAAATGTTGCATCGAGGTTCAATAGCTGGATTAGAGGAAAAGAGATCGTTTGACAGGTTCCTGGGTCGTGAAGGACAGATGTCAGAAGCAGCAGCGCTGAGGGGTCCGACGAGGGGCAAAAATAAGCTCGCAACGCCCCGCCGGGCCTAATCGCCGCACCGCAACGGCTGCAACGTGCCTCAGTAACTCGCCCCCGACACAGGCTTGAGTTGCCGCGCGTCTAGGCGCTAGCTACTTAGTTAACTACTCCGTAGTTGATGTTTAGTTACTCCGTACCGAGAAGCCAAGGATGCGAATTGATCGTTAGTTATCTTATCAATCACAGGGAGTTTTCAGAGTCCAACCAAACTGAATTGCGCTTCCAAGTTACAACCGGTTTGCACGAGGTACTTAGGCAGTTAAGTTGATCTCCTACTCCCTATACGTAAGCTTGAGAAAATGGCCGACGCAGACGAAGACGGCATGTTGCGACCTTCCTCCGTGGATCCCTCCTCCAGCATCGATCACGACGTCTCTGACGAGACTCAAGATTTCCGCTTTCTGAACAACGTCTCTTTGTAAGTTAATCTCTCTCCAATGGTTTTCGTCTTTATTTCTGACACAAAGGCACTTCAGCTTTTCCGATCCTACCCAGCAAACCCTGCCGCGCCGTGGAGAAAAGGACTTTGAACCAAACCCTACCCTTCACCAAGCAGACACGCTTGCGGCATCCCGGGATGCTATGCACAATGCACTCGTCTTTCCCCGGTTGCATAATCCCAAGAATAAAGTTGTGGGCATCTTCTGTCCAGATGGAATCCTGGAACCCGTAGCGTCACGGCCGGATAAAGCATTATCGGAAATGGATGCTGAGATCGGATTTCCAGAAGGCGAGGACGAGGGTAATTTGAGCGCTCCAACTAAGCAGGATGTGGACAGGCAGGTCTACCGACCCCGCGGGGCTGACCTTTGCGTGTGCGTCCCGAATCCTCGTGGCCAATATTTCAGAGCAATGGGCCAAGCAGATCAGTTCAATAGAATGTGGCTGTTGCCGGAAGAAGCGTTATACCTTTTGGAACGCGGAAGTATGGACATTAGATGGCCAGTAGAATCGTTCGAGAGCAAAAGAATGATTGATGCCGCAGATGCTATGGAGCAAGGTGTTCCGATGAGTTTGCAAGCAGCCTATGCGTGCTTTATTGGACGTGGAGGATTGTCCATAGAACGCTATACCGTATACGCGGGATTAAAAAGAGGTGGATATGTCGTTATTCGTGCAGAAGGGTGGGAAGAGAACAATTCTGAAATACCGGAAACCGCGGAGACTGACCAGGGAATGGGGGATGTATCCACTGAACCACAGCCGGGTCTTTTAGGACGCTTATCGCGCCTTTTCTATTCTATTATCAATTCACAATCGGCATGTTCTACCGCCCATGGGCCGGTGATAGGCTTGGGAATTTACAGAAGTTACAGTGTGTCGCGGAAGTCCCTTTTACATTATGTTTCGAAACTAACTTGACGAACTAGACGACATCTATCGTGCCCTCTCGATCATTCCAGGCTTTAAACCGGATATCCCAGATTCAGACCCGAAAATTATATCGTCAATTGCCCATTCAACCTCGCCTTACCGCCTTGCGTTCAATGTCTACAAGCCTTCAACCCCGTTTCGCAAATCCCTCCCGGGCACACCAGATTTCCGCCTTGCTGTAATAAACGCCCGAACACATCCCACCCTACCGTCGCTTACAGAACTCGGCTCCCTCTTAGCAAGTACACCGTTAACACCCCCGCGCGGTGAAAAATTGGATCGTCTAATGTACATGCGGCTGCGACATGGATGGCGGAACGTTATCCTTGGTATTGTTGACCAGGGAGTCGTCAGCTATTTGAGAGTTGCGGATGCTGGCTTCTGCAAGGAGCCGCTGTACGAGCAGAAATTAGCAACCATAGGCCCTGGCGGCAAAGGTGGTAGGAGGCCGCCAGGGAAGAAGGGAGGACGATAGATGAATCGCCTTTGCTTTCGGCTTGATCCAATCAGCTTGATATATGCCTACGAACTGAAGACTATCAAGTGGTTTTTACGATGATACAATAACTGGTTTCCGGCCGTTCAAAAAAAAACAAAGACTTAACACAGAGAGGATGGAACGCCGCAAATGGATAGCAAGCCGGATATATTATAAGCTATTTGAGCCCAGACAGATCAAAGTCTGTCTGACGCCCTTCCAACGCTGCTATTATTCTCCATTCCCACCAGTGTTTTCGGTAATTGCGGGCAATATAGCTGTGGAAATGGTTGAGCTTCGCCCCCCTTTCACGCACAACATCAGGAATCCTCCGCTGTTAAGCTTGACTAAGCGGCCCAGCTGCTACCATCCGCCTCTATATTTTTTTTTTTCTTTTTCCTTTTTTCTTTTTTCCTTTTTTTTTTTTGGGTCGATTCGTCAGTGGGGAGAAATACTCACCAGCTTGACCCCAGGATACTGTTGAGCAGCAATACTAGGGGAGGATGGGACGGGTTGGTAGCCGCGGATCGTGACGAGACACCTGTCGCAGTTCCCGCTGGATTGATGGAGAGATGTATTTCGCTAGCTATTTTTCGAGAGGCAAGAGGGTGCGTGACGCGAATTCGCAAGTCTCCCCCGAGGCCACTTTCTCGCTGGAAATGTTTGATATACCCATCACGTTTAGACGTATTCCTCAGCTATGAGTGGGACTATGTCATTGTAACGTGACATGAGGGTACGTAATGCCAGGTGTGGGCTTCAGTCTTGCATGCTTTGCTGGTGGCCTGTAGGGCAATCAGCTGCAGAATAAAGATAGCGAAAGAGGGTATACTGAAGAAAAAAAGATCTATGTATCATCTTAGCCTCTCTAAATAAGCCAACGAAGCATATTGCTGAAACCATGGCTATCCTGCATCGAACCGCTCTACTCAAGATTTAACATCAAACGCCAAATATATCTCTTCAGCTTCCCAGAATCGACAACGCATGATCCGTTTATGCTTCAAGTTAAGAACGTCAGCAGGAATATCGATGAGGTGTATTTTGTAGAAGGGCTTGCAATCGAAGCGCTCTCGGCACTCACTGTCGAGATAATCAGCCGCAATAAGTAGCTCTAGACATAGTTCTGGCGGTATATCCATATCGGGCACTTCAGATTGGCCTTTATTCTTCTCGTGATAGAGAAAATATTCGCAGACCTTCTCGAGGACGACACCACTAGAGAAGAGGAAATGCCTGTGTTAAATGAATCCCAACGTAGCTAAACGCATTTCATCGGGAAGTAGAGTTGGAAGGTGGCATACTTCAAATCTTCGAAGACACATCGGCCGGTCACGGCTTCGGAGAATTTGCCTATCATCAGAAGGAATAGTCAGTCAGCAGTGCATCGGGCGCATGGCAGCAGACATGGCGCAAATTGAGCAAACTTGAAGAGAGAAACTGACTAGCTGGATCAAGCATTCGACGTATTGTTCCTGATATACAAGCCGCACTTCTTGAAATCACGAATTCGAATCCATCGTTCGACACGAGAGTAACGAACTCGGGAGGTTCCATTAGCAGATATGCGTCCTCGACGCGTCGTAGATCAAGTTTTAAAGGTGGGTTAAAGATCTGAGAGAGTAGAAGAGAGAGAAGCCAAGCTAGGTGGAAATCTGAAGGTAGAAGCTGTTTCGAGTGCGAGTTTAACTAGTTAGTTAAATGAACCGTCGAACGCGTGAGTTTGGGAGATTGATTGATAAGATACTTAAGACCGCGCGTTTCAATCAACGGGTGTTCCAACGTTCGGCTCGCCTAGCAATTGAAGATTGAAATTTGATATCTGGCTCTCTTTTATTTTCAATTCACATAGTTAATTAAGTTAACAGTCTTTGCTCATTAATACATCTGTCGCCGTACTCTCCATGACAAGCTACTGTACCGTGCTAATCGGACTGAAGTAGAGACACGGTGCAATATTGACGTCTGTGTCTGGGAGCCTTGCATCCGAAATTTATTGCCAGGCCTTGTTTCGATGGCCAAGCTCTTCTTTTCGTGCCATTGCAGCCGGCAGCTGCGCGGGGCGGCTCTCAGAGCCTCCCGATTGAACGCATTTGTTCCTTGTTTCGCTGCAAATAATGCTCCCTTATACCCTAACACTTGGAGTGAAAAGTACTTTAGCGCATCTACACGACCTTCTAAGAGCCTCGGCCGCTTACAAAAAACGACATGCATGGTCACGGGCGCCTCGTCAGGAATTGGCTTTGCCATAACGCAACGTATGCTACTCGAAGGCGCTGACAAAGTCATTCTCGTCAGCCGAAGCGAGGAGCGTTTGAACAGCGCATTGGAGCGGCTAGGGGAGATAGTTCCATCGCGGCCCGTTAAAAAGGAAGATGCGGCAAAAGCACAAAAAGAGGAATCCGCAACCACCGAATCCAAGCGATGGGGAGGCTTCGCGTCCAAATCCCAAGTGCACCTATCCGTGAATGATCGGGTGTCCTTGGTCATCGGAGATGTTGGAAACCCATCATTTTGGTCTGAAGACGTTAAAAAAGTCATGGTAAGATAGCTTCAAAGGCCCAGTCTCGCCGCTTCCCTACTGACATCCTCAGAACCAAGTCGATATTCTTGTTAACGCTGCCGGTGTTTCGCACACTTCGCTACTCCCTTTCGCTAAGGACGAGGCTATCTCAGACATGCTTAACACAAATCTTCGAGGAACTATATTCGCCTGCCGAGCTATGGCTAGCCGTGTTCTTCGTAAACCATCATCACGCGGCAATGGAGACTCAAAATGCATAATTAACATATCGTCCCTTCATGCCGTGAAGGGAGGCATCGGAGCAGCTACATACGCATCCACTAAGGCCGGAGTGATTGCTCTAACACGTGCAATTGTAGCAGAAGCTGCGGCGTCCAGACACAGCGTCAGACTCCGTGCAAACGTCATTGTCCCAGGCTACATCGAGACAAAGATGCTTGACGGTATGTTCTTAGCCAAATGATGGTGTTGTATTATAACTTCTTAATACACATTATTAAAACAAGTCATGCCCCCCCATGATGCCCATTCTATAATCCAGCACACTAGGGGGGGAAAAGAGAAAGATAGACAAAGCAAGAAAATGTTGCTAACAATCTAGTTCAGAGCTGAGTCCCCAAATCCGCGAGGAAGCACGGTTGTCCGTCCCACTTCAGAGATTCGGCACGTCGGAGGAGGTCGCCGATGCAGCCCTTTTCCTGGCAACGAACCAGTACGCCAACAATTGCGTTTTAAATCTCGACGGTGGACTAAGTGCTCTGTAAGAAAAATGTAGAAGGGTGACGAGAAGGATCATACTGAGGCCGAAAATAGCCAGAACGTGCAAAAGATACAGTTACAATGTGTCGCGTCATATTTCCGTCCGATCGCGAGAAATAGACAAAAATAAAAAAAGGAAAAGAGAAGAAAAACAAGTCCTGTTCCATCCAGAGCAATGCAGAAATGCAACACAGAGAGCCAACGACTTCGAGCCAAAGCTTTATCACCCGTATAGTTTTGCGCCGGAAATCCCCAGTGACCTCACATATCCTCCCATGTATGTACAGGAATATGAAAAACAGAACACCAATAGCAAGATATGATGACATAGAATCTAGAAGAGCTTTTTGCGACAGTGATTAATTGGTTCACATCAAAAGATTGATGAAAAAAATGGTAGAAAGGATACCGCTCGTCTTGGAAACGGATGGGTTGGATGTCCGATTCGACCGGGTTGGTATCTCACCGATCAAAGGGGAACGGTTTAAGCAGTGAGTTGCGTGGGGTTGATTAATGGTACTAGAAGGGACTAATCATCGATTAGAATCGCGCCTGTATCATCATCTAGGACAATCGGATTGATGTCGCCGCCATTCGTGTCGATTTTCGCAACTTTCCTAGCTAGAGGATCGCCATTTTCGAGCTCTGCTTCCTCTGCAGTTCGTTTTCTTTTGCCTGGCGTACCGTTGGTCTGCTCCGCCGCACCATTTGTGGTGACTTCTGGTGCAGGCACGTTGGGTTTAGTCGGGATGGTGACTTCAGTCTCGAGAGATATTGGTGACTCTTGTTCAGGAGCCCGTCTATTAAAACCCGTCAGTGCCCAAAGGCTTCTCATGCGGGGGAAAGAAAATGATGATCAAGAAAACAGTAATATACTGGGCTCTTACCGTTCAGCAACAAGCAATTCCAAGTTAACTTTGGGTCGCTGGTCCTCTTCATCAATCACAGTAACAAATCTATCTTTCTCCACGCCGAGTTCGCTTAGTTTCTTCGGCAAATTATCTTCTAAATCAGGATCATAGATGGTTCCAAGCTGGTTACTGATTGAAAATTCCTCGCCATAGCCTAGCTTTAGCCGGAGGACGCCCTCGACTAGATGATTTAAAGTGGCCCTATCCGGATCGACGAATATTTTTCCCTGGGCAACGGAGCAAACTGGACATTCTGGGTTAGGCGGTTTGAGGGTATCTGTGTTGATAGCTCGAGCTCCAGACCGCTCAAGGAAAATCTAAGAAGTATTTAGTATAGACCAAAAGGTTGTGGGGCACGAACGTCATACCATTTTTGCGTTTTCATAGTCATCCTTCAAAACCTTGAACGCCTGTAGAACGCAGAGTGCAGCTGTCATGGCATTAGTTGTAGCGATCGCTGGGATAATGTTTCCAGCCATTTGCTTAATCTCGAATTTAGATTTCAAGTCGATTGAAAAGATCGCGGAGCGAAGGTTGGCACCGGCAGCAACAAAATCAAGCGTATCGACATCATCTTTGTCAAAGGTCACGATTGGAGGCGGCCCCTCTGGGACTTCTGCTTGCAGGGTCTTCAATCTCTTGACCAAACGCTCAGTACTGTCTTTAAAGACAGCAAAGTTTTCAACCAAATTCCAGGTCGTTTGGTCCTGAGTGGATATAAGCGAGTCAACCGAACTAGCTTCAGATTCCAAAGATTCATATGAAAGAGGCTCAGGGGCCTTCCGGCTCTTCCACATTTCTTCCATGCTGCGTAGTCTTACGATATCTTGAGAGAACACCTTCTCAAATACCTTCTTGGCAAAATCCGAAGACCCCATCGAATTTTTAACCTCTTTGAGGGCCTGCGCTTCCTGTCGGAGGTTTGCGATCTCTTCGGCATTCTCAGAGTCCTCTGAATGGTCCATCTCAACATCATCCTCAGATGTCCCAAAAAGCTCTGGCAGTAAATAGCTCTTCGCCCATACGATGCTGTGAATAGGCTGGCTTGGCGTGCTCCTTATCGTGCAAACTGGAAAAGATTTAGGGACCGGCTTGCTGGTGCAATCATAGCATTCGGTGCGACTTTTTCTTATGACCTGGACCTGCCCGTTGTACCCGGTCGTCCCGCTCTCGATCAACGGTACGTCTGCTGCTAAACACATGCGATTGACGTGTCGTCGGGCATCCAGGTTATCCAAAGCGTTGAAAACGATATCGAAAGACGTGAACCATTCGACATTGAACCGACTATCTTTAATATTGGCATGGTATGCCTCCAGTTTTGCTTGCGGGCGAAATTTGCTCGCTACCTCCTTTGCAACCTGTCGTGTAGAGCATGAAAGTCAGCCGTAAGAGTTCCCGGGAAACGCGCCGGCGACGAGGCATACCAAGGCTTTAGGCTTCTTTATGTGCTCATGCCGAAAGAGAAACTGGCGATTCAGATTAGATAGGTCAATCGTGTCGAGGTCGATTATATGAACCTCGCCGAATCCCGTCAGCAGAAGGTTCTTTAAGAGTTCGCACCCGATTCCGCCAGCACCGACGAGGAGTACGCGAGACTATAGCAAAGAATTGGCATCAGCATTGACTTATCACCACATTCGCGCTCATTGCTCAGCCTACCTTCCGGATGTTCGACGATAAAGTGCCGAGAGACTGCCTGAGGTGTTTGTCTCGTGGCCCTGGTGCCGTGTCGGCCTGCGACATCTTTGAGAAAAAGGTATCTGGCTAAGATACACGTCGACTAGAGGTAGAGCTGGATAGGCAGATCCATAGAATTCATAGGATAGCTCTCTTTTGACTGAAAAAAAGAAAAAAAAAAAGAAAAGAAAAGAAAAAAAAGCCAGGGGAGTGTGGCGCTTAGTGTTGTTGTTGGGAGGGAGATTCAGCGAGCCTTGAAGTCCGACCCTACTAGCTAAATAAATAAGAATGGGTTCACAATGCAAGAAAAACACTGGGCTGCTTCACAGGGCCAACCGATCTAACAAGCTGACTGGCTCTAATGTCAACACTTTGCATTGTGTTCCTGTTTGGATAACCAACTAGTGGCTCTCACATCGACACACTTGCGTGAATCCTCTTAACTACAAACTACTTACCTCAGAGACAATGTGGTTGTGGGAGGCACGCACACTTATGCGACATTTATATCAGGGCTACTCTGGATTTTTTTCTCTAAAAGTAACCTCCAGCAAAGGGCTATGGATAAGATAAACTGTTGGGTTATCCCCGATTCCCAGAATGAGGGTTCCTGATCTTTCAAGTCCTTCAAGTGCTGAGCACGAGACCATCGAGGTCTGAGAATGAATTGCGGATGTTCGACCTAACTATAGAAACACCTTGCTCCCAGCAAATATCCTACTAATAGTCCCCAAGCCAATTGACCTTTATCACTAATTAAAGGGCAGAAAGCCTGAGATCGTGCGCCGGCCCCTCCCTGCTGGCCATCTTGTGCTTTGTTTCTTGCGGTGCGTCAACGGCGGCTCCGGCGGCTGTTGTGCTGACATGATCTGAACTTAAAAGCAGCAGCATCAAATCCCGAAACAGGCAGCCTGGGATATCAACCTTTTCCTGAACAATTGTTCACCTTTCCTGTCTTTCTCTTTTATTGACTTGGTTTCCGTTCATTTTGACTCTTTGTCCTGATAGAAATTGCTTTGAGCGTTTCTTTGATGTCTGTGCTCTAGTAGTTATTTCCTGTTCATCGTGACTCATTTTTAGTTACTATCCATTCTGTGCAAATGGAAAGGTCCATTTCCTGCCCTTTCCCGCGAGACAATTGAGCTACCTGTAGATACCCTTAATACATATCCGTCAGAATGTCTGATGACGAAGCGGACCCAGAGCTCCTCGAGCTCCTCCGCCAGTCCCTGAGTTTGGGCGGCCCACCCAAAAACGCGCCGGCTGAGACCAAAGTGCTGCAAGGCGCCCAATACGTTTTCGACAACGCCATCGACGTTGCGCTTTCTCCTGCAAAGACAAAAGAAGCAGCAGAGACAATATGGCAGATGATGCAGGAGAGATCTTATTCCACTAAGACATGGGCATCACACGAGTTGCATCCAAAGGAAAAGAACGAGAAGACCGTTGATTTTATCTTTACAATGGATCTGTTAAACTTTAGCTTCTGGTCCGCCGAGAAGGATGAGTCTAAACGCTTTGCCGTAGATTATCGTGGAAAGCGGTGGACCGGCTACTGGAGCCTTGTTGCTGCACTACAAAGAGCTTTGGATGAAGGTAACTCATTGAGATCCTAGTTCTTCTGCGGCTCACGGATTTGCTGAAACTTGCAGAGATCCCAATTACGAGCCCTGAATTCTGGCAAAATGCAGAAGAATGCACGGAAGACGTCATAAAGCATGTCTTCCGGTCTGCGACAGACGAAGAAATTCCACTCTTGCAAGAGCGGATAGCATGTCTCCGCGAAGCGGGTCGAATTCTTTGTGATGTAGGTGGCCATTGAAGACCTTTATTTCCCTCACTTTCTGAATTTGGAGAACGACAGGAATATGATTGCAGCTTCGTCAACTGCATTGAAGAAGCAAACAATTCCGCTGCCGCGCTGGTAACCCTTTTAGCAGAAAATTTTACTTGCTTCCGTGATGAAGCAACCTTCGAAGGCAAAACCGTACGCTTCTACAAACGCGCTCAGATTCTAGTCGCAGATATATGGGCCTGTTTCCGGGGCAGAAAGTACGGTAAATTCAACGACATTGATAAAATAACGATGTTTGCAGATTATCGCGTCCCGCAGATGCTTCACCAATTAGGTTGTCTGTTGTACTCCCCCCGGCTAGAAAGTCACATCCGCCAGCTAAAGCTGATTCCGAGCGGCGACAAGTGGGAGATAGAGTTGCGTGGGGCTAGTATCTGGTGCGTGGAACTGATCCGTCAGATGATCATGAGGAACCATGCTGCTGCGAAGGCTGGTGCATATGCGGAAGGATCGTCGTTATCTACCTCGGGATCGCAGTCCGTTGAGGCGTTAGACATGAATTTGGCGGAGGAAGAGAAGAAGCGTAACAACCTCGAGCCGCGGGATCTTGGAGGTGACGATGAAGAAGAGGGTGGGGAAGAGAAACCCATGGGTGTTAATGCCATTTTGATCGACTTCCTACTGTACGATCGGATGAAGGAAGTGGAAAACGACGGGAAAGAAGAAATCCCACATCACCGAACAAGAAGTATCTGGTATTAAGCACATATTGTTCTGCATGGCCGGTTCGTGTCAACTTGCTAGGCATGTACATACAGACAAGCGGTCCCTGCGATGGCATATAGGCCAACTAAGCTGTGACTGCAGCACTCTCGATCTCCCGTATCCGCTTCATAGTTCCCTCTTTCCAGGTTACATACTCATCCTTTTTACCCTCACTCAACCAATCCACCCGATCATGCATCATGGTTCCCAAGCCGGGTAGCAATTTTGGACGCTGGTTATCAATGTCCCGTAGAGAGCGATGCGTCACTTTTCTAACGTAACGATTCATCAATCTCCGCTTCTTTGGACTAATAATGCCGTCTTCCTCGTCATCATTATCCCCCGAATTCCCTCCAGGCCCATCATTTTCTGCTCCGGCTCCTCCTTGGCCGCGATTGGGATCGGCGACAGGAATGTTTTCAAACCACTCATTTCCATTCATCCAGTCACGCATAATAATCGTTCTGACCCACACATGAACGTTGTCCAGCAGGGTCTGGTCGGCGGGTAGACCTTCGCTAGCAAGAGCAGCTGTGGCTAGATCATTGAACATATCCATATCAAGTTCGCGTCGGTTCGAGCTGCCAGGGTGAGGGTTCTCATCGCGTCCCAGCCCAAGCATTCGCACAACGACGAGGAAATATATTGCTATTACAAGTGTTATCATGTTCTCACGGTATGAAGTTTCTTCCGGTTGAGAATGGTCCGAAACTGCAGAGAGCAATCGTATATGGTTCGGATCAAGATCTTGGCTGTCGTCGGACAGGGTCCTCTCAGCGAAGCATAATACCGATGATAATCCCGCAAACATATGCGGAGGAAAAGACGTTGACACTTTTGGCGGAGCGGAGGGGACTAATCTTGACAGCGACGCGGTAAGAGCCCTGCAGATATTCCGGATTGCAGGCATCGTCCATGAAGGTGCATCTTGGATTATTGTGGACAGTCTGGATTGAATCGCGGTTGTCTTATCTATTCTAGCTTTCTTAGTCGACTTGGATGGAGTCACGAAGCTTTTAGCCCCCGTTTTTGAAGGCGTAACTGGGCCTCCACGGCGCTCTCTTGTACTTCGCCTTGGCTGTGGCTGGACCTTATCCTTCTCCTGCCGTTTAGCTGCCGTGGATGATTGCGAAAGCAATTGCTCTAGGTATGCGAACAATTTCTTGTATATTCTTGGGGGACATGGCGGACGGCTGGTTCTCGGAGGGAGTTTCAACGACTTGCTCAACCTACAGAAAAACAGAGAGAGGGCTTGATTAGTTCTCAGTCACGTAATAAATCGACATAACAGATATGTGGAAACAAACCTCTTGCAAGCAATTTCTGCACACGCATAAGGTCTCGCAATTTCCTCCTCAGGCTTCAAACTACCTCCATAGCTACGTGACTGCGCCAGTAAATACGCAGCCAGTTCGACTAGCTCGTCAGGCAAAGATTCAGCAAGAGTGGGAAGTAGATTGGCTAAAGCCTGCTCAGAAGCCTTGCGACTCATGGTACGTCGCTCAGATGAAATTTATCTCAGCATCAACATACGGTCTGTGTTGCGAAAGTCCCGTCTTCGGGGAGTTCGATTCCTGCCTCAACGCGAAATCTGTCCAGGTTCGCGTCGAGCGGCCAATGACGCCACGCGCTGTGGCTTGGTGACAGAGCCTCGGCTTTCGACTTTTTTGCTGCAGGAGACACATTTAGCCGGTTCATTGCATCCCGATCCCGATGCGCGACTTGGTGGATTTGGAGGTATCATCAATCAAAAAATAAAGTATTCTGAAATATGTAAACACCCCCCAGGGAAAGATTGGAATTCAAAGGAATCTATTGTAGGTCGCTTATAGGCGCACGGTTCATATCCACCAAGTCACGTATCGCGGTCGGGATGCAATGACCGGATGCTTAGCTACGAGCTGCTACGAAATCATTCATCATTGTTGCTTGGCTTTCTATCCAGTTATCAACAACGCAGTCACTGATTATGGCGCACCAGCAGCTACCGAGGCCATGATCGAGGCAACGACATTGAACGGGATTGCAAGGTAGGCTTTTCGAGCAGGGAACGGGAGTGGCTCGTCGCCTGGCCAGGCAGTTGCAAAAACCAAAGGTCCCCCGGGAGCAGATTTGTTAGCTGAAAGTCGGCCATGTCAAAATATCAACCGAACTCCAGCCAATATCATAAATTGATTACTTAGTTCAGACGTGCAGACACCGTCGCAGCTTGTAGCTTGATGAAGTGTACGGAAGAGAGGCGGATAAGGCAATCGCAACGATTGTATCTGGGTACGGAGTAGCCCCGTAGGATGAAGGAAATATTCCGCTGTCACTCGGCCGGTGGTTCTCTATTTACCTCTGCGAACTCCGCGAATACACTTTCCATCCACATCGCCGAGAGGGGTAAACTGCAGCAGAAGGACTGTTCATCCCGTACATACATACATATAGCAGCCGTGCAATCGAGATCAAAGGAGTCTAGATTTAGGTTTGGACACAATTACGAATCTCAAGTGAGCGCCTTTCAGCCAGAGCTAATCGGGGCCGATATCCGGGAGCCCAAGCAACCAAACACCGAGGCTAGGCTCTGCTTTACCAATTAGAGGCGTCCCGTCATATCCGCTCAACTTCCGCTGAATGCACTGGGACAAACCAGAATTCTGGGGTTCTCCACAAGCGCAGGACAGCTAAACATCATCCATTGTTTCCCCCTCTCCAGCTGCCCCTCATGCGAATTGCCGTGGTATGCAACCCTGCTAGTCAAATGGCCAGGAACGGAATGATATAAGCCTGCTGGTCGTGCCACTGTCCGTCCAAGGAAAATGGCGTGTATTCATTTCAAATGCAAGCAACAACATCGTGATTTGATATAGTATTTATCCTAGCTTCGCAGCCATGCCTCAGACATACAAAGAAATCTCGGCCATTGCCCAAAAGAGGCGTGATGATGCCATCAATGCCTTCTTCAAGGTCCCCGATGTCAGGGAAGGAGACCTACCACGAGATCTGAGATCCTTCCCCAAGACCTCTGGGCTGCTATCCGCCGAAGAGCTTGAGATCATCAACTCGGACGCCGAGACGCTTCTTCAACGGATCAAAAGCAGAAGTTTAACTTCGGTGGCAGCGACAAATGCATTCTGCAAGGCTGCAGTAATTGCCCAGAAGCTGGTATAACCTTGATAAACCTGGTGTCTGTGAACTCGTCGATCAATATATCTAACAAGAAGATGGCAGACAAACTGTGTGACTGAAGTCCTCTTCCGTGAAGGGCTGGCACGAGCCAGGTATCTGGATGAATATCTCGCGAAGAATAACAAAACCATTGGCCCCCTCCACGGGTTGCCGTTGTCGTTGAAAGATAACTTTATCACTCCCCCGCATCCCTCTTCAATTGGAATGTCGTTATACGCCAACGAACCCACCGACAAAGAATCAGTTTTAGTGCATATCCTCAAAGACCTGGGTGCAGTATTCTATGTCAAAACCAACGTCCCAACGGCTATGATGATGCCCGAAACATCCAACCGAGTATGGGGTGAAACGCGGAACCCCATCCATAAAGGCCTTACTCCGGGCGGTTCTTCTGGAGGCGAAGGTGCCATCATGGCCATGAGAGCCTCTCCTCTTGGAGTGGGCACTGATATCGGTGGCAGCATTCGAATCCCCAGCGCTTTCTGTCATTTATATGGACTAAAACCATCCTTTGGGCGCCTCCCAATTTGGGGAGGCAGGCCCAGTATTCCAGGCCAGGATTTCGTCAACGGTGTCTGCGGACCGATGTCACCTTCACTACGATCGATAAAACTGTTCTGTGAGTCCGTTCTCTCAGAGGAAGCGGCACCCTGGAATTATGACCCAAAGATCGTTCCCATGCCCTGGAAGAAAGATGTCATCCAGCCCAAGGGACGAAAATTGAGAATCGGTGTGCTAGGAAACAATGATACCATTATCACTTGCCATCCGCCCGTTGAGCGAGCTTTGGAAATGGTAAAGACAGCCTTGCAAGATGCTGGACATGATGTTTTTGAATGGTAAACAGCTTATCTCTGTTTTTATGCTTTAACGCCAGCTAAAGTTTTTGGATACTTCAGGGAACCAATTGCCCACCGGGAAATCATGAATCTCCTTGCAGAAGGCTTCGATGAACTGGGCTCCTCGGCCATCATGCCAAACCTCCAGGCCTTCCAGGAGCCCCTCTACGGCGCCATGCAGAGAATGTTTGCTGGCGGGAAGTCCTCCGGTGGAAAACTGGGCCCCGAAAAGCTGCGGGAAATGATCCTGAGGAGAAATCAGCTTCAGAAGGACTACCTTGATCGCTGGCTCGCGACCAAAACGGCCACAGCTGGGCCAATGGACTGCATTATCACCCCAGTCGCAGCAGCGGCTGCTGCCCGCCTGGGACTGGGAGAAACGGTGGATTATGTAGGCTACACGGGAGTCGCAAATCTGCTCGGTATGTTTAACTTTCCGGTGATGCCAGTCGATGGATCAAGAGCTGACTGAATGAAAAAACGGACAGACCTTCCTGGCTGCACATTCCCAGTCACATATGCCGACAAGTCTGTTGATCTCAAGCGAGGCAGCGACTGGAAAGCTCTCAGCAGCAGAGACCAAGCAGTCCAGGATGACTATGATCCGGAGTTCTATCACGGGGCGCCCGTCTCCCTGCAGCTTGTCGGCAGACGATTGGAGGAAGAGAAGGTGGTGGAGATGGTGGAGATCGTGTCGGAAGCGCTCAAGTTCCAGCCAAGGCCGAATTTGTAAATAAAGCCACCGAAGCAGCCAGCTTCAAGCCTTATAGCGAACATTAACAGTATCTATCTCAACCTTAGACCCGTAAAATTTCGTCCTTCTTCGGCTCAAACGCTCACTCGAAAGAGCTTTCAACCTGGGATTCAGGGCGGGATAGAAGGCGAAGCTCGGTGTTGTAGGGCTGGTTGCCATGGGCAACCAGAATACGAGCAGGCAGCAAACCGTCCAAGCAGCCGGACCACGAAAAACCCTTTTTCACAACCGGGACAAGAATCAACTGATAGTTCAGAAAGAAGTATTCGTTCGCATCTACGTGCCCTCATCAATCGCCATATCCCAAGTTTCTTTCTCACCCACCAAGAGACGCAACCATGCCACCCACCCGCCGCCGCTCTGGCAACCCCGCCTCCACCAGACACCAACAGACCCTCTCTTTCGGCACAAAATCACGCATCTCAAAGCCCACATCTGGCCCATCCTCCAAACACCTCAAAGACATCTCCTCTCCCTCACCGACCGCTGAACCTGAACTCCCCGGCCGCAAGGGCGTCTCGAAGAGCCCATCGCCAGCCGCGCCCACCCTCGTCGCGGACGTCGCCAAACAGGAAGTGGTCGTACCCGCACAGCCTATCGCAGCATCATCAAAATCCGAGAATGTCGTTCGCGAGCAAGCCCGCGTGCAACTCCAAGCACCCAAGTCAGCCGAGGATAAAAAGGCGGAGGCGTTGACGGAGGAGGATATACGGCGGTATTGGGAGGCGGAGGAGGCGAAGATGAGCGCGCCCAGAGGTATGCGCATCAGTTACTCTCTTCCGCTGCATGATAATCGTTCCGGCGGCCGTTCTTTCTTTTGAAATACACGGCATGCGCAACTCTTCAAGAGGAATAGGAACTTGCTCTACAAAGCAATGCTAACTGCGACCCGGATTGATTCTGCAGTGCACCAAGAAGGTCTAAGCATACACGAGAAGATCCTCCGACATTTCGATTTATCAAATCAATACGGGGTAAAGCCTTCACATATCCTCCCCCCAATTCTGGTTTCTTATGTTTTTTGAACCCAATCGCTAAAGCCAAATTCTCGCAGCCTTGCATCGGTATTGCAAGAATAAAACGCTGGCGCCGAGCGCACACGTTGGATCTGAATCCACCTATAGAAGTCCTTGCCGTGCTACTCAAGGACGAAGCGCGAGGAGTTGCCCGGGAGAAGGCATATATTGACGAGTTGTTATCGTAAACGAATAACTGCACTTTGAATCGACAAACCGGCGGTCACAACGGGTGAGATGCGATGATTAAGGATGCCGAATATTCTCTAAATGTTCTTGATATTTGCTTTCGAGCTGGGCGGGTTGGAGTTCGGTGTTTCTGGATCCCAGTTTGATGGCGTAGTTGTATACTCCGTACCTAACTATAATGGTGCTATCGCTCATGACCTAAGTCCATATTTGAATGCTACCTAAGCCATCTAGGCCTTGAAGAAAAAAATTCCTCTTTTTTTTTTTTTTTTTTCTTTTTTTTTAAATAACGTAAGGAAGTCGAGAACCATCGCCCAACCTTTCGGGCATTAGTTGTCTCGAAAGGATTTGACGGCAAAGTTCTTATACATTTTTCAACTCCGGTAAGTACGGGATAAACCATACGGGATGCCGTCGCAACTCCGTATAACCCCAGAATATATCATCTCTGTGAGGGGGGAAAAAAGGGGGTCGGCATTCCAGAGTGTTGTCTCGGCCAATAATATATATCCATGCCAATGTGGCATCCCACGCGATGTTTCTCCCCGTCCAGGGATCAGGGTAATTCTGTGTCTGATCCTTTTGAGCTTCGCCAAGATTTTGCTTCTTTGTCGTCCCTTGCACCTTGAACTTCATTTATGGAGTCAATATCTTCCCCTGACGGTTATGGTGATCCGGAAAGAGTCTTTCGGAAGCAGGGTATTCTTCATGGGATATCCCTAAATTTCCGTGTTGGCGCGAGAATGCTCGCGAAGTGATCGCCATGGGGCAAACCCCTTAAATTGAAATCTACGAAAACATCGCTATCCTCAAGCGTACTGTGCTTTCACAGCCAGTCAAGCACCTCAGTTTGTCTGGGAAGTGTGGAGGTCGGGTTAGGGTTGCCAGGGAATATCAAAGCGTTGTGGTTATTGATGTTCCGGCGTAGCATGGGACTGATGGTTGGCAAAATTGGTCAGGGGGTTTCTCCCGATATCGAGAGATAACAGCGGTAAGCCAAACCTTGGTTCACTGATTGTATTTGATGTCAAACAACCCATGGAGTAGTCCGCCACCAGTCTTTGCCTAAAACTTCACCCTTGAAGACTGCTGATGCTCGCACTGGCGTTCTTGCTTCAAAGAACTTGTAGATTGATGGTTAGAATCAAGGATACAATGTATCCAGGGAGCGATTCTGATATTCCATCCCTGTCCTACACAGTCTTTCAAAGTCAGATCCATCACTGATCAAATCCCTGTAGCTTATCTCCAGCATCCGGTTATCAAACCTGTCTTGTGATTCCGGAGGTCTGCGATCCTGTTTGCCCCCTTCTTGCCCTTCGACAATCGTTTGCTGGGGTATCAACTTATGCCAATCTAAACTTATTCGAGCACCGATCCCAACAACTTTGGGGGGGGAGGGGACATCATGATCCTATAAGAGAAGTGGCTAATTGGAATTAGCACTCAGAAGTCTCGAGAGGCGATAGAGGGCGTAGTAGGTTCTCGCAAGCATAGAAATCGGGTTGAGGAAACTCCTTTCAGAGAGAGTCTGGCTTGAGGTCCTTTTTCCGGCTAGCAAGACAAAGCAAAGTTGTAAAATCCACATCTAAGAGAAAAGTCGATACTGGCTGCAAGGCCAGTTCCGTGGGATGTTAGAGGTAAGAGCCAGAAACAGCTTACCAACCCATCTTGGTCGAGGCCGAGTTATCGCATTATCAACCACCCTACCTTCATATGATGTTCGGAACAATTTCTCGCCACCGTTCCCAGTTCTTCCAAAACACCCGTGAACGTTTTGACGAACTGCAAGTTCGGAAGAAGCACATGAATTCCAAAGTCATGGCACATGAGATCAAATGAAATTGATATCGGACGAGGGGAGGGGGGGAAAAAAAGAAAAGGAAAAAGGGAAGATGACGAATCTATTGCAGGTTATCTCAAAAGCGAGACAGGACCAGCAGTATCAAGCAAGACGAGAAAAAGAAACGGCAAAATCCAACTCACGCCGTGTTGCCTTGAATCTGGATTGGGCTGAGGGATACCCTGATGGAGGAGATTCTCATGTGTCACCGAGGTCGCACGGGGGACTGGAGCCCGTTCGTTCCCAGGTTCCAAGCCAGCTGCGAAAAAGGACGAAATTAAAGCCAACAGATAGGCGCAGCTCTCCAGGGGATCCTGTGCCTTCAAATCACGAAGCGCGGTGGATATCGCGGGGTAATAACTAATGAGCGGGAGGGCGTGAGCCGCATCGTGGGGAATCGCAAAGCTCGATAATTTCACATTCTGGCCACACATATGACGATACTAATCGGAAACCTGCTGCGTCGATCAGTATTTCGGGTGAGATATGAAGTTTCATCTCGGATCCTGCTCTGGCGAATCGGGACAACGTTTGAGACCTGTGCGTTAAGATGTGCTAGTTTGGGGTTTGAGGATCGGAACGCGATGGGAACAAGGACATGTACCCGACGGGGGCGATCAGATCTTGTATATCGATGTGCATATGGAAGAATCAGATGTAAGGCTTCGAATCATCATAGTCAAGAGCACGTTTTCTTCATTTAGAGATATCATAACTAAGCGTAAATTTCGCCAAGAATTGGCTGAGGTGTTTGGATGGTGAAGACGCGAATGTCGACAACACATCGTCAATCGGCCCGAGTTGATCGATGACATCGAAACCCGCCAACACCTGTGTAACACTCGGATTTTGCCTCGCGAGCACACTGGTCCACGTACGAGGCAGAAATGCCCGACTACCTTCGCTGATCTCCATCGGAGAAGAACGAAAACCAACCTCTCCAAAGACCCAACACCCCTTCGGAAGGATCGTCACACATCGCACATTTTTACGGGGAAAAACCCAAGGCCAATCTGGCCAATGGAGCTCGGCGTTTTGATTGTTCTTAAAAGGGACATTCGCGAAACGCAGCAACTGGAGCCCGAACAGCTCATCAAGGGAGGATTGGTGGCGGCACCGTTCATCACCGGACACAAAACGGACGAAAGACTCCCCACACGAGGAGAAGAGATCCCCATCCCAAATCAAATGAACGCACAGGTCACAGTGGCCCCCCCCCCTGTGGAATATCGAGATGGTGCGGGCTGGAGAACTCCACCGCGTGAAGTGGACATTTTCAACGACCGAAAGTACCGAGACTGATAAGCATGTGATTACCTGCCACTCGGTCGAATAGTTCGATCTGCCCCCCTGAGAAAAGTCGTTAATTACCTGATGACTCGGCTGACGGGACCGCTCCGTTATACCCCCTAACCATCTCCCCCTAACGTTTGTATGTCTTGTGTACCTGATTGTTCTCCATGCATGCATGCAGGGGCGGGAACGAGTGGTCTGGTTCCGCACAACTCCATCCACTTTCTGGGGTATTTTCGAGAGAAACAATGGACGGAAAGGAAAGGGAGAAAGCTTTAATTTTTCTTGAAGCTCGAGCTTCCCATGGTTCTCGAAATAGAAACATCACACATGAAGACACACTTGAGCCCCTGGCGGCGAATTATGTATTACTGTTCAGCTCCACGCCCCAGCGGGGAGGTAGGGTTGGTGCACTTTGCCGGTGGTGGTGGTGGTGGCGGCAATTTAGCGATCCGCTGTTGCGTTCTATTCAAGGGTTCCCAGATAGGTTATTCGCCAGGAGGCAAATTAAGCTAGTTGTAAAGGAGATAATTTTCCAGTGACTACAGAGTATATGCCCCTTTCCCTGCAAAGGAGAAACAATGAGACCTGATGCCCACAGAGGCGAATTGCAGATCAGGGTGGGTTGGAGTCTCGCTGGCCAGCGAGTCATGAGGAACGTCAGGGAGCCGTTTTTCCCACCGGCGTGTGTCCTGCACTTGAAAAAACAGTTTGACAGCTCCGCGCGGGAGGACTCGTACCTCCGTGAATTTGCCTCCATCGCAAGCCAAGACCACAGAGGGTGCAATTTCAACCCATGACCCAGGGCGTCAATTGGCGCGTTAACCCTGGCAAGGCGGCGGGGGAACCGTGATTGGCATGCCGGGGCGAGGTGGCAGATCCACCGGAAGAATGATTAAAATCTCCAAAGCTTGGGGAATGATTGAGCCAGTCAAGACGAGCTGCCAAGCGGCCGCGTCTCGATCGCCAGCAAGCAGAACAAGCCAGCAGCAGCAGCAGCAGCGCCAAGCTTTGTATTCTTTGCATGTTTTGACAGTGATGCCAGTCAATTGCTTTCCCCAGATCGACAACGCTGTTTTCTTCTTCGTGTTTTCTGGCATAGTACTTTCCGTGGCAGCCGGAAAATCATATGCCAGAAAACACGAATCCGCCCCGTTGCAGTGGCCGTGCGCGGTGTGTGTTCGACAGGGGCAGCAGCGGACGAAGACGCCCCGTTGTTATTCCCCTGACCAGTGAATCAGTGAACCAGCCCGACGCGTCGACTGCTTTGAGACGGCCGCTGTGTGATCGTAGTTTAAAAAGAAAGAGTTGGTGCATGACGTCCAGCAGGAAGGGAGGAGCTTGGTAAAGTGGCAAGAACAAACCTCGGCGACTGGACAGCCCGCCCCACCGGCGTCATTACCACTAGTAATTTTGATCCAGCAATATCAGCCAATCAGTGGGCGGGGGAGGCTGCGGGCCATACCCAATCCGGGCATATCTTCATGCCGTTCCTGGGCGGTGATTGGCGCCAAGGCCGGACTTTGCAGGATCCAGCCTGGAGCAAGGTGTGTGCGGCCGGAGCATTCTGGCTTTGTCATGTCACGCTCAAAGTAACTTAAGTTACTCCGTACTCTGGAGTGCTAAACTGCTTACTTCGTCAGGGAAAGCCAGACACACAGACGGCGCCGGCAGAAGGATTTTTTATTTATTTATTTTTTTTTTTTTGGTCTGGAATTGTCTCTCCCGCGTCTGGCCAATCAAATCGTCTCCTGTGGGCCGGCGGTTGAGACATTCAAAACTGCCCCCTTCCTTGGTCTCGCTTCTCGCCTTTCTCTTCTAAACTTGCAGATATCCACGAAATAAATCAACTCATACTGAAGAAGCGAAGAGAACAAAATAAATAAGTAAATAAATAAAATAAAAAAGGAAGAAAAAAGGATAAAGAAAAGGAAGAAAAGAAGAAAATCACACACGCGGGAACAATGTGCCCGCACGCGAGCTTCCGCATGTGTGGTGGACTGCGCCCGCTCTGTTTTCCATCGACGCTCTGGAAGACGAGGACAATTGCCAGCCAAGTCCAGTTACGTATGCCCTGCGATCAAAAGTGGCTAGTTCAGTGAATATCGCTGCCGCGCTAGACCAGCTATCCCGGGCGTGCAGCATTGTATTTCTGCTTCGCGGCCTGTAACCTTGAGCCGGGGGGGGTGGTGTGGGTGGACTGCCTGGCCTGAAAGTGGTATGGTTACTTGGTTATTCAACAAACACGTTCAGAATCCTGTATGTACTGTATTGTGGTCGGAACAAATGGAGGTCGTGACTTCTCAGGAATGTACAGGAACCTCCAATGCGCTGGTTGCGCGTGGTGTGCGGCAGGCGAAGTGGTACAAGCTCCAGGTGTATTTCTCTAACACCCACCCCACTTGCCCCCGTCGCGGTAAATAGTCCCAAGATATTGGTTTTTCCGTCGCGATCGAGGGAGTAACCGGTTTTTCCGAGTATTACGTCCACGCTGTGTGACGGCCATTGCAGGTCGTGCGCTTGCCACCACCGGATAAGGGTAGCCCGCAACCTCACTACAAAACAGTCCATTCAAGTCTTCAGAAAGGCTTGAGGGCGCCAAAAGGCTGAATCTCGAAACTCGGTAATCAATCGAGGCGCGAATCAAGCTCTACCAATTAATTCTACACACAACGGGAGCAAGAGGACGGCGGGGGGAAGAAACAGCGTGTGTGTTACTGGTGCCCGGGAACCGTTACCACGGTGGTAATTAACAGCTCCATCCAGTTAAATGACCAAGGATGGGGTAGCAGTCCCTCAAAACCAACCACGAGGTATCAGGGCCGTCTGCTACAAATGACTGGATGTACTCCGTTAGGGGAAGATCACAATAGGCACCTCACTGAAAAACCAAAAAAAAAAAAAAAGGCCCGCCAGCGAATCCAAACCTTCAAGGACACATGTACTCCGTAGAGGCGGGAGTATTATTTCCTCGTAAAGGCAATGCAATCGTCATTATTCATATGACAAGGACGGTCTGCCCCGAGCCCGCGATTGCATGTGAATCAAGGCCGCGTTGCTGCCGGTTTCCCCCCCTTCCCAAGCGTAAACAGAAAAGCAACCTCGCCATTCGAGAAGTTTAAGCCAAAATAGTCTTACCACTAGCAGCAAACACGCAAGGGGAGGGCGGGAATTTGGGGCAAGAGAATTCGAGGGTGGAGAGGTGGAACCTCCAGCCAACCCAGTACCCTTTTTCCCCTTCGACTACTAGTGCGGTACCCTGCACGCCCAGTTCTTGTTATGGGGTTCATGGGCAAAGGGACCAGAGAGGAGAGAAACCAGGGAACGATAAAAATCTTGGGAAATACGGGTTGTTTGGGCGGACCTAAAATATAAGAAGCCCACCCACCCCCCGACCTCTCCCTCCCCCTTAGTCCTTCAGTTATTTTCCTTCCCCATATAAAAACATACATTCGTTTCGTGGTCCATCAAAGACTATCGTTAATTCTCCAACCCCGGTTGTCGTTTTTTTTGCTGTACTATTAGGGAGGATAATCGTTCTCGTCCGTTAGACGCACATACATAATCAAAATGCAGTTCTCTCACGCTCTCATCGCTCTCGTCGCTGCCGGCCTCGCCAGTGCCCAGCTCCCAGACATCCCACCTTGCGCTGTATGTTCGAACCTTTTGTGTGGAACCTCACGGAGAGGAACGAGAAGGACTCTTGGAATGCTAACGGCTTGATGCTAGCTCAACTGCTTCGTTGAGGCTCTCGGCAACGATGGCTGCACTCGCTTGACCGACTTCAAGTGCCACTGCTCCAAGCCTGAGCTCCCAGGACAGATCACTCCTTGCGTTGAGGAGGCCTGCCCTCTCGACGCCCGTATCTGTAAGTGAAGCGACACCAAATTCTTGCATCTCGCGCAAGGATGGGATAAGATGAGAAGATGGAAAGAAGTCGAAATGGCAGCTAACATGTTAAAAAATCCAGCCGTCTCCAACATCGTCGTTGACCAGTGCTCCAAGGCCGGTGTCCCAATTGACATCCCACCAGTTGACACCACCGCCGCTCCCGAGCCATCCGAGACCGCTGAGCCCACCGCTGAGCCAACCGAGGAGCCCACTGCCGAGCCTACCGCTGAGCCCACCGCTGAGCCGACTCATGAGCCCACCGAGGAGCCCACTGCCGTCCCAACCGGCACTGGCGGTGGTGTCCCCACTGGCACCGGTTCCTTCACCGTCACTGGCAGACCAACTGCCTCCACCCCAGCTGAGTTCCCAGGTGCTGGCTCCAACGTCCGTGCCAGCGTTGGCGGCATTGCTGCTGCTCTCCTCGGTCTCGCTGCCTACCTGTAAATTTAGACTATCAGCAAAACTGACAAGCACGTCGCCATGGCGTCAATTATTCCCCCCGCGCATTTTTCCTAGTTCATTTTTTTCTCGACAACAATTCAGCACGCATTGGAAGGCGAAATGACCCGGATGTCCGCAACACGATAAAAGGTTTCACGATCTCTCTTCTCTGCTCTCCCCTCTCTGGGAGGCTCTAAGTTTCATTTGGATTGAAATGGGGCGATGGGCAATCGTTCGTTGGGGGTGAAGGGAGTGGGGATCTGGGATTCGGGATTCCCGAAAGTCAAGAACGCTCTATTCTGCGACGTGACCACGGCTATGGGTGTACAATGTTGTGTCTGATTTTTTTACGGGGGGGGAGAAACGAATATAACACACCTGATTTCACTTCACACTTATTACTTATCCTGTATCTAATTGACATCTGGGAAAGGGAGCTTATTTCCCTGTTAATAATTTGGTGTTATATTTTGTTCTCCGTCTCTTCTCTTGGACCTTTGTGCTATATAAGTGACCACCACGTTTCGTTGTCTTCGGTTTCGAAACGCCCAACGATTCCTCGAGTAAGTCTGATGGGAAACGGGCGTTGGTCTGTGTTGTCTGGTAAATGGTTGCAGCGAGTAGTTGGTAATAATAATCAAATACATCTGCTTGATTGAGAATGTCTTGCGTCCAAAATCATAGCGTGTACGGAGTAGGGGTGATGGCAGTTGGTTATCAACAGTCCAGCGTAGCCCAACGTCGCGTCATGGGGTTTAGTCACCACACCAAAACGACACGCCACCGCACTTTGTCCCTTTCCCAATCACAATATAACGACTCGAGTGTGAACTTCGTCCAGGCGAATCCAGCGCTCTAAGCTGACTTCTAGCTTTGCAAAGGCTCATCCGTCAGTCCACACCCGGACATACCGGTTTCCGGTGCAAGAAACGCCACACGTGCTTCCTTGACATCGAATACGACGTATCATGGCTTCTCAAGGTCCAGACACGTCGTATACGCACCCGAACCGGGCTTTTAAAAAGCAGAACCACAAGGACGATGTAAGATGTGACAAAGACTTGTCGACTGCTTTTTTTTTTTAATCAGGCACCCTGCCATTGTGCTTCACGGTACATCGCGCATCCAACATGAATACGGGTTTCAATTGCCAATTCCTTCGATTCCTCATCCGTACCATGCAAGAACCCTGAAGAACTTGAGATCTTCCTCTATTTACATACTATTGTGCTTGGGAAGACAAAACACGTACTGATCCGGGTCATTGAATCGGCCATTTCGATCAATATCTCAGTCTTATTCTGATACCGCTTTGTCCCGTCTGTTTCACCATCGGTTCCGTCCACATAGAGATGGCGCCTGGAGGATTGCGTACTTAAATTTGACGCGTGGCGCCCAGTCACTGATCGTATCTTTATCTTTTCCTTTCCCTCTTTTTCCCTTTTTTAGCCCAGCTGTACCTGATCGACGGGGACAGTTGTCAGATCGGCATTTATCAACCCTGGTAAAGCTCCTGCTCTGACAGGTGTCGAACAGGTGCCTTATCACCCAGCCCCATTTGCATTGGGCATTGCGATGGACAGACATGCCATGTAGGTGTGGGAAGAAAACTCATCACACTCTCCATCCAAACACCAGAGCTACGGCAAGCTACCGCTAGTAGTATGCATGAACAGCAGTTTATCCACTACTTCTAGAACAATGGATGTATTCCACTCCCCAAATATTTCACCCAGAGTTTTTGTCAGTCATTCCATTTATCTATTTTTAGGCGACATCATGAGCAGAAGCGGCGCGCGCCGAATCAGTTCTCGAAGATATAGCCGAGAGAAGAGAGACACAATTGTACCCCTCAGTTCAAGAGATCAGTACAAAGTTCCGTTTCCTTGAAACTTGTATCGAAACTTGTATAGCTCCTATGCGAGTGCTGATGCAAGGAGGATTAGTTGGTGGGCGTGTTACGCAGCCTGCCTTAGAGCCGTTTGCAACACTTCTTGGTGACGGTCTGCGTAATGCCGCTGGAGGCTTACTCTGCCCTCGTCATTATTTAAAATGGAAGAATCAACCTTTTTCATGCATTGGAATAATCTTCCTTGGCAAAATTTCCAGAATGCAATTTGCCTGGCTAGGTATTGCTACTGCTGATATCGTATCTCCGCGGACAGAACCAGAAGGGAAACTTACATTTCCCAAAGTGATAGTTTCTTGGAAACCACTGCGGCCTCTCACAATGCTAGAAAAGTCAAGGACATCATCCTTCATGTTGGAAACTAGCAAGTCGCAGAGTTTTACGGTACGAAATGATGTATTTACCGCGCAAATGGACTCTTTGATATGGACTCAGTAAATTCGCAGCTGCCTCACGGACCCTGAAGTGAAATGTGACATTATACTCCGTATGCCAAAGGGACTCGGACGAGTGAGGATGAACCGGCTTTTCCATAATTGGCTCAACCAACTAGCCGGTGCGCCAGCCAACATAAACGCTCGCTGCGGGGAGGCCAAGTGGGGTTTTTCGCTGAGCATAATTGAAATAAGCTTACATGGTGGCCCACATTCGGCACTGGCGCGTCGTCTGCTAACTTAATCTGAGCCTGTTTGACCAAGGGTTTTACAAAAAATATATATATTCTGAGCAGAGCGTTAATGGCTAAAAATATAACGGAGGAGGAGGAGGAGGAGCGGGGGGGAAGCATTGTCCGTTGACCAATTAAAGACTTTTTTTACCCAGCATGGCCATCTCGGCTCTTTTGTATGGAGTCTTGTCCACCTTAAATGCAGGGCACAAGACAAACAAGATCATCTTTATCCTCATGCATTTGAATTGTCTTAGGCCTACCAGGGTATTTACACCTGTGGCCAGAGCATTGTTCTGCCATTATCGCGACAGAGTGTTTTTGGCCTTTCGTATCCTTCTTGGATTCCTGTCCTCTGTTACAGGCATTCTCCAATGCCCCTGCAACCTCAACCCTTCAAGAGTGATCTGGCATAGATACTCGAGCAGCGCCAGCTATGGTATTACAGGCAGCAAAATTTGGAGATATTATAAAGTCAGAAGTGGGCCTTTTGTTGGCATGAAACTAAAAACATGGGATGGTAAAAATCCGTGTGCATCATTGCAAATACTAATCAAGCAGGGCAAAAAAAAAAAAAAAAATTTTTTTCTTCTTCCGTACAAGACTGTCTGCTTAGAAGCAGAGGGTGTTATAATTGTGGTTGACTGGGTACCTCTAGGGATAGCAACAGGATTGGTTTAGTGTACCGCAATGCTATAAACATTAAACAATGGCATTTAGATTCACTCTTTTAAACCCCAGTTAGCTAATTCTATATTGTCTTGTTGTAGGTTATAATAGTTGCCACTTTTTCTAAGATGTTTTATTGCTGCTGAAGTCATCCCCTTACATATATCGAAGGATTCATACATAGTTGTAAATTCTGTGGATTTCTTTGTATGCAAATACTTCTCTTGATTCCAGTTGATTCAAATTTGGTCTGAATAGAAACACTAAAGCTTCGGGGCTGTGGTGTCCGCAATTGTTACATTTTTTTGCCTAGTGTGATGGGGTCATGAGCACACGACGGCGACTGTGTCTGCTGGTGTACATCACCAAAGGAGTGAAGTCCGAGTTGACAGTCAACAAGTACTATTTTTTTTCAAAGGCATATTCACCTATGGTATCTCCTTGGAATGTGTATTGCGTACTCTGTACTCCGTACTCTGTAGTCTGTGTGCATTTGCATACGGGAGACGTCTGTCGTCATTCGGTCTGATCCTCAATGTTGAAGCCTTGGCATGGACGAAGGTAAGAAACCAGGCGGCACAGTTTCACAATCAACCGCGACCCTTGAGAGTTCTCCCCCATACAGGGTGTAATAGTTGGATGGGAATTGAATAACACTATAGATCTGACTCGAGCTATGCACCCAGCTCCACAAACTCTCAGTCGTTGATTGATAGGTCTTTTCACTTTTTGAATCCCTCCTGTCGTCGTCGTTCAACCTCTGAAAAACTCGCGCACGATGAACCCGCTCACGATACTCGTCCCTCTTCTCTCCGCAAGCATTGTTCATCCTGTATCGTTTTCCTTGTCACTTTCATTCTCCCTACTCGAGTTTTTTACACGCCCCTTGCTCCTACCTCTCCGCCAGGTTTACCATGTCCTGGTGCTTTTGATACGGATGCTGTTAAGGCTTGAGGTGAATATGGAACCCTCTCCTATCCCCTATGCCATGCGACGACACCTGTCACATATCAGAAAATACTCAAGCATTGGATGCCCATTGATGCACCTTGAAACTCCATGCCGTTTTCCACAACATGACCGATCACGCATATTCCCTTACATCATATAGCTAGTTCTCTCGTGTGATGAATTTGAAACTAAAATTGCATACAGCCGGTATACAACTTTTTCGGAACAGCATTCCTTTTCGGAGCAATTGCGGGCTACATGCTGCACCTTACTTTGCGGTCCGCATACCAGATGTTGAACATAGCCCCTTCGCCCCCTGAGCAGCTCCTGAAGCAAAAAGAACCGGCTCATATTTCGGTGACAGGATCGTTGAAAGAGCATGAGACCGACAATTTTGAGATGGCAACTCTCGGGAACGAGGGTCAGAGACCCAGATGGTCCAGTGGGATACGTCCGAGGACGAGATATATATATCCCCGCTGGCTTCGAAGATCGAATGACCCCATGGGCAGCAGCATATTAGAGGAAGATGAGGACTGAGCTAACGGAACCCCGTATGTGTGATATCGCGAACCAATGGTGTAGCATGCACAGAGAGATCCCCTTAGGGGAGACTTAGGCTATACCTTCAACCTAAATCACCCATCATACAGACGCTCTAGTCATAGAGGATCGCGGCAGCAGCACACACCAGGATTCCCGGTGCACCCAGAAGGTACGATCATGACACTTCCTTTTTTTCGTTCAAGTTGCTGATATTAACAATCCGGACTAGAAACATAAGACGATAACCTAAAGATCACCTTCTCATGCTGAATATGGATGTAATTAAGATCTCAACTACAGCCATCCCACCACCAGTCGACTGACTCTGTCACCATATTTAGAATTGCCCTCTGAACCAACTGTAGCTGATGATGAGGAACAGGGCTCACCACATCCGCGGAGACAACCCTGGTGTCTCTGGGAAGAACAGGGTACTTGAAAAGTTCCGCTCTTTCCCTTTACTCTTTCGGGACATTTAATCCCTTCCCACGGCAAGAGCTCTCATGCGGCGAGGATTGCGAGCAAAATGGGGTCTGCGAGACTTTATATCGATCTCTGTTTCTATCTTCCTGTCGTCAGCTTTCGGTTTACCTTTATACATATGCTGCAGATGTACCGTGATTTTTCCAACGTCCAGTCCAGAAGCACAGTTAAACCAAGATGCCTCAGCCAACTGGTTTTGCGGCATGGGGCATCACTTCCCACCAAGCAAAATTAGTATCCTGGTTCAGGCTGACACGAGAGGTCCGAGGGATGATCATAAATTACCCTATAAACTGTGACGGAGTTGATGCATCCAGCAGCTTTATGTCGCTCGTTGATGGCCTGACTTTTTGGAGTACTATCAGCGCTTTCTTCTGCGTCTGCCGTAAGTTGCTCCTTTTTGGTCCATTCCTCCCCATTCTTGGCTGCATTCCCCAATGCATGCCTGCCCTGCTCCCCCCGGGGTCCTTTCTAACTGTTCAGCATTCGATTGACACCATGGCTTATTCTCCATAATGCTTTCCACCTTAGGGAGTTGGCGCGGAATGGCCACGATTGTCCTGCTTAGAAGCGGAGTAGCCAAGGTCATGACCGTTGCGCCACAGTGGATTTCCGAAATAGCCCTTCGAGAGTTCCATTCTCTCCACAAGCGAAACCTTGAGCAGTACCCGCACGATATTCCAACCCTCACTACGCAGTTCAGAACAATTCTGGATAGGTTATTCATCATGGCCCTCCGACGCGGCTTTGACGGGATCGTGGAACGCCTCCTGTACATTGGAGCTAGCCCGGCCGTTCAAGACCCAGAGGGAGAGAGTGCCTTGTACATTGCAACATTTAACCAGAGCGCCAGATGCGCCAGGGTGTTGCTAAGACACGGTGCGGTCGTGGACGAACCAGCCAGGGACCAAGACGGCCTTAGGACCTCGGTGGAAATGGCTGCTATCAATTTTGACTGCGAGGTTATGGACCTGCTCATCGAATACGGCGCAAACCTGAACATTTCACTGGACACGCACGGCCAGACGTACCACCTGGTTGAATGGGTCGTCAGCATGGGCCACCTCGAGATGTTGGGTCTTTTAATCAGCCACGGTGTGCTGATGTGGTACCTCCCAGACTCCTACTGGGAAGATCTCCTGGTCATCTCCGTTGCGCGTAGGTGGCCAATGATGACGAGGATGCTTTTGGACAACGGCTATCCGATTGCTTTCTTTGAGAAGGCTGTGGAGGATAGGGTGATCTGGCCTACATACTCGATGAGAAGAGTTTTGTCTGACTATACTGTTTGGAACGTTCTTCCAATTTCTAGCCGGGAGGACCCTATGCCAATATGCCCCGGCTTTATGTGAAGAATCTTGTCACGATACGGGTTTTCGTTTGGGGGGGGGGGCTGGCTGCCAATTCTATCAATCTCCCCTTTTGGTTAGGTATCCCAAGAAAGTACCTGTGACGACACTGTTCTTGTCTATCAAAGCATGTCACATACTCATCCTTTTTTTGTTTGGGAGGGAAAAAAAAAAAAGAATGCGGCGCACTGGTGTCAGGGAAGGATGAGAAAAACACATTAAAAGCTAGCGATACCAAGCACAGAACAGATGGAGAAGCCGAAGCATCTATGAAATTCATTATTTCGGGCGGGGCGGTAATTAACTTCGCATACAAGAACGATAGTCTAGAAAAGAAGAATGATAATAAGAAGACCGGGCCAAATGTATTTTCTTTTTTATTAATGAGTTTCGTTATAATCATGCTTCACCAAACTCCTTGACATCAGTTGTCTTCCCGTTTAACGCCAAAGGCACAATCCCGCTGACGTGCATCTCGGGGCCGTAGACATGCATGTTGAGGTGGAGTTCCTCGCCGACAGCCTTGATGTTCTTCAGACCTTCTTGGTAATTGGGGCCGGCACGACGGACCCAGATCTGGGTCTTGTGCTCGTTGAGGACAGGCGCGACTTCTCTCAGTGCGCGGATGACACCCTTGAACGTGGTGGCGACGTTGGTGAAGTTGGCGATACCGCCGCCGATGAAGAGAACTTTACCGTCTGGGTGCATGGGCGCGCGCAGCATGAGGTCAAGCACGGTGCGGGCGTAGTTGTAGGTTTGGGTCTCGGTGGGCGCGCCGGAGTACTCACCGTAGTTGGCGAGTTCGCTGACGAAGCCAGCGGAGGCAATGGCATCAGCGTAAACGACGGAGGCACCACCACCGGCAACGAGAGTCCAGATTCGGCCGGTGGAGTTGAGAACGGTGAGCTTGAGGGATGCGCCGGTCTTGGCGTCCATGTCGGCGATGAACTTTTCTTCCTTGCTCAATTCACGGCCAAAGGGTGCTGGGAAGTCCATTGGTGGGCCGGCATCGATGGTCACCTTGTCATCGTTCTTGAGCGGAGCGCGGATTCCGAGGGCAGCCGGGCTGCGCGCAACAGCCCACTTGGTGCCGCACTCAAACTCGGCGGTCTGGTCGAGCTTGGCCGCCAGATCCAAGAAATGGACTTCAGCGGATGTCTTGTCAGCGTTGGGGATCACGACGAGGGGGTTAATCTCCAGATAAGTGAACTGGCAGTCGACGTAGACAGCGTATAGTCTTGTGATGAAGTCGACCAAGACATTGTGCAGGCCCTGGGGAATCTTGCTGAGCAGCTTGGCGGCGATCTCGTCGTTCGACGGGAAGTTCTTGAGGTTAACGGGAACCAAGAGCTTCTCTGCCTTGGCGTCGACGTCTCCTACGTCGACACCTCCTTCATGTGTGAACAAGATCCAATCGCCCTGTGGACGAAGCAGTCAGCCGCCTGATTCGCGCGCTGCCCAGGAGCGCAGGCCAAGCCAGATTTCCTTTTTTTTTTTTTTTGGGGGGGGGGGTTTAGTTGTGGCGCTTACCTCACGGACGGAGTTGATGTTGATGTAGTATTCGGTCTCTTGTGGATGGGGGACGAAAGGCTCAACGAGGAAATGTCGCAGGACACCGGTGACGGTCTCGACCTGCTGTGGCTTTCCGGCGCGGGCGGCAATCCATTCTCTGGCCTCCTCCCAGCTCTTGTTGAGCGCCAGCAGGCCGCTCTTGCCTCTTCTCTTGATCAATTGATCGGGCTTTGCGACGAACTTGGCTCCTTTGGCGAGCAGCCAGGGATAGGTGGATTCGGCCTGGTCGAGGACGCCTTCGACGGAGCAGTCCTCGTCAAAGTGGAGGGAAGCGAGCTTTGCGGGAGCATTGTGTGTGGTGGGAGCGGGGAGAGGAGAGGGCTTGATGACTGGCGCACGTGTGAGGTGGTAGTTGAGGATGGCTTTGCCATCAGCTTCGTAGATTGACTTGGCCGACATGATTAGGAGTGAACTGGGTTAGGGTAGGTAAAGTAATATTTTTTTTTTTTCCTTCTTGTTTCGAGTGTAGAGCTGTAGCAGGATGATCAAGCTGGGGAGAGAAGGCGGGGAGAGAGGGAGAGAGAGAGAGAGGGGGAGAGAAAGAGAAGCAGAGAGGATATGAAGCTGCAGAAGAGAGACAGTAGAGCAGAGATGAGAGCAGGAATGAGTATGAGTATGGAGACCTGGAAGAAGAGAAAGCGGCGGAGAGATCGGTCCGCGGTGCGTGGTGGTGGTGATGTTGGTGATGTTGGTGGTGCAGAGACGGTTTGTTGGTTGAGCGACCAAAAAAAAAAAAAGGGCTTTGTTGTTGAGGACTTGCTGAAGCTGTTCTGTCACGGCACCGGACAGCGATTGGTGCCGCTTCTGGACCCCACCGCCCTAAAGCTCTAGCAACCAAGGTTATCAAGGAAACGACGCACGCCTGGCCCGGCTTAGTCACCCAAAAGGGGCCGGGATTCGCCAGGGCAGGCAGGGGCCGACCAGCTGGGTGGTGGGGCGGGGCTGCTTCCTGACTGGATCGCTCCCTCGGGTCCTTTCCTAAAATGGGCTGTTTCAATTAGGTTTCGTTGGGACCTCGTTACCGCTAGTAACGGGGCTGTAAAATCCCTCGTCAGAGATAAACGGTCGATGCTGCGTTGCGCCGTCTGCTGTTCATAACTACTTCCAGTTGGCAACGTAAATTAAAAATGGTTTAATATGTACGGAGTATCTCGCTGTGCGGGTTCGGACAACGGAGTAATTAATTAATAGCTACGTGTTATTATATATATATATATATATATATATATATATAGAGATACTCTATGTCCGGGGTACGGCGTGGAGGACAGGTAAAAACACTTTTGTTATTTACTCGTACGGACTACGGAGGACTCAGGGAAACAACAAAAAAACTCCGATATCGACTCTTTGCCTGTTTGACTTTATCCGGCTCCGGAGAGGTCGCAATTGGAACCTTGGAAGAAAAAGATAGAGAAAGAAAGGAAAAAAAAAGAGAGAGAGAGAGAGAGATAAAAGAGAGATTGGGCAGCAAAGCAGCGCGCATCGTACTCGTAATTCAGCGCGCGCAATCCCTGAGGCTGGCCGCTCACCGAAACCCACAGGAGCTCCTTCCCCCCTCCCTCTGGGTCCAACGCGACTTCCTTGGCCCCATCCCGGCAGAAAAGGAAAAAGAGGGAGATCCAGCGTGCGTTTCGCCCCTTCCTGCTTGTCTTTTTTTCTTTTCCGTTTGAAGAAAGTTCCCCACCAAGCATTCCATCCATTGGGGAAGCCCTAGCCGCATCGGGCCTAGCGCGGGTCCCAATGCGAAAGCCTCGAACTGCGTTTGACTTTTGCTGTTTGGGTGGTTGACCGGGGAGCTTTCCAGCCAACCAAACCGCCTTGTTCAGCTGCTCAACAACATCAACCACCACCACCACCTCATCTTTCTTTTCTTCGCTTTCCGAAAAACTATCTCTTCACTCTGACAATCATCTCTTGTTCCCCTCTTCGTTCCTCTTCTTCTTTTTTTTCTGCTCTCACGACTTTTCATCTTCTACTCTAAGAGTTCCCTAATTAATCCTTTAATCCACTTGCTTCTCTCTTCCCCCTCGTGCTCACTGTCGTCCACCACTCTCCCCCCCCAAAGTCGACCTTTTTTTCACTATTACTCAACCAAAAAAAAAAAAAAAAAGAAAAAAGAAAAGGTTAGTCTACATACTCTCAACGAGAAAGTTGCCTATCATCCTGTTATATCCAAGTCTTATTCCCATCCGCTACATGTTGCTAAGCTCCTGCAAAAACAGTAATCCGCCCTTCCCTCACAATGCCTTCCGCTGCACCTCTCGCGACCTCCGGCGATGGAAACCTTCGCGCAAATGACAACATCCGCCGCTTCGAGGCCGCCAGCAGACCGCTGACCCCCCTGGAACACAATCTCTTTCACAACAAGACGCGATGCTTCGTATAGTGAGTAGCCGGCCGTTACCTACAGTGCATAGCACATCCCACGTGGCTACAGCTCTAACCCCACCGTCGCACAGTGGCATGCAGCCCAGAGCCGTCCAGGGGATGCTGGACTTTGACTTCATTTGCAAGCGCACCACACCATCCGTCGCAGGTATCATCTACACCTTCGGTGGACAATTCGTCAGCAAAATGTGAGTTGGACTTCCCCCCTCTCTCTCTTGCCCCCATCTCTCTCTCTCTTGCTTCAATTTGGACCTGCTCGTTTTTTACTGATGCCTAAAAAAAACAGGTACTGGGGCACAAGCGAGACTTTGCTGCCGGTTTACCAGAGCGTAGGCAAGGCCATGGCAAAACACACAGACGTTGATGTCGTCGTCAACTTTGCTTCCTCGCGAAGTGTGTACAGCTCTACCATGGAGCTGATGCAATACCCTCAGATCAAGACCATCGCCATTATCGCCGAAGGTGTCCCGGAGAGAGTATGTTCTAAAAGATAAAGCCCCCGGCCGCTTCGTTGATCTTAAAAACACTAATGCTTGGCAGCGTGCCCGCGAGATCATGGTTACCGCAAAGGAGAAGGGTGTTACGATTATCGGTCCCGCCACCGTCGGTGGTATTAAGCCTGGTGCTTTCAAGATCGGTAACACCGGAGGTATGATGGACAACATCGTTGCCTCCAAGCTCTACCGCAAGGGGTCTGTTGGCTACGTCTCCAAGTCCGGTGGTATGTCCAACGAGCTGAACAACATTGTCTCTCAAACCACCGACGGTGTCTACGAGGGTATCGCCATCGGTGGTGATCGGTACCCAGGAACCACCTTCCTGGATCACTTGCTTCGATTCCAAGCCGACCCTCAATGCAAGATCCTGCTTCTCCTCGGTGAAGTTGGTGGTGTTGAGGAATACCGTGTCATTGAGGCTGTGAAGAATGGCACCATCACCAAGCCCGTCGTCGCATGGGCTATTGGTACTTGCGCAAGCATGTTCAAGACCGAAGTTCAATTCGGCCACGCAGGTGCGTCGGCAAACTCTCAATTGGAAACTGCTGTGATGAAGAACCAGGCCATGAGAGAAGCCGGCATCCATGTCCCAGACACCTTTGAAGAGCTCCCCGAGGTCCTCAGAGCTGTCTACCAGAAGCTTGTCAAGCAAGGAATCATCAAACCACAGCCCGAACCTATCCCCCCCAAGATCCCTATCGACTATGCCTGGGCCCAGGAATTGGGTCTTATCCGTAAACCTGCCGCTTTCATTTCTACCATCTCCGACGACCGTGGCCAAGAGTTGCTGTACGCCGGAATGCCAATCTCGGATGTCTTCAAGGAAGACATTGGAATCGGCGGTGTCATGTCTCTCCTGTGGTTCCGCCGTCGCCTTCCCCCTTATGCCAGCAAGTTCTTGGAGATGGTTCTGATGTTGACTGCCGATCACGGCCCGGCTGTGTCCGGCGCCATGAACACCATCATCACCACCAGAGCCGGAAAGGATTTGATCAGCGCCTTGGTGTCTGGTCTTCTCACCATTGGATCACGCTTTGGTGGGGCTTTGGACGGTGCTGCCGAGGAATTCACAAAGGCCTTCGACAAGGGTCTCAGCCCACGTGATTTTGTCGATACAATGCGCAAGGAAAACAAACTCAGTAGGTTTATCGCGCGTTGTTTCATGTGAAAATTTTGCCACTGACAAAGCATGACAGTTCCCGGTATCGGCCACAAGGTCAAGTCGCGCAACAACCCCGATCTCCGTGTCGAGCTCGTCAAGGAATTTGTCGTCAAGCACTTCCCTAGCCACAAGTTGCTCGACTATGCCATTGCCGTGGAGACAGTGACTACATCCAAGAAGGATAACCTCATCCTCAACGTCGACGGCTGTGTTGCCGTCTGCTTCGTCGATCTCATGCGCAACTGTGGAGCTTTCAGCCCAGAAGAAGCCGAGGATTACTTGAGCATGGGTGTGCTGAACGGTCTTTTCGTTCTTGGCCGTAGTATCGGTTTGATTGCCCATTACCTCGATCAGAAGAGACTGCGCACTGGTCTGTATCGTCATCCTTGGGATGATATTACATACTTGCTCCCAACTCTGCAGAAGGGAGGTGCAGAAGGCCGTGTGGAAGTTAGCATGTAAACAAAGGGGCCCTTTTTTGGCATTTTTCTCCTTTTAACCTCCTCTTAACAAAACAATGAATCATATTATGGGATCCTCTTTACAGACCAGGGTAATTACTTCTTCTTTTCTACGTGTCTCTTGAATTCTCTTTTTAATATTCTTGTGTGTGATCCTATTATTGTTGTGGGTTTCTTTTTTTTTGTTGAGCACCCCAAATTTTTGATATGTGCATAATCCCAGTCTTATTCCCAGTTCACCGCCATGATTACTGTGGGAAAGACCCGGGAACTTTTATGAGGAGAAAATCAGGGGAGAGTTAATGAACATGTTGGTAGAACGGGGAAAAAGAATCCAATTAGGTTAGAATAGCTAGAAGATATCTTTTTTCATGTTCTTGATAATTTGTTCATTTCAATTCCGCTAATTTCTGCAGAGCTTGATATCCGAGAAATCTTGCGACGGACAGAAGAGTTGAAAAATCTAGCACCGTAGCTGTTTGTGTGGATGCATGCGGAAAATGAGTACAATGCTTGGCTTGAAAAATTAAAAAAAAAAAAAAAAGCTGGACTCTCATGCTGGGACAGTGGATGTATGTATGTGCTGGACAAGGCTGTTGATGAATCATTTCGCATGAAGGCGCAGGAAAGCCAAAATAGAAATAAATAAAAATAATAATAATAATAAAAAAGGAGAGAGCAGAGATACAATTCGGTATGGAGATTGGGTATATATATTCCTTGAAACAAAACAGGAGAAATGCAGGCAAAAGGCTCAATGCAATAAACAAGGGTATTTTCAGAACAGGCCGGAATATTAAAAAAAAATAATAATAAAAACGCCATTCCATCGCTGCGCCCTGAAAGGAATAAAACGAAAAAGAATTCCTATTTCAAAGTCGTTAATTTCGTGAAGGAGTCGAGGGTAAGACACCGGAGGAAGAGATCGTTGCTTAGATATATGGTAAGTGTGGGATGTGTGGAGGTGTGGTGTAATTTAAAAAGTCCCAGCTTTTATTTCTGGTCGAAGAGGTCATTTAGATCCGAAGGTTCTGAGAGATTCTGCCACTCGCCATGGTCCGTTCTCCACTCAATGGATTTCCGGAAGCACAGTTCACAGTTCCTGTGCAGAGCGGCACCCGCGTTGACGAATAGCCTAAGACCTGCATCTCGTCTTTGGGTAGCGGCGAAATGACTCGGGGGCAAGCCCTGCCTATCGCAAATCGAGTCATCGGCACCGGCGCTGAGTAGGTATTCCAGAGTCGGCAGGGTCGAAGCGCACGTAGCCGCGTAGTGCAGCGGCGTTTGTCCGTGGGAGTCTTGCGCGTTGATATCGAAACCGAGCGGGAGCAGCCATCGGACCATGAGCTCGCTCTTTTCGCTGTGCACCGCGGCATGAAGCGGCGTGCGGCCCAGGTGATCACGGATCGAGGTCGTGGAGCCGAGTCTCTGGAGCAAGAAAGGTATTCTCTCCGGGCTGCCGTTCTCGACTGCGTACAGGAACGGCGTGCGTCCGATACAATCCCGGGCGGAGATGCTGGCGCCCATTTTCAGGAGGAGGTCGACCACCTTCTGCCATCGCTTGACAAGGCAATGTGATTCGCGAGAGAAAGCACTGTCAGACACTCGGGCCCAGTCCTTGGGTCCGCGGGCTGCGACGTGGAGAGCCGTCAGCCCGGCTCGACTTCTCTCGAAAAGCGAAATATCCACGGGTATAGTTCGAGACTCCACTAGAGGCACGATTCGCTCAAGCATCTCGAGATCAAGCCTGTCGCATGCCTCCCATATGGCCTTTTGAATGTAATAAGACGGCCAGGGTCCCGGATATACCTGAAGCAGTAGGTGCACGACGTCCATTTTTCCAAATTTGATGGCAATATCCAGGGCGGACAAACCATCGCTGTCGAGAACCATCAAATCGATACCAGCTTTAATCAGCTGCGGTACCGCGTATGTCTTGTTATATCTAACGGCGTAGTGTAACACCGTGGAATTGTCAGAACTTCGTTTTGATATCTCGCCGCGCTCCTTGAGCCGGTCGATCAGCATCTGAGAGATCACGGTGCATTTGTTGAATCTATATCGATAGACTGCGTGCAATAGCGTCTTCTGGCAGGGCTTGAAGACGTCATCATCCGCTCCTGCGTCAAGGAGTATGCGGACAACGTCCTTGTGGCCCCGTTTCGCCGCCCAGGCCAACGCATGCGGATCACGATAGTGGGCGTTGACGTCTGCACCTCTAGCCAGGAGAATCGATACCAATTCTGCGTTCCCGGCACGTGCGATTCTGTTTAGGAGGAGCCCTCCTTCCTGGTCCATGCGCAAAAGGATGTCGGCTCGCTTTGTACGAAAGTAGTTGAGCGCATAGCGCGAATGCCAGCGACCGGCATGCGATAGAGCACCGTTCTTGAAGCTCGAGTTGGGTGCCAGATCGGAAGAGGCGTGGCGTGTGCGGCAGCCCACCACGAAGTCGTAGAGCTGGGGTGAGAGCAGCTCGGCAAATACTCTGGCCGTCCTGATGAGCGAGTTCAGGTCTTTTTCATCCAGATGCTCGCCAATGCAGAGGAGGATCTCGGGAGGGAGGCTCGCGAGGTCCATGGAGGTCTTCGTGGGTCTGGGGGGTTCATGGCGCCAGAGAGAGAGGGTGCTATATAGGATGCCCATTCTTCGAATAGGACAATGCGAGGATGACGTCGAGGTCAGGCCGACTGTATCGACAATGTACATCGCCAATAGGCGTATGTAAGAGTGTATCGTGCTCTCCATGGTAACGGGCCAAGGTGCGGATGGTCCGGAGGGAGAGGGAGAGAGGGAGAGGGAGAAGGAGAGAGAGGGAGGGAGTACAGAGGTTAAGTTGACGAGAGGTCTTGGTGGAATGGGCTGCCATCTCAAATGGCGACATTGCCATCCTTGCTGGTGATTTTGCATCTCCGAGCAAAAAACTGTTGGCATGACCACGCCGTGACTATCCCACGTCCAACATATCCCATGAGACCTGCGAGTGGGCATGGGCGGCTGCTGGCTGCTTACGATCTCCGAGGGATGCTTGCGGCGGGGGGGAAGCTGCCCGGTTTGCAGCCGCTGGGGGGCGCTAGTTGGGCTGGGGCGGGCCGCCATTGGCGGGTGTTCGGGGCCAAGCGAACGGGCACGACAGGCCTCGTGCGCAACCTCCGAGCAGCACGAATACGAATCCGCGTCTGGCTAGTCCAGATAAACTTGGGGATTGCTATTAATACAAGCCCGCGCTGTCGATGTAGTTATGTCGTTATGGGCTCATAGTTACTTAAGAGGCATCTTAAAGGCGCGGGCCTCCCCTGCTCCGCACCCAAGAACCCTTTTTTTTTCCCACCTCCTCAGTTTTATGCCAGGGATGTTCGGCCACTCTGGTGGCATCGTTTTACCGCACTTTGCTTATTCTTGCCAACTCCTCAACACAAGTCCGGTTAAACTGGTTAACTAGCTAGTTACATTTTTGTCTCTCCTCCCGTACGGCTCTCGGCCGGTTGATGTGAGTTTCTCGACAGCACAGGATCCATCCATGTCGTACAAGCAAGCTCGCGACACAAAAAAAAACACACACACACACACACACACATATACTCCGTACACACACAGATCTTTTCAGAATTTATGCATCTCCGGCAGCCAATGCTTGTGTGTGCGCGAGTGCCTTGTACCACCAACTTGGATGGGTTTTCAATCGTGCTGCTCTAGTGCTTTTTTCCGGTTGAGATGCCTCTCGGGTGGAATTGCAAATGGAGCGTGACCCGGGGGGCTCTGCGGCACATCGCAAGGGCTTCGTCCCTCCCCCTGAGTGCTACTTCCAGACCGCCTCGAAAGCTTACAAACTCGTTGAGCGGCGTTCGACAGGGAATGTCATTTCTGACTAAACGGGACGATCTCATGATTTCACGTGTGATACGCTGGATCCCCGCTTCACGCCAGCCAACTATTGCCTGTTTACTCATCTAACCTGAGGAAAAATAGAGGAGCCAAGCTCTGCTTCGCCATGCCAATGCAAATAGGTTAGCTCAGGCCCAAACACATGATGTATGTATGAGTCGCTGGGCTTCCAGACAAATAGCACGCCAGCTTGCTGATCAGCCACACAACCTGTGACGGCGCGCCTTTTGGAGACTGGGGGGTCGCTGTTTGAGCAGATGAACCCTGTTCGGGACGAAGGAAGACCGGACTCGTCGGGCAGCTTTGTGAGTGAGCTATATTGACCCCTTTAAAATGTTTGCAGGAATACGTGTTTTTGATAATTCTTTTTTCTTCCCCTCCCCAAGCGGTGCAGACAAGCTAAATTTATCTTTTATTGCAAGGTGGGATTCCCTCTGAGTGAGGGGGTCGTTGTGGTGAACTAGTTTGCGGGATGGTGCCTGCGGCAGGCAAAGGCGCTTCGCCCGCCAGCGCCCAGAAGCATGCCATAATCCGCAGACCGCCGCTTCGGGCGGAGTACATCTGCAAATAACAGCGGTGATAATGCCACTTGGGCGGCCAGCGCCGGGAAATTTTGATCGAGAACAGCCTAGAGGGCACGTGACGGGCTATGACGGGCGATGACGGCACCCTGCATGGATATGGCTTTCTCCACACGGCCGGCAACGAGCAGGCCTCGCAGCGTTTTCTTCAGCGCAGCCAGCCAAGCAGCACCGTTGGCCTGCTTCCCTGCCCAGCCCGGGCGCATGGGTCACGGAGCTCGAGCCTTTCGGGCGACTCTTGGGGTGAGAATGCCCCTCCATGTATGCGTGAAATCGGGCTTATGGCCGTTGATTCCAATTGCATCCAGGACGGAGCGCGCGCTTTGACGGCGTTCCTCAAAATGCCTGTAGGCACTGTTGCTGCGAGTTGTTCCTCGTCTGCTGCCGAGAGCTTTGTGTGGAATCATGTCACTGAGATAAGGGTGGAAGGGCTACAGCGATGCCATTGAGTTCCCATTTCGTGATGGCTGATGGCCCAGCTGGTGCGGGATAAAATTGAACTTGACTACGGAGCACTCCGCATAGAGCCAAGGTGTTTTAGCTGCGACGCGTAGCTTACTATTGTTCCATTGCTCTGGCTTGTGAACCCTCAATCAGCCTAATAATAATAACTGGGGAAAAGATTGGGTCACTAAGGATCCCAGTGGCTGGGGAGCAACTAAGACATCCTTGTTCTTAAAAAGTTTCGACTTGTCCATCTGCTAACTAATTCTCCTCATTGCCGATTAGTTACTAATTTCCCCGTGAGATATGTTTGTGCACGGACAAGGGCAGCTTCGGGCGTTTGTGATGTAACCCTGAACACGCCACACTAATTGTCCGATATGAGACAAGCTTTGGCAAAACGGCAGCGCAATGAGGCATGAAGAATCGATCAGATAATAAAAATCATTCCTGATGCGGATGAGCCTATGTTCCCTGTATACATGAGCATCTCTTTACTACAGAGTATTCTCTTTGTCTACAAGCTACAAGTACCCAGGATAATATCACAATACAAATACTTAGAGGGAAGTCCGGTTTTCCCACCCAAAAAAAAAAAAAAAAAAAAATATATATATATATATACTCGTTTAGCGATAGGCCTAGATTGGTGCCAGAGGCAGGCTGCTTTAATCACCCCTAGCTCAGCAAGGCACAAGCATAGAAGAGTGAGGCTGATTGAAGCCTGGTCATTCAAGCGAGTTGACAGGCTACCAGGGCAGGTTAAGGCTCGTCCAGGTCATCCTAAATCATAAGTGATTGGTGATATTTGACGGTTTGTATTTTCACCAAGACAAAAAAAAAAAAAAAAAAAAAAAGAGAAATGGAAAGGAAAAAAAAAAAATTGAAATGCAAAAAGAAAAGTTGAGGAAAGTAACTCAATAGTTAAAAGTAATCCCCGGTGTAGCCCGCCAGAAGGAGTCAAGAATTCCTAACGATTTTTGCTGTTATATTTCTCTCCTCTTCTGTCCACCTCTGCTTTGTTTTCTTTTTCCTCACTCCCCCCCTTTTCCTCATCGTCTTTAGGTAACTCGTCGAGGCTTCTTTTAATTGCAGTGGATCAGTTATTACCAACCATGCGGCGATGTGGGGACTCCTTGGGATCTGACAATATCATATGTTGAACCGTGGATGTTCCTGTTTGACCAGATCCCTTTGATACACCCCGGTGGGCACCTCATTGCTAACCCACTCAACCAGAAAATTTGAGTGGAACTCCCTGGGATGGATCCTTAGGATCCCACGAGCCTAACTTTGAGAGGATCTCCCCGAAAGAATACTCCTCCTTCAGGATGGGCAGCAGCTATAGCACAAAGAGGGAGCTTTTCATCAAGCAATGCACGAGAAAGCTCAACTGTAAAATGAGCTTGTTGATGACAAAAGATACCCTAACCTCTGGGAAGATTTAATATGTGATTTAAAATGATCGATGTTCCTGGTGTTCTCTACTTGCAATGGCTCGGAAACTGATCGTTATCATGTTTCTAATCCACCCTTCCTACTACACAAAGTCAGCCCGGATCAGAGCATGTATACTCTGGGACTGAGGATAAGCGACTCATTCATGTCGTTTTGGAATATGCTGTACTATCCTTGAATCCCCAAATACCGAAGTAATTTGGATTTCGAAGAGCACCTTAGCCCTTTGCACTGTAGATACAGGCCAAGTACAAATATATGTTCGTCAACAGGGGAAAAATTAACTGTTGTCATTGTAAGAGGGCTACCCGGGTATTCAACTCAGCCCCAATGCAAATCATACAGGAACGTTGCACTCAGCAATTTGAAAATTTCATAATAGCTACTGAACCATTGTCTGCATGAAAACAAATCTAGAAGCGTCCTCGTCTCATGTTGCTGTGCAGGTCGTTTAAATGCTTGCAAAAGAGGGGGTGGCGAGTTGGTATTGAAAAGCTCGGTCCTCGACGGTGGGGAAGATCATAAGATGACCAAGGATGATAAGCAAAGAACGAGGATAAAGTGAGACTGAATGAGTACTGAGTGCCGCAACGCAACTGAAGCTCTTGACATGGTAGGGTTTCCGGGGCTGGCGGCCACGGGGTCGACTTCTCTGTGGTCTTCAATTGACGATATGTACGACAAAGCAGAGACTGGAACGTATCGGCCATAAGAGTCTCACTGCCCCTTCACTGGACATTGCTGGAGAAAAGTTCGGAGAGAAACGGAGTCTTGATCATGGATTAGTTTTGTTTATTTTTTCCGCTTACTCTTAAATCCTTGCGCCGCGGCCCAAGGAATGTATTTTCTAGGCAGAAAACTTTTGCCATGCCATGCCTCTTCGGAGTATTGCGCGTTTATTTGACCCCTCTTTGATTATGAACGGAGGCAGACACGGCGCGGGGAGAGTCAAACCGGGGCAAGGTTATGATCCACACTCAAAATGCCAAAGGGCAAGTTTTGGCCGTCTCGACGAAGGTCTTCCATCACGGAGGCACGATGTTGTCATTGATGGTAACAGACGCAGAAAGTTTGCCTCCACTGGGCCCGAGAGGAGTACGTTACGCTGCAGCTTTTTGCTTGTGTTGAGCCCAATGTGACTACACCGGGAGTTCCACGGCATCCTCAACATACGCCTTGGCGATCCTCTCTTCTGAAAACACCCTGGATGGAATTTTCTCCGAAATTGTGATCTTCGAGCCTAGGACTGAGCTGTGACATGGTTGAGACTCTGCCCTATGGATAATTAAAGGCCAAGGGTTAGGATCGCTCGTACACGCAAAGTATAGCAAGTGGAAGGACGATCCTTGTGGTGATTTAAAATTTTTGCTCATGATAGTGCAAGGTAGTTGTTCATCTAGATGCGAACAAGCTGGGACAAACCGCCTTTAAATGTGGGCGATATTGCATATATATCAACTGTCAAATGAGAATAACTACCCACCTTGCGAGCTAAGAAAAATTGGATCTGTACGTCCTTGAGTAGATGATCAGGAGAATTCAGGCACATTGGGTTCTTGGGCCCAGCTCTCCGCGGCAAGGATCTACCGTTAGGATCTTGAATAGGATGGTGGCCGGACCGACGCTGTTCTTTAGTCTTGGATCCAGCAAGGGTCCAACGGAACCTTGCAACCTCATCTCTCAAATTGCCGTCCACTTTGTGTGGCGTTGAATTCCGATCAGTCCCGTTCCCCCTAGCAAGTCGCCTGGGATCCGCAGCCATTTAGTTAATCCAACAATGCGGTAGGTTATTTTGGTCAATTTCTTAACGAAGACCCTGGGACTTCAGGTGGAGTTAAAAACGGAGGCTGGTCTTCGGGCTTTGACAGATTTGTAAATTCTCCCGCCCGAGCATAAACGAATTTACCGGGGCGGCTTGCTGAATGAAGTGTGTGTTCTGGCACAACTCTCTGTCGGCAATTCCATCTCTTCCATCGAAAGTGACTGCGTGTACAGAGTACTTGGGCCACGATTGAAACACCACAGCCACAAACTAGTCTTCGAGAATGTGTCATCCTGGTACAAACATACCGGACCTTGCTCGCCGAGCATTCACTTGTCTAAGGCTTTGCTAGGCAGAGGACAAAATATGCGCACCAATGACATGGTAGACGTTGACATGCGTCACTCAGGTTTGCACCTCTCTTTCGCTCTGCGGTATCCAACTCTAGCAGCGAAGACAACTCGTCAGCCTTTGTTTGCAGTTTGTCTCATATAAAATTCATTGAAGAGCTAAAATTGGAACTCTCCTGCGTAAGCTGCCGGAGTATGCTGAATCTTTTCTGCACGTTGCCTTGTATTGAGCAAAGATTTGGGGTGTACTCCGTACAGGGTATGGGGCAAGAGTACTCCCTATTCCTGTTACTCAAGGACATAGTTAATTGCAAGAGGTAGATGCGAATAGCAACATGCTGAGGTTAAATATTATTGTGAAAAGATGAATCATAACCTGCTTACTTGGTTTTGTGAATTCAATTCCCATCCTGGCACCGCCATGTCCGCTGACAACAAAATGCTCTTTGTTTAGGTTGCAGATCAACCAAACCCCCTAAAGAAGAGGAAAAAAAAGTTTCCTTTTTCCTCTTGTATTTTCTTTGAGATTGGAGCTCCTCTGATAGGATCCTCCTCATCAAATTAACTGCCTCACAAGCAGGAGAGTACGCTGTGACCTCCCGGCGAGCTTGCTTGGCCCTATTAACTTGCGCACGGGCCATCATTGGACCATGAGATGGAAATCCGCAGCGCCGCATCGAGCTAACCGCACACCTCAAAAGTGATAACGAAAAGCAGCCGCTAGAGCTTTACCTCCTAAAACCTCAAGGATTCAAAATTTGGACTGCACTCGTCATCAACTCGCAAGCCTTGGAATAGGTGCGGGTACTGAGGACTGAATCGAGCCAACAACCCGTATAATCATGGTGCGGCTGAAACACAGATACCTCCTCGTCAACATCCTCTATCCCCCGACGTCCTCCAGTGCTGTGCCCGGTGCCAAACCCCGAGCTCTGGGGAAGGATGCGCCAGATACCCAATTCCATTTACAGGTCTGCCGGCCTACACCTGACGGCCTGACAGCGCAACTGTTGGCTAGAATGATAAGGGAGACGGTAAGTGATATGTTTGGAGACTGGGGCATGGGAAGACTTGGAGGAGCGGGTGCAGGGAGTGTTAGCGGTGGGTTACCTGTTTTTCTATTTTCTTCCATACTCTAGTCGTGGTATTAGATGCGTCTTTCAATCTCTTTCAATCTTATTTTTTCACGCGTGGCCAATTTTTTATTAATTTTATGAACATCTTAGTTAAATATCTCTCGCCGGCCACATCCACAGCGATAATCCGGTGCCCGCGTGCTAGCTACCGGCTCGTTTGGGCGGCGCTTACATATATGTCACGGTTACCAGAACCAAAAGAGAAAAGGCCCGGAATTGGCAAATCTGCGTTTCCAAGAGATAGCTCTTTTAAGGCCCAAGAACAGCAGCTGGATTGTGTCTTCCGGGTCGTGCGGGTATCTGGGACGATGAAAAAGGCGGAGCAAGAAGCAATTCGGAGAGCGAGGTTGGAGGTTGTGAGGTTATCGAAGAAATGGGAGGAAGAAGGGAAGGATGTTCTCCAAGAGATGTTTCCAAGCGGCGCCCTCAAAGAACATCGGATGGGAATAGGTGTCGAAAGTGATGAGGATGAAGATGAAGATAGCGATGGATAAGTCACCAGGCTATTGTGAATCTCTACAAGAGGTAAGTCCCTAATTCCGTCTGTGGAATTTTGGCTTTTTCCTTATCACATGGTTTTATTTTCTTATGATGTTGACTCCACTGTCTGCCGGTACATGTGCTTTGAGATCCATGTCAAAGTCATCATCTTCTCCGCCAGGTATTTGCTTGGTTGCCTCGTTCCGTGCTTTTGCTTCTTCCCAATTTCTCCTTTCAAACTCGTCCCAGTCCTCTTTGTTATCCAGCCATCTTTCTTGTACGTCTTTGATATCCATTGTTCCCATACCTTCCCTGACAGCCACCTGCCACACTGTATCATTAGCTCCTTCGGCTGTACCGAACGCATATCCACCCGCCCTATCGATTGCCTGCAGGAGACTCATCATGCTATGCTTATCTTCCACCGCGAGTGTCTCAAAAGCAACGAGCCCGAAGTCCTGTACCACCTCGACGATCGCTTTGTTCAAAGCATCAAACTTGGAGCTGGCTAAAAACGGAGCTTCCTCTTTCAAATGAGGAATCAGATAGGAAAGATCTTGGACTTCGGTATAGAAGTCTAGGTTAAACGGGAGAGGGGGGTAATTCGAGAGGTTGTCGATCTTGGTGAGGACGTTTAGATGTGGCAGATCCATTTGCAGCATTGCCCGAAGGCATAGCAACAATGCCGAAATGTACATTGATGGGAGGGTTAGATTATACGAGTCGACGAGGTGAATTACCACTAGCTGTATGCAGAGGTTAGTTCAGGCAGTATTGGAGTGATTGGACATCGGGAGAAAGGGTCATTGCAGACTCTATACCCAAGCTTCTGAATCTGAAAAAAAACATTTCGAAGCGAAGAGTGATGTGTAAAGATTTCGACCTGGCCGGGACAATCGAATAAAACATAGTCATCTGCAAAATAATCATTTTTCAGCGATTTCGGAAACTTGTTGAGGAAATTTGAGCTAGACGTACCTCCTAGCTTCTCCAACCCATCTTTCAACCACTCAAAATTCCCCTCTATCTCTTCCATTGCATATAATATGCCCCCGTTTGGACCGAGCGTGTCTTCTGCCATGATCTCTTCAAGTGTGACTAGGTCGCGCACGTCCAGCGCCGGAGTATAAGAAGTGTGATCGTTGGCCGGGTCAAGGTTCACGACAGAACATTTTCTCCCGATTGCGGACATGAATTGCTGCATACCATTGCAATAAGTAGATTTACCGGAGCCTGGAGGCCCGATAACCAGTTGTGCAAATGGCATTTTTTGGCTAAACAGTAGCTTCGAAGCGCGGTTGGCGGAGGGGCATGTGTTGAACCTGCGCGCTGACAATGATGTAAGAAAAGCGAACGGGCACGAGGGCGGTGGAAGGTGGCAGAAAACAGCTGCGTGGAAAAAGGAACGAACCAGCCGCTCCATGAGCAGGCAACTCAGGTGAACAGGACCACCCTTCAAGCTAAAATCGATTTGCCCAATTGCTTCATTATTTTGTAAATCTATTGTAGTATCGCGGTTCATATGGCTTCAAGTACGTTATGCCCTCTGGTACTTTCGCAATTAATCATCCCAAAATATTTTCGCGGCGCATGCTAAAAGCTCGCAATAGACCAATTCGCTGTCCCAGAATCCCCGACGGACGCGATTTCCGCCGTCAAGTTTTCCCCAGCCCCAGAGTCGACACGGTTTGCTGTATCGTCGTGGGACAACAATGTATATCTGTATGATCTCCGGGATCCTAAAACAGGGCAGCTTGGTGAAGGGACGCTTATTGCGAAGTTTGAACATCGAGCACCGGTTTTGGACGTCTGCTTTGGGGAGGATGAAGATGAGCTATATACAGGTGGTCTAGATTGGGATGTTAAGAGGCAAGTCCGCGGCCTTTTGATTCGGGAGCTCTTTGTCTTCCTTGACTAATCGAAAGCTTACAGGATCAACGTGTCTTCGTCTTCGCAAACGGTCCTCAGCTCACATGAGGCAGGAGTGAAATCCGTTGTCTACAGCAAAGAACATAAGCTCTTAATCTCTGCATCATGGGACTCAACTTTACACATCCACCGAACTGGCACCGACGTCGCTATCACTCCCGCCACCATTCCACTTCCTTCAAAGCCGTTCTCTCTCTCCATCACGCCCACAAGATTGGTGGTCGCAATGGCGTCTCGCACTCTCCATATCTATGATCTTCATGCTCTAGCGACATTCACTGAAGAATCGGGAGCCGCCCCTTCACCAAACAAACTCGACATCGAGCCCTGGCAACGCCGCGAGAGCAGTCTTAAATTCATGACACGAGCTGTAGCATGCATGCCTAATGATGCCGGATATGCATCCTCCAGTATTGAAGGACGCGTGGCGGTGGAATGGTTCGATCCATCGCCAGAATCACAAGATCGGAAATACGCGTTTAAATGCCATCGGCAGAATGTGGATGGTGTGGACGTGGTGTATCCCGTGAATGCATTAGCGTTTCATCCAATTTTCGGCACTTTTGCGTCTGGAGGTGGCGATGGAGTGGTTGCGTTGTGGGATGGAGTTGCGAAGAGAAGAATCCGGCAATATCAGAAATACCCGAGCAGTGTAGCCGCGCTGGCGTTCAGTTCAAATGGAAAGTACTTGGCAATTGGGGTTAGCCCGGGATTTGAAGATGGGATGGACGATATTCCGGAGGGCACAGTTAAAGTATTCATCAGGGAGCTCGGTGAGACCGAGGCCAAAGGAAAGGGGGCGAAATAAGAGTTGAAAGAACTGTTGAGCTTCAAGAGCCCCAGTGTCTATTAAGATTATGATTTCTAACTAATGATACTTGGAAGATAATACTTCTACGATGAAATTGTGGAATATGCGAATGTTGGAACCCCAACTTGACTACTATGTGCTGCGATGAAAAACATATTCAAAAGTATAGTTTGCTTTCACATCTTACATAGGCTTGATTCACTGCCGAAAACGCTGCTCTTAGTGGAGGACCTCTTATCGATAAGTTCCAGCTCAGCTGAACTGCTGACTAAGCCCTTTGTCTGTGATGCTCCGTAGTTAGCCAGGAGATATCCTCCCCCGCCGCCTTGGCTCAACGATGTCACCGTTGTGAGATCCAAGTTGTCAACAACGATTCACTGGCTGCTTGACAGACTTAACAGGGCTGGCTTCACTTTACAAACCATTAAACGCGCTGCAGCCTCACAAGAGTTCATCAATGACACAGTCTTTTGCGTCTACTTTCGCCGGCCCAACGTCAAAAGAGAGGAAGTATGACCGCCAGCTCCGACTCTGGGCAGCTAGCGGTCAACAGGCTCTCGAAGATTCTCGGGTTCTCCTTGTTAACTCAGACGGCCCCGTGGATAGCGACAACGCACCTCTCACAGGAGTCGTCGGTGTCGAAACGCTCAAGAACCTAGTTCTGCCGGGAATCGGTGGGTACACGATCGTTGATCCGGCGACAGTGTCGGAAGCTGATTTAGGCGTGAATTTCTTCTTGAGCGAGGATAGCCTGGGAAAGTCAAGAGCGGTGGAGACATGCAACTACTTGCGGGAGCTGAATCCGGACGTTGAGGGGATATGGTCGTCACAGGTAAGCGATATGTTAATTTTCCCTAGGTCGATGATAAGGGGCTAAGCGGTTCTATAGCCTATCTTAGAAATTTTAGGACAACAACCTCGCTTTCTAGCATCCTATAGTCTTGTCATTATTACAGGTCCGATGAGACAATCTACTCTACAGATCATCTCCCAACGAACACACGAGCTTTCCATTCCCTTAATATACACCCACTCGGTTGGTTTCTATTGCTCATTTTCCCTACAACTGCCGTCCGTATTTCCAGTCGTTGAAACACATCCAGATCCAGACTCCATGCAGGATCTTCGACTCACAAATCCATGGCCAGAGTTACTCGCTGCTGCGAAAAAGGTGGAAAATCTAGACGCCCTTGACGACCACCAACACGGACACGTGCCGTATCTATTACTTCTACTACACTACCTCGAAAAATGGAAAAAGAGCCACGGTGGAACATACCCGCAAACCTATAACGAGAAAACCGAGTTTAGAGAAATGGTTCGCGGCGGAGCGAGGACGGGCAACTCCGAAGGAGGGGAAGAGAACTTTGATGAAGCGGCGGCTGCAGTCTTGAAAAGCATTAGCCCTTGGACTTTACGCAGCAGTTTACGAGATATATTTGAAATGGATCAGTGTTGCAACCTCACTGCAGCCTCTGATAATTTCTGGGTCATTGCTCATGCTGTTAAGGCTTTTTATAAACGACATGGTGTATTGCCTCTCCCCGGGTCGCTACCAGACATGAAGGCTCAGTCTGCAGACTACATATCGCTACAAAACATATACAAGTCAAAGGCGCGACAGGATCTAGCTGAGGTAGTCGCGGGCGTCCGTGCGGCTGAGGCCCAACTGGGTGCTGATCGAATAGTCTCGTCGATTTCGGAAAAGGAAATTGAAGTATTTTGCAAGAACGCGGCACATATCAAGGTTATTAAGGGGCGTAAACTTCCCCTCCTAAACGTGGATGAACCCGAGCAAGAAACAGTGAAGGTTATCCGGAATAATCTCGGAAATATAGAGTCTCCAATATCGATATTTATCTCCCTTCGAGCTCTCGATATTCTTGTTACAGAGTATCAGGAGGGCAAGTTTCAGTCAGCGCCATACCTGTTCCTTGACGACCCTGGAAACTGGCAGCGAGCTGTTTCTAAGGTTATCAATGCCCTTCAAGCCAACGACTCTGGGAGCGTGGATGACGAGGCGCAAACCAACATCCGCAACGCGGTTCAAGAGACTCAGCGTGCTGGGGTAGGAGAGTTACACAATATCTCTTCGCTTGCGGGGGGGTTCGTGGCACAGGAAGCTTTGAAGGTGTTGACAAAACAATACGTGCCACTTGATAATACCTTTGTTTTCGACGGAGTTAGGAGTCGAGGGAAAATGTTTAGACTGTGAAGGACTAAGGACAACGGACATACTGGGTATCAATTTTGAGCTCCTCGGCCCAAATAATATACATGAAGGTACAGAGTACCCCGTAGATACATTGGATGATGGCGTTTGTTGTTATCCGCTCGGCTAAGTATTTCTGTGCCCGCCTCATGCTGTCATTCCCCGGCTTTGAACGCTGTGCATACCATGTTCCCCAAATAGCCACGGTACGGGAGACATTATTGGTAGATACTACGACAATCGATGAAGCGCCAGGGGCTTCAATTGACCCAGTGGCCCCCACATCAATTCAGCTCTTATTCTCCTCTGCAACTTGGTCAGTCTTCCTTGTACATCTGTTGCCTGGAAGGCGCTTTTATCTGTTACTCTGCATGTGCACCGCATACACCAGCCACATCATCAGTGAGCGTGTTAGCCACGGCCTAAACTAACTAGCCCATGAAAGTCATCAGCAGCCACCAAAGTTAACTAGTTAAGCCTCGATCGACGCCGATCAACAAGTTGACTTCAACCTCAACCTCAACCACAGGTTCACGACAGCCACAATTCACGCAATCAGGGAGTGACCGGCTCTGGTGGCAACACGTTGGATTTGGATTCTTTTTACTCCGTATATTGATTTTCTTCTGCTTTCGGTGTGTTTTTTTTTTTTTTTTTTTTTTTTTTTTTTTTTTTTTTTTTCGGCTGTATATCCATGACAAGGCGCTTGACTCACTGCCTGTGGGGCCATAAAATCCTAGAGTCTGTTCCGTACATCGAGAGTGGTCCCTCGGGCAATAGTGCAGCAAGGCAGTTCTGCAGTGAGCTTGTTTCAGAAGATTATGAGGAACAAGCTTAACCCTTTTCATCCCGTCTTTTTCATTTACCTCCTGATGCTGGGTCTAGATTGGGGTATTAATATCCTTTGCATTGTGTGGGCGCCTGCTTGTAGGGCTGAATTGGATAATGGTTTTCGTATTGAAGCGCTCCTTCGTGTCTTCGTTTCTTGTTAGCGCTGCCCAAAAGGCATATGCTCCTGTTGTGTGAAACAGCATAACAACTTTTCATTGACGCCAAAGTGACAAACCTACGTTGTCCACGCGGCAGACTTCTCCTTAACAGCCCGCATTTGAATCCTGGTTCACCCTGGTTGGCTTTGTCTATATTATTATGGACAAGTCTTCCATAGTGGGAATTAAGTCTTGTGTCCTTTAACTTCGTTCATTCACATAAATTCTATATTCTTCATCCACCTCTTTTCCCACCCTTCATTAACACGCTACCAGCTGACGGCCTCAAAATGAGGCTGAAGAATATTTTCAACCCCAATTATACGGATCAGAACTGGCGAAAGCCTCTGGCACCGGCCTCGAATCCACTAGCTTTAGAGGAGATATCACTTCAAAGTACACCAGGCGAACATGCTCCCAATCCGACCTCAAAGGGTTCCCAGCATCATGAAGAACCCGTTCTCAGGAAGCGCCACGCAGCTACGGCGATGGAATTGTTCTTCGACCTTTTTTTCGTAGCAAATCTTGGAAGCTTCACGTCAACCCATGATATTAACACGGTCCAAAGTATTCATCATTGATCCAAGCGTTGAGCAATCCTGATGCTTACGGGCTTTCATAGATTTAAAGTCATATATCGGTTACATAACCATTCTATGGTTCTACTGGTTCCAAACTGTGCTCTTCGATCTCAGATTTCACTCGGATTCGATCTTGTCGCGGATATTTACGGGCATGCACCTAGGAGTCATGACCGGTTTCGCAGTTCTCGCGCCTAATTTCGATACCACCGATCCTCTTAACCACCCACGTCGCTTCCGCAATATGGGCCTTCTCCTCATGGTATCCCGTCTGGTCCTTGTACTCCAGTATGCCATCGTGGCTTGGTACATTCGAGGCTATAAGAAGACTCTTAGCGCAAAGATTATGACAACAGGAATACTCTTTGCTTCGGCTATGGTATTTTTGGCTTTGGCTGTTACTACGCAGATGCGACGTGGCAGATACGCATATCTAGGATGGTATATCGTACCAGCAATAGAAGCATTAGCCATGGTTTCAATATCCAGTATCTGGAAAGTGTTAAGTTTCAAAGGGACTCCGATCGTTGAGCGATTCGGAGGTATGACTCTTATTGTCCTAGGAGAAGGTACTGTTGGAATGACTAAAGCGGTAGGTCATCTTCCAGCATCGTTGATGCTTAATCTACCTGACTGACCTTATGCCAGGTGACAAGTATCGCTAAGGGGACGTCATATCCGACGGCGTCATCCATTATATTGATCACTTGCTATATTATCATCCTCGTAAGCTAACACCGTCAAGAGAAGTTACCTCTTCTTCTGCACCCCTTTATGTGTGTGGTTAACTGATTTGACCTAGTACTTTATGTACATGATCTATTTCGACCAAACCGACGAAAATCGTTTCGGATATATTCGCCAACAGATTTGGGCTATTTTCCACTTCCCACTGCATATGTCCATTCTCATCACTTCTGAGGGTAGTCGTGCTTTCGTACTTTATAGTGTTGCCAAGGGTATCTACGAGACAGCGTTTAAACACTCCAATGCCTCGAAGGTGTCTGAAACAACATCTCAGGTAGTTGACACACTTAAACTCATAGTTCACAACCTCAGAGCGCGGCTCAGAAATACTCAAGACGTTCCCGACCTCAATTACATCTACAATAATATCACGGCGATTGAAAACCTTGAAGCAGATTCTGAAAAGCTGGGAGATCTTATCGCAGAATTTACTGGTCGGCTCTTCATCTGGATCATGCGCTCCTTTGGTATTGACGCGACTCCCCAGAAATCTACCAGCCAAAAAGACAGTGAGCAATTGGCCAAATTGACCGATAAGCTCTTTCTGGTGTTCCGGTTCTTTTTCATCGCTGCAGGACTTGTTCTCATCTTTATGGCTGTGCTTCACTGGTTTTCCAAGTCCCATAAGAGCAGAGGCGAGGTTTTGTCAATCATAACCACCACCACCATTGGCATTGGTTTGTCCTTGACCTCTATAATGGCTCTATATGATGAGCAAGACGGAGAAAGTGCCTTTTACTATTATCTCAACAGCGGATGGATTGTCCCAACTGTTACTCTTGCCTATGCCCTTGGTAGGTTACTTTCATGCACTTCTTTCCTTCCAAATAAATTCCCTGAATATGCTCTTTTCCTTACTAACTGTGCATTTAGTGGTTGCAATCGACAACAGCATTATAGTGATTTCTCACAAACGAAGAATCAGATATGTCGCTCAGGCGTATCGACAGGTCCCTTGACAAACATGTACTTCACATTTTCTTCTGCAACTACTTGCTTCTGATTTATTTATGGCATTATCGGCCATCAACTGTTAATTAATTTCAGCATTTAGGCTACCGGAAATAGAAAGATGAAATTGAATTTCATGAGGGCCATGGAGGTTACACCTTGTCCTATATTTCTAACACAGCAATCCACTGCAAAGCACTCCTTCGGTTGTTCTCAGTGACTTAATGTTTCACAACCTGGAGAGTGTTCATGACTGTCGACATGAATGCGTACCTTTCTATCTTCGAACTCAACTATCACATCCCAAGCAATTTAAAGAGCATACAACTGTGCCTGGACATCCGATATACCTGAAGTATATTTTCAGATATTCCAGTGCTCTGCGCATGCAGTTCTCTTCAATAGGACCCCTCTGTTTCGCCTGTGGGTTATTGATCAATGGGATGTCCACAAAGCTCGGGCTGTCATGAGGCAGAATAAGATGCTGCAGGGATGCAGCTGAAGTTTAGGTCATGATTCTCCGAACATGCCATCCTTGTGATTTCCAACTCTAATATTATAATGGGCCTTTAGATGTAATATTAACTGGCCGGAAGTTAACTGATAACTGCGCAAGTATTCACTTTCATTGTGTCTATGTACAGAGTACATGCAACTCAAGCTCTAACCTAATAAGATTGCATTTCCTGATTTCCCTTGCAGAGCACTCTTTTTGTATCTCCTAAGTTGGACCCTTTGCCCTCAACCTGAATATGTTTATATATCCAATGTATCCTTTAACTATACGCTGATATATCTCATCACTATGAGAAACTTCGGCCACATCATCATTCATCTTGGGGAGCATGTTGTCCAAAACAGACACTCTGCGCTTCGTGCTATGAATACCACCATTCCTTTCCTCAGGACGGTGGACCTAGAAGGAGGTGCTCAACCTGGAAAGATACCATGGAGTTCATCATGGATTATATCCTGGGATAACCGCTTGATCAAAGATGAGCGGACCTCACTCATTCTCAACGGCTCGACACCTGCCGCAAACTTCGCGAGCATTTCGAAACCTGTTAAAGACGCCCAAAAGCAAGCCTACTGAGTGCGTGAATGGGGTACTAGTGCACGTTTGAATTCAAAGCCGGCCCTTTTGAGACTGGGAGAAAGCTCAATGATTTTTCAGTGGAAGCACTTCCCGCAAAAAAGGCAAGAATATGAGAGAAACGACATCCTCGCTGGCTTGGTGGATAATCACGATCCTCTTTTCATGCTGACTTCACGCCTCGTAATATTCTCGCCAGCAACAACGGACATGCCAACACAGTTTTGGATCGGGAAAATTCCAGGTGGTTTCCCGCACAGTCATTGAAACCATCTCAGGCTCTTGATAGACCCTACCGTATTCACTGTGTCGAGCTTTATCGGCTACGTCAAGCGTACTGCACTCTAAGACTTCGTATCCGAGATTCTAACAATAAATGAAGACCAAACCGAGAATTTAGCGAAACCGGCATTGATAGGTACGGTATATAATTACCTCTGGGCACTGTTTGCATTTTCCTCGTCCCTTCGTCCGTCAGACACGCTCCCACGTTTTTCCTCTAACATGATATCCAGGGAAATGCAGCGTAGCTATATCATACATACTCAATGCCAACCTCCCCCTGTGCCTTCTTGATGTTATGGTGGTTAATGATACACATAAACACTGAATTCCGAATCCTGTTTCCATCACCATCCGGTGGTAATCTCTCATTTTCCAAACTGACGGACATGCATTGCCCCGGTATAACCATGTATGGAGCCCGTGCAAACCCCATCTTCGACCCACTCCATACAAGACGCGGGGTAACGACGTGAACTACCCGAACGTTTATGTCGCACTGGGGCTTTAATTAAGCTGTGGTTCGGCACGAGAAGAGAGCTCAGCGCCTATTAACTAGTACCTCTGGCTCTCTCGTGTTTATTGAAGATTAAATCGGGGAAGCCATGGCGTCTACACAGAACGAGCCGAAATCATATGACTACATAGTATGCGGGTGAGTTTCAACGTCCTGCTTCGGGCATATAAGCTGCGGATCTCTCCTGACTGCGCAATTTAGAGGAGGGACAGCCGGCTGTGTGGTTGCCGGGCGTCTAGCCGAAGATCCAAATATCACGGTTCTTCTCGTCGAAGCAGGCCAGCACAATGAGAACCTGGAGAATGTCCACATGACTGGCGGGTGAGTAGGGACGAATAATACAAGCTTACATGAGACGAAACTGACGATGTGAAAGGTGGCTGAACAATCTGGACACGGAGGCCGATTGGAATATCATAACTCCTCCAATGCCTGGTGTGAACAACAGACAAGTGAAACTCAGTAGGGGAAAATTCCTGGGTGGCTGCAGTGGTGTCAACGGTACACTGTGTGTTCGCGGGTGTAAACAGGATTATGACGACTGGCAACTCGAAGGCTGGAGTGGGGAGGAATTCTTTCAGTATATGTCGAAGGTTTGGCCGCTGTTGTCTAGATGTGAGATTCTGAAGCACGCTGAAAACCCAATATAGGCGGAAACATTTCACCCAAAACCTTGGTTCCAAGCAAGTGAAGGCAGTCATGGATCCTGTGGGCCTCTGCATATAGAGCCTCATGATCTCGCCCCGATTTCACAACGCATTATGGACTCGTTTGTTTCTAAGGGCCTGCCCTATGACGCGGATATGTTCACTACTGGTGAAACACCACATGGATGTGGGCATGCGCCGAGGACGGTGTATCGAGGCCTGAGATCGACATCTGCGGACTTTGTGACGAAGGATTGTCAAAGAACAAACGTAACTATCAAGACCGATACTATAGTCGATAGAATTCTCTTCGAACAAGACGACAAGGGTGCTCTCTGCGCGAAAGGCGTGGTAACGATTGCTGCTGATGGGACCCAGCAGATTTTCCACGCGGATAGAGAAGTAATTGTCAGTGGGGGTGCTTACTGCAGTCCTGCAATTCTTATGAGATCAGGAATAGGGCCAAAGGAGGAGTTGGAGAAGCATGGTATTCGCTGCGAAGTTGATTTACCTGGCGTAGGGAAGAATCTCATGGATCATCTTGTAAGTGTTCCCAAGTTCAAGGCGTTTCATTTCCATAACTGAGTGAATACATAGATCGTCTTCATGTTTTACGAAACAGAAAAAGAAGGCTTAACAAACGACCATCTTATCTACCATGGGGACGCAAAGGAAAAGAGCTACGCCCTGTGGAAGAATCATAAGACGGGTTTCTTGTCGACTTTTCCCTTTGGAGCCTTTGCTTTCGCTCGACTCGACGATCGCCTCGCAGATGAGCCGCTCTGGACGCAGGCAAAACACGAGCCAGGCCGAGATCCTATGGGCCTGATGCCAAGTCAACCGAACATCGAATTCTTCACGACGGAATGTTATGGTGGCCCAAAGCAGTATTCGAAATACCCTATCGATAATAAACATGCATTTTCGATTATCGCAGAACTATTTGGCCCTAGATCCCGTGGCACGGTGACACTGAAATCGAGCGATCCAAGAGAAAACCCAGTCGTCCACTGCAATTATCTCGATGACCCATTAGATTTGCTTGTTTTGGCCGAGGCATGTCGATTTGCGAACGAGATTGTCATGACTGGCACCGGAACAAAGGATATTGTGAAAGGGTCGTGGCCGCCTGAACTGACACACCATACGTATAAGACGAGGGAAGAGTGGGTGCCATATGTCAAAGAGCATGCGACAACGTGTGAGTTTCTTCTGTTATATCTTCCAAAGAATCTTTTGGTGTGTCCTTGGAACTGACACAAGATCATCAGGCTATCATGCAGCAGGAACGTGTGCCATGGGCAAATCTGAAAATCCTATGGCAGTCCTGGATGAGAAACTTCGTGTCCGGGGCGTTTCCGGATTGCGTGTCGCAGATTGCAGTGTTATGCCACTCCTTCATGGGGGCCATACACAGATGCCAGCGTACGGGATCGGAGAGAAATGTGCAGACCTGGTTAAGGAAGGCAATTAAGAATAATCGCCTTGCACGTAGAACCCCACGAGGCTTTTGGAACCACCGAAGTGTGGTTGTTGTATTATCATTGAGCATTGAATACGGATGATACAATATTGTAGTGTATGGTACCTCCGACTCAAATGTGTCACCTATCAAGCAAGTCAAAAATGGTCATATTCTTCACCATGCAGCTTGTTTCAGTAGAGCAGCCCAGCTCTACTCTCGCGTCTTGCGGATCTAAATGTCCTCGCATCATCGTAATGATTCTAGCGGCGGTTTCGCAGGAGGTGACTTGGCCTGTATCGAGTTCACCTAGGCACTGTTGCTCTGTACAGCATCCTTCACGCCTCGCCAGACCCGCAGGCTCTGACATGTGTCTTGGATGATCCTGGCTGGCAGGTTGGGCTTGCAGCGCTAGTTGACGTCCATTCCCCTCTTTCACCAAGTGTAATTCGCCTGGTCTTGGGCAAATATCCGCCGATCTCGAGCGGCAGGCCTCCGTTGATTGCCTGGCTATTGTATCCGAAGGGCTCTGAGATAGAGATGGGGATGCGGCCACCGAAATTTCAGAACCCGGTGTAATTCGATGTGCCCTTAAATAATGTTCCACCTCGAAATCCGTAACACCTCTAATCCTCAGCAGAGACCGCAGCAATGCATTTTCCGCCGCGACCTTCCTCCCGGCGGCTTGAACTTCTAAGGTCGCCTCAACACCGAGTTTTTCAAATGCTCTCAGCCGTTGCTCGAGGTCTTGAATGTATTCTTTCCGTCTTGCGCGGGATCGCCGCTGGTTATCACGGACACGAGCTGCTTTGGCCGTGCGGTTCGACTGAAAGCGTCCAAATCGAGTCAGCTGAACTCTAATATGGGCTAAATTTGGAGCTTACCTCGGTCATTGATGGTTGGAGGTGTGTTCCAGGAGAGTAGGAGCCTCCGCAAAGGATCACTTAATGGGTGCTCGGTATAAAAGATGTGTCTGTTTTCAAAAAAAAAAAAAACTCCAGCAAGCAGTGAAGTCAACGATTTGAGTTTGTAGTTAAACGGTTGTCCAATGGAACCGGTGAGGTGACATCCAGCTTACTAAGCAGATGGGCCAAGAGCGACATCGCGTTTCGTCGCCAGATACTCCGTACAGAGTACACTATACCCAAGCTCTGTTCAAAACGGGCGCATATCTTAGTGGAATAAACAATGCTCTTCAATCTTCCCCTGCTTCCATGGCAGGGTTACCCCGGTCTATCAAGGACATTGTCCTGAGATATCAGAGTGACAACTTACTCCGCAACGCCTTATACGCCTCTCCGTATTGGCCACTTGGGTACTTACTTCCCTCCACTTGCGTTGGAGGCCACGAAGCCCTGATTTTTCGCTGCAAGATACCATGCACGGAGGAGTAACAGCACATTCATAAATTGTAGACTCGTTTTCCTGGCTAGGGCCATCTAGATATTAGTTACATATCCAACCTAAATTGAATTCTCAAGGAAATTCTATCCTCCATTAAATTACTTTAATCAATGCCAACCCCCGAAGAGTATGCTCAGTGGGGATGACTTTATTTCAAAAGTATATACAGAGAACAAAATCGAAAAACTGTCATTTAGATACATAATACCATTATCGAAATCAAAGATAAAATTAACAATGCACATGGGACCGTGGTTGGTTGGGCCGAGTTTCTATTAATACTGGGTGGCGACCGGGTGGACGGACCATCCGTTAGCTCCTCGCCTTCTCCGCCAGCGCCACCTCCGCGGGTTCCAGCCGACGGGGTGCTTGATGATATACTGTGTCCCGTCAATGTGGCATCGTCATCGGTGCTTCTTGTTGGATTTGGTTGTATTAAACGGACCGTCGTCCCGTTGCAAATAACCGCGGATGTATTGATGGTAAGCGCAACGGGCTGAATAGAATGGCTAGCAACCAGAGTCATGGGCAATGCATGGTCATTCATGGTGATAGTAGTCTGGGGAATGGCGAGGACCATCGTGTTTTTGTCGTCGTGGATGGTTATCGGAACTCCAGAGAGTATAAATGTTGTTTTGCCGTCAGGCCCAATGTACCGTTCAACTCTATCTGTACCCCCTTTCCCGTCATTTTTCCTTCCATCATTGGGCGGGGGTGTTATTTCGGGACGCGTGCTGCTGGGCTCAATTCGTGAACTGTCGCGAAGTACACTGGATGGACGCATTCCTTCAACCATACTCTCAATCCAGCTCATAAAGTCACCCGGCTCCTGAGGTGCCCCGGTCGTTTGTGGTGGTGTAGGTCCTCCAGGGCTGCCTATGCCAGAAAACATCGGCGGGTTTACCGAGCTAGGAATTTCGAATACAGTGGTTTTCTTTGTGACTGAGATAAGTGTAGTGGGTAGAGTGAAGACTGGTTGTGTGACGCAGGTGCCATTTCCCTGAGATCCACAATCGTGGGTGATGCATGGCGGAAGAGGTGTGACATATGTCGGCCCAGATTTAAAAAGCTCGAAACCGGTGACTATGTAGGTGCGGGTGACGGTTGTGTAGACTGTTTTCGGGGCAGATCCGAAGAGAAAGACGCTTCCGGAGCATGTGGATTCGCTGGCAGGCGGAATTATGGATAATGAAGGTGTTGGGGATTCGGTCGACGATACTAGCGTAGAGTTGGCAGTGCCAGGAGAGTTTCTCCTACGAGGCAGAGCTCCTATCGTTAAAAGGACAATCAGTATCCATATTCTCGTGGAGAACCGGTCGTCTCGAGGCTTACCGTCAGCACTCCATGGCAAAGCAATCGCAAAAGAAGCGGAAGCAATCAAGGTAACGAGGGTCAGAATGGCCATGTCGACATGTGTTCGAACGAGATCCCCGGTTTGTCGGAAAGAATGTAGAAGCTCAAGCTATCATCGCAGGCCACGAAGGAGCAAGTAATTGGAAAACCGACAAAGCCAATGTTCCCGGATACATACGATGAACGAGCGACGCGGTCGAGGGCGTATCATCCAGGGTTAAAAAAGGGGGACCCTTTTCAACCTTCCGTGAGCATACTCGCTGGGCGGATGAAAAGAGGCTGCGAGTATGCAGAAGACGATGATCTCTGGCCCTTGTCATCCATGTTTCAAGGGATAGGCGGCAGCTTGGGAGTGAGACCCTTGAAGGAGATGCGAAAATGGACGATCCTGGTACGCTGAAGTTTAAAAGGCCCTGCTGGACCGGCGAAGACCTTCTCCATCTTGGGGGGGGCGCAGGGATCAGCAAGGAAGAAACTTTCATCTTGTCGCGAGAGGGCTGCTGGCTTCACGCTTCAACAAAGAACTTCGCGTGCAAACAGCAAAACGCAATCCAGCTGTTTTTATGGATGGCTATGTAGTTTTCGGGTCTGCGGATACGATGATCTCTCAAATGTCAAGGCTGGGGGCGCAAAACCGCTCGGGCCAGCCACACGGGCCGACCTGATGAAACTGCAAAACATCGCAAGAATGCACCGTGAAACAGAGGCGCCAATGATCTTTGAATACTCCCATACATAAGCACTTCAATAGCCAGCAATACGGAGTACTACATGTCAAGTAACTTAACTACTTGTCTACGGAGTGCAGGCCTGTGGCTTCAATAGATAACCACAATCAACCTTTGGATAGATTACTTTTATTGGCCGAATAACTCCTGAACCACACCATACGTCCGTAAATACCTATGTTGCCATCAATTGCATCTGCCTTTTTTTCCTTTTCTTTTTTTCTTGCATACTCCAGATGATGGGGATAAGCCCGAGAGGACCATTGACATTGGTTCTGGACGGAGCGGGTTTCCACCGTAACCGCAATCAGGTTGAGGGCTTCCCTCCGTTCCTATACTCCCAGAGCCTACTCATGGATTTAATCGTACGCTTGTGTGCCTTTTGCGCGAATATAGTTCTGCAGGAAGTCAGTACAAGCTTTGTGCAGGGTACACCCGCTACCTGGAGGCTCACTCAGTATTGTCCATGTCAACTTCCAGCGGTGAATCCATAAACGGATTTCCCTCCGCAACCTTATCACCATCCATTGTGAACATAGTGTCGAGATAATGCTGGCAAAACATATGTCCACTACCCTGCCGTTCAAACACCCTACCCACAAACCGGTTTTCTTTCTGGCCTGGTGCCTTTTTGGCATAATTCAAAACACCGAATCTAGCGACAAAGTCCCCGTGATTCGCATAATGTTCGATATGTCTAATAGCCCGATACGTCTCCGGGTTGGTCTTGTCCGTTGATCCTGAACGGATGGGATTGTTAAAGTGGTTTGCAGCATTCCCAAACGTGTAGACTTCGAGCTTAGACATATTGTCCTCTGATACATCTGCCAGAAGCCAGTCGATGACCATACCACCCTCAATGCCGCCTTGACTATGAACAATAAGTATCACTTTGTCGTTTGGATTCGTAGTCCTTGTAAGCTCATCCTTGACCATTGCATAAGCCTGGCGGACGTCGCGAGTATTATATTGGAAATCCCGCTCGATTAGACACTGGATCAAATCAAAAATAATTCCGCTCCTGCATATCCAATCAAATTAGTATCAAAACCCCGTCTCTTTTTCTTTCCGGGGGGATAGATTTGAGGTGAAACATACGTCGGATTATGGACTCCAACAATTTCGCGTCGAAAGGTGTTGGCCAATAGCTGAAGATTGTTCTGGAGCCAACGGTGCCTGCTCTGCCATCAGTTCTCCCGTGATTGAAAAGCGAGGGTTCTAACGAATGCCCATACCCAACTGATACGCCATTTATGAATATCCATTTTTCACCTCTGCCCGCGATGGGAATACCGTTCTTTGGCCTCGCTCTATATATAGCGCCCTCCTTACCGTTGAATGGCAAGCAAACGAAATAATTCACAACAAGGAAGCCAATAAAAAAGGTTAAAAATATATTGAAAGGTAGAAAGATGGATAGGGGAATCAAGAGAAGAAAGCCAAGCTGGCAAACAATGAGAATCGCATGGAAGATCAAGTCACCGATGTTCCCGAGTGTCAAGGACAGCTCGTCTAGTTCGCCTGAACGAGCTGGATGAAGGGGTAGGATTATCCCCGGAATCGTTTTCCATATTTTAAAGAATAACTTAAGATCATTCCAGAGAAGCCCTACAGGCGAGACAAATGACGGTAGGGAATCTGACGACCTGGTTAGATTCGCCGGATCAGATAGTAGAGGCCACCTGGGCAGGCCGGACACAACAGGAAAATCCTGAGCAAACATTTTGAATGGGCAGCTTTGATGCGCAGACAAAAGGGTTCATGTGCTTACTGCATCAAAGGTGGCCGGCCATCTTTGGGCTTTTAATATCAGCCTCCACGGAATGGGTATACCACCTCCGTGGTCCATGTGAAGAAAGAAGTCAATGGCAATTTCGAACATGCAATTTGGTTCACGGAGTTCCTCGGAGATCCAAAGAGCTGGATTAAAGATAAAGAGGTCATAGATTTCCCAGATTGCTAAGTCTGAAATGGGCTGCGACTGTCAGACAGTGAAGAACAGAATTCATTGGGATCCTGGTTATTTTGGATGTTCACACTAGGTTTACATTAACCAACATCCGCAGTATTGCAAGTTCAAGAATGTTCATGTGCTTGGGGCTAAGTCGAGGTCAACTCAATCCCACCTGGTTCAAAACTTCATCTGTGCTCAATGCTGTTCGCATGGGCCTGTAACGGCTGGAGGTGTTAAATGGTGAACAGAATTCCTTGGGATCTTGGCTGTTTTTGGATGCTGACCTCGAGGTAACTCTACGTCAACCATCCAACAGTGTGTTTCAAGTTCTCTCGTCTTTCATGTGATTGGGGCTCGTTCAAATCAACCTAAACCAACCTCCTTCAAAGCTTCATTTGTGCTGAATGCTGTTCCGATGGGCTCCAAAAGCACAATCTATGATCCAATCTGACGCATTCCTCAATTGGTCTTGACCATGCTAGCATCGTACCAAGCAAGGCTGCTATGAGGAACTCGGGTTTATCTTGATTCATCATTTAAGTTAAACCCGTTAACCAAAAACGGCACCTAGTTGCTTCTCGTCATTCGTAGTATATTGGAAGATTCTCTACGGTAAAACCCACAGATCGGACGGTCCGATGGAAGCTAGGAGAGGTACCGACCAGCCCGGAAAGCTACGGATGTGGTTTTCTTGACGGCCGATTGAGACTGATGTATATAACTATTGCGCTCTGCTCTTTGCCCTCATACTTCTGTAGTTCGTCCACTTGTTCTAGAAGAACTGGAGGTTCACCACTGCTTGTATCAATAGCACCAATCGCCAGGTTCCACCTCGATTGAGCGAGAGACAGCACCATGGACTTGCGCAAGAGCGACAAAGACACTCAGTCTGGCTTGGCCAACGTGCTGAGCGGCACGATGGCTGACATTTTCAGCCAGACCGGGCGTATTGGATCCGACATTCAGGTTATCAGGGAGGGCGCTGAGACGATGGCCGCTGGTGGTATTATCGACGATCGCCAGTATACTGTAAGCAACCACTCGCTACTTAGATGTGAGCAGCCGATAAACGGCCTTTCTTATCATATAGATCGAGCACATCATTCAGCTAGCGGCGTCTCTCCCTAACGGATCGAAGCTCCGGGATAAACTTACGGATCAGTTTATCACCACATTGTGGAACAACCTGGAGCATCCACCGCTATCTTACCTGGGTGACCAGTTCAAATACCGTAGTGCCGATGGTTCAAACAATGTACGTTCGCACCCTCCTGTCCACTAGGTCAAGCTTCAGTTCTGACTGCACCTAGAACATAATGTATCCCCATCTTGGGGCTTCAGGAAGTCACTATGCGAGAAGCGTAGTCCCACAGCGGCCCAAGATGACCAATCTTCCTGATCCGGAACTTATTTTTGAGAGTATGTTGCATGAAATTTGTCAGTATAGAATGAATGGCACTTACTCTGAATAGCTTTGATGAAGCGTAACGGCCCCTCAAAGGACCACCCAACCAAGATATCGAGCATGTTGTTCCATTTCGCAACGATAATTATCCACGGTAGGTGTCTCTGCCTCACTCATTAACTGTGAATTCAGTGTTAATTTCCATAGACATTTTTCGCACTGATGAATTGGACATCAGCCGCTTGAAGAACTCCTCGTATCTCGATCTTGGTCCGCTCTACGGACACGATGAGGAGCAGCAGAAAAGTGTCCGACAGTTCAAGGACGGCTTGCTCAAGAACGACGCATTTGCTGAAGAGCGAGTGCTGGGCCAACCCCCAGGAGTGTGCGCCTTGCTAGTCGCTTTCAATCGCTTCCACAACTACGTTGTTGGAGAGTTGGCGACCATCAACGAGCGGGGACGTTTCACCATGCCTGTGGAAGGTAGTCCAAACTATGAAAAAGCCTTGCTTAAGCGGGATAACGATTTGTTTCAAACCGGACGACTGTGAGTGTTCAGGATCCACTGTCCTTTGGTATCCATAGGCTCATCAAATGGTGGATAGGGTAACATGTGGTCTCTATATCAACGTGATTCTCAATGACTATCTGAGGGCAATTCTGAACTTGAACGACAACGACAAAGACTCAGACTGGAAGTTGGATCCACGTCTGGCCGTGGGCGTTTTTGATGCAACCGGTGTGCCCAGGGGAGTCGGTAATCAAGTGAGCGCCGAGTTTAACGTCATCTACCGCTTCCACCCTGCAGTAAGTAATAACGACGAAGCTTGGGCCAATCAATTCTTCAAAGACGTATTTGGTAACGATAAGGATCCAGGTGAGTAATCTTGCAAAAGTTGCTCGTCCTCTCCTGCGAGCAATACTAACTATCGTGAAATTCGTAAAGCCAAAATCAGTGTGAATGAGTTCCGCCTAGGGATTTGGAATTGGATGAGAAAGCTGGACAAAGACCCTGCGAAGCGGGAGTTCGGAGGCCTGAAGCGTCAGTCCAATGGAATGTTTAAGGACAGCGATCTCGTGAAGCTTCTTCAGGAAAGCACAGAAGCCGTCGCTGGTAGGTTCGCAGCTCAACATCGAGGGGAACTGGAGCTGACGTAAAACATCGAATAGGTTCTTTTGGTGCTCGCAATGTACCAGCCGTTATGAAGGTGGTCGAAATGCTTGGAATCGAACAGGGACGGCAATGGGGGCTTGCGACCCTCAACGAATTCAGAGCATTTTTCAAGCTGAAGCGACACGAGAAATTCTGTGAGTAAACCCCGGTCAAGGGAAGCATAGACTTTCTGCTTAACCATTCAACCAGTGGACGTAAACTCGGATCCATCCATCGCCGAGACCTGTAAGTTTTCGCGTCCTACACAGCATACTTGAGTATTAATTGCAAGTTTAGTGGAATCATTGTACGGCCACCCAGATGACATCGAGTTATACACCGGAGTCCACGTCGAGGAAGCCAAGAAGCCTTTCATGCCTGGATCTGGCCTTTGCCCTGGCTTCACCATTTCGACTGCGATTTTATACGATGCAGTAGCATTGGTGAGGGGCGACCGATTTTATACGATCGACTATAGCCCGGAGAGCCTCACAAGTTTTGGGTAAGTGATGCCACATTCTCACCACGAAAGATGGGCTAATTCGTTCTGCAGCTTCAGTGTTGCAAACTCATCGTTTGATGTTGCCAAAGGCGGAGTCATGTATAGGCTTCTCATGCGCGCATTTCCGAGCTGGTACCGTCCGAATTCGGTGTATGCACTCTTCCCGTTCACGACACCGGAGAAGAACCGTGAAGTTTTCACGAAACATGGTTCTGTGAATCAATATAGCTTTGACAGGCCCTCTCTGACTATGCCTCCGATACCCATCTCCACGTGGAAAGGAGTGGTTGACGTTCTCAACGACCAAGCAAGGTTTAAGGTCCCTTGTGAGTTTGAACCGAGTTGGGCTTGCTTGACGGTAAAGCTGATTTTTGCACAGGGGGACCACACACTTTCGAGATGACGAAACACGACTACATGCTTAGTGGTGACTCGAAAGCCAACGCCGAGCAGAGGGAGTTCGTGTCAAAATGCTTATTTGAACCCAAGAAAGGCTTGGAAGAAGTCCGGAAATTTTATGAGGCTGTTACTCTGAATTTCCTCCGTAAACACGGCCGAAAGGCAGGGAACACCTATCAGGTGGATGCTGTGCGCGAGTCAGTCCTCCTTTTACCCAGAGGCAATGATGCTTTACGCTAACATAGCCAGGATTGGAAACCTCGTGCATGCAAACTTCGCCGGGCATTTCTTTCAGATTCCGTTGCAAAGTGCTAGCGGCGGGCCAGACAGCTTCACAGAGCAAGAGCTCTATGATTCCTTGGCACACTTGTTCGCGTACGTTTTCCTGGATGTTGACCCGGCGAAGTCATTCGAGCGAAGCGTGGTTGGGGCTAGGGACTCGGCGCGGCTTGGAAAGGTGGTTTCGCAGGCTGTTGCCGCAGTTCAAGCTGGCGGCTTCTTTTTCTTCAAGCATTTAGAACACGCTAAACCCGAGATCCTTAGCGAGTATGGGGCCCGCTTGGTGGAGCGACTGTCCAGAGGGCGAAAGTCCGTCGATGAGGTGACATGGACAATCATCCCAACAGCAGCTGCATCAGTTGCAACGCAGGCGCAAGGAGTATGTTATAACCCGGATCCTTTTAAGGGTATAGGCTAACAAATACGTGCAGTGGGCCCAAATGTTTGACTTGTACATGTCTGACAAATACTACTCGCACTGGAAGACGATCGAAAAGCTCTCGCGCTCCGACGCGCCTGAGGATTTCGAAAAGCTGAAGAGATACGCTTTAGAAGGGTAACTCCATACTACACAGCTCCCAATGCTTTTTGATACACAATGCCAACCAGCGCACTTTCTTATAGGCTCCGACTTGCGACCCCCGCCTATGGCGTTCTCCGGGTAGCCGCCACGAACGGAACAATCCAAGATGGAAACCGCACTGTATCATATAAGCCAGGAGACGTGATATTCACGAATTTCATGACTGCCGGGGCCGATCCATCAAGATTCCCAGACCCCGAAGCCATCAAACTCGACCGCCCTGAAGAGGATTATATCCACCACGGGTGGGGCCCGCATACCTGCCTTGGACGACCCTTCGTAACGACAGCGGCTGCCAGCATGTTAAGGGTATTTGGTAGGTTGGACAACGTGCGGAGGGCACCTGGGCCACCTGGGGAGATGAAGAGTAAAGTGGAGGGAGGAGTATTCAAGGTCTTCTTGACCCCTGACGGCGGAGACTGGAACGCTTTCCCTTGCAGTAAGTTATTCTCATGGTTGAACCCAGCCATAATTGGAGTCGTTTTCTGACAAGGTTATAGCCAAGAGAGTGCTGTTCGATGGATTCCGGGATGTGTAAGTGGCAGGACTCGTAGAAAAAGGCTTCCATGCCGAAGGGAGTTGGAACATGTCATTTTCGTGCGCACTAAATTGACCATGAAAGTTTCTCGGGGGCGTATGGCTGAATTCGGTCATTCGTAATGTATAATAACATAAAAAGAAATGGGTTTAACAATTCAACATTGGCCGTCTTTTGTCGTTTAGGATTTCAACATAGATAAAGTCCTTGGGTTGCAGGGAACCGCCTCTGCCCAGGTGCGCGACGAATTTCCGCCTCGCTGGATGGCCAGGAGCAGAGTTCGAGCTAACGAACCGGCCGTGGAGCTCGCCCGTTCAGTGGGGACGTTTGAAGGACCATAAAACCCTTGTCCCTGGCGACGGTGAGAAATCGAGATACTCGGTAATAATCGACCACTGCAAACCTCTGCATTCACGAGTGACCCCTGCATGGAAGCTAAAATCACTGATTCGGCTCAACGTTGTTTCTTTCGGCATGGCTGGAAATCTTTATTACGCAACCGCATTTTATCTCAAGGGACCTTGGTTATGAATGCAACTTCGAGACTGTTCCCTTTTTCCCTAGAGACAGTTTCTGCCATTAGGACGCGCCGATCCTATACTACGGCGGTATTGCATTCTCCCCGAGGGTGATGTTGTTTCCATGTCATCCGCTCAATTATCGCGCCAACAATGCGCTTAACATTCTATCCGAGCCTCGACATTAGCGTGTTCAGCCTATTTCGCGCCGCACAAGATGGCGGCTCCCTTAGCCATCCCTTCGGGGTCCGATTGGTAAGTTTCGGAATGTGCCGTGGGAGCAGAAACGTTAACGACTGACAATCGTCAAAGGATTGGGTATGACGGGAACTGGAGCCCGTGAGTGCTGAGACGAAACCAAACGCCGCGTTATTCGAACCTGACCGCGAAATAGTGTCGCAATCCGAGTCGGTTCCCCGTCGCAATGGATGAATGTGCTTCCAAATACAGGTAGTTCAGAGACATGGGTGATTGGACGCGGAGGATGTGACTCGAGTATGTCGAATCCCATGTTACCTTTATATAAATAGTCCGGCGCTGGTTAAGCAACGCTTCCTCCTCTTGTTGCTCGACGGCACTAACCAGGTTGCAGCTATGAAATGTCGTACAGAACGCGGCGGCCTCTTTCTTTCGAACGAGTCGAGCACATGGAATGAAGTCGGTTTCTACGAGCTGGGCAATACCCTTCAACTGGGACACGCAGGCATTGGAGACTATGGGCTCGATATTATATCCATGGATAACCAGCTAGATCTAGAGGATCAAGTTGTTAGCATTCTTAACACGACCGAATGGTGGATTGGATCCCTGGGGTTGGGAACTAAGAAGACGACTTTTACCGGTAGTGAGAAGCTGTCGGTCCTTAGCACGTTGGTGGAGAATCGAAGCCTGGTGCCGAGTCATAGCTACGGGTATACTGCAGGTGCATCTTATCGTTAGTTTTCCACCCAAGCTCTTGACTTACATTTGGCTAACCAATGGTAACAGGGCTCAAAGGTGTCCGGTCCTCTCTCACCTTTGGGGGCGTTGACAGGAATCGATTCGTTGAGAACAATGTTACTTTCACTCTATCTCCAGACGATCTCCCCGTTGTGACGGTCAAATCTATCAAAGTCTCAACAAACCTCAAACCTCTTGGATCGAACCTTGTCTTCCGCCCTCTGGACGCACTGGAGCGCTACACTATCGATTCTTCTACTCCTTTCTTTTGGTTTCCGGAATATGTCTGTACTGCGTTTGCTGAAGAGCTCGGCCTAGAATATAACGACACGCTCCAGCTTTATACGTATGGACCAAACTCCTCGAAGTACGACAATGTGACGAATTCCAACATATCATTCACGTTTACGCTCTCCGATCTTCCAGGCTCTAGAGAGTCGGTCGATATCACCCTTCCCTTCTCTGCGTTTGACCACGAGCTCTCTTACCCCTTTCCCAAATTGGATGCTAACGCCAGTTCACAAGCCCTTCGTTACTTTCCTATCCGAAAAACATCAGATACGAAAAAGTTCACTCTAGGAAGAGCATTCCTACAAGAAGTCTATCTAGCCGTTGACTTTGAACGACGAAACTTTTCGATATCTCAAGCCAAGTTTCCCTCTGATGGTGGTATCGAAATGGACCTAGTCGCAATATCTCGCCCGCCAGATAGCTCATATAAAGGACCTTCCGATTCACGGAGGCGTTTGTCGAAAGGCGCCGCAGCTGGTATCGGCGTAGGCGTCAGTATTGTCGTTATTGTCGCAGCATGTGTCGTGGCTACATCCTGCCTTCGCAGGAGAAAGCGTGAATTGCTATTGGAGCCCAATGAAAAAGAGCAGCAACAAGAGCGGAGGCGGCGATACTGGAAGTTCTGGCGCTCGTCGGATTCACCTTCTCCATCTGAACTGCTTGGGGATGAGCATTTCGTCGCAGAAGCCCCGGCAGACTCCTCAGTGAGTCGATTCGAGCTTCCTGGCTCCTCTGTGCCGGCTGAGCTTGAAGCTTCCGAAGTGACGAACCCTCTCTACAGTGCCAACAGAAAGAGGCGGAATGGATCCGATGCTCCTCCCGCTTACGAACATAGAAATACTGAAGATTTCGCAGAAACAGTGACATCAAACAGGCGTTTATCGCCCGGCACGGGGCCTCCTGTATATGTGTTGTCCGACGTTCCACTGGATACCGATGACTATGAAACATATCTAGTCAGCCCGCTGGCTATGTCCTCAACGTTTAACGGCAGCCATAGCACAACGGGCCCTTCTCCGTTGACACCTTCAGCAGATCGATCGTTCAGCGGGTCTTTCCCTCAGGCTAGCTCTCAGTCGGTGTCGCCACCCGGAAATCCTGCTTCTAGCCGGATCAATATTTCGAACACAGGAACACACAGCCCGGTATTCGAGAATGTTCAGGGGACGGATGGCTCGCTTCCACCGTCGACTGAAGCACCACGTGTAGTGAGAAGAAAATTCAGTTGGGAAGAATGATAATCCAATTATTGCTAAAGTCACTATCTCTGTGGTTACGGTGTTCTTGGGCTGGCGTTCATGTCGGAAAGCGACACTATATTTTGAACAATGTAAGGTGGAGGTGTTGATGACATGGGCTTAATTTCCTTCCATGGTGCTTAGGGCTCGGCTTAGTTTTCCAAGCTTGATACGCCATCTATATACATGAGATTTTTGATACGATTTGTACAATAGGGATGAATGTTATATTACTATATATGCCAGCTCATGCAGAGTCCACAGCAACGACCATAGAGATCCGCAGAAGGGATGCCGGCAAAACAATTTCCCCGACAAGGCCGTGCAAACAGGGCAAACAGATCGGGGCAGCGCTGGCCTTGGCGCATGTAAGCCACGCGAGTCCGCGTTGGCGTGCCGATGCCGACCATCCCAGCGACACAAAGGTGTATTCATCTGTCGGATCTCGCCTTCACCTCGAGAACGCTCGCTGATCGACTTTGAAACTACACGTCCGGCTTACCTTCTGGGGGTTTTACTCGCAGACCAATCGTTGAGAGCAATGGCATCGTCCCTTGTCGTGACATAGCGGTGCCGCCATTTCAACCTCCTCCTCTTCAGGATCGTTGACACTTCCTTTCTCTTTGATTTCTCTCTATTCTATGAGCTTACGGGAACTACGACCTGAAGCATCTAATATTCCGATCCTACCTTTCCCCCACTTATTTTTCTGGGCTTATGAGTGATCCCGCAATGGAGACGGTAACGGCAGCAGTTCCTTCGTCCCCCTCGTCGGGGAGCACCTTTCCAACATCGGTCTACGATCACACCAGCTTTTCGAACACGACGTCGTCTCCCCTAGCTCTTCTCCCTTCGATCCCGAAAGAATTCATTATGCTTTCACTCCGCTTCATATACCGTGTTGAACTCTTCCTTTTCGTTACACTACCTGGTTCAGTGGTTCGAGCATTGGGACTGGACAGGCTGGTGGGTTCATTGATAGAAAGAGGCGCAGATCTAATTGGAGAATTGGACGGCGTTATTGATGGTGGTACTGTGGACGCTGTTGCTGGCGGAATGGAGATTGCCGGAACAGACGGGGTTGCGGGGGCGGCGGCAGCAGCGGAAGCTGCTAATGAGTCGGGGTTTTCCTTTGGGGAGATGCTATATAGCTTGAAGAGATTCAGTGGGTTTTTCAACTATATGACGAGCAAATGGTCGATTGGTTGTTTTGCTGTGGTAGGTAATATCCAGTGGGCCTATCGCCGAAACAAAAATTTCACTAACCCGGTTGGTAGGCTCTCATATTGAATCGCGTCAGTATCTATGCTTCCACTCGCCGGCATCTATCTCTAAAGTGGAACCGAAGGCTTCTCTTACGGATAATCCCAATTATCTTGTTTGCTACTCAAATTGTTTCCTTATTGAGAGCATGTCGTTGCCAAACTTCGCCAGATTATGCCTTGTTGCGTTATGGAAAATCCAAACCGGTGTCAACTTTTGACTACGCTGGCGAAGGAGGCTTCCTGTACAAGTTAAGCTCTTTTCTCTTACAATGGGAGGACGATAGGGCGTCATGCAGCGCAGTTTCTATGGCGCAACCAGCGGAACCAGGGAAAGCCATGTACGGCTCTTTCTCTCTTCTTTGGCCAGCTTTCTTGCGCTTGTGCCTAGGCCATTTCGTGGAAACCCTCTCATGTGCACTTCAAGGGAGGCCCGTGGCCACGGAGGCGGGGATGTCTGTATTTGAACATTCTCTTGCTTTTGCGGAGGCCGAAACCATGCTCACCCAATCCATTGGACTCGGATTGTTTGGCAATATCAAAGCAGCTGGTTCCGCCGAGGCTGAAAACGCCATGGCTTCCGGTACAGCCAAAATCCTTACTCGAAACCAGGCCCTAGAAAGACTGAATGTCACACCGGAACTCTTGCTAATTACCCTTATTTCGACGTCGAATAGCTTAACATCGAATATCCTTGACGTTTTTGGGAAACAAAGCCGATATCGATTGATTAACACAACGATTTGGGGCCTTTGCTTTATGGCTGCTATCCTGTGGGGAGTTTTCAATTTGTCGATCTTAGGCCACGATGCTACAGTTCTCAGGTTCCCTACAGTTTGCATTGTGGGATTTGTGCCACACCTCCTCATTTTGGTTGGCATTTTAACTTGTGGCGTAATATACCTACTTGCCCTTCTTTTGACTGCTTGTTCTCTCCCTTCGGATCTACCTCGCCCAACCTCGTTTCGAGAAAGGCTAGCTCTTGCCCACGCAAATATGCAGGGTTCGTCACAGGTTCAAAACATAAGATTCAATCCCCACGATGACTTCTATACGACGCTGGTGAGGATAGGGTATTCGTCGCTGACCGCAGCAAGTGAGGCTGTTTTCCTGAACGAAGGAAAGGGTGTAGTCGCGAAAAGGATGACATGGCTAGAAGAAGACAGATTAGCGGAGATTTTGGCATCTCGATCTGGAAATAATCCACGATCAGGTATAACTTCAGTTAACCCGCCGTTCGAGGCTGATGACGGTCTTGATTTCAAAATCCCGGATGGGAATTCAGAATGGCAGACTGGATACTCTCAGGAGAAGAAGTTTGAGAAAAGGAGGCGCGGTGCTCGATCTGTGAAAAACGAGACCAGCCTTGGAAGCGTTGGCGCATTTCAGGGTCCTGCAAGATTTCATCACGGGTTTACCTTTTTAAAAGGCATTTTCTTCCTCTTAGTTGGGTGGATTGCCTTCGGTTTGGTGCGGCTATTGGAGCGCGTCGGAATTGTAAATCGTCCACAATGGTTGATCAAGTTGGCCGGCACAGCACGCAAGGCCGCGGGCACAAAGCGGACAATACATCAACGGTCGTTGGATTTCTGGATACTTACAGATGAAGGTGTGCTCCAACTTCCCGAAACCAATGATTTTGACGTGGAGCAAGAAATGCGAAAGAGGGAAATGATGCATCATGGGTCCTGGGGAGAACCTCAAGAAACGCAGTTTGAAAAGAAGCTTTACAACTGGTGGAAACTCGGTGGAGCATGGGGCGAAAAGGACGAAAGTGGTGACTATAACCCCCCATCAGATGATTGGGATGATAGCACGAGTGTTGTGTCGGTATCTACAGATGGTGAGTGGGAGTCGGATCTTCCAGACGGCCGCAAGACCCCCACACAAGAGGATCCATATCCACCCAGCTTGCCCGAACCCAGGTCTACAACGCCAGATACCTTGATTGACACAGCTTCTCTGGCACGATTATTAAATCCGAAAGACCGTGAAACCAGGTTGGAAGCTCGCATACTTTCCTCCCACTTGCTCGCCGGACAGGAGGGCAGGATCATGACGCGGAGTCAGTTTAAGAGACAAACAGAGATGGAAAGAGCTCGAGTTCTAACTGCAAGCCGATCTCCCCACCCCTACTTTTCACGTGCATCAGAAGCATCAAACGGGGGAGGACGTCCTTCAGCTGAAGAAGAAGCTGAGATACTCGAGAAGCTCATCCTCTCGCGACGGCGGAGCGACCACGGGCAGTCATCGGCTAACAGTGACTCGGCTTGGGAGACTGGTGCAACAGGCTTGGGGCCTTCAGGCCCGCAATGTGTTGTTTGCCAGGCTGCCCCAAGATCGATTATCACTTGGCCTTGTCGCTGCCTTTGCATCTGCGAAGAATGCAGAGTCAGCCTTGCAATGAACAACTTTGGAAGTTGCGTCACCTGCCGACGGGACGTAGCCGGTTTTGTGAGATTATGGGTTCCATGAAGGAATACGTCATTTATGCCGATGCCCTTGTTTTAAATCTTGCAACCCGCAGTGAAGATACGTTGCATTCGAGGCGTTACAGCTTTATTTTAGCGTTTGCTCTTGTAAATATCGTACATTCTCACATTGCATGCAATCTTTCTTTCGTTTTAATCTGATTTAGGGCGCTCAGGTTTCCAAACTTAAAGCTTCTTCCTTGACCAGTTTTGTGTGATGGAGATCCTGGATTCCCCTAGTTCTATTAAGAGAGTATCAAACTTTTTTCTTTTGGGATTCTGATTTTTTAGAGATATCAATTGCACAGTTCAGGTTTCTTGTGCAAAGTTCCCTGTATACTCTGTTTTTATATTTGCATGTGCGGTCCTAAAGCACTAGTTAGTGGAGAGAGTGTGGTGCCGGTCTAAACAAACATGTCAAACCATTGATAGGTAAGAAATATTGATAATTGTGCAAAGAATGTTTTATATAACTACTCCGTAGTTAGTTCTCCAATATTGTTGCCTTTTTGGAGTCTCGATAACCATCCCTGGTGGAAAATCTAGTCGCTATACCTTTCCTTACGCCCAATCTTCATAAGTATCGGTATTAAAACGGGGGAGAACCATGGCCGGTTTGAAAGCCAAACGATATCGTACGGACATTTCTGCCCCTGAACCAAGGGCCTTTTGATTCTAAAGCGCTTTCTTAGTCGGTTTCTGGATTCTCCACCGTCCTATGCTCTAGACACTATTTTAGGAATGTTTGAAATTGATTATATTCCCAGGCAACGACCGTGATCCGGGTACTTCACTTTCCGGTTGTCGGGGGATTTTGTGTATCACGTTCTTGGGCATATATTTCGCATATAACTGCACTATCATGAAGACGATCTCGCTATTTGCTCCGTATCTTCCAAATGGCTACATTGTCGTGTTGCAGCTTCGCAGACTTTGAGATACTTGAAACTTGAAACTTCCGTTTATCAGCCATATATATTGAATTTTCCCACGGGGTATAGACTCCATAAGAGCTCGTGACACCGCCGTAATTTCGCGTCTTAATTCTGATGACGAAGATACCTCGCCTTAGGGGTTTGACATTTGATATTCTCTTAGATGCAGTAGGATTATAGCATGTATAGTATATCAAATGCCGGATAATCTCATTGACAAGGTGAAAAGAAGGATAGAAGAGATATTACTTTCTGAAAGTTATGCTTGCCTTGCGCACTTGCTCTCTCAAAAGAATCCTGGAATGAGCTTTGTTATGCTTTGGAAAAATGAACGATGCCATGCATCTGAGGCGCTCGAAAGCGGCAAGGAAAAATATTTTCAAGTGTCCACCCTAACAGCACAACTCTTGTTTATAGTTTTCGCTTATTTTTTTACTGGCAGTTTTTAGATATCCATTCAAGCCTGCCAGACAACGGTTCTTCACATACAGGATGTTGGACATGTTATTGCAAATGATAGCCACTCAGAGGAAGCGAAAGCTAAGTTAAGTTGCACAAGGGATGGGAAGTGGGAATAGTCAAAGAGGATCGTATACCATGGAAATAACATTTTTAGAGAGCAGGTCGGCTAAACACTTCTCTTCGAACTTCTGCGGTTGTAAAATTAGAATCGTTGGGCCGCCCTATTTTGACGCCTGCACTAAGCCCATAATTGTTTGGGCTGGTATGAAGGGTTCTATTTGGATCAGAATTATTCGGAGAGCGGTGAAGTAGGCCGAATGGTCGGGCGGGGGAAATGAATTTTTGTTGGCCTTGATGAACTCTGGCTTCAGCAGAGTTCATAGAGCGGGAGGGAGGGGGGATCTGAGTTCGATGCGACTGTTGCACAACCGCATGTGGATGGTTGGCTTAAGGAAAGTCAGCATGGACGGACCAACCAAACTAGGGGATGCAACGCTCACATTCGCGGAAAGATGGCAGTATTCCGGTTGGTGGCGGCATCATTGTCGAATTTATTTGACTATTCGAGCTTCCGCTTCTCTGCTGCCGGTGAAAATGCTCAATTGTATTGCTATTGAAAATTGTAGAAGAATCATTGCACTGAGCCAGCCGTTGGCTTGATGAGACGGGCATCAACGGCTCAAACCCATTAGACGTCTGGGAACCAGACGTCCCAAGTGATTGCAGGGTATGCGCAACTGTGTCGGAAACCGCTGTTTGAAGCTGCGATCGCATGGTACGACTTTTCAAAATGTTATATAGATTTGTGATTTGAGAATGCCTTTTGCTCTTATCACGGTACAGTTCCACTAGCTCCTGATTTTTCTTTTGCAGTTGCTGTTGGCTTGATTTCAGGTCTATCGATTTGATGAGAACCATGTCTTCAATTTAGAACGTGAGATAAGCTACCTGCAATCCGCTGGTGGAGGCTCGTCATCTCGGAGTTGGCATCGTGGACAACCTTGTCCATCTGTCTATTCAACGCTGTATACTTATCCGTCAAGTTCTTCACAAGGTATTCTTGATAGAATCTGTGTTGTTGTGAGCACGAGCCCGAAATAAGAGGGAGTTGGTCCTAGCATACATTTCCTGTGCTGTCTGATAGGCCCAAAATGCCAGTGCTCTTCCGGCGCACTCCATGATAGTATTCGGATCCAGTCCACTGAGCACACTGGTTTTATAATCATCGGTCGGGTTTAGAACCGTAGAAACAACGTCGTCAGGGTTGAGAAGGCTGGTTTGGCAAGCCGGGCATTGACGATCTGTGCCTGTCGACCTAGCCAGGTCTAGGCGGTCCGCGCATTTGAGGCAGAAAATATGTCTGGTTGCAGGCTATTGGTTAGAACAATCCGCTGTTTTGAGGGTAGAGGGTAAGAAAGCTAAACATACGAACATGTTGTGACAATGGCTCTTTCAGTGAGACTGGAACGGCATTGTAGCGAGTTGCATCGCAGACAAATATCTAAAGCTTGGGCCATAATAGAAATGGGGCTTCTTGGTTCAAGGCTGGTAGCAAATGTCTGAATAGGTACCGGGGCAGCGAGAGCACAGAAGCGAAGGCGATTCCATGAATGATGCGTTGAGGTGACTCTGATTGGGATGTCGGGATTACCTATTTATTTCCTAATATGGAAGAGCCGCACATTTCGTCTGAACTTGCGAGCCAAACCAACGTGCTATGCGAACAGGAGGCCGAACAAGCCATACGTGCCCCAAGTTCAGGTATAAAAGAACACTTCGAAGTCTAGTCTGGTTAGCTGGAAAGCAAACAGCACCGTTTATCCCACCATCCCAGGGGTACAAATCCACGAACGCCCGAACAAAGTCTAACAGGTGGATAGGAAAGCCCACATTTTCTGGGGCGCATGTGGTCTCCGTGATGAAGAACAACGTAATGACAGGTTTGGGCTAGGCTTGTGTAAAGCTGAATTAGAAAAAGAACGTATTCCCCTGGTTATCCCGTCTGACACCTCGCATTTTCTCTTCAAATTCTTTCCCAGGCTCGAATTCGCGCCAAAGGCTTGCCGGGAATATATGTTTATTCCTTTCGAACCATCTTCGGTCGACGACCTTCGTCAATGTCGGGTCCATGTCCGCTCCTTCAAGGGGTAGAGTCGATTCCTGATCGTCTTCAGCGGGTGAAGTGTTTGAATAGTCGAACAACAACCCCCCACTACTCGTAAAAGATGGCACTCGGTTCGCGATGAAATAGTAAAACTCGTAATGCTGCAGCCAGTTAGCTCGTTGAATTCAAAGCGGGGATGCACTTTATGATTTCAACATACGTGAGGTATGATAATATCTCCTCGTACCAACATCAGATCGTCCACACCGACTCTCGCCCATTCTCGGCGATTATCTCTTCGCCCTTTTCCTCCACCACCAGCACCCCCAACGCCTAATTCTGCCCCAACTTTACGACATCGATCCAGGAACAGCCATACTGGATCACCTTTCTTTACTTTAACTTTCCCGGCAGGTATATTTGTTCCATCGTAGAAAACAAATGGAATGAGTATCTCAGTAGCTTTCACTTTCTCTTGAATAACCAAAAACTCTTTTCTGAGCACATCCCGCATCTGAGCTTCGGCTTCAATCGAAGCCTTTGTCATGGCTTTGGGTGCCGGAATAGTTAGATTTGGATTTGGTGCCAGTTTTCGAATGCGCGGCTGAGGCGTTCCGTCGCTGGTGTTTTTGGATGGAGATCGGGTATCTCTGGAGACTGGAGATACCCCGGTCAGAAGTTCCGTTTCAGCGTCGTTCTCGTCATCGTCAAATGATAATTTGCTTTTAGCCTTCTTGTTCCTCTTCTTTCGTGGTGGCTGCGCCGAATCGCTTTGACCTGTCACACCACTGCACTTTGGCCATCAGTTACGATCTTTCTCAGATACGGCCTCCAAGAATAAACTTACCCATCTGTAACATCCCCAAATGATGGAGTGGCACTCCTTGAGTTTCCAACGCTCAGCCGGCCTAATGACTTATCATGGGCTTCTCGTTCTTTCTGCTCAAGAATATCCGCTCGTCGTTTACGGAACTCTGATAAATTAACTAACCCGACCGTTTGGGACTTTAAGAGGTCCTCTGCGGACACCGTTTGGGTTGCGAATGATCGCGGAGTTGAAGTTCGGCTTTGAGATTCCGAGGGTGTAGCCATTATACTTCGATAGATAAGTTTGATGCTTCTTGGAGCTTGCACGTCTGCTTCGCGCTCTCGAAGCAGCATGTTGGCGGCGACCTGGGGCATCCATTCCAATGCTCAATATCACGTGATTAAGTAGCTGCACCGAGATTATTCCCGCATTCACAGGTGAACTTTCGCGGTCACTCAATTAGGTTGAGTGTATTGAAGTCGGTGGCTATTTGTATCCATTGTTTTCATGTTTGCTGGACCCGTTGGCATCTCCGTTCATTTTGATTGTTAAACTGCTTGGGAATAAATAAAGTGTCAAATCCAGGCAAGGTCCAACGTTCAAGACCCAGGATTCGAAAAGCTTTCCTTACTTGCTACACTTTCCAGTCGGCATCCAAATCGTTTAAGTATCAATGGCAACTATAGAAGAAGAAGATGATGATCTGTACAACCCTGTGGACACTATTCCCGGCCACGAGAGAGCCTCAGACGCAGCTGGAGATGCCGGAATGGAGATTGAGAACCGGGAAGAGGAAATAGAAGAGGAGGAAGAAGATGAGGTGAGTAATGAGTTCTGTGAGTCGAACCATATGCTAATCGTTTACAGGATGATTTCAATATCATCACAGAAGCTCCAGAGCCCGTAACTGTACCTCCAACGTGAGCCAACACTCACTCCACCAACTTGATATGATGGCTGACACGGAACAGGCAACCCCAACAACCCAGCGCATTTAAAGCCGAAGTTCAGCGACCATCGCTCGGTGATTCCGGAAGCATACCGAAGACCACGACACCTTCTTTCCCTAAAGCTGAAATTTCCCCGTCACAGCCCGCTGCGACTAAACCTCTTGCCCCTCAAAAGCCGGGATCGTCGTATCCAGCTCAGCACACCTCTTCAATTGATGTTTCTGCCAATCCTATCCATCCCGCTACCTCCAAACCTATTTTATCTACCGATCTAGATGACGATTTCCCCGGAGAAGACGATAAACCCTGGCGGCGACCCGGCTCCGATATAAGTGACTATTTCAACTATGGCTTTGATGAATTCACATGGGCAAGCTACTGCTTGAAGCAGCAGGATCTGCGGAAAGAAGTTGGCGACCAGAAAAAACAGCTCCAGGAAATGCAGGCGTTCCTTGGTCTAGCGCCAGGAGGGATGCCTGGGATGCCAGGTCCTCCACAACCGCCACCGGCAGGAGTCCCGGGTCCAGGAGGAGGTCCTCCACAGCGAGCAGGCCCGCAGAACGTAATGCCGGGTATGCCGCCTGGGATGCCAGAACTGTCGGCGGATATGATGCAAGGCATGCTCGCCGGCATGATGGCTCAAGGTTTAGACCCCTCATCAATGGACCCTATGACATTTATGCAACATGCACAAGCCATGCTGGGAGGCGGACAGCCAGGAACTGGGACTCCTCAAGCAGCGCAGCCGGGGTATGGAGCGCAGCCACCCGGGCAAGGGTATGGCGGACAGCCTGGTGGTCAACAACAGATGGGCTATGGTGGCTACGACCAGCGTGGAGCGGCATTTGGTGGCGGAATGCGTGGAAAGGGCATTCGAAGATGGTAAAAGCTTTGTGCGGCTACACAGGGCTATGGTTTATGATCTAGGGGTGGAAATTACATACATACGTACTTCGCTGAACCTGACTTCTTTTCCGTTTTCTGTGGCGTTTTCTATGGAATTCATGTACGAGAGATATCAAGGAGACATAAATATTCATAAGTAATCTTCACACAGACTGCCTACGTGCTCGGGTAAAGCAACCAGGTCCACATCTACCATAGATTCCTTACATCCGCTGAGCGTATTTACTCTCTTCTACGGGGAGCTGGAGTTTTCTTCTCGGCCTTGGGCTGTTGATGACTAACCAAGGAACCCGGGGGAGAGCTGGCTAAACCGTGTTTGGTGTGGTCCGGGCTTGGCAGTATTTCTGGAAATTTCTCAGCAGAAAAAGAGGAAGCTCTTCTTCCAGCTTCAGTCGACACTTGATTTCACGAATTCCCTTTCAATTGATCTCACCACAGCAATCTACCCTTGTCAGACAACCTGTTTGCCGTTTCTCTGTCAATCTTCGAATATTACAATGGTGAGTCGGTCCCGTTGAGCTCGTTCTCTTCCAGTCAAAGAGCCCATTCAAACTCACGCCGTAATCAAAATAGGCTCTTCGCAACATCAAGAACCTTATGCCTCTCTTGGACCGTGTCCTTGTCCAGAGGATAAAGGCTGAGACTAAGACCGCTTCCGGCATCTTCCTTCCCGAGAGCTCCGTCAAGGAACTCAACGAAGCCCGTGTTTTGGCCGTCGGTCCCGGTGCCATTGACAAGCAGGGAAATAGAATTACTATGAGCGTTGCTGCTGGCGACAAAGTTTTGATTCCCCAGGTATGTTATACTCGAGTTTGGTCTAGTCCGTGACCGTCTTATCCAGTATCGCACGATAGATCCCGTCGGGAATGCTCGCATGGACTAATTGGTTTGCTTGTAGTACGGTGGAAGCCCCGTGAAGGTCGGCGACGAAGAGTTCACATTGTTCCGCGACCATGAGTAAGTCCTTCCGATTTGCTGGATGAGGATGATTTCTCAATGCTTACATTGCGACTAGACTTTTGGCCAAGATCAAAGAGTAAGCGTGTCCCGAGCTTTGAGCTCTACGTAACCCATGGCCTCCCAGGCCAAATTCCCGTTGGTTCCTCGTGTTATCTAGCGATTTCAACCTGTACATTATGTAATAATATTTTGAGCGGGGAAAACAAACGATCAAAGAGTGAAGATATGGAATGAGATTCAGTCATAGAGCTCAGATGTGGAAATGTGGATGAGATCAAACAGCATTTAGGAGTACTGGAGGTTCATTCTGGGAATTGTCAAGTCAGGCGTTTCTCGCAGGAGGTTCGATGCCGAATTGAGATCCCGTTTCAATCAGCCTTTTTCGAATCTCTTTCGTCAGATACAAAAAGATATTTGGTGTTTGGAAAAGCAATCTTAAGCACATCTCTCCTCTTTTAGCTGATCATTCTTTGTTTCGGGGTTCAACCGCTACGTTAATTACCGAGTGCTTCTAATATATCCATATTTGGAGGCTCGACGATATCTCAATGCAGGCAAAAGAAAGGTGTGGACAAAGAAACACCCCGGCCATAACGATATTAACCCGACTGCCATGCAAAGCTTTGTGCTACGTAGCCATACCTTCATGTGAGAAACAGCTTTCAGTACTTGTAACATCTCAGTCAAAGCTTGAGTATGCCGGCCTGCGTCGAGGATGAATACATGCATCATGTGCGCCGTACGGAGTGTGGAGTACTCCGTATATCCATCCGCGATATGCATCCTTCCGCTCAGGTTACCATACCCTTTTATTTATTTCCGGTCAATGCTCGCACACCACTAGGCAAGTCCCAGCTCATGAGTGATATGAGAAATAAGAAACTCCGAATTCGACAAGCGATCGGGATCGGCGTTTGCCATTCTATCTTCAAGGTTGCGGCTCATCTGCAGCACACTAAAATCTAGCAGGTCGAGACCAACACAGAACAGGATCCCAGGTGCTATCATTTGAGCATGGGTCTCTACCCAGTCGCGAGAATCGAAAAATAGAGGATCCCGACTTGCTACGGAGTTTCTTGGTGTTAAGTATGTCCTCAAACAACCAACAACATGAGAGAAGCTTTCTTTGTGCGGCTTGACAGTTGTATCACCCCGATCGTGCTCCAGTCGCTGTCTTTGGCCTCCACATATGCATGCTTGCATGCTGTGTCGTCGAGCTCTCGAAAGAGTATTAATAGCTGCCATGCTTCACGCTATACTACCTTTAGGAATCGAGCTGAGAACGGCACAAGAATCACTCTGTACGCTTTGTCACAATCATTTCCATTCTCCGGTTTTACCGCTTATATCTTATAAACTTCTTCGACTGCCAGAGCCATTGCGTTCTCTGAGTTCCACATTTACCCATTCCAAGGAAAGCAGCTACATTACCTCTACCAAGCACCACTCAAGCCAGGCGAAAATGCTTCCTCGATTCACCGTACTATGGGCCATTGGCTTGACCATTATTGACATGGTCGCGGGTAGCCATTTGGCTACACCTACCAAGCCCGATGACGCCTTTGTCCCGCGTTATTCTCCCTTCATCCATGAACATCCTCCCACCAGAGTAGTGGTCCGAGACGAGGTAGGGAAACCTAGTCTCCTTTTCAAAAATTCAAGGAGCTTATTCCATTTCACAGCTTGATACGCGGCAAAATCCAACAGTGCCGCCTGTTTGGGGGAATCCTCGCGAGCCTCCACCACAACGCCCGCCAAGATTAGAGCCTAACGCTGAAGTGGATGCTGTATCCAAACGTCAGGAACGGCTTAGCTCAATTTCTCGAGCGGGTCATAACCATCCATCAGGGACGGAAGGCTCTCCAGCAAAGAGATCCTTTGGCCTTCAAAAGAGACGCTGCCTGACTCTTCAGCCGATACCTCCAGACTGCGATGAGGTGACGAAAGGTAAAGATTCCAACGGTCATCTCCATTAGTTATCAAGCATACGTCCCGGAGTGAATTTGTGCCTTCGAAACGCGAGACACAAAGCTCGAATTCGAGAAAAACAAGAGTTTGAGTGGCGTTTGCAATCCTGCGAAGAATTGACAGCGCCGAGAAACTCCTCCTATTTATGGGATGCCGATGTGGATGTTTGATTGAAACTATGCCTTTTGATGGTTGAACGATCATGTATGATGTGTCTGGAAATTTGGTCAATATGGGAACAAATTGTGATGAAATGGACCTCCGTTGAGGATATAGATATAGCGCTATATCATATCTTCATAGTCGAATCGTAGTGATAACGAGGAATGAATATCTTCCGAGCCTTTTGCATTGACCGGAATCCCTGGGCGGGTTCTGGTCTTTGCAACAACCCCCAATGGTCACCATTCACCGTCTAATTGATTGCTGATATTGGATGCAATCCTTTCGCCAATTAGAGGTGCGTAAATGCGTTTTCTTTCCTTCGGGGGCAGGCCGACAAATCTTGATAGAGTAGCATAAGGCGATGCTGCAATATCCGCGGGAGGAGCATCCTCCTCAAACTTAGCAAGTGAAGTGACGGGCCATGTGAGCACAGCTTGTGCAGCGAACAAGTTTAGACCGGCATGATATAAGAAGATTTCCCATACAGTTGCATCTTCCGAGGGAATCTTTGCATGAGCAGGCCCATCCAAGCTTGGACGCGCCCCGCTCCAGGGTACTGGCATGGCATGCTTCTTCGCGAGATTTATAATCCATTGTGTCAAATGTTCCACCGCAGCAGGTACCACAAGCGGTACTACATTGCAGGACTGCGCAAGGGAAGAACAAAATGATTCCAGGGCGCGAATGGCATCGATGGCTTCTTCACCCGTTGGTGCTACATTCAATGCATGGCCTATCAACACATACAGTCGCTCATACCTTGAGCAAACACGGAAGATTCGTTCCCGAAGTGGGGAGGAGAGAATATTTCCAAGTCCAGAACGAAGTGGTGAGTGGCCTGGAAGATGCAGTTGGGTTGTTTCTTGGGATTTTGTGAGGAGGATGGCTGTCGTTGGGGATATGATGATATCCGCATCGTCGTCGTAGCAGTTTGCTGGCCTTAGAGTCTGCAGTGACGTTTCTGAACTGAATGAAGTCGCGTTTTCGTGCTTTCCTTTCGTTAATTTCGCTGATAGGAGAGCCATTGCATGGTAATCCCGAAAAATCAGCGTTTTAGGGGAAGGAAGAGATTCGAGAACTTGCACCACTGATCTATGCGTGCGCAGCAATGCGGTTGAAATGACGAAACTAAGTGGAAATGGCGGTTCGGCAATTTCAGGTGCTGGCAAAGTCAGATGGCTAACAAGTACACTTGTATCTGGTTTATCGTTTTCCCTAGCTTCAAGAACATTGGCGGCGTCTTTGGTAAAATATGGAGATGACGATGCATTAGTTTGTTTTGTTTTCCCTCGAAGATTAATGAAATTCGATAGTTGAGTCGTGGTAGAAAAATTGGACGAAAGGAGAGAACTTTTCGAATCGATAAGACTGTGAAGCTTTTCATCTCCTGTAACATGACGGTGTTGGATGAAACATGAAGAAGCGATTTGCTTTTTGCCCGACAACCCAGCCGAATTCCGGCTTACCACCAAATCACTAATAGGATGCAATGATAACGCATCCCTCTCAATAGCAATGCTTGGTTCAAGAATATAGTCATCAAGATCATCCCCCAGCCACGTGCCGTGCGGAAAAGGCCATTTTGGGGATTCACAACGGCCATCCCCCTCACCTTCAAGAGGGCCAAGAAATTCGGAGAGCTCTATGTGACCTTCAATTGTCTCTTCGACAGCCATCCGGGAAATACCCATTGGAAATGGGTTCCACTGAAGATCCCACTCATCTCTTTCTGATAATTGATTGTGACTGGTCATGTCATGGGTTTTATGCAGTTTTGTCATCATGTCTTGCTGACAACAGGCTGGATCCATTAATAACCAAGGAGGGCGAGGGGGCAGATTCACTATCTTTGGGGTTTCGATTCGAGTATCTGCGTTGATTCCACGGATTCGTTCTTTATCCAGTTTCAGTTCAATATTCTCTTTACAAAGCGCGGAGGTTTTAAGAACGTCATCCAATCCCAGAATCTCGCCTTCATTTGGAAGACAGATCTCTGGAATTGGCATCATTTGGACGATTTCCGTCAAGTGCATCCCTTCTTCCTCCGCACGGCGCCTTTTTATGGAATATGGTGGTGTGAGGGGGCCCTCGACCTTAAAGGACTCATCTAGCATCCTCTTCCTTGGGCAAAGTAGATTTACTCGAGGTGAGTCGTCCTGGTCACTTTTACCCTCAAGGAAATTCTCTAGCGGATTCTGGCTGCTGCGATGCAACCCCGATGATTCTCCAACAAATACATCCACATCTATAGCGAGTGCTCTCTCGACTTGTGTGTGTTCGGGCATCACTGGCGTTATAGGCCTGGAAAGTAGCTCCATTTCCATACCCGCAGACGAAGGATTAAAATGATTAGGTGTGGAATCTCTTGGCAGGAGAGGGGGCGTAACGGGTTCTAAATCTGTTTTCTGTTTCTTTATGTCACTAGAAGCTGAGTCAAGACCGCTAGGAATGGATATTGACCTTGATAAACCTCGGTTCGCTTTGGGTGTGATCAGAGCCGCGAACCGGAGCACCAGTTCTAATCTCTTTCATGAAAAGCAATACCTCTCGTGTACAATCGAGTTTCTCATTCGCGATATAATCATGGATTTGATTTGGTAGTTCACGAACATAACTTGGAAATCTTAGCCCTTCATCGTGCTCATCGTCGATTTTCTCCAATGGCAGATCCACCTCCATTCTGTCCAGGGACAGCATGTCGCGAAAGAGGTGCATATCATTTTCATGATCTGTTCGTAAGAGGGGAGGATTTTGCTTGATATTTTCTATCTGACGAGGATCGGGGAGGAGGTTATCCCAGTCTAGAGAACGCCTGAAATCTGAAGAGCTTGGTCTAATGGCCGATTTTAGAAATAAAGCACCTGCTTTGCTGATATTTAGCTTTTCCTTTTGCTTTTGGTAACCTGGCTCCCGTAACTGATCTAAACTTAATACCGGGCATCCTTTTGTATCTTTCAGAGATCCGCTCAATCCCGATGGCAGAGGTGGGGAAATAAAAGCAAGGGGGTCTATTGCCCGGTGATTGCGGGCAATGCCATGGAACCTCGCATAATCAAGCATCGATGGCATCTGGGCCTCTGTCATTGTGTATCCTGGCTGTATAGGGTGACTTGACGGTAGCACCAGAGATCGAGGGGAGGAGGACGGTCGATGTGTCCTCCGGACCAAACACGTGACACGACAGGAAAGGAAGGCCTCCGCAGCAGAGAATTGGGCCGTAAGCAATCAAGTGCAACACCATCCATGGGATATCTTTCGGAAGTATGAATGACCGGAGATGGCGGTCCCTGGCCCATTCTCGCGGTATAGAAATGAAATGTGGAACAGGAGGGGTTCTTGCTAAACGATATTAACACACGAGAGATCGGGATATATTGAGACCATATTTCATGAAAGGGATATGATATTCTTAACTGCTGGACGGGTAGTGTAGGGGAAATCGAAAAAGAAGAAGGGAAAATGTACGAAAAAAGATCTCCAACTTCCACCATGCACCGGAACTCCATACATAGCCTTTTCCCCGTAGCTAACACCCATGATTTATTGACACAGCGCTCGCTCGTAAAGCGCGTGGATTTAAAAAGCTAAGAATCACAGCCCATTAGGAGCTTTACCACCATGCACGCCCAGCGGGCCAAGCATAATCTCCTGGACTTCCTCCTTGACGCCACCTAACCTACCAGCAACTCCAAGAATTGCGGTTTCAACATCCCCTAGTGTAGACGCAAGTTGACTGACTTGGGAGGCAGGCTTATGCGGAGCGCCGTTTTTGCCCCTGAAGGACGTAAGTTCATTCACTTGCCTTTGAACCGAGAGCTCGACACCATGGAGGTGATCCTCGATCTCTTTTAAATTCCTTCGATATTCTTCAAGCACGGAGTTCATTTCGTCCCCTCGCTTCGAAAAGTAGTCCACCAAGTTATTGGGGCCGTCTTGGATAGAGTCTGCTTCGGTGTCTTCAGGAAGAGCGAGGGTAGCGCGCCGAGTTCCGAAGGCTGTACGTAAAGAGTGCTTTGACATCGATTGCGGTTGTTGTGTCGAAGACCACCACCTCTCACCTGGGGGTGGCTGATATTGCAGAGGCAAGAGCAAGGTGTCGATTGAGCGGAATGCAAGTTTAGCATTTGCGGCATCCTCCTTAACAAGATTGCGCGCCTGATCAATTCCATTCGCGTCATTCGCGAGGGCTTCCTGGAGCGCATCGAGCTTGCCTTGTACAAATTCGACATCGTTCGGGATTAATGATCCTTGGGCAGATATTGTTGGCAGAAGATCAGAGACTTCATTGCACATATGCATCTGGTTAAGGATGTACGTGTCGATAGCTTCAATTTCCTTCTTCAACTCGTCAGAGCAGCTTTCGAACTTGGTAGTTGGAAGAAGATTTGAAACATCGATCTTCACCCCTTGCACAACGGTCGATCCGGCGGACTTCTGATCCTGTTTTGCGGAAGAATTTTGATTCGCAAAAAGGGATAGAGTGGGCCCTTGTTGCTGTTGCTGCGGCTGACTAGTGGATGCGCCTCTAGACCAAAAGATAGGCAAATTAGCTACACGGCGCAAGAGCTTGCCTGAAACTTACAGTAATCCCCCGCCAACCGTTGAAGCCGCTCCCAAACCAAAAGCCGGTTTACTTTGAGGCTGAGATGTAGTGGCACTTGGGCCAAATAGAGACCCTGTTGCAGGTTTTTGCTGAGCTCCAATCCCAGCAAACAATCCTCCCGACTGCTGAGGTTGTGATGTCCCAGTTCCAAGTGTATTCGATGAAGCTCCTAATCCACTGAATAGGTTTCCTGTCTGCGGTTGCGCCGCCGGGATAGTTGTAGATGATCCAGCGCCGCCAAATAATCCTCCAGCGCTCGTCGCAGGTGTGCTTGTGGTTCCTTGGGTGCTAAATAATCCACCTCCTGGGGTAGAAGCGGCAGCCGGCGTAGAGCCTAGGCCGCCAAATGGAGTTCCGCCGGCACCTGTAGTGGCTAGTGTCGATCCTAAATTACCGAATAGCCCGCCAGCTTGTGTAGGGGCCGCGGAGGGCGTTGGAGTTGGATTTGGCTTGCTTCCACTACAGAAAGCCTTGTTAGTATCAACCCGTATTCTTTTGCGAATCACGAACGTGGTATTCCATTGTTTGACGGCTACCTCCAACGTTGGGGATAGCTAAATTAATAGAATGATACCCGAGCAAAGAGTAGAGCACATTATAACCAATTGTAAAAAGTGTGAGATAACTTAAAACAAATGCACTTACAATAAAGCATTTGCGGTTGAGGTATTAACCGTCAGCCCACCGGCAGCCGGGGCTGAAGTGCGCGCACCAAACATGACAAGGAAAGGGTACAAATATAAGCAAAGGATTAAATACGAGAAGGGCTTGTGCACTTACCGTACGCAGAGAATCTCGCGGGGGAATTGCGTACGGAGAGTAGCTTGGCTGAGAATATCAACAAAACGATTGCGGCTTGTCATGAGAGATGAGCTCTTATGCCAAGCCCAAACTCGCTAGACCATATATGGAATGGCGGCTTGGTATAGCTTTTGGACACAGATGATTGAGTTTAGGTTATGCTTGTATTGGACTAGTGTGCATATTTGATTGGGCAAGAAGCCTTTAGTCCACTCACCTCCAATGTGAAGCTTCAATATCCAACTGGCGGGGAGGAACTTGAAGGGGAGATGGACAATACTTGCAAGATCAGGCAGTGGATTTCTTGAAATATGGAAATTGCTATAGGAGGTTGATGTGAAAAAGCCATATTTCGGGCAAGTCCGTTGCTGGTTACCCCACGGTTTCGATGGACAAGAAATGTGTCCTGGAAATTTGCTTCCATTGAAAATCAACTCTCTCGAGAAGTTGTGCATGGTACTCTATTCATAAGGATAGCATCCCGGGCTGTCGGAGGCTAAATCGACTTCAATTAAGGAATATTCTCGTCAATTCACTGAAAATGGTGGAACAGGGCCCTGAAGCCTGGAATTTGAAATGTGTTGCATCCACGAACAACGTCCCGGGGTACACCCTAGTCCCTTCTGACCAGAATTTATTACCTGGCCAATCTTTGGCTGGGGATCCGGAGCATAGGGTGACGCGAGGCACTCCCTCTAATTACTTTAAGAGCGCGGATTGGTATGGCTCGGCTGTTTGTACGAACGCGGATTCTTGTTGGCTAAGTTATAGGGTAGGACTGCTGACGGTACGACCATTGTGACGAATTCCGCCGATAACCACATTAGAACATTTGTATTGTATGTGGGATCGATGTATTTATGATAACTGGGAATGCTAACTCGGTAGGCCTCCTGATCTACTCGAGGAGAAGGAAGTGCCACATTCGATCACTCCTTATTATACACTGTGCTCCAAAGAACCAGTCTACTCACTGTCCATTTATCCTTTTTTTTCGCTTCAGGACACCTCAGCAGCAATACTTCTATCTTCAGTTCGAGATCACCCCATTCGATTAACCTCGGCACTATACCCAGGGTTGATCGCGTCGTACAGCTTGATTTCGCCTACAACAGAGGCCTTTATTACCCCCCACAGCATTCTTTATCCAGCGACTCTGACTGGCACGCACTTTCTGACGGGCTCCGATAGTTTAATTTGCTTATTTGATGTATCACGTCCTGGGAAAGATGGTCCAGTCTCCAGGATGCCCACAATTCCCAGCAAGCGGAATAAAATGGTGGGTGGCGGGATTGGGATGAAAGGAATTATATCTACTCTCGCCGAAAACCCTTCGGGAGACGGGATCGTTGCAGCCGGTACATTTACAAGACATATTGGACTTTATGCGTCCCATGGCAGCGGTGATACTATTGCCACGTTCAGTGTGGCAGGGACGGAAGCAGAGCGCCGAGTTGGAGGGAAGGGCGTTACTCAAGTTTTGTGGAGTCCTTGTGGCAGATATCTATATGTGGCAGAAAGGAAAAGCGATGGAATGTTGATATATGATATTAGAGTTACTGGCCAGCTGGTTGGCTGGTTGAAGGGCAGGCGGGCAATGACAAACCAGCGACTAAACATTGACGTTGTCAGCAGTGGTGCTGATGGGAGCCATGAGATTTGGGCCGGCGGTACAGATGGATATATCCGGATGTGGGAATCTCCGACCGTTGTTGGAGGGGAAGTACAACCGACTTGGGAAAAGAGGATTCACGACGGTAAACCTGCTCGCATGAACCTTGTAAACTTACCGAGACTGACAGTGAATCTGTAGACCCGGTGTCAAGTGCGGTTTTCCACCCGATGGGGAGTGTGTTGGCTACTTGCTCGGGGCAAAAAAGATACCCTGAATATTCTGACGAAAATAGGGGTCTAAATTGCCCTACTCCGGACCGTCCTGAATGCCACCAAATGGACAACTCTCTTCGAGTGTGGCAGTTATAATTCCCTGCTTCTTTACCCCCGGTAAGGCACTTATTCCCACCGGCGGATAAACCGCTCTTGTGCTCTATTTGGAGCATGAAAATCAGATGCATCGGATTTGGGGTGCGAATGACTCCTAACATTGTTTGCTCGCAACAGCCGTTAGTGAAATGCCGTATTGTACGGAGATATATTTGCATTATTGCAAATACGAATCTTACAAATTGCATTCTCGCTGAATCCAATTGTCGAGGCCTTACTCTAGCCGGTGGCATCGCACGGCTGCAAAGACCATCGTTCGACAGTAGCCCTCTACGATTTCTTATAGCATTCGTGACGAGCGTCGGGATATTTTTCACAGGTTCACATCAGAAGCGTAGTGCCGATAACCTTTCTTTTTTTTTTAAATAATATCTTCACCGCTACATAAGCCGAAGCTCGGCACCTATCGCGCTAAGTTGGGCTTGCACCTCCTTTAATACATCCCACATAGAGGTTACCTCTCTCAACATTGCAGTCCATCGTATTTCCAAGAACTGCCGATGATGACTATTGAGGTTGGAAGCGGTGACAAACGCTAGCTTCACTAGCATTGGAAGTTGTGGCATCCAGCAAAATCGATATAACTAAGGCGAGGCCTAACCTAACGTACATCGGTTCACCCAGTCAGATTCGGGTATTGATCACTGGTGAAAATGACTACCAGAGGGTCCCATTGCGAGGTTGGAGATCGGAATGGGAAATTGAAAAATTTTGGTGGCACACTGGAAAACTTGAGGGGAGTGAATTGTAGTTTTCGACATCAACCGGTGGACGCGAAATCCGTCTCCTGAATGCTCCCCTGCAATGGGCACTTATCCCTGGCTTGCCATAGTCAGTAGGGCTGAAAATAGGTGGGGCCAGCGTGGCTTGGTTTGGCCAATGACGGAAGTTCCCCTGAAGAAGACGAGTTGTCCAATCACAGGCGCTCCGCATCGACGACATCCCATCGAGTCCACGGTCCTGCTCGGCTTCCTCCGTCAAAATTTACGGCAGCCATCTGGTTCTAGCTCTACGTGCATCTCACTTGAGATGCGAAATATTTCCCTTCCCCCATGCTTCCTAATTTACACATAGGGGCTGTTTCAGGCTTTTCTTTCTTTTTCTATTCCTTCGGTAGAGATCGTTGTACAGACTTCTGGCAGACGGTCGAGCCTTCAACTCTAGCAACATGGCTTGGCTAAGTTTAAGCTGTGACCTACCTAAGTCACTTTTAGAAAGCTGCTTATTTTCCTGCAAAGATTTTATCACCCGGTGATATCTGTCTTAGAGGACCGGTACGCGGTTGATCAAACGAAGCATCCTTGCCGTCCTTGCTTAATAGATTTCTTCATCCATTTCGTATACCCATGGACGTAATGCAGCATATTCTCCCTGTTTATTAAAATACGGTGGAGATAGAGAGACTCCTTACGGTATAAGCCCTCTGGGACTTACATACCATCGTGGGCCACTATCTATGTTAGCGGAGGTCTACGATCAGATCTGGCCAGCAGCATGGAGAGCTCAACCATTTGTGGCCTAATATCGCTCTAGATACTGCCTTTGCACATTTAGCTCATCCTTTGCGCTGCTTCCCGAGTCTCGACTCTTCCTGGAAACTCCCGGCGGGACGTCCCTAGAAACTGCTTCGTCTTCTCACCTCAATATGGCTATTGGTTCTATTGACTCTGTATTGTACCTATCGGACTCTGCCATATTTTAAAAAATTTTCCTTTTATGCACTTGTCGCATATCGGACGAAGAGCGCATGTCCGTGCCGATGCCTGTGGAATTCCTAAATCCAATTGGCCGCAAGTGTTTACCAGATTTACCCTCTATTGTGTTCTGAATTTTTATAATCACAAGGAGCCTTTCGGATTACCGGGCATTGCTTTTTAGTAGTGCCAGTGGCTGTGCAATGTACAGCGGCAGATCCCGGGAATTCACAATCTAGCATTTCAGGCATACAGTATTGTATCTTACAAATGGCATGAATGCTCCAAGTCATGGACTATTGTCAGTGACATATTTAAGTCAAGTGTCACTTTGTTTGCTCAATCGCTCGTGAATATTATTGCTCTATTCGCCGTATCAAGCTTAGTGTCTTGAGCTGGTGCATTTATATTGCTTGCCACGGGATTCAGTTATTCAATTCCTTTCTCACAATCCTCTATATCTACCAGATCACCATTGCCCCATCAGCTTCGTCAACTTCTACTGTCTCTTTTCACAAAGGATCCACACTTGTCACTTACACTTCCAGATTGATTCCCCTCAGTGACCTTTGCAGAGTCTTGGTGGAGACGGTCCCACAAGTATCGACCGATATATTGACTGCAGGAAGGGTTTAGGGACTTCAACTTTATTCATTTACATATTTTTTTTTGTGAGAAGCACTCGCATTACTCGAGAAGTGAATTCCAGGAGTATCCTGTGTTGCATATCGATATCTGGCTCGTCACCAGTATCTTCGCTTTGAGGTTTCAAGCAGTGTTCACTTTTCTCTGTCTCGGTTTTCTGGAGACTGCTGAGCATTCCGGGAGCCCTCTCATCTCGCCAGATTGTTCTTGACGCTCAGCGGGCCTAGTGTCCAACGGCTAGTATTGGATCATAGTCTGAATTGGTATGTGATATTGCCGTCGCTTGCCTTTCTATCCACTCAGCATTATGGTGATGTAGTGGCTGATTCTGGGTATACTTTACTGAAGATTTTACACTAGCCGTGCTTGTGACCTGCATCCTTCGACTGATATGGATCAAGCAACATTTGACCTGTCTGCTTCACCCACCCAAGCATTCATAGCACCAGCACCTGATATGCACCTTTTGGATGGCAGCAATAAACCTGAGCAGCTGTCCCTTGATAAGTAAGTCAGAGCCTTTTACTATAAGCATCGCTTTCTGATTCTTACTTGTGCATGCATTTAGGACTGTGGAGGAAGCTTCAAGCATCAAGCAGGATTCTCAACTGGAGTCAGACACAAAGCATTCGCATTTTGACGTTGCATTTGACGAAATATTGAGTTCACACCTGGGATTTGGTCACAACAACGGTACTGTTAATATGAATGAAATTTCACTTTAATTTAACGATGCTAATTTGTTCTGTGAAAGGTATTATGGATGGCATAGGCAATCGTGATAGTCTTGAAAGCATCCCTGAGCCATCTTATATGGACTTCGAGCAGTATGATGCGGCTCAAAGCAGGGCTTTTCTCCATGACTCTAGTTCCTCCGGATGTGGAACACTTGGTGATGCATGGGCTTGTCATTCAACTACCGTAACGCCTCTAGATCCTACTGTGCAGGACCCTGAACTTCTGTCATGTTTCGGGAGTACCCAAAAAATAGAGGCCAACACCAGTGATAGTGGGCCGCAAGCCGTCTCTCATACTGCTGTTGATGTCCCGGCCACAGAATTGATGGATACAAGTGAGACTTCCTATGACATTAATTTGGGCAACCTTCATAGCTCAAGCTAATAATACCTTATCAACATTAGGCACCGCCAGCACACAGGCTATCACGGAGGGCCAGGTCGCCGATACCCCAGACACAGAAGGAACTGGAATCCTACTGAGGTTTAAGTCTGCCGCCGAAGCGAATGCATATGCACCACAAAAGTGGCCAACGCCCCTTAATGATCCCACTATCCCGCAATCTCAGGAAGGCCGTGAAGCGATTGTCCGGGAACTCATGGAAGCGATGTATTGCCTCACAGAGTCAAAGGACAATGATGGAATGGTCAGGCCTTGGAGAGAAGGTCGATATAGCCACCACCGTGTGGAAATCTCGTGCTGGAATGTCTTGGTAAGGCCTCTTGTGGTAAACATTTTCTATGTTGGGCCACCTTTAACATTGTTTCAGGAGGCATGCGTTGAGCGTCATGAAACCGGGCCCCTTCGGTACTTGTGGGACAACAAGGATAACAGCCGACCCGACAGCATTGCAACGTTTGAAGAACGGATAGCGATCATTACCAAGATCCTAAAAGTAGGCAAAATGTCATCCAATAATGAATTTATTTTTCTAACGAATAACACATAGGAACGCAAGACGATATGCAAGCGGCTAATTGATGTGCCTTTCTTCCTCAATTTTATCGACGACCCCGGATATCAAGCGAATGTAAGACACGTCTCCACAGCTTCAGGACGTTGCTAACCCTTAACCAGCGAGTCGAACAAAACAAGGGACTAAATGCGAAGAAGGGGATGGTGATCAAGGCTGGCAAAAGCGCGTTGGAAAAAGAAGAAAGGGAGACCGGCAAAGCTTTACTCCCTGCTCCCAAAGGACGACACAAGAAGAGCAACTCTTCTGCTACTGAGCCCCTGACTCCCCCTGAGCTTTCTCGGCCGGTAAAACGGCAAAAGAGGGCACCCGTGAGAACCCCATCTCTTGCAAATGTCTCTACAGGTGTTGCTACAAACGTTGCCCTTGATCCATATCTCAACAATCCTCTTCCAGGTCTGAAACTGGAGACTCCTTCGAGTTCGACAAGCAGCGCCTTCGGATATACGCAAGCAAGTAATCGTTCCACTATGCAGTTTAGCACATCTATCAAAGCAGATCCTCATGTTGATATTCTTCAGTTCAACGACAACAGCCATGCCACTCATTGTAATGAATACGGCGTTGGACTATCTCGAGTAATGGAGACTTACAGACCAAGCGCCTATGCTACTCCTATCTCCGATCTCTCGCAAAGTTCAAGTCCATCGGTTAACAACCTCAGAGCTCAAGGGAATCATGCTTTTGGTGCCCATTCTGGATCTTTCCCAATGCAGGGGATTCAACCACCACACTTCATAACTGTGGGAGCTCAAACACCTCATGTTTCAACATGTAATATTCAGACACATGAATATCACAGCTCAGTCGTCCCGACCTCGAACATTCAAAAGAGTCTCATTCACCAACAGGGGATTCATTCTTCCAACTTTCCAACTCCAGAAATTCAGGTCCCCAATGCTTCAGTATCTGAGTTCGCCAATCAGGTCGGCGTTCTGTCAGAACCCAGTTTTCAGCAACAAGCTCCGCTTCCAATGCCCCATGACTATCATTTTCCCGCTTTATGTGACCTGCAAGACGCTCAAAGCTTTGGATTTGCTGAACCAATACAGGTTCCAACTGCGACTAGACCCTAAGCGGAACGACATCCGCAACCTCACATTCTGCAATATTCCTACGACGCTCTTTCTGATGACACGAATTCGGAATTCCATGAGGCTACCTAATCCGGGCGACATATTTCATCACTGAAAGATGTGGGTCGAATTTGCAGTACATTGGGCTCTCTTATGATGTTTACAACCAAGCAAAATCGTATTGGAGCAGTGTTGTGCAAGATTTGATTTCAAACGACATTAACAGTGCTCTCGATCTGTGTCTTTTGCCCCTAGAAGCTGTTGATTTGGTTTATTGGCAAGAAAAGGTTCCGAGCTTCATATGGACCGACCTTTGCTACAACTGCTACTACTTTTTCCTGCTTTTACAGATGAAGATCCTGATTTCCTTTATAACTTTGCATGATTTTTGATGATCCTTGATGATTGATGAACTGATGATTTTGATGACAATGATAGCGTGTTTGTAACAACAGCTTCATGATTGCTATGATCTTTGATGACTGATGATTTGATGACGACAATGATGATGATGGCGATGACATGGTCATAACAGTTGATTGATTGTTATGACTTGTGATGTTTCTATGAAGTTACTCATGCATTATATTGTTTCATGATGTTTCTTACACTTTGTGCTATCCCAGAATGGCTTTAAGAGGAACAACTTGATTAGAACTTCATACTATTCTGCTTTTTTCACTGGTATTAAACAGAATTGGATATTGGGCTCTAGATCTATACAAGTAATCCAAGAATTATATTGCAGGAGCCTGAATCCCGTATTTCTCGTATGGGAAAACCTCCAAGCTCTGGAGAAGCTGACCCCAGCCGTCTCCGATGAGTCCAGGCTTGCCTGCTCCAACAGCCCTCCATGGCTCAGTCCCAATAACACCATTAATAACTCCATCGATGGAATCGAGATCCTTATGTTCACCTGTCGAGCCGGCTAGGACCTCTTCTATCCTTTCGCTGTATTCCTTCAGCAGGCCTTCATGCGGACACCAAACAACTCTCATTCCAGCCCTCCTCCCAGCCTCAACACCAGGCACGCTATCTTCGAAAACAAGGCACTCTTCTGGCTTGATCTCAGGCTCTCCACATCTGCTCTCGCGAAGCTCCTTATTTATGACTTCTAGGGCTAGCAAATAGATATCGGGTCTAGGCTTCCCACGCCCGTGGCCGATTCTAGGGTCGTCTCCAAGGATAATTCTAGAAGATGGGAACTGAGAGAATAGTTCGTCTAAATGAGCTGTTTTAAGCGTGTAATTCCTACTGTGGGAGGATGTTGCGAGGGCAATGTGTACTGGATTTTTTGTGTTGGCGGTTTTTGCCAGGCTTTTCACAAGGTCTAAAGCCCCGGGGAGAGGTTCGGTGGTAGGAAAATGTTGGAGTTGAAGAGCTGAGAGTTTAGTAATGTATTCGGCATGGGAGATGGGGAGCCGAGCCCATTCATGGAATATATTGGCGGCCTAGATGACATGACGAGTTAACACGAGTACCTACGGGGCTTGAGAGGATGGGGTCCAGAGTTACCTCAGGCATAGGCCGACCTTGCAATTGCGCCTTTATGGACCAAGGTAGTGATGGTTTGCCGTATTCGTGTAAAATCTTGTTCACGACCAAGGTGTAGAGGTCCTCTGAATTGATCAGAAGGCCGTCCATGTCAAATAGACAGGCCCGAATGGGCGGGAGACTAAAGATATGTACAAGTTAGCTCATAGACAGGAACAAAACTAGGATAGAAAAATAAGTAACTCTTTTTCCCAATTAATGCTGCATCCTTACCCTTGAGATTCCATTGTGATGGTTGACATGAGACTCTTGTTTGAATTGTCCGCCTGGAACGAAATAAGAACTCGACAAGATGGCCCCGCACCAGTGGGGGAATTTAAAGTTCCGCCAGGCCCTTTTTTTAGTCAATTCAGATCATGTTGGTTAACGAGTTAACTAGTTAAGTACTTAAGGGAAAGTCTGCCGAGACCCTCCCTCAACAACTTTGTTCCTGGAGTGCACAAACAACCTGCACCAACTTGCGCCCGACAGCGAAAATGTCGAGTTCAGCAAAGAAACCACAAGTCGCAAATGAAGATAGTGACAATGATGAGAATGACGTTTTCCATGACGCCCGATTTCCCCGCGATGAAGAAGCTGTATGTTCATGGCAAATCAATCCTAGTCCAAGGGAGTAATCAAGCTTATAAAAACCATCGTTTATACAAACAGCTGACAGGAATAATCTGTAGCAACTGCTCTCGCAATCTAATACCCAAAAGTCTGAAGCCAACAAGCTCTTCTCCTCCGCCTGTTATTCCGACGCCATAGTCACCTACGATCGCGCTCTCTCCCTTTGCCCGAACTACCTTGATTACGAAATTGCCGTTTTACGAAGCAACATCGCTGCATGTCACCTGAAGCTTGAAGACTGGAAGGCAGCTGTTGATTCGGCAACTGCGAGTATAGAGTGTTTGGACCGAGTGCTTCCCTCTTTTTCCACCTCTGCAGCTACAGGCGAAAGAGATAAATCAAACGAGCCTGCCCAGCCACGAGATGATGCAAACGCTGTGGTAGAAATTGGGGATGGTGATGAGGAGGACGAAGCCGAGCAATTAAGGAAATTGAACGAAAGCGACGCGAAGAGAGAAGATGTCAAACGAATCCGCGCCAAAGCACTGATGAGAAGAGCCAGGGCGAAGCTGGAACTGGGTGGATGGGCAAACTTGCAGGGAGCGGAGACAGATTATAAGGAGTTGTTGGAGCTGAAAGTGTTGCCGAAGAACGATGAGCTGGGTGTAATCAAAACGCTGAGAGACCTGCCCGCAAGGATCAATGTTGCGAGGGAAAAGGAGATTGGAGATATGATGGGAAAATTGAAAGATGTATGTTGAAACCTCTTCCCTGTTTCCTAACCACATTTGCGGCCGGGATGTGAACTGACTGGACATTCAAGCTTGGTAATGGTATTCTAAAACCGTTCGGACTATCGACAGATAACTTCAAATTTGTCAAGGACGAGAGTACAGGAGGCTACAATATCGCCTTTGAGAAGTGACCTTTCTCCAGGGATTGAATAAACATATGTACGGAGTACTTTCACCACAGATAATCCTCACTTTAGCCACCGGAGATATCAGAGAGATCGGGCTTCCCAACTGGCCCTGCGACGCATCCCTTTAGCCCCAGTTTGGAAAATTTCCGTGAGCCACATAGAGTCCTTCGAAGCTTCGAAACTCCCAGTGAGAAAACGAAACAATCCTGCTAGATCATGGCTCGATCCTGCCTGTCGATCAGCGCTCAAGGGAACTCCAATAGTTATGTCATGCTGTTTCGTCTGCGCGTTGTCCGTGCTTTATGGCATCGGCGGTGTCGGCAATCCCAAACTCCGTGACGCCGATGGTGTTCCAAAATGTGGAATCCTCATTGGCTGCTTGCAAAGATATCGGAGCTCACTTGCTTAGTCATCCCGACACTCGAGGCTCGCTTTCCCCCCGTTTGATCTATCCCTGAAGCCACCATAAAATTTGCGGGCCGTGCTGACCGTCAAGAACGCCAGCCGCTATGTTGGAGAAGGGAGCAGCATGGTGTCGGAGTCATATCTGGAAACGCAACTCGGGCTGGAACAATTCATGATTGATAGCGAAGCTGAAAATGCTTGGCCCACGGAGAAGATATATTCTTGCTCCCGAGTTAAAGATTCAAGGGCCGGACCGCCTGGAGATACTCCGTACATTGTATTGAGAATCTTGCAAAGATGAGTTCTTTTTATTGAAAGCTATTTATTTTGACATTTTTCTTCTCTTTTGTTATTCTATATAACGCGGAGAAGACAATTTAGCTCTTGATTCTATCCTTTACCTATACTCCTCTTGAGCTATCCCAGGAGTTCTGGAAGCAGTGATCCCTTTAGCGAAGCGAAACAGAAATCATCTTTTCCCCTCTTGGGATAAGACTACAGAATAAATTACACTTATAACGTTCTTTTGTGCTAAGAACTTTTATGAGAAACTTGTTGATAATTCAGTTGCATGATGTTAACTCCTTCGCAGTCACCCCAAGGACAAGTACGATTTGCCACATCTCCCTCTCTTCCCCAACTTTACTTTCTTGGCCTGACATTTTTCATCTCGCGTTTAGCATCCTGGGAAGTTGCGCGGTCCACCTTATCTTCCTAATGCAGCCGGCGTTGGCGGTGTTCCCACTGTCTCCGTGGATGTACCTATTTCCGCTGTGTTCATAGCCATATTCATTGTTGGGGCCGTTGGCCATATGCGCCTCTTCAAACTGAACCTCTCTCGAGGACATAAATTCATCCCGTCCGCTGTAACCTTCGGTTTCTGCATGGCCCGCATAGTGGCCAATATCTTGCGAATTGCTTGGGCAACACGACAGACGAACGTCAGGCTCGGCATCGCTGCCAACGTCTTTGTGGCGGCAGGCGTGCTTCTTTTGTTCATCTTGAACCTACTCTACTGTCAACGGCTACTCCGTGCAAGCCATCCTCGGCTTGGATGGTCCCGATCTATGTCGTACTTCATCAAGGCGCTATATATCATTATCGCGGCAACTCTCGTCATAGTTATTACGGCTACCGTGCAAAGTTTCTACACCCTCAACGCCGACATTCGCCGTATAGACCGCAACTTGCAGCTTTACGGCGGTAGCTATCTGACGTTTATTTCGTTCCTGCCCCTTCCGATACTTGCCTACGTCCAGCTAGCCCCACGAAAAGGTCGAGCTCAACCAGTTGAATCCTTTGGGAAAGGTAGTTGGACCGCGAAGTGCCTAATTGTAGGTACTGCAGGGGCGCTTCTCACGTTGGGCGCAGGGTTTCGCCTGGGGACGAGCGCGATGCCACCACGACCGGTCTTCCACCCGGCGTGGTATCATCATAAAGCATGCTTTTACATCTTGAATTTTGGACTGGAAGCTATCGTGGTTTATTTGTTCCTCTTAGGCCGTGTTGATCAGAGGTTTTACGTGCCGGATGGGAGCTCAAAAGTGAGGAACTATTCAGAGAAAAGGAAAGACAGCTACGCTGCAAGTTTAGGTGGGGAGAAGGTCCAAGATGAAGAGGAAGTGTCTGAAGTGCAAAAAAGCGAAACCCAGGTAAATACACAGAGGAGAAAACAATTGACGGCTGTCTACTCCGTAGAGCAGGAACCTTCGCCGAATGGGTACTAATAGCTGTTTGAGAGATGAATTGGCGTTGAGGATAGTCCTAGAGGCTTTTTTTCCACTAATCTTTGTTGGCTCCTTGTAGTAAATCAGACAAATAGGATAAAGATAAACCATGTACAGAGCACATACATTCTTGATTGTGGCATTTGTAACAACATCATGACCGAAGGGCTCTTGTGATGGCATTTTCCGTTGTGGTTCCTACGGCGAGCTGAAGGATCTATTATGTAACACCAGAACAGAGAGTGGCTGACTTGTGACCAGCTGGGTGGTGGTGTGGCTCCTTGTCGCTGTGGCGCCAACCTCCCACTTCAAACAACGCTGACCCTTTCTTGGTTCCGGATCTGAAGAGAGGGTGAAGACAACCAACTCCCCTCCATAGCTTGCTTTGAAACATCTCCCGCCCACCAACTCTGCCCACGCCAACAATTACTCATATTGATTCCCATTCTAAATAATATCTGTGTCTTCTTTGATACCCATTTTTCTCTTGTTGACGATTCTCCTTTGTTTTCCTCTCATAACTTGCCGACGAAGATCCAACCTGACCCACACGTTTTTTCCCCCTCAGATCGCTTCTGATTCATGTCGGACCCTACTTTCTATCAGCCAATGGATACCAAAATGGAGATTGACTCCGGCCGAACACCTGAACCCCATCACCTGTCTCTGGCGAGCGACCCTGAGTCTATACCGACCCTTGACGGATGGATCGAGAGCTTAATGAGCTGCAAGCAGCTGGCGGAGAATGATGTACAGAGGCTGTGCGATAGGGTATGCTGTTGCCGCGTCGCGGATATTTGGGTAAAATCGGGGCTTATGGTTTTTATTCTAGGCAAAGGAGGTCCTACAAGAGGAGTCGAATGTTCAGCCAGTGGTATGTGTTTCCCTGTCGCGTGACGACCTTCCATGGACCGAGCGGAGATGATGATGTTGATTTTTCTTTTCTGCAATAGAAATGTCCGGTCACTGTCTGTGGAGATATTCATGGCCAATTTCATGATCTTATGGAGCTCTTTCGAATTGGAGGCCCTAATCCCGACACAAATTATCTTTTTATGGGTGCGTTATGTTCTCCAGCGTGGCTTTTGAGAGCTTTGCTAAATCTGTCAAAGGGGACTACGTCGACCGGGGCTATTATTCCGTCGAAACTGTGACCCTCCTTGTTGCCTTGAAAATCCGTTACCCCCAACGCATCACAATTCTTCGTGGAAATCATGAATCTCGACAGATTACTCAGGTGTACGGGTTTTATGACGAGTGCTTGCGGAAATATGGTAATGCGAATGTTTGGAAATACTTTACCGACCTCTTCGATTTCCTTCCTCTTACCGCCCTTATCGATAACCAAATCTTTTGCCTTCACGGAGGTCTAAGCCCGTCAATCGACACCCTTGACAATATCCGAGCTTTGGATCGTATACAGGAAGTGCCTCACGAAGGCCCCATGTGCGATCTCCTATGGAGTGACCCGGATGATAGATGTGGCTGGGGTATCTCTCCACGCGGTGCAGGCTACACGTTTGGTCAAGATATTTCAGAGGCCTTCAACCATAATAATGGACTCACTCTCGTCGCGAGAGCTCATCAGCTGGTTATGGAGGGTTATAATTGGTCCCAGGACAGAAACGTGGTAACCATCTTTTCAGGTAATTTCACGGAGGATCCTTTGCCATAGTCATTGATCTGCTGCTAATGATCTTCCCAGCTCCGAATTACTGCTACAGATGCGGAAACCAGGCGGCTATCATGGAAATTGATGAACATCTTAAGTATACTTTGTACGTGCCACTCCTTCCATGCCACTCTCTCAATAGCAAAGTCTCATAATAACCTTTTAACACGTCATAGCCTACAATTTGACCCTTGCCCTAGAGCAGGAGAACCAATGGTGTCTCGTCGCACTCCAGACTATTTCCTTTAATTCGACAGAGAGCGGATCTTTTTTGACGATTTTACAATGCCCACACAACCAGCGAACAGTAGCGGGTCCACGACTTTTATTCCTTTCGTTAACAGCATCCCTCGACGCTGTATTGGAAAGTAAATGTGCATATGGGTTCTGCAGAGGGTAGCAAAAGCGGCGAAAATGGGAAAAGTAACTGAACAGGGGAAAGATTAGATATGCCCGCGATATTAGATATGATAGTCGCGGCAAACTTGTTCCCATAATAAGTTGCGAGCACGAATACAAATAATACTCCGCGCAAATACTAAATTTTTTTTCTCTCCCTTTCATTATCGAGCCAACCATACTTCGTAGGTGAATAAATATAAGGTTCTATATATCATATGCAGTTCGACAGCATGGTTCGAGAACTCTAGGCTAACACAAACAACAGCCTTGTCGGACACTGCCCAACACGATCACCAAAGCACGGGCCAAGCGCCCACGTTGCGGTCCCACATTATAGTTCCCAATTAGGTTAGGCGCCACAATCCCCTGTTTTCATTTAAGTTTAGCGGGTGGTTACCCCTGCTTACTCATCCTCCGCATTTTACTATTTAAAGACACAGCTCCATTTCAACTTCAGCTTTTCTCCAACTGTTGTCAGAAGAAAGCATAGAGATTGACCCGCTCAAAGGCTTCTAATGCTCTGTTAGGAACTTATGGACGGGTAATTCCCGAGTTTCGTCGTGGCAGTGTTAATGTCGCAGCTGGTGATAATCTTCCTGTCCGGCAAAAATGGCGACTATGCTCAACCCGGCCCGATCCCAGGGTTAGCCGGTACTTCTGGGGCCCGATCCTCACAACCGGCATACACTTGACCCCGTTAGTGCCGACCTATCTGGACGTTTTGAATCGAAGCGGATACAAGCACATAGAAATTTCAATTGAGACTGGAAAAACGAGGGTCGTTTTGGATACTGGCAAGAGATAGTTACCCATGTCCTGGCAGAATGGCAGGCAGCAAGGGCCGGCTATGGTTAATTATATGAGCACGCTTTCTTCAGCAATTTGGCGACAGTCTTGTGGCCGCTCCTAATAGACACTATCTATGTCTCTGGATTGATACCCAAATTTAAGTAGCAGGAGTCGATATCAGAGTAGCGGAGCCATGCTATGTTCAATTTTACACTCCCTGGATCGAGTAGCCTGTTGGCAGGAACATCAGGTATTTTTGCCCCTTCTTGTGAAAATAGCTCGCTGTTCCTCTCCAATTGATGACTGGCACCTTACGTATCAGTGAGGGCAGCCAATCGTTGGTTTGGGGGTATCTGTGATTTTCGCGTTGATTTTTCTTCATGGAATAGCGTGGCCACTTGAGATAACTGTAATTGCCTATAGGTGAGCAGGGCCGCGGACTTTTGTGGATTGTCATGTCGGTTCCCTCCGAGGCTTTTTGTTGCCGTGAAGAAAGTTGGGAAGATATTTCTACTAGAAACAGATGACGGGATAAAACTATGGGCCGAGCCAAAGTACTACCAAGTGTGCTGGTCTGATATTGAGAAAACACTCAAAGCCAGCTTAGGCGTCATGGTATCGACGCTGTTTATGGTAGTAAACACTCAACGTGCAATTTTATCAGTTTCTATTCATGATCTATATCCTAAGGTGTATTTACGGAAAACCCTGTGGTGAGAACCCCCCAATGTAATCACAACGCCTACTTTACTTTTCTAACACTGACTGAGCCATCGGCCATTCCAAAATATGCAGCGATCGGTTTCTGGCCACCGACTCCACCAGTAGCCTGTGCTTGTGGTCCAGTAGGTCCGTAAAACAAGCCAACTTCCAGTACACCTGGAATTTGTTTAATCTCCTTCGCTAATGTTTCAACCTCCCAAATACCTTCCTTCGCAGAAGCAGTCTTTCCACTTTGGATGTCCGAGGAAGTAAGGAGCTGTGGGAACGGCGCGTCGATGAGGAAGAAGCTCTGGTCTGTCTTCACAGGGCCTTCTTGAGAAATCAACGATTGGCGGAGCTTGGGTTCTGGGCTTCCAAGGGCTTGGAGGGCCGTGATAACTCTGCGAGAGGCGAGAGGTGCGACTTCAATGGGTATCGAAGGCCAGGCAGTCAAAAGTCGTGGTTGGAGTTTTCGGTAGTCTGCGCCATGCGTGTCAGTGCTCCTATGAATCGATTTGGAAGGCTTGGGCGCAGTGGGATACCAGCAACAACAATGAACTCCTTTGCTTGCAGGGCAACCACTTTTTCTTGAAACAAGCACGCACCACCGCCCTTGATACAGTTCAGATCATCGTCGACTTCGTCGGCACCATCAAACGCAATATCCAGAACGGCGCCCTCTGGAAGCGCATCAAAGGCAATGGGTGTCAACCCTGCATTGACAATGAGTTGATTTGATTGGAAACCAGTGGGCACGAATGAGGTGGAGGAGGTGTCAATGCCAAGGGCTTTGATGGCCTCAACAACGTAGACGATGGTTGTACCGCTCCCAATGCCAACGAATTTGGGATTTTGAGGATAATGGTTGGCAACAGCTTCCCGCGCCGCCGCACGTTTAGCATCCTCTATAGCAGACATTTTAAGCTGAGCCGATGCGAACCGGATTTGGGAGCTTTGTTGAAAAAGCGAGAAAGCGTTACCCCGCGACAAGGTGCGCAGATAGAGTCTCACAGGCTGAATGCGGGACAGTGTCTTAACCCTGTGCAGAATCGTCATTGTGCAGGCTCTGCCGCTCAGTGGCTTACATCAGCTCAGGCCGGAAGGTTGCCGCCACAAGCAAAATTTCACGTGAAAGCCTGACGAAGGACCGCGGTGTTGATCAACAGCCTTACGTCGATTCCAACTGGGGGAGTAGTCCGTTGAATTTTTCCGGCTTTCAGGATGGGGAAAATACGTAGATGAATTGAACGCATATCCGAAATTGGATTGAAAGCTGCTGAGCTTTGTTGACAGCGATGTTGAGGACACCGGGTGGTGCCGTGTGCTCCCCTGAATGTTGATGGCTGGATCGACCCCACATGCAGGTGCCCGGAAACTATGGACAGGGCTAGTAGCTTCGGCCCGGATCTTTTATGGTCCGACCCCATGTTTTCTCCAGGGCAGAGCATAGATGAAGGTCGGAGCCAGCTGTGCGGGATTATATCTAGCTCCCACGAGATTCATGGGTATAATTAGCGCTAACGAATGACTGCAGACGTTGTTTACATGCAAAGATCCCTTCGGGGATACAATTCAAGCGTGCGACACGTCTCTGTATTATACAAGTTACCTTGAACGAATAGCTCGGTTCAAAGGAAATATTGCTTTATATGGAGTAGAGGATTGTCATATTTGAAACTATTTCAAGTATGCTTCCTTGCCATATGCAATTTGGCCCTGCCATATCCTCATCCCAATGCAAATTACTCCCTATGCAAAAACATTAACTTTCATGTCGTAAGCTTCATTGAATCCATGCAAAGCATAAGTCATTAATATCAGATTATATCTCCCCCAAAGCCTCCTCCAAACCTACCAAGTCCACCAAACCCGCCTGCTCCGGGCCCCGCACCTCCTCCCCGGCCTGCTCCACGCCCAAAAGGTCTCCCGTCTCCTGGGCCTACAGGATCATATCTGGCGCCTGGCGGAACTTGCGGATCAAACGGCCCACCTTGCCCGCCAGTCCCGCCAAATATAGGATCATCAAACGTCGGGTGCATCCCACCACCACCTCCCGATGGCCCTAAGTGTGGCCGGAGCGGATCATGCGGACCCAGGCCGGGAGGATACAAATCTCGGTCGCCAATGTTCAAGGGCCGACGTTCGCCACCATACGGATTGTATCCTCGAGGTGGGACATTGATCTCGTATTCATCTTCAAAGCCCGGAGGTGGAAAATCGCCGGCGGGAAGGGGACGGCGGGGCGGAGCGGCGAGTGGATCGTGGAAAGGGTGTGGCTGGACGGGGGGAGGAAATCGATCATCCCGCAACGGATCTCGCGGCGGTCTTCGATCTTCAACTTCTTCCTGGCGACGCCGGGAAGCGCCGCCTGCGCCTTGGGAAGTATCTTCGTATCCCTCTTTCTGTAGGCCTGGGGCGAGTTTCTGAATAACGTTTATTCGGAAGAGTGAAATGAGGTCCTTCAAACGTTCAGGGGAGATAAAAACGCGATTTAGGGTATCCGAAAGATCCGAAGATGGAGAGATAGGTAGAGATGATAGGGAAACATAATCACGAACAAAGATGTCGAAGGAAGCTGTTCTGTCGTCGCCGAGAGCGATGGCAGAAACAACGGCGTTATTTCCGAGTTGTATAACCTTCAGAATGAATTGCATGGAAGATCGGCTATGCGCGTATTGGAATGAGTAAATTTTCGTCTGATTCCACTCCTTGGGAAGCACGGCCGTGGGGGCATTTTGCTCTAGTCATAACAACGAAACATATTAGTTCTCTCAATTATCGCGCTGAGTGGGAACCCTGAGGAATAAGGATATGAGAATCGTCTCGACAACATACCTACTCTTCGATCTTCTCCGAGACCGATTAATCTGAAATCAACAGCAACCATGCACGCATGGCCCACGAGCGCAATCGCCTCCCACGCGGTATTCAGGTTCGGTGCATCCTTGTCAAGGCACGAGGCGGCAAGGGTCAGAACATTGGATGAATTGAGTGCTGAATCTGTAGCTCCATGAGGAGAGTCGGACGGTGTTGGAGACATGCTGGACTGCCGGTGAGGCTGTTTGTTATTAGCCAGATGAAGCGAAACCCGCGAGTCTAGGAGATGCTCCGAGAGGTGCATCGATGCCAATGACGTTTGGGCACTGTCTGGAGTTCTTGGCGTGGTTACTTTGCAGAGCCCAAGTAACTACGGAGTAATACCACGTGATTTGCTGATTGTTTTAAGTGGGACGGACATCCGTTGCGTTCTCGGGGGCTGGTCGACGGCAGCTGAAGTACCAGCCCTCGGCCTGCAGGGAATAATCCACTCCCTCCAGATGACAACGGCCACGGGCAGCAATCGAAACGGAGGTGCGGGGTGACAGAGCACTCAAGGGGAAGTCATTCCCACCAAAAGGTGGGGAGCCGTTAGCCTTTCAATTCACAGTTGATCCGCATGGCTTCCATGGAAATGGATATCCCAATTTCACTGGCTTGCACAAGGACGTATTATTCAATCAACCTACCAAGTTATTATGCTGACTTGTAAATCTAAGAGCTTGCAGTTCAATACTCTATGATTGTAGAATTCTCTAGAGCCGTAAAATATAGACTATATTCTCCGTACGTGTACTCCGTATACAAAACGACTTCAACTCAAACCCTGCATGCTAAGGGGTTATAAACTTTTTCATAAGCCAATGAAGAGATCAAGATATATATCATTACATTATCTTGTCATCACGTCTTCTTTATTCATGTTCGGCTGTGCCTGCTTAACAAGGCGAACGCAAACGTCTTGTACATCATCCCCAACCCTCCAACTTTGCAACATCACTCCTCGACGATCAAGAATCTCTCTTGCACGCGCCCAGCGACGACGCCATGCCTCTTCTCGCTTATTCGGGGTCGGTATATCAGACGACGACAAAGACTGTGGAGTGCTTGTTCGAGATGTGGGGTGTATGGGCGAGGGCGATGAAGCATATGGGGTGTTGAACGGTCTGTCCGATAGTGACATTGGCGGTACGAAGTGCTGTGTGCCACTATTCCCTGGCAAAGGCTTGGGGGGTTCTGATTGTTGTTTTATGGAGGAACTTGTTCCACTTCTTCGAGGTGGGGGAACTGGCGGTAATTCCTTTGCGCGAGGTGGATTTGAGGTCGAGACGTTGCTGGAAGATGAGGTCCGAGAGTTCGGTTCGCTAAAGCCTTTGCCAACTGACAAAGCACTGGGTTTGACAGGTGGTGGTGGAACAGGCTTCCTTCTTATAACAGTCAAGAACTCTGGCTCTTGGGAGCCTGTTGTTTCAACCGATTCGCCACGAAGTTTCGAAGGTTTAGCAGGAGGTGTGGGTGGTGCTGATTTAGTGTTGGAAAGTTTTCGGGACATAATATCTAGAGGATATGTATCTTCATCTGATTCAAGCTCAATCAGATTGCCAATCATCGCTTCATCAGAACTTGCTTGAACTTGTTGAGGCTTCCTTGGTGGTAGAGGTGGTCTACGTTTTTCTGAATCCAATGTTTCATCCCAGGTGGTCCTCCGTGGCAGTGGCTTTTCAAGGTGCGATATAGACTTATCGAAAAAATTATTTGGGCCCGGAGTTGTCACATCACGAATAAAGATACCAAGAATACTGCCAGGATTGGCGAGGACAAGATCCGTGTAAATTTCAAGATCCGCCTCACCACTGTCACCCACAAGAATGAACTGCCGGCCGGGGAAATCTTGAATAATTCTTTCCAAGGTGGGTCGTTTTCGGTCTGCTGTGGGTTCGAAAATGCCTTGGAGCATACCAGAGTATTGCTTTAAGTGAATGGAGCCGGGCGGGAGGCCAACCAGACTGAAGTAGTTTTTCAGGAGAGGATATAGCTGCCATGGGGAGTTTGAAACATAATGTATGTCAACTCCCATGCGCGCCATCTGTGAATACCACTCCTTGACCCCGGGAACAGAAAGATCAGCGAGGTCACGCACGAAAGTATTCCGAAACATCTCTTTCGCGCCGCTAATGATCGCAGAATGCTTTACCGTATCATCGATATCGCTAATTATGCTTACTCCATTTTGCTCGATGATTTTGACCTCTTCCGTAGCAGATAGGTTTTCCGAGGCGAGTACCCTGATATGACTAGGAACGAAATCCAAGGAGGCTCTAGCGGCAAAATGACCTCCCTCGTTTGTCAGCACAGTTCTCGATTCACTTTTGATGTCGTTAAAAAAGAAGATTGTCGCAGGTATCCCAACCGCCGGGTTCGTGAGAAACGGCCTGAGCCGATCCATTAGCTGGGCATTGGCAGCAGCAATTTCGTCTTGGGTCAACCCCAGCGGCTGACCGTTATCGCTACTGTCAGTTTGCTTCCTGACAATCGACTCCGCTTGGTTTTCAAGCGAACTGTCGGCTTGGCTGAAAGTATGACCGTCAGTAGCAAGTGTTTGATTTGGTGCAGGAATGCCACTGATTTTCCTCGCGAGAGTAATTAAAAGCCGGTTTTTACGGGACATTGGCTCTTTCTGAGGTGAAAAAATCCAACCCCGAACATCAACATCGACGATTGCGTTATCAGCCTCATATCTGTGCCAAATGCTTTCCCAGTACTCGATCCCTTGAGACTGCGCCCGATCAGTATTATCATCATCAAACGAGTCTAGCCCATCGTGATCATTCTCGTTGCCATTCCGCGTCTCGCTTTTGACATGCCTCTTTCCGTAGCTTGGAAAGAGGACCATTTCCTCATCCGCGGATCTTGCCATCTCAAATCCCGGGAAATCATCTTGAACGTCACGGGACGAGCCTTGAGTACCTTGAGATCTTTGTGACCACTGAGCGGAGTAAGCCTGGCGAAGCTCATTTGCAGCTCTAAGATAGCCGAAGACCTTTCTCCTCCGGGATCCTCGCTCTCGGCCTTCGTCTACGGCTTCGAGACTCCAACTTTCGCCTCTTGCCTCCATTTCTGCAAATGTATTCGGACCGCCGGTGTTTGGTATCACGGCATCCTTTACACGGCCTTTACCACCGTCCGCAACGTGCAAAGACCAGCTGGCCGGCCTGCCCAATCCCCGTTGGTGGGTCGTCTTAACTTTCGGCTCTTTTGGGCGGAGCCGCCTTCGGTTCTGCCTCTCGATAATCGCTCGGTAAATGCGCGAATGGACACGGTGCTTTACATGGGGTAGGGTATCATGTTGGAAGTCAAGATACCTCGCCCATACCTTCTGTCGTGTACGGGGAAAGACCCATCGGAGGAGGGCGGATACGGTTTTGAGGGAGAGGGAATATCCCCTCCGCAACCGGTGATGAAGAGGATGTCGAGCCAGTGGTAATAACTAACCAGTTCAAGGGACGGATAATGGGACTGGGAAGCTTGTCGGCGTCACTGGGAGTATCATCGACCTGGCCATCAGAAAGTGCTGTACGACGCTCACGGCTTGCTCCAGTAGGCTTCAAGCCACTCCTGTGGCCGAGTCTTTCGATGACTAACAGGCCTTCTTACTCACCTAAACTAACTATATTCGGAATAGTGCCCTACCGACACACACTATGTATTGCCGTGTTGGTGGCTGCAGCGCTCTCAAGTCCCCTTCTCGACGTCCCGGCTTACCGGAATAGGAAATTCAATTTGATTCCTCATCAATTCATTCTTGTGAAGTTTGCTGGAGTCACGTCTCCTCTGCGTCTCATGCTCTAAGATGTTTGACTCCAGGAATTGCTCCCTTGGCTAGTAGTTTCAATATGTAGTTTGTCCACATGGATAACTAACATCTTAGTGAGTTGTTCCTACAGGAACAAGGCAAGGGAAAAGGCCGCAAACTCCAAGGGCTGCTGTCGAGCATGTTGTCCTCCACGTCCACTTGGATTGTGACATCCATTCTGGCCATCATCCTATTTCGATATTTCTACCATCGTCACCAACCCGCTCCGTCCTTCACCGTCTCCCCTTTGACGGATAATCATGAGCACCCTGTCGATCACCCGATTGCCATAGTCATCCCCTCGCTGGACGAGTCTCTCCTATTTCAAACGATTTCCCGGCTCTTCGACACATTTGTCCTGAAGAATGAGGGCCGCAAGGAACCCACAGTGGTAGTGGTCCATGCAGGTCGCGATACCAGCAATGAGATACCAGTCCAGCTGCGTGTGATGATGGCCGCTCATCCCACACTGCATGTGCGGCGCTATACTGCACCTCCATCCCGGGGCGCACAGCAAAATTACGGTGCTACATACGTGGCCACCGTGGCGCCCCATGCCGCGGTCTACTTATTCCTCCACGCAGATACTCTCCTCCCTCAGGGATGGGATGCGGCCATTCTCTCGACTCTCTCTTCCCCAAAACCACCGGCCCTGGCAACCTTTTCCCTCTCCCTACCACCACCCATCTCCACGCCGCTGCGGATAATGCTATGGGGCGCCAATCTGCGTGCTCGGCGGGGCGGCTGGCCGTATGGCGATCAGGCCTACTTTCTGACGCGACAAACGTTTGATGCCGTTGGAGGATTTCCGAATGTTCCGATCATGGAGGACGTTGAGCTATTAAGGCGAATTCGTACCAGGGTGAAAGATGGGACAGTGAGGGTGTTGCCAATTGCGGTGCAGACGAGTCCGCGACGATGGAAGCAGAAAGGTGTCCTTCGCAACACAATTTTGAATCAACTTATTATGACTGCATGGGTGTGCGGTGTTTCTCCAAGAACAATCTACCGGTGGTACTATGGAGTTGATCCGAGTTAACAGCCAATAAGTGTTTATAGGGATGCATTGGGGAATGTGTGCACATTTTGTGACATTTCCGCATAGATTTCACCATATTTACTCCCCCGTAGATGGATCTGGTAATAGAGAGTTAGCTGTAAACATAGATGCAACATGGTACAGATACGTTAAATACGAACACTTTAATCACTCCATCTCAAGCGGCTCTCCACTTCTGTTCATTTGTCACCTTCACCATTCCTAGCATTTGTGATGGACACCCCCCGTCGCCATCTTGCTCTCTTTGCCCGTCTTCCATCTCCTGGAAAATGCAAGACACGTCTCATCCCCCGTCTGGGCGCAGAAGGAGCAAGCACCTTTGCCCAGGCCGCCCTGATAGACATCTTACACCTCTTCTCGACCAATCCCAGTGCATGCCAAAAGACATTTTTTTACACGCCCACCACAGCCCACGAGGAGATTCTCCATCTTCTACGTCAAGAATCTCTCGATTCCTCCTGGTCCATCCACCCGCAGCCCGACCATCCAGATCTGGGGGCCCGACTAAGCGATGCACTCATCCACCTCCGAAATCGGCTGAAGACAACGGTGGCCTCACTTGCCGAGCAATCGGTGACCTTTATTGGAATGGACTGCTTTGATCTTACGCCTACTCTGGTGGAGTCCTCTATGGCTTGTATCTCCTCGACTCCCAAGGTGGCGCATATGTATCCCGCCCGGGATGGTGGGTACGCCCTGCTCACGGTACCTTTGGGATGTGACGCAGAGCGTGTGTTCAGGAATATTCCCTGGTCTTGTGAGCGGACTGGCGCGGTGCAGATTGAAAGACTACGGGAAGCGGGCCTATCTTGTGTGGTTGGCGAAGTTTTAGGGGATGTCGATGACCCTGCTGATCTGGAAGAGCTGTGGATGAAGCGTGATGGGAGAAAGCGAGAGTATCCCCGAACTATTGCATATCTGGAAAGTAACATGTAAAGCTAGTGAAAGGAGAAAAAGAGATGAAGTATGGAGCAGTCATTTTTTACTTTTCTTGACATTTCATTCATGTTATCGTGGTGTATAATACCACCAAATCGTCCCAACAAGCAAATAGGTTCGCTCGAGGAAGTCCAAAAAAAAGTATATCCTAACAATATATATATGGCCCAATGATTCATTATAATCACGACAACTTTCCACCGCCATCAAAGAGTAGGACAGAGAAGAATTTAGCTCAGACCAACGAGCCCCCACAGCTCGAGCCAGCGCCGGCCGTGCATCCAAAGCAATGCAACCCAGTGCGAATAGTTTTATCACGAAGGTCCTCCAGATTGTCTATATTGATTAGTTCTCATAAATATCCAACATGGCACAGAGAGGCATAAGATACTCACCGATTTCCCAGATATCCAAGTGAGAACGGCCACCAATCCTAGTTCCCATTTCCAGGGCACCGTTAAAGTCGCAGTCATAAAGCTTACCATCCCAACCTACGTTCACCGTGTGGCGACACATGAGTCCATCCACAGTTTGAGGGTTGAAGGCGTTGGCCAACAACTCCATGTATGGTTCATAATTCCCGGTGCGGAGAAGCGTATCGGCGAAGCGTCGGATGGGCATATTCGCTAAGGTGTAAAGAGAGGTAAACGTGATTTGATGATCTTCCCATAGACGTTCCCGATACTCGGCTTCAAGGTTGCTCTGTGATGGAGGAAGAGAGTGATCGGCAGGATTGTAAACAAGATCTAATCTCAAACCGTCCTGCGATGAGCCAGCTGGCGGGGAAGGCCTACCAAAGCCACGTTCATTGAGAACTTTGAGCGCGAGAATGCTACATATTTATAAAACCGAGGGCGGATCATTTAGCTCGAGATATAGGAGGCTCAGCATTTGTGGATCGGCGAACAGACTAACCTATCATTATATACCAGTTTTCCTCGTTGTCGGTCTGTGGGTCGCTCCGTGTAGCAGGGCAAAGAAGCAACGATGTTCACCTTTTGTTCCGCGAGAAAGTTTACAAGGCCTTCCTGGCCCCGTTCCCAAAGGACGACAAGATTGCAGCGATCAATGACTGTCTTGCCCATTTTTCTTGCCTGGGAGAGTATTAGCACTGCCCCTTTCAATAATGTACTTGAAAGGTAGAAGGTCACTTACCTCTCGAACAAGGGTTTGAAAATAGGGGTTCAGCTCAGGGGCTCCCCCAGTGATATCGACCGTTGTGATACATGGGCTTCGGAGGAGTAAATCATCCGCAGTCAATTCCTCCAGCTCTGGCGCCGTATCCCGCAAATGGCTACTCACCTCATTGCAAGGACCTCAAGGCACCGTTCAATCGTCTTTTTTGCTTGCTAAGTCAGCTCGTTCGAACCTCTGGACAAAGGTCACGGACCTCTAGGCTCATGTTCTCCTTGGTCTTGGTTGGGCCCGCCTCCACATGACAGTGACGGCAGTGGAGGTTGCAGAGTTTCCCAACATTGATTTGTAGAACCGATGGGGTGTCTATAATTGTTTATGATGTGAGCAGCGAGGACTCACTTAGAGGGTCGTACGAAGGGGCTACCGAGACCGGAGGGGAGGGGAAATGTCTGACCTCGTAATAAAGGCCATTGCTGGTGGGATTCCATCACAGTATGGAATTTGGGAATGCGGTCTGAAGCCCATCGCAGGTCCTGTTGTAAAAAAACCAACTGATCAGCGCCGTTGATTGAATGCATGTACACCGTGTAGCAACTCCGAGAAAAGGGCGCGCACTTTGTCACGTCGTTTCCGATTCGCGTCTTGAATTTCTTTTTCCTCCTTAGAGAGCCAGTCCGCAAAAGTAGGAATCTTGGCTGGTTCAAATCTGAGCCGACGACGCGGTGGGAGGCCGGTGGATGCGGTTCGAAGGGATGGCCTTGAGCATGAGGTTGCTCGACAAACCTCAGCACGGATCCTAACAGGACTCAATCGAAGCCAGTTTCCCAAAGTCATGCTGTTGGAGTCTCAATTTGTGCTGAGTCGCATGCTCTATCCAGTCACCCTATCATGGCAGATGAAGCGTTCGCGCATCCCGCAAGTCACCAGAGAGGAAGTTTAGAAAATCAAGCTCAAAGCCAAAAATAAAGAAACGCGGGGGAAGATCTACACCGAGAAGCTGTGGTTCAGAGGTTACAATAAGTTAGGTATCAAGTAGCTCAGGGCAAAAGATCAAGGAATCATCAGTAAGTTTGGCTGAAACGACCAAAAGTTTAGCTTGAGCTTTGGGGACCATTAGGCGTTCTGGGGCCCCCTTGCATAGCCAGGGACGCAGCCGATCTTTAACCTAACCCGGCGCCATCTCGAGGAACAAAGCAACATTCCAGCCAAGTCTCCGGGGGAGTTAACTAAACTAACAAGCCCACACGGAGTATGAATATGGAGTTGACTAATTATTACTGCTCCGCACTAACTAGCGCTCCGCAAGGACAACCTTCCTACCGCCCACACTCTCAGTTCCCATGTTGCAGCCCTAAATGATTCCATAACCGCTAGCTGAGGACTCCATGCGAAGTATATACATATGTACATAGTTATAGATCGGACGGTGGGGCGGCCACTTCGATTCCTTGAACCCCGGCTTCACTCGCTCGACTTTGAAGTAATCGGAGAAACGCCCCGTGGTCGAGACGCACCCGAGCCAGGTCTTCCGACGTCAACAGCACTTGGAAGTCCGTGGAAGCGACGTCTGGTTGGACTACAACCGCTGGCGTCTGCACTTTGGCCTGTCGTATCCAGTCCGCCAGCGCCGGTGGGAGTTCATCGGTGTGAAGTTGCATAATGGTCGCATGGAGGATACGCGCTTTGGTGGCCTTCCATTCCGCGCTTTCGGCCAATCGTAGTGAGACTCCATGCGTGAGTTCGCACGCAGCGCAGGCCGGCTTCGTAGCAGGATCTGGGCAGGTGCTTTTGCGATAAACATAATTGATCTTGCCCAGCAGGCTCGATTTGGCGTTGTAGATAATGTAGAGGGTGGTTGAGGGAGTGTCGGGAGTACCAGCTGACATCCCGATCAGTAGATGAGTAGGTTGAACACGTTTTTGATTGTAGAGATAGGCCAAATAGCAGGATACTATTATCCAATGTGCAGGTCCAGGAACTTGTTTGATGAGAGTTTGCAGTTTAACAAGTATTTATACTAGTACAGAATATTCCTCTGCATTTCTGTTTGACTCAACGGGCTTATCTCTTGGTGCAGCAAACCTTCAGCACTGCCATGGGAATTATTTACACTGTGGCGACATTGGGGGCTTCACGGCGGGATGATCCATGTTTGGGTATTGCATGCTCCTTAACGGAGTAACCTAAATTGGTCTTAAAGTTACAGAGTAACCTCCGAGCGAAACCAACTCTCATGAATAATGTGTGAACTGCAGTGAACCAAACCATCCCACTTCTGAGAAGCCGCTTCCAGAGTGAGTTCACTACCTCTGCTTATAGAACAGATATCCCCCTCCAGCTTACACGGACACCCATACAGAGCGGGAGAGAAGCTCTCCATGGGAAAGGCGAAGCCTCCGAAATTTGGCTCTGGTAGAAAAGCCACACTTCTATCAACAATCAATCAGAGCCTGTCCTTCCATGCATCGCCGGAGCTATTTCTGTCCACCGCACCTGGGGCGGCAGATGAAACTCGAGATCAATCGAATGCATTGCCTTCCATTGTTCGCGCAAAGATCCTGAATCGCGACGTCGCCGTCATCTCCTCGTACCGGCACTGTCGGGACATTCTCCAGGCTACGCATGGCGCATCATTATCCCCCACGGAGCCTGGATCTGTGGCCCGTGACGGTGGCGATCCCATCACCCCTAGTACATTTACCGTGGGTCCTGCGTATCGCGAACTGATGTCTGATTTTTTCCCGCTGCCAAACCTGCTCCTGCTGGACCTCCCAGGACATTCACAGGCCAAGTTGCATTGGGAAGAGCACTTCGCCCGGGTATTCGCTCAAATCCCAAATCTTATACGGGACACCGTTGTCGACCATTTAACTACCTGGTCACATGGCTCCACGGTCGACCTGTACGAACAAATGAAAGATCTCTCCTGGAAAGTTCTGTGCGCCGTATTCCTCGGCTTGTCGCCTGGCGATGACCAATACCGCACTATCATCTCTCTCCAGGAGGACTTACTGCGTGGACAGTTCTCGCTTTTCCCGGTCTCCATCAATACCCCACTCTGGCGATCCCCGCGGTGCAAGGGCATTGAAGCGAGGAAAAAGCTTCAGGTTGTCCTCGGAGAGATGATGACGACGCGGACAGCGGATGGTAATCCTACCTGCCCCTTCGCCCAACCAAGCGATAGCGATGGAGGCCTCAACAGTGAAGAGCTAGCAGGGAACACCCTCTTATTCACTAGCTCTATCGCGATCAAAGCCTTGGCTTCGCTCCTGACAGCTTCTCTGCTCAACCTCTTTCTCTTTCCCAGCCAACCTCCATTGGCTTCCATGGTTCGCCGAAAACACGCTCATGGGAAAACGCATGAGGACAGTGACCTACTTCGGAGTATTCTCTTAGAGACGGAGCGGTTGAGTCCGCCGGTGATCGGGGTGATGCGACGCGTTGAACGTGACGTGGTTCTCACCGAGTGTGCAACGGATCCGGCTCTGCAACACCAGGTGGTCGTCCCCGCAGGATGGGACGCATGGCTGTACTTTGTTAGCGCATCTCGAGATGCCTCAATCTATCAAAATGCGAGCCAATTCATCCCAGACCGATTCCTATCGCAGCTAGAGCCCTCACCTCCCTTGGCATTTGGCGCAGGAGCCAAGGCCTGTCTGGGTCGCGAGGTGACGAGGACGGTGGTGAAGACGGTAGCATCAGCGATGCTAGAGACTGGGATAGACTTGGTAGGGTCGATTGATCAGAAGGGGGTTCGAGGGTGGCTAGGATGGGACGATAACGTGTCCGTCGATATTATTGCAAAGGAACTGAAGCAACTGCCCTGTCAGCGACCACGAGAGCCCATTCGGGTACGGGTTGTTCGTGGGGAGTAAGAATGTCTCGATTGGTATATTCCTTCAAAACACAGAGCCGAATATGTAAGTAGATACCATAGCACCGAGACAGTGTCTCACGTAGAAAATTTACGACAGGCGATTGAAAGACGCCATCATGCAAATTTCTCAATTATCTGATCAGATATTTACATACCCATTTTCTGATCCCAATGAGCAACCAAGCTGTGTTTGAGGCCATGATAACCCCAGTGCCCAACTGGCACTGCCAACGTAGACGGCGGAAGGCCTCGAGGGCGGATACACCAGTCCAGGCGCCAAACAGCTTCACAGTCCAGTACAGAAGATAAACCCGAACCATCGCATAGGTAGCGAGATATAGAGCGTGTGTCACGCAGATGCTGCCTCTCCATCCAGGACGGAACTTTGCCAGGAACCAGTGTAGAGTTCCAATGGGAGTGCTATACCGACAATTTTTTTCTTGCGTTAGCTTCATTTCCCTCCAGAGGGATCAAATAGGACCTAGAGCATAGGAGCGTAGTTGCTTTTATTCTTGGTTTTATAGCTTTACAAGGGAAGATTTGGGGGGTGGGGGGAAGAAGCTACGGCGAAAGCGACACTGAGGGGCACTCACGAGCCATTCATCAACATCATTATCAGAAGAATGAGCACTCCCTTGGCCTCTCCGCGCTGTGCACGCCATTGAAACATACCAAGGCCAGCAACGACGCCCAAGTGATGCCAGCCCAACACCCGCCAATTGACGTTCCGCGCCAGCACAGATCGCGCACGGCCATCGCTTGCCGTTCGTCGTGCCCCCAAGACAAGCACTGCAAAATCCTGGATCAGGTAGCCGCACTCAAACGCCAGAATCGCGTTCGCAAGTGGCGGTTTCGCCTCGAGGATATTGATATGGTTTTTCTTCTCAGACAAAGGATGCCGTTCAGATTCCAGAGCGGTGGCGTGCGGGTCCCAATCCCGCCGCTGTTGATGCAGCTCGTAGAGTGTTGCGGAAAGGACTAACACACAGTGAGCCACGGAGAGAAGTTCCCGCGATTTCATAAACTGAGCGGCGGTGCCGTTGCGAGGAGTGATCGCCCGTAACAAAAGAGGGTATGTAACGGCAGACGAAGCCAAGGCTACGTTGGGATGCATGTACATTTCCCAGATATGAAGAGCGCATTGTCATCCCTTGGAACGGGAGGGAATATTTTTTGGAATGGAGGAGAGACGCAGCTAGCCTGGCATTAGGACTATCTTTATATTTCTCTTTACATCTTGTGGAAAGGTGGACATCACGTAAGCTGAAGCTATGCAGGGAGAGAAATACGGCAAACCAAAATTGAAAATCAAAAAAAAAAAAAAAAAAAAGGGGGGGGGAGAGAGAGATAATGAATAATATAGTCGCGATCCAGATGACAACCTGTACGGGGTACGGAGAGTACGGAGTATTTAATTGCATTATCTTTCTTGCTGTGTTTGCTAGTAATAAATCTTTCTGTCCAGCCTGATGGGGCTTCTTCAATTCTATGGTAACAGGTCCTGTCACCTTTCCCCCTTTTTCCTGACTCCACACTACATTCTCGTTGCTTTCTTCCAGCATGTTGGTATGGTGGTTGCTAGGTTGCCGCTCCTGTTATCCTTTACAACATAATCTTCCCAGGACCGATATGCCGTTTAAGATTGAATAAACAAAAACCAGGGCAGCATATTCAAACCAGTTTTGATGCCACCCACTCATCAACGCATAGACCAACGGGGCTATTGCTCGAATTCAGCCACGAACAGCTGAACTTGGGATCAAGCCCACCACTCCCTGATTAATCGATCCGGGCTCCCTCTAATGACTCCAGCCAATTATCCCACCAACAAAAAAACGGCTGATAAAACCGTTTGCCTTCCCGATGGTGCAAAGCATGCTTTCTAGGCCCAGCACCCCAACCCTGAGGAAGGATCTTGTCGTACTGCCAGTCGAGGTCAACACCGGAGTGCACCTCGATCAGCAGGTAGACAAACACGGGTACAAACAGGGTGCGCGTCAAGACATGGCTGCCGATGATATTCAAAGAAAAATTGGCCAGCAGGATCAAGGAAACACGTTCTGCGACAGATAAGCGGTTGGTGACCTGCGGGTGAATCTCCAAATGGCCGTGGTGAGGGCCGTGAATGCGATGCAGCGCCTGGATCCGGTGAAAGGCAATGTGAATAACGAAGAACAGCGCGTCATATATGAACAATGATACGGCCAGCTCCAGCAGAACACGACGGCTTGTCGGCGGCTCGTGAGGCAGTGCTCGCACCAACTGTAGCGGCGACTTCCAGGAGAAGCGATGCAGTGTCGGTGCGAGAAAGGTGGTCTTAATATGCCCCGGGGTTGTCGGTGAGGCCGGGGGGTAACCGCCACTCACCCTGATGGCGTTGATGTCAACACCAGCGTACTTTTTGATCAGGGTCAAGTCGAGCAGCAACAAGGGCGAAACATAGATGAGAAGCTCCCGGAGTCGACGAGACGGCCGCTTCATCTTTGGGAGCTTCGGTCGAGCTTTATTGCCGGAGTTCGCCCCATCTCTCATATCGATACGACGCGAGGGGTTCCTCGCGAATCGCGCGGTGTAAATGGGCTCGATGGTGATGTAGCAGAGCACCGTCTCAAAGGTCTCAAAGAAGCTTCGGTTAAAAAATGGCCATGTATAGAGGTAGCGATAGAGGGCTGAAACCACCGGCTGCCATGCTGATGGCCATAGGATGCCTGTGCAGACAATGGCTAGCAGGATAACTCGCGGGAACCACACAGACTGTGGAATTGTCATGCTGGTGGAATTGGGCTTTTTTGGATGGTATTCCTACAAGGAATAGTGATCATTGTGAACCTGTCAGCAGAGGGAGCTGGAACCAAAATAACAGTGGATACTGGACAAGCTCTCTTGTGGCCTTTGAGGATGCGTGATTCCAAATCGTGTCCCAAGCCTCGAGCGGCGATGATTCGGATTGTTTGAGGTTGCATTCCTAGTCTGAACCTTCAGGGATCCCTGCGGCACACGGAAAGATCACATGACTACCCGTTGAACAAAGCCTATCAACATTCCTTCTCTGGATTTTACTATTATGATTGAACGGATGTGTCAGGGCGTCCTGAGAGGTCTTCTGATACCCAAGCCGTACAGACAGAATGTCTTATTGAATCCTCTGAAGTTTATGGAATCTATCGGCCTTCTACCCGGCTCCAACAAGCATAACCACGTTCTATATTGTTCAAATATACAATTCAGCCTAGGGCATTCTCTTGATATAGCCAAGAGCCGAGATCTCAGGTTTTCTTTGATTTTGCCTTTGCCTTTAAAGATTTCCTCCTGGCAGGCCTTTTAGTCATGATCCCTTCGCCCTCCGATTCCTCGGCCATTGCCTTTGTTCTGGGACCACTCTTGTTGCTCCCTGGTTCATCATTTTTCATTTTGCGCTTTACAACCCGCTTTTCAGGCCGAAGCCAGTGCTCCATGCCAACAGGCCAATAAACCCTCCCTTCAGGGCCACCAATGTCAATCCCGTCCTCTAATTCACGGGGTCTGACATGTGGAATAATTTCATTCACTTTTTCAAAGCCAGGAAGCTTGTAGGTCTTCATCAAGTCGAAGACAGCTTGTTCTTTATCCTTGGCTTCAATCATCAAGTCCATAGTTGGGTCACAGGGTGGTAGCATCTGTACCCTTGAATTGTGTTTTCGCCGCTGCATTTTCGTAATTGCGGACGGTGTCGGCTCTGAATAGTGCATCTTTTGTGTGATTCCCTTTTTAGTCCATGTAGCTCTAATTCGGTCATATAACTTTATAATATCCAAAGTGCCTTCACGGATTTTATCGGCATCGAAGTTGATATTGTGATGGTGATAATCAAGAACCAAAGGAATATCAAGTTCTTCGCAGACAGGCAGCAGGTCATGAACTGTCCAGTTGACATCGTCATTCTCCAAAACTAACCTTTTTTTAATATCCTGTGATAAGGTTTTGTAAACAGCCTTGAACCTCTTCAGGGTTACCTGTTTATCTCCAAAAGTCCCACCCATGTGGACAATCATAACGGCATCCAGGTCTTGTTGCGGCGGTAACTTCAGGAGGCCCAACATTTCGGCATGATATTCAAGGTCTCGGATTGAGCTTTCAATGACCTCGCGGCGTGGTGAGCCGAGTTGAGTGAACTTTATAGAACAAAATCTCAGCAAGGGTAGATTCTTAAAGCGAACAAAAAATCATACTTGACCAGGGTGAACTGTCAGTCTATGACCTAATTCTGTGGCAACTTTACCAGCGTCTGCTAGTGCTTCAGACGCAAACGGTGCGAGCTTGTATCCATGTTCGGGATGGCTGGCAAATGGAAACATTTCACTGCTCAGCCTCATAAACCGTATGCCAAACCGCTCATTCCAGCGCAGCATCTTTATTATGTCCCTTGCATTCGCAAGGCCAAGGGCCTGAACATATACTTCGCCCCTAACAACGTCTGGGGTTTGATCCCGATCTGGACGGTTTTTCGTCGGATGCGCAGGTTGAGAGGGGTCCTTTAAAGGGTGCCGATACTCAAGAATGGACGCAATCCGACATGTACGGGAGCAAAAGACAGGAGGGTTACAGTTCCGGAGATACGTGCAAAGACAGGCCTTAAAGTCATCAGCAAGGGTTCTTTCACATCTCAGTTACTACGCAGTGACACCCACATATCCTAGGCGTCCTCTCCAGGGGAGAGGCAAATAATCACTGTTCACAGGTGGTGGCCGCCGCGCCGCAGCTCCTTTCACCTCCTCCTCCTCAGCTGGCTCCTCTGAATCTATTTCTGGATCCAGCATATCCAAATGTTCTGTTTTTGACTTGGCGAATCCATTGGCCTGGATTGCGGCGATGGTTTCCCCATAATCACTGACCGCAGAAGATAGTGACGACTCCGACTCGGTGCCGGAGATTTTGTAATTGTGGGTTGCAACATTACGCCTGGTTGCTCTCGCCATGATTTGTCGATCTACCCGCGATTTCCGGTCAGCAAGAGGTGCTCTTCCCCTAGGATGGAGGACTCGAATAAAACCCCGCAACATGAACCCTATTAATTTGTCGATAAGCCATTAATGCCAAATACCCAGGCATAGGGATAGTCTGAGAAGCTCACACCTCGAGGCTCGTGCAGTTCCCTAGGTAGAGATAAGTTCGATCGAATTGGTGTTGCTATATTTCGGTGAGTGACGTAGCCAACCAGCTTTCTTGGAAGCTTCAGCAAAGTGGAATCCAAGGTCAGCTATATGCCCACTGCCGCCCCTATTCGATACATGTTGACCGTTCAAATATATATATATATATATATATTACTTGCCCGGCAGATTGGAGTGAATCAAAATCTTATGGCATGGGTCAGAAGGACCCCAACGAGAAACTTTCAATTTAGTTACTTGGGTTGATAAATGATAGTTAAAGTACCAATCGAACTCTTGCTAGATATCGTAGAGGCGGACACGCCTAGTGAAGATAATAGAAAGCCTAATCAACCGCTGCAAGACGTTATGTATACTAACAGGCATACATTCGTGTTATAATGACTCTTTCCGGCTGCGCTATAATTTAGCCCGAGATCCTTTAGTGGCTTCGATATAACGAAGGTGGATTCAAAAAAAGGATTATGGTCCTGTATTCCCGTAAGTCGATTCCATTCATAAAATAACGATACTAGCTAGATAGTTAAAAAAAAAAAAAAAAAAAAAAAAAGATCCATTTGGGCCTCCGTATGCATAATTCGGAAGAGCATTTCTCTAAAAGGTTATAAGTCAGGGCAGCAAGCTCCCCCAGCGCTCTTCTCTGGCTCGACCAATGTACTCTTGTTGGTCTTTTGTTCGCTTGCTGGCATATCTAAAGCAGGATTCTTATCGAAGAAATGGCTAGGCTTAATGGCAAGACGAAAAACCTCGCAAGGCATGACCGGCCAGTCTTCCGGGCGTGGGTTGTGCGTGAATCCAAAGATTGTCCAAACAACTCCGTTTCCGGGAACCAGCGGATCTTTTCTCGCGGCCCACTGGCGCAAACCAGAGTCTTCTTCAAGTCCACCGATTGACTGCCATGGGAATTCTCCAGCTGGGTATAATTCGTTCTCACTCTGTCGGGTGAAATAGAAATGGTGGTCTGCAAATGCGGCACGGCGGAAATGCACAGAGTTGGGATCTGCGAGCAGCAATTGTGTGGCAGGAATGTGGATTTTGTAGCCTTTTTGGTGCCCAGTAACTGAATTGCGACTATCATTGGACACGATCTTGACGGTGCGGTTGGTAGCTGGATTAAGGTCTAAATATCCAGATTCCGTGATGGGTGTCTCTTTAACACGATACATCACACCATATGGGTTAGTTGCCGGGTTCATTGGCTCCGGAATGGTCTCATCGTATTTAACAACTGACGAGTTGTATCCATCCATAGCAGGGTCAAGACGAAGACAAAATATATGTTGATGTGATGGAGCCATCACACCAGGAGAGACCATAATACCATAGTCTAACTTCGTAAAATCTTCTCTCTGATCAGCGGGAACCACAGACATGATACCAGTGGCACGGACTTCGTAATGGAGGGCACCAGCAGTGTCTAAAATCCAGCAAAGAATGTACTCGTAATTTGAAATAGTCATAATCTAATCAAGTATAATGAGTAATAGCCAAATCTGGATCCTGAAAAATGGAGATAACTCACAGTCTGAATAACGAGCTCCCGAGCACGGGTCACTTCAGCACGACCATTTCGGTAGTTTGTATGCTTCCACCCGATCCCAGCATCCACTTCGTGCATACAAATACAGTTCTTTCTGATTTCTGGCTCTCCACGCTCGTCACTTATCCAACGATCGAAGTACCTGATCGAACCCAGACAATCACATCCCAGCTGAAGATTATTGGCAGTAATGCCGACACCACCTTCGCCCAAGTCGTAGGCACTCTTACGATGGAACGGGGAGCGGGGATCGGCATAGGGAACAGTCATCTCAGCCAAAGAAAGGCGGTAAAACAGCGGACGACCATCGTAACTAACATCACGGAGAACAGCGCCCTCGCGCCAGTTGAAGTCAAGATGGAATCGCCACTTTTGCCAATGAACAACCTGATCATTTGCCTCTACCCTGAAGCTCACGCCTTCGGGCTGCTGGATGCAAATTGGTTTAACGTCACTGCGGATGGACGGCTGCAGATCGGTGGCATACTCTGCATCCGGATTGGGCTGCCACTGATCGTTGTCTCCCGAAATGCTGTCCAATCCCCAACCCATCGGCAGCCTGTCAATGCGAATTACCTTCTTCGTGACATCATCAACGACAGCCGAAAAGTCGAGGGGGTGGGCGAAGTGGTTGGCAGACGGGTGTCTTTGAACCCCTGGATCAATCGATTTCAAGAAGAACCACACCTGGTAACGCTTTGGATCCGGAATATCATTCTCCTTGCCGTAAGGCCAAGTCTCTGGGACCACCTCAGTGTTTAGAGGAAGATTCAATCGTGCAATCTCGCTCTTGACTAGTGGATCATCCAACACGAGATTTTGGACAGCCAACATATCATCCTGAGACGAAGGCAGATGCATACCTCGCGGGAGCTGTCGATGGTGAACAACCGACCCGCTGTAAAGTTCAACGATGTCCTCGAACGCCTCGGATTCTCCTTTGAATTGATAGCTGACGTAGATACGGCGAGCCGGGTATCTCAATGGGCGCCCCGCCCTCTCCGCTTCGAGAAACTGAACGACTTCATCTTTAGGGGGCTCCTTGACGGCAATAATGCGGAACAAGACGTGTCGGCCAGCAAACTTGTCCTTGACGATCTTGCTGGCTCGACGAACCTCCGAAGGTTGAAGGGTGAGGAGAGGGTGTACTGGGTGATCCATTGTGTACGAAGCTCGAAAGCTAGGCTGGCTTTGGAGTATCGGTTGTGGTTGTGTATCTGGGAGGGGGTCCAACAGTGAGTTATAGCTGTCCACGAACGATGTCAGGAGGGGTGCGACGCGGAATCAACGTCCCAACAGCGGAAACTGCCATTGATCGCCGCACGAGGTAAAGGCATATCGACTATCATAATCCAAGTAGCCAAAACTCTGCTCGACTTTGGATCCGGCCTTGGTCGTGTCCAAAGCCGAACCCACCAGCCTGATGTCTTGATAGCACGATGTGTGGAAGGAAAATGGTTGGTTCCCAGCCTCGAACGGGAGAAACTTGACCCGCCCCGCTCCACACCACTTTAGCCAATCACCGTTCGAATATGTCGCAAGTTTAAAGTTAGTCTCCACTAGCTCAAAGCTTAACCAAACTACATCCCCACCCGTTTCGCGTGAGTATGAGGGGTGGTATTGTTTCTGTACCGGATGTTGCAAGCTGCATGGTTTCGATACCGGGGCCGCGGTCTTCCCTGCGATGAAATGGTACCAAAAGCGTTCCGCAATTCGCCGGTAATAACCTGGGGTAAAGAAGAGCGGGGTGATGAACGTTCAGGCTCATGGCCTGGAAAGGGTACATATTCACGGTATGGACCGTGTCTACTGGTCCACTCCGGGACGAGTCGAAGGTTATACGGAATAGTTAATGAGAACAAAGAGTTCTGTCGGAATAATGGCCGCCCAGACTGTTACCCTACAAGGAGCTGAAGGGCGCTCGATAGAGAGTAAGCGGTCCCCCGATCAACGGCATTACGTTGCAGGGCCATTGCGCTAACGCTTTGCAAAGTCCCAACTGGTCTGTTTATCAACAATGAGTTTGTTCCATCTTTGACTGGAACCACTCTTGATACCACAAACCCAGCGAATGGGGATCTCCTGGCAACTATCGCAGCAGCCAGCGAAGAAGACATCAATGCTGCAGTTCAATCTGCGAAAGATGCTTTCTACACAACCTGGAAAGCAACTCCTCCCACCACCCGTCAATCGTTGATGCTCAAGCTGGCCGACCTCATCGAACGAGATGTCGATGAGTTCGCGAATCTCGAAGCTCTTGATGGCGGCATTCTCCTCAGCGGCTCGAAGGGGATGCATGTTCCCCATTCCGTCGAGACATTGAGATATTTCGCCGGGTGGGCAGATAAGATCGATGGAAAATCTATTGCTATCCCCAGTGGCATTGCCTACACTCACAGGGAGCCTCTTGGTGTTTGTGCAGCCATCGTGCCTTGGAATGCGCCGCTGTAGATTCCCGTTCCATGCGTTGCTCTTACCCACATATGTTTATGAAGCTAACATGTTCTTAGGATAGTCACGATGTGGAAGCTAGCTCCTTGTATCGCCGCTGGAAATACGCTGGTTCTCAAGACCTCGGAGCTTACTCCTCTCTATGGTATCAAGCTGGCTGCATTGATTAAAGAAGCAGGTTTTCCTGCAGGTGTTGTGAACATCGTAACCGGACTTGGAGCTGTGGCAGGGAGAGCGCTCTCTGAACATATGGACGTGAGAAAGATTGCCTTCACTGGCAGCACCCTTACGGGACGCGCCATCATGAAAGCCGCCGCGTCTTCGAATCTGAAAAAGGTCACCTTGGAACTTGGTGGCAAGGGCCCAACCATTATTTTCGACGATGCTGACCTGCAAAATGCTGTGTTTTGGGCCACGCTCGGTATTACAGCTAACAATGGCCAGATCTGTGTCGCAGGTTCAAGAATATATGTTCAGGAGGGTATCTATGAAAAGTTCATTGCTGCATTCTCCGCCGCTTCCACAAAAGCCGTTGCCGGCGACCCTCTACTGAGCAATACAACCAAAGGCCCCATCGTTAGTGCCGATCAACACTCGAAGATCATGGGGTATATCAAAAAGGGCCAAGATGAAGGAGCTCGTCTGTTGCACGGCGGAGGCCAGCCCGCACCTGGTTACATCGAGAACACGGCCTTCGTCGACGTCAACGAGGACATGACGATCATGAGGGAGGAGATCTTTGGCCCTGTGGCGGTAAGTACATGGCAACCGTTCTCCTCCTATTTATCACTTTACCATCGTTGATCGTATTCTCGTATGACTCACGAACTACTCCCAGGCCATTTCCAAATTCAAAACAGAAAGCGAGGCTATCCAAAAGGCAAATAATACCGAATACGGCTTGAGCAGTGCCATCTTTACGAACAATGTTTCTAGAGCTGATCGTGTAAGCCGAGCGCTGGAAAGCGGACAGGTTACCGTTAATTCATGGGGTATGGTCCACGCGAATGTGCCGTTTGGAGGCATTAAGATGAGCGGGTTTGGAAAAGATATGGGCGAGGAATCGTTGGATGGCTGGACTGGCACAAAAACAATCAAGTACCACACTCTCCCGGAGGTTCCTAATTAGTTGTAAACCATGAGACCCGCGGAAAAGCTACGAGAGAAATCATCCTTGGATGATTGAAGTGTCGACTGGAAATTTTCTGGGTCATTGCTTTTTGGAGTTTGTTGGACCATTGCATGGCGTGTGACACAGTTGATGTATTCGAATGCAGAGTGCCCCATACATATCCCACCAATTGTAAATGCATGTTTCACCTGTTTTTGATATCCCGCTTGATACCTTGCACCCTACTGGCTGTTTCATTGTGAGAAGTTCCCCAATGGCCAATCAAAGTTAATACAACTCTGTTCATTGTGCCGGTAATGCTCAACTTCTCCATAGTTGCTGGCTAGGCTCGAGACCTGGACAGACGAACTCGAAAGACAGTCTAACAACAAATCATGAAAGCTTGTAGAGTGCGGCAGTTGTAGCTGGGTAGTAGATTCATGTTGCACAATAACATCGCGACTGTAGTTCCCGTTATTGACAGAATATCCGGAAGCAAGACGGACCCCAGAAGTCCCAAGCCCAAATATTGGCAACTGCTTATCCTTTGGTATCGCACGTCATCATTAAGTACGGAAGATGTGAGTTCTGTCTGGAAGGATAACAATACGCAATCAAGTCAGACATCAGCCTGCTTCTGTAGAGAACTGGAGTATCAAAAAAATTATCTATCCTGATATTTGCTTTGGATTGGAGGGTTTCACGTTTTGTCTCGGGAACAGCAGTAATCCGGCAACCCGGCCAAACTTTAGTATAATTTCAACAACGGAAATGTCTGCAAGTTTCGATTTCCGTTTGGACAAGATGAAGGAGGCTATCTTGAAACGAAAATTGATCAAACGGGCCTGTAGGGAGTACAGCGTAACCCGCTTGGGGGATAGCCCGCTACCACTGTGTTGAAGTTGAGAGCAACAATTTCTCCTGATGACATGGATGTGCGTTGGACACCAAGGATCAGCACCTATTGGCGAGGGTCCAGAGCCTTTTTTTCTCTTCTCCATCAAAAAGTGGTGAAAAAATGCGGCTGGCCGAAGTCGAAGGTTGGAGCCGCGCTGAGTCAGCGGGACGCAAGAACGGCAGCGGGTCTTGGCGAGCCGGCACAGCGAAGACGGAAGGCTTCTCCTGACCCTTCTCGACTCTTCTCTGTCCAACGCCCTTTGTGCCCCTGCGTCGCGTGCCTAAGTCGACTGTCCATCATGACCTTCTTTCTTCCATGAGATCTTCAGGTTGCATGTGCTCCTCACACAGTTCAAAAGGGTCAACCGCCCGTTTCCCGGTGCCTTGAACACAGAGCCTTTCTTCATGCCTGTCACGCTCGTCCCGGGAGAACCCGACTCTATCCCACTGTTTGAACGGCATAGCCAGTGGCCGGCTGCATAACGGCTACAGTCACCGCAGGCACTCTCCTCCAGGAACTCCAGCATTTTGATGCGAGAGTTTGCGGATAATACCAGCGACGGCGCGCTGACAGACCTCAACCCGCCCCCCCCAACATGTCCTCGTGATTAATCAGGCTTTCAACAGTTTGCTGACAACGAGAGATACAACATTTCGGCAAAATGGCGACTACTCTTCCGGCTCCAGAAGATATCATGCTTCCGCCGAGCCCTCCCGAGTCTGTCAGTTCCCCGAATGGCGACGATCAAGCCGCTGAAGAGGCTTCTCTGCAGCACAATGGAATAACTTCCGAAATAGCCCAAATACAAAGCCCATTGCCTCCTCCACTACATATTCCACCACCTCGCACACGGAGCCCTCTAGCCAAGACGCACCTTCGATCGCGGTCTTTCGCTGGATCGCCCGCAGCACCGTGCATGACGCGTGCTCACTCATCGCCAGGTCTGGATTCCCGGGGTCGATATATCTTCACCAGCAGTCAAGGTAGACATGAGTTGCCTCTTCGACGACCCAGTCCACTTCGCACTTCGTCGGATGAAGCAACTTGCCCGACTATGAGCACTCTGAATATATCCGAGCCGATAGCAGAGCAGCCGGAACCCCAAAGCATTTCTGAATCGCCTCGAGCTCACCTGGAGGTCACTTCGATGCCAGCCGGTTCCTTATCTCCCGGAATTCACAACACATTTCCCCGCTTGGCCCGTCGTCGACCTTCTTCACCGCTTAACCCTTCGTCCACTACGAGTGGATGGCCTAGAAGTACGAGCCCTTCGCCTTCGCAGCAAAGTCTTGTTATCTCTGCGCGATTTAACGAACCATACCCCTCGTACGCCTTCTCTACCGCCTCATCCATGCCTTCCACACCATCGAGCATGCGCTCCCGCAGCCCTAGTATTTCATCTTTAGAAACAATACCTGATATCCCCGACGCCGAAGCTGCTGCAATAGAAGCCGATCGTATCGCAAAACTAAAAGCTGCTGCCGATAAAGCCGATGAATCTGCCGGAAATAGTGATGTCATTCGGAGAAGAAATGCCATGGACCTTCACAATTCACCGTCCTTGCGATTTGCCATGGGTCGAAAACGGTGGAGTGTCTGTGGGGCAGAGGGGCGGCATGATCTAGATCTCGAAACGATCTGGGAGGATTAGCCTTGACGGATTCAATCGATCTGAGAGATGTGTTCGGTCTCGAAGGTTACCGTTTTCTCGATGACCCGCTCTTTAGCCCGTCATCATGGCTCTTGTAACAGTACCTTTTCTTTCGTTTGCTTTTTTCATCCCTGCGGTCTTCATACACACGAAATAGCTTGGCGTGGGCGTTGTTTGAGCGAATCGGCCTGGGTGAATAACTACGATACCCCAAATTTCCTGTTTCTTCCCTTCGTTTGTCTCTCTGTCTCGATCACCTCGTTCTGGCATTCCTTCTCGCCATGAACAGCCTATGTCCATGGATTCCCGTACCTATTGCCAAGCTTGCGGTTTGCCATTATTTCACTTTCCCACGCTGCACCTCTATGCTCATTCACTTTTTCATAGGAGCATACAGTGGAGCATGGCCTTATCTTACTCCATATTCGCACCGCCGGCACAGTCGTTTCACTTCTATCTTTTTATTGTTCTTCACGCGGGACCCCCTTTCCACGAACGTTCTTGTCCTCAGCGTGACGCAGTACCCTTAATCTCGATATTTGCTTTCTGACTCAGTGACCACTCTGTTACACCGGCGTTTTCTTTTCTTTTTTTCCCTTTCTTATTTTCCCCGTCAAAGCGGAGATTCCGTGTTGATAATGATTCGAGCCAAGCGGTTACGTTGACGGTAGGCAATCGTGCTTTCGTACGGAAGATAGTAACATATTTTTAGTATTCTTTATTTCTGGCATATTATAATTATCTTTACATTATTTATGGTCGTCTTGTGCAACTTACCAGCATTTTCAAGATTCCCTAGGACGGGAGGTGGGGGATGGACAGCTTAACTTGTCATAAGGATACCCTGTACCCGTACTTCGCTAGAGCCATTATATTTAAGATGTGTACGGAGTACTGTCTAAATCAAGAGTCCCTTTTCAGAATGTTCTTGCGAACGTCCGAAGAGAGTAAATAAACTTTATCATCAATAGGCGATCTACTCCATACAGCAAATCGAAACATGGATTAACCCAATGTGTTGGGATATATATTGAACAAGATAGCTTTAACACTGGGCAGCATGCGGAGCTAGGATGAAGATGGGCGAAAGAATATCAAATAAGACTGAGACAGCTACCGAGCAATGCCTCCAAAAAAAAAAAAAAAGGAGTCGAAATGACCGTACCTCAAGGGTTTACACGCAGTCAACCAGGCCTCAAAGACCTCTTCTACGGCTGCATTACTCTCGGGCTCCCTTTTCTTTACCCGTTAGCACCTCACAAATCTTCTCCGCAACCAGCTCACCACTCCAATACGCCCCCAGGGTGGTTCCCAGGGCCACAAACGGTGCCGTATGTTCCCCAGCAAACCACAGTCCTCTTTCAACACCGGCAGCTTCTCTCATAATCTCAATATCACGATCTCCTTCTTTCAGTCCAACTTGAAAATTCGAGTAGCTGCCGTTACCGGCCCATGGATCTAGCTGCCATTTCGTGGCGAGGAATGCGATCGGTTTGCAAGATGGGGAGTCCGGATCGTATCCGGGCATGCGTGAGTAAAATGGATGGAGGAAGCCATCGAGGGTCTCGAAGTATTCCTTCGACTCTGGAGAGAGGGAAGATATTTTGTTCACGATGTGGGCAGCGCATGGTCCGTAGGTGTAGAACAGAAGCGTCGGGTGAGCGCATGACTTGGGAAGAGTGGCTAGAGAAAGACATTCTTGGTTCCAGAATGGAATGGCAGGACGATCAACGTAATTTGGGTTGAGGAACTGTGTGAATCCAGGCATCAAAGCTAAATGCCTCGCTTCGTCTTCGGCGGAGTTGGAAGCATTTGAGGCCTCTTTGATGCCCTCCACATTCCAGAAAGCTTCCGGAAAATGGACATAAACTTTCTCCAGTTGGCCGTATGATATACTATCAATGGCGGTCGACAGACGGGGTGAGAGAGGTGGGGAGAAGACAGACTTGTTCTTTTTCAACCAACCTAAGGGAAATGTAGCGACGACTTCATCGAACACATACTCCTTGCCAGAAGCAGTGGATACAGTCACATGGTGTTCAACGCGCGGCTTACGGGGCTCCGTTTTAACAGACACCACTGGGTCATTTAGACAAATTTTCGCACCCTCTAGAGCGGGCTCAGCGGCCGTCTGCAAGATATCCTTATATGTTGATGCCACGAAGAGATTTGCTAAAATATCGTCAGTATATGAAGAAGCACAATAGTATTGGAAGAACCTTACTTCCATCGAGGCATTCTTCGAGAAAAAAGAACTTGAGGCTCTGTCTATCAACAGGGGACCCAATATAGGCCCCCCATGACTTTGATAGCTCCATACATGCCTCTTTTTCCGATTGAGAAAATGTAGTCTTTTCGAGCTCTTCTCGAATATAGTCACATAAACTAAGATTGGGGGGTATCGTTGCAGCATTTTTCCGACTATGGTCAAGGGCCTTATCTATAGTTTCCCACGTGAATTCAGAGAACTTGGTGGCATCTTGTGCGTCCAGTAGCCGTCCAGAAGAGTCGATGATAACTTGTGGGCCATCCCAAGAATGTGTGACTGTCTTGGTATATTTGCTAATACTGACAATAGGATTGTTCTCCGTCCCATGAATCCAATTAGGGCCCCTGAACGCATTAGCCACAAGCTTCAAGCATATATGGCTATAGCTTACAGGTCAACAGGAGTACCACCAATATCGCTTTGGCAAATCTGCCAAACAGTCAGGAAGGAAATAACATAATGGAAAACTTGGAAAAGGTTAAGAACGACAGCGATACATACGCGACCTCCGATTCGATCCCTGGCCTCAAGTATGGTTACTCGAGCTCCTTTTTGGAGAAGGATATCCGCACATCTTAGCCCAGCCAAGCCAGCACCAATTATTCCAATATGAGAGGATTTGGGCAGGGCAAGAGCTGCAGAGCTATCCTTGGAGCTGTTCCAGGACTTAGACTGCTGATGGAGCCTTTCGTGTGTAGGGATCGGCTTCATGATATTGGAGCTTGCTTGCAACCACTTGGTTGTCTGTATGAGACGGTTAGTTCTACACTCCATGGTTAGATACCCGAAAAATGTAGGGAACAGCTAGGCCAAAACAGAAAAGAAAAAAAAGGTTCAATGCCAGACAAAGGTACAAAAAGGATCCTTAGGGGATCAAATAATGGGGAGAGGGGGAATGATAGGTTACAAATGCCCGACCTTGAGGAGCAGATGTTGGCCCCGGGCTTGTATAGGCCGCAACACTCACGAGACGTAGTCAGCGTGACATCCCCTCTTCTTGAACGAACGGGATTTAAACCAGAAAAGCACACGAATTAAGCCAAGGTCAGCTGGCCAGAGTCAAACTCTCCGACCGGTGCGGATTGGGTTAACGACCGCATTAACCAGAGCTTCTTATTGGAACGCACCTTGGTCGATAGGGGTATCCGGGGTCTCGGTAAGTTATCAAGGGGGTTAGTCAGTCTGCCATGGTCCTTGGAAGTCGAGAATATGGATAACGGGCGATCCCAGAGCGGTTGGTCGAAAGATGAAGCTGGACTTAAGGCGGCATTGGGGTGTGTTTATTGTTGAGCCCTGGATTGGGTGGTTTTGGCATGCTGCTTTAACAAAGAAGTGGCTGACGGCGCTTGCATGATAGGGGCTGTGCGACTCCAAAGTCACTGCTTACAACAAGTATCAACCAGCGGACTGCCTCGAAACTCCTTCGATCCTCCGCTAGCATCGGGCTCTCGTTCAGACCAGAGCGAACCTCATCTCAGCCATTTAAGTTTCTCATTGATAGGCTCCCATGCTGCCCCCAACGTAACACAATATCTCCACTGGGCCAATGCTCTTCCTGATCAGTGTGTTCGCCATGAAAAGTCTCCGAGTTGGTGTGTGAACATGCTCGCCATACACCCCACAACAAGAGCAGGGGATACGAGAAGCAGAAAACCCTCTAGTCCAATGAGGCTTCTATTATTACGCGATTTCTAGTGGCACGCCGATAGCGTTGACTCTTGAGTAGGCATGAACAGCCTCAAGAGGACGAAGGAAGCAAGCCAAGGAACCTCTTTATGACATCAATCGTCCATTGTCCAAGGCTAGGAAAAGTCTTCATGCATAACATCCAAAAAAAGAAAAGGAAAAGAAAAGAAAAGAAAAGAAAAGAAAAGAGAAAAAAAGGTACATACAAAGGAAAATTAGGGAATTCTTTAGGCCGTTGAGGCAGGCGTGATTTGACATTAGACATATTGATTATGGCCCTATCTCCAAGCTCCTTGGCTGAGGGACAACAAGCCCTGGACACAGTCCAAATCTTCTTCTGGATTTGATCCGGCCTCCTTGACAAAGGCAGATGTTTCCTCGCTTTCACCAGCGACAGCAGAACCGTTCTCATTTTTCTCACTTATCATTGCCGATCTGGCGCTTTTTGTTCGCCTGAGACGAGAGACGCCCATCTGGCTGGCTTCGAGTTGCTTGCTTGATCTACCCAACACTCGACGGCCACGGGCCTGGGTAGTCTGTTTCTGCACACCGCGTCTTCGAACGCTGGAAATCTGTGTGCCTGGGATCCAATTCTCCTTATCAGAATCCCCAGTGTGGTCCTTCATGTCGTGCGCAAATTTTCTGGCTTTCGCTCCTGAGGATGTGGGAGCTTTTGCGCCAGTTTCCAAACGAGCGAGAGAAGACACAGCCCTAGTGAGCTTCCTTCGTTTCTCTGCTGGGGTTTGTGGCTCTTGAATCTCGTTGGGGATGTGTGACCGAACACCCAATGGTTTTGAATTTTCGCGCTGAGGTCCGCAGGGCGATAAATTATCCACAGAAGTTGAATCCACCCGTGTATTCAAAGCGTTGGGGAGCGCCGTCCGAGCGTCATCATCACAGTACAGTTCCCACGTACGGGCGTTACGGGATCTCCCAAACGGTTTTATATCCTTTCCTTCAATTCTGCTTCGCATCATCGGGAAGGATATCGCACTTGTACTGCGACGAAGATGGCCAAATCGCGCTTGCCTGGCGTTGGTGCAGGCGGATTTTGATGGTGAAGGCTCATTTGCAGTCCTCACCACTGCTTCGCCATCGGCCGAAAATGAAATTCGAAGGGAATCTCTGGGTTTGGGAGGTGACGGGGTCTTTTCACCTTCCATTCTGACCATTGCCTCCCCATCAAAGGATAAGGAGATACGAAGGGAAGGCGGCGTTGCTAATTGAGAGGGCAATGATCGCCTGGCATATTTGGCTTCGACCACTTCCTTCACGTCATATTCATCCCATTTCCTTTTGCAGCCGGAACGCTGTTGCACATCCTTTGACACAGGGTCCAATTTGTCCGCCCGGTTGTCGAATGAACCTATGGCCTCATCAGGGCAACTAGTGGTTTCTAGCTCTTCAGTTTGTGTGGAAGCGACTGTGGTCTGCGAACTAGTAGCATGGGCCATTCCACTCTCTTCGATACACTCGTTATCCGGATGTTCGACTGAGACATCTGGAGAGTACGTCTCCAGTCGCATAGATTTCTTCTCATCCTGAGAAGAAAAGCTCAGCTGGGAGGGTGATGGCCGCGAATTTACATCGTTATCCGACCTATCTTTCTGGTAATCTGTGGTTGTCGTGCTTGAGGAACCGAGGTCGTGCGGTGGAAGGGGTTTGGATCTCCGTCTATCGTTCTGCCGACGATTCTGAAACCAAATCTGCAGATTGTCATTATCATATTCAAAATTAATACGATACACAAGCACAATCATATCTTACCTGAACCTCTTTATCACCTAGCGAGACGCGGCTCACAATGTTTGCCCTCGTCACCTTATCTGGCTTTGGGTTCCGCTGGTATTCTGCCTCCAGAATTGCATAGTCCTCTGGGCTATCCAATAATGTTAACACGCGTAACTAAATAATTGAAATGGTAAGGGTACGGCGGGAGGCAGTTTTGCAACAGCTTCCGGGAAACGTTTACCTTGTTCTTCGGCGCCTCTGGCGACCCAGGATTTTATTGTCGACTTTCGGGGGCTGACCATGAGTAAACGATTTATTTGAGTGAACGAGAAAGGATCCAGTATTTGGCGAAGACCGATCCGCATCGTTCGAGGACGAGGGCTCATTGCCTGTATGCGTATAGTCCGTATCACTCATGGTGAAAAAATATAGTCCAACTGGGCAATCAAGAAATCACATAGCAATCGGAAGCTGCTGTGAGTGTCAGTAAATTCCCAGCTGGAGTGGAGGAAGAAAGCTTTGGAGCAGGAAGGACGGGTGCGTTGATATCGCGCGTCTCGGCGTGTACGCGGAGCATCACAGCGCACGGTGCACGGGTGTCAATGTAACATGTATTATTGTCTTGCAGCTCCGTTCGCTTTTCGTTTGGCCGCGGACCCAGCGGGGCTTGGCTTCAACCTTTAGAACCTGGAGTTTCACTCCAAATCCAAAAAAATATTGGCTCAAAAATCTGCGGAACAACAATTAGAAGGTATATTATTCCAGCGAAACTTTAATATCCAAGGTCCTCGAGAAGAAATTTGTCGGCCGCCAGCAGTTCATAAGCAGCGAAGAGTCTCCAGCGAGAAGAAAACATTCCGAGGACGCGTTTAACCGACGCGACGGGACAGCTTAGTCAGCAGTCAGCATCACGCGGGATCATGTGATGTACCCTGCCACCACCGCATCGCGACGTGTGCCGTCACCAACAGCTTTGAAACATTCCAACAGAACAGCACGAGAGAGAGGGTGGCAAGGCAGCGCCAAGCTGTTCCCTGGATATCTCTGCTTGTTGTTAATCCAACAAAAAAGTGGTGTGGCTGAGAATCCCTTCTCTGGGGTTCTAGGGCAAAGCTCCGAAGGCTAAGCCAGTCGTCGTCTTCAGCAACGGTTGCCGTCACCCAGCAACCTGGGTGCTGAACCTTTGTCTCCACGACATGGAATTGTCGCGTAGGCGATATTATTCTTTAAATATAGCATACACAACCCTCGCGCAGTTTCGCCATTATGAAAGACACCCTGGATTCATTGCTGCAGATTGCCGGATCTCCACGAAATTGCCCTTCGTTACTGTCTATTTGTTGAACTTTGATATCAACACAGATCCCTGAAGCGGCTCCCATAGGCCCTAAACCTTATACTTTAAGCCGCGATGGTTTACTCAGGTCTCCCGGTCCCAGGCCCCTGCTGATGAGGCTGTTCCTAACAATCACTGGGCGACTTGAAGTAGCCGTTTCCGATTTATAAATATCAGGCATAGTTTGAAACCAAACCATGTGTTCGTTCTTCTCATTTACCAACCATCAAGCAAATTCTGGGGCTAAACCAACGTTATGGGTCATAGCTTCTCGGTATAACGGATTTGCACTTACTCGCTTGACCTATGATTTTTGTTCACGCTTGTTGTTCGGGGTCTTCAGGCGACAGCTTCTGGGAAGGAACATGTTGGCATCGACCTTAATGGTGTGATTGAGACCTTGACGTCATGTTCCTTTTACTTCCAAACAGCCAGTTTGCCTAACGGCCAGCGTCTGGAAGGAGGTATATAAACCTGCTGTTCTTGCCATTACGGCAGTGACCTCAGGATCTTTTCATTTGGGCATAGCGTCACTATACCAGAGAGGACGCCATCTTTGCATATAAGCTGATATTCTACCTGAAAAGCAGTATCTATCCTCTAACGCAACGATCATGGTGAATGTAGCAATTGCTGGATCAAGTGGCCTAGCCCAGTTTATTGCAAACTATCTCTCTACGAAAACCTGTCATCAATTTATTATACTATCCAGGTTTGTATGTTTCCCTGTTCTAATACTCCATTTGTTCTTTTCCAATCGCTAATATTTCTAGCCGAACCCCGGCCTTGTTTCCAGAGGATGGCAAGTCTTAGAAGTTGATTATTACAACAACTCCAAACTCCGGTATATGCTCACGGGGGTGGATGTAGTCATTTCCACTATATCGGGACCCGCTGAGGCTTCTCTTATCACCGCTGCTGCTCAAGTTAATGTGCGCCGTTTCATACCATCTGAATTTGAGGGACCACCTTCAAAGCGCACCATCTCCAAGCTCCCAGACCGCGGGAACTGCCAAAGCCTCTCCCTGCTCCAGCAATATGAAATGGAATACACCATCTTTACATGCGGTGTATTTTATGAGCGCTTGGCTCCAGGTGGCATGGCCGCCTTTCAGCTCGGTAAGGGCACATATATTGATAAGGAAGGCGAATACCTTATAAATATTCCTTCAATGGAAACCGAGGTTCCCCATCTCAGCGACGGTCAAGATTCTATGATTTGCATGACTTCTGCCCAAGATGTCGCACGCGCCGTAGTCGCTGCACTTGACTTGCCACGATGGCCGCGCGAGTTCCGAATGTTCGGAGACAGAATGTCGTTAACCGGCCTTGTGGGCACCGTTGAAAGTGTATTCGGTACGTACAGCTATCAAATCCTGTCTTTCATATATGTACTGAAGATTGTTTCCCCGTATTTCTAACAATATATCCCAGGGTGTGAATTCAAGACATCCTTCATCTCTGTTGAATCGCTTTGCTATTTACTTTCACAGGCGGAAGCTTCCGGTGATGTACGGAAACAGCGGCGGGTATGTCACCTCCTAGATACCGTTAACGGTTGTTATGACTTCGATTTGTCCAACGTCGATAGCTTGAATATTCGGCCACAACGATTTCAAGAATGGCTGCGAATGGTTTGGGCTTAGCGCCAAATTTTCAGTGCTTGCCGTCCCCTTCACCTAGCAGCTCCCTCAATTTGAACAACATAATCTCTTCGCCTGGAGTTGGGTTTATAAGGCTAAAAGGGCTCGGAGTTTAATTAGAATATCTGCTTTTTGGGAGAGTTGTGTTTAGATATTTCGCCTGATATTTTTGGGGAACTTCGAGGTCAATAATTAAAACGTTAACGGATCTGACCTGATCTACACTTCATTGATTGAGCGTAAAAGTTAACCAATACCGCCCTTCGAAACCGGCTGTTTCTATCAGCTTTACGGCAGGAGTAAAGCGTGAAAGTCGTATCCCACGATTTGCCCCCCGTCCCCCCCCCCCCCAAAACGAAAAAAAAAAAAAGGCCAACCCCCGGGCTCACCGCAAACCATAGTTATAAGAACGTTTAACCTCCACATCTACGTGTTAATGCGCCGCAACCTTAAAGTAGTCCGCTCTCTAATTCCCTGCCAACTCCTCGCCTGGGCCGTAGGGTATGAGTCCTCTACCATTCCATCGGGAAATTAAGCTCCACCCCAGTCTCTGAACATGCTTCTCGTACCTTCGCCACGCTTTCGAGCGTGTCGACTGCATCCGAGTTAAAATTGCCACACAAAGCGATTTTTGTCAAGGATGGCGCGACAGTAGGTGAAGCTTTCACAAACCGCGTTACTTCGGACGTGATGTACTCGAGGTGCTCGTCCGGCATATCGAGTAAAGTCAACCCTTCGAGGTTCGGCGGTAGGATATCCACAAGCGCGTGAGAATCTGGGTTTTGCAAGTCAAGGATCTGGCGAGTAGTTATACCAATGACCTTTAATGCCCTAAACTCAGCGAACGAAAAAGGGACTTCTGTGGGCCAGGATGGCTCAAAGATATCCCTCCCCCGTTCGACATCTAGCCATAGGTCCTCAAGCGTATCTTTTGTGACTTGAAGAGATTTCCAGATGCCCATTATGTTAAATCGTTGGGGACCAAATTCGTTATGGTGGCTATATTTGAAGACTTTTAGGCTCTTGCAACTTTCGAGGAATGTGGCGATGGATGCTGAGCAACAACTCTGGGTAACTTTAAGGGTTGTAAGCGACGAGTCCGCCCACTGACCCCTGTTAAGCCAATCTTCACCTAGTTTAGACGTAACCAATGTTTTTAGAGCTGGAAGTCCGATGTAAGGCAGCAGGATGCACGGACCAACGCAGTTGGCAAAGTGAGGCATTATATCAACGAAGGAGAGGCGTGTAAGTATAGGATGCTCGTCGAACGGTTCGCTGCGACGTGCCGCCCGAAAAATGGTCTTAAAGAAATGATTCGAATTGGGAGGAAACTGGGTCATCTTCAAGTTTTCCAGGTTGGGAACCAATATCAAAAGCACGGCCAAGAAGGCATCAACAACACCGGCTCGTATGTCTTCCAACCACTCCCACTCCTCGTCCTGGGAGCGGCTAGCAAAAGTTATTTTCTTTTCCAGGAGCGCATATCTGCGGTGAAGTCGAGGTCGAGACAGAATTTCCTCCCGTGCAGGTCTGCTACTCAATGTCACAGGGCCCACGTAAGCTCCATCCGAGTCCCATAGAAAGAGCTGCAGTTCTCTAATGTGGTCTGCTAATGATGGTCGCTCTAAAAGCGTTCGTAACAAAGTCCTTATCGACCTTTTCGAAATGTAGGGCCCGAGATCGATCGATTTGTAAAAAAGAGGTTCCGTTATCGCGTGGAACTGGCGGCAACATAGCATGAAGGCGAATTGATCTTCGCTTTCATTCAACTCTTCTGCAATCAACATCAAGATTTCAAGAGGGAAGGTATCCAGGCGCCGGGTTGTGTGATTAGGGATTATGTTCGTCATATTCCCTGTGAGAAGCTCTATAAGTCACTGGTTTTGAGACTTTGTTTTTCTTTTTCTTTTTCTTTTTTTTCCCCCTTTAAAAGGCTGAGAGATTGGCAGTGATGAAAGAGTACAGCTAAATCTTGGTAGTTTCTGGTTGGATTTTAACTAAATGTGCAAGATAAAACAACAAGATCTAGAGTGACAAGTCGGCATGAGTTCCCAGGACAAAAGAAGTTTTCAACGGAGATATGCATCCGGAATGAATATGGTCCCTGTTGCCTATTATCAACGGGAATATCCATTTCACATAGCTCTTGGTAGTATGTATTGTAACTCAATTGTCAATATGGCAATTCGGCAACATGAATGGAAACATTCACAGCAATGATGTTCTAATGAGGATATATTGACTGAAAGAGAACAATAGGAAGGAAAAGGGCATTGAGGCTGATACCATGTGTTAAATGTGCCATCAGCTTTGAAATTTTATCAGCAAACTGTGATAGTCAGTGCAACATTTCCTTTGTCAAGATTTTGGAGTCTGGCAGGGCCCTTGGGCCTATGGCAGCACCTTATGTCTGAGGATCAACACAAACTCCGAGACATAATCTGTAACAGCTGGCTGTGTAGTTGATTTACAGCGTTAAAGTCAATAATATCGAGTGATGATACAACCACAGTCTTTGATCGAAGATGCCGGCTTGAAGAGAGTAAATGAGCGGACTCGAATGCTATCCTTTCTCTGTTGTTGAAGAACATAGTCGCCTCTCACCACGTCCGTTGCTGTGAAAAAAATCAAATCACGTGACTCGCTTTTAGCCTCGTCCATAAAGTTGCCCAGCATCATTTCAACTAACATCCTGCCCAAGGGCATCCTGATCTATATCATAACCTCTGATGGTCAATCTCGCTGACTTTCCTTCTATATCTCTTTCTCCGTTCACTTCCAGAGACCCTCTTTACACCGCAACCCACTTGGCACAAGGTCTATCATATTCCCCACTTGTAGTATGCAAGTTTACTGTGCAAATGGCTTCTGTGAACCAGGTACAATACCACAGGGTCCTGATGCCATGGCCTCATTTGGGAAGGCCAACTTTGGGCTCCCATACGGTTTTTTCCATCTCATGAACTACGGCCTATTTGCCTCATTATGGAAATTTTCTTTCCATGATATCATCCATGTGCACCAGGCTGCTATTACCTTGCCTAGAACTCGAAACCTTGGTGGCCCTTGAGATCACAGAGCTGCTGTTGTTGTTAACGACATTAGGACTATTATTCAGGTTGCTTTTTTTTGAATTAGAAACGAGGCGCTGAATTATGGCCGTTCTATGTGCACATCAGGGAAGCTCAGCCTTGATGAAAATGCTAGCAGGCCGTTGTTACAACGCTCTGCAATTATAATCAACAATCATACTCCATACACAGAGATATAAGTATCATCTCTTTATATATTTGAGAACAGGGTGTCTTCATGCTGATTACACCTTGCAACTTCATTCCACGAATCACCTAACATAACCCAACCCTCGGCAAAGGCCTTATGGACTGTGGTGAATAATCTTTTGAGCTGAAGCTAACTTTCTACACACTGGTTGACATCTTAGACATGATATGTTTAGATAACTCATACTTATACATACTATGTCCATGCAATCGCTATTTGCCAAGGACCACAGGAGTAGCTACAAGTTGCCAGCTTCTCTTATGGTAGTTGTTGGAGTTCACTCCATGCTGTCTTCCAAACAGGATAGGGCTGAGCGACCTTTACACTGGGCATGAGTTAATAGACCTACAGTTTGTTAATAAGAAACCATTCTTGTGTTATGGAAGCTACCTTTCAAATGCAGATCATTACCAGGAGATATGAATCTGATTGTTTGCAACCGGCAAATAGAGAACATATTGATAATTACGGACAGTGAAGGAGTGGCAAACCGATACATCATCATCGCCATTGTGGATCAACTCCTATGCCTCGATACCATTTAAAACTCCTTAAATTTCCGAATATGAACCTACCGAAAAAAAATTCCTCAAAGCTACAGCACAATTCAGTTTAAGTATCGTTTGCTCTCAAGCAAAACTCTCCCTTGAACGTTTCAACGTCACACTTCCAAGCAGTCATAATGAAGCTCTCTATCAACATAGCCCTCCTTCTCTCTATCTCCGTCTTTGTATCTGGACAAGCAGATACCTGCAGCAACCCTCCGCAATCTGATAAGGTCGTTCAATTTGCCGACGCTCTCAAGGTCATCTGCCCCAACTCCGCAAGGGAACCATGTATCAATGACCCCAAAGCCCCAAATCAATGTCGAAGTGCGTCTCAAGCCGCAGAGCCCATTCTACGCTCCTTCGAGAAATACAACATTACAAACAAAAATGAAATGGCCGCTCTTGTCAGCCTTATGGCGCTGGAATCCGGTGAATTTAAATACCAAAAAAACGTTTTCCCTGGCAGGCCAGGACAAGGAAGTATGTCACAACCTCCCTTCTTAGCAAAAGGCTTTTGGGACAAGCAAACAACACATTCCCATAGTAGCTAATATGTATTTACTCCTTCAGCACGGAACATGCAAATGCCAAAATGGAACGCGCGCTACCTGGCCTCCATCCCCGAACTCAAAGACCAACGCGAGAAAGTGGGCGACGACAAAGTCAAAATCCTTGACCTCCTCCTTAGTAAGGACGATTATGATTTTGGCTCTGCTGCATGGTATATGACATCTCAATGCACCTCTGATGTGCGTAAGGGGCTGCAGGACGGCAAGGAGGATGGATGGGAGAAGTATATCACCGCTTGTGTTGGGACAACTGTTAGCGGCGAGCGATTGCGGTATTGGCAAGTTGCAGTCAAGGAGATGCAGAAGCTTTAGCTGAGGGGTAGTTAGGTTGCTAAACCAGCCTTTTCTTCCCCTTTGCCTTCAATGCGTGATGACAAGGCCCAGTTGGGGACAACTGGGACGCTAAAGTTAGATGGTTAGGGCTTAAGGAAGGCTAGGGACTGAGGAAGCTACGGAGTAAGTTACTCAATAACTGAATTAGCAGGTTTAGGGCTTGGGGGGTTAAACTAGGGTGAAGTGAAGCTTTGGTGGCTCCGTAGAGAGTGCGCAGTGCCAAGATGTGACAAACTGCGTTCTAACCCTTTGGCGAAAAAGTGAACACTTTCTGGCAAGGATCAGCAAAGTGAACTTTTGTCCTGGTGAGGTGTACATTCTCCGTAGCTTTCAAGCTCATAAGCCAATACATCACCTGTATGATCATAACAACATACGTAAACGCGTGACTGCGCTAAGCCTCTTTAATTTTAACAATAAAAGACCATCTCGACAGGAGGAGCTCTAATTTCTTCGCCTTGCGGTGTGTGTGCCATCAAAGTTGTTGGGCCGCAGCTATCATCCCTGTTATAACTATTTCCTCTACGGAGTATATTTGTTGCCTTCCTTTGTTTCATTCTATAACGGTGACAAAGATAACTTCATAACTACACTCTGAGAACAACTTTTTAAACCCAGCGAGGATTCTCTAAATACCCTAGATACCCGTTACAAATACTCTCCAACTTCGAATACCTAAATTCAAGTATACATCCATCTTCTTCTATGGCAACTTCAGAAGAAGAACCCCTTATCGATGAAAATGCACCCTTGCAGTCATATTACGCCTCGCTAGAGTCACGAGTTGGTTATCGGCTCTTTCTTGGAGGCACTCGTCATTTTGGCTACTATGATCCCGACACCTTGTGGCCGTTCCCCATCGGAAGAGCTCTTCGTAAAATGGAGGATCATCTCGCGCGATCGCTGGATCTCTTCAAGGGCGCACGGGCGCTAGATGCCGGCTGTGGATATGGTCATGTTGCTATTCATATGGCTCGCAAGCATCATCTGGAAGTAACAGCCATTGATGTTGTGGACCGACACGTGGCGCGAGCTCAGAGAAATGTCGCAGCCGCAGGGCTTAGGGGAGCTATCGTGGTGCAAAAAGCCGATTACCACCACCTCGATTCCTTCTCCGACTCCTCATTCGATGGGGTCTACACCATGGAAACGTTTGTACATGCTACAGATCCAGCCGCCGCCCTTGCCGGGTTCTTCCGTGTCCTAAAGCCGGGAGGATCGATTGCTCTGTATGAATACGACCACGCTAAGTCCCTTGATGCAGCCGAGGAGATGGTCAAGATGTTCGATCAGGTAAACACCCATGCGGCGATGCCATCAAATGCCCTCTTCGAACAGGGCAGGCTTCCTTCACTTCTCGAAGACGCTGGGTTTGTGGATGTGAAAGTTGCAGACCTGTCAGAGAATATCAAGCCGATGCTCCGCCTGTTCTTTGTTGTTGCGTATATACCCTACCTGATTATTCGACTATTCGGGCTCGAGGCCTATTTTATCAACGCCGTTGCAGCCGTGATGGGTTATCGGTATCACTACGCCCATCGCTATGTCGCAGTTACTGCCAAGAAACCTTTAACGGCAGAATATCCAACCCGGAGACGAAGGATATGACCAAGAGTTTAGGATAATTTTTTTTCTTTCACATATCACGACAGAGCGTTTATTCATTATTTAAGTTTTGAATCACGGATTGGTGGGATACTCGTAGCCTTCCCCACTGCGGCCTAGCGGGACGAATGAGGAGAGAAGAAAAGAGAAAAAAAGAATAAGAAAGAAAGAAAACAAAAGAGCTAAATGGACTTTCTTGTCTCTTTTGTGAAAAAATTGCTGAATTGCCAAGATCATTTGATCGAAGACGAACCGTAATTGCCCTCCTCTAGTAATAAACTGTAAACTGATCTCTCAAGAGGGATCACGAACGGCACAGCTACGGCTACCTCTTGGAGGCGATATGTTTGATAATATTTTGCACTGTCCACTGTGTACACTCTGCACTGACTAAAACATCTCCTGCTTGCGACGATCATAACCATGAGTAATCTCTACGGAGTACTTTGGACTCCGTATGCAGGTTCAATCACAAGCAAATAGGGAGCCTTTCATATATTCCGCGGAGAATGGCTCATCGAATCGGGGCTGGAGGAAAGTCCGCGGACGATATGAACATATGACTCCTCCCTAGCTCTAGAAAAGCCGCCACGTCGACAAGGCTCCGTCTGTTGGTTCGTAACGCGCCGCGATCTAAGCCATACTTGGGAGGGGTGCGAGCGAATCCCCAGCCTTGTGGTGGCAGAAAGGAAAAGAGTAACACGATCTTTATCCAGGACCAATTTCGAGCTGTTGGGGCCCATTTCTATCAGAAACTCTAATGAATTGCCTACGACTGGCAAAGTCATGCCTCTCTGTTTCTGCTGACAGCGAAGTGTATGATGGTCCCACCAGCTACGCTCTCCCGTGGCGATTACACCGTCGGCTGGATCTGTGCTCTCCCCTTGGAGCTGGCAGCAGCCCAGGCCATTCTCGATACCATCCACGAAGAGCCACTACTGGATCCTGACTCGAATGACGACAATGGCTATGTTTTTGGGAGTGTCGGCGACCACAATGTGGTCATCGCATGTTTGCCAAGCGGGGTGTATGGTACCGTCTCTGCTGCCAGGGTTGCAAAACAAATGACGACGAGTTATAAATCCATACGTTTCAACTTGATGGTTGGTATCGGCGGAGGAGTTCCCTCTACGAAGGAGGATACTCGTCTAGGAGACGTTGTCGTGAGTAAACCGACAGCTACGTCTGGCGGAGTTATTCAGTATGATCTTGGGAAAAGGACAGGGCCCGATCAATTAAAAATCACAGGCACTTTGAACAAGCCACCGCAGGTGCTTCTAACGGCCGCAGCGAAGCTCGAGGCGAGAGATATTCTAGGCCAGAGTCAGTTTTCCCGCTATCTTTCACAGATCATCGAAAGGGACAAGAACGGGGCGTTCGCGTACCCAGGCGCAGACCAGGATATTCTTTTCAGCGCAGACTATGATCATGTCGGAGAAGAAAGTACGTGCAGCCATTGCGATCAAGGAAAAGTACGGCATCGCGCCGCTCGGAAGACAGAGGCTCCCAAAGTTCATTACGGCCTGATTGCATCGGGAAACCAAGTTATGAGACATGGCCTCACCCGAGATCGGCTAGCTCTTAAGAACGGTATTCTTTGTTTCGAGATGGAGGCCGCCGGTTTAATGGACGATCACCCATGCCTAGTAATTCGTGGCATCTGTGACTACGCAGACTCCCATAAGAACAAGCAATGGCAGGGGTACGCCGCAGCGGTGGCGGCTGCCTATGGCAAAGAGATTCTGATATCTATCCCTGCAAAACCGCTGCAAGGGCCATCAGTGGTCCGCGTGCGACAGAGTGAGATTCTTAATGCACTGCTCTTGACCCAGCCAGAGGACGATCGAAACTCCCTTATAATCAGGAAGGGGAAGAGAGTGGAAAACACATGTCAATGGATAATGAAAAACCAACAATATCGACAGTGGCTGGAACAGACAAACTCACAGATTCTATGGCTTTCCGGAGGGCCGGGTAAAGGGAAAACGATCCTAGCAATCTATTTGACCGAGGAGCTGGAGCGTTGTGTGAATTTGAAGACCGGAACAGTGTTGTATTATTTCTGTGACAACCAAGATGAGAAGCGGAACACAGCCCTGGCTGTCCTTAGAGGACTACTGCATCAGTTACTAGAACAACACCCGTACCTTGCACAGTACATTGAAAAATTCTTTGATGGAGTTGAGACAACATCCTATACGGTCTCTAGGTTTGAGCGGTTGTGGAGGGCTTTTTATACTTTGCTGCAGAACGGGGGGCTTAACGAGGTGGTGTGTGTGGTGGACGGCCTCGATGAATGTGAGGACGAGTCTCTGAAATTATTTCTGGATAGCCTCCACAGCCTTTTCCTAGGAAGCAAACCACTAAATACGCGCTTTAAATTACTGCTTCTCTCCCGAGCACAACCAACATTTATCGAGAGCAAGCTTGGCCGATTTCCACGCCTCGACCTTGATGTCGATTGCCGTCATGAGCTACGCCGAGATGTTGAAAAGTATATTACCGCCAAAGTCAATGAATTAGAATTGGAGGACCAGCTAGAAGAAAGTAGATTGAAAATAGTTCGAGAGGCTCTGGAAAAAGGCGCAGACGGGACGTTTCTATGGGTCGGGTTTGTCGCTGACGAGCTAAAGGGGAAGAGTAAACACAAGATGGAAGAGATTCTAACGAAAGTCCCCAAAAGACTCGGTGATATTTACAAGCGAATCCTTCATCAGATGGAAGACAAAGAACAACTGGCTCGCATTCTTCAATGGGTTGTATTGGCTCGGCGACCATTGACCTTGACCGAACTGGCGATTGCTGTGGATATCCACGACTCCAATACACAAAGCTGTGTAGAAATCCTCAAAGACCAGCTTTCATCCTGCCGACAGCTCTTGAAGGTTGTGGGGGATTCTGTCAGTCTCATCCATAACTCCGCAAAAGACTTTCTCTTAGGAGATGTGCACAGTGGTATCGAAGCGTTTTGTGTGAGGGAAGAAACGCATCTTGTCCTTGCCAGGACCTGTTTGGATACTATTGAAGTAGGTTATAAAACCTCAAACAATATCCGCTCTGAACCGGCCGAGTCTACGCTATTTCCGTACGCGAGCCGCTACTGGCTCGATCATCTAAGACAGGTACCAGATACCATCGAGCAGGACCTTTTCTCTCGGGAATTTTTTACCCCAAATTCTTCTGCGCGTGGCAGGTGGTGGGCAGATTACTGGGTCAAGGAGCAATATGGCGTTGCCCCAACGTCCTTCACGCTCCTGCATCTCGCTGCATATTTTGGAGTCACTGCATGGGCTAAAGTGCTTCTTAAGAAAAAAAGAGGAGAAGCCGTTTTCCGTCGAGGCCCTGAACACATGAAAGATAGCTATGGCCGGACCCCTTTGTTTTGGGCTGCAAGTAGAGGCCACAGGGAAGTTGCAAGGCTGTTACTCGATAACGGTGCCAATGTTAATGCAAAGGACAAGAATAAATTAACGCCATTGCACGTTGCGACAACTAGCGAACATACAAAGTTGATGGCTTTGTTGCTAGATCGGGGAGCTCACATTGAAGCGAAAGAGGCCAGCGGCGATACGCCCTTAGCTCGGGCCATAGAGAACGGGTCAAAGGAGGTGATCAAAGTTCTCCTAGAGAGAGGTGCTAATGAGGAATACTTGCACGCTCAGACTCGAGTGCGACCGGGCGCTCATGCGGCGACAAGGCAAGTTTCTATCGAGGATCGCGCTGAAGCCCTCCTTGACCTTCAAGACGATCTTCTTTTCAGACGATTTGAAAAACGATTCGAGGTGATGGGCTTTGTCTTGGGGAAGGTGCTTTTTCTACTTCGGTTGAAGCCCTTCTTTAAACTTATTGCCAAGTATATGGACTATCAACTTGACCAGCGGGAAGCAAGCAGCTTTGAAGTTCTACGTCAGTTAGTGGTGAAGGACCGATCCACGGGACTAGAAAAAGCCGTGAGGCCTGTTATCAAGTTTTGCGATAGAGTGGTCGATTCGAAGGACATTCAGAGGCTGCAAGGCTTGGTAGTAGTCGGCAATAAGCTGGTTCAAAATGCGCTGGCCCCAGGTAGTGAGGCACTTTTAGGTGTGGCAATACAGGTTGGGGTGGCGATGTTCCAGCGGGCGGTCAATCAGCAATTCAGGGAGGGCCTGGACATTATTGGGTATCACAGCGCTCAATCGTTGAAGATTGCCTTCGAGAAAGATAAGCACGACGTCATTAGGAGGGAAGTCAATAAGTGCATGCTGAAATGGTCTACAGATGTCACAAACGGAGGAGAAGAGAGTGTGGACATGCTGGGAGCCGCATGGAGCCTCTACAAATCCATTGTCTTCGACGGCGACCCCATAACCACAAAAGAGGTGCTCAATATATACGCCGATGTCTTTGGCGAACTTGTCCGAAGCAAATATTCCGAGAGCTTGTTCAGTGATCTGACAATTGTGTTGTCCAATGATGCAGCTTACTTAGCTAGGCGTCGGGACCACGATGCAGTTCAAACAGTCACGAAATGTCTCATGCTTCTTGCAGAGCGCGGAGACGATGTGTTTCTGGATTTCCTAGTAGATCTAGTCCCTGCATCGTTTCAGCAAATTCTCCACAGGCTGCCTTCTAATCTATGTGCGTGGCTCATAGGCGAAGGGGAATTGCTAGCGCAAGACTGTTTCCTCCAACCACAGCTACAAACTCGAGCACTGAAAGCTCTGATTGAATGCTTGATCCTGATGAAACAAACATACCCTACAGAGCTCGGAGAGGCGTTGCGTTACGTTAAGAAAATTTTCAAAACAGTCAAACAAGAACGTATTCTCGACGAGAAGGACATAAACCAGATTTTGTATTACATATTTGGTATCTCCAATGGCGACGCAGCGTCTGACTGCGGTTCTGGATAATGTCTACGATGACGGATTGATGGGCTGAGATATATTAGCTTCCGGAGCAAGAATGCTGTTTTCATATCTTGCAGCCCATCGCCCAAGGGAAGACGCCCTTCTTTATCGCTAGCTTATGGTCAGTTATAAGTCCTCCTCAAGCCAGTTATATATGGAGCTAAATATCTGCTGTTCAGCGCCTAGACGTAAATTGTAGCAGCTAGTTATACAATGCTTGTCTGAGCAAACATTCTTGCAGCGCAGGTCCGTCTCCCTTCCTCCCGCCTCCGAATCCCTACCATCTATGAAGGTATCACGTCATCCAACACAGATCTGAAAACATGTGGTCATCAAAAAATTTCTCTCATCATTTAGACTATCACACTGTGTCAAAATGTCATACACGTCAGGGGTATGTCGAAAACAAGAGGCCAAAACCAATTGAGGAACACACGGACCATATACACAAAACACAAATGGAGAATAACTCAAGGCTGATTTTCTTTCCCTTTTTTTCCTTGTCCAAACAAACAAAAGAGAAAATGGTCAAATTATCGATTAGAGTAACCAGATTGAACATGTGGATATCTATGCTCCCACAACCGGCGAAAACGCAAACAAGGTTAGATCCCGCATGCAACGCTCGATCGACAACTTGTACTCTAGCTGGGCAGGGCCTCTCCATCCTCCGACTGCAAGTGCGGAAGCTCTCAGGAATTTCTCCGCCCCGAAGGACAACAGAAGCTCGAATGTCACCATGAATACCGCAAGACTCCAATTTCCCACCTAAGACGCCATAAACCCCGATAAAATGCATCAACGTGACTTGTTGGAACCAAGCTCAAAAAACAAACATTTGTACAGCTAGAGGTAAATTGAGGATTCCTCGAAGCAGAAATGAAGGGCTAGGATGCCTTGACTCTTGCCACGGTCCCCGCGCTGCCAACCCTTCCACTTGCCTTCCGAACCTTGCCATCGCTTCGCTCTCCCAATCGTCGTGGGCTACTGCGTACTTTGGCCATTCCCAAAACACCGCTTCCGCTCTTGGTGCCGCTTGGACTCTTGACCTTGTTCACGCCTTCAACCCAGTTTTCAACGTCTTCGTGAATGTCTGGTGTAATATTCACCGAAGAACTTGTGGACGGGTGGCTTGGGGCGCGACGAGGAGTCCGAGGGGAAGCCCCGTTTCGGCGTTCTGAATCGTTGTCACCGTGATCAGGCGATCGACGGGATGCATTCTTAAGTTTTGTTCGCATGGACTGGACACCCACATCGCCGTCTACTCCTAAAGCGCCTGACGCGGCGCGAGCATATGGATGATGTCTTGAGTCCTTCCGATGAGACTTGCGAGGCTGGCCTGGGGTTGGGGCGGGAAGGTTTTCGTCTGCGTAGCATGGCGAAGCCTCATTGGTATCGATCTCACCCAAGGCTAGTCTCTTGGACTGGTGGCCGTTCGGTGGAGTAGCGACTTGACTATTTCCATTCAACCGATGCTTGGATGAGGCCCTGCCGGGTGTTGCTGGCATGGAAAGTATCAACTTTTCTTTAAGCGTATCCTCAAACCACCATTCGCGGAATGATCCTTGATTCAAATGCAGCCAGTGCTGCTGCGGACCGACAACCATTCCTGGACGCATAAATCGCATAAATGAGATCACTTCGTTTGCCGTGAAACCATGGCGATAAATTAGATATGCTCCAATCAGACATCCTGTCCGACCCAAGCCAGCTTTGCAGTGGACTGCAATGCCCTTATCCTTTGAGATCATATCGTGGGCAAGTTTTATAAACCGTCGCACAAGAGGTAGTGGTGGGCAGGTTCCGTCTTCGAAGATCATATCAATGTGGTTGATTCCAAGCGCCGTGAAATACGAAGGACTATATAGTTCCGAATTTAGCCTCACGACTAGTCCGATATTTCTTGATGCGAAGTGAGTCAGGACATTCTTGAAGGGCACAGGTAGCTGGGAAGCGTAGACTTCGGAAATGGTGGATGGGAGGGCTGCAAACTCGGGAGAATTTTGGGGAATGGGTGCAACGGGCTCGTATTGAGGCGATGCAAAGGCGAGAAAATGAGGTGTGATCCAGTTGAAATCACCCATGTCAACTCGCTCGTACTTTTCATACCTGTTCTGCTTGTAAGTAATGGGTACAAAGAAAAAAAAAAGGCGAAGCTTATCAGGATACTAACTCTTCGAGGCTGAATTCTTTTAGGCCACACAAGGTCTCTTCCTTCGCTTTCCAGACGCCATAGACGATATCTTGAATGGTAAGAACAAAGTCCGCTTGACTGTATCCTGCATCACGGAACGGCATATACGGAGGATCAGCTTGGGCGATAGGAGCCAGCGCAAGATGCGGAGGCCAGGACTGAATCAGGACCATATAGCAAGCCACCAGGCAGGCTATATTGGCACGGCTTCTTGAATCCGGTTTTGTCCACAGAACGACTGGTCGGTCCTTGTTTGCAGGGTTCCCCAGGACCTCGTGGAAGTGGACTGCAAACCTGTAGAGATGGCCGATGTGCAGGGGGCCGAAGTCGGCATGAAAAGCGTTGTAAAGAACGACATCGTCCACAGTGAAGTAAACCGGCTTCACTCCCTTTGCCGGGCTTGGAGGCACGGCTGAGCGCCTTTTGCTCGGCGACTTGGGTGGCACTGGGCGGAATGGCAACGGGGAATTCTCGTTTGGTGGAGTGTAGTACGAAGCGAGATACAGTCGATCTTAAAATACGGTAGAGTTAGCTATGCCCGATTTGAGACAGAAATTGAAAATCGCATCTGCGCACCTTCAATGTACTCGATCACCTGTCCGTAGGGACCTGAATGCGCCGGCATTTTGTCTGGCTTGAGAGAAACTAAGCTGGTACTGGTAAGAGGTAGATACGCAGCCGCACGTTCAACAATAACAGCAGATATCCTCTCCTCGAACCGGATGGGTACCAGCTAATCACAGTTAAACAGAGATCTGGTGGAGAGTCTCGAGCTTGGTGTTAATTATCACGGAAGCATGACCTTGCAGAGAGCGGCGAGATGCTGGAACGATGTAACAATAATTAGGAGAACAGCGAGAATGAGAGAGTGAGCAGGAAGGGCAGCAAACTATATTAACAACTTCCTGAGCTATGAAGGACAGAAGAATGATACAGAGGTAAGCGATGCAGCGGCGGACTTGAAGAATAACAAATCTGAGCCAGAGCACAACATTGCCTATGATCCCTGCAGGATTGTTATGTTGTGAGTCGCCCCGATTGGGTTTAGGCGGTGCATGTTGGCTGGACAACCCTTTCCCAAAGCAGCACAGTGTTTGTTTGTTGATTGGTCCAAATGCCAGCCTGTCACCACCCAATCACAACCCGACCATGCCGGATGCGGTATAGTATAGCGTCAACTTGGCGGGGGTTGTTGCTGTCACATGATTACCAAAGAGCAAAGCCCGCTCTGTCCAAAGCAAGCAGCTTTCCTCTTTGCGCCGGCATCAAAAACAAAGACAAAAAACTAGTCACTATCACCTTAAGCTGACAGGGAGGAGCATGTCTCATGCTGTCTCAGATGCGAAATATTAGTTACATCCCTTTGTTTGCCCTCTCTATCTTTTTCCCACACGCACGCAGACGGTGTTACTGGTGGGAGAGAGATCAGGCTGCTGTACTCTTTACCAGGCGCCTTTTCTGTGAACTCATGCTCCATACCATAGCATGCCATTTGTGTACATAACATTATAGAGAATGTAGAATGTCCTCTTGAACCTCCTGCGCACTTGCTCTGGGCACTATTGTCTTGCAGCTTATGCTCCATGTACACACGCCTTTGGCTGCTCATGAGATTCGATCGCGCGAGATTCCGTGCCGGGTCGACAATAATCCGGCCGAATTTAGACTTCCCGCCCCGCCATGTGTCTCGTGGGGCGCAAACGCATTCGAAGGCCGCGAGGGTTGCCATGTAATCACCACCATCAGGAGTCGGCGTAGCACAAGATCAGGCATAGCAACAGGCTTGTCGTGCAGGGAGAGTCCTTGTATGAACTTGCGGCTAAGCAAAAAGCCACGTCCACACCACTCTTCTGTCTTCAGGTGTATTCTCTAGCCGAGGATATTATCACGCGCCCACCGGAGCGGTAGAAAAGTAACAGTTACAATGGCTAAAATCGATCCCGAATTCCCTTATTCTTTGTGCGTTTTTTTCCCCCCAATCTTCCACGGAGGCGGCTATGCCTCCAATTGCTACCAAATGAGAAGGGTAAGCCTGACAGAAACACAAACAATAGAACCGTCTCTCTCCCGCTCCCCACTCACCGCCTTGCCTCCTCCGCCCTTCGTGCACTCCAAGTCGATGAAGAGCTGTCCCCGCTCGTCCGTCGCACACTCAGGCTCACGAGACCCGATCTATCACCACCGCTCCCGGCAGCACAGATATCGCCCATGATACCGGCAGATGACGCCACAGAGCGTCGCGAAGGAGGCACCAGTTACGACGACGAATCGCTTACGGTATTGCAGACAGAATACAAAGCGACAACAAATCGCATGTTGCGTGTTGCTGTGAATGCGTTTATGGAGAGCTTGGGGGTGGTGCTAGGCGTGATGGAGGAGTTAGACGTGGATGTCTTGGGATCGGAACTAGGGAGATGAGGAAAGAGGGTTTAAAAAACATTAAAATATGGAAGGGAAAAGATTTGCTTCAGGACTTAAGCGCGGTGCATGGTTTTGGTTTGAATTTCGCATGTAGCGGTGTTTTTTTGGCGTAATGTTTCATTTATCCCATTTATGTTGGAGATATCACCTTCATCAGTCAGGTGTTTTGTTGTGATTGTGCTTCTTCTAAGATTCTGACAGTGGATATGTCCCTCGTGCCCAATCTATGGTTTTATGCACAGTCCATTTACTGCTATAACTTCCTCAAAAGAGGGTTGAAAATACCACCTAGAAACGCCTTATCCAGAGGTTTCAAACCAACTCTTACGCCCAATCATCCGGTGAGCGAAATTTTCGAATCCAATTAATGATCGTCCGGGTTAAATCTTTTTTCCAAATGGGAATCTCAACGTATCCATCAAAAACCTCAGGAAGGGAAATGCCAGAAGCTTGGAAAGACCGCGGCGCCAATGCGATGAGAGGAGTGGGAAGCTTGGCCCCTTCCCTCTCGAATATACGCATCTTCTTCGCCGTCTCTTCTCCATGTGCTTCGGGTCCTGTGATCTCTAGAAAGACAACGTCATATTTTTCCCTGGTAAACAGTTCATATGCTTGTTGGCCGTTTTCACAGACCGTGGATTCCAGAGTATCAAAGGTTCCTAAGAGTTTTTTGAACAGAAGGCGATTGATATTGTCAGGTTCGACGGCGAGAATGTGAGCGCCGGCTGGAAGAGGTAATGAGTCGAAGGCCGAATGGATGGAATACCCTAGGTCGGCCTGGTTGCGGCATGAGATGCAGAAAGTAGAAGGATCTAGCTTCAATAGTGGTGCAAGGTCCAGAAATTCAGCTGAGCTGGAAAGAATGGTCGGGGTCGCATTGAGAAGTGGTATCGCTCGAATGTTGTGCAATACGTCCACAGAATCGACAATGATTGCTTCGAAGGGAGTTTTAGGGTGTAATTTAGGTGGCCACCGACCGTCTTCCGAAGAAACGATATCTTCTGGGTTCAAAGCCAGCGTATTCAGGGGGAATGCCTCAAGCATACCCCGAATTTTGTCGCTTTCATTGGCGATATCGTCGACGATAAGAATTCGATTGTCCTCGTACTTCGAGATGTCTGAGGTCATCCGAGCTAAATTTGGTATGTCTCTCTTTACAATAACGGAAAAGTGAAGCACAGAGCCATGGTCATGCTCCGCTGTTTCCCATATTTGGCCATCCATCAATTGTATTAGCTGATGCGTTACTGCTTGAGTTAAGCCAGTTGCGTCCGTCCACTCCTCGAGCATTGAGTCACTGATCCGGCGATAAGACTGATAGGATGCTGGTCCGCATCCCTTTCTTTCCAGCAGACGTGCATTTGTGACGGAGAACTCGAGTTCAATGATGTCGGAGGCACTGCTTCCCGAGGATGTCCTGGCGGTAACTTTAACCTGGCCTTTTTTTGTGCGCGCGATTGCATTGCTGATCAGATTAAACAGGACCTGGCGCAACCGAGGAGCTTCGTAGACGAGATACTCCGGTATCGAGTTATCAACTTCGTAAGCTACATCAACGCCCTTCTTTGCAGCAATCGTCCAGAGTTCCCTAAATGTGGGTATCATGTACCCCCTAAACTGGCATCGAGACGGCCGCAGCGTCAACTCATTTGCTTGGGCAAGCAAACAATCCATGAGGTTATTCTTGGCTCTGAACAATCTGCTCATGTTCCTGCAGATCGTGTCTAGAGGATCACAATATTGGGGTGGGAGTCCGCTTGAGGGACACATCGATCTTGTTTCTTTCATGATGTTGTTCATCCAGATATCGATTTCGTCGGAAATCTGCCGAATGGAAACCGGATTGCCAGCCAGCTGGAACCTCTGGTGTTGGTCACCCACATTTTCGTTCTTCGAACTCTTTCTATTCATGCTTGGTGATGGTAGGCTTCCTCGCCGTTGAAATTTGATCAGCGTCTGAAGCGAGGAGGGACTCGAAGGGTGAAAGTTACATGTAAGGAGCAGTATACTTGAGAATAATTTATTGATCGGGAAAAGCAAGTCTGTGTTGTCGGCGTCTACAGCAGAATGTCCAACACCGCCTTGGGGGTCGTACCGCTCCCCCACTCGACTAGCTGCATGCGACCGGGCCAGCCCTTTTTTTGACCATGGACGATCGGCGGCAACACAACAGGAAAACCCATACATGTACCCTCAGCTCACATGGAATAATCTGCGAACATGAGACGCGATTCCAAATCGACTGTGTCTCCAAAGAGAGAAACAGGCCCAGCCTGGACTCTAATATCTGCTGCACAGCAGTGTCAGGAGGAATTAAGTTGGAGCAACAAGGTTCAGAAGTACGAGCCCAAAGCCCAGATGCGAATGCCGAGCGCAGAAGGTTGTCTCGGAACCACTTCCCCGTGGCTTGCGCATCCAGCATTCCCTGCCGTCGCGTTTTAAGCACGCAACAAGGTTCCTGGGGTCCAGCCTTGATGAGGTGGACAGGTAACGACAGAATTGAGGCCGGGGTGGGATGAGGTAATCGGTACGTCTGACGTCGGATAAATGAAAATGCGCCCCGTTTGTATTTTTTGTGAGTGGCTGCCGTAAGATATACGCGGCTGATAATGCCCTGACGGTAATGTAAAAGTGGCTTCTGGCGCTGGGCCAAACGGCAGCCAGTCAGACGGCATGGCTAGGGTCTCGCTTATCACTAGCGCCGTTTGCCACTCCGCCGCCAAACCTATAAATACCTCTTGCACCCCCTCCCTAATTTTTTAATTTTTTTTTTTTTTTCTTTCTTTTCTTCTCCAGCTCTCTTTGCCATTATGGCTTAGATCAAGTGTAGTATCTGTTCTTTTCAGTTTAATCTCTGAAAGTATTCTAAGGAATACAACATTGATTAATCTTATTTTTGGATCCCGCAGGAAAACCTCTGTGCTTGCGCATGTTTTCCGGCACTGTGTCATCAGTCTTACACTACCGCTGATTGACGCGAATTTTCTTTTTTCATCAATTCGTTGGCTTGACCAATGGTTTGGAGAGGAAAGCTTTGACCCAACAGTTGAAGATGTCTTGGGGACGGCCTGAAGTGGCGGCGAGTGGAAGCCATGTTGGTCAGCGGAGGGCGTCGGGTGGAGCATCGTGATGGATAGGACGATCGAAGTAGTTATCGGTCTGGGAGAAGGTTTTATGTACATACGTACAGAGTTCAAAGCTCAAGTACTCCGTACTCGTAGAGTTGTCTGGATAGTCGTCACATGTTACCATAGAAGCGTACGGAGCACTCCGTACTGAGTAGTTGGAATTCGCTTCAAGAAACGCACTTTGGGCTCGCCCCGCGCGACCTAAGAGCTCTGCTTGGCATGCTACCTTTATAGCTCTTCAATTTGTCACGACCTTCGGAGCCGTCAGCTATACATCTTCATTGTCTTTTGACCTGGCAAATCCATTGCATTTCTAGGCATAGAGACAGTATGATTGATCAGTCCATTTTTGAAAATCTTCAGTCAAAAATTGACGAGGAGAGTCAGATCCGCGATGTAAGTTTCGCATCCCAAACGTCCCCATTATCTCGGGATATTCTAAGACAGACAATCCAGGAGCTCCAAGAAATTGTGCAAGCTCTTTCTCGCCGTGGTGTGTTTTGAATCAGAACTGTTAGGTGGAGAGCCATCTAACAAGATATTTTGTCAGGGAGAAATACACAAGCCATATTGTCAAGAGCTCATTATACCCCAGAGGACAAATGTAGGTCTGGATGCTGAGCTTGTGCTCCCCATACCCCCGCCTATGCCTCGTCACGGACGGCTAACTCATGATTTTGTGAGATAGTGAAACCCGTCCTTGATGAGACCTCAAATGCAATCAAAGAACAGAAAAAAGATGTCACGAGACTCGTCTCCGTCGCTGCAAAACATCCCTTCTATAAGTTTAATCATATATGGACGCGCGAATTGCAAAACTTAGTGAGCTCGATTCCATCGGGGGCTGTAGAGCTGTTCTAAGGGTGCTAATCTCATCACAGGTCTTCTCTATCCAGTTTTGCTCTTGGCTCGGTGGCCTTGAGGATTACCGTGAAGGGAAAACCGGTTTTTTGACGATTGAAGAAGTTGGAAAGTTTTTAGATGGTATGTCCCGGCTAGCACTGACCCGCGAAACGAAACGTTAATTGTACCCTGAATCAGTGCCTGTGAACCTGAAGGACCAAGATGCCTTTCATCTGACAATAGAAGAATACTTACTGGCATTGATAAACCTCGTTGAGGAATTGGTAAGCTCACTCTTCAATTCGTCAACGTTATGTAAATCGTGGACAGCCATCTTTTGGCTTTCGGATTTTGTTGACAGTTCACACTTCTCCACAGACCCGATTGGCTGTCAATGCGGTGACACTGGGTGATTACTCTCGCCCTCTTAAGATCAGTGCCTTCGTTTCTGAAATCCATTCCGGGTTTCAGCTTCTTAATCTCAAGAATGATATTCTCCGAAAGAGAAGCGATGGCATTAAGTATAGCGTACGTTTCCGAGAAGACTAATATCTCTACCTTTCTTGCTTCAGCCTTAGGTTTGCGGGTTCAGGACTGATAGAAAAATGCCAACTTGCAGGTTAAGAAAGTCGAGGATGTCGTCTACGATCTGTCACTACGAAATTTGATACCAAAATCCTCGGAGATTTCTTGATTTGCTAGTCATCGAGTCGTAATCAAACGCAATGCTGAGCAGAACAAGACCAACAAGCTCGTTCATGAACCAATCTAAGGACTTTTTGTGAGGAACTATCGAAGAGTATGTTAATACAGGATAGGCTTCTTTATTCGCAGTTCAGCTAACAAGGTTGATAGAAATGTCGAAATGTCATTTTGGCTAAGGATAAATTGTCGTAGGAACGCGATGGAGGGGAGCTGCCTAGCCAGAATACCATACCTAGGGTATAGCGATATCACATGGGGGGAAAAGATGGGATGAAGCATTAAGACATTGAATAAAACCAACTTATTATTGTAACACCATCATAACAATTTGCAGTCCGAAAGGTGGGGATACAGTAGCACCAGTAGCGGGGAGATAGCCCTGCTGATCCTGCATGTAGTAATCCATACAGAGTATTTCTTTTTCATCCTACAGCGAAGTCCTTCCTCCTTTCTCCATCTTTTCGATCTCCTTTAAGATTGGCGCCTCCAAGGACTCTGGCTTTGTAATACTCGTCCACCTTCCAACGACCTTCCCGTCTGCACTGATCAAGAACTTTTCAAAGTTCCACTTGACCCTCTTCAGGCCCATAAGGCCAGGCATTTCCTTCTTCATCCACTCAAATACCGGTGCCGCTTTATCGCCGTTGACATCGACTTTGCCGAGAATGGGGAACGTCACGCCGTAATTGACCTGGCAGAAGGACTGGATTTCATCGTTGGTGCCAGGGTCCTGAGAACCGAATTGGTTGCAGGGGAAACCGAGAACAGTGAATTTGTCTGGATGGTCGGCGGAGATCTTCTTGTAGAGAGCCTCTAGGCCTTGAAGTTGCGGGGTGAAACCGCATTTGGAGGCGGTATTGACGACAAGGATTACCTTGCCTTGGAGGGAGGAGAGGGGGAAAGGTTCGCCCTTCTCTGTTGATAAATTTGGGTATGGTTAGCCGGGAATTTGCGTGTTGTTTGGGGGCTGGGAGTGGGACTTCACGTACTGTCGGGGGTCGCAAAGTCGAAGAAGCTGGTTGCTGAGGACATGTTGGCGGTGCTAAACCTGCGGAAAGCGCTTGAAATCGCAACTGAATACGCAAATCGTCGAAGTGGTCTGAATGGTTGATTAGATGATGGGATATAAAGGGGTCTTGCAGTGGAAGGAATATTCCTAATTAGAAGAAAATCAAGGTCCTTTGGCTACAGAATGTACGGAGTACCTGGTTATAGCACAGGTGATTCGCGCCAGACGGAACCTCGGGAGCCAGGCAAGGGGTAAACTCACAGCATGCAGATTTCTAAAATCCAGGAGTACTGCAAGGAAGCGTCCAGAGCATTCACTATTATAAAGCACAACTTCGCATCAACTATAATTCGCTGAAGCGCTGAACGTTTTTGGCACTCGATGCGCCCTGGCCATGACGTAAGTCGGCTGGGGAGCTGCTCGAAACTCTCCGAGGTACGGAGGGAGGCTCGCCCGTAACTCGAATACGTCAACGGACATCTAGATCCCCGGACATTTCCTAGGTATCTCGACGATCTTCATGAAAGCGCTCGGGAACAGGTTAAGATCGTCACAGAGCTCATGTATGGAGGAAATCTTGCCGAATCTCGCCGATCCCAGAAAGATGTTCAGCATTCGAACGGAATCCCGGATCAGCAATGTATTGCGCTTTCGGGTTGTTTTACATTTTACAAATAAACGAGTGGTATGGAGTATTCCGTATATTAATTACGGGGTACTCCGTATATCTAATATCATTATGAAGTGTGACCTGGCTTCTTCTGGGTGGGCTGTCGAAACAAATTGAACTGACGGGAATAATCTCTCCATATCATCCGAAAAGAGTGCTGAGTAGCGTGACAGGATGAAATACGAGCAAGCCGTCAACCAAATGATATCAATAGGTAGTCAATAATGTTGGGGTACTGCGATGCTGTTCATTCAATACAGCCTCTCAGGCATATGACGCTGATCCCTTGCTTTGAGTACTCCGTGGAGGAGAAAAATATGCAATATAGCCCCTTTCCACAAGGACAATGTGACCATGAGCAGTCTTGGACAGAGTTTGAGATCTCAGATCAAAAGGAGCTTTTTTCCATGTAATTTCTCTCCTGATCCATAAATTGGAATTGCACACGCTGGGGAACTGACTGCTCGATGACTAACTGAAGAGAGAGGGACAACTTCCCTCGCCACCAGATTTATAAGGGAAAAAAAAAATTCACTCAAATTACAACGGACGTTTTTCAACTGATATATCTGTCCCGCAATCTAAGCGCTTTGTCGATTTCTTCAAGGTCTTGGAAAATACCTGCTTTTGTCGTTTGCTGGGAGTCGAGGCCGGCGGTTGTGCCCTAAACCCTAACTAGACCCAGCGCCAAGATTTCCACCGTCCAGCCCACCAAAGAAGCGCCGAGAGCTTCGAATTATCAACACCAAGCGCGCATTTTTAACCCATCCATCCTCCCGCTTGTCACCGCAGGATAATCACCTCTTTGCGGACTCTACTCCAGTCAAAAAGAACTTTTTGCCCTTCCCCGTCGTCACAATGGCCCCTGCAACTGTACGTTCTTCCACGAACAACCGCTTTGCTGTTCCGCCTTGAATATCTCTTTTGCCTACGACCTCGCTGTCATGGGTCACAATGAGAAAATCTCGGCATTTAGTTTTCACATCTAGGAGCAGTAGGCTAACGATTGGTATTTTCCCATGCGACTAAATAGGCCCGTAAGCCGCAAAAGGTCACGAAGAAAGTACGTTCTTCCATCAATTCCATCGTGTTGCGCTGAGAGTCCGTGCTAACAAGCTTCCTCAAAGTTCGTGATCAATTGCTCTCAACCCGCCAACGACAAGATCTTCGACGTTGCCGCCTTCGAGAAGTTCCTCCACGACAGAATCAAGGTCGAGGGCCGTGTTGGCAACTTGGGTGACGCCGTCCAGATCTCCCGCTCCGGCGATGGAAAAGTCGAAGTTGTCACCCACATCCCTTTCTCCGGCCGCTATCTCAAGTACTTGTACGTAAAATATCTGTTCCAATCGCGCTGATAAAGGAAGAAGATGACAAGAGTTAACAGCGCTATGCACTCCTATAGGACCAAGAAGTTTTTGAAGAAGCAGCAGCTCCGTGACTGGCTCCGTGTCGTCTCTGCCGCTAAGGGTGTCTATGAGCTCCGCTTCTATAACATTGTGAACGACGAGGCTGAAGAGGAGGAGGACTAAGCTTCTGTAACGTCTAGTACCCTGTGACGTGCCAATGGGTTTCGAGCCAATAAAGAGATGAACGAACTTGGTCGTCAAATTCGAACGATTAGGGTGGGAATGGCGTCGCGAAACGCCGGGTTATTCTTACCATTTTAATGACAGCGACGCGAGAATATCTAACTCGCTTGTATGGCTTCATTACGAACATGACCCAACGTTTTGTATCTCTAACGGCCCAATAAAATTGGTTTCTAGTCTCATATTTTACTTCATCCCTTATATTCTAAGTCGTGAGATTCGTAAATTTGCATATTATAAAATATTATGCTTTGGCTTCCTTGGTCTGATCATAACTTGTCCTCTTGGAACCTGCACCAATCCCCAGGGCTGCAGTTCCAGCTGCAAAAGGTTTGATGTTGACTTTGTTGGGTTCTGGCTCTATCAACGCGCCATCTTTGATCGTATACCCGAGGGCCTTCAATCTCGTCCACGTCTCCCGTACTTTAACCCTGACCAGGTCACCTGTAGCTTTGGCGTCCTCCATCGAGTCATGTCCCTGGTCCCCGGCGGCTTGAATGTGTCTGTCCAGATATTTCTTCGAAAGAGTCCTGAGTCCAAAGCGATAAGGTAAACCTCCTGGATGCGGATATAGGAGAACCGTATCAACGATTGTTGGGTGAATGATGCGGCAAGCATTTAGATCATTGTCGATTGCGTGCCCAATTACTGGGGTATCAGGTTGTAGATGTTCAAACAAGAGTGCTCTGGCAGCCGCCGGAGACTCAACGATTGGCAATACAAAGTTGACAGATTGCGGTCCACTGCTAGCTTGGGCTCGCGCCTGCTCAGATCCATATGGGACGGCATTTGCAAAGTGTTCTGGACGCACGCCAGAATAGCGCGAATTGAGGTCCAGAACTTCTCCCATTGGCCGAACGAGGACATCAAGTACCTTCTTTTGGTCTGGCCAAGTGATCGCTGTTAATCGGATGAGCTCTAGCCCCAAAGTTGTGTAACCCATCTCGCAATCAAAGCATATCGGCGGCAGCAGCCCCTTGTCAGGCTGTGCAGGAGTTTTCTCAAATTGCAGAATCGCAGCCAGTCTCTTGACCTCCGTCACTTTGAAGACATGGGACTCGGCTTTGGTACATCCCGCCGAAGTACCAACCGCCTCGTTGCAGCATGGAAAATATGGCTCTGTTTGGCCAAGAATATGGTCAGTTTTCTTTTTCGGCGGACGAACAAGCCGTGCATGGTGATACGTGCAGGGCCCTCCTGATGCTAAAAGGCCATCCTCTCGTCGTCCGGGAAAGACCTGAAATCTCCCACTACAGCGATCGCATTGTTCCCAACCTTGTGCCGTTATGTTCCCCTTAGTGGCATTCTTGATATCTTCTTTCGAAGGAGCCACGATAACATAACCCGCTTTGGCTTGTGCTTCTGGAGATGCGAGAAATCTGGAAAGCATTACGATCTCTCCTTGAACATCCAATCCAGTCAAGATAGGCTCTGGTTGGGGCTTCAAGGGCAGGACTTGCGTGTTCTTTGGCCGTAGATAGTTTAAGACATCTTCTTCCCAATCACTCAACTTCATCTTCCTGAGCTTCGTAATACGGAGCTTGATGACATTTGAGTACACAGAAGACGACTCTCTCGCTGCCTTCTCTTCTTCATCTAATGCTCGGGATATGAGCTCGTCCTCAGATAGAACGAGAGCTTTTCTTGATTGCTCCTTCAGAGCGAGAAGTTGATTGTTGAGTCGAACCATTTCTTCATGTAGTTTAGCGAGAACGGATGCACGTGTCGAATGCGCTGCCGGAGGCTTAGACAAGTGTCGGGGATTCAAAGTCTCCTTTTTTACCTGCCTAGGCTGCGTTGAAACAGGAATGGATGTAGTATCTGATGGCTTCTGATTTTGAGAGCCCACAGGAGGTCGATGGTGCCCGTGCGGAGACGTGTGACGGCTGATCGAAGGAGAGACAGGCTTTGATACGGATGTTAGACCTTGAATCTCATTTGACGATTTTTCCTTCTCGTTGATTTGCGGGTCCAAATTCGGGATACTATTATTTGGGCTTGTCCCATGTCTTTTAGCTTTATCCACAGGCTTCAAAGTGCTATGGCCGTCTGCATCAAGGCGTCTTTTTTTAGGTAAAGGCTCTTCATTCACATATGTAGCATCTGCATTCAGAACCACGCCCTCGTTTGTTGATTTAGGGGTGATGAAACTGCTAGTTTCTTTGTCTTCATGAGCGAACATGCAGTTTAGGAGTTTGCAACCCGTCCCTTCAGGACAACTAACTGCCTTGAAAAACCCAACTGAGTTAAACATTCTGAATGTTTCTCAACTTCTGGGACAACGGGAAGGAAATTAACGACAATGTATATCCAAGGTTTTCTGTGCTTTCAGGACCGTGTCCTCCCGATGCTGGTTAGTGCACAAAATAGACACCTGTAGCCTGCGTCTAGCGCAACTATCCGGCACGTTTGAGGATTGTTCTAGCCTTCTATGTCAGTTTCACCTGCCCTAGCACCACTAGATAATAAGCCTATGATCTGTGCCGGGAATATCAGAGTCAAGCCGTGGTGATAATTATTTCCATTCACTCAGATCGGTTCTCATGGGATACATGTGTGACCCAATGGCATGCAGAGGATCCAGCTCCAGGGACTGGTTGGTAATTTGAGCAACGGCGCAAAGTACGGAGTGAGAAGTCAATTATCCCGGGTAAAGGGCTTTCCCACATCGCAGTTGGACGAACCTCAGAGGGGTTATCTATGAGAAGACTATGAGGGAATATTAGCACTAATGCTGGCAAGTGAAAAGTCAAAGAGAAAGAACATGGGTAAGCTGGTCAGCTGCAGCTGGATAAACAGTCTAGGAAGAACAAACATGACTCACGGTATAGATCCAAATTCACACCTTTAGGATTGCTGCGCAGATACCAGTCAAATAGAACTTGTAGTAATTATCCAAGAGCGGTAGTGCAGCTTGTCATTCGAGCTACTCGGGCCTGGGCAATACGTTGCTGCTCTACTTCAACGGTAGTCCACCAATAAGCCTAAATTCCACTCGAGAGCAGTCTGTTGATATGCCTCGTCGTTGGGCAGGCAATGATGCAGAGGGTGAAAACGGTGCAAACATTCAGCTCCCGATCCGCAGATCATTCCGGACTTACAAATATCCGGGATTAGTCAGAGTGGACATGCAGAATTCAACTCCTCTACGGAGTAGTTACAGCATACTCCGTAGTGTCTTTTTATCTCATGATAATTAATTACTCTTGATGTTAGAATTTTGGTATGGTTGAACTACGAAACCCAGTCTCATGCAATGTTTACAACCTCTCTCCCCAGGTTCCATATTTTAATTACAATGCTGGCCATCACACAAAGGCGAGTCAGGCCTACAATTGAGCGTCCTATTTGTACTCATTGTTTTGCTGTTTAACTTGCCGGTTATAAGCGCAAGGCCTGATATTCTCACAGTTGTTGGCCGGCGAAACGGCTAGTCTGCCTGAAAGTATGTCATTTGGACATAATACAGGCTTGAGCCAATTTTGATCGCTTCTACACGAGGCTGGTTGCTTTCATGTCTTGATGACCTTACCATTTCTGCAAGGAATTGTTCATCAAATTGTGGGTCATGATAGTTACCCATAGGCCAGAATCAGTCTCCAAGATACTGGTTGAAGCAGGGATCCCCAGATCTTTTCCCGCCTCATCAAAAGGCAACACAGACAAATTTGCGCACAAAGCAGACCATTTGAATAATCATGATTCTCTGCCGCAGACGGCCTACACTTGTTGATAAAGACACAGTTCATTCTATAGGTAATCATCTGTGAAACCTGTGGCTTATCTGGGTCAGCTGCCAGATATTATCAATTCAATTGATATATTGTCGCTAATCCTTGTATGGGGAAACATCTTATTGTAACCCTGATGGGACCAGTTAAAATTGCTTTCTGGTATTGAAGCGGGTAAACATGCCAGCAATAACTCTGCTCCCCTTCGGTTAGCGAGTACAAATTGATTCTATATTGTCAATAGTTGCCGAGAACGGCCCATCAGGTTATACCCCCGTTCCGAGAGCCATGGCCATATCGACCGATAGTTATGGTATAAAAGAAACATGGCCCACATTCACAAAGCCGCCGCAGGATCGATGATACACGGAGTTTTGGGAATAGGTTGGCCTATAACTTTGCACTGTTCTTGAGCCTCAGAGACCGTGCATCAGGCACGATTCGACTTTAGCATTTCCTGGAACCTTGCTTTTTACGATCATGGCTGCCATTTTCAGAGCTTCTCTTGTCGCCTTTGCGACGTTGGCGTCCTGCACCGATGCTAGCAAGCTGCTTGGGTTTGAGAACAAGAGACACATCATTCCGAACTCCTACATCGTGGCGCTGAAGGAAGGTCTCCCGGAGCGTGATTTTGAAACCCATATGGCGTGGGTATCTGATGTCCATTCCGCAAACGTGGCATTAGCCGGAGGCGCTTCGACATCTGGAGTAAAGCACACTTTCAAAATCAATGGCTGGAAGGGGTATAGTGGAAGCTTCGACGAAAACACGCTTCACGAGCTCATTACCAATGAAAATGTGAGATTGTAATCCTTCCAGTCGAAATGTCAGGCTCACAGTGTCCCCCAGGTCGATTATATCGAGCCGGATCGCATGTCACACATAGCATCTTTGGATCGTAAGTTTGCTCTGGAAACTCAGAGAAATGCCCCATCCTGGGGTCTTGGAAGAGTCTCCCATAGGCAAGGAAATAGCCGTGACTATGTGTATGATTCCACTGCTGGAGAGGGTGTGACGGTATATAGCATCGATACGGGAATCGATATCAAGCACCCAGACTTTGAGGGGCGCGCATCCTGGGGCATCAACACCGTAGATGACATTGATGAGGACGGGCATGGCCATGGGACCCACACTTCCAGTACGATTGTTGGAAAGACTTACGGTGTCGCCAAAAAAGCCAAGATCATTGCTGCTAAGGTCTATGATGCTCGAGGCCGCGGCCCTGATAGTGCAACTCTTAAAGCAATTGAGTGGGCAGTGGATCATGCCCAGAAAAACAATCACACCGGTAAAGCAGCCATGAACTTGAGTTTGGTTACCGACAGTCCCCGGGCAGTGAATGCAGTTTGCACAAAGGCTGTTGAAGCCGGAATCTTTCTTGCTGTTGCGGCCGGGAATGACAACGTGAGCGTTCAAGACCACTCCCGCAGGATATATTCTCTAACATGCAATAGAGGGCCGTGACCAATGAATCTCCAGCTTCGGCAGACAAGGTTTGTACTGTTGGTGCTACACGTCTGGGCGATCAGAAAGCGGGCTTTTCAAACTACGGCCGCCTTGGTTAGTCCAACCAGTCACAATTCATATAACTACTCGAAGCTAATCGAACATCAAAACCCCAGTTGCTCTCTATGCCCCCGGTCAATCAATCACAGCCGCGTTCCCCAATGGCCGCACCGGGACCATTTCTGGCACTTCTATGGCCGCTCCTCATGTTTGCGGTGTTGGTGCGACTATCATGGCCCTCGAAGGTGTTACGCCTCAGAAACTTTGCGACCGCCTCAAGCAACTTGCACACCCTTCTGTTAGGAATCCGGGGCCCAACACTACCAACAAGCTTCTCTATAATGGAAGTGGCCAATAGATGGAGGGCAATAGTTTGCAAAGTGGATGTTTCTCACGGTTTCGATAAGGCTTGCTCTATTTATGGATATGTGTATTCATACTACACTAAGAGTTAGGGTGGTTGCCCACTTCCCATTGAATACATGAAAATCCTAAATTACAACACTCTTTATTCGCAAATATATTTGTTATTTTCAGCTTCTGGGTTGAATATACCGATCACCAATGGGTAGTTGACATTGGAATTAGGTCCCAGGTCAGGGTTTTGAATTTTCTAGAGGCCAATTCTTCAGACGACCATGTTCGCTTCTTGGCTTATCTTCGCCAAATTAATGCGAAACTCGGGGCACTGCAGAGAAGGAATTCTCAGTAAGTCGACCATAGAAGACCTCCAGGGTAATTTCTTCGGCTTGACGGGAGCTAATCTTCAGAGCCATGTGAGCTCAACTATGGAAGCGGAAGGCTAAAACTTATAAAAGGCTCAATACTACCTTGAATGGACGTGGTAAGCAGAGTCCTTTAGAGCTCCCCAGCGATGTCGTTTGGTGATAGAGGCCTTCACTATTCTTCCCAACGTTGGCTTGACTCGAGATAACCCGGGAGAGATTACCTGCTAATTAATACCTGCATATTGGTGGAAGGACTCATACCTTCCGGGTTCAACCTAGAAGAGTTTAAACGCAACTGCTACATTGCAGTAGTTAGCGATCCTAACTTCAATATGGCTCAGCGGGTAAGTCAAATCAGATTACTCAAGCACTGCAGTGGCTTTGATCTCAGGTGTCGCCGGTTATGGCAATTCCAACAGTGAGTCCTTTATCGCGCCTGATCTTACTGCACGCTCGAATAACTGGGATAACCAATTTCCCCTAGTGACGAGCATCCAGTTTTGCGGCAAGTCCTTAAAATTGGCTGACATAGCTTTATGTGTTGCTAGCTATCTAAAGCTAGTAGGTCTCCATACTCTTGGCCGGAAAAGACTCCAGCTCCTCGAAGGTAGTACAGTACAGATTGGCTGAGCGGAAAGATTGCTCAACAGAGATAGGAGCAGGCTTGCTAACATTTTGGAGAAATTCTATACATGAAAAGCCATGTGGGAAAACCGGTTTATAGATCGATATAATATTTTCTGGACGAATGCCAAATGAAAGTTATTTGACGTTTCGGAAATTCAGGCCTTGGTTATTGGGATCCACTCATCATTGCGCATCGAGTTCTGAACTCTGCCATGACTGTGACTCCATTTTGAAAAGTCAAGAGTGTAGGCAGCCGAGGGGCTGGATTTTGCTGTGTTATATCACTCAGTATGCCTGTAGCCAACTTCACCTAGGAGATCCTGCGGCGGCCCCTTTGAACCCACGCGAAGAGAATCAAGATGGAGAAAGGCAACTAGGAATATTCTCCAAGAATCGATGCTGGCCATCGTATCCTGTTTAGTGAAGGTAGTGGGCTGTTTCAAAAGAACAGCGTTTTCACTCTTGGAAGTCTCCTCAAACCTGCTTTCTCGATCAATACGACCAACAGCATTGAGGCCATGGCTAGAAAGGGTTTCATATCGAGTAATAGTAGGATAGCCCGACCAAAGTTCTATTTGTATGTGGCGATGTAAGACTGACTGAAGAAAGAGCACTCTGAAAAAGGGCTTTACCACCTTCGGTACAATTCCGAAGTAATTGATGAATAATAAATGCTAGGGAAGTGAGCTATACGACATTGATCGTATAGCTGCAATAGTGGCGAGGGGTGAGAGAGAATAAGTGCGGCAGTCCTATCGCATTCTTCCTGCCTGTCTCGCTTGAATGAGAGGATCTCAACCTCACGAAATCGGTTCAATTATGATAGTCCAATTTTATGATGTTGAGAGCATGAGAAGAGCAAGCCGGCTTTAGCTTGTTAAACTGCAAAGTAACTAAGGAGTACTCCGGATTTATACACCCATGTAACTGGAGTATGTCCACTCAATGTTCCCCTCTGGAAGTGATTCAACGGGAAGATTTGGTGGTAATCTTGTTTAAGTCTTTATAGATCTCTTCGTCATCTTCGAACTGGTGTGCATCCCTGGTTCGAATGGTTGGAAAGTTGATCACTGTTTATTTGCCGGGAATAAATTAGTAAACCGCACGTACATCCCAGCAGCTTCAAAAGTTTCGATAATCTAAAACAATACATCTCTGTTATGTCAAAAATGGGGATTATTCTTAGACACACTATGCAGTATCAGAAATGGAAACCCGAAGAAATAGGATTGGCTAAGTATCAGGCAAAGCGAGTTTGCACATAACCTTCTGACAACCGCTAGCTGGCCTGCCGAGGTGGGCCTCTTGAGAGAGCATTACCACCATCAACAGCCACTCAATTAGATAAGAATAGAGAGCAAATTTTTGGCACAAGCGCCCCTGAGCCATGATAGGTACGTATTATTATACGCATTTGTTTTTTGAACGAAACATACTCCTCGTTCGAAGCCAATGGCGACCAATGCAGGGCCTATGGGCATCATTTCGAATGACCACCCCGCAAATCAAAAATAGGACCTCGGGTTCTAAGCAGAGGTCCTCCTGGGCTTGCTTTGGGAGAAAAAAAAGAAAATGACTAACATGTTTAACGTCTTCCATAGCGAGTCCAACAGTAGCTGAGGCCTGCTCGCTGTACTTGGGCCAGTCCCCAACTTCAGCAAGCAGGCTTTCAATCACCGGAAGTGATGAAGAACCATAGAACCAATGCAAGACCAGGATCAAACCCCCCTAGGCCCCCTCCTTTACAGGCACGGATTTGATATCCCACCGATCCATATCTGTTTGAGCGGCGTGGAAAGGGTCGCGATTGCCCAAGGCCGGATCGGAGTAACTAGCAGGCGAGCAAAAGGGGGCGGGGTAGTTAATGCGCAGGCAAAGGAGGGGCAGATAGCGTGGGCTGGCGGAGATCTCGCATTATCACTCTCATCGGCGTTGAATAAAACTTTCAACCCTAGATAAAACTGCTTGCATTCTTTGATGGGGTCGAAGGAGCTGAATCCTCCAATTTGCCATTCAACTCTTTGATATGTGCAAACACAAGACACCTCCGGCACAGGACGCCCGACGTCACCAGGTTCAACACTCAGACTTACTTTTCCTTGGCCTTTTCAAGTCCTAAGACGAGAACGGCAAAAGGAAGATGGGAATTCCGTTAGATTCAGCCGATCATCTTATTGTTCTCTTTGCGAGTATCCACACGTAATTGGGATACAGGCCGGGAAGCTTGACGTCCGTCTGACAATTGAGCAGAGTTCCCTGTGGAGTTTGGGCTCTGCTTTACCACCATATGGCCTCCGAAGCCCTCCGCTTGCGGCGGCCGACCCCGCTCCGGAGAGTCATTCAAAAGGACTATGGCTTCCCCAAGAACGTTTCAATTTTATAAAACCGGAATGCGAGTAGACTGTACTCCGTACGGCGAGACTACACCTCAGGAGCGATATTTCTCACGTCAAGAACACGGTTAGCACCGCAATCATCAGCCATGTGCTCTGACGCGGGAGGTTTAACAATAGTCGTGGGGAATCGGAACCCCAGCTTCTCCACCCACCACCCCACCTCGTCGCAGTGTGCAAGCATCATCGTTTATCCGTTGGACAATGTTCCGTCCTTTGCTCGTCGAGGGCTCTCAACTCGGCCGGTTTCCGGAATTTCAGCAGGGTTGATACACCCACAAGTGCGGCGCAGCCATGCAGCAATAATCCTCGAACTGCCACAGCCGACATGTTGTTATTTGACAAGCATGAAACAGACGTGTTTGACTTCGAGGGTCTCCCGATGATAAGCAAATATGCGTGATACCCCACCTCCCTTCAAGGGTGAATCTCTTGGACCTCACATCATGTTGTTCTGCGGAGAAGCCTCAACGGCCACATGTTGCTTTGCGCAGTCAAAGCGCCGGGCAACACTTTCGATCCCCGCAGCTTCCCTTACATATTAATCACTGCATGGACGAAGGACCCAGGAGCATGAATCTTCGTTTTTTCGATGATCACAGAAACTTTTCTCTCGTATTTAATTTTCTCAAAAATCATCCCTCTCCACCCTAGTTTTCCCTGTCAAATTAGTACTTTCCCGTCAACTGGCATGGACTGTGAGACTACCTCCCTTTTACTTCATCGGCCCCAATCAATATGGCTCCTGAGATCGTTGCCAAGGCGATTCCTGTGAGGAAGGGCAACTTAAGGACTCTTGACTGGAAATTATGAAACGATTCGTTTATCCGCGGACCATGAACTCATGTTTCGATATTTTTGCTGACCATGGACCTCAGAATTTCACCAAGGTGGGACGGATAACATCTCCTCCCAATCGGTCCTTGTAGGGCTGTGGATCAAGATCCACAACTAATGGTAACTCCACCCTTCGGCGTGTCGCATCTTCAAGCGGGAAGCGAGGAGGTCGACAAATTTGGCATTCTTACCAGCGGTCCCTAGCCGCATTTCCAGTTTTCTCTCGACAGCGATTCTAGCAACCATGGCTCCTCCTACCCATCAGCTCCCAGAGCCACATCTTGCCGAGAGACCCTCCTGTCGGGATCCCTCCAACGAAAAAAATTAAAAGATTGAGCCTGTTGCCACGCACCGCCACGCTCGGTGCCACAACCGTCCGGTGACGTCATTTTAATATGTGCGGGTTAAGGCTTGGCGCTAATATTACTTAACCGCCTCTGGACTAGCCTGCTAGTGCCAAGGCCGAGAAACAGTGGGCCTTCTGTGGTGGGAGATACGACTCTGGATGGATAGAAATATCGCAGGCAACCGCACCCATGAGCATATCGGCTAGTTTGGCTTGTGCACAGAGTGGAGTTGGGCGATCGGACGAAAATGCTCGGGATATTTTGTGAACAAATAACAAGGAAGGGCAAGGATGTGCCCGAAAAATGCCACCAGATATGCAACCGTGTGTTACAACAAGCTAACCATCCATTTTGCGACGGAGAAGTAGAGCCAATCATGTCTCCGGGAAAGCTGAGATATGAGAAGGGAGCTCACAGAATCTGCAGCGCTGGGAGGCGGGAAGTCAGAGCTGCCTGAAAGGCCTCCCTGACACACCCTTTTCACAGCCGCAAGCGCAACACCGAAGGCCCTGCTGGTTGTCCATCTCCCGTGCCACGGGGCATTTACTCAACATCTCCGGTCCAATTGGAACCACTGTTCCCCTGGTTTCACCAATCAAAGGTGCTGGGACCATGGTCAATCATTCCTTACACCTCAATAATGGTGTGCAACCTGAAAACACTGGATGTTGCCTGCTCCTCGTTGAGGAGAAATAGGTACAGCGCGGCATGCGCGCAAAGGCAAACACAAACATGTACCAATCCTCCGTACTCCCTTTTTTTTTTCTTTGGGTTGGTGGGGCGTGGTTCAGGGCCCGCTTGTCCCTGACTCAGGATCCTCCTTGCACAAAATTCCGGTCCACAACGAAATGCCACGCACATGACATCATAAGGTACTCAGTTCAGGCTGCCGATATTTTGCACAGTCAGGAAGTGTCTCTGGAAAGGAAAGGTCAACATTTGCCTACGATCTTTTTTGCTTTGGCAAGGTAGAACGGCCAGCCAATGAATGGGTGTACATCTTAGCTTTTCGAAAACCCTTCTTTGCTGCGAACCTATCAACTTTATGACATTTGCCTCTTTTCCCCTTCCGCACTCGGTGTGGATTTGTTTTCATCGGAGGGAAATTCAAATTCGTCGGTATCGAATGAAATCACATCATACCCACCATTCGGCCCACAGTGGCTTGGTTAGTTGCTGCATCGGGTGGATCGTTTCACGAAACTTCATGGTTCAGCCCAGGCATCCTGCCTCATCCGTCCGGTCAAGCACGTTGACGTTAAGATGAAGTCAGTGGAGACTGCAAAATAATAATGGAGACGGTTGAGGTAGAGAACTACGCCGGATTACATTATCACACTTGCCTTTCTTCTGAACGCTGGTTCAACCCCGTCGAGCGGCTATCCCGGGATTGGGGAAAGCTATATATACCCTCTTTTACGCCCCGCTGTGCGTCACTTTGGTTGCTTTCAAGAATTCCGCGGCCTTTTCACCCAAACGCAGCATTGCATCGTCGAGATATCCACGTTATTGGACCTCTCAGTCGACCGGTTTCGGCTGAGTTGCGAAATAGTTCATCGACCTTCCCTGGCTGAATAAGGACTCGCCACATTGTTTCCTGCGGAATATATAACCTTCCCTCGTCAGGAACGAGTTTCAAAACGCCTTGCATTTGCCTTTCGCTATATTTTTGTGACTTCTGTTTCAGGAACCGTGTTCGACCCATCTCGACACTATGACTACTGCCGATTACAGATCCCATACGTCGGGCGGCCACGTCCGTCGGCTGTCCAATGTTGAAGCTTCTGGGGCAGACCTCATTGGCGGGCCCAATGTTATCGTGCCTCCGAAGCACTTGATGGCTAAGAGCGATGCCTACGAGACTGCAAAGGCTATGGAACTTGCGAAATATCACCTCGAAGAGGACATTTCCTCAGCCGAAACAACTCCAAGAGCCGCATCTCCTATCTCAGCCCAGCCACTCACAACAACAGATCGATATGCCTTCGCTTTTGATATTGATGGTGTGCTGGTTCGAGGAGGCAGAGCCATTCCTGCAGCTATTGAAGCTTTGAAGGTTCTGAATGGACAGAACGAGTACGGAATTAAAGTGTAAGTCCTCACGCTAATTTTGGTCTCTTTTATCAAGCTGCTGAGAAGACGGGATGTCTAGACCGTACATCTTCGTGACAAACGGTGGTGGAAAGACGGAAGAAGAGCGCTGTCTCGATCTCAGTCGACAACTTGAATACGAAGTTTCCCCGGGGCAGTTCATCTGCGGCCATACACCAATGCGAGAAATGGCGGAGAAGTACAAAACTGTCTTGGTCGTCGGTGGAGAGGGCGAGAAATGCCGTGTTGTCGCCGAAGGGTACGGATTCAAAGACGTTGTGACTCCTGGAGATATCATCAAGCATAACAGACACACTACTCCTTTCCGGGAACTTACTGAAGAGGAGCTTCGCAATTCTCGAACTAGGGACTTTTCTGACGTCCAAATTGAAGCTATTTTTGTTTTTGCGGATAGCAGAGACTGGGCGGGAGACCAGCAGATCATTCTCGATCTATGCATGTCCAAAGGCGGGCGGATAGGAACAAGGTCCGAGACGTTTGATGAGGGCCCGCCGGTTTACTTCTCCCACAACGACATCGTCTGGTCCACATCGCACGAGTATACACGGATTGGCATGGGTGCTTTGAGAGCCTCGACCGAAGCTCTATTCAAAGCTGTTACCGGAAAGGAGTTGCAAACAATTGCTTTTGGCAAGCCACAGATTGGAACATTCCAGTTCGCCACGCGGCTTCTCCAACAATGGCGAAAAGAAACTCACGGTATCAACTCACCCCCAGAAACTGTGTATTTCGTCGGAGACACCCCTGAATCGGATATCCGCGGTACAAACGAGTACAACGACTCCGAACTCTGTGAAAACAATTGGTACTCTATTCTCGTGAAGACCGGTGTATTCCAGGATGGTACTGTTCCGCGATTCGCCCCACAAAAGATCTGTGGTGACGTTCTGGACGCTGTCAAGTTCGGTATGAAGAGAGAGTACATAGATGCCTTGAAGCAGTCTACTGTTGCTCCCGTACAGCAAGGAACCGAAGGAGCCACTAAGGAGGTGTGAGGACAAGAATCCTTTACAATTTTTACACCAACATGCTTTTCGAGAGACGCTATTCACGATGTGACGATCTAACTACTGGATACGTATAATACGGCCTGTGTATCCTGACACCACCTGCAAATTTGTGATTCCCCATTTGATATTGCGTTTTCATTAACTCTGCTTATTTTCCTTAGTCTTTTTCTTTCTTTCTTTTCCCTTTTTTTTTTTTATTATTATTTTTTCGCGGCTGGTGGAATACCTTTTTCGAGACTTCTGCTATGTATAGAATATGAAAACCAGACAGGCAGACAAAGGAACATAGAACTCTGTCTAGAACACATTTGGTTGCAACGGATTTATACACCATTGATTTGCTATGGCATGTAAATACGTATATTTTGTGTGATCTCTAATACTTTGAGGTTCGAAAATTGAGATGTTATCAGAATCGGTCCACTAGTATTCAACGTAAAGAGAAGACAAGAGCACCTAGCCATGAAGCAGTAAAGCTGGAGGTACATCTAGTTTCAAAGTGGACTTTATAAGTATGTGACCATCAAGGGGATGAAGTAAACTTATATGTATATCTCTCTGCGTCGCTGACCCTAGATGAGCCTCACAATCTCACAAAAGAGCCAAGAGGTAGTCTACTCGTGTTGCGGACTGATGAATGGATTCTACACTTCTTCATGGCCGATAACTCTCGCCTTTTCGGACAAGAAACCCAATAGCTCATCTTCCCGCTTCCTATTGTTCACTATTCGAAGTGGAATGGTCCTCGTCATCGTTGTCGTTGCCGCCGGTCGGTGTTTTTTCGGAGGAATCCCCCAAACCTGGACTTCACAACTATTTGTAACATCGCCAATGACTGCAGCATAGGCCCATGCACTGCACACGTGGGCAGCAGGCTTGCTCAACCCATCCTGTGGTTAACGTTGGTCTTCTGAGCGTAACATAGACCTAGGTAGCAGCCCATGACGAACACGCTATGTCCGATGGCCCTGGCATGTCCACAAGTGCGGGTTGCGGCTTTTACAACCTGTGAGAAACGTAGCATAGAGGGATGAGCAGCAGTGCTCTAGACTGACACCGACTATATTCTCTAAATATGTAATGATGTAACTACGAAAGAGGGTGTGGATCGGGCCTAGTGGATAAATTGCTCCTTAAAAACTTTCTCAAACTCCAACTTCAGCTGTAAGTCACTGTCCTGTCATGTGTGTGAGGAGTATTGCAATGTTCCTGTGCTACTATTATTGCATTATAGGAATGAGCTTGATGGTGACAGATGTTCGCTCATTTCTGGATGTGGTTGTGTGATGTTTGGTAAGCCTTTGTCAGGATCATCATTGGGATAACTAGCGGGTAGTTGAATCATTGACATCTCATCCTTATGTAACTATTGATCGTAAGCTTGTTTTCAGTTTTGGCTAATGTTCTCATTATTTTGATGATGAAATTCCTTCCTCTTTGTAAGTAACTCAAACTCAAATATATGGCTCCTTGAGTGTAAAGAGGTTATTGAGTAGTGTATAAATAGAGAATGTGATGCAAAACACAACAAGAAATGAACTCAGTTGTGCTTGAGGCACACCTTGCTTTCTGGTAAGCAAACGCATTTTTGAATCTAGATGATGCTGGCATGCCTCAGTTGACGTGTTCTGCCCATGAGTTCCATGGAGTGCAAATCATAGTCCGTCTTCTGCTTGAAGATTTAGAAAGCCATAGATTGGACCACGAGGCATTATCTCAGTCATGTCACATTCAACACTGATAATTCCAGATTCATTGGAATTATCAGTGTTCAAAGCAGGTCCTTATTTTAAATGCATTACCCTGACATTCGTTTGCTTTTCTTAAAATAGCCTGTACTACTTGGGGATCATTTTTTTATTGTGTTTGTGTTTCTGTAAAATGGATAAATCCTACTAAATAGTATAGCCTGTTAGGTAGTCTGAGTCATATTTTCTGACTGCATAAGACTACAATGAATAATAATAATTGTAAAGATTCTGGCCATTCGACAGAAGCTTTTAGGTGCTGCTAAAGTTGTCAGAATTTCCACATTAAAACCATGTGAGTTTGCCTCAAATCTAAGCTGGTATTAGATGGCAGCCAAATTCTTTCTCTGATGTCTTGGAAATTGCCGAGATTGTTAGATGATCCTCAAGTTGCACCAAGGTATAGTCTAGGTGCAGCTCCTCATCTGTATCTCCCTGTCTTCATTTAATTTTGCAAGGATTGGTTGATAGTCGTAGTACTTGAACCTTCAATCCACGGCATGCACATCTGAGTTTTGGGAATTCTAGATATGTTGTTTTCATATTGATATTTTGTGCATATGATAATATGCTGCTGGCTTTCAAATACAAATAATATTCATGTTGACCATGTTCCACTCCATATTGACAGAGGCAGGTCGGGCCAGCCAAGCTTTAGAGATTATTATATATAAGTAACTGATTGCTTTTCCTTGGTGAAGCCCTGGTTGAATGATTTTACAAACCAGTATGATGATTTCTGTCAGGGGCGATCCATTGTAAGTAGTAAGATGGCGTCGCTGAGAGGCGAAGTTACACCCATTTGTCATTGTTTCTTGTTTCCCTTTGATAGCCGGTCCATTTATCTCCTTTGACTCTAGACTTCAAGCCATCAGTCATAATGCCCACTTTCACTTGGGTCAGGTGCGGAGGTTTGTTTGGATGAGCTGGTGGTTTTTTTTTTTGTGAGATCAGACCAGTAACATTCCAAGCGTCAAGCTAAATTTGGGTGTCATCAGAAACAAAGAGTAGGGTTATGCTGGCGATAAACTCTGGTTTGGGCGGCTCCTCTTCCTTTTCTAAGCATATACATTCACGTTTCTCACTGTGTGACTCAAACACTGTGGATGAAGGTCCTGGTTAGGGGCTCCAGCATCGTCTTGATTTAGCCAATTGACTTGGACAGGCATATTCAGAGGAGTTTGAACTTTAATATCAGAAAAGCATCCATTTGTTTAGCAAAGCAGGATCCATCCATTTCAGGGGGAACATTCATGGCTGCATGGGCCTTAAGACCATAGAGCATCGCATTGGGGGATGCTCCAGTGTCAGCGGCGGTAGCGTTGATATATATAATTGCAGATGCAGCAGGGTCCCTGGGGAATAAGTTGCGATATTAGCCTATGGAGGACCGAAATTGGGGTATATCTTCTCAACAGTTCCTGTGCCAAGCGAGACAAACTGGGTAAAATAGGAGCGTTGTGCTTGCGACCGAATTAATAAAAAAGCATTTTCAAAGTCTTTGACTGGAACTTACCAGAGGTTGCTTGAACCTCAATATTCTTTTCCCCTCGGGAGTGCCTGAGCAGATCGTTGGGACCCTCAGGTGAAAATCGACAGGATCGCCCATGACCCAACGGCATTAAGATGCGTTCCTTATATTCAAGAATATTCTTATATACACTGGCCCACTCAAGGCCACCTGTGAGGTATATTGAAGTCAAAAATGAGACTCCAAATGGTATATTAATGAATGGAAACAAAGCACTTAAACTCAGGTTAATTTGGGACCACCTGGGAAACCCGTCAGAATACCACACCATGTTGGACTTGAGGACTTAGAAATGCATGATCTTCTGCGAAATCTTGAATAATTGATACATACGCTAGTGATAGAGAACCAAACTATGGCCGGTGTGGGCTGGTACAAAATGTATATGGAGAGGTTGAAAGGGAACGATGTTAAAGTTGCCCTTTGCTAAATGTCAAAGCACGTGACGCTAAAGGGCTGCCACCAGGGCAGTTATTGAAGTGAGGTCAAATGCCCAAAGAAATGAAGCGAGGCAGATAGCCGACGAGAAAATAAGGAACTGGAAAACGAAGCTAGAACGAAGGAAAGAAGAAACCAAAGCATGAATATGCGCTTTCAGAACCTCTGGGGTTTTGGCTAGCATCCAGCTTTGAAACAAAACAACAAAAGTATATGTCCTGTGCATACTTTGTACATCATATATAAGAAGATCTGGATACCATAAGGCTTTCCAAAGGGGGATATCTATGCAACTCCGCTATGATAATAAAACATACCTCCATGAAGAAAGAAACCATCTTGGCATTAATCGATCATTAAATATCGGAAATAAGCATCAATCGGTCCTCAAACCAGCCTCGGTCCCCTTCGTGGCGGGTCGAGTTTTCGCTCCCAGGGGCTGGCTCGACCCTCAGGTTCGTACCCACTATTGAACTCTGCGAACCCTTGTTCAGGTCTCCGTGAAGGTCGTATATATAGGTTAGCGCACATATGAGCGTTAACTGGCGGCGAAAGATTTCCTGCGCTCTCTGCGCTAGACTCTGCTTTACAGCCAAAATCTTTATAAGATGCGGGTTGCGTACGAGGGCGGTACGGGCCCGGTTCCAGAGTGTGGTTTCCTTCGTTAGAGCTAGGCTGTCGCCGAGGGTTATTATGACTATCCCCATTTCTCAAAGGCCTTGGATTCCATTGGTTTCTTCCACGGACGGAGTGTGAATAATGAGCCGCAGGAGGCACCTGCAAATACTTGGACGGAGAGAACTTGGAATCAGATTCTTCCACGGGGCTTAGCCTTGTCGTGGCGCGGCTTGATCTGGTATTCATTCCCTCTTCATCCGACGCAGTCGTCTCAAAGCTAGTAGTCGATGACGCGACCGAATGACGCATGCGAAATATGTGTGAATCAGTTTTGCGGGAGTTCACATGCCCGCTAAGTTGTGGGCGAGAGCTGGAGTGTAAAGATGATAACTCTACAACTGAGCCTTGTCTGGGTATCTGAGGTGACGCTGTCCCGCCCACAGGAGTTTGCAAGAGTCCCGCGAATGGATTTGTAAATTTGACCGTATTTGGGTGAGTTCTGACTTCCGGTGACAAAAAAGAGTTGTTCCCCGGAAAACCGCTCCATAGTCCACCTTCTGTACGCAAATCACAGTCTGATTTAAACATATCCAAATGCTTTTCAGGTGGATTTGATCTGCGGTAATCAGCGTCTTCCTCGAATATAGTGACTGCACTTGATGGTCGAGCAGACGCTAACTTTTCAGTTATAGGATGCTGATGAACAACAGTTTCGAGATCGGGCTTATCTGGAAGCAGGCGTGACACTGTTCGCATCGAAGAAGGGCTTTCGAGCTCTATGTCATCCGTCTCTGCCAGCTCAGAAGGGGTATAAGGCCTTTTACCCGGACCAAAGTCACTGCTTTGGTAGCCAGAATGAAGCCTTAGGCCAGGAATGGAGGTCAGTGGCTCAAAGGTCGATCGGTTATAAGCGCCGACAGGGGTACTGGGAATTCGTGGCAAGCTTTTACGAAATCGCCTCGGCGATGGTTCTGACATTGTTCCACCAATTTCGAACAGCTCATTTTTCCGACGTTGGAAACATCTGCGCCGACATAAGACGAAGAATGCTAGCAGTCCTATCCCAAATAAGCACGCTGCCCCCACTCCAACGGAAATGCCAATAATTTGATTTCGGGGGAGAGAACCGGAGGTAATTGCCACTGTCGTCTGCGCTGGCATGGAAGAACTAAGAGTGAAAGACATCGAAGCATCTGCGTTTATTTTACTTTCATGACTCGCGCCCGGTGTTGAGGTCGATTTTCTGGTAGAAGTAGCCAATGCTGTAGGTGTGATATTCGTCCTGGTCTTTCCATGAGCAATATCCTTCGTTGATGAGATAATTGACATGGTTATTTTCGATGTTTCCGTGGATCCGATATGTGACGAGTGTGGGACGGTATGACTGGGCGCAAGTGTGGCAATAATAGCTGTATGGGTGTTAGGAACGGCAGCGAACACATCCCGGCATACATTATAGACTCCGAATTCTTTATCCTTTGGAGAGGGACAAGATGCCAGGACGCATTGCAAAGCTGCTTCCCCAAATGCGTAGCCTGTACGCGATTTTTGAGTGCACAAACAACCTAGGCTCTTCGTGTCGGAGCAAATTGACGTTGGATAATTATGCGATATAAAATCTTTCAAACACGATAGCGAACATGGAGGAACGATATCCTGCACAATTTGTTGCCCGGCCCTCGGTACAAGCGCAGCACCAGCGACTATATTGGGGTATCTCAACAAATTACTCAATATGAGAATTTGAATTAAGAGGCGCATCCTGCTGCGGCCTTCTTTTGCGGGTGCAGGCCGTCGCCCATCTACTGTGTATTGTACCCGGAGCGTAGCTGTCCGATAGGGTCACAGAGGCGGGGTGACAATCGATCTTGAGCTACGCCATGGATTCGGACAAGGGAAGGAGGTTAACAAGGTCTGATATTGGTGCGGCCCTATACGTCGATCGACCTGCACCAGAAAAGTGAGTGTAATCTTGCACGCACATAAATGAAGGAAACAAGGCACTGCAAGGAAAATAGGACATAATCTATAGAGATTGAAACCTCAGGGAATGAGAGCCATGAGGGGTTAAGGGGAAGTGATATTCAGCGGGGAGGAGATTCCATCTGAGTGTAGATGGAAGCAGCAAACGCTCCAATGAGATTGGATGCCATTGGAACACCTTGGAGTGATGTCAGAAAGACAGGTAACCCTGCAGCAAGGAGGCTGCGTTCTCTTGAAGAATGAGGGCGACGGCGAATCGGAACTCGTCTTTGAGTTGATCATGGCATTCGGCAACCTGTCATGCATGGTCCGATTGGCACATATCCCAACGATCAAAGACTTGGAGGGCTGAGGATTGAAAATTCCATGCAGCGGCAACAGTGGAGGCAATGGCAGCTGGCCGTTCAACGGCATAGACGCCGTGATGAAACGTCTATGTCAACGGCCGACGAGTGGGAAGCGACATCGAAGCGCCCGTCGGCGATGTGATGAGCGGCCAATCGCATCAAAGGTTCCACGTGACCAACACCAGGATTCCGCTGCGATGCTTGCTTGGAGGGGTTTATCGGCAGCACACAACAAGGGGGAGAGCTTGGTTGTCGGTTCTTTATCTTACATGGCTTGACTGTTCAATGCAGATTATGTACGGAGCATGTGTGTGACCCCGTAGGCAATGATCGAACTAGCCGCGACTCTCAAGAAATGGACGCTACAACACTGAAATGCATCGGCTGGCAAGATATAAGGATCAATTCTAAGGCAGTAAACTTTTTGCTTCTTGACCTCATGCAACGGAGGCCGGATACATTGGGACTGCTAGCCGGGAGCGGGCCAATTCATTATGGATGTCATTGCCAACGATGGCACAGACTCAAGAAACAAAAGTACCGCAAAAGATAAAAAGAGATAAGGAAAGTTGGTATCATATCAAAAAAGGAAATCAGAAACCAGCGAGACAGGCACGGGATACAAGAGGACAGCGCGAAACAAATACCGATCATTAAAGCGTGTGTTAGCCTCCCGAGACATGGTTTTCCAAAGGGCTGCAAGAGGAAGAAAAAAAAATTTTCCAGACAGAGCAAAGCTGTCACTGCCACCAGGACAGCATCTGCTCCCTCCCCATCGTAAGCACTTGTCGGCTCATTATCAACATATCATCCCCTTTCACCGTCGTCTGTACACGGACCGAAAAAGTAAATGTACTACGGACTCTTTCGAAAATCTCCAGATCGGCGACCGACACGCTCTCATTAATACTTGAGGATAATGTAGCTAGAATAAATGTTAGTATCCAAGTCAATCCTCATTTAAAAAGATTCAAGAGAGGACGGGATGGTACTGACAGAGCGTGGATGATGCCGGGAATATAACCCAAGATCGTTAAACAGATGTTGATGAGCAAATCGGCTCCGCAACCACGCTCAAGGAAGACACCAAGAGGCGGGAGGATGATGGCAAAGATGATTTTACAGATATCTCTGTATGAGAACGATCAGCCATATGTCGGACAGGTCCCGTGCTCGGTCCCAGTTGGAGGGCTTGCACTGACCCGGAACGGTCGGAAGAGGCTGGGAAGATGTGGGGAGGAGTATTACTTACGATGCAGTGAAGGCCATCGTGAAAGATTGGGTCGTCGGTCACCAGATAATGGATTGAAATGACCGTTTATCTCTAGTGGAAATAGTCTATGGGAACAGGATATCAAAAGTTGATTTTGGAGGAGGAATAATAATAATCAACAGTCATACGATGAAGCGAGAGGAAGAGTACCCAGTTAAAGTATTAACACGGTTTGAAGCGAAGCTAGACCCACTCCAGCTCTTTCGGCCAGTAGAGGTTCCTTGGCATTCGAGATCATGCGCAGCAACTTTCCCTGAGCAATGTAATGCCCGCCCGGCGAGTACATCCGCGCTACAAAGCTTCTGTACTGCCTTGCACATGCAACCTGAAGTTACGCCGATGTCTCCGCTGCCCCGTGAGCGTCGCCATTCGAGTCCTCTGATGATGCGTCATTCGCTCGAAACCCTGCTCCCAGCGCTCCATCCTCTCCCGCCCTATAAAACGTCATCCCCTCACCGCCACAGCAAGCATGTGGCGCGGGTCCACTTGCGCCCAGTCTGTTTGTTTGTTTTGCCCCGGTTTTTAGCTTCCCGTGCATTAGGAGTGGCTTCGAACCTACCAATCGCGGGCGGGCTGTGCCTCAGCCTTGCATCTCGCCTGAGATCATTGCTCTGGAAATCACGGTCCACCTTCCTCAGGGCATCGTCACCCCGGTAGAGCATAATACATAATGAACTTGAAACAAGCATTGCCCATGTCCATCTCAGCATCGTTCCTTCTCGACCTGACTCAATGTTTAGTTAGTTGGTCATCCTTGCATGGGATTCCAAGCACGGCGGAATCTTGGATTTCTGCCGACATAGCCATCGAATCTGGCCACATATCGCCTGCGGCATGCAGACTATATGGAATGAGGATTCAAAAATACAAAACAGTGGTGATCTTTATTCCTCCTCCTATGTATGGAGATAGACTTCTTGAATCCCATGCTTATAGTACGATTCTTCGTCAGAAGCCGTTTTACGAACAATAGACTCCATGAGAGGTGCCAACCTCATGCATTCTTTCCTGGCAAAGGAGAATTTAGACTGAAATGATAATTCTTGTTGGCATGAAGTTTAATAAGCTGGCTATTACGTGGTGAGCTGTGTGAAATGCGTTGCTAAACTTAGGTTCTTTGAGAGCCAAAACCAATCGTACGATCATGAAGCAGTTTTCCGTAATGATCGCAGCCAGTCCAATTCAATGCAACACGCAAATTCTATAGATATGGACATTGGATTTACGTGATTACTAGAATTATGAGCGTCAAGACAAATATGAAACCAAAGCATTTTAGTATTCGGCTACAGCATTTCGCTACCTTGACATCAATTTCATCATAAAGACAGGGGGGGAAGGGGGAAGGAGAGAAGACAGACAGGGTCATCATTCATCACAATCGATGCCATCCAATGCCCATTATCTCACCTTAGCATCATGTGGGATATCCTCCAGCCCTTCTTTCCCTTGTCTCCCCACATTTCCACACGGGGCCGTTTCCTTCTTCGTCTCATCCCCAGAAGTCCTCAGGCTACTCTCCGCTGTTACGGGTTCCCGTAAACCACTTGCCTCTTCCCCTGTTCCCACAGATGACGCTACCGCGCCAGATCCTCCGCCTGTAGTTTTCATATTCGCTGATACAAGTCCTGATTCGCCAGCTGGTTGTTCGGGAAGGGGCAGGTTGGCTTTGCGGCGGTCGATGTCGGCTTGCTTATCGGTTGTGGAGTCGATAACGGACTGGTTGGATGGTTAGATGGGGATGACCAATTTGGGAGAAGCTTTGGGGTGCATGGGCGTACCTTCATCTGGGATACGTCTGACCCCGAGGGAACATCACCGCCGTGGTGTCCGGAGACTTTGGACTCTGCCTTGCGAAGCTGCTCCTTGATAGAATGAAATGTTTCGCTCGTGCCAGACATTCTGGAGAAGTTTGATAATTATATCAGCAATATATGTTGGAATATGAAATGGAGGAGGTTAGGTAATGATATGTGGTCGGCAATTTGGATGGAGACGACTTCTCCCATTGCCCCTCAACTGCATGCCTTTTATATCAACCTGCACGCCCCTGCCTCAAACGTAGATCATCCCTGCAGAACCATACATCGAGCTAGGTGATAAGCTGTGGCGTGCATCCATAGCTATGACGTTATCTGGCTCCAAGGCCAGGAAACGACGTTCCAAAACAGGGCATTGAGTCGGGAGGACGGTAGGCGGCAAAAGGTAAAAATATACTATGGGGCACTCCATCCTGTCGAGGCCGACGTCAATCTGATACGAACCATCTCGTAGAAAGAGAGGCACGGCACGCGGACGATACTCCGATGTGTCCCTCGGGCGGAACCGCAAAATTCTATGGAGCCGTAGCGGGTGTTGTGTACTTTCACGTGACTCGGGCCGACCCTTGGTCGTTAGGCGTTCACCATCACATCGAATGTTTCCTCACGTATCGGCATCATGGCAACACCCGAATAACAAAACGGAGGCTCGATCTTCCCCGGGTTTGAAGGACTATTTAATAGATAACCTGTCACTATTCTTTTAACATCCCTCCCAAAATATATCGACTTTTGTCAAGGCTGTGCCCTCTCTCTTCGTCCAAATGACAAATCTGAAGTCATGTGCCCCAAAATACTGACTCCCCGAATACGGAATACTCCGTACTTGGTAAAGTACATATTCTTAAAGGGGCAGGGTGGCTGAAATATGAAGATATAGCAAGAGAGTACTCCCTATAGCAAGGGAGTACAACGGAGCAACAGCCCTCTCCCTGGAGCGGTTTCTTGTTCGGCCAGATCAAGCCCGCCAAGGCGAGAAGCGAAGCTGCTCCCAATCAGCTCATCCCGCCTGCTAACTATTTAGAAACACTTCGCCGGGGAGCAAGTCATACCTTTTGCACCGTGCTCTCACAATGCGGCTCCCCGAAAGAATCTAGATGCGATAGACTCCGAAGTGACCGTTTTGTCATAGGCTGTCAAGAGACCCATGTGCCAAACTTATAGACGAAAAACAAAAGTGCGGCTTTGCCCCCCCAAAAAATGAAAAGAAAAGGAAAATCATTACTATCGAACGCCAGCCTTAGAGACCTTAAGAGCCTTTGAATACTTATTAAATCTTGCTTCGCCGCTTTTGATACCCGAAGCAATATGTTCGTGACTCCTCTTTTCCCCATGCAATCGGGTTGCTTGTACCAGGGTTTTTCTTCCATCTAAATTTACTGTGCTGTCTCTTTTACGTCCTCAATTTTGTGTGGAGGTATTTACCTTTACCCCTATTCGTCTCCCCTGCTTGCAATGATTACGTCCGCGTCTAATTTCGTTAATTCGTCGTTTGCTGTCGGCCATAATGCTGTCAAGTCAATACTCTTTCGAATTGCCGGTATCGCTGTTCATATTGCCGCTTTCAAGCTCTTTTCTCTTTTGGCATCGGTGCGAAGCGCATTCACGTCGTACCTGATGTTCACCGAGGATTATATCCAAAGATTTGTGGTCATCTTTTCCCGCGGGTTTAGCCATCATGCCGCTCTTGTCCTATTTCTCACCATCTTCTTGCTTGGCGCCGGGCTATATGATACTTTGCTTTGGGGTCTTGATTCGCCTGGCTATATTGCGATGAAGAAAAACATGACCGGTGCATCTGTGAAGCCTCAGATGCTAAAACGACCGGGGTACGTAATATTCTCTTCTACGAGGCCCGGGGAGGTCGACGGACTTGACAAACACTTTACAGAGCTTATGAACAGCAATTTGTTCGCGGTCGAATTTAAATTTCTCTCTGACAGCCGCCCACACGCAAGTTTGATCCCCGAAAAGGTGTCGGGCCGCGAATCTGGCTAGACGACGAAGGGTTCTCTGTGTCACCCGATACATATGTGACGTTTGGAGGAATAATCGACGAGGAGGAGCAGAAAGCATACGACTGCCCTTGGATTCCAGGCCCAGATGACTCGGCTTCATGGGAATGTGCTTTCGATAATAGCTTCGCAGGAACATTTTTAAAGGATACTTTGATCGGTGTGCCAGAAATTCATTGGGATGATGCTACAGACCAACGATACCTCTCAGAGTATCTCCGGCCCAACCGAGAGGATAATCCCTGGGCTGTACTAGGAGTCGGGGGTGATACGGCTGTTATGAAGCAGATGTTTAGCATCACAAAGGGCCGAAGCAAACATACGTTTCTCAGCACCGCAATGAACATCTCCTCGGTTTACGACTATAACGCACCTTTCCCGGCAGATGAGGTATACGACCTTATCAAGAGATCTTGGTCCACAGATCCTACACAGTCGAACGATCCGGTCATTCGGCAGATTTCGGAGAAAATTGGAAACGCCAGCGCGAAGAATAGTAGTTTCCAGCTTGGTGGAGTCCACAAGGTTGAGAACTCTATCGCCCAGGCCAACTTTGAATTCCTGAATCCAGAGGGAACGCCAGGCAAAGTTATCTTTTCACTTTTCCGAATATCTGTGGTCAATATCACACTTGTTAGGTCGGAAACACTCCCCGAACCCGTCAGGCCTTTTGAAAAGTGCGATAGGTTTTATCATAACCAAGCAACAGGGGTAGAACATACGGGACCAATTGTTATAAGCAGGGGAGCCAAAACAACACTGGTGCACGCTTTTTTGGGGAGATTGATACCTCTGCCGTTCTCATTATCAGTGGCACTCTGGGCGATGGTAGCTCAAATATTAGCTCGAAAGCCTTCAATCAACAAGCCTTCGAATGGCTTGCGAAAAACGAGAATAGACTTGACAATCTCGTCCTGTCTCGAGGGTATATAATGGCCATCGATCCGGCTCTGGTCACCCTTGAAATCAGCAGAGTACGACCAGCGATGTCATACCTCCAGGTCCTGCTTGTGATTCTCCCTGTTGTCCTCGCGGTTATTACGTGGGGATTGCTACGGTTCTTCGCAGCTTCACACTACTCTTCTTCCCTTCTCGCCAATCTATATGCAACCACGAACGTCAGAGACACAGACACAAGCGCAGATCCCCAGTATATACACACGATTCCGGATATCGACCTAGTCAGGAAAGACGGAAAGGTACTAATGGCAACTTCTGGGGGCGTTTTCACGCACTGTGAAGAACAATCAAACGTGGCCAGCGTGAATGTCGCAAACCAAAAGTTGGAGTATCCAAAAAGCTCATATCCTCCAAATAATAATTCGTACTATTATGAATCCCCTGCATTGGTACCCGGATAGAATCCGATATGATGAAGTAAAAGTACAACCTGACGATAGCTACAAACACATAGGATTCTAATAATAAATACGTTAACATTCATTTCAAATCGGTTCACTTGCAGGAGCTACTCAGTAAATCAAACGGATATTTATCTCAGTCCACATGAAGATCTCAAATGGGGGGCGATCAGTGTCTCCCGCTGCATGTCAAATTAGGTAACTAACCAACCAATGGAACGCCATAGTCGTCGTTCAATGCAGAGGGGAGCATCTAGCCTTGGTGGGAACAGTTCCTAGCCCGACTTTTTTAAATAACCATATCGCATGTTAACTGCCTTAAGAACACCCTGCCGATATTTCCCACTGCCGCATTTGAGCCCCCTAACACCGCGCGCCCAGTCCAACGAGCCTAATGCCTCGCGATCCACTGATCGGGCTTGTTGGCAAGCCCTCATCCGGGAAATCCACAACGTTAAACAGGTACTATGTCAAACTTTCATAAGGAATAGATAATGTCCCAGTGATTTGTTAACATGATTTATTGAGCAGTTTGACAGATGCATCTTCTAAAGTCGGTGAGTTCATGCTTCGATGCTAATCTCGCCCGTGAATTGGCTAATCGCTAACTCGAAGATCTCCCCTACTAGGAAATTTTCCGTGAGTGAGCCCGCTTTAACACATTCTCGCATATCTCCGGAGTAGAGGCTTTCATATTTGCCTATCGACTCGGCCTTATGTTCCCTATTCCTAGACGTAGTATGCTGAAATTTCCTCTCCACCTAGCTTCACCACCATCGACCCCCAGCGCGCAATCGGATACCTACAAATAGACTGCGCTTGTCAGCGGCATAACTTGACCGAGAAATGCAAACCCAATTACGGCAGTTGTCACGAAGGTCGAAGGTCGGTTCCAATCGAATTACTGGATGTCGCAGGGCTGGTTCCGGGAGCACACGAGGGCAAAGGACTTGGGAATAAATTCTTGGACGATTTGCGCCATGCCGATGCGCTGATACATGTGGTCGATGTGAGCGGCACAACGGATGCTGAAGGTGGGCAGGTTTCGGATCTTATTATTTCAGTTCAATGCTACGGCCCCAATCACTCTCTAATGCGAGATGCTTACGCGCGCTGTCCCAGGGAAGGCAACTAGGGGGTACGACCCATCGCAGGACATCATTTGGTTAAAATCAGAGATTGTAAGATGGATTCTTGGAAATTTGATGGAGAAATGGTATTATAGCCGTTCCAATCTGGCTACACAGTGCTAATATACCTCTCAGGGGTTCTATAAAGCGTCGCCATGTCGCAGTAAGTAAGTATTTAGTTGCGACCAATTGATCCCCCTCTATTACCCTCTAACCACACATACAGAAGCGACACCCGTCGAAACATTGCAAACACAATTCTCCGGCTATGGAGCGACATCGAAGATAGTCGCCAGGTGTCTTGATCGATTAGACCTTAAAGAGCCCCTACAAGATTGGTCTGACGAAACAATTGCACAGGTTGTCGTCGCATTCATAGACGAAAAATTTCCCACTGTTTTGGCATTGAACAAAATCGATCATCCAGACGCTGATAAGGTAACCACTATCTTCTCTCCATGGCCTACTGTCGATTCTTTGCTCATGTCTACATCAGAATATAAACAAGATTGCAAAAGTGCAAGATTCCCAATCCATTGTCCTATGCTCCGCAATATCAGAAGTATTCCTTCGTAAGCTTGCAAAGCAGGGATACGTTAAGTATGTGGAAGGTAGTGAGTTCGTCGACACAAGAGAAGATCTAATAGAGATGGGCGATCCCGACGGTGGTGGCCTCAAGGAAATGGATGACAAGCTCAAAAAGTATGTCTTCTTGCTATTCTTTATTTGAGCTTGAGGAAACCCCTCTGCTAACTTGTTATAGCCGAGTTGAAAACCTGAAGGATCTTGTTCTATATCGATTCGGGTCTACAGGTGTCGTTCAGGTGCTCTCTCGTGCTGCAGAGCTCCTTGGGCTTGTGCCCGTATTTCCGGTGCGGAATATTCACAATTTCACTTCCGGTTCAGGGGGTGGAAACGCCGTCTTCAGAGACTGTGTTCTAGTCAAGAAGTTTGTTTCCTAGTTTCATTTCTAGAGATGCGCTCTGCTAATCGTATCGCAGAAATAGTACCGTCGCAGACGTGGCCCGGAAGGTGATGGGCGATGCACCCATAGCCTACGTTGAAGGAGTTGGTGGTATAAGAGTCTCGGAAGATGAGGTGGTCTCAGTTGGGAAACATGATGTATGTTCCACTTCAATTTCCCTTGATGGCTATGAAGTGCTAACTAGACGCTATCCAGATTCTCTCATTCAAAGTCGGTAGATGATACAGGATATATCAATAGAACATATTCACATGTTAACGCACCAATTCCTGTCGAGCTTTTTCGTTGATTAGTATTCCTAAATGCTACTCCCAACCTTTCTGTTGAGTGTTTCAGTTAGTCAACTGGGCAGGTAACCTGGTTTAGACTATGTCTTACCCTTCCTCTCTCATCGGTAGTGCCTATTATCGGTCTTGGTGCCTCTGGAAACTCGTCCTCCGGTGTCTTTCCTCTTTTTTGATTTACCTCCGTTGTTGCCTGACTCTTTGTCCTATCAGTCGCAGCATGCCCCTCTTTCTTCTCCTTCCAGGCAGCCCTTGTCGCCTTCGTCTGCGGATCCGTCTGGTCCCCCCCATCGCTGCGATTAACGCTATGATCTTCAGGCCTCGATCCGGTCCACCCGCTATACCATGCCAGAGGCAGAGCTGTCGTTGGTCTTGGAGTGTTTACGGAGGAAGAATGCACATGATAGATTGAATGAAGTCGTCCGGCGAAAAGCGCGGCTGGACGTGGAAACCGCGTTTTGAGAAACATCATTTCGAACCGAAATTTGTTTATTTTTTATTCTTTATTTTTTATTTTTTATTTTTTTTTTTTGTGTGTGTGTGTCTAAACGTCTATGCGAAATAAATAAAGGTACTATGAGAATTGAGGGGCATAAACTGAATCACTCCCTACTGGGCTTTTAAAATGTCGCTATCTGTTGATTTACAGGGCCGTTTGCCGTGCTCGATGCCCATGCGATATCACTGTTATAAGCTGCGAGATTGACCTATGACGTCACTTCAACGCCTCAGCTGATCGACCAATCAACATCGCCGATCCCCACGCACTCGCCAAACCTGCACTCCTCCTCTCGAGCAAACAGAGTCGAGCGATCCTGCAGGCCTTGACGCGTTGCTTTGTCTATAATAACCAGAGAAAACCTCCCGTGCTCCCCCCTTTCTCTACGCCAATGAAGCGTCAATTTCTCCCCATCGACGCTCTTTCCGCGTGGACAAAGCTGAACGGCGTATCCTTCGAAGGGGTCGAAGTCAGACGACTCCATACGGAAGATGGGATTGGCAAAGGTTCTGCGGTATTTGCCACGCGTAGCAGAGTCGCCAAAGACTTTGTACCCGGACAAAATCAAGGGGCTGCTGAGCCGGAGATACTGATGAGTATTCCGGCAGATTTGGTTCTGTCTTTGAATTTGGTAGACACATACGCGAAGTCGGATATGGATCTGAGGGAGGTTTTAGATGCTATGGGGGAGTTTGGGAGGGTGAGTAGTTAAATATAACTGACGTTCTATCAACGTTTTCTTTGTCTTACCTATTGTTGTTATTGTGTATATGATACAGTTCTGTACCTTTGTCTCGAGAAGTACAAAAATGAGATACTGATATTTACAGTCAGCTCGAGGCGCCATATTGATATATCTTCTCCTTGCGCTCACCCATTTGAGTCATGATTCTTCAAACGAATCGAAAGGTCAAGTCGGCCTATGCAATCCGTGGACAGGGTATGTTCAATTCTTGCCAGAATCATATACCCTGCCGACATTCTATACCGACGGCGAGTTTGAAATACTGCAAGGAACATCATTGAAACCGGCCTTGGAGGCTAAACTGGATTCTCTTGAACGAGAATTTGAGCAGTTACGCGAATCGACCAAAGATATTGCCTGGTGCAAGACAAATTGGTGGCACGGAGAGACTGGCAAGCTTACTTTCTACGACTGGAAAATTGTTGACTCCATGTATCGGTCTCGCGCGCTGGAGGTTCCGGGAATAGGACATGCAATGGTGCCTTGTGTTGACATGGCGAACCACGCATCGGGTGAGGATACTAATGCGATGTACGATGTTGATGGGAATGGCAATGTCGTGCTCCAGTTACACTATGGACAGAGGCTCGAGGAAGGCGACGAGGTTACCATTACGTGAGTTGGCGGTCTTTGGCCCTTTCGGCCATTTTTGGGGCATTAAACCAATTGATTGGTGTTGCATAGGTATGGAGATGAGAAAGGGGCCGCAGAAATGATCTTCTCCTATGGGTTTCTTGAAGACACAGTCTCAGATGCGCGGCAGCTGTTTCTCGACCTACAAATTCCAGACGACGATCCATTGAAACCGGCAAAGCTGATGGTGTGTGATGATCCTCCCGGCGTCCGACTTTTCTTAGCCTCGAGCCCAGGGATGGTGACCAAAATTAATTGGGAAAGTCCTTTCGTTTGGTGGGCATGTGTCAATGAAGAGGATGGCCTTGGTTTCGAGGTGGTACAGGCCAATAGCGGTGAAAGAGAGATAAAAGCAGCTTGGAAGGGTGAAGAGATCGAATCATCCGAGAAATTACGTGATCTACTCCAGCGCGAACCGCTATGGGACATATATCAACTTCGTGCTACTGTAATAGTGCAGGACCGGGTTGCCACTCAACTTGAGTTACTGCAAGAAAGCGGCGAATACGTACAAGAATGGCGTGAGAAAGTCGATGGAGCTACAATTCGGCCTTTGGTTTGGGACACCGTCATGAAACTGCGTGAAATTGAGATGGACTTCCTTGCTAAAGCAAACGATCAATTAGAAGATAGGGTATGTTTTTTCCGTGTTTTACTCTTCCTCCCTCCTGTCTTCCTAATTTACCCTGGCGTTCCTGGTTAACCTTTTTTCGTAGAAGTTAGAGCTGGCAAACACCCCCGTAGTCCAACAATACCTGAGACAATATAGCCCCGGGGCCGATATAGCAGAGGACTTTTCTTAAGGCCATGGGTATGACACAGATACCGCTTAGACGATTTCTTTTTCCGTCTTGGCATTGGTCTCGAACAATGATACTCCGTACGGAGTACCCTGACCTAATTTAGGGCTGAGAGCGCATCCAAAGGAGAACCGGAGTTCGCTCCAAGCACTGCTAGCACCAGCAACGATAACGTTTCTTTCTATGAAAACTCCGTACTCCGTACTGTACTCCGTAGTGCTTATCCATTGCCCATCCGCGTTCACACTTCAATTTCGGGGATGCGCCCGGTGCCATAAACCAGAAAGAGCTCCAAAGGTTGCGAAGATTTCCAAGTTTTACGGGTACTCTCCTTGTTTTTCCCCTTCAAAATACAATCGAGAAACGCCGACGAAGGTGGCGAACTCTTGGCGGTACGGAGTAGTTATTGATAGATTGGTTGAATTCAATATCGATTCCACAACATAATCCAGGTCGCTGGATTGGCCAAGGATCAGTGGTGCTCTGGAAGCCCCTGGATGGGGATGGTCAGAGCAACGGGATTTTAACTGCGGCCGACGAGAAGCCCCATCAAAAAAGAAGCTATTGCGGAGTTCTTCGCTCTAATCGGCATCCACCAGCTCTACCCCCACATTCAGGAATCCATTTTCAAAAATCGTCGTGGCAAAGGGAAGATATTCAGGGGACCAAAGAACGGCGGAGGCGAAATATCCTCTATTACATGGCGATGACTTGGATGCCGAATCCCATCCACCGAGTCGTCATCGTCATGATCGCCCAGCACAGACTGGATCGATGACGAGTTTTCTCCCCATTGCCAACCAAAATATGATACGTAGTTATTCCACATCAATTACAATTTGGGCCTTCTGCGCTCCTTGTGAAGTTGTGCACTCGCTCAGACATCTCGAAAGGCATGTGTGTAAGTATGTAAGTTCACTCGAAACAAAGAGTGTTAGTAGAGATAGAAACAGGGTAACAGTGAATGCAACTTGTGCTGGAAAAATTGCTGCATCGGAGCAGACTGTAACCACTGAAGTTGACGGTAGCACTGATCAGCGTTACCGATGCAGCCACGAGGCTAAAGGGAGCATCCAAGCACCCTTGGATAGGGGTTTAATTTCTACAGCTATCAAATCAGACACCGATCGAGCTCCCTGCAAGGCCATGTGAACGCCCACGAACCCCTTCACCACATGCCTCTGCTTCATGGGGTGCATGCTAGACCACCCAGTCTGGGAGATCAGGGAGGGTGAAGCTTGGGCACAGCGTGGTAACAACGCGCACGAGGTTGCCAAGGAAGGTCGAGTGCACAAGATGTGAGTCTGGAGTAATCTGCGAAGTTGGCCCGAGAGCTTCGACAACAAGGTTATGCTGGTTGTTGGGATGTGGGCGAACAGCACTGCTAATAGTAACCGGCTTCCTTTCGTCCGGAGCTTGCTTGGCGGATATCAAAACTTCACCCCCCACGGTCCGCCCCACGCAATTCTGTGCTGCTCGGCCCCGAGAAACTAAAAATCCAGCACGATGAGCCAAGGGACGGTCCAGGATCTTCATAATGGGGAGTACCTGCTTCTTGGATGGATTGTATCCATAATTCAGTCTCTCCCGCCTACATGTAAATAACCTGCCCTCTCCTCTCCAGGGTTTTTCTTCTCTCGCATCAAGGAAACCTACTCGTCAGCCGCCTTTTTCTCCGTCCATCCGACAAACTGACTGCACCTGACGGGATCGGGAGGCCGCTGGCTAGCGCCTCGGAGCTCTCCACTGCGAACGCTATGCCCGGGCTACTTCCCATGAAGGTGATAAAAGTTGGCAACAGCTCGCAAAGTCGAGTTGCTCAGGCGTGTGATCGGTGCAGAAGCAAGAAGATTCGCTGTGATGGGATTCGGCCGTGCTGCTCGCAGTGTGCCAATGTCGGATTTGAATGTAAGACCAGCGATAAGCTGAGCAGGCGGGCCTTCCCGCGAGGATACACGGAGTCCTTGGAGGAGCGTGTCCGGTCGCTGGAGGCGGAGGTGCGGGAGCTCAAATGCCTGCTGGATGAGAAGGACGAGAAGATTAATATGCTTTCACGGCTACCTTCAAGTTCACCAACATCAAGAAAGTCGCCGCCTCGCTCATCCGACCCTGCCGTGATGCACCGTTGCAATGACTCGTCCACAACTACGCATCGGGATGAACTTATTCACGTCCAGAATGCGTCTTCGTTGAGAAAGCCGAGTCAGGATTCGCCTTTCATGGGTCCGTCGAGCACCAGGGCTTTCTTAGGTACTGGCCTTCCGTAGCCTTTTCTTTTTCTCCCTTTCTTCTCCCCCTCCCCCTCTCGCCGACAATGCTGACCCGTTCCAAGATGCCTTCGCAAGCAAACTCGAGAGAAGTGGCCAGTCATCGGCCCATATTTCCTTAGATGCAACGATTCCTCCTCCGTTACACACATGGCCGCTTCAAGATTCAAGACTGAAAATGCCGCCTCGACTTGTCTCAGATCAGCTACTCAACATTTTTTTCCAAGAATGGGCACCTCTCTATCCCGTTGTCCATCGCCCAGATATCCTCAGAACCTACAGTCGATACACATCCAATCCCCAGTCCATAGAGAACGACAAGTACGCATTAACCCAGCTAAACCTGATTTTTGGAATTGCCGTGGTTTCTTCAACTGTAAGTTCCCCCTTTTGCCTTCGGTCTTTATCCTCTCAAATCGAGTTGACCTCTGATTAACTATCCTGATAGCCCCGCATACCTCAGGACCCTGTCTTTTTCGAACGGAGCTGGATCCCCAAACTCGAAGCATTGTCCGAGGATATCTCTTTGTCTGCCCTTCAATGCTATGTTCTTGCAGAAATTTACTACTCCCTGAAGTCGGATTATAGGACCCTCCTACGCTACAGATCACTGGCAGTTGCCTTATGTTTGCAACTTGGGCTTCACCAGAGCCAGAAGAGGTTTTCCTTCAATCCGCTCATGAGCGAAACGCGGAAAAGGGTGTTCTGGTGTCAATACTCTCTTGATCGGTATGATATGACAACCAAGGCACCATCCATCAGCCAAAACTCCGGGCTTACTGTGCTATTAGGTTTGCAGCCGCCTTGACTGGCCTTCCGGTATTGATGGCGGAGTCAGATATCTGCACCGAATATCCGTCCGATGTTGATGATGAGAATGTGACTGAGACCGGCTTTATCCCCACCCCCCCGGAGCAGTCGACTAGAATATCCAGTGCTTTGGCCTTGTTTTCAGCCTCTCGGATTTTGAGCAAGGTCCTGGAGGAATTGTATCCCTCTCCCGCAGGCTACGAAATCTCTTTACCCACCATGCATTCGCTTGCAGAGGAATTGGATGACTGGCTAAAGAAGCTGCCGTCCCATCTTCGGGTCGAATTCGTTCAAGATAAACCCACTTCTGGCTTTACTAGCGGCCGCGCGCCTATTCTGGTACGTTCACCTTTTAAGGCAAGGCTTGTACTTCAGGAGCACGAAACTAACAGGCCGTCCCAGTCAATTATCTATTATTTTATCCGCATGTTACTCCGTAGACCCGCAGCTTGCTATGGCAAACCAGAAAGTGCTTCTCCCTCGATGCTTCCTCTCGTTGACTCCTCCAAACACATTCTACAGCTGTTGAAACTGCTAGAAGAACGACGAATGAGCCTAACTCTCTCCATCAATAAGCGCGAGCTCATCGTTCTATCCGGTCTCGGAGTTCTCTGGCAAAGCCTAGATTTGAGTCCTGATAGCAAGTTGGTCAAGGAAGGCCAAAAGTCACTCCATGTGGCCATGAGCCTTCTGGAATGCGAATCCGCGGAGGCTGCAGCCGAATTTGGAGCGATTGTGAGCAATTTATCGCCTGAGGAGGCGCAGAGACGAGCCAGTGGCGAAAACCTACAATTGACGGCCGATGTTCCGCCATCCCCGTCGAGGGACACGTCGGCTAGAGACCAGCTGCTGCAACCGCTAAAGACACGATTTTCTTTCTCCTCGGAATCAGACATATCAACTTATTCTAAAGATAGCGTTCGCAGGTCGAACTGTACCGTTTCTTCTCCGGAGCTCTCGCGCAGTGTGCGATCCTCCAGTCCACGCAGTGGATGCTCAGAAATGTCTGACCAAGCCAAACGAAATAAGAGCGAGTGCCCTGCCAGTGGTTTGGGCATGGACTATCTGCAGCTTAACGGTGAGAAGAAGCAGGTTCCAGCAGCATTTGGCGGTGGAATGGAACTGTCCGATTGGGAGCATGTCCTGAGCGATATGGACAACGGGCATGCGAATATCTACAACGGGATATACGGCGCCGGGGAAACTCCTGCAACGTTCGCCACTCTTCATTCGGGTTATCAGCGGCCGGCTCAGGCGCCACAGCAGCAGTCCTCCCCAATGTCAGTGATACCGTCAATCCCTCCGGCGCAGCACGGATGGCCGCAGGGGGGCTGGGGGTCAAACTCCGGTAACAGACCGGCGCCGAATAAGCATGGAGAAGTCCCCAGCACCCAGACGACAATGGCGGACGCATACGAAGCGATCATGATACCCCACAACCTTGACACCATGGACGAAAGCGGTGCAGACTTTGCGATGACGGATTCCTGGATCCGGCAGTGCGTGATGTGATCCGATATGATTTATTTATTCTCTTACTCGAATTTGCGAGCCACAAGAGTTGGAGTTTTTGATGGGTTTGTTTGGCTCCATATTATTCATACCTACATTCATACATATACAGTTTCATGGTTGGGTTTGGGTTTGGCGCTCTCTGCTGGCGTTGTTGTTGGAACATGAGCACTTGTTGCGAAGGGAGCATGTATATTTCATAAACCGGGCCATTGCTGGCCGGATGTACTGTGTACTCTGGCTTTGGATCTGCGATCGTTTTGCTCAGATATGGATATCCGAGCCAGAGATTTGAGCTTTATAGCTACCTCTCGTTTTTCCTTATTTTCACTTTCTCTCTTTTTGGACCATCAGGCTATGACAGCTCCCAAAGTGTTTCATACTTCAGGTGACCATTTCAGTGTCTCAGTCTTTCCAGTTCGTGGACAATCATGTCTTCTGTGTCCAGCTTCCCTAAAATGTATGTTCCGGCCAATCATGCACCCAGCAGGTTCTGGGCCAGGGACTACCTCAGGAAAATAACTCTCAAAGAAATTGAATTTGCGTGAATCTGGAATCGAGAGGGAGAGTCAAATCCATAAAAAAAAAAAAAAAGAAAAAAATACACCCAGGAAAAAAATTCGTAGGAGCCATATCCCGATTCCTGCAGGGATGGACATGGACCGTCTGAGTATTCCCTTACCACTCCGAATGACAGGGTCAAAGAATGTGGGCAGTTTCCTCCTCCCCTCCCCGGTTTGGCTTCTTTGGCGTTCACAGCGACAACTGAACCTGCACAGATCCTTGTCACAACGCACCTGGGATGGAGCATGGAGCGCGGCGGCGTGACGTAACGGGCGCAACGGAGCGGCCAATCCCTGTCAACGGTACGATGACTCAGCAGCCACTACCGGATGCGGACTGGCGGCGGCTTTGTCATCCACCCCGCCGCGCCCCACCGTCGCCAGCAAGGTTTTTGCTGTGAGAAAGTCGCTCCCGAAACTCCAAAAGTCTCTGATCTTCCTTCGCAACGTCTCCTGTCCCTTTTATATCCCCCTCCGTTGCTCTCCTCCATTCCCTCTTCTGCTTCGTCTTTGCCTACTTTCTTTTTTTTCCCTTTGTTTTTTTTTTCCAATTTTCCCTTTTTTCTGCCACTCCACACTCTCTTGCCAGTTGGTTCTGGCAGCACTTTCTTCCCTCTACCTCCCCCGCTTAACATATCTCCGATCTCGGACATCATGGGATATACGGATTTGGATCGATTGGCAATCAACACCATCCGGGTGTTAGCTGTAAGTGACACCTTTTTTTCGCAATTGCTGTTCCCCTGTTCCATGCAATTGAAGCTCGTGATGCAAATTGTCTTCATATTGAGTATTTCTTTGCGTGCTGCTGCTTAATTGCCAGAGCATACCCGCGAAGTGGGATGTGCGGGGGAGTGATGGCAGACCCTGGTCACGGCGACCACCAGCGCACCCACCAGCAATACCAAGGAAATGCTTTAATCACGGCTAAGAAAACAAATTAAATTTCTCTCTCTTATTGTTACAGGACTATTTATCGAGTCATTTTCAATTCTAACTGCCCTGTGCAATGTCCAGGTCGATGCCACTTCGAAAGCCAACTCCGGGCACCCAGGTGCCCCCATGGGCCTGGCACCTACAGCCCACGTCCTCTTCAACAAATTCATGAGCTTCAATCCTAAGAACCCTCAGTGGATTAACAGAGATCGCTTCGTCCTTTCGTACGTTACATCGCACTTTTCCACACCGCTTTCGCTCATGGTCTTACGGCGTTGCATGCCAGCTGCAACCTTGAGCCGCGATTTAGCTCGCGTTCATTGGCTCGTTAAATGAAGATCTTATATACTGACCAGAGACACATATAGGAACGGCCATGGTTGCATGCTGCAGTATGCTCTCTTACATTTGTTCGGCTATGAAGTCTCTCTCGACGACTTGAAGAACTTCAGAGTTAGTATATCTCTTTTTTTATGCGCGGGGTAGCTCCCCACTTAATTTCTTTTTCGAGGCACTAACCCGAATTGCAGCAAGTTGACAGTATCACCCCTGGCCACCCTGAAGCTCACGACACCCCCGGAGTGGAAGTGACCACTGGCCCTCTCGGTCAAGGTTTTGCGAACGCTGTTGGCCTTGCCATCGCCCAAAAGCACACTGCCGCTGTGTTCAACAAGCCAGGATATGACCTCATCAACAACTACACTTACTGCATTTTCGGCGATGGTTGCGCCATGGAGGGTGTTGCCAGCGAAGCTGCCAGTCAAGCTGGACATCTTCAACTTGGTAACCTGATCTGCTTATACGATGATAACCACATCTCCATTGGTGAGTGCGAAGACTGGAAATCATCCCTTAAGAGATGCTCTGCTAACTACACCATCAGATGGCGACACCAAGATTGCCTTCACCGAAGATGTCATGAAGCGCTTTGAATCATACGGCTGGCACACTTTACACGTCAAGGATGGTGATCACGATCTCGATGCCATTGAGGCCGCCATCGAAGAAGCCAAGAAGGTCACCGACAAGCCAACCGTGATCAAGGTCACAACTACCATCGGGTTTGGTTCCAAGCTCCAGGGAACTGGAGGTGTCCATGGTAACCCTCTCAAGGCCGACGATGCCCAGAACGTCAAGAAAATCTTTGGTTTCAATCCCGAACAGAGCTTCGTTGTCCCTCAAGAGGTTTATGACCTGTACCACAAACATTCCGCGGAGGGAGCTGCCAAGGAGCAAGAGTGGAACATCCTCTTCCAGAAATATAAGTCTGAGTATCCCGAACTCCATGCTGACTTCACGCGCCGTCTCACCGGGAAGCTCCCGGAGGGTTGGGAGAAGAACCTACCCACTTACAAGCCATCTGACCCACCAGTCGCTTCTCGAAAACTCTCTGAAGCCGTCCTCGAGAGAATTCACGATGCCGTTCCTGAACTCTTGTCAGGCTCGGCTGATTTGACAGGTTCTAACAACACAAGATGGAAGAATGCCAACGATTTCCAGCCTCCTAGCCTTGGAATCGGGGACTGGGCCGGTCGCTACCTCCGCTACGGTGTCCGTGAGCATGGTATGGCTGCCATCATGAACGGTATCGCGGCATATGGTACCTTGATCCCAGCTGCTGGTACTTTCTTGAACTTCGTCTCTTATGCTGCCGGCGCTGTCCGCCTTTCCTCCTTGTCTCAAGTTCGTGTGATTTATATCGCCACCCACGATTCCATTGGCTTGGGAGAAGACGGCCCTACTCATCAGCCCATTGAGACGCTTGCTCATTTCCGTGCCTTGCCAAACATGATGGTCTGGCGCCCAGCTGATGGCAATGAGACAAGTGCTGCCTACTACTCTGCTTTAACTTCTAAGTCAACACCAAGCATCCTTGCTCTGACCCGCCAAAACCTCCCTCATTTGGAATCGTCTAGCATTGAGAAGGCTCTCAAAGGTGGATACGTGGCGCTCGAGGCTGAGAATGCAGACATTACCGTTGTCAGCACGGGTTCTGAGGTCAGTCTCTGCATCGACGCCGCCAAATACCTGAAAGAAAAGCACAACATTACTGCTCGCGTTGTTTCGATCCCGTGCTTTGAGATCTTCGATGTTCAGCCCAAGGAATACCGTCTCCAGGTCATTCCCGACGGTATTCCTTCCCTCAGCGTTGAGGTTATGTCTACGATGGGCTGGGAACGATACTCTCACGAGCAGTTCGGCTTGAACCGCTTCGGAGCATCCGCCCCTTACAAGGAAGTTTACAAGGTATGTATATACGTAATTCTTCATCTGCAAGTTCCTCAAGGCTGACAACGCCTCCCTTCTCCTAGAAATTCGAATTCACCCCAGAAGGTATCAGCAAGCGTGCTCTCGCGACCATTGATTTTTACAAGGGCTATAAGGTCCGATCGCCAATCAATCGTGCGTTCAAGCAAATCATCTAGATTTATTACTCCCAGTTTGGGTGATAGATGAGTTTTAGTCTAGATAGCATGCTATTGCTGCTTTAGGCGCTTCTCAGAGAAAAAAAAAGAAGAAACAGTACCCACCGAAGGAAAATACCTATTCTGTGTTACCTACGTTGAACAGCTGATTGGCGAAGCTATTCACGCTGTGGCTGGATAATTGATAAGATATGTTGAGGATGTCCGTTCAGTTTCTTTTTCTGCTTCCTACCTTCAGTAGACAGACACCGTGAATAGAAGCAGAATTATCATTATCATTAGCTCCTATTATTTAGTCCGTACATGGTACTACAGCTGAGGAATTCCTGCCTCTTGGTGTGATAGAACCAAACCAAACGTTCGAAAGTTCCAAATCCGAGAAAGAGAGAAACAAAAATAAGAAAGAATGATTTGGAGGGGAAAAAAAAAAGCACCAGAAAGGTCATCGTAAATTTCTCTTCTTATCATTCAAAAAACCGTTGATTTCTTTTTTTGGGACATGTCTTTGTCTCATTCATTTCCAGGATCACATCACATAAGTTTTATCTTCCAACAGACGCTATTTATGTCTGACTAATATGGTTATTTCCTTTTCGTGCCTTATCTCTAATTGATTCCTTTCCACACACCCCTCATTAACTACCCAAGCTGTGTGGAATTACTCCAGAGCCTTTCTGGCGAAGCCTGGCAGAACGAAGCTGGCGCGGTGGATGTCCTGGTTGTAGTATCTGCACAGCTTGTCCTCCTCCTCTCTGGTCCATGACCGCACGGGCTCACGGATATTGCGGGTGGGGTCCTTGCAGGCGACGAGGAATCCGATCTGGCCGGATGGATAGGTAGGGATGCTGGTGTAGGCGTATTCAACGACGGGGAAGACTTCCTTCATGAGCTTCTTGAGGTCGGTGATGAGCTTAATGTGAAGCCATTGGTTCTCAGCTAGATGTGTAAATAAATTAGCATCTCGGCTGCACCAAAACAAGGGGGAAGTAAGAATTTGAAGCGTGGAGAGGTGGAGGGGAAATTGCTGATCAAAATAGAATAACCTGTAAAGCCGTCAGAAGCGTGGACTTCATTTGGCGAACAAGAATCGTGTCGTGCTGCAGAGGAGGGTAGGACTTTAAAAAAAAAGGGTGCAACGAGGTTAATTTCAGAAAGGAGACGGCGACGAACAACCTTGAGTACTGATGACACCGCCCTCTCGGAGAGAGCCGTAGAGCAATTCGAAGTAAGGCTTCTGGAACAGAACCTCAGCAGGGCCCTCAGGGTCAGAGCTGTCGGTAATGATAACGTCGAATTCGTTCTTTCTCTCCTCGAGGAACTTGAAGCCGTCTCCGATGTGGACCTTGACGTTAGGGTGCTGGAAGCCTATGCTCATGCCAGGAAGATATTTCTTAGATGCACGAATGACGGCCTACGGCATAGTCTGTCAGCATCCCATGGTATACACAAGGCCGACTAAGGACTACTGGTGCGGGCCCATACTTCATCGATATCGCAGAGAATGGCCTCCTCGACTGATTCGTGCTTGACGATCTCACGGAGGACACCACCGTCACCTCCGCCAATGACGAGGACCTTCTTGGGGTTTGGGTGGGAGTTCATGGCAAGGTGAGTGATCATCTCCTGGTAGCTGAATTGACAAGGACCCTGTCAGTTCAACTTCTCTCTTGCGACTCCTATCTGGGCATAAACGCGGGATCAACCGGGAAAAGCATACGAGAATTCATCGCGCTCTGTGCACTGGATCACATTGTCCAAAACCAAGCAGGTGCCATGGTCGGTGCTCTCAAAAATGAGGATATCTTGATACTTGGATTTCTCGTGGTGGAGGATCTGGTTAACCCGGAGAGTCATGGCCTGGCCGGGCCACATATCAGAGATCTCGGAGAACCATCCATCTACGGTAGCGAAAAGAGTACATTGTTAGATCCTTCACAGGTACAAGCATTGTAGAGTTGAGAATTGGCTTGGCTCTGTATAATCCTCTTAAATTTAAGAGAGAAGACAACGCACCTTTGATGGTAGGATGTGTGATTTCCGTCATAGTTGTAGTTGGGGTTGTCTGCCGTGAAAGAGGGGCTTGACTGAGTGTATGAAAAAATCTGAGGATAGCTCCTGAAGGCTGCGGATGAGGTACCGGTCTGTTTAAAAAGAAAAACTGGCCTGCGAGATGACAGGGAAGCCGACTGCCTTGGCTCAGCAACGCGGTCATGCAACGCCCTCAGGAAAAATTTCCCCTCCTTTCGGTCTGTTTTTTTTTTTGTCGGTGGGGGGCGGAAGGTGGGGTGGTGGATTTTTCGGCTTCCCATTGGAGAATTTTGATGCAGATTCTGGCTTTTTCATTGGAGACTGCTGGTACGCTGCTATTTTGCAATTGTCCAATAGAAACCACGATCTGCTTACGGTCCGGTAACTGTATGTTACGGAAACATCTTCTTCCGGTACTGTGAGGGCGGGCGCAGGAGAGCGGGCGAGTTTGCCAAACGCTCACGGAATCCGTCAGCCTGGAAGACCGCGGCGACGAGGGTCGACAGCGCGCACAACCACGTATGTGCGGCTGAACAGCATGAGAAAGCGCACAGCAATCACACGACCATTGTATATCTTCTTGGTCTCAAGGCTCGATATCAAGTCGGGATTCTCGGGCGCCTCCAGCGCGGGCCAATCTCGGAAGCTATCAATAAGCGCCCGTACCATCACGGTGGACGCCAGGTGGATCCCCACCCAACAGCCTGTGCACTAAAGGGGCAACTATATCCACCATTAATATGATACCCAGAACCGATCTTGAAGACTGAGAGCGCCGGCAGGGCAGGCCAAGCAGCGCATTTTCAACCACCCGGCAAGGTGGGATGTGCATTCCAACGCAAAACGGACAAGCTCTCAAATCTTCACTGTTTAGGTCCACAATGGAAGGCTCGCAGAAGTTTGTCAAGATATATGTATACATAAAGCGAGGGGAGAAATGTCGATGCTCTGGAACTACCTATCAAGCCAAACTCCATTGTCGAGCAAGAAAAAAAGGAAAAAAGAAAAAAAGAAAGGCAAAGTGAGGGGCCCAGCCCTCAGGATCGACGACTACTTTTATCCCAACATACAATTCTCGCGAGCCGTTCCCCCATGTCTCTCATCCTTCATCGCTTTAGCTTCTTCACCCTGGGGGGCGAGACGAAGGCGTTGCAAGATAGGATACAGGGTCTGGATGGTCTGAAAATGCAGCCGGTGGATACGGGAGCGCGTCAAAATTCCCTGACCGGTGCTGTAGTGCCATATTGTTGAATTCCATGGCATTTTCCGGTTTCAGTGTTTCGAGCTCGGCCATCAACTCCTTTATCCTGTCGTTTAGTCTCCCAACTTCTTCCGATTGACGGGCGTAGGATTGCAGCAACTCTCGGTACTGCTCGTGGAGACGATGCAGCCGCTCCTCTAGAGCCTTGACGTGTCTTTCCCTGCGTTCGCGAAAAGCTCGCTGCGATGCTCTGTTCTGTGCACGGCGTCGCTGTGAGAGCATTTATTAGAGGAGAATATTGCTATCTGGAGTGAAATACCTACGAGGTGCATACTGCTAAGGCTTTCTGCCTCGTCGTTTGCATTTGAGGCTGATTTCCGGCGGCAAGGATGCCGTTCAGAGAGCGACGTGGAACCAACATATTCCACGGGTATCATTTCTTGCCTTGAATAGCTGGGACTCTGGAAATTCGGTAGAGATATAGGGCTATAATTGATGGCGTAGGCCTTCTGAATCGTCTCCTATACTGTCATATCAGACCGGCGGCCCGAGATCTCACATAGGGAGCACTCACGCTAGTGGAATATGGACCAGAGTCCACATGGCTCTCGAATTCATCCACTGTCAAAGGCTGTGAAGCCGGGGGTTCAATAGAATGTTGAAGCCTGGTGTCAAATCTATGATCCATGAACTTGTTTTGATAAAATTTGACTGCGCTATGAGTTGATCAAAGTATCACGCCTGGTGATAGCTCTGTCCCGGCTTCGGTATACTAACCAAAAGATTTCAATCGCCCGAGATTTCAGTCCGCTGGGGTGAATGAAAAGCATCCATTGCCAGAGTATCTGTGGCTGCCCTTTTATACGGCCCTGATTTGGATAGGTTCTCCTTAGGATAGTCACCGACCATATGCCATCGGTAAATTGATTTCGATTAGTGCAGCCATCGTGAATTCCGCGTCCGGATCTCTTCGTATTTTGGGGCGAGTATGACGAGAGATTCCCGGCAAAAACGCAGCAAGGATGCTGAGGAGCTGATACGCTATTCGACACGACCTTCTCCGCAGCCTTCCTGCTTCAACGGTCAACCCCAAATAATATAGATTCACGGGGATCTCTGGCCTGACAGTCTGTTTGAGATAGATGGAAATGTCTATATATAAAATGACTTTTGTTTTAAATTTCGGGACCTCGGTAGCGGCTTATCGCGACGCGGTCGGCATGGCTATCATACATGAACAGGCGGCTCTCGACAGCTCGAATATGCCTTGGCTAACTCCAGTTTGGGCGTAGATCGGCCGCTATGGCAGGCAAGAGTCACCGGCGTGCATGGACGAGAGTCAAGCATGCGAAAAATTGCCCAACGCCGCCATGATTCAGTTTCCCATAACTCTGACACCGTTGTTAGCTTTTTGGATACCATATTTCGCTGGGTCGTTGACTATTTTGAGGTCACCCAAAGTATTCGGTTTGTTGATGACCCTACAGGCTACAGGCTCAAGGCTAAAGATTTAATAATAAAACTGCAAGGCAGGACGTGCAAATTTAGCCTTGACATCAGCGATTGTACGCAAGTTTACCGTGCCTGCTATTTAATACACACTGGACTCGCTCTATCTCTGAGCATGCCATCGCCCTCCCGAGCGTCTCGACCCGGGAATAAATATAGGCGTTGCCCGTAGAGCCCTAGGGAGGCATATCACTTAGACGAACTGTTTGCATGGATACCCCACACACCCGCACCCACTTTTCTCTCCGAGGTTCGAGTACCTGAGGAATTTCAGCTGTCAAGATTCACTATGGCTGTCCTTGGCGAAATCGTGATCAGAGTATTTATAGCACGTCGAAGATCGCGCGTTGAACTTCGAGCCAGTAATATTACAATGTGTTTAAGATATTTATTTTTATTCCAGAGGAACGATGGCCACCCCCTAACGGGAGGGTTCAAGCCAGTCATAATCAGCGCGGGTTCGGAAATATGCAGATACCAATTGGCCCCCACGACGTAAATTCGAATGCATCTACGCATCAGCGGAGATTTTTAGTTTAGTTCATAGCCAGCCAACTGTGTTGGCTTCATATGCTTCTATCAGGGCATATAGAAAAGGCCCAAAACCTCATTCCGGATATCGAGAGCACACGCATGTGGTATGGAAAAGCGTCCAAAAAGAGAAAGAGGTCACGCAGTAGCCGGGAATATACAAATATGAGCAATTCGATGGTGGCATCCCTTTTCTCGTAATGGCAAAGAGAGACAGAAATTTATAATAGCAGCTCCATGATGTAAAAGCTCTAGCTTCGCATTCCACACCAATTCCCAGGTGCACCCGGAATACAACTCAACATGGAGCTCGACGAGGGACGCCCTTGGGGGCGAGAGACTTTGTTTTCCCGGAGATCAAGAAGCCCATGAACTGCCATGTAACTTGTATCCTTCAATCATGGAGACAAAATAGGTAGAAAAGACGTACAATGTAGTCCTGGCTCTAAGCTGATTCTATGATCAACGTGTTTCCCCTCATCATCTTTCACATGGCTTTTTCAACACATTGAGCTAAAGAAAGTCCGCTTTCGTCGGAGCGGAAGCGTTTGCAATATCCTCTTCAACTACCAGGAGGGCTCTTGCATCAAGACAATGTGGCCATTCAATATCTGCTATTGTGGTGGTTTTGGGGGGGGGGGAATTGGGTCCCGGGGCAAGCCAGAATCCAGGTGTCCCACTCACAATAGTCATCAAGAAGATGCATGTTGCTTTGTTATGCTGCTCACCATCACGTTTCTCAACCATTTTTACTGTAGCTACCACTTCCCAGTGTGGGCAACCTTTCTGCTTGCTTAAGCCTGTTCGTTACCCCCCAGTTAATCCATTTCAGGCTGCTGCTCCAATAGTCCACTGGTGCGATATTGATATCGTCATCTGTAGTTCAGAACAAGGGATCCGAAAAGCCTCGAGGCTTATCTGGCGTAAAATTTTAAGAAATCCACTTGATAGACATATCATGAGCTATTATCCATTAAAGGGGTATTGCAAGAGCATTCACTAGAAGAAACCAACGTGCCTCATCTGCTAATATATCGTTCCCCTGGTTTGGACCTAGTGTGAATTTCCTAAATACCTAACATTAAGAATGGGAGGAAGGTAAGTACTTTACCACACAGTGCAACTTATGACTTACTAAAATCCAGCCTCAAGGCCAAGAATGAATGACAGGCTGGATTGTATTGAATCACTGCGATGGATCAGATGAACCAGCAACTTCAAATTTGAATTAGACCTGGAGATCACAAGGTGGAAACGCAAAGTCCCATAACTCGCGTTAGACACAAGCTGCGAAGAGCTTCTTGGGGAACTTTGGACTTTTCAGTTTCGCCTATAGTATGTGCGACTTCACGATACCCTGGGTGATATTTGCAACCTATTTGCTCTTCTGGAGAAGGAAAATCTCATCAAAGGTACATTTTGGTGAGAATCATCGGGGAAAAAAAAATAAAAAAAAATAAAAAAAAAGACAAAAGAGGAAAAAAAGGAAAAGGAAACAAGAGGGTACTGGAGTAAAAAATATATTGTTTGTGGAGTAAATTGGGAGAGAAACATATGAAGTTGAATGTTGGCTAGAAGAAGCCAGATCCCTTGTCTCGCGACCGCTCCATATAACTAATAATGGTCATTTCATCGCCAGGCAAGAGGATAGCATGACGCTGCGATGAAAACATTTGAGAACTCAATACCATTCATCTGGCATGGTAGCCCGCAAGTACTCCATATATTAAGGGAATATGGTCGACCTTTCACATGTTCGAGTGCTCTGTCTGTATGTCCCATAGGCCAAGATGTGACATCGAACAACGTTTGCCAGCAGGTATTTCAAAAAAAAAAAAAAAAAAAAAAAAAGTTTTAAACTTCCAACACCATCAGCAACTATTAATTTAGCAAAGAGTTTGAACTCTCATTGCTTGATGTTTGCACTTAGCCCTCCTTTTCTTTTTCGCGAAGAGTTCTAGAACCCCTGGGAAAATCTTGGAAGAGTGCAAAAGCCGGGATTATGGCCACATTCCTAACAACTGCTGCCAGTGACGGGATATTCGCGACCCTGCCTACCACTCGGACGTCTAATTCGAAATGGCGGCACAAATCCCAAAAGTCCACGACACAAGCGTTGGGTTGCGAGCCCAACGGTCAGTGGAACATATGTATTTTGTTGGACAAGGGCAGCGACAAGGTTTGGAGAGGGACCGGAATCAAGGGAAGTTGCAGTTCTCTGGTCTTGAGGGGCGTGAAGGCTCGATCAAGACTCAATGCTCGCAGTGGAGTGAATGTTCCCCTTTTCTTCTTGTGGTGTTATGACCTTATTCGTCGATATTTGGATAAAAAGACACCACTCGAGGTCCGGAATAGCTGAATGCAACCGAATTCGAAGAACGACAACGGATATCGGCCCATGCAATTGAGGTTGACTTTTGATTTTTGCTTCCCACGTTGACAAAAGCCCAGGGAGGCGCTGGATCCATACGTGTTGCGTTGATTGCCGGTCTGAACCGGACACAGCCAAATGCAGGCCATGGGGATCCCGCCCTGCGATCACGACGAATCATAATTGGGAATTCACGGGTTCCGTGGGCCTACCCCTTGCATTAGTTAGTTGAAAGACTGAAGCTTACGGAGGATGAACTCAGCTTCTGGAATTTGAGGTGGCATGCTCGCCAAGACGGCACCGCGCTGATGTTTCCAAATACAGAGGGTTATTATCCCGAAAGCTCGATTCTCGATGCCCGCCGGCACTTGATAGGTGTTCGATCTTCCGCCCCTGAGTCTTGGTTTTTCAAGGATAAGAGCTTCTGCAACGTTCAGTGTACTTGGTTAATAGAGTTAACTGCTGTGCGTGTAGTACACAAGTTACTACATGGCAGCACAACTGACGCTTCCCGTTGAGTTATATGGTCGCTCTCCTTAAGATACCCACCGAGTTCAACCGGCTAACGGACGTCGACCAGTTACGCACCTTTCATTTGAAAAAGCTGCTTCCCAGAACAGACAGATGTTGGAGGGCCCTGGTGCATACTTTTGTCCAGAGTACAGAGCATAGGCTATCGCTTTTCAAGGACGCTGAAACACGCCTGAAATCCGGAAACAATGCCGGAATTGCCTTTGCCATGTGGAGATCTGCCACTTGTTTTACGCAATTGGGTACCCCGTAGAGGGCAAGGATGTTATGCACAAATTTTGCTCCTCTGTTTTGATGCTGTCGAGATGTTTCCTCCTGTTTCCCCCGTCCTTTTCGGAGACTGGAAACTGAATGCTTTGTCCAGGCAGAGAACATTCATCAAAGTACTCCGTCTTGCCTTTGATTAGCTCTTTCCTGTACTCCCTACCCGTCACTAGTATTGGAGAGAATTGGCTAAGGAGAATCGACCGCCTTGTGGTACAAGCATGGCTTCTCGCCCGATGGTTGAATCGCAGTCATCGCGGATGCGGGATAAATACGCCTGTTTGTTCCTTCCAGAGTGCTTATCGAAATCTATCAACATTACTCCGTACAACAAACACTTAACCATGCATTTCAACGCCTGAGTGTCTCCCAGCTCCCGTCAAGTGCAATCGAACTCGATAATGTCGGATAATAGAGTTCCCACGGACCAAGGATATGGGATTGCATCAGCGCCAAGGCCTGAGCGACGCGGGCCGTAACGCTATTTGACCTGGAACTCGTAGGACTGCAATTTGTAAAGCTCATCGCCACTCGCGCCTGTTTGCTGCAAACGAGCCGGACGAGGAGCTCGCGTGGCCTGCTTCGCTGCAAGATCTAGTCATTGTATTCTCCGTAGAGTAGGTGATTTTCCCCTGAGTTACAAAGTCCAAACTGGCCAAAAAGAATTTCATGCAAGTTAGTAAATCCCGCTGTTCGCCCAGCGAGGGATCCCGGCGGAGATAGCAAGATCGTATCTCCCTTGCCAGGACTCGGATGGGACAGGGGAACCAAGAAACGACTCTCTCACCGGCCTGATTGGCTCTGTCTTTTTCGCAATCCAGGCCCCACGGTCTTCATGAAACAGCGGGATGACAGCATTCATGTAACATGCAGAACATGGGCCTCGAATCCAACATAACACGAGGCTGCTTTAACAATGGTTTGTTAGGCTATTCATCTGCGAAAGACGGGTCTGCCCTCATCGCACGGTTCTCAATTCTGTGACAAGCGCGCATTCCTCCGAAATCGCCTCCAGAAAGCATTGACTTTGTTGCCACTAAAATAAAACTAGTGTCGGACGGCGGCTTAAAGACATCTGAAAATCGATAATCCCACCCGATGTGCCGAATAGACCCACGACTATTGAGTTAGTTAACTCGGCCGCTTGGGCGAGGGAAGAGTTTGTGGGGAAATTCGCAGTGCTTGGGCCCCAGTAGACTTCGCCCTACTAGCTACGCGCTGCGCCTTTTCTCCCTTGATTCCGTATTTTAGATTTGTTTTATTTTTCTTTCGATTATGCAGAATCTTCGAGCTTTCGCATTTTCATCTGCCAGGCGAGAACCATAATTGATGAAACCTCGTGGCTGGAGGCGACATAAGTGGCCCCCCATCACAACCGAGACAAGCATCCCCGGCCCCGATCACTTGTCAGCAACCCCAGCAACGCCATACCGCGTACGGGGTATGCGCATCTTTTCCCGCCGGCGCGCCCAATAAAACTTCCAGGGGATGCAGCAAGCCTGCGTTGCAGGCTGTCAAAAATCTCCTACCATACTCTTCTCGCTCGGTCGATATCTCTAGCGGCCTTCCATTCCGCTCCACTACTTCGCTGCTATCGAGGAGACGACAAGGCTGCCTACTGTGTACTCAAAGCCCACTAACCTTCATGATCTGATTCACTTTCACTCTTGAACAGTGAATATACATTATTCACATATTATAATTGGTCTATCTGGGTGCCTGTCGTCCGAATTGTGACCGCATTTCAACTCAGTAAAGCTTGTGTTTCCTGGGTTACATTCACTCTTCCTATCCATTTGGCATCTTCCTCACCCAGCCATTCACTCATACTCCCCCTGCAATAATTTTCCCCTTATCGCCTCCGAGAAAATTACTCTGCCTATTTGCTCTGTTGTGTTGTCTTATGATCTTGGTTGTCAGGTGTTGCTCTGAGTTCTAAACTGGTGAGTGGTATGCGAACCTCTTTATTCTTTTTGAACAAAACTAACTATCTCTCATACACATATAGATAGCCTCTTGCAGTAAGAGATCTTTGTTCCCCCCCGCTATTACAACCTACATCTATTTCAATGTCCGCGACTTGAACAATACTATCTGCCCCCTATTTTGTTTCGCGACTCCACTCTGGCTGGATTTTCCGGGACGAGAACTCCCTGATTTAACATTGGAAGCTGATGGATTAGTGATTAGGGACTTTAAAAGCCTTTCACCATGGGCTGTTCTGGATCCAAGGAGATTAGCCCTGAAGAGCGGCAGGCGATCAAACAAAATGCAAGCATTGACAAAATGATACGAATGGACAAGAAAACATATGATCGCACAGTCAAAATCCTTTTACTCGGTATGCTGCACTATAACAAGCTCCATATTATCAAATAAATTTCTAAGAACATTTTAAAATCAGGCGCTGGCGAATCAGGAAAATCTACTATCATAAAGCAGATGCGCATCATCCATGCAGGCGGTTTCCCAGAAGATGAACGCCGACAGACCCGCGCTATTATCTATTCAAACATGATTGTGGCCTTTAAAATCTTGCTGGATATAATGGAAGCTGAAGGAATCGAGTTTGAGGCTGCTGACACAAAGGTTAGCCTGGTCCTCTCAGTAGCCCCCTTTACAATGGCTGTCAAGCACGTCTTATATATCGATTGCTGATCTTTCTTATCTAAAAGTCATTCGCGCAAGTCATAGAAGAGACTGAGGCAGACGTGGAGTCTGATGAGGCGTTTACCGATTTAAACGTTCGACAAGCGATGAAGAGCATGTGGGCGGATCCAGGAGTTCAAAAAGCTGTCGCAAAAGGTCATGAATTTGCTCTTCACGACAATCTCGACTAGTAAGGCACCAGCATTCGTTTGCAGGATCGAAGTATATGCTGACCACTTGTGAAGCTACTTTAATTCCTTGGACCGCATATTCACACCTGGATGGCTTCCGAATAATCAAGATATGCTCCATTCGCGACTGCGCACGACCGGCATCACTGAGACCCTCTTCGAGTTAGGCCAGATTAATTTCCGGATGATGGACGTTGGCGGACAGCGCTCAGAGCGTAAAAAGTGGATCCACTGCTTCGAAGGAGTTCAATGTCTACTCTTTATGGTTGCGCTATCCGGCTATGATCAGTGTCTTGTCGAAGACCAGACTGCGGTGAGTTTATCTCCACGAGTTAGATGCAAATAGCCAAGGTGCTGACGTTAACATCAAGAATCAAATGCACGAGGCGATGATGCTCTTCGAATCTCTGGTCAACGGGGAGTGGTTCAGGAGAAAACCAGTCATCCTTTTCCTCAATAAAATTGACCTTTTCAAACAAAAAGTCCCTACTTCACCCGTGTCGAAGCACTTCCCAGATTTCAAGGGCCCAGACGGCGACTACCAGGCAGCAACGAAATTCTTTTCAGATAGATTCAAAGGCATGACCCGTATGCCTGAGCGAGAAATCTACGTCCATCACACTAATGCCACCGACACGACTCTTCTAAAAGCGACCATGGACTCGGTGCAGGACATGATCATCCAAAAGAATTTGAATAACCTTGTTTTGTAGGCTCCGTGATACCCAAAAAGTCGCATTCCTTGCAGATGATGTTTTTTTTGCATTTGCGTCTTTGCATCCTACCATGTGCAATTATGTCTCTTGCTACTATGTTCCTATATTTTTAGTTTTCGGGAGTTTCTATATTCCTTTCCTTTTTTTCCCTCCCTTTGAGTTGGGAACCATTTGCGATGCTCGAATCCATTGCAGACGGTAATAGTTCTTGTGTCCATATTCTCTTTTCATGCCCACACGTATTTAAACCCTTGACGTTCGGCCTATCTCCGCTTCTTTTTATATTCCTTGCCCGATACGTTTAATTTTTCTGGTGTCTGATAGAACTTTATGCTTTCGCCTTTCTCCTTGCGCGCTTTTCTTTGACTCGTGGCGGCACTCGCGAAGACAATCGCTCGGGGCACCACCCCTTTCTTTATATTCTCTAAGCAGGCGACATCTTATCGAGCTATTCAGGGTTAGTGCGCATATGCAAGCTATGGGAGGATCATTTGTGTTTCTTTAGGTCGCGATGGCGAGTTTGGGCTTCGAACCGGCTCAAACTTTAAAGCAGTGGAAGGACTCGATCCTGGTACTTTTTCACGCCGATTTTCGGGAATTGTTACGCTAGATGCTGGGACGATAAATTATGGGTTGACTGTGTTTCAATGCTGCTGTTTAACGATGCAACTTGTTCTGTGCTCTTGGTCAGGTTCTCCACAAGGTCTCTCCAGGAAGGGAGCAACATGCGGACTTGGGAGGCTGCGGAAGCGGCTAGCTGAGAAGCGCAGTGATCGACAAGATAGAGTATGAAAACATGATTAATGGTTGTGGTCTTCGCTTGCCCCTGGCTGCCGCTCATACAGCTGCCTGACCCCGCGTTTGCGAACGACTCGATTAGTGACTAGGTTGAGACGGAAACCAGCCGACACAGAACGAATTGGCCTGGCGTTAGTTAACTAGTTAGTTACCCCTCTTGCGTAGCTGTGTATTCTCAAGGTGTTCTGGAGAGCACCAGGATATGGTCTCTTCACACAGAGCTATTTACTTCAGGAGAATTCCATTAAATGAATCGACTCTACCGCGATCATGAAGCTCAACCACCCGTATGCCGTATTAGAGCATTCAGCCCGGGTAATTATGCAATTTTGTTCCTGAGGTCACGTCATGCGGCGTTGTACACGTGATTATACGATTACATAATGGCGGCAATGTGGTTGAACTCCCCGGTAGCAGAACTTGCTCACAACAAGCCCTCAGGTCCAGCGGACATTGATCTACCACCACCCTCTCATCCACTCTCTAAAATTTGCACAGGAGCTGTGCTCTGAAAGCTCTTGCTGCCCTCAAAATGTTTTCATCCTCTATATGCCGTATGGCCCGAGCGCCAACGGTGAGTCTTCCGGCCGTGGCGCCGCGCCCATGCACCATCGTCCTCGCAAGCTCCGCCAGTAATCTCTCCACTCCTCGAACCCAGCAGCGGCGATATTCGTCTTCCAAACCTCCAGTTCCTCCTAGTGATGGCTCCAGAGGCTTCGATGCTTCCTCACAGACCCCAGCCAAAAGCGTAAGCCCGTCCAAAAAGGATGAAACTGAGAAACGATCGAAACGCCGGGCAAAGGAAAATAAATCGAAACCGAAGAACACATTGAACCTTCCTAGTGTTCCTTCTACTCAGCATTTACACCCTCAAGGTTCGTGAATCATTCTCTTTCCATTTTGTGGAGGGTACTCAAGAGAGCCAACCCTTCAAATCACGTGGTTTTACCCAGAAAGCATACTTTTAATACTTACATTGGGACAAACGCTTTCAGATATCCATGTCGCCTCTTTCTTTTCTATTCACCGTCCAATGTCTGTAACCACGACTGTACCTCCGGCATCAACCTCCGAAGCATTCTCTACCATTTTTTCAGCGAAGAAACAAGCGAAAGCTCGGCAAAACGACGTAATCTACACGATAGCTTCGGCTGTAAACGTTATTGAGAACGCCATTCCCAGACACCAGCAATCGACGGAGGATAGCGATCTTAGAGCGGCTGTAACCCAAGCGTCTGCTAGCAACGCAGAGCCCGATGTTACCCATCTCGACGGTGTGCCCATGCAAGATCTGAGAATATCTGTGCAAGAATTCGCCAAGCGGCTAAGACCTTTCAATCCACCCCCACCGCCCGTTCCTATGGATGAAGCCCAGCAGGCCAAAATCATGGATGTTGAGGCCGAAGGTACCGAGAGTGAGCAGAGCTATTCTACCGTCCTAACGATACGCGAATCCAGCCACGCGGACGGTTCGAAGAGCTACCAAGCGTACACAACGCCATTCGTCCGTGTGACAGATATGGAGGCGCCATCGGGAACCGAGACAGAAGCTATGGGAGAGCAACACACCCCCGAATCTGCTAGATTACCAAGTCGTTTCCTCGATAGAATGCGAATCCGACAGTTGAAGTGGGAAGCTTTCATGGAGCGGAGAAACAGAACCATGTACGCCATCAGCGTTAAGAGACAGCGAAAACTCAAGATCAAGAAACACAAATATAAGAAACTGATGCGGAAGACGCGGACTTTGAGACGCAGACTTGATAAGAATTGATGAAGTCAGTCTTCCACTGGAATCTCTGGGGCATATTGGCGTGTTGAGTTTCCGGGTTGTCTTTTGATTTGTTTGATTCCTGGTGTCTCCTTTTTTTTCTTGACTACTCTTCCCCGTACCTCTCAGAATAGTTGGCATTATTGTTAATTCATGCATCTCTTTTTCTCCCATTTGGCTCTATTGCAGGCTGTGCTTTCATTTTCCCCGCGCGTCCATCTCCATTTCTGCTTTCCGTCGACAAGGTAATCAAAGCCAGCTAGACTATATACAGCCCTAGACGTCTCGAGGCGACGCTTGCAGCTCATCCAAAGTCTTATTCTTCGTCTATCCGATCTCGCCTTTCCAAGCATTTATACATAGATTCAATCAATACATGAAACAAGTAAATATTGTGGACTGAATGTATTCTTTAAGACATGTGTTTTGTAGACTACATACATCTTTCGATCCACAATTTTCTCAATATCCTATTCAATAGTCAAGACATTATTCCAAGCCATAAAACGCGTTGATTGCAGTACATACGAGGCACACATACATATACATGCACACGAGGTTTAAGATGATCAAGCCCACAGTATTCAAAATCCACGTCTAGCACAGGTACCAAAAAAACAATTACGGCATAGTAACAAAGGGCAGGAGGCTACACGAAGGCGGCATGCGTATAATAATAAAAACCGGCAAAAAGAGAGGAAAAATTTAAGATGAAGTAAGGTGCAATCCCAGAGAGGTAGAATAACAAAGCTCAGGTAAGCCCAAGAATGAGAGTTTGGATACATGTTTCTTCCCACCACAAACAGAACGAAACAGGCTTGGTATAATAGAGGGATTATTAGGCCGTCCACCCTAGCTCATTTAAAGGGATGCTCATAACATGATAATAAATTCATCACTATTCACACTCACTATACGTTTAGTCAACACATTGTCACCAACTTTGATCGACATCTGATGTACGCGAAAGTGATGGTGAACAATGTTCATATAGTGCCGTTCAATGCTTAGCACTCAGCGCCCGAGGCGCGCGAGTTCATAAGGAGGGCAACAATAAGTCCGTAAAGACCTAATAATACAAGTTAGAGTACTATGCCTAGAAATATGTCTAAAAAGAAAGAAAGCGCACCCAAGACTTCTGCGAAAATGAGAATCAGGATCATTCCGACGAAGAGGCGAGGCTGTTGGGCTGTTCCACGAACACCAGCATCACCGACGATGCCAATGGCGAATCTAAGAGCATTATCAGTATTCGATCTGAATGACACTCAATAAAGGAGGTGTAAATGATGAAAAGAGCGTACCCTGCAGCCAAACCGGCAAGACCAACAGAAAGGCCTGCACCAAGTTGAATGAAGCCAGTATACAGCGACTTGTTCTGGCCCAAGTCGTTTGCTATCAAGACTGACACAACCAACCCGTAGATACCGATAATACCAGCCATGACAATAGGAACGATGTCTAGATCCAACACGCGTCAGTGCAAATCAGAATACGTGGCGTGCTTCCCCACGCCATCGGAAGACCTCCACCGAATGGCTTCAGGTCTGCAAAAAGGGACTAATATCCTTACTCTTCACAATCAGGTCTGGTCGCAGGACGGCTGTCGAGCAGACACCGACACCGGCCTTAGCCGTCCCATAGGCAGCACCGAAACATGTGAAGATGATGGCAGAAGAGCATCCTAGGGCACCAAAGAATGGCTACAGCCGATCAATGTTAGCATCAAGGTTATAATCGAATGATGTTCATGGTGATGGATGCCGGGACAATCGCGTTATACGTTCAGCCCAGCCATCGACGTCCAACACAGGTATGAAGCATCTTAGCACGAAGGTGGTGTCAACTGACCGCATAAACGGGGCTAGAGACATCTCGAAAATCAGTATTTCTATCACATATTTGCAGCACAACCCGTATTCTCTGCTTTTGCACATCGGAGTCTTGAGGGTAACTGACCAGAGGTCTGAAGGCATCTTGGGAGATTATGAACAAGCGTGGACCTGAACACCGGAAATGAAACGCGCGCAGTCGAAGGAGAGGTTTGCAGATTGAAAAAAGTAGGTTAATTAAATGAATAATATCCTCAGGAACCGTGCCTGAATGAGAGTTGAGAAAAGGATGAGAATATGGACGATGTAGCTTGTCACGCTGCGAAGCTTGAAGACGTTCGTTCGTTACGGGATGAGGTTGGAGTCACGTGATTAGACCGTTGCCGTTCCATCGCTCCCCGACGTCAGGTTTGAGAACGCGCAGCTCACGAAAGAACATCCGCCCTTCAACAAAGAATTGTCTACAAAATATACAGAGAAAGATGTTAATATTTACTTAAATTGGGTTCTGATGCTTATTCTTGAGCCAGGAACATCAATCTTTGTTCCGGACACTTCGAGAGCCCGCTCGTCAGCTCCCGTCAGGCTATCCTGCTCGAAGGTAGTAAAAGTTATACCGTTCTCAGACAGCGCCCCAAAATGGTTTGGGACCACAATAAGATGCTTATCGGATACCTGGGTCGAAGATCGCAAGTCATTTTCAAGACCTGCCACAGGGACGGAAGCAGTCTCGACAGAAGGAATCACCCCGAAGATAAAGCGTTCCGCCACTTCCGCGGGTTGAGAGCCCTGCGAAGAATTCGTATGACCTAGTGGACTGTGGATGGGCACTGCCGTGTCTAACGGTGCAACAAAAAACTGTACGGTATCTCCTGGCTTTGCAGCCTCGGAGAGTGGCGTTACGAGTTTTCCATTATTAAATTCCATAAAGCTAGGGAACGAATCGAAGGCTGTCTGCTCGATATCGGGCTCAATAGTGTTCCTTTCGAATAGTTCATTAATAGGACGACGGTGGCCAGAGCTGTGCTCTTCCTGGTAACTGTATTCAGGATCTAGAGAAAGCAGACCCTGCTTTTTACCCCACCCTCCTCCTCCGCTCATGAGACGGTGAAGGCGAGCACTCTTTTTGATTGCATTAGATACGTCGTCTGTTCCACTGGCTTCAGGGCTAGCCTCTGAGGAGCAATGTAATTCTTCGGGTTTGACGAGAGCCCAAACTGCGAGCCTGCGATTTTGCAACTGATGCTTATCGATATATGCTGGGAGGGCTTTCTCTAGTTCCGCCGATGCTGGCGCGGATTTTGTGGAACCATTTCCAGTTGAAATCTGACTCAGAACGTTCCCCATGCTTGTAATGACTTTCCTAGGCTGCGTAACTGGATGCAAAGGTATAAACGGCGTGACAGACGAATTGGCATTAGATTCGATTCGACAAATCACAAGATCCTTCGTTTCCTTTGGTTTCAATTTCCCAATTTCCTCATCAAACCGCCAACGTGATGCCAGCATTGTTCGCGGTGTGCCGGTGACAAAAATCGTGTTTGCGATGCGGACCCCAACTTCAGTGGAAACTTTTTCACCTCCATCTTGCTCATAAGTCATGGCATACGTAATTGTGGGCTCGATTTCAGGCATTGAGACATCCCGTCTTCGCATGGGCCGGACTATGTCTCCGGATAAGGACTCTTGGTCTGCTATCAAAAGCGAGATTCCTTCGCACCCTTCTTTTTCGAAGGCTGGGGAGTCTTCAGGCGAAGCCGACCTTGCCGAAGAGACCAGTCCTGCTGGTATTGGCAGCTTATCCACAACAGCCGATATAGAATATATATCTTTAATCTCTTCGTCCGTTCGCAGCGCATCTTGGAAAATATGGCCCATTATGGATGGGAGCAAAGTGCTGCGAGCGTGAGCCCAGGCGGCAAACGCAGGGGTAGCGAGAAGTATAGGGACATTCTGGAAAGACCTCGATGTTCGCGGGAGAACGGGCAAGTTGGATATAACGGCTGCAGGGTCCTAGATATATTCAAGTTATCAATAAGGATTATAGCTCTCTTGAGCTCGCGGCATCCGCGTGCATAAAGCAGAGGTCATAACATACCACAAGGGATGTTTCGGGGGTCAGCAATGTAATGGCAGATATCTGCTCCGTTCCTGGCCGTACGGCTGCATCCCTATGTAAGAGTCGATGGGAGCTAAATTTCCTCGAGCTCCAAGGCTCACCGCGAGTCCGCCAAGCAAGTCGCAGACAGCCACTGCGAGCTGCAACAACGACGCAGGTCGAGCACCTACTGAACATCCTTCCCACTGAGATCGGGAACCATTGCTGAAAACCTAACATGTACTTCAGGCACTCGCTACCTCACCTATGGAGATAGATTGCGCATTCGTTCCTCGGGAAGTAACAATCCGCTGCCAAGCGTCCCGCTGGCACAAGCTCCCAACCCGTGCACACCTCTCTCCTATCCTCCAAACCTGAGCCGAAGAGACATTCATCAATCAACTACTCCGTAGAGCAAACCAACTCGATATTAGGATACTCTGCCTCTAAATTTTTTTTTCTTTTGCTTCCTTTTTTTTAATCAAAAGGATATTTACGTTGTACTTTCCACCAATACAGTCTGGATCGGCGGACAAATTTATTGGTAAGAGAAAAGAAAAAGAAAGATAAAGACAATGCCATTCCAAGCCTTTTGTATACCCGTACATAAACGCCTTGCAAATCAACAATCACTCAGCCAAACGCCAATATAAAAGACAATGTTTCCTTCAGCAAGGAGCTTCGAATTGACGAGCTCTTGTGTCATGGACGTTGTCGCAAAATTTCGAATCATCGGGTTCATAAAAACAACTCAGAATTGTACATGAATTTGACCCGTATATCAGCCGCAAGATATCACATCTTTGACTTTATACTTTCACCCTGCTGTTCTCCTTCTGAACGAGCTTTGTTAATTCTCCATAGACTTTGGAGTACTCCTCCTGCTTTTCGGCATCGTCTTTAGATTCGTCCTTCTTCTTCTTCCCGCCGGGGCGTGGAAGAACCATAACAACACTTGTTGGTCTTTTAGTCGACCCAGCGCTGCCGAGTTCGGCTCGAGATGTAACATAAACATAGGGGATTCCGTGATCTTCACACAGGACGGGAATATGAGATATTACATCCACTGGGGAAATATCGGCTGCAAGAACGACGATACCAATCGGCGACGTGACCGCAACATTTGCAGCAGGGACAGGCGACTTTCGAACAGCTTTGACGACTTCCTTAACGCCTCGCTTTAGGGACTTATTCACAGCGGCTAATTTTGAAAAACTCAGTTAGCAAAATCACACGAGAACAAAACTAGAAACGGCGCTAGCCAATACCCTTTCTGACACTCTTCAACACTTTCTTCGCAACTTTATCATCTGCCAATGGGTTCGCAAACGGCACAAGCGAGCCAACAGGGCGCGTTTGGCGCTCCTCTACCTCCTCCGCGTCCGGAAGAGTATCAAGCTGTTCCACAACTCTCTCAGTTAAATCTTTCTCAATAGCTTCGGCGATAACAGTGGCCTTCTTCTTGTCCTTGTCCTTTTTCGACTTCTTATGAACGCCATCGACCTCGGAACGTTTCTTTTCCTTCTTCTCCTTCTTCCTCTCCTTGTCGCTTCGATCCTTGGCCATTATGACGGATAATTAGGAGAGCCCTGGATGGGGATTAAAATGGTTCTAGGAAATCAACAACCTCAAGAATGGAAAATTTAATTTGTTCGCAACCAAATCGCTTGCTAATAATTGTTCGAGTTCTCGATGATTTTTTGGAGCTTTGGTGATTGAACTGAAAATTCGGGAACTTAACCTTTTTTGTCTTAGGTGGGTCCAAGCCAACCCTGGATTAAAATGGTTGAAGTAGAGAAAATCCGAAGATGTACTCCGGTTCCGGCCGAGTGGTGTAGTTGGTTATCACGTTTCGTTAACACCGAAAAGGTCCTGAGTTCGAGTCTCAGCTTGGTCAGTTATCTTTTTGCCCGCTTTTCAGTGGGCTATTATTTTTGCTTTACTACGAAGGTCTACAAAGTGGACTAGTCAGACAGAATCGCACTCATATAATCTTTTGAAGTGTGGTCCGGGATCTCGCCCGGCCAGAACCAGAATGGAAGGGAAAAGACGGTTTCTGCGAGGTTGGTGTCATCAGCTCCGAGTACACAATGGATCCTATATGTTTGAAACCACTGTGCAAAAAGGCGACAATGGGAGGACAGCGAAAAACACCCCGTGTTGCTCCAAATTGAAAATCAACACAGAAATAGATGGAGTATGATTGCTCTATTACTGTACAACGCAATCAAAAGAATCTCCCCTTCACACTTTTCCTTTCTAAATAAAGTCTTATCTCATACGAACGTCCATTTACTCCTCAGAAACACCCTCGGCAAGGCGACCAGGCTTGGAGTTCAAGTATTCGTTCCTAGCATATACCGTCAGTGATATCCAGAACACGAGGCGATTTAATTTATAGGGCAATTCGCATACCTCTCAACAGCCCAGTTCATAGCAGCGTAGGCGAGAACGAATGGAGGAACGACATAGAGGAATTGGGCCTTGCATCGTCGCCATGTGTTGAAGATTGCGTTGTGCAGGGCGCCGGCGAGAGGGCGCTGGCGGTTAGCGGCGAGGGAATATGTGATAATTCCTCTCTGGGGGTGAGGGGTTCCTATAAGTTAAAGGACAAAGGTGTAAGCCAAACTCGCGAGATCCTACTGCCCGAATTGTAGCGACATCGGTTCATCGGGGCTTGCTCCCGGAGAGGAACTGTAAGGTCGTGTATCTGGCGTGCGACGTACCGAAATTACCCCATCCTCCCATATACCTATCAGACGTTAGAAACTGGGCATCATAGGCTAAAAGATTTGTAGTCTCCCCCTTCCCATCCTACGCCTTTCCACAGGAACTTAGGGTTCAGTAGGGAACAAAAATCACACAGGGTCACTCACACGCCGTTCTTTGGATCCGCGGAGGCACCACCCATGGCTACTATAGACGAGGAAACAGAGTGGAGGGCTATATTCAAGAAACGGGATCTTGGTTGCCAGAAGAGCAATCGGCGTCTCAAATGTGCTTGAGTCGCAAAAGAAATGGATGGCATGGGATTGGTCTGCTCGTGGTTGTTCGCTGACAACTCCAACACCATCCGACGCTAAACTAGATTTGGTTAAGGCCAAATTTGGCCCAGCCCGTTGTCCTCCAAAACCTCTAGTATCAAATCGCCAGCTTTTAGAGAAGCATTCAAAAGCCGAACAGGGCCATTTCGCTCACAGATACCCACGAACGCTATTCACAATGGCCACTCCACTAACCTTTGTCTACAAATATGCGATCCCGATTGCCTTCGGCGCGTCGTTCGTTCAGGCATCCATGTATGATGTCAAGGGCGGTACGAGAGCGGTCATCTTCGACAGATTAAGCGGTGTCCAAGATAAAGTCGTCAACGAGGGAACGCACTTCCTTGTCCCATGGCTGCAAAAGAGCATTATCTACGATGTGAGAACGAAGCCTCGAAATATCTCGACAACCACCGGAAGTAAGGATCTGCAGATGGTGAGCTTGACGCTCCGAGTGCTGCATCGTCCGGAGGTGCAGAAGCTGCCAAAGATCTACCAGGTATGAAAACAGATCCAGGGATCTTGATGTACCCATTTTCAATATATTTTCCCCTACGAATTCGAGTTGACACTGGTGGTAGTCCCTCGGTCAAGACTACGACGAAAGAGTCCTCCCATCCATCGGCAACGAAGTCCTCAAATCTATTGTTGCCCAATTCGACGCTGCAGAACTCATCACTCAACGAGAAGCCGTTTCGAACCGGATACGTACCGATCTCATGCGCCGTGCACAAGAGTTCAACATCGCTCTCGAGGACGTCTCCATTACCCATATGACCTTTGGAAAGGAATTCACACGAGCCGTCGAACAGAAGCAAATTGCTCAGCAAGACGCCGAGAGAGCGCGTTTTATCGTCGAAAAGGCTGAGCAGGAGCGTCAGGCTAATGTTATCCGGGCTGAGGGTGAAGCTGAGAGTGCCGATATTATCAGCAAAGCTGTTGCCAAAGCGGGAGACGGTTTGATCCAGATCCGAAGAATTGAAGCTAGCCGAGAGATTGCACAGACGCTGGCTACCAACCCCAATGTGACATATATCCCTGGTAATGACGGCGGAAAGGAAGGAGGCAAGAACACCAGTCTCTTGCTTGGATTGAGGTCTTAGGGCTATCTTGGCGGGAATTTTCAAAGCGTGTATCAAAATGGTTTATTACTTTTTTTTCATATTGTGTCAAAAATGTATTTATCCTTCTCCACTTTATGTCAAGGTGTAGTCAAATCTGGACTCTAAGGGTTACCAGGTACCATGTTAAGGTTAAGCATAATGGAATACCCGAAGCATGTAAAGAGCTTTCCGGTTTTGTCGGCGTTATTCTGGTGCCTTGAGTTGTCTATGCTTGTCCATATCTTGCTGGAGACTTACATTTACAATGTCTATTTAATCTTAAACTTCCAACATCCACTGCCAGGTGTGGAGTGCATTCCGAATCTGCACTCCATCAAACAGCTATATACTTGTTTATTTAGCAGGCATCTAGGATTGCTTGCATACTTTAAGGCTGAGAAACATGATACAATGTGACCTCCCAGAGGCACGTGCGACAACATGTTTAAGGCAATCTACCAGAGAACCAACTTTCAGCATAGCAATCGGCAACCGCCATTTATTTGGGCTCTTGTGCATCCCTAGACTCGAATATTAAATAGTTTTAAAGCCCTAGAACATAAACATCAGTCCTTCGGTTCTTCTCCTTTTCCACCACCCAGGTTAGCAACAGACTCAAAGCATCAGAAAGATGGACGGTTTTGATTGGGATAAGGTAAGGCAGCGGCGATCTGCTGGCCTAACAAACGCTACGCAAGGTCATCAAAGAGAGGCCCATAAAGACAGAGAGGACGAGCAGGGAACCCTGGGTCCGCAAAGAAACCCACGAGAAAAGGGTGTCTGGGGACGGTCCAAACTACCCAGGAGTACCCCGTCACACAACCAGAGTGACTCTCAGAATCCCAAAACGACTAAACATGACAAGAAGAATTCACAGGCATCCATGCCTCAGTTTTACCCTAACAGGGCAAAGAATCGATACAGACAACCCATCAAGCAACAGAGGGAAAGCACTGTTATCAGACTCACGGATTTTGTCTCATTGCAAGACGAGGACACAGCGTCCGCAAAAATAACTGACTGTGAATATGTAGGGTCATATAACTGGCTTGATGCACAGGAGCCAACAATCTTGACACCAGGTACGATGAACCCCTTGAAGCAACAGCAAATATCACCCTGATCAATTTAATAGGGGCACCGCCGATTTGGACTCCAATACGCGGACATCACCAACTTAAGCGAGACAAGGGCCAGTATTTTCGGGATCAAAACTCCGCACGCTGGCCCAAACATCCTCTCGAACCGGCGATTCGTGCAGTGTTTGACCTCAACCCCAGGTTCAATCCCGAAGACATAGATATCGTTACTTGTGCTGGAACCATTGGGAACATTTATAAATTCGCCTCTTCGCTCTCATGGACGTTCAAATTCGACATGCAAAAGGTGGGAAACACCATCTTCATGGTCAGAAAGGAACGCAAGCCAGACGAAATTTTCGAGAATCTGTTAGGCTACGGCCATACCTTCCCTGAGGCCAACACAAGCTGGGACCGATCGGTCAAAGGATCCGTTTCCCACCAGCGAATTATTCGATACAAATTTAGCGGGCTCAATCTGCTAGTCCGGTACGAGGCAGACGGCTACTTCCCTGACAAGGTCCATAAGCAAGATGAACCTTTCGAAGTCATTGGACGCGACGCAAAAGCAGCCGATATCGACACTCTTATCCGAGGTATAGAAAACCACGACGTAGCAGAGAAGAAAGTGGCTGAGAGCGGCACTCTTCACATTCGTCAAGCCGGGTTTATTGTACCACAAGATTCTTTGTTTGATATCAAGACCCGTAACCAAGGCAATGAGATCGATTTGCCCGTCCAACATCCGCGCCTATGGGTGCGTCAAATGAAAAACTTCATCATAGCCTACCATAAAAATGGATTGTTTGGCACAAAGACCCAAATTCACGATATTTCCACCGACATAGAAACATGGGAGCAGGATAACAGTGTAACGACATCCCTTGTGGGAGCGGTCCTGAAAAGATTGATCGCAGAAGCCACCAAATCGGAATCTGGCAAGCTCGAGATATCGCGAAATCGGAATGGTCCCCTTATCGTTCAGGCTCAGGACGGCGGCCCAAGAGAAGTTCTTCCTGCAGATCTCAAGGACAGATGGGGAGGAAACGGTCGAGATGGTGAGGAAGAAGAGGTGCTCTGTAGTGACGAGGAGTGGGACCTTGTTGCACCAGAAGGACGAGATCTTTTGTTAGATCATTAGAAGGCTGCAATTCTCACTTTAGCTCTTCTTTGTCTTAGCCCTTTCGATGTAACCAAAGACGAAGTTAGAGGAGATAACGACGCAATGAAGAGGTGAAGAGGATATCAGCGACTTCTTAGCACACGTACTCTTTTTTCCTTTTTTTTTTTTTTTTTTTTTTTTTTTTTTTTTTTTTTGGGGGGGAGGAGGACAGGCTGAATTTGGCCGCGAAGGGGACGACATGGGAGAATTAGTAAACGAATCCATGGACTTCTAGTAAGGCTCTATCCCCATCATTCGATTTCTTTCCTCGGGCCCCTTTTGAATGTGAGTGTTGTTTTGTAACCGGTGACCATTGCCTATGAACGGGCCGAATGACCCATTCCTTCGTGACTAGCTTAGGGACCACGGTTGAAAAAATTCGACGGAGGAGATCGTCGAGAGAGAAGCTTCCCAACCAATATGATCAGAGGCGCTTGATAAGAAGACGGAACCTGAAGTATCGGAATCCGGTCTATAATGCCACCGATGTACAGTACATACTTCTAAGGCAAATAAGCCAATGGTCTCCCGCACCTATTTCCTCTATATCCTGCGATAAACATGGATCTGATATCTCATATCCTCCAGCCCAATGCCCTCACCAACGTGATACATCAGAGCATCCCTATCCCGACGAAACCACCGTGACTCATCAGACAACACACACTCCCATTTCTCCTGGGCGACGGAGAGCAACGTGTGCGCGAGGAGGAAGCGCATGGGGTATTTCCTCTGAGACGACGGACTTGTTTCGTCAGCATCCGGTGCTTCTTGAGGCGAGTTGGCTTTCGAGCCTAGGGAGACAGTCGAGTAGCTCCCAGGACTGTCGACGATGAGGAGTATGGCTCCGGGTTTAAGCACGTCTGCCAGGCGAAGAAGGAAGGAGACTGTTTTGGGTATCGATGTGGAGAACAGCTCGTTGAGGGTGAACATAAGAGTCACGAGAGTGGTCCCCAATGCTGTCTCAGGTCTTGAAGCAGCAGGGTACAGGAGATTCCTGATATCGTCCTCAGAAAGACTCAAAACATCCTGCTTCCTAAACCCCACGGAAAAAGGCGCACTTCGGCCGTCCTCTTCCGCAGGCAGAAGAGGCACCGGGCACAATTTGGGAGACGACACGGACTTCGATCTCATACCAGCCTCCAGACGCTCAACAACACCAGACCAGTCCGCAATATCAACCGCCGTAACCCTCAGCCCGGCCACACCAAAACTCAAATTCTCACAATCCCCAACATCCCCCAACTCCAATCCAGAAAACCGCTCACTCAACCTACCCTCTCTCCACTCCTCCCACAATGCCCTCCAAACTCCAGCCAGGGCCATGATCTCTGCTCCCGCTCCACCGCCCACACACAACACATCCACACCGCCCACCTCCGCAAAAAGAAGCTCCTTCAGCCCCCAAAACACTGCAGCATACCCCAACGCCCTCCCAGCACTCCATCTCAGCGCATACGCCCTCAACGCATCCCCATCCGCCTCAGTAAACGCCTTCACAAAGTCCCTGCGGTACAGATGGGCCTTGATAGCCTGGATCTGCTCCGCCAAGGACAGAGAGGGAGTCTGGGCCTCAGGGCAGCTTAGTTGCTCTGCGGGGAGCAGGGTGGTTTTAAAGACGTTTAGGATGAGTTGCTGGAGGGGAATTGGCAGTGAGGTGCCGGATGAATCCGCTTTGGGGGTCGTAGGTGCCTCTTCTGCGACCCTCTTAGGTTTGGTTTTGTTTGACTTTGGTTTGCCACCGGGCTTGGTGGTGTTGCGCTTCCCCTTTCCCCTGCATTGCTGCTGTAGCAGACTCATGTCCCAGATTAATTAGTATTATTTTATAGATATTCCACCGTCTTGCCGGCTTGGTTCCTTCTAGCATTCGTCTGATGGGCCGATGGCCGGTCTGGGTCGGGACAAAAAAGCCACATACTTTTCCGTGGCCAGAAGGTTACGGATTATTTATTTTCCTGAATTGTTGGGACGGGAAGCTTTCTTGGTTCCCTTTTTAAGTAACCACTCAGGAAGGGCAGACGGAAAAGCCATCTTTGCTCAGGAACTGAAAAAGCCCATCAATCTCTCTGACCTTCTCTAACAGCTAATGCTGACTCTCACATACATACGTACTCAGACATGCATACAACGCATAAATACTCCGACGTCCGGAAAGTATTGATTCGCAACATCCTAAACCTCCACTTCGTCACACTGTACGTAGTCGCAAATGGAATCCAGGGTTGGGAAAATGAAAAAGGAGGGTACTTTCATAAGAACAAGAATGAAAGATGAAGAGAGTACAAGGATAAGAAAAAAGACGTCTCTTCAAACAAGAACACAGAACTAGGTCTGACAGCAAACAACCGGGAAACAAAGTCGTAGAGAGGGTAGGGCGAGATATTCGTACTCATGGATATCTTGAATGAATTTGGAGCCGCGGATAGACGAGGCCCGAAAGGAACATCCTCCGCTGGAAAAAAACACCACTAGCATGAACTGCATTGGATAAGAGGGCTTGAAACGAGTGTGACGAAGAAAGCCTTCAAGCAGGAAAACGATCGAAGTCCCGGAAAAAAAAAAAAAAAAAGAAAAAGGAACGCGCCGAAACAAAATTTAAAACAGTGGCCCGAAGAGACTCCCTTGGCTCCCCGGGGGGGGGGGGGGGAGGGGAATTGAAAGTAAGAACAAACACTTGGAGCCATCAATGTCGAACCTTTGAAGATCATAGAATGTGTTCGCTTCCCAAGTAGAGCGAACGAAACGCGATGAACAATATTTTGAGAAATGCACCGTAACAACGCTAGCAACGAGATATAATGCGCGACTGGGGCCGCGGAAAGCGGAAGATTAAAGAGGTAGGTGATTTCATAGTGTAACCGAACAGAGACAAGGGTAGAGCCAATTTTCATCCATAAAGTTGATTTCCCCATATATACGCCCAACAAATAAGCCCACCCAAGGATATCGAAAAGATCGCCTGATTCACCGTGACTGTGTCGAAAACAAAAATATTTTTATGGCTTTGTCTCGTCTTGCTTCTCCTTCTCCTTGCTCTTCCAGAAATGCATAAGGCGACTAATTCGGTTGCCCCTCTTTTTCTTCTTCTTGTCTGCATCGTCAGAGGGAGCTTTCTGTTCGTAACTAAGCTTGCTCCTTTCCGCTGATGCCACACCAACCAGTTTTGAGAGGCTGACGAGACTCGATCGCTTGGTGGTGTGGGATGAGCTGGGTCTCGGACGATGCAAGGCAGAAAAAGAAGATGAGCGATCCCCTGTACCCTTGGCATAGAATCCGGCTGACAAACGTGGAAGCGTTCCGGTCATTGTTGATGCACTGCTTGTCAATGATGGAACATCTTCAACTGAATTGTGGAAGCATTCACTTCCGGGCTCACCACTATAGACAGAGTTGAACGTTTGTCTATCGGTGATCGAAGATGGCGTCCCGAGACGAGGAGGATCAAACGATGTTGTGGATGGATCAGGGGAGGGGCACGCCGGGTCGGTTATGGTTTTACCAGGCTGAAATTTCTGAGGAGTGCTCGAGATAGTATTGGAAGAGTCAAGGGATGTGGATAGATGTTTCTCATGATGAGCCACCGGTGGAGATGATGGATTCGATGACTGCTCTATTTCCACAGTTTTCTTTGGGGATACATCCATCTGGGAGCTGCGAGGAAGGCCAGAAACATCCCAGTCCGGAGTGCAGGGTGTTCCGGCAACCGTTGTGCTTGGGCAGCTATCAACAGTCTGAGGAGTTGTAGCGTTTGAGGACAGTAGTTCATCGGCGATGTCAACGATCTGTATTCCTAATCCAGAGGTATTTTTTGATGCCTCATATTTGATTGTAGACGTAGAATCGTGTTTAACCGACGGATCTGCAGTATCTGCAACAGATTCCTGGGGGGATTTCGACTGGGTTGGTGTATCGGCTTGTTGGGGGTTGTTATTTTCTGCAAGGAACTCGTCCTCTTCCTTCTCGTCAAATACATCAGGGTTAAGCATTGCCGCTGTGCTATAGCGACTGAGGCCAAGTCCAGTTCGATCAAATGGTTGCATTACGGGTGCACTTTCTGCACGACGATGATACCGCATTTCCGGACCAACAAACTCCCCTCTTCTACCGCCACTATACATCCGTTTAGTCGCTGCGGAAAACCCGCTAACTGGACGTTCGGGGCCCATCTCTGGGGTATTGAATGGACCCAAAGCCGCGTCCAAGTCGATAACGGGACTAAACATATCCAGATCCCTTGCTTGATCATAGAAACTTTGAGGTTTCCATGAGGTGTCTAGGCTGAGGGTATCCTCAGTCAAGGCAGCAGGCAAGGAACGGCGAGGTGCATTAGGATCTGTTGGTGTGCGGATTACAATCGTGTTGTCTTCGTCAAAATCAACTCCGTATAAGGAGCTCATTGCAGAGTTTGTTCGAGTCAGCATCGGTGGTGGCGTAGGAGCTTTTCTAGACGGGGGTCTCTTAGTTCCTCTCTTCTTGGCTTTTCTGGTAAGGATACCAGCCCATGAGCGCATTTTCTTTTGCTTCTTGTTTTGTTTCCGGCTGGATGGTGCTCGCTGAGGGGTTGATGGTATTTCTTCGGAAAGCACCGAATTGCACAACGGATGTCGAGAAGTAGGCTTGGCTTGTGGCAACTTGGGTAGGGACTCTAGAGCTTCAGTCGAAAGAGTTATGGAAGCCGAAGCAGTGCGTGGCCGCTCTGTCATGTCATCTTTTGAGCCACCGAAGGTATTGCTCAAATCGTACTTTGCTCCCGCAGTTTTCGGTCGGTTGGTGAGGTCGCCGGGTGGAGTTATGGTTCCAGACGCAGCTGCTGTACTATCTGATCGAGGATGCTTCGGACGAACGGCAGGTGTGCTGTCTTCTGACGGAGCGATGTAAAGACGACGCCCTTCAGGCGAAGTTTCTGCGGATTCTGATTTCAAGCCTGGTGATGATTTCAGACGATCATCAGATTTACGAGGAGTAAGTGGTGGAGTACAGGTGACATTCACATTCGTATGAGAATGCGGGCTTATATTCGTAGTGTCTTCATGTCCAAAAGGGTGCTTTTTCGTATCGACGGGAGTGGACGGAGCGCTTCCATTCACTGGTTTCGGCGGGAATGCTTTCGAAATTGCTGTTAGATCCACGCTCGAGATGGCTGCTGACCTACGATGAGCATGGCCACGCCGACCTGGCCCACGGGCGCTAAGCCCTGGTCCAGGATTGGGTAGAGCAGCAGTAGACGGAGGAAGAACAGTGAAGTTTTCTCCGCCATTCTGTTCACCGTCTCGGTCTTGATATCCACCAGAGTGTTGCGGACCGGTCGTTATCGGTGCCGAAGCAGGGCCAGACTCCGGGGCCTGAGGGAAGGAGAACGCAGGGAGAGGAGGCGGTATTTTCTTGTGTGGAAAGGAGTGTCGAGGTTGCATCTCCTGTGGGGTGAAGTTGAATGGAGAACTGAGAGAAGCATCAGCTGCCGAGCTCCTTCGTCCCTCACAAGTGTTCTGCGGCCCGCCCGACTGGATCCAGTGTGGTTGCGGGGAGGCAAAAGACATGGAAGCCATAGTGATGGAAAAGCTTGGGTATCCGGCCGGATATCCCTTTTGTGACAGAAAACTAACGAGTCTGGAATCGAGAGGCGTCGACAATACCGAAGGAAAGCGACACCGGATCCAAGGAACCCATCAAATGTATCGACCTCGACTCATTGGAGACCCAATCGTAGACAACCAGAGCAAGCGTCGACGGCGGGTGAAAGCTGCAAACGAACAGGGAGTTCTTTGACTATGCTCAATCAGTAAAAAGATATCTGCTGCGGTGTGAAATGACGACAGGCGGCGCGAACGGCGAGTGGACACAAAGGGACGTCGTGAATGGTAAGGAACGGACGGCCACAAGATGGGCCAAGTTGTTGATGGAGAGTGCGATGAGAGAGTGAGTGAGAGTGAAAGAGAGGATGAGAGAAGATGGTGGTGGTGAGAGAGGGAGGGAGGGAGGGGACGAGGAGGAGGTGGAGGAGGAGGAGGAGGCGGAGGGGGCAGGGAGATGAAGGGTCTGGGGAGAGAGAGGGTGTGTGAGAGAAAAGAGCGGAAGGTGAATAATCACACTCAAAACGAGCGAGGGAAGGGGAGACTCGTGGACGGACCCAAGAGAAGATTTATCACCCAGATGGGCCGTTTTTGGGGGGGGGGAAGTGAGAGAGGGAAGTGGTTGTTGGGTTTCGATACTTGGCACCACCCAATGGAGGAGGAAGGGGAGGGATTAGCCGCCGCTGATTGGCCCACACAGCTGCACACCTGCATTAGTCAGGCAGGGTACATCGAGATGTAGTCCCCAAAGCGGCTAAGCGCTCGGAGGGAAACAAACTAATTGATCGTTAGTGTGATCAAGCCTCCCCTTGTAAGGATACCGGGGCAAAACATTCAGGTACCCGAAGCCTGGGGTGGTGATTGGCCCCGTGTGGCGGACCTGGTGATCCTCTTACAACGTGTTACCGACAAACCCAGCCTCAAAGCCGGCGGTGGATCTATCCTCCCAGGCACCTGACAGCCATGCCTGTTACTGTACGGAGCATGGATATGAATGTATCAATTTCGACGGCGATAATCACGGGCGGTACTCCGAAGACGGTATTTTCACCAGTCGGCTTCAAAATCAGATTTCAATCTGAGCATTCTTCAGCCGATGAGCCTCCCCAGCATTTGTGTGTCTGTGTTGTATGTATGTATGTATGTACGTGTGAAGGTGTGGATTGTCCTCCCGGGTGTCCGCCGAGGCACCGTCGGCTCTCAACGAAGCCATCCTCGCCAAAATTGGCTCTCCCCGACCTCTCAAAACAGAGGTCATGAGACCATCCTCCAATAATTGAGCTGGCCTTATTGTGCCATTGTGTGGGATTTTCCCCCGTCAAAAATGTTTCCAGGTGCCTGACCCGTCCAATCACGAATTTCCAAAGAACGCTGCTCGTATTCGCTCGGTAATGGCTGATTGCCATGATCATAATCTTACTGCGATTTAATTACGTCCGCCCCACCCAACCTCCACCGTTTCTCGGCTGTCCCGTGCGTGTATCGAAACGCCCAATGAGCTCCGTGCCCTGATGCCTCCCATGCCTGCTGAAATTACGATTGCTTGTCTCCCAACACGCGTTTCGTAATTATTCCTTTATCATCAGGTCCTCCCTCCCTCCCTCTCTCTCCCCCTTCTGCCGTTCTGGATGGAAATCTTGTTTTGGGCGGCGATGTTTCTCCTTGCAGCCAATTCCACTGGCGACCAGCGCTCCGCCAGCCTCCCAAGGCTGAGACACAACACGCAGACAAACGTCTCACAGACCGTTCTGTGTGGTTCCCCAACACCTGAGACCTTGTTCCATCCAGAAGCTGTTTTGTGGCAGCCTCTCGCTGGCCATCTGGCACAGAAGTCGAGGGAGGGAAATCAAATGGGGGGTCCGTGAAACAGGACTAATAATGGGCAAATGCGCTTCGCATGGCATAGCCGCCGCTCCCGTCGTCATTCAAAAAAGCAGAGATCATTTAGTCGGACTTTCCCGCAAACCGGCCGCTTCAGTCATGTAGATCGTATGGAGCCGACGCGGCTGACGAAAGCCACACACAATTCATGAAACTAGGCCCGGAGTTGCTCCATGAAGGAGTTTCCATACGGAGAAACGGAGCCCGGAATTACGAAGACTATCGATTTTCTCAATTGTCATCGTCAGCATTACGAGAACCAACAAAGACGCTGCCTGAGAATGAGACATTCCGTCCAGAGAAGGATCCTCAAGACTCTGTAAGACTGCTTTCATTGCAATACGACATCACCGTTGTTCTGTTTTGCAAGAGTGAGAGCTTGAGTTAGCGCTTGACACCGTGGCATGCACAACCTGATCCTAGCACAGCGCCAATATTCGGGATTGGCATCCCTTTTTGTGCAGTCTCTTGAACATGACGCGGGAACCGGCCCATGCACGGTAGATCCATCATCCCTGAAGTTTCCATCTCAGAGATCACTTAAAGCAAATATCTGCACAGCCCCGGCGATTAAAGACGTGGAGTCAGATCGGCTCGCTCCATCCAAAGTGGAATAGTGAAGAGATGGCCCCCTTGATCCTTCAGGAGAGCCACGTTCTGCTTTCATTGCATCCGCCCTGAACATAATCTCCCTCTCTCTCCATCATTGAAGAAAGTCCTGGTTTAATTGCAGGCAATAATTTTGTCAAGCTTGCTTTCAGCTGGTCAAGCAGAAATAAGCTTCCCTTGCCACCGGAAAAGCGCTCCCTCATCCTTGGAGAAATAGATCCATGAACACCGGACAAGGCATCAGTGTTTAGAAAGCCGACAACTGGCTGCCCCCAATACTGTTCATTTGGTCCATAATCCCTGTCATATCGACGAGGTCACCAGCATGAAGAAAAGGAGCGCACGTTGTGCAACATATCTTCAACGCAGTGTACCACAAACAACTGCCTGTCCCTGACAGGATTTTGGTACATCCCCTTGAATAAAGAATATGTGGAATAACCAATGATGTGGAAACGTACGATAAAAAGTACACCTGCCCAAAAATTTTTGCAGAAAATCTCAGAAATGGACTAACAGCGGCCAAGCAAGGAATGATCCCAGGAGACCTTTTTTTCCCCCCTTTGCTGATTTAGAAAAGTGAACTTTGCTCACGGCCAAGAGGCGCTCGCATTATGACGGGAGCGGCTTGAATCGAAGCCTGGTTCATCAACATGACCCAATCGGCAGCGAGTTCGCAGAGCGACCAGCCGCGCGCAAACCCTGTGCTCGAGCCCAATTGACTCTCAAGGGAACCAACTCTCGACACCGCCAGTTCTCGAGGGCTCCGGGTGCACATGACAACCCAAGTCAGCCAAGTCAGTCCTTCACAAGGTCAAACGCCGCCGTCGAACCTCTCCTCCGTTCCTCAAAAATTTAACATCCGTCGCTCAACAGGAGATGTGGAACGTTTCGCCCTGAAACCCGTGCGACTTGGAGGGAGGAAAAATGGAAAAAATTCTGCCTGTGTACCGTGATTCCTCGGAGCGGCCCTGTTCCTATATTCTGTTGTTGCCGATAACTACTGGGTAAATTTTTCTTTTTCTGTCTCCCAGGTCATTGTGACACTGTGCAAGTTTCAACAAGCGCGAAGGTTGCTGAACCCAAAATTGTCAAAGTGTGCATACAGTATGCAGATACGACATGCAGATATCCCCTTGTGCTGTCAACAGGACCGTCACAGTCCCACCCCCACACTCAACATCTAGCAAAATATGACGTATTGGGGTTCCCAACTTCACATTGTTTGTCTTTCCTCCGTATTTGCAGTTATATCAACTCGACTATTGTCCCGTCCGAGGAGATTGTGAAACCTGCTGTTCGGCACATCCGAGAAACTTGAGTCAGTAGGACAACATTCGCTTCATACATATTCATGTCCACATCTCCAAATTGGAGCTTGTGCAGCGGATGAAATTCTATGGCGATTGATTATAATTATTCTCAATACTCATGGACGGAGGATGGAATAGCGTCCCATGTGTTTGGTTCGCAACGCCTACAAGGATAAGCCACTCCTATGGAGCACTGGAATGTTGGGCTATAAGGCTGTGATGTTATTTCTCTGGAACACTTTGGTGTTTCATACATCCGTATATATGTGCCTATATATAAATGTCCGATGACATGCATCTTACCCTCAAAACATCCTTATAATCAAACCGTGAAAGGAGGAGTCCCTGAAGGTGGTGTGCATCGGTCAGTAGCCTTTTTGTGTATGTGTGCTTGAGATTTGAAACTCTCCGGCCTAATACTGTACAGTACATATTTCCTCTCGCGGTCTGTGTGCCACTGAGACGCCGAAGGCGCGACATATTCTTGACATCCTCAACAATGAAACGGGGCTCAAGGCGTACGTGTCAGGAAACACATGGCATATTCAAATTACTTCCTTCGATATCAAAAGCCGGATACACAGCAGAGAGCCATTGATTCAAAGCCATGGGCCCATGATAGATAACAAACAAAACGGTACATTTTGCATCCTGATCATGTTCTCAAAAGCTACTCAATGCGCTATCGCTACCGCTAACCGAAATACCCGAGCCAAGTAATAATGGGGACACAAAAAAAAAAGGCAGCCGAGTAATAGCAAAACCAAAGGATTGTTGTACATATTAAATGGTCGTGGCCGTTGACATCACGGGTGTACAGAACAGCGACGGAACCAAGCATGTTGCCCTCCCAAACAAAAAAAAACAAAAGTAAAATTAGAAGAGAAGAAGCCCTCGCCGCCCAAACGCCTTAAAAACAAAAGCAAAAAAAAAAAAAAAAAGGTACAATTTGGCCAAGCCCGAAATTAAAGGAAGATAACCACACAAGTAAAGCTGTCGAAAGGCCTTTTTTGGATCACGATTCAATCGCCCCCGGTGCAATAGCCAAAATAACCACCAAGCTACTAACCATCAAAGCACCGGCTATGAAAGCAATAACAGCCACACTGCCGCGACTAGCAGGGAATTTTCCGCGAACCACCCAGTACTGACCCTGGAAGTATCTATGGAATCCGATAACTAGGACGATGATGGCCACACCGATGAACGTAGCGCCGAGAGGCTTTCCCAAGCTGCGAAGCCGCCGGCTCTCTTCGACCAAACCGATTGAGTTGTAGTCGTTAGCTTGGTACTCGTCCGATATAACGGGCGGAGGAAAGTGGGAGCTTATGGAGGAGGCGGAGGCAGGGGCCGGTGTCTGTTGTTGGATAGATGTATTAAGACGAAATAGCTGTGTGATAGCTATTCCGATGGAGGCGAAGGCGAGAGATGTACGGAGCCAGGCGAGAAACGTTCGTTCTAGGAGAGAGAAGATCAATGATGGTGGTCAATAACAAGACTGTCTGTGAGGATGTCGCGTACCGAGGGCGAGATGGTCTCTCGCCACGCTGCCCTTGTTGTCCAGTTCCAGACTCCCGTACTTGTCCAAGACCCGTTTATACCACGGGTGGCCATCGCCGAAAGTGCAGTGGCTGTCCATTGAACCGCTCGGAGATTTAGTTCGATGTGCCTGAGATCGCTGTTGGTTGTCGGTTTGCTGGTCGTTCGGGTCGGATGGGTAGGCGGTTACATTGTCGGTTGACTGATAATGTCTCGGAGGAGTCCCCGCAATGATTGGGGCTCGTTCGTGAAGTGGGGAACGCCGTGGAGAGGAGGTGGACGAGAAGCCGCTTGACGAGGACCTGCTGCTGTTGCCCTGCAGCGGCTTTCGGGGATGGGATAGTGTCTCTATACTGCTGTAGCTATCCGTCGACCGGCGGGGGTTACTGTCAGCATTATTATCGTAGGTATTGGCCATGGAGGTTAACACCGGGTTGAGGGGCATGACTCTAATGCGGTGTTATTTCTCGCCTCCCCTGCCGGAACCAAGGTACCACCGGATGCTTGTGTTCCTTTTCGCGAACTTCAGAGGCGGACCAAACACCAGTTCCGGGAATCACACATAACTTGGTCTGCTCGAGGGTGAAACCAATCAACCAGGGCGTTGAAGTGCGAATATGGCATGCACTCTCTCTCTCGTGCAAAAAAGCAAACGGAGAAAGAAACCCTGTGATTGAATCGAGGATGTTCAGCTGCCCGTGACCAGTGAGCGGCCGGTCAGCGGAGCCACCGAGCTGCCCTTGGCGCTTGGCGAAGATCCTAAAACATGTGACCCGCCTTAATTCCCGCACACAGCGGCACCTGATTGGCTGAGCCACCGGAACCAAATGATCGGTACGGGGCCCGTGCGCCACATCATTGCAAGCCGCCAGCCCAGATTGGTAAGTTTGCCGTGTTTGCACCCTGACAAGCCTGCTCCTGCCCGTTTGCTGTCGCGTGGGACGATGCTTGCCGTTTTTGGCCTGACATCACTTTCAACGGCTGTCGCTCGGAGCAAACGCGGAGTACAATATAAGTTAATGGGGACGAGTGTTGGTATTTGAAAAGATCTTGGAGGAGAGTCCACCGCCTGACCATGAGCATTTGTATCCCTGTGCTGTCAATGAACCTTGATCTTTACCAAAATATCGGACGAGCCAACGCACCACTTCCCACCATCACATTCGCTGAGGACCCTCCTGGCCCTATATTCAAGGAGAATTGCGGGAGAAATTGCAAAAAAGATTCTGCAAAGAGCCGTGGCTGCGTGACCGCAGTGATGATGGAGACGACTTCAGGGACAAAAGCGATCCGAGTCGTGAAAATCATGACAGCCGTTTCCGCGAGGGCCCGGATTGCTATAATGGAGAGTGCACCGGTGAGCTTCGCGTCTCCTTTGGCTGTAAGGGCGGAGACCGCTTCGACAGCCGATGTGTCGGCCCTGGATACCCAATTTTGCTTGCCCAGGGGACGATTCCAAGAGTGAACGCTGTGTTGGCCGAAAATATAGCTGGAGTGCCGGATGCAGCAGGAAAAGCTGCAGGCTCGAGAGCAAATGCATAGGCCTTGAATATATTTCCTTTCGGTGTGTGGGAATTCACTGCAAGCCTCGCAAAACGCCCGAGTTGCTCAGGCGAGTGGCAGTGCATAGGATCCCTTTGCAATATCTTTCTTTGTTACGGGGATGAACTGTGGGAATGGCGCGTGCCCTGGATCCGGCTATCCGTTGGGTAAAGATTGGTGTGATAACGCCTAGATAGCACCCGGTTGCACCGAAATGATTAGCAAGTATAGACCTGCTAAAGTAACAACTTACTCATTTCAACTTCGAGCAACATATGATCCAGGATAACAGCTTGTCCTGCGCAACGACAGTAGTAACGACAACATATTCCCTCGATAAAATCAAATCGATTCGCCCATCCCCTGATATAAGTGAAGTGGATAAATTGACGCTGCTGAGGCCCCAAAAAGAAGGCGTCGTGAAGAACCAGAGTGAACCAAGCAAGGCCTTACTTGTAACCTCGATTTCTACGACCACCCCCCCAAGCCAAGGAAAACAAAGAATCCGAAGCCAACGCCGATTGAGAAATCATATTCATGCAGGGACTCCATTGTGTGCAAAATTCGGCGCTCAAACTTGGATCAGGTAAAGGCATTCTTAGAAAAGAACAATTTATACGTGTATGGCAACTCCTCATCCCATTGGCAGCCCACAGCCCACTAACCCATTGGTGTAGGAACACCACGCAGAGCAATGGTTGTGGAGAAACTTGCTATGCAGCCCCTGAGCGGTTCGGATCCGGCTATGGCGTAGTGGTCCGGGGCCTTGGGGGAAGTGCCAGTATACAGAGTACAGCGAACTAAATAGCTGCGTAAGTACGGGCCATCTGCGTTAGAAACTCCACCGTGGGAAATCCGGAGAAGATAACGGTTAATTTTGGTTTGTTTCTGCATGCAGCGCTATGGGTCTCATTTCGGTGCATTGCGGTATGCAATTTTTGAGGCAGTATCCTCGTAGGCTTCGTACGTAACGTACGGAATACATAAAATATTGAGCATCCCTATAATCTATAAAATGGGCACTGGGATGAATTTAGTCGGTATAAGCCATCAGCGATTTCTGTGGGGGTTGCGTTGAGGTGGGATTAGCTGGGGATCGGCACGAGCCACGTGGTTTCGGGCCTAACCATATTTAGACTAGCTTCGGGCCCATATCAAGGTCCTCGTGGCTCGAGCTTATTGTCGCGACAACTCTGTGAAAACAATCGGTCAGCCATCAACAATAGAACACACAGTGTCTTCGCTATGGCATCTCTACCTCTGCCCTCATCGACTTCTCACAAACCCACGGCTTCATTAGACTTGTCAAAGAAGCTGTCGAGCTTGCGAACACACCGGCGGAACCCATCTGCTCTATCTTCCCAAGCAGCAGCGCCCCCCACGCCACAGCTTCCAGATCGACCAACCCTCACCCAACATCAGTTTATTCGTCCGGTGCCTCGTATCCTTTCTCCGCAGGACCTCGAAACATTCCTCTCCTCTCCGGCACATAGTCTGATTATAGCTTTTGTTTTCAATGTGTCCGACAGTGTTCGACAGCAGTCAGTATCATCCCTTGTTCAGCTACCAGTGTCGGAAACGATACGAAAGGTTCTATCGATACTTTCAGCCATAGAGGAGCTGATTGATAAGCATCCCTCCCTTGATCAAAATGGTTCGCGGTTTGGAAACCCAGCATTTCGTGATCTATTTGATGATATTGCGGCACACAGTGTGCAGTGGCACAAAGATATCCTCGGGCTCGACGATCCAGCGGCGATCGAAGAGGTGTCAACATACTTAATACACTCACTAGGCTCACGATCTCGCCTCGATTTTGGATCTGGTCATGAGTTGAATTTCATGATGTGGCTGCTTTGTCTATACCTGTTTGGAATGCTGGACAGGAACGACTTTCCCGTCATTGTTTGCCATGTCTTTATCCGCTATATGAAACTTATGCGTCACGTGCAGACGACCTATTATCTAGAACCTGCCGGATCGCATGGGGTATGGGGTCTAGATGATTATCATTTTATCCCATTCCTCTTTGGCGCCGCTCAGCTAACCGGACATCCCTACATTACTCCTCTGGCCATCCACAACAACGTCGTCTTGGATGAAGAAGGAGACAATTGGATTTATCTAGACCAGGTCCGATGGGTGGACAGTGTCAAGACAGTCAAAGGATTGCGCTGGCACAGCCCAATGCTAGATGACATATCTGGTGCTAAGAACTGGTATAAGGTCGAAGCCGGTATGAAGAAAATGTTTGTCAAAGAAGTCCTCGGCAAATTACCGATCATGCAGCACTTCTTATTCGGAAGCTTAATACCTGCTTTGCCAGAAATGGGTGAGCGAAGCGAGAAGGCAGAGCAGCCCGACCCCGGCAATGGCCATGCCCATTCCCACCAAAACGATTTCTGGGGTGATTGCTGTGGCATAAAGGTTCCCAGTGCAGTAGCCGCAGGGGAAGAAATGCGGAAAAGGCAAGGAGGAACAGGGTTACGGCCAATTCCATTTGACTAATATCGGGAGGACGGAAAATACTACCACTTTACTAATATGACTTTGAGGCCATGGGATGTTTACCTTATGATTTTAACTAGGCATCGCCGATAAAAAAATATGGGAAATGGGGTCCATTTGCAACAAATCCTCCGTAAAGAAGTTAATTACCAGCCTTATAGTATAATTTAGAATATGTACGCCGTATCCGCCCCTTAAACGCCAGATCCTTAACATGCACCACCAAGATCAGAAAACGAAACCGAAGCAGAATATTTGCACTGCCAATGTTATCCGGGTCCGATTCTCGGCCTGTTTGGCAAAAAATAGTTAGCATACCGCATCATGCAAGGTAGCACGTTCCACTGCCATCCCCTTCTGCAGACGATGCCGAAGGAAAAAGGATGGCCGAAATACGTACATGTCGTGATGTTCGCTCAACTTGCTCAAATACTTATTCAACTCCTCCACGCGCTCTTTGTGTGTCTTCGCTCCTTCTCGTTTTAGCCGCTCATTTAACTGTTGACAAGGTGCAATCAGCAACCAGCCCGCCAAAAGCCCAGGACTCCTGGATCGGATCGGTCAGGAAACACGTACCCTCTTTCTCCTTGCCTCTTCATATCTTCTCTCCGCCTCAGTTTTTGTGTCTTCCACCGCCCGGTCAGCATCAGCACTTGGATCTACAACGCTCCTGCCCTGGCTTTGAGCATCACGCTCATCGACGGAGTCCTCACGTCCTTTGGCATCGGAAGATTCCTTGCTTTTGTCCAGTGCACGTTCATTGTCTTTGCTTCTCTTTTTCTTCTTTTTCTTGTCAATCCGACCGTCTTGAACCCCTTTCAGCTTCAGGCGACCACCGCCGCCACCCGGTATTGTGTATTCATTGGCTGGCGCCATCGTTACTGTGATGATGCGCCATATTATGTGGCAACCCGCCAGCGCAGGTTGAAGTAGAACTGTCCCCGAAATAGATTATATAAGCATAATCCACGGTTAACCTAACTTAGTTAGTTAGTTATATGCCAAGCCTGGACATCCGGCCCAAGGCCTCAAGCCGACGATGATCAATATCGTTGCGCTACGATGCTCGCAACAGTTATTGAAGGCGCTGGCTAGCATTTTGTACATCAATCTTATTCACAGTTTCCTTTCCTTAACATTTTCGATCCATACAGACAAGCAGCTATTCCCAACTCCACACCTCAGCTCATGCCCGAATGTTCAATCACTCCAAACTCCTTCCAGCACCGTGTCCTTGCACGAGCTTAGAATACGTTGGACTCCGGCTCGAGCCAATGCAGCTTATACTGATCCCAATTGATATCCATGTATTCAATACCCTGGGCCCAGTCCTTTACGGTTCGACCTAGGCAATCCACCACACCTGCATCCGCCCCACGGCTGAGCAAAAGTGTGATCAGGCTCTTTCTAAGGCTCCAATCTTCTTGAAATGCTGGCGTTGTTACCACATTGGTCAATGCTGTGGCTCCAAAACTGTCCTTGATGTTTGGGTTTAGCCCGCGGGCCAAGAGACACCACATCATGGTATAGGGTTTCCGTGATCCAACTGCCCAATGCAGTGCAGTCGATTGGTCAGGCCCGACGATATGGGCGCCATAATCGAGGAGAGTGTTTACTACTGGGACTCCCACAGCCCAGGAGATTGCTCTTTGAAGTGCTGTCTGGTTGTCTGTTGTGATTACATTTACATCTGCGCCATTCGCAAGCAAATATCGACATTTAATTTCGTCCTTTGATGCGATTGCGTTTATCAAAGGGGTCCAGCCATCTGTTCTTCGTGCATTTATATCAACTCCAAGCTGAACAAGTTTGTCGATAATTTCCAGGTTGATTTCAAATGTGTTGTTGGCTGCAGCATGAAGTGCTGTCTCGTCATCCAAATCCTTCGCAAATGGATCGGCGCCCCAATTTAGCAACAGCTCTGTGATTGGGGGGCTAGAGTATCGTGCAGCCATGTGCAACGGAGTGGAGAGCTTAAGATCAGTTGCGCGAACATCAGCTCCCCATTCCAGTAGAGTTTTGATCACATCCATGTCGTTGCTTATTGTGGCGTAAAACAAGGCTGTCTGCCCAAAGTCATCCGCCATGTTTACATATGCTCTTCTTTCTAGAAGCAATCTGACTGCCCCCGCCGAACCAGTTGCTGAAGCTGCAACTTGGAGTGGGGTCGTGCTCGGATGTGACCGCTGTCCATAAGCATCAGCTCCTCCAAAGCTCCAATTTTGAATTTGTGTTCTGGCGTCGGGCGAACGGCGTTGATGGTTGGGATCCGCTCCAGCATCAAGTAGCATTGACATTATTGTGCTCTGGTATGCGCGATACGTTTCATCAAACCTGAGGATGAACGGAATTACATTGCTTTCTGCCCAATGCCTCGAATCAACAGTTGAGAGGAGGGCATTGCTCAACACATTTGTATCTTCGATCCCGTCCTTTAGAAGAGCCCATGTCGCCTCAACTCGCCATTCCCTTGCCGCATTAATGAGAGCAAAGTCCTTGTCTAACGGGCTCTCCCTTGATTTACTCCATTTTAGGAGCAGTTCAATTATAGCCACATTGCCCAGTTCAGCTGCAATTTCGATTGTTCGACGGTCGGTTACGGCAGGGTCCGCGTCCGCGTCTAGAAGAACTTGAACGATATCGGCGCGTCCGAGGTTGACGGCAACGGTGAGAGCTGGAATCGACAACTCTCCATATTTGTCGGGAGCGCGACTGTGGACGAACGCGCCATAATCTAACAAAAGCTCGATCATATCGAGATCCCCGTTTCTGATAGCTGCATGGATCGGTGCTCCGTTGGTATTCTTGTTGATCATGTCAATGTGTTCACCCGAAGGGAATGCTCTTGAGTCAAGAAGTTTTTGCGCGGCAGCTGCATTCCCCTTCAAGACAGCAGCATGCAGAGGCAACACATCCAGCTCAAGCTCCCAGGTTTTTTCATAGCACGCCGGCTTGAAGCTGTCGCAGAAATAGTTTGACCAAGTGGAGGACCCTTCGGACATTTCTGAGTGAGCGTCCCTATCTTCCATTTTCTCGACGCGAAAAGGGGGATAGAAACCAAGTGTTTCAAATATATGAGTTCAGACAATGTAGCTCAACAAAGGACAGAAGGACATGAGGATAGGAGATTTTTCCCCTCCATAGGGTTCTTCTATCATGCTTGTTGTGATTTTTTTTTAAAAAAAAGCAACTCCAACACAGCAACTGTACTGTTACTGTGCGAATGTATGGAAAGCTCCGTCTGATACCATGCTCACGTGAGATGAATACAGGCCATCCCCCAGGTGGCACTTGAGAATCTTCTGGTGTAGCTCTGAAGCGTACTGGAGAGGCTATCAGAGTGAACAATTTTTCTCTTCCATTGCGTTGACAAGCTTACAGCCAGTTCTTGGAAGCTCAAGCGGAATCTTTGTTGGAATAGGCATTGTCTCCCCCCCTATCCAGGAGAAGGGACTCTTGCAAGAGCTAGAAGCTTCTGATCGAGCATGGAAAGCAGGCTCGAAAGGCTTTCCTTAGATCTAGAGGAATAAACAAAAGGATATCTGGCGAGCGGACAGACACTGGCGGCCAACATCATGCCTTATTTTGACCATGGGAAAATTCAAGTCATAAAACTAGACATTGCCTCAGTCTTCAAGGCTCCAGTTTCATCCTCAAGAGTGATAAGAAGCCGATTCCATACGCCTTCTAAAGATTCCCCCAGCCCGAAATTCTACCAGGTGTTGCAACGAGCCAAGATCCTGGAATAGAGTGAATATTATCCTGGTTTATGCGGGAAGGCCCAATAATGACCCTTCCTACAGCTGCATGACGATCACCAAGTCGTACGGAAATGCTATGGACTTGGGAACCTGACATTTGCAATTATGTATGCACTCCTCTGCTGGCATAGTAATTCTGACTGCTTTTGGTTCTGATGTGTTCCATATACTCTGTTTCACTCTGTGCTGTACACAATGCACATCTGTCTGGATGGTTGTGATTCAGACCACTTATTTTCTGGGGAGTTCTAGCAGGTCTGTGTGCTGAGCACGACAAAACCACAGCCGTGTGGCAATTTATACTTTGCCTGGTCTAAAGTGCGTGTGGTTTTATCTACGTGGACTGAGTTGAGTGGGCTTGCATTAAATTGAGAACTTCCAGATGTTCAAGGACATGAATATCAACATATACATGCGGAGTACAGAGAACATGTTCTTGCGAATCATGAACTTGAGTGTCCAGAATTTACGAGGAAAAAAGTGTAAAATCTTTAAGTTCACCTGTTAAGAAAGCCGCTGGGCACTTCCTATATCTAACAGGGGAAACGCGAAAGCAGTCCTGGTATGCAGGGATCTGCTCTTCACATATAGAACACCATATTCACACCCACTCACTCAACCAAAGAGAGAATGGACTAAAAAAAAAAAGGAAAAAGAAAACCTTCCACACCATGCTGAAGTTGCAGTAAAGAATAGGTCAAGAAACAAACCACCGGGAATGAATGAATTACATCTCATTCCAAAAAGCAGAAGACCCCAAGTCTCTACCCAAACATCCGAATGAAAAGAAGAATACCAGCTAAAATGCCAAAACAAAACCAGCATATCTCAGAAATCACATCCAAGTAGAAGGGAAGCCTATATATTCAAAAAAAAGAAAAAGAAACCAGATAGCAAGTAGCTCCAGTATCCACCGAGATTAGACCCCCTTAACCACCGTCGTCCGCTCCGCGTTTAACCGTTCCGCATTACGTGCGTGCGATTCTTTTTTGCAGTCTTCTAGTCCGCTGCATGAATGTGATTCGAGCATACGGTGCTTGCTGCAGAAATGGCCTTTGCAAAAGCTGCAGTCGCCGACGATGCGCTGGGCGAAGTCTTTGCAGTCCTTGAAGGTACAGCGTGGCTTGCGGGATGGAGCCATGGTTGTCGTATATAGCGAAACGAGACCGCGAACAGAGGGTGGGAGAGAGAGAGGAAAGAATAAGAGAGTTTGTTATTTAGTCGGTAGGACGAACGTAAGCTGGAACGTCGGGCGGACAACGGAAAATTAAAGGGGGGGAGACACTCGTCAGGACGTGGGATGGGAAGAAGTCGTCGAGCTGATAGGTGAAAGTAGGCAACAGACAGAAAACGACTTCTAAACGGTACAGAGTGAGCTTGTTTGTTTTTCACAATTGCAAACGTGTTGAGTAGCCAAATTTGCCATGATCTTCCCAGGAGTGACTCACCTTCGGCCGGAGCTTATTGCTGTCGAAACGCTTTGGCAAAGAACCCTCTCTAGAGTTATGGGGACGCAGGGGTGTTCTTAATGTTTGGTAGGGAGGTGAATGAAAAAAAAAAAAAATTCAGACAATGCAGGACGGGAAGAGGCGGTGAAAGCGTGTCGATGAATGGGTTTGGTGGAGGCGGTTGACGTGTTAGGGGCGGGTTTGGTGCTGTATGCAGTGGGAATGGGAGTGCGGACGGGGGCAGAAAGGATGGTAGGGTCGAGATAACGAGGTGCCGCGATGTTTAACTAGTTAGTTGACAGAGCAGTTGAATGAGAGGAGGAAGGTCGAGTGTGGAGGAAGTGCTGGGTATTTAAAGCCTTCCGCCTGACCTCCGGGTCGGCCAAGTATTCAAAAGTTAGCTTGCTTGTTAGTGAGCTGGAGCGATATGTAGCTCGGCGAATCTGGGGGCAAATTGGAGCCTCTTGTTTCATGGTTTGCGTGATCCAGTGAGGCGCTTTCGGGGCAGAATGGCAAGGCCTCAAAGGTACTTTGACCGGGGAGTATTAATAATTTCCACTGCCTCAGCAATTCGGCTGGAACCTTCCAGCATCCTGGATGCGCTGGAGTACCGCTTCGAGGTTCTATGTACCCCGGAGTATTGTATCCGTCGGGTTGATCGTAAAGTATACAGGGAGCTACCGTGATGACGTTGATATACTTGTCGAGTGACCTTCGACGTCTCCAGCGGCAACAGTTGGGTATCGATGAGGACGAGAACTTTGAACCATGGTCACGACATCCCATCACGAAAATGCCAAGTTGCAAAGATTGTCATCTGAAACTGACAGTCGAGGCTCGTGATTAATTAACTACTTCGTTAGCCACCGGGACCTTGACCGGAACCCCTTTTGTTAAACCTGGTCGGCACATCGCGACCATGGTGAACGACACGTCGGTCGCTTTTCTCAGAGTCGAAGCTGGTCCAACTCCAATGGCGTGCTCCGTACGGAGTACACTAACATGATTCGACTCATGGGCGAAATTATGAGATCGAAGCAGCCAAAAGTGTCGATCCCTCCAGTGTTATTGGCGTTTCATCCCCCGAAAGCCGGGCCCTGATATTCCACAGAGATGTCATTTGGTCTGCACGGTACAAACTCCATATTAAGATTATCGAAAACACCCCTAGAAGAGAGTAAACCAGGCGGTGTTATTCGGTACAAGGCCGCCTACGGCTATCTGTCGACCTATACTTCTGAGTTCTGAAGCCTGTGCCCAACCTCTTCCGAATTTTCGCCCTGTTGAGTTTTGATTTCTCCCGTCTGGCCAGAATCTCAATAATCTTTCGGAATGAGATCCGCTCTTTCAAGTTCTGCACAAAGTTTCGCTCGCCAGCTTATTTACATAGATGGTTCCTGGGTGGAGATAGTCGAGAACAGCCACCAAAACAGGGGACCAAGAGGCTTCAGGGACGAGACCATTTTGGCCTTCAGCGAAACGGCTTTCTTCGAGAATACCCATCGGCGCTACGTAGAACGGCTAACATGCAGTAGCAGCTCAGTAGGATCAAGGTAGGATTTTCCTCAAAGAATTCCAAAATTCACACAGGCAAGAGCTAGTTACGTAGTTTTCGGTTATTGTATACATTGCGGGCTCCAAATCGTTGATGCCGCGATCGGAACCCAGGCCAATACCAGTCGAGATCTGCACTTAAAAGACTCTCTGAGGACACACTTGAATGTTGATAGCATTTTATTCTGCTTCCATTGTCTCCCAATGCACCACAGTTCGCGTTTCATCTGCTTTTAAAATAGTAACCCCAAACTTGCTGGTTAGAATCTCCTGGAGTGTTGTTATCTGTCACTTTTCATAGTTATATCTCGGCTATGGTGACTGCCCGCGGGATTTAACGAAATATCAAAGGTTATAGCTATAGTGAGCTATTTTGCAGCAATTAGGAATTCACCCGGGGTGAATACATGGGTATCACTTCAAAAATTGGGCATATGCCAGAGCCTTTTGTCGGTATTTGCTGATGTCTGCCAGCCTTTGAGTTATTCGGGTGTGTGCTTGTACCCGCCATATTGTCTTATTTTATTATTTATTGCTTCCTTGAACCGGGAGTGGCGTTCGACTTACTTATGCCATCGAAATTTCATGTTGCACGGAGTAACCCCATGGCCACTAGTTCTGTGTTGACAACCGTGGCATGCAATAGGGATCATCCGTTTGTGGTTCCCGTGATGCAAGGACAGCTGGGTCTAGAAGACCCATGCGGCTGCGTTTCTCATCTGAAATCGCCTGTGCTCCAGCGCGCCTTTCAATGTCTGCTAGCACATGTAGGGCAGACTTCGCAATCTCAGTAAGTTCCTCTTTTGAAAGCACCAGTGTCTTCTCGTCATTGCGTCCCTCCATCATGGCAGCGTCGGTAGTATAGCAATGCGACTAGGATCTAGGGGCTTGCTTGATCTTTGACAGAGGGCTTGGTAGCAGTGATCAGATAGACTCTTCAGCAGATCTTTCAGAGTGCACTACTTTCTGCTCTCGGATCATGCCAGGATGTCTAAGGACCTTTGTACAACTCGAACAATAGATGAGCCGCACCAGGGTCTGAAGACATCAGAGTGACGTTGTCCCCTCCAAATAGTGAGTCCCTTGGCCTGAACTCGGACCCAGCTTTATAACAGAGGATCATTCTGACAGCTCGTCTTACAGTTGCTTTTATCAGCATTGGCAGAAGAGGTAGCAGCAATAGCGTGGGCGAGTGGTTGATGATACCAATGCTTGTGTTTTCTTGCTGGGGCCGAGCATCCGACGGTTGAGGAGTTCCATAAACGATCCCAATTCTTCCTAAGAATATCATCATAGGGTTAAAGGCATATATATCACTCAAGACTAACTCTAAATCCTTTCATATTCCTCTCAAGTAGCTTCTATCATCCTATATTAAGCAGCGGTATAAGCATTGATGGAGCCGCCATGTCATTTCAATTTATGGTTCATAGGCACGAGGGCCACGGGGGCCAGGAATGTGAATTCCCAGCGCTTCTCTATCTGGAGGAGTCGAACCATGTGCATACCCTAAATCATTCCTTCTGCACTGCTGCCCTGCCAGAGTTAAAAGGTGACAAGGTGACATTGCACTCCTCCACGGTTCGGGATCTCTGAAGAGCCGAGAGTCGTCCCGGCCCGGCAAAATGAAAAGCTGAATAACAGACTTTAGCTCGGGCTCATACTTAATGCGGTATAGCGCTGCGCTAAAGCTCTTTACCCTTTGGCGAAATGCTTAGTCATTTAGATGGTGTAATCACCAAGGTGTGATTGGTCAATTTGGCTGACATAAACCGGATTTGCCCGAAGTACGTTCCCGAGGTGTTGATCTCAAACGTCAAACTTGAAGTCGAATAGCGAATTGTGTGCTTCTTTAGCCCTGGTCTAGAAAGCACTGCGCTATTGCTGTGTGCATTGTGAGCCACTACATAGCTCCCATCGCAAGAAACATCGCTGGCAACCTCGCTGTTCTTCTGACTGTCAAGGGGCTAAGTTTCAAACACTCACCATGGCCTCCCTTCGATCAACCTCTTCCCTCCTTCGCGCCGCCCGCCCTCTCTTCCGCCCTGCCGCCTTCTCTCGCACATATGCTACTGTCGAGTCCAAGTCCCCAGAGACCAGCAACCCAGCTTCTTCGCCGGAAGCCAAGAATAAAACTTTCCACATTTACAGATGGGATCCTGACCGACCTTCGGAAAAGCCGCGCATGCAAACGTATACCATTGACTTGAACAAGACCGGACCCATGATGTTGGATGCTCTTATTAGAATCAAGAACGAGGTCGACCCAACTTTGACTTTCCGAAGAAGCTGCAGAGAAGGTATTTGTGGTAGCTGTGCAATGAACATTGATGGTGTCAACACTTTGGCTTGCCTGTGTAAGGGGTCCTTGGCTTTCCTCAACAAGCGCTCTGGCCATAAACCAGGTTGCTGATATGCGATGAATTAGGCCGTATCCCCGCGGACACCGCCAAGGAGAGCAGGATCTATCCTCTTCCTCATACCTATGTTGTCAAAGACCTTGTTCCCGATATGACACATTTTTACAAGCAATACAAGTCCATTAAGCCTTATCTCCAGCGTGAGACCAAATCCCCTGACGTATGTTTCTCTTACTCCTAATCGCATTCCAGAGAAGGCCGCTAATTTAAACGAAATTTGCAGGGCAAGGAAATCCGTCAATCTCCGGCCGACCGTAAGAAGCTCGATGGCCTCTACGAGTGTATCCTCTGCGCTTGTTGTTCGACCTCCTGCCCATCTTACTGGTGGAACAGCGAAGAATACCTTGGTCCTGCTATCCTCCTTCAGTCCTACAGATGGCTTGTCGACTCCCGTGACGAGAAGACTGCAGAACGCCGTGCTGCTCTTGACAACAGCATGAGTGTCTATAGATGCCACACCATCATGAACTGCACGAGAACCTGTCCTAAGGGATTGAACCCTGGCAAGGCTATTGCCGAGATTAAGAAGCAGTTGGCATTCGCGTGATTGGGGGCCTTGTTAAGTGTATTATCTCTTTGTTTTGAGTTTCAATCTATTATCATCGTACGGAGAGCCTGCATTTTATTTGTTTTGGATTGTCCTTCTGTTCCTTCCGTCTCACTTTCCGATACATAGAGACGTGATGAAAGGGGAGCCGAGGGCTCGATTGCCCCAAGGGAAGCACATTCACTCGGAGAGTGGTTCTGTGGACGCGGCCCAAAAAGATCCTTTTGTTGCCATCGCTTGCCGTTCTGCCCACTGTACATATATGGTGATTGATTTCGCAAAATGTGGAAATGGATGAATCTAAAAGACCTGGAACAACCTATTATGGTTCTGTTCGCTTTCCGATGCTTCATTTTTCGTCCATCATAAATTCGGCCTTTCCTGTGGAATTAATCATATCCATGATCTTCTCGACTTCAGCTTGCATGGCATCCGTGACCTCCTCATGCAGCCTTGTAATAGGCAAACTCCCTGCTTCCTCCCTCATCACTTTCACATACTCATTATTCACGGCCCTATTAACATTAACCTTAGCCACCCCGCGCTCAATACACTTCTCAAAGATCTCCTTCGTAAATGGGTCAGCGCCGTGCAACACAAGTCCCACCCGTTCCCCCACCGCCTCATTAATCCTTTGCAACCGCTCATAATCCAGCTGCACGCCGCTCGGCCCATAGTTGCCATGAACATTCCCAAACGCCGGAGCCAACCAGTCAATCCCCGTCGCCACAAACTCCTCGCTCTCCTCCGGGGTCGTCAAGACACCTTCCAAATCCACCGTATCCTGCACGCCATCCTCTCCGCCTTCGATTCTTCCCGGCTCCGCCTCCGTCGCGATCCCACGAGCATTGCAATATGCCACCAGCTCACGCGTCAGTCGCAGATTCTCCTCCTTGGAGAAATGGCTCATATCAACCATGATACTATCGAAGCCCGGTTCGTGGGTTTCCGATCGCGACAGGTCTGCGGCCCGCTTGATAATTTCTGGGTCTTGGGCGTGGTCTAGGTGTAGTGTGATGGGCACGCTGGCTGCTCGACATGCAGATGCGGCGGTGCGGACGAGGAGTGAGTCGGCGTACTGGATGGCCCACGGGAAGAGAAGGATCATGGCTGGGGAGCGTTTGTGTTCGGCAGCACGGATGATGGCTAGGATGCCTTCAAGGTTGTAGACGCATATTGCGGGGATGGCGAAGGAGTGGGTACGTGCGAACGTAAGGAGAGGAAGGGCACGGTTGGATTTGAGAGATGGGTGAGGCATGCTGGGCGATGATTTTAGTGTAGGAGTATAGGCTCAGCTAGAATTAGGATGTACAAGCAGTGAGTCTAACAGAGGCAGGTTGAAAGTGACGACTGGTGCATTTCATCGTGCTGGAGGTCATGACCTTGAACAAGCGTGATGTGAGATCATCGGCTATATGGACTTATCTGAGGGGTAAATAAGTTGAACCGGAATTAACAATCGTTCTTGCTTCTCCTCTATACTGAGTCTGTAGAACCACCTGAAGAGTTGTATTCCTGTTTTCTTCGCGGCCACAACGTTTCAGAATGGTAGAATTTGTCTTTGAGAACCCCAGCGGGATTGTGTAGATGGTGTTGTGTTGTCGCTTGATGCATATCATGCTATGACGTATGCACGTACGGAGTAGACTGACCCCAAAATGATACCTATATTGTACTGCGTAGGTATCCTTTTTTCTAGCCGTGGAAGTCGTGCCCGTTGCTTCAAGAATATAAGGCTAGTATATCTATGCAATACACAACAGAATAGGTTGTTCTGCCTTCTACGGAATAGTTAGGTCAGAATTTAACAATTTCTATCAATTTCTCCGGGAATCCCGAGGCAATTCCTTGGTTAGCTCTTCGCTTAGCGACTTGCCAATTTTTCAGAAATAAACATGTAGCCGAGAAAGCCTAGAATACTTTCATCGAATTCTACGCGGATAATCGGGGATCGCCAATGTTGGACGAATCTGTGCCCCCAAGCAAAGCAATGCAATGCATCCCTCATGGTCTTTCAAGAGACTTGAGGAGCAATCACCACTCTATTCTCCAAGATGTCTTTCTAGGTGGGCATTTGTGGACATACAAATCGCAAACCTCTATAAGTTTTGTTGTCCACAAACAATATCCAATCTGTCATACTAGCGCTCATACCGTTTTATCGACCATTAGAACCCTGCTGACAGAAAAATAGCCATAGAGAAAGAACACATCACTGACATTTCGGCGAGAGAAGAGGCTATATTTCACAGCACAAACGTAAGTCATCTGCTTTCTTTCTTTTTTTTTTCCTTTTGCAGGCCCTAATCTTGACAGGGCAGCCTATAATTCAAAAAGGTTGTAGAAACCGGGTGAATGGTGCCGGAGTGAACTTGCTCTCGCCTCATAGCGCCACTATTTAATCGGTACGTGCTCTTTATATATTGAGAAAAACATGAAGTTTCAAATTTCCAGCGGCAAATTTTGTTGCGCTGGCTAGCCACTGCTGAGCGTATATTTGGTCCCTTCGAGTAAATGGTGGGATAGGATCCTTTTCTCAACTCGTTTCGTGGCTTTCGCAGTAGCTACCCCCTTTGTCACTCGGGAAGGCTTCGGTTTTCCTCGTCTTCCATAGCTTCCATAGTTAGCATGCTGGTCTGGGCTTCGCTTGGCTGAAGACAGGGCTCAAAAGAGTTAGCTATATGACCATAGTAAAGCCGACACCACCCTCTTAGCAATTGACCCGGTGCGTGACTCCAATCGTGATGTGATCACATAAGGCTGAGATAGCTCGAAGATGTCGATGTTTGAGAGCTTCGTCAATGCATCCCGCACTAGCATCGGCAGCGGATCGCTTTTGGCGGGAAGCATAACTTGGCTTCTCTTGGCGCTTACATGAGGGTGCTTTCATTGGCGCCGCCTCCCAGCCCATCCGCACATCGGTGGGATGACGTGCAAAATGTCACCTGCAGCGAGCTCGCAGCGCGCGCCTAACCCGATCTGGCTAGCGGTCAGCTCGCAACCCCACCTCATCCATGAACCGCAACGTCGCCCGTTGATCAATTGAAAAGCGATGGCTGTGGAGTCCTACTCATGCCGCCTGAACCGAACCGGAATCGAATGGCGTGAAGGCAAAGAGTTCAAGAAAAAGCGCGCATAGAAAGAGGAACTAGTTGCAGGCTTGAAAATGAGTGTGCGGATGCTACTCCCGGCGGAGCGTAGTTCTCCTCCGAGGAGCATATTGAGTGCAGCATCTGGATGGCTGGGAAGCCACAGCCGGCCACCGTCGGAAGGACATAAGACAGAGACGCCAGCTTACATCATGCGGAGAACTGCATGCTGATTGCGATTGTCTCTTTTCGTACGTTTCCGCTCTGCATGCAACATGGCTCCGATGGGAGATGGAAAGGTGCCAGAATATTTCTTCTTTCGTCAAGTGGGCACTCATATTCCACTTTTATTTTTCTGGGTGCCAATATTAGAATATAAGTGGCGGCTAAACTTCAATTCATCAAAGCAGGTCATTCCGAGAAATCGCCATTTTTCTCACTGTGATATGATTACTGGGAAGTTCATTATTATTGAGCCGCGGGCGTCAAAACTTTGCTGTAATTTTCATGTCACCAAAATTACCGTAATATTCATTATCTTGCCGAAACATACATAACGCAAATCATGCGTGCACGAACATCACACACCTAGAATGCTGTTCTTGATCCAGATGCGGCTGTCAAACCTTTTAATTGCTTTTTTTTTTTTTTTTTTTTTTTTTTCACCCCTCAATTTATAGCAGAATGGAGAGACAACACCTAGCCAGTGTCTACAACAGCCCTGCTTTGCTGATACCTCTGTGATCTCGACGTTGTATGCTTCGGGTTGGTCGGCAGTGCTTGGGGAGTAGGAAAGTTTTGCGAGAATTCGATCGGACGGGAAATGGCAATACAATAATACGCCGGCGATTACCAGTACCTGACGACAGCCAAGCAAAATAGCTTTTGGGGACCCAAGCTGGTCCCTTGCTCTCGATCTTTTCTTCTCCAGCCTCTTCTCCTCTTCTTCTCTTCCACTCGCACGTCAGTTCGTCGCATCCTCATCGCTGTCTTTGACTCGTCCTACACCCAGCCTTCGACTTCCTCTCCACTCTTGAATCGACTCGATTCAATCGCTGCGTCCTTGTCAAACGAGATCTCATCTCGCTGCGCTGCACCGGTGTAAGTCTGTTCCTCCGCCCCAATCCGCCCTTGGCGTTTCTCCTCGGATATCGCTCCCACGACGTTCAAGATTTTTTTCCTCGACCGGACACCAACGTCTCCCCAGCTACTATTCTCAATTGAATTCATATTTTCCCCTATAGTTCTGTTGTTGAAGCTCTGTGGTCGCTGATAGCACTATAGCCGTCGCCCAGGAAGTCGACAGGTCCGTCTCTGACCGCCTTTTCATCGCATTTCCGGTAAGCCGTCGACTTGTCCTTCTGCTAAGTAAAGCGCATCTCTTGATTTCCACCTCTTTTTTTGTGGTGATTGTCGCCCGCGCTCATAGAATAGCGAAACAGGGACTATTCCATACTGATCTATACGTTGCCTAGCCAGCCTCGCTTCATCACATCTCACAATGGCCGCCATCAGCGCCTTGATCTCCCGCGATGAGATTTTTCACCAATTGGCAAAGCGTGACAACTTCGCTAGCAGGAACGCCGGTGTTATCGTCGTCTTCTGCATCGTCTTCATCGTCGGCGTCGGCCTCGTTGGACTTTTCATCCACCGCAAATGGCTGGCTCGCCGTGCTGCCCGCACCGGTGTTTAAATTGCCACATCTAGTGGTTCTGCTTGTGGGAAGGGGAGAAAGACGCAGGAATTCGTAGAGAGAGATTGGTGTGGAGTTGTCGATGTGATGCTGCGAAGGAACGGAGATTGGTTGACAAATGCTGCAGAGAAAGGATCGCTTTGCTGACGATTCTTTCTACCCATTGCCATCGCCGATTCTTTTTTTTAATTATATACCCAGGAAGCTGTTTTGACAAGTTCGTTCCCGAAGTACGCCCGGCTGCGTTCGAAAATCGAAATACCATTTATCGCAATATTTAGACGGGAAATAATACATACAATGTGGGTCTTTCATGGCATTTGTCTTTATTGAAGCTTCATACCATAGTGAACGCATCCGTGTTGGTCTTTTCCCAGCCCTCTGCTATCTGATCTAATTCGCGAAAGTGACACTCGCAGAACTGCGGCTGGTGTTCTCAATGGGAAAGCTCTTAAACAGTTGGGTAAATTGTGTATAGTTCCTTTAGCCGTCTGTTCTTTTGTGTCAGATATTTATTTGTGTTACGCCCGAAGTTACCATTGCTTTTGTTGGAGTCAGGATCGTGGAATACCTATTGCTTGCCTATTAGATCGGGAATCATCACAATAACTTCAACAAAAGAAAAGTTCACTCTTTTTTTTTCACTACTCCTCAAATCATGCGATTGTCATATTAGACATTCAGACGCAACGGGGCTCCAAAATGGACTCCCATTCGAAATAATCGTAGATCGACTGCGCCCCGGACCCACTTGGAATTCACACCTCTTCAAATATACGGAGTATGGAGTACATAAAAGCCATTTGAGCTAAGACAGCCTTTTATTTCGCCTCGCGTCATTGAATGCAAGCCACGGACTTATCCTCACTGACCCTGGGTGGACACCCCACAGGTAAATACATTACCATATGGATAAAACAAGATGATATACTGGAGGCGTTGAGCTATGTTGCTCCTCACGCCCCTTACGCTTCTTCTTCTGTATCATCCGCCGCAAGCATTCCAGGTTGGTGCGCCCTCGTCCCATGTTCTCTACTTCTCTGAACTACGCGTGGTATTTGCCAAGGTATTTGGCGTGAGAGACCCGCAATAAGAATTTGATGCACTCTAGCTCCGGTCGTCGTTCACGAATCCGTAGGTAGTACTGTGGTTTCCAGGCCTAAATCTACCTTCCCGAAGGTCCTAGTCTCGGACTATGGTAATTGCGGCCTTTGGAATGAATTTGGGCTCAGAGGAGGCTGTGAACTGTGCCATTTCAAGGCTATTGTTCCTTGTAGTGAACCAGCCAGTGTGCACCCCCAGTAGTGTCTAGGACCCTAATTGCATGTATAGTGGCATCCAACACTCTCACACATTGTGATAAAGGGAGTGGAAAAAAATCACAGTACAATAGTTTCACATAATTTCGATAAGTGTTGAATTTCAGCAAACCCCTGGGTACCTGTCGCATTAAGTGGTATGGGAATTATTAGCCTCAAATTAAGGAGAGTTGAATCTTGATATATCCCTGATAAAATGATAGGATGACTCTCAACAGATCCATATTAGACTTTTCGTAAACCCGCCACGGCCGGCTGCCTGGAGGCCAAGCTAGGGAAATGGCTTGTCGCTGTTATATCAGATGTGGAGGGGATTCATGTGTTCGCTGATGCTGAGGCTTGAGTAAATACTGGCAATGCTCTGCTTGTAGCTAGTCAATGCAAACATGTTTGACATATAGATTAGCTACGCGAGCGAAGAAGCATCTGAAGGCCTCATGATGGAATTGAAAAATGGCGATCATAAGATCAAGCACAGTCAGGTTGACCCGGGAGAAGACAGGGAAATCCTCGTGACCAAGCAGCAACGTGATATGTGCGGGTGATAATCAACAAGCAGTGGATTGGAATGGCATGCTGCGACCAGAGAATGGATATTGGAGTGCAAACCAGTAATTGTTCAAGGGACAGGGTGGTCGAGATGGCATGTACTTGGGAGCAGTGTGGTCGGGCCGGAAGAAGCGCGAGTCTGTGAGAAGTATCCCGATAGTGCAGATCAGGTTTACATCCTCTTGTTGAGGACCAAGGTTCCAAACCAGTTCATTTGAAAATTGAGAGCTATGTTTCGATCATGGAAGATCTGGGTGACGATAGTGATCTTTAATTATGGCCTTGCTGATAAAATGTAGTGACAAGAGGAATGAGGTTAAATCTGACCAAGAGCTTGAGCATAACGGGGGGGGAACGGCACAAGAGAATTTGAACTCTAGGTTGTACGCAGGTTCAGCTTTGGGCATGGAGTTTGGAGTTCTGTCGTTGCTGCTGTTGTTGGTGGAGAAAACGGGGAGGATTCTGTTGCTGCTTTAGTTATACAGAGCGCGTGGAAAATGGCTCTCAAGGCGAGATGGTCCGAAATTCACTTAGTAGAGCTACAGGAAGTAGAGAAGGGTGAATGGGATGCGAAAGATAGCGCAAGCATTGGGTATTCACCGGAGTCTGGCGAGCTTGAGGGAGAGGCCAGAGCAAACGAGGCAAACATCACAACAGAGCAAACACCTTTTCGATCTGGCGCAAGATGTTACTTACACCAGGAAGTCAGCGATCCGCGGGGAGAATTTTTCTTAAAAAATTGAGCAGCCATATTTCCGAAAATTAGAGCCGGAATCGGAATTCCGTCATCCTAGTTATAATACACTCCAAGCTTTGACTGGGCGTCAGCGAAGATGTAGCTTCGTACGTGCTTGTTGACATGACTTTTTCCAGCCTGGTCCAACCGTCGAATTGTTTTGCCCTGAGCTTTTCCTGCGATTAATTGGTTAGATATAACTGATATGCACCGGTTACTTCCCTGCGCAAAGCAGCACTGTTGACTGTCTCCACGAGATCGGATCTAGCCTACACTGGCCAGGGTTGTTTACCCCGGCGTGGTCCGATCCTTCAAAGTCAACTCGATGATTGATTCGATGAGAAATGCGCGAGCGCCCATGCCCCTCTGCCAAGCACTGCTTCAATGGCCAATTCCTACGGAGTGGCTACGGGTGAGGAGAGGAAATGTTCAGCATGACTGTGACAAGGATCACAGCACCTCTTCTAATTTAAATCTGGGAAATGAGAGTTGCCCACATCAGTCATTCCTGGCTGGAACGATAGAGCTGTCAGCTTTCGAATTCCATGCACTCTCTATTCGGATATATCAGTGGCTCCTGATTGCGAATACCGCAGAGTATCCAATCCTCGATCCTCTAATACCCCTCACATCGGTATAAACCGTCACCTCACACGGAGCTTTACCTTTCCCGAATTTATTTCTCCCCAGAACCCTAAGTTGCTTCTCTCGCCATGCGCCTCGAACTACAACCCGTCACGGACACCGGCTTCGCCGAGGTAGTGGCCGGCATGTGGACATCTTTCGAAGATCCCTTTTCCGGCCTTCTGCGCGTTGTAGCACCGATATTCAACGATGACCGTGCGGCCAGCTTTGCAACCAATATACAGGTGCAGCTCGCGCAACATAAAGCGACGCAGCCAGAGAGCCACTGGATCAAAGTCGTCGATTTAGATGCGGGTGGTGAATTGGCCGGAGCGGCGCGATGGCTTGTGTATGAACGCGATCCTTTTAAGGAAGGCGAAGAGGTGGTGGCGGATTGGTGGCCAGAGGGCTCGATGGGGAGAGAGTTTGCGACGAAAACACTTCAGCAGCTGGATGCACCGAGGGGAAAGATGGCCAGAAGACCGCATTTATGTATGTTTTGGATACTTACGTGTCACCAGCCCTCCCCTGTTTTAATACGTTAAATTTCGCAAGCTTAAGAGAATACTATGTTTGCTAACTAAATATAGATCTAAATGTCGCATTCACCCTCCCTGCATATCGAAGACACGGAGTGGCCACAATGCTAGTTGACTGGGGCATCCAGAAGGCCGATTCGATGGGGCTGGAATGCTGGCTGGATGCGTCCGACTCCGGTCGACCGGTGTATGAGAAGAAAGGATTCATATACATTATGGATCAAGCCCTTGATCCTGACATGGACGAGGAGAAAATGTCGGCCGCTGAGAGGGAAGAATTGATGAGGTTGAGGGAAATGATGCCCCCGACTCATTTGAGCACTATGTGGAGGCCGAAGGGCGGAAAGTATAGCGAGGGAGCGACAGTGAAGCCGTGGGAGACGGCCTCCAATGAAGCATAAATTGGTATCATCCTGTCGTAGGGACCCCTTAGACAAGTTTAATTGCATTGGCGTTTTGATAAGAGCCTTGCCCCACTAGATATGTGGCACAAGCCGCGTTTGTGAAATGTCATTGTTCTCTACAGCCTTGCTTTTACATATCTAGTATGAAGAATATGCTATGGACTTGGGACCTGACCGCCATGGCGATGCGTAATCCTCCCCGTATCTGAGTGGTGATACTGACCAGCGAGGTCACAAAGGCTGCGGCAGTGTTGATACTATCTTGAAAAGGATATCTACATGGCCAAGTACGAGGTACAGAGGGGCGAGTGCGGCGCACAAAGTCCCTCATCGTTAGCCAGCCCTAACCCTCGCCGTGGTAAATCATGGGGGCAAAGGATTCGTGACCGATCCGTCTACTTCCCGGCGCCACTGATCAGTAAAAAAAAACTTCATAATTTACCTAGTTAATTTGCACAGCCAAATACCGAGGAATACACTCTGTTAAGTAGTTTATGGAGAAAAACAGGCTCGTCACTGAGTTCGCACGCCGATGTCCGTAACCCTCGCCGCTGGCTAACCCCAAGCGGCACTGCATCGGCGCAATGGACGCCTTGCGATCACTCCAAACTGCAAGCTTGGTTAACTAGCGCTTGGGCTTTAACTACCATACAAAATAGAGTGCGGTCGACTAACAACCGGCTCCACCACACTGCATTCCGGCAGGTTTTCCACCCGAGCAAATACATAGGCGCTGGCGAGATTCCGCAACAGCAGCCATCGCATCCACAAATACCAACAAGGTGAGTATCGGGTCCTATGGAATTGATGGCGGATTCAGGTTCCACCCTCTTCTTGTATCTTGGAGCTAGAACTTCTAATTGAGCATAAATGAAATCAGATAAGACACCCGTTGTTGGTACTTCGTACGTGCGTTTCTTGATCCTGGGTAACTAGCTAACTATCGCACGAAAACGGTCTCAAGTTAGGACCCGAGCCTTCTAAAAATACCCAACTTCTTGACCGGTATAAACTAGCCCGTAGCTAGGTATCATACGTTGATGCTATCACACTGATGGTTCTCCATTTGTCCCTGAGCCGGAGATGGACTCCGTAATCAAGGATTGGACGAAGGGTGATGCACCGTTTTAATGCTCAGGCCTGTTCGCAGAGAGGTTTGTAACTAAGCCTGCACCTGTTAACCTTTTGGGGTTTAGCACCGCAGCCTAGCCAAGTCAACAGAACCAAGCCAGACAACGAGCGCGATTCTTCTTTTCCAGTTCTTCATGCATACTTTTTTCGACATTCGGAGTATTTCACCAGAGGTTCTGGTTCTTTCTCCTATTGGTTCGGGCTTTACCTCGTGTGTTGCTCATCTTCATGTTAATACTTCGCTTTTGGCGCGATGAAGAGAGCATATTGATTGCAATCTTGCCCGCAAAGGCACCACACTTTTTGACCGTGTTTCAGCCTAGCTGAGACTGTGATTTCTCTTGGCTGTGCATTGCAAAAAGCACAGCATCTCTACGTTTGTCACTTTTGCTTCAAGCAGGGCCCAGTTCGGACCATTTTCCAAGCTCAGAGGCCTGCGGCACGACCACGGTGGCCCTACGCCCCCGCATCCATGGACCGGGCCAACTGTTTCACACAGCCTCGCTCCCTATTGAACAGAGACTGCCAGGATGAAATGCGAATAAGAGAAATCTTCTATATGTCGTTGGCCATCGGATTCGTTTTCGGGTTTTTGCTTCGGATACTTCGGGTTGTGGACCTCGAGAATCACCGCTGCCAAGGAAGGGTAAACATCATCGTGTCCCGACAGAGAAAATTCATCCAGCAAAGCTGCATCATGATTTGATAGCTGGTTGAGATGATGATATCGCACGTACAAGCATTCCATAGTAACAACATCTACATGATTAAGTTAGGTGGGACAAAGCTGAATCCATATTGGACTATTTAACCTGCGCGATTTCTTTGCCTGTCCTTTGTTCAGTATATTTTGACTCCTGAACCATGTGCTGGAGCATTCTTTTACAAGCCGTTATAGTTTGGATTACTTGAGTCCCTTTCTTGCACCTGAATTCGCTTTTATTTGCCTTTCCGGCCTTCGACAAGGCTCTGCCTGTCTTGATATCCCCCTATTTTCTAAGGTCCGGCAAATTTGAATGTTCATATAGCTACATATATTTACCTAGATCTCGAGGGGACCCCGACATCTAACCGGCAAAATGGAGTCTTCCTGGGACTGTACTCTAGAAACCTGCCCGATTGAATATGCCGTGTTTGGCTACCGTCCGTCGCTTCCAGCAAATATCATTTTCACCGCTCTCTTTGGCCTCTGTGCGCTCACCCAGGTGGCTGAAATGGGCATATTTCGAAGCTATACGTTCTCCATACCTGTTATACTCGGCGGTATATGTGAAGTGGTGGGATACGTGGGGCGTATATTGCTCTACGATAATCCCTTTAGTCAGGATGCCTTTCTTATACAAATATGTTGCCTCACAATCGCACCTGCATTCTATTCAGCCGCGATATATTTCTGCATTGCGGATATTGTTAAACTGCTTGGGCCTGAAGCGTCCCGACTGAAGCCACACCACTACGCTTGGATATTCATACCATGCGACGTGATCAGTTTGATTCTACAGGGTGCCGGAGGAGGGATCGCCAGCGTAGCATCCCAAGAGAACGAAGACCCCACCACTGGGACGAATGTTATGGTCGCCGGACTGGTATTTCAAGTCTTCAGCCTTCTCATGTTCATTCTTCTCACCTTGGAGTTCCTCTGGCGGGTTCGAAACAAGCGACCAAAGAGCATTAGCGACGAAAGTATTAAGGAGAAATCGTCATCGAGACATCAGAAATTCCTGCTTTTTGGAATTCCGTTTGCTCTTGCTATCCTGTGCATCTTTATTCGATGCGCGTTCCGGGTCGCAGAATTGAGCAACGGCTGGACTGGCGAACTGATCAAACACGAAGATACCTTTATCGCGTTAGAAGGAGCGTAAGTTCTTTCACCTAAACCTGAATCCCTTCCGGACGACAACTGATATAGATATTCTCCAGGATGATTGCGGTTTCCGCGGTTGCGCTTAACATTTCACATCCAAAACTCCTTTCGTCCTAGGCGTCGTGTGTTGTTTGTGGGCTTGGAAAATTGGTTTTGTAGCTTTTGCGCTTGACTAGCATGAATGGAATTATGCATACCTGGAGAAAATATAATTAGATGCATTGGTACGAATTTCGAATAGTTTTTCATACGAAAATTCAAAAAGGATGGTAATAATGGCGTTATGGAATGCATGATCTGGACGCTCTAATAATTGCTGGCAATGGCGCTTTTTGTTTTATAGTTGCATGCACGATAACTTGCAAGGCCCGGACCTTGCTGACTCAGCCATAGCGTCACCTCGGGAAGGCCAGACAACTTCAGATGATGCGGAGACTTCTGAAAGAACAATGAAAACTGTGCCTATTACTCCATATCCGTGCATGCTGACAGTTTATCCCATAGGATATAAAGGAATTGTTTCCTGTCCACATGGTGGAATTAAGTTTTACGGAGCAGGATCGCGCGTGTCTGAATCCTTGTGGCCGTAGTTAAGCCCTTCTCCGTCTTGGCCGAACTGGAGCGTTCCATTCCTCTCAGTGAGCTTGTGTCCGAGTTCCCACAGCAGCCATGGCGACTCGACCAACATCGCGTCTATTTGTCCTGACGGGCATGGTTGTCTTTTTTATATTGACAATCACATTCTTCCGACAACCAGCTCCACTGAGCCCTAAACTTCGGGCTCCGGGCCACCTGGGCAAGTCCTTACCGAGCGTTGATGTATCAGACCGAATGTTGGAGGGGAATATAGTCATGCCCCAATTGGGCAATGCGACTGCTAAGTAAGGACTTTCTCGCGGCTCAATTAATCCTCGTCGCCGATGCTGCGGTTCGAACTCGAGGCTGATGGGAATCCCCCATTTTTTTTTTTGCTTGCTAGAGCCGAACTTGGACGCGCATCTTGGAGATTGTTGCATACAATGATGGCTAGGTTTCCAGAAAGTCCGTCGAAAGAGGAGCAGGATGCGTTGCGATCATATATCTATCTATTTGCGAGGTTATATCCATGGTGTGTGGGGGTTTCCTTTTTACGGAGTACGAATAGTGATGGGCCCGATGCTGATGTTATTGACCGTTTCAAATTAGTGGTGAATGCGCCGAACATTTTCAGCAACACTTGAAAAAGTTCCCCCCTCAGGTATCCTCTCGCAATGCTGCTGCCGGATGGGCGTGCCATGTCCACAATGAAGTCAACAAGATGTTGAAGAAAGACGAGTTTGATTGCACAAAGTTGGGAGATTTTTACGACTGTGGCTGTAGCGACAAGCATGAAGATGAAGGGAAGCCGAAGCAGAAAGGAGAAATACCAGCAGGTAGATTGAATCAATTGACGAACCTTGGACGGGAGTTTAACACTGACGCGCTGCTGCCAGTTGAAATCAGTGCTGAGCCGTAGGTGTACCCAGTCTTTTTGCGAATCAGTGAAAGTGAACGAATGCTCATTGATTATAGGCAAACAAATGGATAAATGAATCCTTTTGTCCTTTTTTTCTTGTACTTTTAACGAGATGTATCACCATTACGGCATCCGTAATTTAGGGTTGGGCAGGACATTTGAAACCAGGCTACGCAAGGAGCTGGAACCGTTTTGTCTTAAATACGGGCGGGAAGAGTTGTATTCGGATCGTTGCTCTAATTTAAGAGACTGGAATGAGCGTGAGGAAATGGCATTATGTGGTCAGGTTGTTGGATATAGTCGACATGGCCACTGATCCCAATATCCGGTTCACATCTGGCAGACACTACTGCAACATGATTAGTATCAGGAATGCCACTCCCAAGAACGGTGTTTTTCGGGAACCGAATGTCAAGGAAACGATAATGCAAATACTCAAAAACTTTGAGACTCGGAGAGATGACGGATGGTGTTATAATATGTATCCTTGGCTATGGAAGCAGCGTTACTTTGCAAGTCCTGAGTATCAATGCGCCACGTCGCAACTGAGCGGAGGGCAATGATCACCATAGATAACTCAATATTGGCCTGGAACAGCTCTCCATTCATGTTTCATTGACTGTTGGTTAGTGGTGGCTTTGCGACGCAGTAAAAGAGGCCAGTCCAGGGTCCACTGGCACTACTATGCTTGAGCACAAGAGCTTAATGTTTCAACAGTCTAACCAGTCTTCTTAAGCTCCTTCAAGCTGGCGTTTTGTGCGCCCGACAAATAGAAATCCTCGCCCGGGAAACGGGGGGCTGACAGGCTGTGCATTGGCAAGCTGGGAGCATTTCTGGCGGCGCCAAGTAGGGACACTCGGATTGTAGTTTCACAAAACGCCTTTAGATATATAAAGTGCCACAATGAGAGTCTAGGTGCTTTGGACGGAGCTTCGATCCTTGTTGCACTTTGCATGAAAAGTGTACGCACTGTTGATAACTTAACCGCCGCAGCGGTTCTGTGGCTCAAGACCTGGGAGTTTTCATGATCGGTTGTAAAATAACTGCCTGGTGGCGCACGGGTAAGATGCATCCAACTCGATGTCACTGGAATGCAATGATGGTGGTCTCCCGAGCCACCCTTCATCGTGCAAAGCTTTCGACAACAAAACTGAGCTCGCAGGCGTTGCTCGAGGCGCGTGACGGCATGTGACGAAGAAATTTGCATCAAGAACAAGGTTTTATTCCCCCCCTTTTCCAGACAGAGCTGCGGGCGCAGAAATCAAGTGCGGATGATGAGTTCGTGACCCGCAGCCACAGTTGGTTTGATAATGCAAAAACATAATCACCTGAGCATCGCATGCTGACTCGCCAAGAAAAGCTGCATCTAAGCGCCCGGGCGCTGAGGGAATGAGAACTTCGCACCACTGCTCACTTTTACGGAGTACTCCGTACATTTTTGATATTTGTCCAAATCCTCAAACGCAGGACATGCTTGAAGTGTGAGTTGCCCTGGGTGCTCCACAGAGAGGTGATTGGACAAATGGGCGGGTTATCCGACGCATGAATGGTCAGAAACCGGCCCCGGGAGGCTGTCTTGACTGCCCAACCAACAGCCCAATGGCACCACCCCCCCTTGCAGCCGACATTGCTGCAGCAACGCGTCTTCTGACCCTGGCCGGCTGAGTTCCCAACACCCTACACAAAAGCGGAATGGCCCGGTATCATGATCTGTGGGGGATCGAGGGTGGAGTCAGAACACCAATATTTCCTGGATTTCGAGGGCAAGAGTGCAGGCGACGCAGCGGAAAGTTGTCCAAAGCCGGACGTCGTGGCTGGGAGGGATCTTGTAGCATTTCAAAAGGGCGACGGAGCATGCAGCATCGAAAGTTGGGGGAGAGAAGGGTCAGCAGACCTGCATGAGTCGTCTCATTCCATTATCGCTCGCATTTTTGGATACTCCGACGAGTCTTCTGAGGCGACGATCCTTGAATAAACATGTACTCCGTGGTTGTCGAGAGCATTATACTTCGTGCTGTATGGTAGTATTTAACGACTGTCGCACCCATACTCCGTACTGTAGCAAATATCCCCTCGTCAGCCGTGCTTAATCTCTCTTCGCAGGAGCCGAAGCAACAGGACTGAAACTCCTGAAGATTGCTGGGCGGATTATCGTGAAATCGAGCGATACGAAGATTGGTGCTCGACTTGCGACGTGATAGGCTGCGGGCCGGCATTCCCTGTGGCTAAGATTAGTGCAGGACCTCCGGGGTTGATCAAGTCCAGGCGCCAAAAGGCGTTGCAAGGGCAGTGAGGAGAAGCAAAAAGAAGCACAGAGATCAGAGGCGAAGAGGGCTGTGGGAGGTCCTGTTTATTTTTATAATTTTTTTTTTTTATTTATCGTGGCCTCCCCATCCTTATCGACTCCTTATCGTGTCACTTTTGCGCTTGTTACTCCTGTCCTTTGCATTGTTTGGTCGCCCTGTTCTAAAAAATTTTTGTTGTTAGGCAGCTTTTCGTCTTCACTTTTTTTCTCACCCTTCCCGCCTCACACTTTAATTTCCCAAACCCATTCTCTTCTCTCACCGACATTACACTCCTCGACCACTGACAGGGCGCTTTTGGGATCCTCTATCCCCACCTGCGTCGCACCCAGCACCTCAAGGAGCCCAAGAAGGTGAAGTCGCCCTGTCGTGTCGGGTGTATATCCCCTCTGAGTCTCTTTCACCATGGTGTCCTTTCAATGCGAGGTGAGTTTCGTCCCCATTCCGCGTCGATTTCTCTTACCGAATCGCCGGAGTTACGCAATGACTCATGCTAACGTGGCATTTCTTCCACTTGTTGGCTGCAGGCCTGTGGTGATGTCTTCACCAAGAAGAAGCTCGACCCTCACCGGGGCCAGTGTCGCGGCGCGACCTTTTCCTGCCTCGATTGCATGGTGCACTTCAAAGGCACGGAATACAGATCGCACACGGTACGTTATATGCCTGTCCGCTCAAGACATCATTCCCGCAATTCTGCGGCTGCTGCCTGGTTGTTTCTTTTGTGCCTTTTGCGCGCGCGTGTAGTTCTCGCGTTACCCTGCATACCGTGGGGACCAATGGATTTTTTTGGCCGAGTATCGATCGGTCCTGTTGCGCATGGGTGGGGACCCCGTTCCTGTTGAGCATGCGCTGGCAGGGCCGGATGATTCGTGTGCCCTACACACGAACAGGCCCCCCATCGCAACATTGCATCTCGTGATTTGCTTGAATGCTATGGTTGCGTATCCCAGCTAGATGTTATTGGGCAGTGCTGAATAATACCCTGCGCCGACAGGATGCGGGGATAATTGCTTTGTTTTTTTGGATTCTATTCATTTTGATGTTTTATGAAATATCATGATGGAGAACAAAAACTAATTGACGGCGGCCTGCCTGGTCGTTCGATGTCTTGACAGTCATGTATGTCTGAAGCCCAAAAATACCAGGGTGCTTTATACAAAGAGAAGCCTGCCAAAGGCCAGAAACGCAAGAAAACCGTGACCATTGCCGATACCGTAGCAGCAAAAGGCTCTCGTAATCCTTATGTCGAAGACGCTCCGGACGTCGATGATATCAGACCACCTCAAAATGAAGCCCCTCCCCCTGCCCCGAGTCCTCCGCCTGCGACCGCATCCTTGCCACCCGCTGCCTCATCGAAGAAGGAAGAGAAGAAAGACGAATCTCTGAACGTGTTTGAATTTCTTGTCCCTGAGGATGGTCGCAATGCGTCTAAGGTCTCCTTGGGAGGAACAAAGGAGCAGATGAAGATGGTCAAGGACGCACCAAAGCTTTTTGATGTACCCAAGGAGCTTGCACGCCTTACAGATGGTCGGGAGGATGACGAATCTGTTTACGATGTTGCATACGAGGAAAATGGCTTCTCGTATGGTGCCGGTCCCATTCCTCCTGCTCCATACAACCAACCATCGAATATATCCATGGAGTTTTTGACGCCCGTCCCCGGATATAAGAGCAAAGGTCGATCTAAGAAGGACTATCCGCCTTCTCTAGAACTTAATCGAACAAACAGCGATAAGAAGAGAAAGCGAACAAATCCAGAACACATGGTCACCCCGGCAAACCAGACCAAGTTCGAAGACGACATCTCGATGGAGGATGCTCCTTCAAGCATGCTGGTGAATGCGCCGACTCCGGCTCTTAACCACTCAGGCCTTACTGGAGGTTTAAGCCGGATGACCACGAGGTATTCACAGAGCCCAGATTCGCCCGATTACAGGAGTGACCGTGAATATCTAAATGGAGACCGTTATCCCCATCCTGTATCACCGATCAAGCGAACTCGCCGGGCAACCAGAGATCCAAATGACGAAAATGGTCTTGGAATTTCCGTCAAAGGCCGTTCAGGTAAGCTTATGTCAATACTGGGTGGCAGCACCACCGGTATTACCGCCATAGGAGGCATTAGTAACGATCCGACTTTAAAAGCTATCGTTCGTACCCGTCGGCGCAGCACACCTGACGGCGAAAAGGAGCAAGTCATCCATGTTCGTAAACAAAAGCGTCACCGTGTTCGGCAACCTGAAACCGTGAAAACCTCCAAATCAAAGCATAGGACGAACGATATTCCGGCTGCGAATGATGAGGGTGAGTGGGATGATTTCGAGGATGAACGGCCGCGACGACTCAAAGCAATCGAATATAAGCGGCAGACCGACTCTGAGGACCGGTCGCGTTCTCCGCGTCAGGGCTCTACGTCCAAACCCAAGGAAGATAACCAAATCGTTATTTACAAACATGGCAAAGATGAGTCCGAAGACCTTGACTTGCTTAAGCGCGAGAAGGCCAATGTCTTTTTATCGCTTGTGAACAAGGGCCCTGAAAGCGAGCGAGGCTGCTCGATTCATAAGATTCTAAAACGTTTCCACCGTGATAAGTCTGCCTCCCTGGGTTCGGAAGAGCAAGAATCGAAGGAAGGTGGAGAGCGGGGGAGAGGTCGAGGTCGGCGAAGGAATCGAGGGCTTGACAAGGAGAAGAAAGATGAGGAAGAACAGGATTTGTGGAGGATGTTGAGGTTGAAGAAAAACGACAGGGGAGAAGTGGTCGTCTTTTTGCAGCCGAATACTTGATTTACCTTCTCCCCCCCCCCTTTTTTTTTCCCCCCTGGAGCGATTCGTCCTTTCGATTCGATGCAAATGTGGTGTCTTGTACTTTTTAAGCATGTTCACTTATTTGATTAATTTTTTTGGGATCCTCTCTTAATTTCTTGGACTGCTCCGTCCCCTTAATAGTCTCCTTCGGGGTTGGTGGTTTCTATCATTGGGCTTCTTGTGTCCTAGTATTGTTTGCTGTTGTATAAAATGAGGCGTACGGAGTAGAGCTGTAGTCAGTTATACCACTTCTATGCATGGCGTGAGATTTTTGTTTTCCTAGTTTCTCAAACGCACCCATCGCTGCTTCGAGCTCGTTCGAAACCCCTTCAGTCTTCGCAACCCTCGTGGCTGATACGGATATGGATTTACATTTGTAGTTAAGCAAGTTAACTGTTTTCCTTGACTTAATTCGGATGCAGGCGGCATACGGAGTACCGATGCAGGGACGGAATCCAGAAAAGAGATCAACTCCTCTCGCGAGACCTTGGCCACTTAAAGGTACGGAAGGTTGGAAGCATGAATGATTGAGTCACACAGTCTGGCCCTTGCAAACGTCACCAGCTCAATTTGATCACGGAGTATATACGAAGCAAACTATGTACCCGCAATTCTGTGGGGCTGACGAGTCAAGAATATCGCGTTTTCCAGAAATATGAAGTTAGAGTGGCTGGATAAGTTCTGTGCCGTTTCAAGTTAGCTAGAGTTCGATTCTACGCATCGAATATAGCCTGTAAAGAGGAAATGATCAAAAGACATCGAATTCTTCGACTGATGATGACGATGCGCGATGTTGAAAGATCCGAAAAGAGTTTGGGCTTCCTAAACCCGGTTCGACTGGACTTGCCGGCTAGTCGGCTTGGCAGCGGGCTAAGCAAGGCTGCTTGACGCCACCTGCGCGCGATGACTCAGCAAGCGGGCTGTTTGCCTCCAACTCCAATTATCAGAAATCAACTCGAGTGTGGAATTCGCCCTCTCCTTTGTTCACTTATCTCTCCTTAACGCCCAAAAGTTTTTATATTCTTTGTTATTCATTCTTTGCGTAATTTTTCTGCTTCTTCTTTTCTCTTTTTTTTTGCCCCCACTCTTCACAGAGGCTGTTTTTTTGAAGCCTCCAGAAACTTTTCTTTTTACTCGATTAACGTTCCTCCACATCTGTCAGCAGTGAAAGAAGAATTAACTTGTTCTTCCTCCTTTTGAAAAGGAATCTAGCATCGAATATTTCCGATCCGTCACAAAAAAAACTCAAAGAAGCACTGCAACGAAGTAACGCGAGCCGATACGCCGCACGCAGATCGTCGAGAATGTCTACACATATCTCTCAGATTGCGGAATCGCAAGATGGAAATGAGCTGAGACACAACGATTCAAGCAGAGGCGGTCGAGGAACACGTAGGAGACGTAATAGGAACCGTGGTGGTCATGGTGGACGTGACAGGAGTGGTGTTGCTCATCATACATCCGGCGGGGATCGCGGTTCACGCCCTTCAGGGAGAAGTCGAGGGAGAGGTGGTAGACGGGGTGATGGCGAGGCAAGAAGAGCACAGCATATTAGCGCTGCACGAGTGGACCCAGGTTCTGGAAGAATATTCGCTGGACGATTGACGAGACCCGATGAATTGGAATATGCAAACGATCGCACGCCTCAGGGAACAAATGATAGTGTTGAGAATGGCCCCGCATCCTTACGAGCAGATGCTCCGGAGTTTGTGCCTGGAGCTCCTTCAAAAGCTTCACCTTCAACCGCCCTTGATTCCCACCCACCAACGCAACGTAAAGCGAAACAACCCAGAAACCCCAAGACGAAATCTACCGCGGACGATATTGCTACTCGTACACACGAAGATATACAGAATGGATTCTACGAGTGTCCAATTTGCACATCTGAATTGGGAAGAAGATCAAAAGTATGGTCATGCAAGCGCTGTTGGACTGTTTTTCACTTGAGTTGCATAAAAAAGTGGTCGAACAATGAAGGATCAGCAATGGAACGCCCACGAGGCGACGATGAGGAGAACACAGAAGCATTGCGGCCTCGATTATGGAGGTGTCCCGGTTGCAATTTGCCGCAAGATGTTATGCCGTCGATTTACAGCTGTTGGTGTGAAAAGGAGATCGACCCTCGACCATTACCCGGCTTGCCTCCACATTCTTGTGGTCAAAGCTGCTCGAAGTCTCGCAACGGTTGTCCACATCCATGCAATTCAGTCTGCCATGCTGGTCCATGCGCCTCTTGTCAGGCCATGGGGCCAACTCAGCGATGTTTCTGTGGACGACATGAATCTACAAAGAGATGTGTGGATACAGATTACGAAAACGGATGGAGCTGCATGAAGATTTGCGGCGAGCTACTATCCTGTTTGCGTCACAAGTGCCAGCGTCCTTGTCACGAAGGCCCGTGTGGTGCTTGTGAGGAATCCGTCCACGCTAGGTGCTATTGCGGGAAGGTCACGAAAGATATGCCATGTAGGGGGACGGGAGAGGAGAAATACAGTGAACGCGAGATTGAAATGGAAGAAATTTCCGGGGAGATTTCAACGTGGACCGGGTCATTTGATTGCACGTCCATTTGTGACCGTGTCTATGATTGTGGCCTGCATCGCTGTCAGCAATCATGTCATCCTCAGAGTCGGGCAGTGCCGCACTGTCCAAGCTCTCCAGATGTTGTTAAACATTGTCAATGTGGAAAATCACTTCTCTCTGATATCCCAAATGCTAAAGCGCGGACTTCGTGCGAAGATCCGATCCCCACATGTGAGAAACCTTGTGGGAAAGTGCTGCCGTGCAAACATACCTGTCCAAAGGTATGTCATAGCGGTCCTTGTCCGCCATGTTTCCTTTCTGTTGACATCAAATGTCGCTGTGGGCGTACATCATCGAAATCCCTCTGCCATCAGGGCTTTGGTGAGCCTCCTCAGTGCATGCGCGTTTGTAAAGCTCCAATGAACTGTGGCAGGCACACATGCGGGGAACGATGCTGCCCAGGCCAGCGCCAGTCAATAGAACGGCAAGCCGCTAAGCGAAAGCTTAAGCCATTCTCTCTTCGTCCTCAACAGATGGTTGAGGAGATTGAAGCGGAACATATATGCACACGAGTATGTAACCGGACTCTAAAGTGCTCCAAACACAATTGCCGGGAATTATGCCATAGAGGTGTCTGCAAGACTTGCCCTGAGGCCATTTTTGAGGAAGTCTCATGTCACTGTGGTAGGACAGTTCTTCAACCACCGCTTCCTTGCGGAACAACTGCTCCGGCATGTCATTACGACTGCGAGCGGCCGAAGCCCTGTGGTCATCCGCAAACCCCTCATACTTGTCATATGGACGATGAAAACTGTCCGAAGTGTCCGTACTTTGTGGAAAAGAAGTGTCTCTGTGGAAGAACGTCGTCCAAGCAACCATGTTCGCAGCCTAACGGCCAATGTGCTTTCATATGTTCAAAGCCCTCCAAATGTGGCGCCCATACATGCCAGCGGTTCTGTCATAGGCCGGGAGAGTGCTCGGATTCGAACAGCCCTTGCCAGAAGACATGTGGAAAGCGTCTCAAAACTTGCGGACATCCCTGCCAAGAGCGCTGCCATGCTCCGTATCCTTGTTCCGAGTCCACTCCATGTCGATCTCGCGTTTCTATTACCTGTGCGTGTGGAAGGCTCACGGAGGAAAAGAAATGCAGCTCTACTCGCGAAACGCCGAGAACCTCTGATGAAAAATTAAAATGCGATGATGAATGTGCGCGTCTAAAACGAAACCGTGACTTGGCTTCCGCTTTGAATATTGATATAGATCCGGTTACAACTACAGCTGCCAATCCAACTGTAGGGCCACAGGACTCGGATACTCTGCCATATTCGGACGATACCCTCGACCTGTACGTTCAGCTATCCTCCTCTTCGACATTGGCTACCCTTCAGGGCTATGAAGCAAGCCTTCATGCACTCGCTACCCAAGACTCGCAAAAATCGAACCGCTTTCCACCATGCCGTTCCCAACTTCGTGCCTTTATCCATTCTCTTGCCGGGGACTGGGGATTCCAATCCGAAAGTTTTGACCCGGAGCCAGTTCGCCATGTTTTTGTGTACAAAGCTCCGGGGTGGATCTCACCAGGTGTCGCTGCCGCCGGCCAAACGAGGATTGGCATTCGTGGTCTAAGCGTCATTGAGTGTATTAAATTACGAGAGCGTGAACGCGCAAAGGAAAAAGAAGCTAGGAGAGCAGCCGCTGAAAAGGCAAGACATGAAGCTGAACAACTGAACGATGAATGGACAGTCCTGGAACAGAAGGATGAACATGGGTGGTCGAGAGTTGTATCGAAGAAGAAGCCACAGTGGTGGAATGATAGTGATATTCAGAAGCTTGCACCGAATTTAGCGCAGACTGGACCTGGCGAAGGTAGCAGTATGGGACTGAGCAGTGGCAGGTTTGGCAGTCTCATATTGAAAAGTGGTGTCGGTAGGGGAAAGGAAATGGATGGATCAAGTTCACGTCCTTCTTCGTCAGGGGGTCGAAAGAAGCCGGCTAGCGATGAGGAGGTCGTTGATGATTGGGAGGAGGAGATTGAAAAAGAAGAGAAAGCAGGAGAGAAAGAAAAAGAGGAGGAGAAAGAGAAGCAGGAGCCGTCTGATGTCCTTGCGCCTGATCATCAGCCTTGGGATTGGGCTTCTGAAGGGGAAGGCGAGTCATATATTGTCGAAACCGGGTTTCCAATCGTTGGGAATTGATTCTCCTCTGGGAAAGGGTGCAGATAGCGCTGGTGAAACGTTGACCTGTGGTGCACAGGAGGATTTAGGAAATATGTAGTTACTCCATACTCCATGCTCCATAGAGGCGGTATCAATACCAAAGGTGTCAGAGGCTTGATCATTTCTTTCTCGCCCCGTACTTAATTCTTTGAATTGAATAATATGGATGTTGGAATATCTTGGCGTCTATGGCACTATACCACGCAACATCCATCAGCTATAGGTTCTCTGTCGTGGACGACCCATCTGGTGAGCTACCGGACTTGCAGTCTCCCATCTCAACCACTCAAGCATTATCCTTGCAGTTGAAGGATCTGGTAACTGATCAAAGGTGCACGGAGTAGTGGATAGATAATCCCTAACATGGAAAAGACTGAGGAGTGCATTTATTCATGTTGATTTGAATACGAAAGCCGCACGAGTTTAATTTCCCATGGTTGGTTTGCTGGGCTTGGAGGCTTTTCGAGGTACCCGGATTTTATTCACTCTCGGCAATCTATTATTATGCAGTATTATTGCACTCAAAGTTTTGTAACTAGAACGTGGCTGTAACGCGGAATATGTACGGAGTATATAGCTAGAGCAATCGGGTTGTCTCTGGGCTGAACCTTGACAAGCAGGAAATCAAGAATGGCGGCTTTCGATCCTATAAGTCGGGTACCGAAGAAGATCAGGATTTTATCTCTGCGCAGAAAGTCAATGGATCCCGGTTGCTACCCGACTGCAAAGCTTGGGATCGGCCGAGCAATGGCTCTCGTGGTCAGGGATGATCCGGGGTAGCAAGGTAGCAGTAACAGGGATCGCTGGATGGAGCACACAGCACTCCCTGCGTTCTGAGCTGACTCTCGGACAGCTTCGGCGGCTAAAACTCACCGAGCATTCAAAACGCCGAGAATAAAATAATGATGGGCAGATTTCGTCGAGAGTTCTGTGGTTTGCCAACTCTTCTGAGTAACATGGGAATGGTTGAGTTAACTAATAGCATAAGCTTTTGGCCTTTTTTGAGTCTCGGGCAAACTGAGCACTTAGCTAACCATCGTCTCTCTGTAAATTTCTTCCAAGTCGCCTGCAAAAACCGGACCGACTTGCTGTCCGGTCATTGCTCTATTCTTCGTATTCTAAGTCTCCGGTTCGGCCAGCCAGTCATAAGGACTAACTAATTCTATCTGCTCTTCTCTTCACCAGTTCAAGAGACGCGATGCAACGTCCGCGTTAAGCTCGGGTTGCCGATCCGCTCGATATTTCTCCTAGACAAAGTATTGTTCTTCAGTGGCACGGGACTCATTCGTTAGTTAGTTAATGCAACGTTGATCCATCCAAGCCGTGGCTTTTGCACAAGGTTTCTCTTCCGACCCAGTGTCTTTACCCAGCAAACCGAACGGCCAAGCGACCGGGACCAACGTCCCCGCGGGACTCAGCGTTGCACGACCTTTTTACCCCAGGGTACTGGATCGCTTTCATTATTTAATACCAGGCACCCCGCGCGAAAAGCCGAAAGGCTTTTCCTCTCTCCTTTTCTCGGGATGCTACGTAGCTTGCTCATCATGATTTCTCCGGCTGTCCTTGCGCTGTGCGTTGGCTTTTACATCTTTTCTACCTTCGCCGATTTAAGTTGCGCAACGCCGATTAGACGCCATTCGTCTTACCCATGGCTGAATCAAGGCTCTGGTAGGCCTGATTCTGGCCAGGAGGTTGATGCTTGGGCGAGACAAGATGATCGACTGGGTGCGGTGGCGAGTGAGAGCTCCATATGTAGCGGATTTGGGGTTGATATGCTGAAGCTGGGTGGAAATGCTGCCGATGCTGTGAGTATTTGATCTACATGCTGATGGTCATACGCTGGATCTGGGGGCTACCTCTGGAACTGTGAAGTTTTGCGAATCGGGTGCTGATTTGGAATGGCCGTCACTGTAGATGGTAGCCACAGTCTTTTGTGTCGGAGTAGTTGGTATGTCGTGAATTTCGACATCTCCAAGCAAAAGCTGGAACTGAATTTTTCCCATAGGAATGTACCATAGTGGCATTGGCGGTGGAGGATTCATGCTTATTCGATCGCCGGATGACACATATGAGTTCGTCGACTTCCGCGAGACGGCCCCTGCAGCGGCCTTCCAGGACATGTACAACAACAACACCGATGCTTCGATTTTCGGTGGCCTAGCAAGGTAGGAGAAAATGCTCTGCGTCTACTGGATGGAGTCTGGAGGCTAAACTTCCACGCTCCAGCGGTGTCCCTGGTGAAGTTCGGGGACTTGAATATCTGCACAAGAAGCATGGGCTTCTTCCATGGCGCCTCGTGATGCAGCCCGCTATCCACACTGCCCGTTACGGATTTCCCGTCACCGAAGATTTAGTCCGTTACATGAGAGAGGCCACTGAAGGAAAAGAAGACTTCCTGACAAACAACCCGACTTGGGCGCTGGATTTTGCTCCTAACGGTACACGACTTGGACTTGGAGACACTATCACACGAAAACGATACGCAAATACCCTCGAAACGATTGCCAACTATGGTGCCGACGCGTTCTATTCCGGTGCTATTGCGGAGACCATTATCCAGGCTCTCCACGCACAGAATGGCACGATGACCTTGGAGGACTTGAAGAATTATACGGTCGATATCAAGGAAACTGCGCAGATAGATTATAGAGGATTCAAAGTCACGAGTACATCTGCTCCATCAAGTGGTGCAATTCTTTTGAGCACTTTGAATATTCTAGAAGGTTATGATGATTTTTTCGCCCAAGGAACTACGGATCTGAGCACTCATCGTTTAGATGAAGCAATTCGATTCGCATACGGTCAAGTTAGTCATCTCCAATAACACGCACTGATAGTAGCTATTTACTAATCAATTATGCAGAGAACACATATGGGAGATCCGCGCTTCGTCGAAGGACTTGGTGAGTTCCAGCAGGATATACTGAATAAATCCGTCTCCGCTCAGATTCGCGGTAAAATCTTGGATGAGCGCACTCAGAATATCTCTGCATACGAGCCATCCGGCTTTGAGATTCTTGAAACGTATGTGTAACAAGACCTATTAGACACAAAAGATGAATTTCTAACCATTCAGTAGTCCCGGAACATCTCATATTTCCTCTGCCGACCGCAACGGCCTCGCTATCTCTCTAACCACAACTGTCAACCTCTACTTCGGCAGCAAAGTCATGGTCCCTGAAACCGGCATAATCATGAACAACGAAATGAATGATTTCTCCATCCCAGGTTCCGACAACGCTTTCGGCTACCGCCCTTCCCCAGCTAACTACATTCGCCCCGGAAAACGCCCACTCTCATCCATTTGCCCAACCATCGTCACCCATCCCAATGGGACGATGTATTTCATCACCGGTGCTGCCGGTGGGTCTCGTATCATCACTTCTACCCTCCAAAGTGTCATCAACGTTCTCGATCGCCATATGACTGCTCCACAAGCCCTCGCTGAACCACGTCTACACGATCAGCTTGTCCCGAACCTAACAGAGGTTGAATGGTCTTTTGACAACTCCACGGTGGAGTTCTTGATCGACCGCGGACACAATATCACCAGGGTTGAGCACGCATCGAGCACGGTGCAATCTATCAGAGTATTGTCGAATGGGACATTTGAGGCCGCAGGTGAGCCGCGACAGCTTAACTCTGGTGGGCTAGCGATTTGATAAAACGAAAACGGGAAAAAAAGGCTATCGGGGTTGCAATTTTGCTTTTAAAATGCTTTACCCTCCGTATAGATCTGGTGTTTCTGCGCCTTGAATTTGGCGTGATCATGACTGTACATGAATCCATGAAATTATTATTCCCTACATACATCTCGAGAACGCTCGTGGCGATTTCTCTATATGCATGGATATATGCGAAGATAATACATATGACTATTCTGTTTTTATATAGATAACGACGTCCCCTTGCCCTGCAGCAAAAAAAGGAGTGAAACATGTGATGGTAGTATTTGAAAAGCTGAGAGCAGGATAGCCACCCTGTAATACTTCCTTCCCCTTGCAAGAGATAGGGCAAAAAAGAAATATATGACCAAGCTGAGACTCGAACTCAGGACCTTTTCGGTGTTAACGAAACGTGATAACCAACTACACCACTCGGCCGGCTTCATGGCAGAACCTCTCTGCCTAGCTCATATCGGAATTCCTGTGGCGATGGTCAATCTCGGATTTGGTGTGCGACTTTTATCATTGCGATTGACGATATGGACACATAGACACATTAAAAACCTATCAGCATAATTGGAAATTGCAAAGGTTCTAAGGTTTTTAGGTCAAGATAGAAAGCAAGATGAGTCATCTCTGGAGTCGCAAGCATTGCCAATAACCAAAGCGCGACAAACTCCTCATTTCGGCCTCAATGCGTACCGCACCAAGCCCCTTGCAGCTGAAATTCCCGTATTTGCGACTTTAATCGGGGCGCCGCCCGTCCGTGGTTGTTGAAGAGCGCTAACTAGTTAACTGACCCCAGTCTCTCGCGAGGTCCTTGCTCTACGCGTTGGATGTGAACTTTGCTACTTTACTCCGTAGAGGGATGACAATTCACCTTTGAAAATACCAGTGCCTGCAGTCAGTATAGGTTTCCTTACAATGGCCTCCTTTGCTCATGATGAAGCCCAGTACTCCTCATACTTCAAGCACGGCAGGACTTCTTCTCCCCTAGAGAAAGAATCCATTGCTCACGTAGATTGGACCACACGACGGTTCCCATATTAACTACAGGTTTCATATGTCCTCAAACTAAGAGAGTTATCCGGTATAGAGCCGCCAAATTCCCAAGGCCTGACACACTCTACGCTCCGTACCATCACGGATGGACCTCAGCCTCTAGTACGTGTAATGTAGGGCTATCCTTCTCTACCCGCCGTACTTTGCAGGTAAATAACGATTATTACTAGATTTTTGCCCCTTGAACCCGCAGAGATGAGGGAAGACCTCTCTCCCCTTTTCAAGCACTATGGCATCCCTTCGGGTTTTATCACCGAGCGATTGCATGGGGTCGCTCAATCAAGTGGCTCACGTTTCTCCCAAGATGGCTTTCATGGTATCTTTCTTTAGTTCCTTCATGCCCCTGAGAACATTCGCTTTTAGACCTCCTTCTCCGTCGCGTAGCTAAGCCTGACTTTGCCTGCCCCAGCGTCTTGGATTCAGACTCTTTGCAAATTCATTCCTATTAAAGAGGTCAAGAGCCAGGGCCTTTCCCCAAGAACTACCTATGAAATTATCAACATGCAAACTGGAGGCCGAAAATCACAGAGCCAATCAAACATCCTATGGCTGCGCAGTGGTTACTTTCTGAGCTGGCGTCCAGCAGCAGTCAAAGATGTAAACTCAAAAATGCCCAATTCCCAATCCCCGGGGCGTGTGACATTGATTTGTTTCGGGGCACCAGTGGCACTGAAGGAGCGCTTTCAGAGGCAGGCTAGTAGCGACACGTGGAAACAAGCAGTCGAACACCCGTTCCAACCGTGGCTGGTTGTACTGGAAGAATTATTCAAACAAATGGATTCTTAGGCTTGGAATCTAGCATCCGTCTTTAAGGGGATTGAAAGGGTGGGCTGAGCACAGTTGAGCATAATTTTCAAAACTGAGTTATTGTGTCCAGGAAATCTTGAATTCAGCTCAAGGAGCCGAATGGACCAGAAGCCAGCGGGAAGACGACAAAGCGGTTGATTTCACAGGCCTGCATAACCTTGCAAAGCATTGCACATACCTTAAGGAATCGCTTGATGCCATGGATCTTATACACGCAGATCTTGCTTTGCAATACGAGCAATATTTCAATCCGTTAGGATTGTCCTCAACGTCTTCATTATCTTCTTCGTCTTCTTCGACAACCCTTAACCCCAACCTGGGTAGCCACCAAATATCGCAAGAATTTTGGAAAAACCAAAGACATGCTTAGACACAAGAGAGGGCTATTCATGTCAACCAATTTGAGAATCACCAGCTTGGAAAAACGAATAAACAGTGCTATCAATCTGGTATGAATATGCTGTCTCCCCTTAGAGAGCAAGAAAACGAACTGATGAGTATACCACTGTTTCGGCAAGATATTAGGCCTTTAACCTAGTAGTTCAACGAGACAGTAAACTCATGCTGCAGGACAGCCTGACGATGGACACGTTGGCCACGGTCACACTGATATTTCTCCCTGTTGCGACTGTTGGTGTAGGTTTCTGTCTCCCCATTCACCTTGCAACATAAAAACTCGGATGCTGATTGAGACCTGCATTTCCACTAAGGAAAGACTGTTTTTGGGTCACAATTTTTGGGACTTGACACCGGCTCGTCACCGCCGCAACTTGAAGTAGCGAAGAATTTCTGGATCTTTTGGGTTGTACTTGCTGGCATTTCGATCTGCATCTGCTTCATGACAGTAATTGTGAGAAGGGCTCGGTTAGGCAGAATAGAGACCTGGCAAAGAAGGGCGTAGACCGGATGAATTTCCAGGAAGAAGATGTTGATAGCAAATTGCGCTGGTGCGGAGTTCAGCGGAAGTTGTAAGCATCGAGGCGGGCTGTCCAGAGTGTGGAAGGGAATAATACAATTTTCCGATCCGACACGCTTCCTGCCCAGAAATGGATGGATCCGAGTGGAGGCTGCCACAGTATTACTCTGCTCTCATTTCTACTCTGGAGACGGATTCATCCCAGCCAAACCGATGCTGCACCGAGGAGTCTATGGGCAAAGGCCAAACCAAGTCCCGCTATTTTCCCCGGAAACGGCCTGATCTTGCATCATGCCTCCCCTTCCCTCCCACCTCAGCTCCATCCTTCGGTTTGATCCAAGAGACTCTCGCTCTTGATCCGTTTCGCCTGCTCATTGCGACCATCTTCCTCAACCGCACCAGAGGCGAGGCAGCGATACCAGTGTTATACGATGTCTTTGAAAATTACCCAACTATTGGCTCCCTGGCCGATGCGGATGTTGACGGCCTCGTGGCAATGATCCGCAAATTGGGCTTCCAAAACGCGCGTGCCAATAAATGCATCTCAATCGCAAAGCTTTGGATGGTTTCTCCGCCAGTCAAGGGAAAACGGTTTAGGAAATTACACTACCCGGATAAGTCTGATGGCCTAGATATAAAACCTGGGGAAAGCATTGACGACGAGGATACCCGCATTGCCTGGGAGATCGCCCATCTTCCTGGCATTGGTGCCTATGCTATTGACAGTTGGCGGATATTTTGTCGTGATGTGCTCCGTGGTGTGGCTACAGATTGGAATGGAGCAAATGCTGAAGAGGGATTTTTGCCTGAGTGGAAATCAGTGCGCCCCAAGGACAAGGAGCTTCGTGCCTTTTTAACCTGGATGTGGCTCAAGGAGGGTTGGGTTTGGAACCCGGACACAGGGGAGAGAACACATGCCACGAAAAGGATACGGCGTGCTGCACGTCGAGGGGGGTTGGTTATCGAGAAGAATGGAAACTGGATCTTGGAAACCCCTTTGTTAAAGAAAGCCAAAGGATGTAAAAAAGGAAATAATACCAATCTGCCCATAGGCATATCTAGTGAACATAGACTCCGAACTGAAGCAAATATCTAGTTAAGATTTAGACACTTTGTCACCAAATTTCAAAGGGCGAGGGATTCATATTAAGAATACTCCGTACTGCGGCTCCCAACGGTATTTATCCCCTGGGTGGATAACTAAATATCGGTTGACTCTTGCACTGAGCGACCCAGAGCTCAGTCTTCGTCAGCACCTCGCGCCAGGGAGTTGATGTGTACCCCGGCGATTGGACGATCGTCGCACAATCGCGAGTGGTGTTTGGGGATTGAACAGCACAGCCAATCTCGGCGGGCAGAGGAAACGCATTGGGCTGCGACGCTATTTCTTCTGGAATCTCTGGCACAAGCGCCCTGTTCCAACATCGTTTCACTCACTGCACAGACACACCCTGAGCTTCTCCCATCATCCACCAACCACAGCGGAGAAACCTTGATGCAGCGCTTACTTTCCACACTGGCAACTTTGAGCTTCCTGAAATCAAGAAACCTATTCGTCGATCCCTAATGCCTGACGGCAGCCGCTTCGGTCACTCGCTTGGGGCTGGAACTTTCGGTGGCCAGCAGCGGCGGTCAGACTAGTCAACGAGTCATTGCGCCACGCCAGACACTCTCGCCCTCACCTCGATGGTTCTTCCCACGATACGATACTATGTCACCAAAGTCCAAACCGTCTATTCGCCATCGTGAACGGAACCGTCATCGAGACCAGGATAACAGCGAAGACGAAACTCCTCAAAAGAGCACCCCACGTCGCGTCGAGACCAGGGAACGCCGCCGACGGTCGTCCCACGGAACCTCCACCCGCTCATCCATAACCTCTACCAAAAAAAGAACTCGACGCTCCGATACCGCTCGCCACCCTTCATCCTCTACATCGAGTTTGAAAGATAAAAACAGCTCCATGCCTGGAGTCGAAGATTCCTACGCCGAGTCCCTGTTAAGTTCCAGGGCAGGGAGGCCGTACCCCTCGTTTTCAAAAGATCATTGCAAAGAGGCGATCGGGAGTCGAGAAAACGTGGGAATGCGAGTAAATATTTTAACCCCCGAGCCTACAGATATAACTGTTGAAAAATCGAGAGACGGCCGGCCGCCAAGTCGAAACAAGAATAACCAACAGAAGAGACAGAGCACAGCAACCAATACTACCCGTCCCCCAAGCCCACCTCTTACGAATGATGAAAATCAACCCTCGCGGAGGAGCACACCTAGCGTCAGTAAGGCAACGGAGATAAAAACACCCTCTGCAGGGAAGACGAGTGATGAAACAAAAAGGCCCAAGAGCCGAGCACACAGCACTAGGTCATCCTCCAGTCTGAAACGAGTATCTTCTGAACATGCTCAGAGGCATGGCGATAAAATACAAAGACCCGGCACTCCAGCGTCAAAATTCAACATTTTCGACGCATTTCAGATTCCCCACAGATCATCGACGGTTTCCTCAAGGCAGAGACAACAGACAAAAGATGATAGAGTGAGAAGATCAAGCAAATCTCAGGAGACAGTCTCGCCGACAACATCTGTCTCTGAAGACGAAACTGTCTTAGGACCTAGCAAACCGGCCACAGCCTCGAGATGCAAGACATCGTCCCCGTTACCCTCGCGGGCTAAGAAGCCTACAGATAGGTCTGGGACTCCTACCGGCGGGAGGTCAACTCCGGTAAACATCCCAATATCCAACGGGCAATCGACGCCTCGGGCGGCTAGTGTAAATCCTCCACCGCCCCCACCGCCTCCGGAAATACCACTGACAATACCCAAGGTTGATTATTTGTTACAACACGGAGGCTTGAATTATCATGTACCACGGAACTTTCTAGGTGCCGGCGAATCTGCAAATATGCCCCAGCAGCTTTTTGACCCGTTGACTGTTGGAAGTAGACTATTCGAACCGTTCTCTAAACTACTCGAGGACTACGGAACGGTAATGTCGAAGCGTGGCTCACTCGCCGTCGCAACTGGGTACAGATCCGTTGCAAGAAGGTTACTGGACAGGCTAGAGGCGGTTTTTGCGCGAGATATCTCGCAGGAAGTGTGTGAATGCATCATGTGCATTGAACATGAACCCTCAGAAGACGCCAGCGGAGTTAGTTGGGGCGAGGTTCTTGAGCTTGTCTCTGGTCGAAGCGACTTGCCCGCCTGGCCACCGTTCCAGATTCATACAGAGCCAGATGCAGCAGAAATAGGGAAGACAACACATGTACCCATGCAGAAACTCGATATTGATGTACCGAGGGAATTAAGAGAACACTACGTCCTCCAGTCACGGAAGACAAAGCAGGCTGTGGATGATTGGCTCTCTCGCCAATCCCAAGATTCTACCAGTGCACCAGAAATGATTGACGATGAAACTCTCGCTTTTGCCATGCTGACCTATCTCGAACCGGAGCAAAGAAGACTTTTTAGCAAGTTGCTTGACCTGCCCACATCACCCCCAGCTCCAAAACCGCTGACACCAAAGCCACGAGAACGCCCAGAGGCATTAGCCATCGCCGGGCCGGCCATTCAACGGCTGTACCGCCTTGCTTCGGAGCCACGCGACCCAGATACGGCACTTTATATGGTGAACAACCACAACATGCATCACGCCCTGGCTACCCTTTCCGCCATTAGCAACGATGAATGGGATATTCTCATTTCAGGTCGCTTTGATGGTTTTCTTCGAAGCGGCGCTGAAGACGATCTTCCACCCACTTCTGCTACAGCACCTCCACTAGACGGTAGAACTCGGTCCCCACGAAAGAACGGCACCAATAGTTCACGTCCAGCTAGCCAGCCGTTTGGCCGTCGAAACGGACCAGCTTCGTTCGGGGCGCCGATATCTGTTGATGAAGAAAACGAAATCGCCGCTTTGGCAGAAATTGAGCGAGATATCTATGTGGGCATGGAAGCTTTGGAGGATGCATTCGAAGCTTTGCACTACAAAGCTGAGGCTGTCCGCACTGCGTTGCGCGAGCGTAGTGCTGGGCTCGCCGTAGCTAGCCAAGCGCGTCGTGGAATCCCGGGTTATTTGGGTTCAGTTAGCCGAAGCCCAAACCCAGGATTCTCAGGATTTGGCGGCCATCCTGGTGGAATCGAGTGCGAGACGGACGACGGAATTGACGACGGGCTGTCCTCGATAGCACCGTCCGAATCTGCTAGTAACATTAGTTCTAGCCGAAGACGAAGACCGAAAAGACGAACTGAGAGGCGCACACCATCTGTGGTTGGGGAGGAAGATGAAGAAGACCACTATTTACATGTGCCCAAGCGAACTGGCACAGGAAGCTCTGGCAGAAGAAGGTGATTTATTCCTGACAATCAGAGCTCTGCCTCACCACTATCTTCTACTCTCTTTTTTTCCCCCAAACTCTTTCGCGCCTATGTTTGGTTTCTTCCCGCTTTCATACGTCCCAGATTGCATTGGCCTCGGAAACTGCGAGACTCCATTGTTGGCCAAATATTATGAGAAATGATAAGATTACGACACCACGGTATGAAGGTTTAATTGTGCCTATCTTTTCCTTTTCTTTTTTTTATATTAAATTTTGGCGATTGCATTTGGCAGGTTTATATCTTGTTTGCTAGTTTCCTCCCAAGTTTCTAATCCAATTCCGTCCTCACTGTATCCTTCCCTCTTGTACTCCTGGCATCATGAGTTGTATTGCAAATCATAACTTCATTTGTTTTCCAGCAGGAAGTTATGTGTAATGCATGTTATGCAGCTGTATGCAGGATTGTGGTTTCTTCACCACCAAGTACTCCAAGGAACCAGACAAGTGCAAGTCATTGTATTTACTCACAATGCATTGTTGCAAGTCCCTGACAAGCATGTCTTACCAGTCAATTTAACTTCCAATTAACCTATCAGTGGCGAAGTCGGGAAGATGTTTTTCCAACATCTCCTCTCCTTAATTTCTGATGACCTTTCCCCGTGTTTTTGCGTGGCTTCTCGTGGATTCATAGTTATAGAAAAGCTGAGGTCCTTGTGGTGATCCTCTGAACACTTCTGTGTACCGTTGAGCACCCGCCATACCTCGGAATCCGCCTCCAATATGGCTGAGTTGTAGTGTCTAGGAACTGTATGACAGTACTTATAGGGGCATTTTGTACCTCAGACAGATGATAAACCAGCATCGATCCATGCAGATGGGTGTATGTGAGCTTCCCACTTCATTATCACCAATAGTTAATTCAAAACAGCTGACAACATTTTTACCTAAGTGCCCTTGAACTACAATGAAAAGAGTTCCATGATTATACAAGGGCCACAATCAGCTTGGAAGACGGGTAGATGAACTTAACTGCGGGCATTATTACCCAACAATAAGGAACATATACTGATTGCAAAGGTAAGAGGTCAGGGTCAATGCGTTAGAGAAGGCCCCGAACGTTGCAACTATATTTTACTATGTATCATGGAGGAACAGCCAGAGACGCTAACCCATTTCTTTCAGGAAACAGAGTAGCTAACTAATCTATGTTGGCTCCAATCTACCGGCGGCAGTTCATCGAAGGGATGGAACTGTGTTATAAATAATATTCCAGACTCACGACCCTGAGAGCGCCCCCATTTGATGCCTGGTAGTAGAGAATGATGCATTCAAATGAGTTTGACGTGCACGTGAGGTATTGCTGCGCTTAAGGTAAAATTAACTAGCTACGCGGGCTCGCGCACCACATCTACAGGAAGCAGACACGCGGGTACACCTAGCTGGGAGATAGTGGCTCCATTATAGATCTTGCTTTATTCCTGAGAAAATGTCTCAGATGCTTATTTCGGCGACGAAGCGTGCCATGTTTAGTTATCTTACGAATAAGACTGGATTTTATGGCCGGCCACAGGGATTTCGATATGCTATGCAATTGTGTTAATTGCAGGTTCTTTGGGAATACGTATAGAAGCAATATAGTCCACTACACACTTCGTAGAGATCAACATCCCCAGTGGGCCCAAGAGGCATGCTACGCCTTAATAACATTTCCGGAATAAGAGGCATAAGCATACGGACCTTTTTTGAACAATGAGGATCTACCTCGATGCAACTAGCCAGGAGCTCTTCAAATATTTTTACGGTACTCCGTACATGTTTCAAAAGCTAGATGACCGGCAGGATAAGCGCTTTGTGCGTATGAAAGGGAGTGCAACTGCAAGAAGGCGAGCGGAAAGCCGTGATGACCAAAACTCACAGCAGTTACACTGTATGGGATCTATAATCTCCGAGATGGTGGAATGATGAGATCTCCTAAAAGAGCTAATCGACGCGTGCCTGATTTTTCTGCTGTTTTATCTATGGCAAGGACATCTCCGCGGGAGATCCAACTGACAGCATTGCTCAACCGAAAGGTCAGAAGGTATTCCGAATATTGCAAAGCTTAAGATGATATTTCTCTCGGCCTTCGGCGTCATAATTTCGCTTGATAGGAGGGTTGAAGCGAGCTTTCCGTGGCCGTATACGGAGTATTCCGTCATAACTATCCAAGTATCAACAGCCAAACATATTGATGGCCGATGCTGCAAGTACAATTGCCGATCTCATATCAAAAGTCGCAATTCGGAGAGCTATTGGTGTGGCCGATCAATCATACGACTTTAGCCCAAGAGCCCAACCTGTGGGTTTGTTTTGTACCACTAAACCACGAAATTCAGGGGGTTATTGACCACAATCAACTAACCAGCCGCCAATGATCACTGTTTTGGGGATGTTTCCTTCAGCAACTAGCCACTCCACGCAGGCTGGTTTTCGATCTTTTCGAGAAGGATTGGCGAAGTTGCCTGGCCAGACTGCACGATATCAGAGCGGATGCTCATCCTCGTCCTCGTCCTCGTCCCCAAGGAGGAGGCCCAATCCGCAAGGGGGTTCTGGTCAGATCCTCCCCACACAAGAGCATCCACTCCACTCTATCAGTTCTGTATGGATTAATCTGATAGACAGATTGCTTAAAAGACGATCCAGCGAGTTTTCAATCTGGCTGCTCGCGGTCAGCTGTTATTCGTGACACGGGCACTGAAACATAATCAAGTGATCTTGTCCCTCAGCAATCAACGCCACAAACTTCCACTTTAAAACCCGGCAAGTGCGTTTCTAGGCAAACTTTGATCGCGCTGGATGAAGGCTCCCGACCGTTGGTTTTTGAAAGAAATGGCCGGCCCCCACACAGCCCTCCTCTCAGCGCAAATTCACTTCATTCTTCGCCTGGAGAAATCAGTGAGAGCTCTGACCGACAGTAACTGATTATGTTGGTTGGTCACCGTCTGACTGCGACAGAGACTTGTGTCACCCTTGGCTCACAGGTAAAAACCGTGACGAATGGATCTCGGAACCGCGCCAAGTTGAGTCGGTCCACCCCGGCCATCTGGCCAGAGACCTGAGGCTGGATTTTGTCTGCTCGGAGCTCCCAGTTACATGGTGACTACCCCAGGTCGATTCAACGTAAGCTTAGAGAACGTTTGGCATGAGCCTTGTTTTTCTTCTTATCGCCTCTCTTCAGACAAAGAGGCCTGATCGTTGAGCTGTCAAACGTTTCGCATGCATGCGGCTGTTAGACAAGGACGTGGGCTTCAGTTTAACCAGATTCTATCTGAACGCGGGAACAGGGATTCAGAAAGCGGATTCCGTCTTAGCTTCAAGGCACTCTTTTGACTTTTGTCCGTCGTGGAAGAACGGGAGACTTTTCCGACAAAAGTGGACTGCATTGGGGATGTCAATATGTCCGGATCTGGGCAATTACGGGGCCCCGATAGTGGATGTTGGAGATATAGTCCCTTGACCGATGCTTAGGACCATGCTCCTTTCCCAGTCCCTGTGCAAGCAGCCCTTCAGATCCTCTCCGCTGGGTTACCCAGGCTCTAAATTCTAATTCTTAGAGCCACCACTCAGCATCAACACCCCGGATTGTGACATATTTTGGGATGTAAATCCCTGTTTTACCGGACAATTAGATTCATTGTCCTTAGGGCAGAGGGGGAATAAGGCAGAAAGCTCTATATTCTGCATTTGGAAGAGCTCCTCACGTATGTAATCCCATTATTGCCCTTGCAAAAAAAAAAAGAGGACCCGTTTTCTCTTTGGTACCTAAGTACCACAATCTACACCTGCTTTTATTTTGACCCCTACCTAACCCCCCCCCGGAGGCCACCTTAATTGTCCCCGGACCATCTTCGACTGTGTGAGTTCAGATGTAACGAGCACGACACAAACCAATATACCATGATTTTACGAACCGCTCTCCATTTCATCCTTGAGCAGAGGCGTATTGACGATGGACATGCCATTATCCAGCGACGAATGACCCCAAAAGTCATTGACCCTCTTCCTGTCTCTCACCGTCGGGGACTCATCGCCGTTGGCGTCACATCGTTGTTGTCAGCCATCTCGACAGTAGGGCTATTCCTCTTCATCACATATCGTCTGGTTTTCTGGCGCAAGCAGCACCCCAACTATATCGGCTTCAACCAATACATCATTCTGATCTATAACCTTCTCATCGCTGATTTTCAAGAAGCCCTCGGATTCCTTCTTTCTATAGAATGGATTGCCCGGAATCATATCAGCGTCGAATCCCCGACATGCCCCGCTCAAGGTTGGCTGTTGCAGATTGGTGACCCAGCAAGTGGGATATTTGTCACGGCGATTGCCGTTCATACCTTCTTACTTGTTGTTATGGGAAGGAAGATGTCCCATCGGACCTTTATTTTCTTTGTGGTTGGCCTTTGGGCGTTTTGCCTCCTCCTCGTCTTGACTCCTACGGCAATGTATGGGAGGAAAACGTTTGCTCCAAGTGGTGCCTGGGTATGGGTTCCCTGACAACCTACCATCCTAAAATCGGTATTAACCCCGACTTTTAGTGCTGGATCGACGAAGAATTCGAGGCAGCCCGTCTCTGGGGACACTATCTATGGATTTTTGTTGCTGAATTTGGCTCTATAGCGATGTATTCCATCCTTTTTTTCTACCTACGACGACAACTTTCCGCTTCTCCACTCATAAGCGGAGGGCAAAAAGAACACTTACGCCGTCTCCGCCGCGTCACAGGCTACATGGTTCTCTATCCGCTCGCATACATCGTCCTGTCCCTTCCGCTCGCAGCCGGCCGCATGGCAATGGCCCGTGGAGACAAGCTAAGCGTCGTCTACTTCTGCGTCGCGGGGGCCCTGATCGCCAGCTCCGGGTTTGTTGACGTAGTCATGTACGCGATGACTCGTCGAGCGCTCATTGTGGACTCCCAACCGTCCAATATCGACAGAACGTACGCCTCGGCTCGACACCAACAAAACCACAACCACATCGCGACCGTGACGGCGGAAAATCGGGCATCCCGTGCGCTTTCGCGTCGGTCCTACCAGCACCATAGACGACGGGATACGGAGCGTACACACCGTCGAGGCTCGGCAGATAATATCATACAAGAGCAGCCGGACCTAGAGATGCTGGGTTTCGGAATGGGAAAAGTATATCAGAAAACCACGATTGAAATTACAAGTGAGCCATTAGATGCCAGGGAAGACGTGAGCACCGGCACGGCCTCATCGACCGGCCCGTCGTGCGAATTGGTGAATCCGATTGATGGGATACCTGTGCCAGGAGGCGGTTGGATGTCTCCAAAATGAGTTTTGAAATATTTGATATATTTTTTTCCTTGATACCTCTTTCGGTGGGGGACTGGGGCTTGCTATGTTTTCGGATAATATGGCTCTCCTTGTATAATGGCGTTTCGTGAAAGGAGGTTTAGGTGCTACGGATTTCAATCTTGGTGTTCGTGTGCGTTGGCTGCAAAACGGCTTCTAGAGATAAAGGGCTTTATCTCTTTCCTTTCTTCTATTCCTCCCTTTTCCCCCTTTATCTTTGGCTTTTATTTTATTTTATTTGTTTTATTTTATTTTCCACGGGGTTGTCTAATGGATGCCCTAGGGCGAAGAGGACCTGATCCAATAATCAGAATGTTGAAATAGATTCTCACCTGTTGGTAGTTTAGAGACGGCTACATTCCGCGTTTTGTTTGCGAATCCGCAATATTAGTTAGGTCAGAAATCGTCCCCTAAACACAAATAAGGTTGATCTGTAGTACACGGTGTCCCTGTAACGGGTGTGTCGCAAGGCTCTTTTTAATTTCCTTTTCTTCATTTTTCCTCTCGAAAACTATAGGTAACAAGTGGTTAAACCTAACAAATACTTAACTTACCTGACCGCACAAAATCCCAGGCGGTCAAGTCTCGCCTTTAGATTTTCGCTCTACAAAGGCCGCTTTGGTGGTGAGGAAAGACGGTCTGATTTTCACCGCAAAGACAGACGCATGCATATGTATATGTATGTATGGGCTTTGCTGCAGGAGACACCCAAAGTTGGGAACGTACATAAATACGTATCTCACCCGCATCGGACGGAAAAGGCTGGTATATGCTAGTATCCGTCTCGTGCAATGGACTTCACACCGGCTAAGTCCGGCGGTCTCTTATGGAGTAAAATATACTGAATGATAGGGCTAGAACCTCTGTTATCCGCGGAGGATCACGGAGCACCGGTTCTGGGGGTGGTCCTTGCAAGACACTGGCGGCGAGGTAAGTCAGGGGGCGTGCGTCGTTCTTTCGGAGATGGGGTAGTATCATTCAGACCATCTAGTACTGGTTTCGTTGAGGAAACAACAAGAGGAGCTAACTATGGGTTAGGCTAATTCCTGCAAACCGTTCCGGTGCTCCATTTCATGTGGTACGTACTGTGCTATGTCACTAGCGATGAGCAATAAATTTTTTTGGTATGATCCCCAGGCAAAGCACTGATGGGTGAGGAATGAAGCTCATTGGATTTGGAAAAATAAAACAGAGCAGATAATCTGCCTTGGCGCAGTGAACAAGCCCTGTGTAATCTCGAGGACAAAGAACTAGCCAATCCAGCGAAAGGAATGGCTTGGAGAGATGGATTGGCTGTACGTGGAATGCTATTTCCACTGGCTATGTTCAATCCTTTTGGGGAGAGGGGGAACTTACGCTTTGCCTAGCGTGCTCCCAAACCTTTTAACGTGAATCGCCACCCAGTGGCCGAGAGATCGGAGAAAAGGCCGGGCTGGCTCGATCATGGGGATTGACAGCCAGATAAAAGCTTTAACCCAAGTCGCGAGCACAGATCGTTGATCGACAGTGATATCAGTATTAACTTGTCCAGCGCATAGCTTGTCACTGATGATATGCTCTGCGAAGCACGGGGAGCTAAAACCTGGGTAGTCGCCTGGAGCCAAGTTGGCGACATTAGCTAAGGTGATTTTTTGAATTGAGAACGGGCTGCGGGATTCTAGGCGTCATGATGAGCCAGATGGAAGATAGAAATGCGAGAGAGACGGTCAGACGATCGGGCTGTCGGAAGCGAGTGAGTGGGTGGCAAGTCGGTCAGAAGCGACTCCTGGGATGCCCCTTTCATCAATCTATCACCATGATGCCATCGTGACTGCCCCAACGGGAAGTGCATCGGAGTCACTTCTTTCTGTAACTCAGTTGCGCTGACATAGAAGTGAGGTAAGCAGCCGCCCGTACAAATAGCCACCGTCTCTCCTCTGTTCGTCTCCTGGACTTCCCGGAGCTTCACCTGTCGGCGATCTGAATACCCAATCCGGCATTCGCAAAATGTACGCAACGCGCATAAAGGCTTTCATTCGCCGGCTCTTTTAACGGAAGAGCCGCAAACCCTTTGAATGGTTCACCTCAGAAATGCATATATATCCCAACCCAGTCACGCCCCAAGTTCTCCCACTAGCAGCCAACAAAGCTAACTAACCCAGCACAGAATGAGGTGAGTTATATCGACCTCTCAAATGTAGATGAATGGTCCAAGGACGCCGTAGTTTCCTGGAAGTGGAGGAGACCGAACGCCTCAAATTCGAATCACCATGCTATGAGATGGAGGACGCTGATTCATGCGCCAGTGACGTTGGGCCTTGAGGGGTCTAGCTCAGACCTAGCAGGATGTATGTATGTATGTGTGTATATACACATACATCTGAAAGAACGTGCGTCTCTGCCACTAATTTAATTTATCACACTGGCTGACACTAGTCTTGGTAAAATAATCCCAATCCATCAACAGTGTGGATATATAAAGTCGTCCTTGACCCAGCTTGAACCCAAGGCTAAGGACAATTTGGGTGAGCATTAGGCTTGACTTCATGTACATGGACGGGCATGCCAGGTGGGAACCTGAGCAGATTCTAGCAAAGAAGCAGCGGAATTTAAAGTCGCACGCCAATTTTGATTGGCACCAACTCGACGCAGGTACATCGAACACATTCTCCCCTGGCCCAGCAGTCTTGAAGCACACCCTTCAAAAGCACAGTGTGTGTTACGGTTCATTCAAGCGGTTTTGATCAGATATAATGGACCCTCTTGTTTTGGGAAGTAGCTTGATCTGCACGCCCCCCCTTCTCTCCCTTTTTTTTTTTTTTTTTTTTTTTTTTGGGTGGGGATAGTATATGACTTTGAGGCGTGTAGGGATTTTGTCTGTAGCGCACTTTGCCCTGCCAGGCGCTCTGTACAAAGTCCCAGAGATAAAGAGCACCTTTCTCCTTCCTTTTTTCCCTGCCAGAATCTTCATGAAATAGACTTTATGTTGGGACGTTGACAAACGTCGGCTGTACACTATGGATAGCTAACAGGAGCGCGAGCTACTCGAGGTTCTGACTTGCATTTGGCTCCTCTAAACGAATACGTGATATTGACGTCAACTGTGTGGGCCAAAAGGAAGGAATGTCGTTGCAATAGCGTTGAAAAAGAGTGTCTGCGGCTCTCAACTTTGGGCAGGGTTTATCGTAAAGCTTCATCAAGGAGTCAGCCGGATATCGAATCGTACCATGGCTCTTGCGGCAGGAACCGTCTGATTGGGACTCAATATGACGATAGACATATTCTGTCCCGTGAGCCACACATTATTTTCATTTCACCCCCTTTTTTTCTTTTGTCTCCACACAGAATATATTAGCACCGACATGCGTTTCGCCAATCTTTCCAGCGATTTCTCCAAGGTCTTCCACATGAGAAAGGCGTTGTCCCAATGAGTGAGAAAGTCGAGACAGAAACTGCCCATCCGCAAGGAGAGGAGAAGCTCAGCGGTAGTAGCGACACTGATTCGGAAAACTACAAGATGGCGTGAAGCAGGCCAAGGCTGTGGCGGCAGCATGGACCAAGACTGCTCTCGTGGGAGCGTACGTTGGGTATGAGCCCTCGAGTCACGTTGCCTCGCATAAGCTGGATGCCTAACTTGAATGTGAAGGATCTTCCTGGTGTTTTTCGTCCTTTCTTTGCAGCAACAGATCACGGGGAATTTGACCGCATATGTGACAAGCGCCTTTTCCAAGCACACCCTGTTGGCCACAACGACCGTAATCTCCAGCATCATTAGCGCGGCCGTCAGACTTCCAGTGGCAAAGATCATGGATATCTGGGGTAGGGTTGAAGGGTACTTGCTGATGGTTTCGTGCTGCACTCTGGGTAAGCAACTCATTGCCAAAAAAATCCATATAACGAACGCAACCGACCTTTACCGATAGGTTTAGTCATGATGGCCTCTTGCAACTCTGTGGAGATGTACGCCGCAGCACAGCTGGGTTACAAAAGATAACTCACCAGTCTTGAAAGAAATAGGTTTCTCTGACTGGAGGTTGATAGGTATTTTACTGGGTCGGACATAACGGCATGGCGTATGTCCTCGATATTTTTCTGGCAGACACTTCGAGTTTGAAGAACCGAGGCTGGCTGTTCGCCTTCTCGACCAGCCCTTATATTGCAACCACGTTTGCCGGGCCGGCAGCTGCTCATGCGTTTTATCGCTTCAGCAGTTGGAGATGGGCTTTCGGGACTTTCTCGATCGTATTACCCCTTGCTTCCGCCCCAGTAGCCGGCATCTTTTTTCAGAGCCGGAGAAAGGCGATGGAGCTAGGATACCTGGCCAAGAAGAGGAGCGGTCGAACCCTAATACAATCAGTAAAGCATTACTTCGCCGAGTTTGATGGTAGGTAGCCAGAGTATCCCCTGTACTAAAGCCAGTAACCAACCAAAAACTAAAATAGTTATCGGGATGATATTGCTCATCGCTGCCTTCGCATTAATTTTGCTTCCATTTAGCATCTCCACTTATCAAAGTGCAAACTGGAAGTCACCAGCGGTGATATCAATGTTAGTCATCGGAGGATGCTCTCTTGCCGCCTTTGTTCTCTGGGAGCGGTTTGGTGCTCGGGTGTGTCTCGCGCCATTCCATCTTCTTGTCGATAGAACGGTCGTCGGAGCGTGTTTGGTTACCGGAACCGTGTTTCTCAGTTTCTAGTATGTAATGCTCCAAATCTTCCATTTGCTTGAACAAAATCTGGGCGCTGACAATCCACCTTGTAGCTGCTGGGACGTGTACTCCTGTCTTATCTGCAGGTGGTGCACCGTCAAACAATCCAGAACGCAGGATACATAGGAAATATCTACAGCATCGGGACCTGTGTTTGGTCCCTTGCGACTGGGGCGTAAGTTGCTCAGATATCCTCAACCTACGGAAAGACAGCGGCTTAAAAAGAGGTTCACAGGATAATCCGTGCCACCGGCAGATTCAAGTATCTTGCTCTGGCTGCGATCCCATTGCAGATGATTGGAGTCAGTTTGATGATCCGGTTTCGGAAACCGGGGACAGACATAGGGTTTATTATCCTATGTCAGGTTCTCATTGCCCTCTCCGGTGGTACGATGGTAATCTGCGAACAGATTGCGATTATGGCAGCAGTCAGCCACGGAGAAGTGGCCGTCGCTCTCGCTCTTCTTGGGCTTTTCAGCAGCGTTGGAAGCGCGATAGGACAGACGATCGCTGGTGCCATCTGGACCCATACGATTCCGCAATACTTGCAGATGTACCTACCCGAATCCGCAAAGTGGAAGGCAATGGAGATATACGACTCTCTGGAGGAACAGCTGTCATACCCGATGGACTCCCCAGAGCGCCAGGCAATAATGTCTGCCTATGAAGTAAGTCAGCGACGGATGCTGATTGTGGGACTATGTGTGCTGCCCCTGGCAATGGTGTGGATTTTAATGTGGAGGGATATACAGCTGAAGAATGTGAAGCGGGCTAAAGGAACGGTGTTTTAGACTGCCCTTAGATGCAGCTGTACGGGGTATGAAAGGTTGAATGATCTTGTCTGTTGCTTTTGCTTGCAAGTATTGGATATTGGAATATGCAAACGCTCGATCAATGATGACGGCTTCCCTCTTCTCCCCCTAACGTCAGAGAAGGGGGGGAGGAATTTCAAGCACCTTGGCGGACCAAGTAGCAAACGAGGACCCTTCAGGCACCGAGTCGCAGCAGGCACATCCGGTTCTCTCGTGTTCTGATATAAATATCGTCAAGACTCAAGGGGTCGAGCAGGCCAGACAGGGGCAGGGGTAGGGGAGGAGGTTCGTAAAAAGGACACAAAAAAGTCTGGGGCGGCCGACTTTTGTACACATTTTATGCCCCAGCCATTTTCATGAATAATCAATGCATAACTTGCACAACGCCAACCCGAGACAAGTGGGGCTGTGCTATGTTTGGGGCTTCGGATGCGGCGTTACTGCACCAAATGGCCGTCCGCTGCCTCGTGCTCTGTGCACCCATTCGCATGAGCAGAAAGCGAGACGGCTAGCATTGCGTCTGGAATGTTTGTCCCTTGATAGGAACCGCCAACACGACGACACAGGTTCTGTAGACAGAAGTTTCTGGATTTGAAACTCTCACGCTTCATATGCGTTGCCAGGTCCGGAGTTCGACTCACTAATTCCGATACCTCCTTCGAACCCGACCACATGCAGGCTGGAAAATATGGATGAATGTGCGTGTCGAGTCGTCGAGATGTGCAGTATTCAGCTGCATAACTGGGGGAACCCGACGGCAACTCGGCATAACACGAACACACGCCCATACTGCCTTCGGCTAGTGCGGGGAGCTGCTTTGTCATTGAATGTTAAATGAGCTAGTTACCAATAACATCCAAAGCCTATTCTCGCTCCTCCAGCCCAAACTCGCTCCCGTGGTTAAAGCTTCTCGCGAGCTGAAAGGAATGATTGGGGATTTGAGGGGGGAGGGGCCCTTCCGAGCCCGATGGAGACCGTCCACCCGGGGTCTGCTCCCCTGCGATAGGTGGATAAATTGTTATTTCGCGACGCCAGTTTGACAGGTGTCATATCCTCCCGCAAAATGGACAGGAATATCCGCAATGAATCGACCAAATCTTAAAGGCGCAGAGAGCCCCGGAGAGTGCGAGGATCCGAGGCAGCTAGGGGGCCCGCTAAGCTTTCAGGACAGAAAATGCAAACGCTTAACTCGCGGTGGCTGCCATCCCCTTGGGCTTTCTCGGGAGTTCGGGACCGGTCTGCGGCGTCGAAGACGGCTTTTTCTTAGGCTCGCAGGAGTGCGGTACATAGCTTCGCCGGAGTACGGAGTTAGGGGCTAATTTATAAAATCCGTCATAATATTCCACATTATGCAAAGAAAATTATTTTCCTGCACCTCTTATTTTCTTTTGCTCCTTGACGGGGTTACCTGCACTATATCTACCTTGGATGCACCCGAAACCAGGTCGTTTTGTCGGCTCAAATCTGGGCGTCTTTTCCCATTTTTGACATTGGAAACCGAACCAACAAACTTATTCCCATATTGGTATCATTATGATGGCAGTCTAAGCTGTGATCTGTGATATTTCGTGCAGTAACTTGCAAGTTCTCAGTCTCATCATAAGGCCTTCCCAAAACACAGAAAGAAATAGGGCTGATCAGCAGGAGCCACTATAATGGCGGATAGCAGTATGGGTTTTCTTCTTAAATGCTGGTTTATAACTTATTGCTAAAAATCACGGACTTTCGTCCGATATAGGAGCTTCGACAATGGTCGAAGCAGGCGGGACAGATCAACAGCCGAAATCGAGTAGCAGAAGCCCCTCAGTGCACCGAGGAGAGAAATCCAGCGATAACACCGTTGATCTTGAGCTTGCCATCTCTGATGTTGGAGATAAAGATGTGAAGGTACCAGAAGAATCCCGAGATCCAAATATCGTCGACTGGGATGGCCCAGACGACCCTCAAAACCCCTTAAACTGGACGATTAAGAAGAAGGTCATGATTGTCTCTTCAATAGCGATAATCACATTCATCACGTAAGTTCTTTCCCCCCTGGCGCATTCACCCTAGATTCGTTTCGATTACAGCTCTAACCCAATCTGCCAGGCCTCTCGGATCGTCCATGTTTGCGCCGGGTGTTGCAGATGTGATGAGGGAATTCCAAAGCCACAGTCCAGAACTCGCCTCTTTTGTCGTCTCAGTGTATCTGTTGGGATACGCGTTTGGTCCGCTAATTCTCGCGCCTATGTCCGAGTTATACGGCCGATCACCGGTTTATCACGTCTGCAATGTCTTTTTCGTTGTGTTCAATGTTGCCTGCGCTGTCGCGAACAGCCTTGATTCTCTTATCGTGTTCCGATTCTTTGCCGGTGTCGCTGGTTCTGCACCTTTAACTATTGGTGCAGGTTCCATGGCGGATATGATCAGGCAAGAGAAACGTGGAGCAGCGATGGCAGCGTGGGCCTTGGGTCCGTTGTTGGGTCCTGTCATCGGACCTATTGCTGGAGGATACCTGACTGAGGCTAAAGGATGGCGATGGACTTTCTGGGTCCTTGCGATTGTTGTAAGTCCAAACGGAATGCCCCCAAAGGCTGATTTATATGGATTGGTGCTGACTTTCTGACAGTCTGGTGCGATCACAATCAATACATTCATATTCATGCGAGAATCCTACCACCCCATTCTTTTGGCCCGCAAGACGAAACGGCTCATCAAGGAGACCGGAAATCAGAATCTAAGATCAGCTCTAGACAGGGGAATCGAACCCAAGCAGCTTATCCTCCAGTCCATCATTCGCCCCACAAAAATGCTCTTTTGCTCGCCTATTGTGTTTCTACTTTCACTCTATGTTGCCGTTGTATATGGCTACCTCTACCTCCTCTTCACTACTATATCATCGGTCTTTCACGACCAATATAACTTTTCGCAAGGTGAATCTAACACGAGACCACAGTTCGTCGAGCATAGCTAATATGGATTGTCTAGGAAACGTCGGCCTTGCTTTCCTCGGTATTGGTATCGGAAGCGTGGGCGGTTTGGGATTTATCTCTATAGTTTCGGATCGGCTTCTCAAAAAGCTATCCGCAAAGAGTGGCGAGATGAAGCCGGAATACCGTCTTCCCCCGCTTATCCCAGGCGGCTTGTTCATCCCAGTTGGGCTCTTCTGGTATGGCTGGACAGCTGAATACGGGGTACATTATATCGTCCCTATTATCGGCACCTTCTTCGTTGGAGTGGGCATGATTGTCACCATGGTAAGTCCCCAGATTTATCCATAACAATGAAGAAAAGCATCTAACAAGGTATAGATGGCGACGTCCACCTATCTTGTTGATGCATATACCATCCATGCTGCCAGCGCAATGGCAGCCAACACTCTCCTTCGTTCCGTTATCGGCGCTGTTCTGCCGCTTGGTGGGCTGAGGATGTATGAGACTCTCGGTCTAGGTTGGGGTAACTCGCTCCTCGCATTTATTGCATTGGCCCTTGTCCCGCTTCCGGTAATATTTTTCCGTTACGGGGAGAGAATACGGACGAGTAAACGATTCCAGATGACATTTTAGTCGCTTTTTCCCGCACCCTTCTTCTTTTTGCCTTATTATCCCATCTTTGTTCGTTGTGCATATTGATCAGGCATGTGTCTATAATCTCCTCTGCTTTGCTCTTGATTGATACCATCCCTAGATATATCTACATTCCCATTTCATGTGCATATTACGTATTCTGGTCTGAAATGTTGCTTTTCATGAAAAGCTTCACGAACAAAGTTTTTCTTTGGTTTCATTCATTTTGTATTATCACATCCGCGATGGCGTTGCGTGAGGTATATGTATAACTGTATGAATCATAAAGCTGTATAGTATTTTATAAGAGTTAGAATGTATCTAGACCCTATATCTACACATATCCAAACTAGATTAATTCTGCACACAATGAAGCCCGCCTAATGCCTGACTGCCCTTGTGGTTAATTCATGCTGAAACTTTCAGTTGATCCATCTGTGGGAGTTTCTAGAAGCTCCAACTTGCTGTCAGCAACGGCCAGAATTAAGGAGCTGTGATTTGTTCGGAGTGCGGAGTACTGTGAAACTTTGATAAATGAAGTGAAGTCATAAAGATTTAAAGGTTCAGGAAGGGAGTTGTTGAAGAAAAGTTGGTGTTCTTGGAGTAAATTTGTCAAGGATTCAACCTTCTGATGAGCTTAAAGCGCTACCAGAGACTCGGCGAGTTAGTTTTCCAGTTTCTCGAATTTTCCTCGGGATAACCGGTACAGCGGTAAGCTAAGGCAGCGAGTGACGGATCGTCCCATGAAATTTACCTTTTACTTTCTTTTTCTTGTGCATTTATTAGTGTACCATACAATTAAAACTCAGGATGCGGGGTTCACCGAGGAAGTCGCGAGGACTTCATTTTCGCAAAAAGTCTGGACGGAAGCTCTCGTTGGCCGACAGGCAACGCGGGGAATTGTCAGAATAAGCTCGGGCCTCCCCACTTGGGCGCTGCGCTTAACCACGCCGTCGGTGTCACTTACATCATCACCTGGCATTCAAATCCTTAATCACCCACCCATCGGCAGTATTGTTTTCAGTGTGTAAATCTACCGAGGAAAGAGGCAAAAATCGCTGCTTGTTAAACGGCGATCTTCAAGAGATGTAGGAATCGAAGATGCTCACCCATCCACTTGATCATGATGGCAGAAATTGACGAGGATATCGCAATTGTGAAACTTCCTTTCCTCAGGATCCACCACCTATAGCTTTTGCTGACAATGTCCCTTTTCAAGAGTTACGACGATGACAGAGATTCCACCCTAGGCGAGGATATATACCCGTATGGCTGTTGGCGTGCTTTGAGACTAAAAATTGTACAAACTAATTAGTCCTTGCTTTTAAAAAGAGAGACTGAAACGCTTTGTTCGAGTATCATGGACTATCAATACGAGAACGGAAGAAGATATCACGCGTATCATTCTGGATCATACTGGTGAGTTCCAGATACCTTTCTGTGGCACTTCCTGGAGATCAATGAATCCACTTGTGGCTGAGTGATTGATCAGGGGACCCAACGACGAGAAAGCCAAATGGCACGCAGATCTCGGGTATGCCGCTGAATTCTGCTTTTTGTAGGAATGGAATTGATACCTAATTCTATGTGCCATAAGTCACTATCTCTACAAACTTCTCCTTCGTGGAAAGTTATACCTCGCTCCGATACCGAAGAACCCACAAGTAAGGGAAACCACACCGTAACACCACTCAAAACTAGGTGTTGATGCTTTAATCACAGCGTGTAATTGACATTGGTACTGGAACTGGTGTGTCCTCTCACATAGTTTTTTAAGATCGATTTTAATTTACAAGCTAATAGCCTTTCAGGAATATGGGCCATGTTCGTATCTACTGCTGACACCATAGTACAAAGGAGCTCTGATTTTTTTTATTTTTATTTTGTGTTAGAGAATTCGCCGATAGACATCCATCCGCAGCAGTAACCGGCACAGATCTCTCTCCAATCCAACCAACTCTAGTCCCGCCAAATTTGTCTTTCGAAATTGACGACTGTTGCGACGAATGGCTGTATGCTCTAGAAAGCTTCGACTTTATCCATGTTCGAGGCTTGTACGGCTCCGTGTCAGACTGGGATGAGTTCTATATGCGAGCAATAAAGTATGTGTTCTACCTAAAAAGGTCGCTTCATGGATAAAGCCGTGCTCTTTCTAAGAGTGCTGACATGTTTTCTTCTCAATAGCCACTTAAAGCCCGGCGGATACATCGAACAAGCCGAACTGAGCGTCAATGCAAAATCAGATGACCATTCTACCGACGGAACTGTCATGGAAGAGTGGGCCCGCGCCTTCTTTGACGCCGGTGATGCTCTTTGTAAATCATTCCGCACAGTTGACGAGGCGAAGTCAAAAATCATTGCTGCCGGTTTTGAGGACGTTACTGAGCATCGATTCAAGTGTCCGATTGGCGAATGGCCGGAGAATCCGAGGTTGAAAGAGCTGGGGAAGGTTATGCGCTTATATTTAGAGGAAGGGGTGGAAGATTGCTCGGCAAGGCTACTGCCAGAGGTATTAATGGTAGGTGTCATGCTAGAATTTGGCATCATATGGTTTCTTTTCTTGTGGAGTGGATTGTTTTGACACAAGTATCAAATTATTGATGAATGTAGTGGAGTACGGAACAAGTCAAAGATATCCAAGACAGAATGAGAAAAGGATTACGGGATAATGCAATCCATTCATACTGTGAGATGTGAGTTCCTCTGCATGTTTGACACTGGTATGCGATTAACACATTTCTAGATCTGTTGTTCATGGTCGAAAACCTTGTCGCGACTGACCATCTCTGTTGTTTGTTTGGTTGCGCGCACCAGGGAAAATTGGCAAGAGATGCATGAGTGCATCTGGGGAAAGTTGTTTCTTTTGATGTCCCTTGCTTAAATAACTAGAGAAACAGTCCAGGTCGGGGCTGTTAGAAATCTAAACTACCAAAATCATCTAAGATCATATCATGTGTTTGTATATTCAGTGCATGGAAGCCAAAGTATACAGAAGGTTGGGGATGCCTGAAAGAAGTGAAAGCAAGCCCCCAGACAACCAAGAATATTTTGTAATTTTAGTTATGGTTCAGCTCGAACTTGGGCTCAATGTACCTCTTCAACTCAGCCCGGGCCTTGGTTTTCTGTTCGAACGCATACGCCATGCCAATCAATTCCTGCTCGCTCCAATGCTTTCCCATAAAACCAATTCCGAACGGAAAGCCAGGGCTAACTGTAACGAGTTCTCTACGCGGTTCGTGCTCAACTTTCTGATCTTCGGGATACGCGCCAAGCGGCACACTGATCACTGGGGTACCAATGACACCGGGAACCGGGTAGGCAGCATCAGTTGGAAGCACCGTAGCATCAAGGTTATGTCGCTCAAGAGCACCAAGGAGGCCGCCTTCGCCACCGAAGTAGAGGTTCTTCTGATACAAAGGCCAAAATTCAGGGGAGGTGTTGTTGAATCCTTGCTCGAGGGCGAGGTCCCAAATCTCAGTGTTGCGGTTTGGGTATTGCTCGAAGGGCGAGGACTGAGTAAACTTGCGAGCGTCAGCCAGACTGTGTATGTTTTGCGGGTTAGCTTCCAGCTGGGAGAAGTAGCGTGCGAGATCGCTGATAAAATCTGCATTAAGGACACTGCCAGGGATGTCACTAGTCACGAATTCTTGATAGGCAGTGAAATTAGTATCCTTAACAATTATAGCCCCTGCGCTCTCCATGATTGAAAGCGCAGAGCGAAAAGCATCTAGAACAGGTTTGTTTGTAGGGTTTTTGCCGAATGATTCTAGAACATTAGATGGAACGCCGATACGCTTTCCCTCTAGCGCAGTGAGTTTGCATGCCGAAACATAATCTGGTAGATTGGAGAACGGGATAGCAGAGGTGTAATTATCATTTCTGTCTTTCCCTGCAATGGCTTGGAGAAGCACAGCTGTATCTTTGACCGTTCTCGTCATAGGCCCAATCGTGTCCTGATGGGCGCTGATTGGAATGACAAGGTACCGTGAGGTCAGGCCGACTGTTGGCTTAAGCCCGACGATATTGTTAGATGAGCCTGGAGACACTATGCTTCCGCTTGTCTTATCAAAAGTTAATATAACTGATCCACAAAGCCATACGGGTGTAAAATCGAAACAGGAGAACATACTTCTGTGCCCAGAGTCGCCCAGGCTAAACCAAGATCGGATGCCACTCCACTACCGCTTGAGCTTCCGCTGGGGTCCTGATTAGGGTAATAAGCGCCAGTGACCTGACCTCCATATGCATTCCATCCATTGGTGCTGTTGGTAGACCGGAAATTCGCCCATTCAGAAAGCCCTACTTTTCCCAAAATGATTGCACCGGCATCTCGTAATTTCTTTGCCACGGTTGAATCCTCGGGGAGTTTCGTATTCAGAAGAGCATAAGAGCCAGCTATATTTACAGAAATTAGCACCTAGTCGTTTAACCCAGTGTATGTGGAGGACACATATGCCAGCACGCGCTACTTACCACTGGTTTGGAGTTTGTCACGAGTACCGATGTTACCCTTTAGTAGAATCGGCAAACCATGCAAAGGACTAAACTTGCATGTTAGACCGAAATGAACGTCTGCTGTTAATTTATACACACCCTCTGATATTCTCTCTGTGTCGCTCTCGGTCAAGCTCTTTAGCGGTCTCAACGGCATCCGGGTTCAACTCCGAGACGACATGCAAGGTGTCGTTCACTTCCTTAATTCTCATAGAATACGCCTACGGGATACACCAGTCATTTAGTGACTATCATTGAATGAGGTCTCAAAATTAACACTGACATTGACCAAGTCAACGCTGGTAAAACATTTGCGGGACAAGCCATCCTGGAGCTCCTCGGCGGTCGCGTCAATCAATGACGGGTATTTGCACGACTGACCTTCCAAACCAACTATGTGAGATTTAAATTAATGCTTTATTCGAAGCATTTAGCTTGTCACATACCTGCACAAACGGTTGCAGGCAGCGGAATCAGGAAGAGTCCGGATGCAATGCATTGCAGCAGAGAGCGCACAGAAATCACCATTGCATCGAAGTAAAAAGAAAAGATGAGAAATTTCTGTACTAACGAGGTGGGAAAGCCGCTTGCTATATCTCTAAAGATGGATATATGGGAACTACAGTTGAGATGAATTAATTTAACTCACCGTTTTATTTCTGTGGTGGTGGCCTGGAAAGCAACACATCAGCCGTCTGGGAGAACCTCCCAGGCTGCGGGATAGAATCAGCCATGCAACCCAAGAGACCCTGCTCATTGGATTGGATCGAGGGCTCCAGCCCAAGAAGGCAGGTCGGGCTGGGTGGAGAATATTGGAACGGGTTCTGTGTTGGTGGCTGCATGGACCGGGGGATCTTCATGGCGGAGCGGCGGGGATGTCCCGAATTTCACCAGGAAAACCACTGAAAGCAACGGGCATGAAGACGAGGGCCCTTGCGAGTTCTCGAATTCTAGTCTTCGGCTTCATCATTAGAGCCAATTCGTGCCGGTTTACTCGGATTTCAAACTATGTGAACACGGAAATATTTCCCTTCCCTCCTGGATGAGGGGCACTGTTTCAAACTCCTTAAGTAAGCGAGGGAACTTAGTAATTGTGTACCAGCAAATCCTCGATGGTCTAACGGTTATGATTTCCGCTTGTCATTTGTTAGCAATTAACAAGCGCGGGAGACCAGGGTTCGACTCCCTGTCGGGGAGAAATCATCTTTTTTACTTTTTTGGCTTTACGCTCTCTGGCCTTGATTTTTTGCTCCTTTTTGATAATTCTCGTTTGTGTACCTCTTGGGTCACCATCATTTCCCCAGGCGCTTTTCTTTGATGTGGACTCACCCACCCCCATACGGAGTACACAGAAAAGTTTTATCATATCTGAAATTCATTGCTACAGTTTACTCCAAACTAAATGCTACCCCTGTCCAAGGCAAAGGCTCTATGCCGGGTAGAGTATCTCCCTTTTATTTTCTATCCTATCTTTCAGTATTTGCTGATGTTTCAATAACTTATGCGCTAGGTCAATAGGCCAAGTTGGGACTCTAACTTCTCTGGTTAAGGGCTATCCCGTTCTCATGCGGGGATAGTTACCCCTCCGTTGTTGGTATGAGGAACGTAGTCCCTCCGTGCGGCGTGAATCCGCCGACCCCTACGGTTATTCGGGTATAAATCCACATCTTCGTTGATGGCGGCCTTGCCATCAAGGCGGAACCCAGCTACAAAGCACTTGGCCCAATCTATCAACTAAAATTTAGGGAGAAATGCTCGCATCCTCAGCTGAGAGCCTGGATTGGTAAATAATGAAAAGGCGGTCGTTCGAGCCCCATTTTGACATTATCATATCCCCGGAGCTGAGCCATGTTTGCCTCGGGATGGGTGAGTCGAAGAGCGATCGATCTTCGTCGGTGCCAGCGGCACAGTTCCTCCTTCAGGTCTTTCATCACCTCGAAAACTCACGAATTAAATTCCCCGTATTTCTTTCTTTGGGATAATACTGATTTGAAAATGCCTCTTTCACCCCAATTTCCGCCGCTCGATATACCAAAAACGGACTTTCTCACTTACTTGTTTCCCCAAGGCACAATTGCATCCGATGCACCAATTTGGATTGACGCGGAGAATCCAAAAATTAATCTATTAATGAGATGTTTGATCCAGGAACTTATAGGTGAATGGTCTACAAGTCGCTCCCGCAGAACTCGAAGCAATCATCCTCGAGCATGATGATGTCGAAGATGGCGGAGTCGTCGGAATCATGTTGTAAGTTCCGGTCTCTACTGTAGATTTTATCTGTTCGGTCGAAGCCAACTCAGACCTGTCGAATTTAGGAACGAGGAGGAATATCCCCGCGCATATGTGCACCTGAAACCCGGTGCACAACGCAAGATAGCACCAGCTGATATTCAAGCTTTCATAAAAGCACGGGTCGCCAAGCATAAGCAGCTCATGGGTGGAGTTACGTTTATAGAAGCAGTACCAAGATTGCCTAGCGGAAAGATTATACGGAGGTTGCTAAGAGAGTGGGCAAAGAAGGATGCTGAAGGCTTCAGTAATCAACCAAAGCAATGTTATATAAGTGGGGAATGCACAGATGCAGGGGGTTGGTCTACTTCTCGATAGCATTTCCACTAGATACAGAAACAAAGATAAGTATATTAGAATAGCTTAAGAGTTCATAATACATCTGCTGTGACAAGGTGCTATTCAGGGTCTCGATAAACAAAAAGGGAACATGTGTATACAAAGGCGGAGAAGAAATAACAAAGGACGAATCAGAGATAAATTAAAGAATACGATACTGAGGAGCTTGCCAATGTCGCTGCGTTAATAACAACGTCCCATAAAATCAGATTCAAAAGCGTAATGTTGGAAAGCGATACAAGAGAAGATAACAAAAATCTATGGATTGTCGTTTTATAAGGGAACGTCATCCATTTCTCCTTCTGACCCATTTCCGTTTCTTTTCGCGCTGCTGTCTTTACCCTTCGCTGAGCCAGGGCGGTTGTCTGACGGTTCAGGGGGCTTTCCTTGGTCCTCTTCTGGCTGCGGCTTTGAGGACAGGGGCTCAGGTGATTTAGGTGCTTCATTGCCGTTGGTGATCACTTCACTGATTCCATTCTCTTCGACTTTCTCGGTATCATTATTATCATCATCATCATCATTACCTTCCGCTGTACGTTTATCGGCATCAGACGAAGGGGTGGGCATTTTGTCTTCGTTGTCTTTTGGAGGAGCCGGAGGAGGTTCATCTTCGTCCGAATCGGTACCGTTGTGCGGCATTTTATTCTGTGGACCGCCCGGGAAAGGGGTTACTGGAGGCTCACGGTGCTCTGGTTTGAGTTCAGGCGGCGATTGAGATATACTCCCGCGGTTCTGACTCTTTACACTCGCACCACCGGATGAATTCAAAATAGCATGCTGTCGGTTTTGATGAGCACCGACACCAGGCCCTATCTGCCTCAATTTCGGATCCGCATTTAAGTAATATCCCCGAACACTGACAATGGTGCCCTCTCGCTCGCAGCCATCGACCCACTCTGGTCGCACAACTGGAATGTTCATCTCAACAGCTTTCTCCCATGAAGGGCCTCTGCCTTCCGTACAGACAAAGTGTGTGGTGTCTATTTGTATCGAATCCACGATTTTCGCACCAATTCGTTCGACCGCGTTCTCAAGTGAGGTTCTCATCTCTGGCGGCATAATACCCGGAGTGACAGTGATTCCAGATAGATCTGTCATTTTGTGCGTTCGGCACACTAATTTCTGAGAACTAAATGTGCCGGCGGACGTGCGCAGGACAAGGTGAAAGGTGTATTCAGTGTCAATGGCAAGTCCGCTAATCTTTGTGCTGCGCATTTCCAACGGTCGAGGGATAGATCCTGCCTTAGAATCATTGCGATACAGGGATAGGGACTTGAGCGAGGCTGTGGCTAGGTTGATAGGATCCCATTCAAGGACAAGCGATGTCTGTGTCGCATTTTTAAGTCGTAGTACGGGGGCTGATGGCGTATTGATCCCATAGGTGTGAAGAATGCGCTTTTGAAGAGATTGGAACGCCGACACACTGGAAGCTTCGGCGGCTAGGTTTCGCGATACAGTGATATCAACAATGCTGCCAGAGGTGATGTCGCTAGGCAAGAGGACGGATGGAAACTCAATCTAAATCTCAGGGGTTAGCAAGATGCCCAAGAAGAGAAGAAAGCAGAAGACGGGAATAGAGCTGTATTGGGGCCTGACTGGCTGAATGGTTGTGAAATTGGGCACGCACAAGTCGGTTGTCTTGGGTTAGGAGGACTGCGACGCCTGCGTCAACCTTCCCAACAGTCAGGGACACCAGCATCTTTGGGGAGCTGGGCTGAATATCCTTTCAAAAATTACAAAGTAGGATCAAAGCACATCTGCCAATTAACTAGGGGCTCAAAGAGCTGCAGCTGTCATCAAATGAAAAGGGTGGGATTCAGTGTGTTGTCATCTGAGACTCCTGCCTGCCTGCCTGCCTCCCTTCACAGCTACACAGGTCGTTGCTTACGCCAATGCACTGACGCCAGCCGCCCTTATCTAAAAGGGGAACTGAGACAATGCTGCTTTATGAAAACGTGGCTTGGCGTTAGTCATCCTTCACGTGGCTTCCTTGCACAACCTTCCTGGTTGATGTCAGCGCCGCCAGTGACCAGCGTCAACCTTCAAGCTGCACCACGTTCACCATGGTGACACACTAACCTGATGTCGTCGGGAAACACCAGTCCATTGGTGAAATTATCACTACCTTTGGTAAGTATGAGCTGATCTGGCATTCTTGTTCATTAGTGTATCGGCAGTTAGTCTCTGACTCCCACGCAAAGCAATATCAACAAGATGTCTTCCAGGAGCTTCGGGCGGAAGACAAGCTGGTCATCCTGGCTCAGGGACTGGGGCTCTTGCGCATTGTGACAAATCTTTTGCATGCATATGATGCTGCAGGGAACAACTTAGTTCTCGTGATTGGTGCAAACGACCGTGAAAATGAGTGGATTGGTGAAGGTCTGTTAGTGCACTCGCATTACAGCGCTTCCAAAACAACACTGATCTGTTTCAATCCATACATGCAGCCCTGGCAGAACATTATGCAGTCAGTAAGACTCCATTGGCAAGAGGTCTCAAGGTCATCAATACAGACAAAGCCACGGTTTCTATGAGGTATGTGTGGAGTGATAGGTGTCCTGCCACCTGGTGCTAATTACACCAAAGACAGAAGCTTTATGCTCAAGGTGGTATATTGAGTGTGACCTCACGGATTTTGATTGTTGACTTGCTATCAAGTATGTCTCTTGCATGTTAGTGCAAGCTCATTGTTAATATGATTCAGAACTCCTGGACCCGGAAACCATTACAGGAATGGTCATCCTACATGCGGAAAGGTGCGACTCTAAATAGCATCTACTTAAGTAACTTGCTAAAACATGATGTCAGGGTAATTTCAACTTCTCTGGAAGCTTTTATTATCAGAGTGTATCGCCAGTTCAATAAAGCTGGGTTTTTAAAGGCATTTTCAGACACTCCTGAGCCTTTCACAACTGGGTTCTCACCATTGGCTAACATGCTCCGGAATTTGTTTCTTCAAAAATCTTCTCTGTGGCCTCGCTTTCAGGTTACCGTTGCTGAATCGCTTGAGGGCCGCAAAAGAGCGGAAGTTATTGAACTCGAGATTCCAATGACAGACAAGATGAGAGAGATTCAAAATGCGGTTCTAGAATGTGTTGAAGTCAGCATAAGAGAACTTAAAAAGTCTAATCCAGTTCTCGACATCGACGATTGGAATGTAGAAAGTGCCTTGCAAAAGAATTTTGATGTTGTGATCCAACGGCAGTTGGACCCAAATTGGCATCGCGTCAGCGTAAAGACCAAGCAGATCGTTAGTGATTTAACCATTTTGAAGAATATCTTGCAGTGGGACTCCCGTCTTATCTTTCTTGTGGACAAGAATCTGATTTGCTGGCTAGTCTTCTTCTCACGGATGACGCCGTGTCACTTATCAAGTATATTGACACCGTGATAGCAGCTCATTCCCCTCCGCCTGGGTATACGAAGCAGACGTATTCTCCATGGCTTTATCTTGAAGCTGCCCATGTCCTCCTTCAAACCGCCAGATCTCGAGTTTATCGTGGCAAATTTGATACCCGAGCTAAACTTTCAGATCCGTTGTCAAAGATACCCGCTTCTTTAGAACCTGTTCTTGAAGAGCAGCCAAAATGGTCAGTTCTTGTGGATGTGCTAAACGAAATTGATCGTGATTTATACCTAGACCCAAGACCGAGCGATGATTCAAATCGTACGATTCTCATCATGTGTAGTGATCGCAAGGCATGCCGGCAAGTACGTGAGTATCTTCATACCATGTATGTTAGAGTCTACGCAGCGAAAGAAGATCAATCCAGGGTTGAGGATTCTCCAGAAGATATGGAAAGCTGTCCATCAGCCGAATTCATGATGCGAAGAAAGCTTCGTGACTACATATCATGGAAGAGGGATTTTGCCAAAGTCCGGAATAGTCTTTACGGCATAAACGCGAAACAAAGCCAGCCAATAGAAGTGCCAGGGTATACTTCTGCCACCAAAGACAGGAAACCTGAAAGAGCACCACGAAACAAAAGACGAAGGGTAAGGGGCAGCAGCACTGCAGCCTCAAACTCTGGCAGAGCTCCGAACTCTACAGTCCAAGAAGAAACGGATGATACAACCCAGGTATCCACCCTTCTTGATGGGGCTCTTCAGCCTACTAAGCCCGAAGAAGCTGAGAAAGAGGATACTGTCGTTGATGAGCTGCATGACATGGATGACTATTACGAGCTTCTCGACATGGAGGATTTAGTCATCATCCACGCGTATGATGGAGACATGGATGAGCATATCCTGGAAGAAGCGAGGCCGAGGTATATCGTCATGTATGAACCGGATGCAGCGTTCATTCGCAGAGTAGAAGTATATCGCAGTTCCCACACGGACAGAAATGTACGGGTATACTTCATGTATTATGGGGGCTCTGTCGAAGAGCAACGTTATTTAAGTGCTGTGAGGCGTGAGAAGGATGCTTTTACAAAACTCATCAAGGAAAAAGGGGTATGTACCCTTACTTGCCGTCCCAAAATTTAGCTAACTTTGGTGATAGTCTATGGCCATGAGCCTCACACACGATAAAAACCTTGAAGATCCCCAGGAACAATTTCTTCGCACCGTGAATACCCGTATTGCTGGTGGCGGTCGCCTGGCTGCTACTGCGGCTCCACCGACGGTTGTCGTTGATGTTCGAGAATTCAGGAGCCCGCTCGCATCACTGCTTCATGGCCATAGCATGGTCTTAGTTCCCTGCCAGTTGACCGTCGGCGACTACATCCTCAGTCCAGACATCTGCGTTGAACGAAAATCTATTCGCGACTTGATTAGCTCGTTGAAAACCGGCCGACTATACAACCAAGCTGAAACTATGCTTCAGTACTACAAAACCCCCGTACTCCTAATTGAATTCGATCAAAACAAGTCATTCACATTTGATGCTTTTACGTCATCAACAGCGCCCAGTGCTTTCGTTGCTGACAATCCCACCTCGTTCTCCGCGCCCTCTTTCTCATCTGGAAACATTATCAACCCCACCAACCCAAGATCCACTCAACATCTCCTCGTTCTCCTTACTCTTGCCTTTCCCCGCTTGAAAGTGATTTGGTCCTCCTCCCCTCATCAGACCGCGGAGATATTCACTGAGCTGAAAAAGAACGATCCGGAGCCAGATCCCATTCGAGCGGTCCAAATCGGGTTGGATTTTGATATTTCCGGCGATCCATCCGCCTCAGGACCCAAAGCACTGATGGCTGCAGCCGGGGTCGAGTATCGAATGTTCAATCAATTACCACAAGACATGCTGGGAACGGTGCCTGGGTTAACACCTCATGGAGTGGAGGGTTTGATGCTAAGAACGAGTAATATCCACGAAATTGCTAATATGGAGGTGGAGGAGCTGAAAGAGATAGTTGGCTTACAAGAGGCCAAGATGATTGTCAAATTCTTTCGGCGAAGTGTTTTTGATGACGAGCCAGGGGAGAAGCTGTGAAGTATACCCGCAAATACCCCCAAAGAACATTGCAAACAAGTGTTGTTAAAGGCAACTCACGAGGAAAATGATATATGAAACATGCTGCTTTTACGTGATCTTCGCTCCATTCGATTTCAGTGCTCACATTATCTATGCTTCATTCTAGCAACTTAAGAAAAGCATAACACCACATCATGACAAGCAAACCAAAGGGAAGGAGCAAACCAGAAATAAGGCCATCAAACGAAACTCATCATAAGTAGCGTTAAAAGAATATATGAAACGGACATGAAATCGGCGGAATGGAGCAGGAGGACTTTAGATCAGTCATTCTGGGATGACGTAGTACCTGCGAAGCTTTCGGGCATGAGACACCGCAAATGCGAGTAGGGAGCGAGGCATGGCGAGGGACGAATCGAGTGGTGAGAAAGGGGGCAATAGCCGGCTGAGCTCATATTTACATGGTAGCCATTTTTTTCGCGAAAAATTGTCCGACTCCCAGCCCTGGCGCAAGGGCTGTCTAAATTCGCCGCTTGACTTTTTTTTTGGTGATGGGAATGGGTAACACTTATTTTCTTTTTCCATCATGCAACGACAACCCGTAGTATGACAGGCAGGGGAATCGTCTGCTTTTTCGGCGACATAAGTAGCCAGATACGCGCAGGTAAGAATATGACCCCACCGGTATCGGAAATTAAAGGGTGAGATCGCTCAGATCTCGTCGATGTCGATGTCCTTCTCGTCGGCGCTCTCGCGGTCTTCATCGAATTCGACATTGTCATCAAGACCCTCATGGCCGTATCTGTAGATGAAAGTCTTCGTCAGTAAAACATAACAGTGAAAGACTATTGAAGGCGAAACATACGTATCAGTCTCGTTGATCTTCGCGCTCTCTGGCAACTCTCCATAGGCCTTCAAGCTTCTGGCCTCGTCGGCGCTGTACTTGAGGATGACATCTCCCTTCTCGTCCTGGTAATCTCGCAGGGACAGAAGGATGATATCACCCTGGTTGATCCAGACCTTCTTGCGGAGTTTGCCACGGATATGTGCCAGTCGTTTCTCGCCGTCGAAGCAAAGAGCCTCCAGGCGCCCGTTGCCCAACATCTTAACCACCTGGGCGTATTCCTGGCCTTCTTCCTTGAAGGTCAACTCTCGCTTTTCATTGTCGTTCTCGTTCTTTCCACGACGTCGGTTTTTACCACCCTGTGAACGGAAGGAGGGGGTCAGCTTCTGATATTCTCTTCTTCTTCTTCTTCTTCTTCTTTTTTTTTCCCACGATGGGAATCGGAATGCGTCCCACAAGAAGGCGGTGGATAACTATCACGAATATCTCCTCGCCTCTAGACATCCCTGGCCTTCATGGCTGGGAGACTCGCGATGTCGTGGTCGCATGCATCCATTGTGGCAACGCGGGGTTAAAATCAGAGGGGAAGATCCTTACCTTTCCCTTATTCTTCGGCATTTTAACAGCAACTCAGAGTGTGCTTCTTCGAGGCAACGGGTTCTCGGATGAAAGTACCTGTAAATCACAGCGATATGCTGGTCCTGTTGGAGAAAAGAAGTTTGTCTTCGTTGTCTGGTGCTGTTGTCACAGTTAAGGCTCTTTATACCGATGAATCGTTAAAGAGTTGGTGGGGGATCTGGGCTGGATTAGCTCAGCATTTCCCTTGCCACCCTGGCGCAATTAAGGTTTTCTGTCCGGATCCAGCGCCAAACAACTGTCGCTTATGTCAGAGTGCTAAAAGTGGCAAGAAACGTCTACTCCGTACCTTGCCCACTTTGCAGTGGCGCGGAGTACGAGGAGAGCGTTGAAGATGTCAAGACAGCACAGACAGTGAAAGTATGATGGAGTGAAAATTTCGAGTGTTCTACTATCTGCTCTAAAAAGTATCGCTGAGGAAAACCGTGTAGTTTTGCAAGGAGATATTGATCCGGATTGTTGTGCTCCTCTCACTCGTGTTGGGTAAAAGGTCATGCAACTACGGAGTACTCCGTAGTCGATTCCACCTTGTCGTCATCCTGTCAGCCAGTGAAGCAAGGGGTTGTTCAACAGCCTGTCCATTCACTGTTGCAGTTTGGACGATCCAGCCACATCTCACTGTATCATCAATTCCACTCAGGGCTCAAATGCGAATTAATCCCTGCTTCACACAGAGTCGACTTCTTGTTGCTGCGTACCCAAGCCTGGCGCTCAATCCGATGGGTCGGCGTTCTTGGCATCTGCAATATTTGATATGATCCAACTTCGTGCGTTACGTCGTTTCGCAGCGTAGCTCAAGCACAAGACCACCAACACCCAAACATCGCCGCATCCTACCTTCTCTTAACGCCATATTTTGACTCTTTTCGTGGTTGGTCGATTACCCGCGCCCTCTATTCCCAATCTCACCCTTTATTGCCGCTTGTGGCTCATATCTGGCTCGGCTTCACCAAGCTGCCGTCCGACTACTTGGCTGCCTGTTTGCTCGATGGCCCCAGTGATGCTCAAAGCTACAGTGTAATCGTCAAATCTCCCTTTTTTCGACCGCCACCGATTCTGATCCTCTTCTTGACCCATAATTCCCGACGATGCCCTCGATCCTATCCGATGCGGACAAGGAAACCGTGAGACGCACAGTTCCGAAGCCCTCAAATAAGATCCTTACTGCCGCCGTTGCACGCTTATATGTGGCGTATCCGGACCGGCATAAATGGACATATACTGGATTGCAAGGTGCGGCGGTCATCGCGAACGACCTGGTCGGACACACATTCTGGATCAAGTTGGTTGATATTTCGGTAAGCCCCTTATCTTACCCACATCTCTACTTTTCTTTTTGGAGCTGACAAGGTACACTTACGCTATAGCCCTCCGGCAGAGGTGTCTTGTGGGACCAAGAGCTTTACGATGGGTTTTCATACAACCAAGACAGAACTTTTTTCCATACATTCGAATTAGAAGAATGCCTTGCAGGACTGTCCTTCGCCGACGAGAAGGAGGCGAAGACATTCCTCAAGAAAGTTTCAGAACGGGAAAAGCATGCCAGCAAAGAGACAAAAGCAACTCCATTCGCTTCAGCGCGGGGTCAGGGCCCTGCTCCTGTAGCAAACGGGAAAACCCATCACCGTTTCGGACTCGGAAGCCTTCTGGGACATCGATCATCATCCGCTCCCACACCACCACCGCCACCATCAGCAGCAGCAGAATCCATCATACCACCCAAACCGGCGCCATCAGAGCTTGTCCCTGCTCCTGTGCATCATACAGGTCCCGACGGAAAGGCTTCCCCCATGGATACCGTTGATCCATCTTGGAAGGGGTTGCTAGATGAGCTTCTAGCGATGGGAATAACGGAGGAACAAATTGCGAATAACGCCGACTTTATCAAATCATACATAGAATCAAAACAAAATGACGACCAGCAACAGTCCGCGGAGAACCCTTCCCAAGAGCTTGTCCGAAAACCAAAGGCGGCACCCCCAGCTCCACCAACAGTCCCTCCCTCCAAAGCTTCGTCAACTCCACAAAACACCGGCGGCACAAACACTCGCGGCCCGCCTCCGCCACCTCCACCGCCCCGAAAACCTCCTGCAGATACTACTCCTCCTTCCCCGCCTCGCGAGTCCCCACCAGCATCTCCTCCAAAGAGAGACCCATCCCCTCTGCGGCCAAGATTCCGAGCTCCCCCGCCGATCGTAGATGCTGGTAAGTATGCTTATACAAATGCGCCGGCTGCAAGGAACCGGGCCGCTTCCGGTTCGCACACTGCAGGAGCTGCACCTATACCTCCACCAAGACCTCCCAAGACACCTGAAGATGGCCCATCTCGACTGCAACCACCGCCCTTGCCACCAAAAACTCCCCATGCGACCAGCCCATCACTCGTCCCTCCTCCTCCACCCCCACGGGCAGCTGCCACACCGCCTCCGCCCCCGCCTCCCCGACAGGCTCAACCGCCATTTTCGACCGCCACTACACCACAACCCCCTCCACCTCCACCTCCACCTCCGTCTAGTTCAGGACCGCCCGCTCCTGGACCACCGCCCCCTCCGCCTCCTCCTCCACCTCCAAGTGCGGCTCCGGCCCCACCCCCTCCTCCGCCGCCCCCTATGCCGTCAAGCTCCGGCCCACCTCCTCCACCTCCACTTCCAAGTAGTGGTGCCGCTCCTCCAGCTCCTCCGGCTCATCCACCACGCCCAGGTAGTGCGGCTATGCCCAAGCCCGTTCCCGGCAAAGATGACCTAATGGCTTCTATTCGCGCTGCTGGTGGGGGAGGTCTACGGAAGGTTAAAGATTCAGAAAAACGCGACAGAAGTGCAGTAGTACTACCAGGCGCATCAACCGAAACCCCAGCCGCTCCATCAGCTGCTCCTCCGGCAGGTGGGATGATGGGAGCTCTTCAAGAAGCTCTGGCTAAGCGGAAACAGAAAGTCAGTGGAAGCGGTGAGTATCAACATTCTTTTACGTTTCGGACCGCGCTTTGCACCTATTGATTTTCCTGATCTAAAGCTGATGGTTTCATAGACGATGAGAAGTCTGATGATGACTGGTGATGGAATCCCATACGAACCGTCAGCTCCATGCCTCCCAAGCAGCTCCTCGACTACCCTGATTTAAGAAGCCGCAGAATATATGGTTGCTACCAGAATAGCATTGAAGGCTGTGAGCGTGTAGAGTAAGAAAAGAAGTTAAGCTGCTAGTGCGGAATGATCTGTTCAGCTATGTAATGCCCCAAATTGAGCTTCACATGTTCCATAGGGTAGTCGATAGTGGTATTATCATGGGGCTTATTTTCTCTTATAAATATGGGTTGATTTGCCAACATTTCCCCAGTTTTAAGCCATGCTATGTATATATGAAGTTTGTAATGTAAGCTTGCCTGACAATGTCAAAAGTTGCGGACATTCACCCAGGCGTGCTATGCAACATGGCCCGAGTGCGCGATTTGCCATGTCCAACCGCTTGAGGCTTCTAGGAGAAATGTTAATGATACGAACGGCTACCTACTCCGTAGAAAGTATTTTTGAAGAAATTCTTATCCATGCTAAATCTTTATTTCTCGCGAGTCATAATCAACATATTTGTTTGATATGTATGAATCCCCCTGGATTGTGGAGATTCAGGAGAAACTGGAAGGGGGCTACGCGGGACCGACAAATTTCCGCCCGAGTCTGCTGGTGTTCGGGAACAATATTGATCCGGATCCGACAATGACGTGAAAATTGTTTCCATCGTTTGGGCGTTGCAGCTCGCATGGGGGTTGACCATGTCAGCGCGCTCAAAGCCATTCAAGGTGTACCGTCCTGGTCTAGACATTGTAGACCCTGGGTGAGGATGAGAGATGGTGTCACCGTCTTTTGTCAAACCATCCGCTCCATCCCTTCGTCTGCTCCGCTTCCTTCGTTCGCAATCCGATATTTGCTGCTTCAAACAGAACGTTGACCACCCCCGCCCGCGCGTCTCTCATGGGAATTATGGATTCTATCGGAATTTTCGACTTACTAGTGATCAGCTTGGATGCGGCGGGCTGATATCATCCGCGGTCCGATGCCCGTCGACCCTTCAAGCGTCTCTTCTGTCATTCATTCGTCCGAAGCCGAGGAAATATTCGTCTTTGCTGAAAGTCTCTTCTGCACGCCCCCCTCACCTCCGTGGCAGTGCCATAAGGCATCCAGCGAGTCAGCAAATATCCTGGTTCAGCGGCACCTCCAAAAGAAACCGGAACTTCCTTCGGCGACTTTTGGGTCTTCAAGTTCCCCGTCCGCCGGCCCATTTGAAACCGGATGATCTTCCTTCTAGTGGAGCCTTCGAGGATGGCCAGGAGTGCAATCCATTTACCACTGGGAGAAAGCTGGCTTTGAAGGCTTCAAATGAGCCTCGTCTGCGATGCACTGAGTTCGATGAGAATGGGAATGTTACGCTTATAAGCGAGGAGTTTAAGAAAAGTGAATTAATCGCAAAAGTGAGTACTCATGATTTTGAGAAATGTTCGCGCTTATTGCCTCTTGAGAATGAAGTTTAACTGGTGCAGTACGGTCTTCTTCCTCGGGATCTTCGGAAAATCGATTCTTCGGTGATACCACACATTCTTGTTCGTCATAGTGCTATCCTTCTCAGTTTGCTCCATCTCCGCGTGCTAATCAAGGCGAATCGCGTTCTCGTCTTTGATGCTTACGGCTCGGCCGATACTTATACCCAATCTCTTTTTATGTACGATCTCGAAGGGAAGTTACGTCAAAAGGAACCAGCTTCTTCAAGACAGGCAGCGGCGTTGGGGGCGTTACCATATGAGTTTCGAGCACTTGAGGCAGTTCTAGTCAGTGTAACCAGCGGGCTCGAGGCCGAATTTGAGGGTGTCCGAGAGCCAGTTGTGCGGGTTCTTCGTGCCCTTGAAGAAGATATCGATCGTGATAAGTTGAGACATCTGCTCATCTACTCGAAACGGCTAGGCACATTTGAGCAAAAAGCTAGATTGGTTCGTGATGCGATCGAAGATCTGTTGGAAGCAGACGACGATCTCACTGCAATGTATCTCTCCGAGCGATCCGGGGGCGTACGCAGGGATGAGCATGACCATCAGGAGATTGAAATGCTACTAGAATCGTACCATAAAGTGTGCGATGAAATAGTCCAGGCTAGTGGGAACTTGGTCACGAATATTCGCAATACTGAAGAAATGTATGCTCCTTTTCTCTCTGCTCACTGGCTTATGCTAACAAGTAGGACAGTGTGAAAGCGATTCTCGATGCCAATCGTAACTCTCTTATGCTCTTAGAACTCAAAGTCAGTATAGGGACTCTCGGTTTGGCAGTAGGCACGTTACTATCAGCGCTCTACGGAATGAACTTAAAGAACTTCATCGAGGAATCGGATCTTGGATTCGGAGCAGTTTCTGCCGTCTGCTTCGCGTCCTCTGCGTTTGTCTGTATATACGGACTTTTGAAGCTACGCAGGGTGCAGCGTGTAAGAATGTGGGGCGAAGGTGGCATTCAAGATCCTTACATGGGCGGCTTGGGCCTTCGCGGTTCCACGCCATTACCAAGCCGTGGAAACTGGCGCTCAGATGCCATCGATCCGGCCTGGACGGGTCTTCCTGTCGAAGGGCGTGCTCAGAGGATGAGAAGGGTAAGAGGTGCTATAGGGACGGCGGCGTCGCAACCTTCGATGCCTCTATCAAGCCATGCGGCCGCAAAACCGAAACTCAGCGTCAAAACGTCGCCGGTCAATGCAACGCAATCAGGAAATGTGTCGAATAAAAACCAAACCCAGAAGCAAAGGCAGTCTGAACCCGAGAAAGACGAGTTCGAGGAACCCACGATGGGTGGCGCTGCCTTGGGTGCGTCTCGCTAATGTTGCCGTTTCTTATCATTCGCTTTTGAGGCGTTTGTTACTCGAAATACTCCACTCATCATGGGTTCAGTATTATTCACCTGATGATTGAATTTTTTTGTTGGGGCCCGACTAATATCCAGGCGATATTTTTGAGTTTCTGTTTGGTTAGCCTGGAGTGTTCTGGTGTGCACAGCATGGGCAAAAATAGAGGGTATTCGATACAAGGTTCATTCAATAGAGGAAAGTCTACAGAGTAGAGATGTTACATGTCCCACATTAAAGGAAAGACTTTGCTATTTTAACTATCATTTACTTTCTACAGTCCCTACTTACATGAAGGAGTGTGTCTGACTATCTTGTAATTGCACCGCGCATATCATTAGCTCCAGTGTGTTGCTCGTGTCCTTGTTTAGCCATGTTTCAAGCTGAGCAATCCAGAGAGGCTTTACGATATTATAGTCCGAGGATAGCTCTGTGTAGTTGTGATCCCTATCCAGGGTAATTAAAATTACTATGCTACATAAAAAGCGAACATGCTTCAGGTCATTCGAGACTCCTGATGTGACAAGGCCATAAAATTATCCATTGTGTATTCAGTGCTATTAGCATCCAAGGTGGTTTACAGAGGTTGCTCCCGATTGTCGCCTCGCTGCTTTATTTGTGGCTCTGCCACCACCAATTCTCAAAGTGGATGAAACAGCATTTTCAGGTGATTCAGCCCGCTTAGGTACATACATCATTCAAACAAGGAATATTTTCTCTTTTTCTCTTTTTTTTTCTTTTTTTTTTCTTTTTTGACAAGCTGTGGACCCATTATCCTAGTCATCATGCAAACCACTGTTGATATGCCATACTCACACCACAGTTACTAGTGACACTCCGCAGTTCCAACATTAAAGGTACCAGTATCTGTACTTGGAGAGACGTGATTACCCATTGGCAATCTACCCCCGCTACCCACACCAGCTGGCGTCGCCTCAGTGTGTGTAAAGTTTGTATTACGTGAAAGGTTCATATCATATGTACCCCCAATATCAAGTGCAGCAGACAGAGCGGCATGAAGCATTTTATTCTGTCGTTCAAGAATGACAATCTTCTCCTGGAGCTGCTGAACCAAAAGCGATTCTGCTCGAGGAGACGAGGAGCCGAATGAGCCACGTGTCGAAGGCCGTGAAGTGATAAGATGATTGTCACTTCCCTGACCATCCCTGTCTTTCTTCCGTGAAATAGGAGACATGATACACCGATCGGGACTCTGGGTGTCATTATCATGCCGTCTGCGAGATTTTCTAGAACGAGACGCACTGCCGCAGTATGCATAAACTCCTTTTTCATCGTCAGATGAGGGCAACGATGGAGTGACCGGGCGAGAAGTGATACCAATGTCGACCATGTCCCAGGATGAACGTGGAATGTGGACTTTGGCAGCGCGGGTGTTATAAGAGGATGATTCGGAGTGTCTATGAATGGTTGCCTCAGAATGCCCTGCTTTCGTTGAGTTGGGTGTTTTGGGACTTAGGATACGTTCGGAGTTCTTGTCGTCCACTGTCGGGTTGGCAGGAACCTGTGGTTGTCGCTGACTTGCTGCAAATTCGAGCTTATCGACGCTTCCCTTGTTTGGGGAGGAGGACTGGTTACGGAATTTCGGGGGACTTGCTGGCAGTGGAATTTTCGGAGGCTCTCCAGGGTGTTTTCGTAGATCTGGTGATGTTAGACGAGCAGTAATAGTTGTAGCTTCGCTCTGACGCTTCGGGCTTGGATTTGCACTACTTTCACCGTCCTTAGTAGCGATGTCCTCGTTCGCTTTATTCTCGATAGTCGAATCCGATACCGAACTCGTTGTAGTCATCGTATCGTTTCCTCGCGACGGCAAATTTTGTGCCTCGCTAGCGCGGCGTTCCAATTCTTGGAGCTTAGCTGACGGATCCAGTGGGACTGTCGGAGAAGATGGCAAACTACTCAGCTGTGCAAAAGCATTCCCTCGCCACGGACTCATAATATCGGTTTTGGTGACTCTTTCGCGTGACGGGTAGAGATTAAGCCTTGGAGGCCACAGAGATGAGGCTTTTGAAGCTAGTTTGCGTGCTTTCTTGCTTCCAGTACCCTTGCTTCGTGGAGAAGGCTCAGAAGGTGTTGGCGGAAGAGGGGCTCTCGGAATATTGGCATATGAGGGAGCGAATTTAGTTTGTGATTCGGCCATGGTGCACGATGGTGTTGCTGGCGTTGGTGGCAAGGTTTCCATAAAGCTTTCGTTTTGGAAATCTGGAGATAATATGAGAGGTGCAGGCTGGTGGATAGGACGTTTCTTTGTTTGCAAGCGAACCAATGGAGGGGAGGTCTCTGTGTCTGAGGTTGGAGTGTTCACATTTGGTGGTTTCTGGAAACAGGATATAAGATCTTCTGGAGAGAGTGGTCGTGAGAGGTAACCAGTGTCAGTTTGTTCACGTGGATGATTCCTCTTGCTTGATGTCCGTCTTGGGAGATACTGTACATCAATGTAGGGTGACTTTTGAGAGACAGGGAGCAGAGCTGCTGTATCAAGGTGTGCTTGGTGAGAGCCAGCAACACAAATGCCATCTCGTTTGTGAGGTTCAGACATCCTGCTCGGTACCTCCCTGATCTTGCTCACACACTCAGACTCCTTTCTAGGAGAATCATGATTGTTAGAAAAAGAGTTGCTATGGTGTTGTGATAGCTTAACCTGCAGGCCTTCTGATGTCTCACCAGGTAGTGGAGGACATGGTTTTTGAACTGCACTGCTATTTCCAATCTCGATATTCCTTTCTTCTAGTTTTGGTTCCGCCGACAGGCGGCCTTGAGCTTCTTTCCTCGTGGTATCAAGGTCGTCGGCCTTGGTATGCTTATATTCTCGGTTCTCTGTCGCCGGGCTGAACTCAGAGGACGAGGGCGTGGGCGGTAGCTCTAGAGTTGGCGGCGTCCACATCGAGGTTGCGTGACCTAAAATTATAGACATATCATCAGACAGAGCTTTGGTGGGACGTAGTGTTCCTACACCAGCATAAAAGCATTCAGTCAACATCACCAAGCATACATTTTGAACGGGCAGCTGGCACCGGCAGCATGTCGGGCACTTTGATATCTTTGGAAATCGGCGGCGGGGGCTTTTCGTCGGGCGCCGAGCTGGAGGTAGAATGCTTGCTTCTATCTTTCTTCCACTTAACCCCAGGTTTCTGCCACTCTCTCTGACCGGCAAGATCCTCGTGTGACTTCCATCTCTTTGCCGTATGGAGCCCTTTTGAGGCCCAAGAGTCAGAGACGCTCCCGCTACCAAGATCCATACAGTTGTCCTCTGGAAAAGGCGTATTGTGGTCAGTGAAGAATCGAACTAACTCCAGTAGGCCTTCCGATCTCTGAGGTCTCTGCACAGACCCTGCTGATCTGGGGGTGTATTTGCAATTGTCTCTGTCTCTCGCCTTTAATGTCTCGTGCGAAAATAGCTCTCCTAGCGATACCAATTCCTCGCCGAAAGTCTCCATCTCTCCGACCAACACCGCCGTCAAGGCCGCCCTTCTTTATATACCCGCAGCAGAGGTCGCAGGCCGGACAGGAACAGAGGGAGGAGATACAGAGCACAGCAGAAACCAAATGAATTTGGCAATTCCAGAGAGCAAGAACGGTTCCTTTCACCAGGCCTTTTGACCGACAAGAGCCGCTTCCCTGCTCGATATCACATGAGTGAAAAAGAACCAACTAGCAGCGGTGAGAAACAGGGGCATTATGCAGAAGCGTATGTAAAGCGGTCCCATGCATCAAGCAGTCGCTCGAGACGAACCACTCATAGAAATCCCACATACCATAACCCTCAAGGGCTCACGCAATTGGAACGCACGACCCACCGAGACAAGGCTTTGGGGCACGTTCAGGTGAATCCGTGCCAATGCATGGGAAGAGCTCACAGAGCTGCAGAGCTGCACATAATCGTTGTGGATCAGAGATACGAGCACCGAATCCTAAATATGAAGCCTCAAGAGAAGGCCCAAAAGCGAATCCAGAAATGATCGCGACAACGAACTCAAGGACACGTTCAACAATTACGTTGCATCTCTCTAGTTTCACCGGGCACAAGACACGGGTTGCCGCATATATATGTATTATTTTAAGCCTCTGCAGGAAGCTCAGGAATCTTTTTCCCCCTCCATGGCTTGGGCTGGCGAGTCCAGAAAAAAGAAAATAAAAAAAAGAAATAACGACAAAAGCAAAACCAAGCCAGGGCGAAGATCTGATCGCCGCTTGTCGGAAAGGCTCCCGTTACCCGGTTTCCTGCCACCTAAAGGCCGATGGGTTTATTGAATTATATTGCTGAAGATCCTGGACATTTTGCGTCTGTGCAAGGAAAAATTGATGCTTGAAAATACTCCGAAGATGTAAAAGCTCCTGACGGACTCCAAAAGCCGCGAATAATGAGCGCTTGACTCCAAAGCCGAAATCAACTCTAGCTTCTCCGCCGTTCGGATAACCTAATAGTTAATACTCCGTAGACGACAGGCGATAATTTAGTCCATCCTCGTCAGCCGCTCGAATTCGCCGCTTTGACGCCTCCTTCGGGGAGCTCAATAACGACAGAGTCCTCCATACTCCGTACTCCGTACGGAGTACATAACGAGGAATAAGGTGTCTTTTGGTCATTTGCTAACCCTTCCTGTCTCCATCGCGGGATCAACGACGTCATGAGGGAGGATAGGTCACAAAGGTTCACTCGGCATACGGAGGAAAGATAAACAGAAAAGAAAGCCCCCAGGCGATTTTAGCAAGGATTCTGCAGTCAACCGGTCCGCTTTGAAACCAAAATTTACGACTCAACTGCTCAGGTTAGAGTTAAGCTTCTTTCCTCAGAGAAATCGTGGGATCTTCCAGCTTCGCTACGTTTCTTGAGCGACCAGTCGTAAATCTGATGTCGAAATCGGCCGAGATCTTTGGTTACCATAGAATTGGGCGACTTACTATGCATGGATGCGAATGTCTGGAGGACTCCGTTTGTACGATGCTTTCGTGGATTTCAGATTTGTACCTTCAAGGAGTTGTCGACAGAAACCTAGGTCCCAAACGATTGTGGTTCGCCCAAGTTGCCCCTGATCTGAGCTGCAGTGACACCATCGAACCTTGTTCAAAATCTTCCCACAAACGCCAAACCTTTGGGGCTTAAATTGGGCGTAATAATGGCGTCGGATCGGCTTCGATGGACAACTGCGAACCCGCTTTTCCGATAACTTCTTGATGGGAGTTCACGGTTGTCAAAATAGGAGCGCAACATGCCCGGAATGAGGGGGCTTTCAACAAGGAGTGGAAGAATCGACCTTGGCCTTCGCTGTCGGGAGCATGGGTGTCGATGCACGCAGCCAGGGGCCATCATTGGTTTGCTGCATGGTGACGATGTGAAGTGCCCTGCTTCGTCTGCACCTCAGCCCCTTTTCAGTGCCAGGCTCGCGACCATGTTGCTGCAGCATATCCATAGTGCGCCCAAAGTACCGAGCAGCTGTCTCGACCTTGTACGCACTCTCAAACCTCGCCGAATTTCCTCTTCCGGTATAACTAGCAAGGCCTATTAGGTCAACCACCCAGCGCCACGCCGTCGACGCCCCCTTCCAGGAGCTACAAGTAACTACATAACAACCAGGAATTTCCGTTGTCGGCACTGCAGTCTTGCAAAATCTCTCTCCTCCGTACTCCGTACGACTCGCCTAAAAACTTCGGCTGCAGCAGCAGCGGCCCAACCAGCAAAACGACGGTAACTACAGCACACGCGTCTCGCGTCTCCTTTGTGCTCATGGATTCTCAAATACGCTTTCCGGGATTGCTTGAGTTATTGAGCGGAATCTTAAGAAGACCGTTCCTCAGAACGGGGGACGTTGTTGTAGCCATGTCTGGGGTCCATTTCCGCGGCAGCAGCATTCATGTCCGCTTCTAAGCCTTCCTACACGCCGTCAGGGGGCTCAACCTATATGAGTGACTTACAAGCTGCGCATCAACTTTGGGGATGACAAGCCTAGAAACATGTGAACTCAAAAAAGACAACCAACTGGGACAGCGTGCTCGGAAACCGTTCTATATCTGGGATAGTAAATTGGACCTCGATCAGCTGGGAGAACTCAGGTTTTGTATTGTCTCCCAGCTATTGCGATAGTATAGAAGGCTAATGCTGCATGTGGTCTGTCAAAGTTCCATCGCGAGCCATCCGTCCCAACATTGCTTGACATTTTGCCTACAAACCTGAATCACTAGGAAGACTCCAAAACTGACCAGCAACTGGTTTAGGTGCTAACGAATGCTGTAATCAAACAAAGATAGGACGGTGGAGTGATATCTGGCAGAGTGCACCTCGCCTTGGGATATATGAACACTCCAAAAGCCTGATTTCGTCCTGGATAACAACATAGCTCTTCTTTGTGTATCTATATGTCCAGGGTTCACAGACAAAAGTAACGAAAGACAGCAGAGCAGTCTTTTAAGTCTTAACAGACTATAAATTCTTCTGTTTTGTTGCTCTGCGTGCGACTACAAAGCAAAATAATCATAACGCTTTTATGGGCCATGCGCAACAATTTTGTCAGTGTGTTCCTAGTCATTAGTATCCTGCTTGATGCAATTGAATCGTTGTCACATACAATGGCTCAGAAATTTTCAAACGCCACAGAATATTTCAGAGGTTCGACAACCATTCAGAGCTAACGTACAGCAACCAGTGTGAGGGAATTAATACTAGTAGAGGTAAAGACCATGAGGATGATTCTAACAAATAAGATACAGTTACAGTATATGGCGTTTCTGTTTTGATACCTTTTCGGGGACCATCACAACAGCGATTTTCATTATTAACACTGGCCCCTGAAATGATGAGTTCATCAAGATTGGTTTGTGGCCGATCTCTGTGGCCACTGAAGCTACAGGATGGCCAAGCTGTGAGGAGAACTTTTCCTCAGGATACATTCAGTTATCACTGCACTACTAGTCTTCTTTTCTGTTGTTTAAAATGTTTAATTTTAGAATTGTTGAGGATTTATGATATCTGTCATACGAGTTAAAATTTTGTGAATGCATTGAAGTGAGTATACTCGGTATATTCCGTATCATTATGTGAGGCTGCTGCGCAGAATCACATCTCCTACTAATATGGCCTGTGCTTGCTGTACAAATAAATACTTCACTTTCAAACCCTCAAACTATCAGGAGCTGGACGGTTGGTCAAGAGTAAGTTACTTCAGGAGATGAAATGTTGCTGCAATTCGACTGTGTAACCGCGAACCATACATCTTTGCCCCCTGTCCCATGTTCTATTCGAAGTTGCGAAATGGGAATCTGCATCTAGCCGGCCTTGAAAACCCTTTTCGGAGGCTCCGGATTCTTGAGATTGGCACGGAATACCCCGTAGTACGCCCGGAAAAAAGTAGAAGGTCTGGCTGGGCAATACTCGAGGGGGCTGCTCCTTTCAACCAAAGGAGCCATCAGAGAAAAGTATTGGTGTTTACATTACGTACCAGGCAGTCGAGAATAAGATGTTTTATGCATAGGGCCGTTGAAGAGAAAGCAAAAAAAGAAACAAGAAATGCTCCTCGTGTTCGTCTGCGAGAGCATATGCAAGGAATAATTCCGCCAGGGCCCTCGACACCGCCATGCTATCCTGCAGATGCAAAGACCTCATATCAACCATGCCCGTTTCGTGTCAAGGCCGCTCCTTAAAAAGAAAAATGCACCCCTTTTCAACTATAATAATACAACCATCAATGTGTTTGTCAGGAATGTAACACGTTGCCGGAACCAGTATATCGATCAGTAACCGCAGTAGAAGCCCATCCCACCGCAAATGACGCCATCCGGGATATTTAAGCAAAGTAGAGGAAAAGAGGACCTGCCAACCAGAATTCCCTAATGATACAGGATAAATATGTACTGGTAAAGCCCAAAAGCACGTGTGAACAGAGAAGTATCAAGATGTCAAAAAGTAACGTCGTTGCGGAAATGGCCTGTTCACCTTCGTTTAGGACGAATGAACGGATCTACTGGTTTCTTCCTGCGGATTGGAGGCCGTTTCATCGGCCCGTTTCGAACCGCAGACACACCCTACGTTTTATCGGTCAGTTCAGGGCTATAAAGAGCGATTGCACAAAGTGAAATGGACATCAGCGCCGATAACAACATACATTTCCGCTTGGGGCCACCGCTGTAGGTTTATCCTGGCCTTTTGCATCAATTGGACGATGTCCAGGGCTGTCCTTGGAAGGTATCACGAGATCCTATGGGAAAAGGCAAAGCGTATCAGTTTAACTAGCTCCGGTATGCGATAGACCCGTAGTCTACGCTGTCATTGGGTTACTTACACCCGCTGGTGGTGCCACTGAATGTGGATCAAATTTCCTACCCTTCAAGCCTTTGGGTGCATTGGCTGGCTGAGCATTGTGACCGGATCTCGGAATTTTGGAATCCTTTCTATCAGGACCATCCGAGTCCATGTGTTTCCGCTTTCCAGCCATCTTCGTGGCTGCATTCGGTTGGCCTTGACGGGAATCGCTCGGGCGAGGGGTTGTCCCTGGTACCTGGATGGTAGGAACTTTCGGGTCGTGGTCTCCCAGCTGCTTCTCTTTTCTAATATCGGCTTTTCTTTTTTGAAGCGTTCGAAATTGATGCTCTTCTCTCATGATCCTATCCTTCTCCGTCTTTGTTAGAACTCGGTTAGATTTGCATATTTCAGCAACATGGCCAAACATTCCGCACACCATACACCGCATTGCGGTGCAGTCTCTCTTTGAATGACCTTCCTCGCGACATCGAAAACATGTTCCTTGACTGACGGTTTTCGCTTCATAATTGTCGCAGTTTTGTGCTATGTGCAAAAGACTCCCACAATATCCACAAGCCAACTTCTCATTCAAACCATTTCCTCCGCCACCAGCTACATCAAGAAGCCGCGCTGGTGTAAGCATGCCACTGCGGGAGGGAACGTCGTCTATCGATAGGCCGTTGGTGGTATCATTCGAAAGCCTTGAGGCAGGCCTGCTGCTCCCGTTGCCCCCTGTCACGGAGGAACCAGGTCTTGAAGATGGCTCCGAAACAATGGGATCCATTGAACCATCAGTCATTTCAATATCATTCGGCACCAAGCTCCTTTGTGGTGACTGTAATATTTTGTACACATCACCATCGGTATACAATTGTCGTTCCCGCGCGTCATTAATTAGCCCTCTCCAGAATTCTCCACGAGCAAGAGATTGCGAATTGCCCAGAACCCAAAGAGATGATTTGGCACGAGTTAAACCCACGTTCATACGACGGATATCGGCCAAGAAACCAATGCCATGGTTGGAAGCTCTGACGCAGGAGAAAATG